CCAACCCAAACCCAAACCCAAACCCAAACCCAAACCCAAACCCAAACCCAAACCCAAACCCAAACCCAAACCCAAACCCAAACCCAAACCCAAACCCAAACCCAAAAACCCAAACCCAAACCCAAACCCAAACCTTAAACCCAAACCCAAACCCAAACCCAAACCCAAACCCAAACCCAAACCCAAACCCAAACCCAAACCCAAACCCAAACCCAAACCCAAACCCAAACCCAAACCCAAACCCAAACCCAAACCCAAACCCAAACCCAAACCCAAACCCAAACCCAAACCCAAACCCAAACCCAAACCCAAAACCCAAACCCAAACCCAAACCCAAACCCAAACCCAAACCCAAACCCAAACCCAAACCCAAACCCAAACCCAAACCCAAACCCAAACCCAAACCCAAACCCAAACCCAAACCCAAACCCAAACCCAAACCCAAACCCAAACCCAAACCCAAACCCAAACCCAAACCCAAACCCAAACCCAAACCCAAACCCAAACCCAAACCCAAACCCAAACCCAAACCCAAACCCAAACCCAAACCCAAACCCAAACCCAAACCCAAACCCAAACCCAAACCCAAACCCAAACCCAAACCCAAACCCAAACCCAAACCCAAACCCAAACCCAAACCCAAACCCAAACCCAAACCCAAACCCAAACCCAAACCCAAACCCAAACCCAAACCCAAACCCAAACCCAAACCCAAACCCAAACCCAAACCCAAACCCAAACCCAAACCCAAACCCAAACCCAAACCCAAACCCAAACCCAAACCCAAACCCAAACCCAAACCCAAACCCAAACCCAAACCCAAACCCAAACCCAAACCCAAACCCAAACCCAAACCCAAACCCAAACCCAAACCCAAACCCAAACCCAAACCCAAACCCAAACCCAAACCCAAACCCAAACCCAAACCCAAACCCAAACCCAAACCCAAACCCAAACCCAAACCCAAACCCAAACCCAAACCCAAACCCAAACCCAAACCCAAACCCAAACCCAAACCCAAACCCAAACCCAAACCCAAACCCAAACCCAAACCCAAACCCAAACCCAAACCCAAACCCAAACCCAAACCCAAACCCAAACCCAAACCCAAACCCAAACCCAAACCCAAACCCAAACCCAAACCCAAACCCAAACCCAAACCCAAACCCAAACCCAAACCCAAACCCAAACCCAAACCCAAACCCAAACCCAAACCCAAACCCAAACCCAAACCCAAACCCAAACCCAAACCCAAACCCAAACCCAAACCCAAACCCAAACCCAAACCCAAACCCAAACCCAAACCCAAACCCAAACCCAAACCCAAACCCAAACCCAAACCCAAACCCAAACCCAAACCCAAACCCAAACCCAAACCCAAACCCAAACCCAAACCCAAACCCAAACCCAAACCCAAACCCAAACCCAAACCCAAACCCAAACCCAAACCCAAACCCAAACCCAAACCCAAACCCAAACCCAAACCCAAACCCAAACCCAAACCCAAACCCAAACCCAAACCCAAACCCAAACCCAAACCCAAACCCAAACCCAAACCCAAACCCAAACCCAAACCCAAACCCAAACCCAAATGGTCAGATGTTGAGATTGATAAATCGAAGAAAAATTGGATCAATATCAATCAATCTGGTCACAAAACTGACTTTTTCTTCAATGATCGACCTCATCCAATCGATCCAGTGATCAGTGCAAATAGTTTTTGTCCTGTTCAAATTCTTAAGACCTATATGAACCTTGTTAAGGAATTTAAATATCCTGATTCACCTCTATTCTCTTTTCGAGATAATCAATTCCTTACAACCACACAAATTTCAGAATTAATACGAAATGTAATTAGATTAGTGGATAGCAAAACAAAAGTCTCCGGACATAGCTTACGTATAGGTGCTTCTACCGAAATTTCCTCGAATGGAATGTCTATTGAAGTCAACAAGATTATGGGTCGATGGGCGTCAGATAAGTCAGTACTTAGATATTCTCGCCGAATTGGTTTTGCAGAAATCAACTTCTCCACCAAACTCTTCAATACTCGGAACTAACCCATTTGTTCCTCTAAATTAATCAAACGATTCTTGTTGTTTACGTCTTCGAAACACACTCCAATCCAGTCAAAAGGATGTATTGCAATCGATCCTCTGTCATTTTTTGTTGCAGAATTCCACCCGAGCAAAATGTGATTGGAGCCTTTTATTTCTGACCTCTTAGTTTCTTTGTGCATCACACAATCAATTGCAAGATATCAAAGGAATTTGCTGAATGTTAATAACACATTACTTCTTCAATTTAATGTCCTTAATATCCTTATCACTCAACCAAACCACCGCTTGTTTTTTTAGAACTGTATACACTGTCCAATAAACAGCAAAAAATAAATAATAAACTACCATAAGCACCAAATGCATAATAGGTGCTAATTTGCTTTGATAATAATCCAGCAGTGCTCCGTACGGAAAGTTGTTGAGAATATAGTTTTCCCTTAATCCAATAATGAACAACAGATAACATGGACAAAACATGCCAACCAAGAAAATGTGCCAAAATTTGAGATAGAAATCTGAATTGAAAGTTTCAATCATGGATATGATCCATGTGAAAGCGTGAACAGAGAGATTGTTAAAAGTTCCAAACCTGGAAGTATCGCTAGAGGTTGGAGCGAGAACAAGCCAGAATCCTAAAGACACAACTGTGGCAGTGACAAGATTCAATTCTACCAGTATCCACAAAATATCACCATAAATATGCATGATTTGCAACATCCATTTGGGTAAGGCTCCCTGATCAAAATATGGAAATAATGAGTTGTTATTTCTGAAAGCTGCACCAATCACAATGCATAAATAAATGACATGTGAAAATGTCACAAAGATCATGAATACTATAAATACGTTAAAACTGTTATTGGTGAGAAATTGTGTATATTTGAGCCATGTTTCACCAATGCTGACTGATCTAGATCCCACATAGTAAGCGGTGCTCACACCCAATGCAATACAGCACAGTCTAAGAAATAAAATCCAAAAAGTCGACAACCAACATGCAATATTATACAATTTTTGTTTCTTTTCAATTTCATCATGTTTTCTATTAAGGTAACCTCCAATTCGGAATATTACAATATGAAACCAAGTTGATTGAAACAATGCAAAACTTCCATTTTCATTAATGAATGCAAGAGCATTACGTTCTCCCAACGGAAGACTCAGTATGAAATTTTTCCACGATGTCTTGGAGCATCCACATTGAGAATTATCCAAATTTGGTTGAGAAGAAGAATCATCACGATGATGTTCTCGTTGATGGTGTCTTCTATGTATACAAAAATAATATAAAATTGGAATGAGAATGGAGAGAGTAGTTGCAAAGACAAGGAACACAACATCGAGAGCAATGGTGACTCCCCGTCCAACATCCACTTGTTGTTGTGTCATGTTGGAAGTTTGTAAAACGGAATAAGGATTAAGTTTTTCAATAATTGAATGATGTAAAGTTTTTTGAATCATTTTGGTTTCTTCGGATGATTTCAGGACAGAATGTTTGGTGCAAGTGGGAGACCCAATGAAAATGTAAACAGTCGATTTTTTTTATCTCACTGAAAATAGTTGATGATGGATGAAAACCTCGTCTAGAGTGAGAAAGAGGTTGATTGACATACTGGGTGAGTGAGCGAGCAAAAATGTGAAAAATTCTCCTTGATGTTGTGTTGCGTTTGGAATGGCTTTCCAAACAACTCTTTTATTGGAATAGTTATTGGATAGTATCATTATTGTTGTGGAGGAGAGTCATGTGGAGAAAAATCTGAGGCAAATAACTCTTGAACATCTTCACTATTCAAGAATGGCTCAAAGAATGATTCATCTTTCAGAGTATCTTCCATGTTCATATTTCCAGAATTGAGTGATTCCAAAAAGCTTTCATTAATCAATTCCTGAAGTGGTTCATTACCGGTGGAACTTGACGTCACAGTGGCCAAGAAATCTTTGGTATTTCGTACACCTTCAAATTCAGAGAAATCCATTTCTGAATCAGATAACAAGTTGTTACTACCTCCAAAATCTCCACTTGTACAACTGATAGTTGTGATATTGTGACCTAGATCTGTAATGGATGGCTTTTGTTGTTGTGTAGAGGGCAGAGGGCAGAGATGGTTCATGGTGGTGGAAGTAGTAGAGTTTGTACGCATCTTCTCAAGGTCGTTCAACAAACCACTCACAAAATTGTTGGGAGGATAGAGTCCATCATCAGAAAAACTACTACACACCCTTTTCATGGCACTCATAATGTGTTTTCTTTGAATAATGTCTTCCATCTCGTTCATTAACGATTTATGGAAAAGGGACACTTTCTTATAGCGTTTAGCCAAAATATTGAGAGCTCTCAAATCCTTACTCAGTATTTCGTAGTAATCAATGGTTCCAAGTGTTGGTTCTCCTCCGGTAATGGATGGTATCATGCCAATTTCAGGATTTTGACGCTCTCCATTCTCAATGGCCTTGACAATATGTAAATGTACTTTTGCAGCGGCTACACAGTGAGCAACAATTGGAGGAGGAACGAACACGAAAAGTTCTAATTCGGTGGCTAGCGTAATTTTGAGTGCACATTCCTCAATTAATTCCTTTCCACGGTTGACAGCACTGAGAATACCAATCTTCACGCCATTAGAGACAAATGTCTGGCCCATGTCGTAAACCTAGTGGGTTGGAGAGTGAAATAATGGTGAGTGTAAAACCATGGTGGAATTTCAAGTCAAAGTCAATGTAATTAAGAAAAAATCATGACGATCATAACATCACCTAGAGTTGATTTGAATTAACTACATACCTTCAAGTTTTTGACCGTTCCAGATTTTGTAATGTGCAATCGAACGACTTTTAACAATGCTTCTACAACATTAATTACAGCCATGTAATTATTTACAGTCAAATCTTGTGATAATATTGTCTTCCATTCAGTAGGTAATGTAATTCCTAGAATCTTTTCATAGACACCTGGCCAGTCTTTTAAGAGATGCAAAACGCCCTGATCGTTTTTAGCACATATGTTAACAAAACTTCTAATTTTTTTTAAATTTCTCTGATAGGGCGTCATGTTTTGTTCTTCCTCTTCGGTAAGCTCATCAAAGTAAAAATTGAGTGAATTGAGATAGTATTTGGCTGTTTTCAGACGACCACAGCCTGCCTCATAAATACTCAAATAAGCAAATGCACAGGCCACATAAAAATTGGAATGTTCATCAAAGATTTTGGAAAGAGCGTCGCGTGCCTTCTTTCCAGTTTCTTCAGCCAAGTCTACAAGCCCTACTCTCTGTTCACAAACTGCCTTTATGCATAGAAAAAGGACGTAGACTTCCTTCTTGTTTGGCATGATTTCAGTTTCATTCAAGCTGTTAATAATCTCTTCCTCTTCGTCACGAGCAGAATTGGTGCTTGTCCTCATTGATAAGTAATTTTCAAATTCTTTCCTTTCAATAACAATCATATTTTCAGTAAATACGTTATAATAAAGGTCCAATACTTTTCTCTTATCTAAATGTTTTTCAGGTTGATTTCTCGTAGTGCCTTGAGCATACGGAGTTGATTCTGTTTGTACAATATTTGTCAAAAGCTTGTTGGTGCTTGAGTGCATTTGTTCACTACTGTTGAAAAGTCCGACTTGATAGGACAAGGATGATGTTGAATTTTGTTCTTGTTTGTTGCTATTGGTGTTGTTGCTATTGTCGTTTTTGTCTTGTTTTTCTAAATTCGTGACACTATTTGACTGTTGTTGCCCTTTTGGTTTTGCAATTCTTCCTTTCTTTCTTGGAATTTTATATTCACAGGTTACTCCTCGTGAAAGACATTTCGAGCAAGATGGGTACTAGATATGATATTGTTTCAAGTTGTCACATTTGGATTTAAATACAATAAACATATTGCATTCCATGAGTGAAAATAAATACATGATATATTATATACATGAACATGACATAGGAGTGAACAACACAGATCACAATGCTTACCTTCTTGTCGCAGCGTTTGTGCAAACGTCGGCACGGCACACAGGCAATAGGATGAAAGCCAGGAGTGGCATTATTTTCTTCATCAATATTGACATTTTCAGAATGATGAACATCACCATCTTCTTCTTCTGATGAGTGGTGATCTTGTTGTTGCTTTTTTCTTTTTGGAAGTAGATGACGAAGATGATTTCTTTTTCTTCTTCTCTGTTTGATTGATTGTAGAGTGTGAATTAGCAGTAGTAGAAGATGACTGATCAATACTATTGGGCGCAGTTCCATTTGTAGTCACTACTTTTGCAGAAGATGATGAAGATGATGGGGTAGAGACTGTAACAGAGGTGTGACTACTACTTGTTGGAGATGCAAGACTGGCTTGTTGCGTCGTATTACGTCCTGAAAAGCTTGATGATGTGGAGGATGTCTGAGGCTCTATCACACCAATATCCATACTACCACTATTACTGCTCGGAGCAAAACCAAATTGTTGGTCAAATTGTTCCAAATATTTAGACAAGGTATCGGCAATGGGTGTTGAAGTAGTGGGAAACGAGGAGAGAAAATTCCTTTGGGGAGATGAAGCAAGATATGAATTGGAAGAAAGTGGTGTAGTTGTGCTCGTCGCAGCAGTATTGTTGTTGGCATTGTTTGCATTGGAATTGTTGGATGTTCTTCCATTACTCTCATTCATTGATATGTGGAAATTGTTATTCATCATCATGTAATTGTAGGAATGATGAGGATTGGTATTATTATTATTGGAAGTAAAACTATTAAAATTGTGGTTTGAATAGATGGATTCAGTGCTGCTGGTGCTTGTTGCTGTTTGACTCAAATGATCTACCAAAGTTACACCACCACTCGAACCTTCATGATTCAATAGAGACTGAAAGGAAGGCTCCTGATTGAGAAGCTGCGTAAAGTATTGCTCGAGAAGTATTGCTTGTTGATGAAGTTGTTTGTCGGAGGTGCTGATGGAGGCTGATTCAGGCCGGGTATGTGTTTGTTCCATGTGGTGGTTAGAAAACGTTTGATGATGATTCATATCTTGTTGTTGTCCAGAATTGTTGCGTCGGAAAGAGTGGTTTTGGAGAAAGTGTTGCTGACTTCGTTGGAAAGCCGAAGTGGGAAACAAGTCATTGAAGCGTAATTGTTGGTTGGGATTGTTGTTGTTGCTGTTGTTTTGGTTGTTGCCGTGATGCGACGATGAGGAAGGTTGCTTTGGCATGTCGGGATGCTGTCTTCTTGGTGGTTATTTGTTTCAACGGACAGAGAGCAACCCACAAGAAGGAGAACGAGGAGATTTGGAGTGATTCTTTTTCAGGTTGGTTGCGCTTTTTTGGATTTGGAGTATCTTGTGCAATGAGAGAAGGTATTAACAACACGAACGAGATAACAACCCTAACAAGTAGATCTAAATGTGAAAATCCAATTCTGAAATTGGATCTTTTTCAAAGCACCTGGATGCATGCAGTGTATGCGATGGTGAATGAGGATTACAGCAACTGAAAAGAGGACCAACAGAACCAGAACAGAAGGTTGTTGTTGCCAACGATGAAGAGTTTTTTTCAGTTCAAAAAATTCAAAACAATTTCTTTTTATAATGAACAAAGTGCGTGCTCTCTATTTCTTGTGAATGCAATCAACTTCTAATGGAATGAGAGAGCAAGCAAGATTCCACAATTCCAGAAACACGAACGAATGAAGCGAGGAGAAAGATAGATGGTAACCGTCCAATATTTTGCCAAATCAAGCTTGAATTAGCGGAACAAGGATATCCTTGAGGAGAATTTGATTGAATATAAATAGGCACTGAAAGGCTGAGATGATGAAGCAAAAGAACAACACTAAACATTTGAACAAAATGGACAAATAGTTGGAATGGATTGTGTCCGTACCAGATGTGGGCTGCCTTCTTGAACAGAGAATCATTGTATTCATTTGAATAATACTAAATATGAGCTAGAGTTTCCGAATGCTCATCAAGTTCAGTGAGAAATGTGCGCAAACATGATTAGCATATGTACGCCAAAGTGAAGATTGTTTGTCATTTGATTGAAATTAGAAGACACGTATTTCAACCAATCATTTTGGAAGATGACTGTTTGAATCAAGGATTTTACATGAAAAACATCTACAATTCTGGTCAAATCAAACCCTATGTTGAACAGCTGTTTCTAACCTTGCTGACATTCCTCGCCTTAAAGATTGCAATGATCTCACCCACAGATGACATCGCACACTCCAAACCTTCCAAATCAACAAAAAAATGTTCCACTAGAAATCTTTAGGGATCTCATTGGCCTTGCTGACGGTTTCAACTGATTACCTTATCACCAAACACATCTTTAAAATCGACAAAATATATGAAGAATTTGAAAAGAGTGATGGAGAGGGTAAAACAATTTTCATCAAAGGAAAGGAACGAATGCCAGGGTTGTTGCAGGCTTTTGAATCGAAATTCGGGGATCATTTGATTTTCCAAGATCACTACACCACAATCATTGAATTACCTCCAAATATCAAAGCAAATACTGGAACGGAATTGTCTGTTAGTCGAAACAACAAAACCGATGGCATTCATGACAACGATTCCACAATGACAACAGTGGATGTTTCACATTTCGCTCGTTCCTTCTTCACCTCCAATTTGTTTTATTTGGAAAGTCGATTATTAAAGATGAGAGAGCCATCCTATGGAAATACTGAACCCGAAGAAATCAATCAATTGAAATTTCAAATAGGTGACAATGTCTCCATGTTCAAAGTCATTGAACAAACAGAGAATGAAATATTGATGCGGACGCCTATTGGAACTGTGGAATGGTTCAAAATTTCGAAACCTCAACAACAGGGCAAGACTGATGATGGCTCTTCTGTAAACAAAATTCAAATAAGTTTTGGCAGTGGAGTTTTGGCGAATGAACCGTTAGCAAAAAGTCCATTATTTCGAGTTTCAATGCCTTTCACGGTTTATTTTCGAAATATTTGGTCATTCAAACAAAGACCAAACTTGAAAAGATGATCAAAGACATGGATCGAAAGAATCAAAATTGATGACTGGCGAGAGGGTTAGGGAAACACAAACATTTAACACCCTCAATTTACATTAATTTTTTAATTTATTTTTTCATTCCCATAATTTCTTGTTGTCTCTCGAAACGTCCCAAATCCTGAGGTTGGCACTGTATTGGATTTGTGTCTGAAATGATGACAAATTTCAACAACCCAAGCCTTCTGAAGAAAATGTGAAGAGCTCTTCTAATATCATGCACTACCCTCTGAATCGGCGAAACGTCATCACGCTGTTTGTGTCTTTGAGTGTCACAAATTAAGAAACATGAACAAAATGGTTTTAAAGAATTTTTTCTTTTTTTAAATTGGTGATGTTGCTGCTTTAACACAACGGTCGAATTACCGAGTTCACTCAAAAAAATGTTTCGTTGTGAAATTGAATCGTGACTTTGATTATTAAAAAGAATTGCAAAAAACAACAACACACCACCAAAGAACAACATACCACCATGACGGAATTATTGAATAGTTACGATTCCGATTTAGAGAAACTACTCTCTCAAATTGCCTCCCATATCAAGTCAGTGCCATCGGAAGGTTCTTCCAAAGTAGAGAAGGATATCCATACCGCTAAAACTCTCATCAAACAAATGAATATCGAAATTCAAAGTATCACCAATGCAAAACAAAAAGGAGAATTCAAAACAAAAGTGAATTATTACAAGAAACAAGTTGAAAAATTCGAACAAGAATTGAAGAAATCAAGTTTATTACAATCCACTTCAACATCTTGTGGCGAAAATGATCATTTTGGATTTTCTTCGTCATCATCATTGAACGAGGATGAATACAAACAACGAATGCTTCACTCGACACAAGTTTTGACCCATTCCAGCAAAACATTGGAGATGGCAAATCAAGTGTTGAACGAAACAGAACAAATAGCCCAAGATTCTGCAGCGATGCTTCGAAAACACTCAGAGCAAATGAAACACATTCAAGACAAATTATATGATGTAGAGTCAGAAGTGAAGGAAGGAAGAAAAACTGTGAATCGAATGTCAAGACCTGCAATTGTAAATTTATTCATGAAATAAGAGGACTTGGGAATGGATGTCACTCAAGGGAGGTATATCTTCTGATGAAATGAGGTCAGACATTGGTTTCAACATTGCTTAAGAACATTTTCACAAACTGTTGGTAACGAATTAAATGAAGGAGAATGCATCATTGTGAATATCACATTCATATCCTTAAAGCAACAACTTCTCAAGAGTTGAGGTAATGTCATCAAAGCTTGGTCTTTCGCTTGGAGAGTTGTTCCAACACTTTTGCATCAAATCCAACAATTCCTCAAATAAAGGAAGTTCTTGTTCATTGTCACAATACTTGTCGTGAATGAGTGGAATTTTAGGTCTTCTGTTTTGATTGGCCACTGCCATTAAAATCATTTCATTGCCATCAACGGAGTCGTCTTCGTCCACATAGGCAACTTTGGAAAATAATAATTCATACATGAGAATTCCTGGGTTGATTCAACATGTTCGAGTATTAAGGTAATTAAACCCAATCATGTACCACATGGCCAAAGGTGAAAAATGGAGCTCCAAAATACCTACCGAACGAATACACGTCACACTTTTCAGAACATTCTCCATTCCTCAAAATTTCAGGACTAATCGCCCGTAATGTCCCCAAAGGAGAATCCAACACCAATAAATCTGTCGTTTTAAATTGAGCAAGACCAAAATCTGTCAATTTCACGTGACTTGGCTTTCCATTCTGTCCAACATTCATTAAAATATTTTCCAACTTTAAATCCAAATGCAAAATAGGAGGTTTCATGTCATGTAAATAAAACATTCCCTTCGAAATGCACAAAAAAATTTCAATTTTTTCTTTCACACTCAGGCGCTTCTTATTTTCAATGATAAATTCCCACAAACTGCAATCCATCTTTTCCATAATAATATAAAGTTTTGAATTATCAGAATCATACGTATAGGCATGATGTGGAATGCAATAACTATTCGAAATGTTCATAATGAGATCGAGATGATTAGCGAGTGTTTTTGTCATGTATGGATGCGAAATTACTTTGATGGCCACTTGCGACTTTTTCCACCGTCCAGAGTAAACTCTTCCTTCTCCCCCTTTTCCAACAAAATTTCCCAATTCAATGCAATCGAGTGAAGTACACCGAAGTCGAGAGGATAAATTATCTAATGGTTGAAACTCTTGTGGTTGATCGGTAGCAAATGATTCTTCTCCACGAAAACTTTTTGTAATATTTTGAAACATTTGTTGCTTGGTGAGGGTTGTGTAAATGGAGGGCATGACAGGTTGTTGTTCCTGTTGTTGATGGAATTGTTCTGTAGCTGAATCTACTTTTTCAATTTCCACAAATCTTGTGTGACATTCAAAAATTACAAAATGTTGCAAAGGATGGAATAGAATAGAAAGTACAAACCCATCTTCATTGTCTTTCATGGTATAATCTTGGTTTTTCTTCCCAGGTTTATAACTTGAGTGATTATATTTCATGGGTTGTAATGTTTTCTTCATTCTTTTCCACAAGTTTTAGAGAAATTTAATAACATTCCATAAATTTTGTGAAATGTGCATGCAGTCGTCAAACTTACAACTCTAAAAAAGAAGGTGACATGGACTTGAGATACTCGAAAGTTTCTCCAGTTTTTTTTTCCATACTTGCACACATCAATGGCTCTCTTTCCCTCTTCCTAACATGTTCCAATAATTAATTGAATATCATTTAAAAATTAAGAATTTTCAAAGAAAGTGATGAGAAATTCACACAAGGTTGAATTGTCAACTACTCACATTTACAAGCTGATCGTTAGCTCCATTTTCGATTAAAATTTTCACAATTTCCAAATTATCAATCCAACATGCCCAATGCAATGCAGTCTTTTTTGATCCAAAGTTTCAAAACAAGAATTATGTTTCAATGCTAAACTTTTTTTTCATTATTGATTGAAAACTCACGTATTTTGCCCACTAGTACATCCATGAAGAATTCAAATCATCGTTTCAAATGAAACCACTTTAATAAAGTAAACACGTACATCCACATGATCGATCATGGAAATAATTTGATCACGGAAATCCGTGAATAACATTCGAACAATTTTGGTGGCTCCACTCCGAACTGCAACCATTAATAACGTCTTTTTCGAACGTATGTAATTGTGAGCAGTTTAAATTGTCATTGACACAACCGTTGTGTAAATAGCAGTTCTTACCCTTGACTGAACCATGTCGATCATCATTCATCATTGTTTTTAATATTAAAATATTTGATAATGCCTTACATTTTCAAATTCATATTTAAATAACTGATTTCCTTCGTTGGACATGAGCAAATTCCGACAAGCTTCAACGTTGTCTTCGTCGCACGCTTGTTTAAACTGTGTGGCTGCTTGTTGACCCATTTTTTCTTTATAATTGGTTGATCAACATTTCGAAACAAATCATCAAGTGATGATACCTTTACTTGGCAGATGATTTATTCCCTTCTTTTGAACTCTTTTTCGTTGTTTTTGGTTTTGGTGGTGGAGGGTCATGAATATCTGTGTTCGAAAGACATGTCTTCAAAAAATCGTCGTATCGAATGAGCTTGGTCTCAGGATCAGTGAATAATTGAATAATTTCTTGAACTTCCTCTGGTGTCATTAAATCGGTTTCTCCCAAGTTCAAAAGAATGTTTTTCAATTCCTCAGGTTCAATGGTTCCTTGGAAATTTGAACTATCAAATGTTTCGAATGCTTCTAGAATCGTAAAATGATCGTCTTGATTTGGAATTGGAGAATGTTGCATGATTTTTAAAAATTCATCCACAGTCAATTGTCCCCTTTGTGTCACTTCTTCCGCGTTGGGAAGAACACTCAAATAAATAGGTAAATCTTTCTCTTTGGGATTTTTCATGAGAGCCCTCATTAAAATAATGAGCTCCGATAAAAGTACATGATTTTTCAAAATAGTAATTTGAGGTTGCTGAGGTGGAGTTTCTGGTTGTGGAGTGGAAGCTGCTTTCTTGGAATCTTTGGCACTGGTTTTTTTAGGATCTGGTTTTTTGGCATCTTTTCCATCTTTCTTTGTTTTTCCGTCATCCGCTTCTGCTGCTGGAGTTTTTCCTGGTTTGATGGATTTTTTTGCTTCATACAATTTAAAAGCTTCCGTATATCGTTTGATCAATTCGGGGCTTAATTCCTCTCCTTTTCCTTGTGTAAAACCCATCGACGATTGTTTCCCACCCATCACGTTGGAAGCGCTTGTACTAGGTCTTGAATTCGCATTAGATGAGGGAGGAATCCGCGACGATGCTGTTGTTGATTCTAACTGAGAGGGATCCAGTATTGCTGATGCATCGAGACCATTCATTGATGAGTTTTGAATGGCACTCACGTTGTTTAGATCATCCATTCCTTCTGTACCACCACTACCATTTCCCGAGAGGGTTTGATGACTCGGAGTGGGTGTTCGAGGTTCTTCTGCAGCCGATAACATGAATTTTTTTGTGCTTTAAAAATTGTAATTTTTCGGGCGGGCTTTGCATTTACTAAATTGTTTCCTTCGCCGCGTTTTCAAAAATCAATACAAAACAAAAATGCTCATTTAGGAAATTTAAATAGATCGTATTTTGGATTAGATTGACTGATAGATAGTTCGAAAATAGTCGTTGGAGGAAGCCGGTCGATTGAAGGATTTAATTAAATTTCCTAATTGAAGAGATCGAGACACAAAGTGGATTGTCTTGAAAATCAAAAGTGTTCAAATGAGAAAGTTGGTCTCCACCTCATGGACGTTCTCCAACACTTGGGCACAATTGGTTTCTGTTCAAGATCTCACCAATTTTAAAGTAACACCATGTGCAGAAAAATTCAAATATTTTGGGTTTCCATTCAATTCAGATCATTCCATGGAAGTTGTAACTTTAAAAAGTTCATTCAAATGAAATTGTCAAAATATTAAAATTACAATGAAAATAATGTGCAGCAGCAGAGAAAAGACCCATTTCAACACATGATTGACCAAGTAGCCCAATTTTGAAATTCCACCTTAATTGGGAAGTCCAAATTGTTTGTAAAAGATAAAACAATTAAATCGAGATGAAAACTTAATTTGATGCTCAATATTAGGTTGACAACAAACTGTAATGGTCTACAATTCTATTTCCAGCTCTCACAAAACATTCCACATCGCAACCGTCATACCATAAGTAGTATTCAAATTTGGAATTAAAACTATTTGAAAATAAATCCACTAAAAGTGTTTCGGCACCAATTACAATATCCCTCATATGGTTGAAACGACCAGGCAGATCCTTTCTTCGATTTTTCTTTTTTTTCATTAAAGAACTCGTCCAGCTTGGGCAAGAAATCATGCATTGATTTTTCAAGGTCAAAAAATTGCTTCCACGCACAACAGTTGGTTAATCCTAACGGAAAGAAGAGCAGTTTGAATTCATTGTCACTTATTGAATCTTGTTCATTTCGATCAAAGGTCATTCACTATCATACATCAACCACACAACTAGTATTCAACAGCTTTCTTGTTCCCTCCTTGTATACCCTTACAATCAAAGACCAAGTACAACAAATTTCACTTCAGCATTGTTATCGGAACAAAGAGATAGTTCGGATGGATCCCATACAATCTGGTTTCAACTTTCTTGTGGACTCTTCGAGTGTGCAACAACAAGACTCGAGTCCACCTTCAAGTTTTTCCAACTCGGTCTCAACCTCTCATCCTCATCACTCGACGAGTTCCACGACGTATGGTGTGTATGGTGCTCCCTCCATGCCAGGTAACACTTCCCATTCCCACACGAGTGGAAGTGGTGGCAGCAACAGTGCAAAGTTCAACTTTGTGGACATGACCAAAGACGTTGAATTCAAAACTCGCAATAAGGGAGACAAATCACTGAAGGTGAACAAACAATTTCGATACAATAAGAGATTTCAAAACAACTTCTTCATTTTCAAAGCAGGACAGAATTCACAACAGCATCAGCAACAACAACTTTCACAGCAACAGTCGTTTGGAGGTACAGGAGATTTCGATTCGAGTCATTACTTCTCCTCTCCTCCAACAAATGCTTCAATGCCTCATCATGTTGGAATACCTCCTTCTTTCGGTACGAACCATCCGACTGTTGGTCTTCCTTCAGATTGGAATTCTGCATCCTCCCCAACGAGACTGAATGGTCGTTTTGTGAAGAGACAAGCACATTCGGCCTCAGCCACTCCCACCCTCATGATCAACAACAACCATTCGAATTTCAACGACTCGAATGGGGTTGGTGCAGGATTGAGCTCTAACGTTCCAACCTCTTCGAATGCCATTGGAAGTGGTCTTGGCCACTCTACATCGTTGTTGTTGGCACAACAACCTCCTCAATCATCACAACAACCTCAACTTACCTTTTCTTCAACCTTAAACACCAACTTGGCTCAATCGGGAAATTTTTTGATTGGAAACGGACAAGTACAAGGTTCAAATCCCGGCTCGGCAACTTCTACAGGTTTTATCTTTCTCGACGATGAAATGTTGGTGGTAAATCATCATTTCCAACAACAAATGCAACATGCTTCAAACCCTCCTGTACATTCTCTCCCTCAGCAACAACAAGACCTCACCTCAATGAGTTCTCAATTTATCTTGTCGAAGGAAGGGATTTCCAATTTGGCGGCTGCACTCTCGTCTCAGAATGCAGCAAACACGGAGATGGTTCCTCCTTTAAGTATATACCCTAATGGTCAATTTATTGTGACCAACTCTAATGGTCAACCTCAATTAATTACATTGACTAATGCTGAAAGTAGTAACAACCCGAGTCTCTCACAACAACAACCTCAAAAACTACTCTCCGCGAGCACCTCGAGTGGTAACCTTGCTCAAAGTTGCTCTCAAACTTCGACAACCACGACACAACATCGTTTGACTCATTCCCAAAGTTTTCCTCAGGAATTATTTTCGAGTGCTTTGGCAACTTTCCAAAAACAACAACAACTCGAACAACATGCTGTGAGCAAGGACAATAATGAAATTCACTTGTATGTCACAAACATGAGCACTTCCAATGCCACCGAAGGCACCACAAACAGTTCAGCAAATCTTTCCCTTCAACACTCCAACGGAGAAATGGAAGAAGATCAATGGCTCTCAGGGGGTGCAGTAATTGACTCGTCTGATCCAACCACAACGAATTCACTCAGTGGAAAGAGAAAACGAAAGTTGAAAACCTCTCCAAATACATTATTTGGATTTGGAACATCTTCCTCATCGAGTGGTGTCAGTAGTAACGACAGCAGTACGTTGAATTCTCAAAGTTCGAGTATTGAGAATTCTCACAATAATTCACCCAACACACTGGTGGTTGGATCGAACAGTCACATGAATGACGATCATGAAGAGATTGATGACGAAGAGGAGGATCACATTGAAAAACAGAATCCAAAAATGATTACTCTTGAAAGAAGTGCTTCGATCCAACAAGTTGAATTCCAAAGTGCAGGCAGTGAACAGTTGCATCATCATCATCACAAAGATGTAAGACTCACCCAAAGATTGGATATTGTCACTCAACCGCAGCCCCAGCAGCACGACAACGATCACCACCATTTGGTCACTTCTTTGATTGATCCTCGATTTGTTCCAATGTCATCACTCAATGATGACATTTTCAATCCTCATGCCCTTCTTCAGGAACAATACCCTCAATCAGGAAGCACCTCACAATCACTGACTAACGAGTCGAATGAGATCATGATTCATGATGTTGTGACTGGAAAGCCAGTCATAAATTCATCACAGTCTCATCCCAAGTTGTCCACATCCAGTTCGCCACACTTTGGAAAGAATGCTTCGACACAATTTCAATCAAGTCTAGGAACGAATCGAGATGGAAATGAGAATGGAATGATTCATGTACCTTCTGTAATGACTCCTCCGACAGGTCCCATTGAGGACGAGTTGGATTCTTTTCTCAATGCCATTCATCATTCTTCGAGTCAATTTTGATGCAAAAAAAGGTGAAATATTCGATGAGCGCTGTGAAAATTTTTTTACCCTTGCTAAAGTGACATTCATAAACTCAAAATTGTGATATTTCATTGATGATTCAATAATGAAAAAGCTTATTGATCATTAAAAACATTCCTTGTTGAAATTGTATGACCTTTCAATTTCAACAGTTTTTCAAGTGTGTCAAAAAACAGTGAAACTCTAAAAACTAAATGAAAAACGTGAACAAAACCTTATAAAAACTCATCAAAAGGGATTTTCTGAAGGACACAACCGAAGAACCGATTGAAATGAGATTTGGAAGTTAAGAAGAAATTTAAGATGAAGTGAGAGCTACTATTCAAATGATATTTTCTCTTACAAGAGGACACGCTTCTTAGCCTCTCCATGGTTATCAATTGGTTTCTTTTCCCTTCTCACTTCTCTCAACATGGTGATAAAGGCTTCTTCGACGTTGGATGGTTGCTTGGGTTTCCATAAATGGTATTCCATATTTTTTGGCACAACGTTGACCATTCGTCAAAGAAATGACTCGCTTCGATTCCAATTCACACTTGTTTCCAACTAGGACCATTGGAAATTTATCACAATCCTTCAATCGTAAACATTGTTTATAGAATTCATTAATTTCTTCAGATGACTGTTGATCAATTACAGAATAGGTCAATATGAACCCATCTGCTGTTGCCATGTATTCCTCTATCAATCGTTTGCGATTGGATTAAACCTGCAGCCATTCAGCCAGGATGGTGTTCCAAAGTTGTTGACAGGTGGAGCATGCACAGCCGTTCATGATCATAATTGAGACAGTTGGGGTCTGTGTTAAAAAATAATTATGCAACGGAATGAGTTAAAGAAGAAGTTGCAAAAATCAACAAGATCGAGAGTGGAATATCCATTTAATATCCATTTGGTCAAATAAAGCTGAAATATAAATCTTTGTCATCTTGATTTTGATGAAAGTTGACTCAGCTAGATTTTGCTCGCTGAAGGTTTCCCCAAAGTTCTGGAAGTCTGTAGGAACTGACTTCCGTAAGTTGAACACAAGGCAACAAACTTTTGATTTTTTCAGCAGAAAATTGGAGACAACTGTTTGGATATCCCTTGATAATGGAATTATTGGTATTGGATGACTGAATAAATGATTTCTGTCGATTCATCGATCTCTATTCAAGTTGCCACAAATGGTTTTACAAACTCGACAGAACGAATCTTTAGAATTGGTTCATTTCATAGAGATGCCTCTTGATGAATTAAAAGATGAATATTTAAAAATTTTTTGGGGACTACGAATAAAAAAATTGTTTGGGGACTGCGGGGAATCGGACCCCGGACCTCCTGCACCCTAAGCAGGTATCATACCACTAGACTACAGTCCCAACCATGCTTCTTATAGGAGATGAAGAAACAGAAAATTAAATAGAAGGTCAGCAATTGGGACCTTAACACTAGAGATGACCAATCCCTTTGGGAATTGGCTTGAAGAAAAGGCACGAAAGCCATTAGATCATTCGCTTCACTTGTTACAATCTTTACAACATCATCTATGTGACGCAATCACCTTTAGAGAAAATCCATCAGTTGAGAAAACTAACGATCCACCAGTTGAGAAAGATGAGAATTCATTATCAACATTGAATCAACCAACTCCATCAAAACAAGAAAAAGAATACAATCCAAAGAACAAACCTCGCAAAACAAGAAGGACCACACAAGCTAAAAAACAATCATCCACCGACAAAGCCAAGCCAAAAAGAAAAACAAAGCAAAAGAACAAACTTCACGATCATACTAATCATGGACAAAAAGGCAAGATACTATATTTGTATTATGATGATCAGTGCTATCAACAATTCGATAAGAAACGTGTAATGAATGTAAGAACAAGAAAGAAGCATCTCACCTTATATTGGATCCAAGACTGCTCTCCGCCCTTCAACATTATTAATTGTTGTGACTTAGAACTTTGAAGACAATGCTGGTAATCGATACATATCATTATTGACATATCATATCCATCAACTCTATATATACCTATTCATGACCTTTTTACAATAATTGACAACTCAACCTTACACACCAACGAAAACCATATGCATTAATAGACAAAAAACTGTTTTACTTTTGCCTTCTGCTTGAATCATGGACTCAACTTATCCCATGTTAACAGTTGCTCAACACAAGCATGTAATCTGTTAATATTTGATATATCCTGTTAAAAACATTCGACATTCAGAAGTAGTATCTATACGAAAACGAAGTCCAATGTAGTTTTATGACAAATATTGAAGGCCAATAAACAATATTTATTTTGTACTTGAATAGATCGGATTTTGGGATTGGATTGGATTTGTTTCGAAGACGTAAACAACAAGAATCGTTTGGTTAAATTAAAGGAACAAATGGGTTTGTGGTCTCTCCAAACATCCGACCTTGATAAAGGTCCGGTGTTTGTGGAATTTTCTGCATATTTTGTCAATTAACTTTATTCAGCATTTTTCGTATCTCAACCAAACTCTTTTAATGTTTACAATCAAAACATTCATGCCCTTCACTTCGTTCTGAACATATCAGACTCACAAACTGGTCATCAGGAATCACTTCAGCAGTTTGTGAACGTATAACATTCGGAATTGTGTATAGAATTCTTTCACACATTCATAATCTCGACACAGGTTTGATGAGGATCTCTATCTCATCCAAAAAAAAGCCCAACTTTACAATCAGCTGTTCCAGATAAATGCTTGGATTATTTTGGTCCATCAAGAGTCTTTTCCAAATGTTGAGAGAGAATACATTCTATTAACACGACCAATGTCGTAGAAAGAGACCATGAGACAATCCTTGGACTGCATCAAGAATCGTGATTGAGACATCGATTGGAATTTGTGTACATACAACCTTGTCACACAATAAAATAGGAGGACCAAATATTTCCACACCGTGTGCACAAGAATTGAAGGGTAGAATTGAATCTCAGCTGGAAACTGTTTTTCCACAGTCAAGTCTGTTCATTAGCGGTTGAAGGGTTGCAACCTCAATCATAACATCACAAGAATGAACCACTAAATTATCATCACCCTCGAATCCAAATGTCAGGAAAGAAATTTCTATCACTTCCAATGAAATGAAAGAATTGGACAGCCAAGGTCCTTTGAAGAGGACGATGACGACGACGACGATGAATTATTAGTAGTCGTCGACTTTGGGTTCAACAACATGATTCGAAAGAGTCTTCAAATGTCCAAAACTTGGTAACAGTATTGTGAACTCTTAACACTCAAAATTGATCAATTACCCAAATGAATAGTTGAAATTCAAGTTTATATATTTCACCACCATCATCGTTACCACCACCACCACTCACTCTTACTCATACTCACACTCATTCCAATTCATTCTTTTGCAAATCCACTCCACAATAATACTTGCAATAATCATAGAGAATTTTCGCTAAATAATTATTAGCAAAAGAAGGCATGGCATAACCCTTCTCTTTTGCTTCTCGAATGGCCTTTAAAATTCCATGATAATTATCGAGACACAACTTCTTGGCAGAGAGTGGATTGGTAAAGATAATCTTCTTATTTAGGAAACCTCCCAAGTTCGATGTTCGAGCTTCGACATAGCGTGTTCGATTCTTATCGACCATCATGGAAATTCGACTTCCAACAAAGGGACACTTGATCAAGTCTTTGATTTCCTCCGTCTTGACAAAATCACTCGATTTGAACAGAAAGGCATTTTCGACCATCTTGTCACCTAAAAATTGAGATTTGCTCGAAAAGACAAATTGAACACCTCGCAATGAAAACATTGGACCAAAATCGAATTTAGCAGTCATTAAGGCACCTGGATACTTTTGAGTGCTACTCGAAGCGTTGATGGGCGTGTAGTAGTGCCACTCCACGTTTTTGAAACAGTATTCGAGATGAGAGTCGTAGTGAGTGGATTTGACCACTTGTCCCAACGGGTGATCAAGGTAGCCAATGATTTTGGAATTTCTCAATTCCAAATTTCCGACCGAGTGATCTTCGTCGGAATTCCATTGAATGACATTTGGCATGTTTGAATAGGTCACATACCAATCATTGGTATGTTCATGACACATCCAATTGGTAAAGGTCCAATCAGAATCAATCACATGTTTGATATTCAAATCTTCATCCTTAAACTTGAACTCTCGAAAGGCCTTTTCATTCTTTTCCTTCTTTTTTTTATAAATCTCTAACACATATTTTGGAATGCAATGATTCTTAATTCCTCTTTCAAACCACTTCTTCATCTTTTTTCTCTGTTTGTATTCAAAGAGAGAAAACCAATCTCCAAGTTCAATCAAGAACATGTGACACAATAATTTGATTTCATCCAACAAACCCGCTGTTTGAGATGAACAATCATTTGAATGATGTGGAATTGAACTTCTTGGAGAAGGATTCGATGAAATATTAGAACTATTCGAAACTGCCACATCGTCACTGTTCAACAAGACCAATCGAGGTTGTTCACACTTGATCATTTGTTCTTCTAAAAAGTCTTTTAAATATTCATGTTTGAAGAGTTGTTGCTTTTTGAGTAAGGATGGTAAATATTTCAAATAGAACCATTGATAAGAATTTCCATGTTTTTGTAAGGCTTCATTTCTTAACTTTTCAAATTCCACAATTTCGAATGGAAGTTTCAAATGAACCAAAGCTCGACAGAACACATCCAGTCGAATGTAGACATCTTCGACTGTTTTGAACACTTTGGAAGGAACTTTTTCAAGAACGGGATCATAGAACAATTCCACGAACATCATTTTGATTTCCATTTCACTTGCCAATTTGGCAGTGTCTTCGACAAAGGTCAAAAATCGATTTTTCATATAGTCAATCCATTGAAGTTGCATTTCTTCGCTCAGTTGAGAAGTGGATTTGAGTGGTTCGTCTTGACATTTGCCATTCGTATTATTTGGATTGGGCATGAACGAAGAGTTGGAAGAACCAAATAAAGAACTCGATGAAGAATTCAAACTGGTCGATCCAGTCCTCATTGCTTGTTGATCATTCAAAGCTCCAGAAGCGCTCGCACTCGAAGTTCTTTCAGAATTTGTTGCTGTTGATGGAGGAAACAAAATTCCAGAAGAAGAATCATACACAAGCGCTTGTGTGGAATTTTCTGAACATTCACTCAAACATTCACAATAACCATTCATTGATTGTTGACTCCAATGATAAAAATCTTGAGAGTAACATTCTCGATCTTGAATCGTCATGGAATAATGAGAGCCAGGAGAAGTGACATTTAAAAAGTTGTTGTTATTGACTTGTCCTCCATTTGAAGAAGAAGATGAACTGCCGGTCGATTGAGGTGAACCTGAACCAAAGGGGTTGTTATTGTTATTGAAGGAAGCGTGTTTTCCACTACTGGAACCAACACTCGAGGGATGAAAATAGAGCAAGGTGTTGGCTGTGGAAGAATTTCCAGCCAAAATATGAATTTTTGGATTTAACAAAATGTTCACAGACAAACACACGACAGATATGGCGGTTTGATTGGATGAAGATTGTTTTCTGGGAGAATCTTTTTTAGAGGAAGAGGAGTGTTTATGGTTGTTACTATTGGAAGAAGAAAAAGGAGAGGTATTCTTTTTCATTATAAAAGTTCAAGAGTCGACAAGAAGAGAATGAACGATAAGCGGGGGAGAGAAAAGTGATAATTAAACAAGTGAGAATGATGACTCTGAAACTCTATGAATTTAGAAGAAACGAGGTTGTAAAGAGAATTGAATGCAACAACTAGTGAGAGATCTCTCTGATAATAATAATGATACAATTGAATTCAGGAACAACAATGAGAGAAGAATAGAGAAGATCAGTTGATCTTTTGATGATCTTATCAGACAAACGTTTGTTGTGATTTTTTTAGATGGTTGTTATTGTTTAGGTGTCTTCAAGAACAAGTTGGTTCTGAAATTGTCATGTTTCTGTAAAAGTGCACATGAAAAAGTCACTTGTCGCGAAATTCCTTTCATTCCATGGGTCTCTACATGAGTGGCAGTAGTATCATTATAGTCTTTGCACAGTGTCTCAATGATTATTGTAGTTGGAACTTTTTTGGAGCTGTCATGGAATGCACCAAGGTTGGTTTGTTTTTGGAATCCCTTGTTTCATAAATGTCAAGATGCAAGATATGGTCATTCATAATAAAAGTTTTTCATGCACGTTGATTTGAAAAATCTCTCGGCACCGTTCAGTGATGAGAAGAATATTTGTGATCTTACAGTCAGCCATCAAAGTTTTCAGCAAACAAAGCTATTCGAGACGTTTAATGAACTCCGTACCATAAATCAAACAAAGAATCCTCAAATGCGTCACACATTGATTTCATCATAAGAACTCTGTCACATTCCTTCAATATCAATCCACTATTTCAAGAAGAACATCTCGAGTAATATATTCTCAGAAAGTTGCATGATTCAAATGGTCTCATGTGGACATCCTCATGCACTTGTCATTTTGAATCCAGCTCATGATCAATCAGTAAAGTATCAATTTTCACACAACACCGATACTGGTGAGTATTGAAGCTTGCCACCATCACCACCGTGGTGAGATCAGAAGGTGTGTCTGGATCGAATCTCATTTGATCTCTACTGTTGTTAATCGAGATCAAATGAGATTTGATCTGAATGAAAGGTTCAGAAGATTGTTTATCATCATATTGATCACTAATTGAAAATCGGTGTTGTGTGAAAATTGATACTTTACTGATTCCGATCATCATCAATTTTTAGCAATCAAGAATATTTGATCATCATCAAATAATCCATTATTGATGATGACTCCGAGATCATGTCGACTCACACACTTTTCAATGATGATAGTGTACAATCAATTCAAGGCCTATTGTTCCTTCACTGGAGGCTCATGAGTCTCCTTGGTTTCAACGTGCTTGAGTTGAACATGGGAATGCAACAATTCGTTTTGCAAATTCTTCTTCTTCTCACCAGTTTCCTTCTTGGCCTCTTGAAGCTTTTCAAACTCCTTTTCCTTTTCTTTCAATTCATCAAACACTGCTCCTTTCATCTTTTCCTTTTGTTCCTTCTTTGCTTCTTGAGTCTTTTCAAATTCCTTCTCCTTTTCCTTGAGTTCATCGAACACTGATCCTTTCATCTTTTCCTTCTGCTCCTTCTTGGCTTCTTGAGTCTTTTCAAACTCCTTTTCCTTTTCTTTCAATTCATCAAACACTGCTCCTTTCATCTTTTCCTTTTGTTCCTTCTTGGCTTCTTGAGTCTTTTCAAATTCCTTCTCCTTCTTCAAGACTTCATCAAGGACAGCTTGTGGAACGTGGTGTTGTTGTTCGGTAGACATGTTGTTGATCAGGTGGTCGTAATGAGAGAGAGATATGATGAGTTTTTTTTTTGATCTTAAGCTCTGTGAGAGTGTATGCAATGATTAGGATTGATTGATAATGGATGAATACAACAACGGTGGTCTGACTTGACTGTCCCTCAAGCAAAATCCAATGGCGATCCTTCAACAGACCCTAACAAAGACAATCTCTGAAGTGTGATTTGGTTGACAACTTGTAGCAAGCGATTGGTCAAGTGTTTTTGATTGTCAATCAAGTGCACAAAAAAATAATGATTGGTGATGCCTTTGAAACAAAACAAAGTCAACTCGAAATATTCACCATTGATCAGAAACAACTCACATTTATTTACTTTCGTATTCTTCCTGCTTTGTTGCTAAAACCTTTGCTAAAAACATGAAATTCTTGTCTGTTTTTTCCTCTTCAATCTTTGCTTTCAACTTCACAATTTCATCAAACACAGAGCGTCCATGTCGTGTTTTAAGTAAGGCAGAAACAATGTAGGGTGCCTTCTTTTCGAAAATGTATTGCTTGCATTTACCCCTCACAACCTCAAAGATCATGTCACAAAAACCTCCCTCCTTACTCTCCATAATTGCATACGAAAGGGTGGTTTTAGTGAGAGCATTAGAGAAATCAATCGTGGTCTTTTGAATGAGATCTTGCAATTTTTTGGCAACATTTTCAAAGTCCTTATTTTCTGGATAGAGAATGGCTGCTTCCTTTAAGATGCTATGTCCATGTTGATTGGTCAATAATTCATTCATATTCTCACAAATGGCAGTCGCAAGAGAAGGTCCAAAAGAAAGCAGAAGCTCATGTCGAATCTTTTCTGCTCCCTTCTTACTGACAACTCCATCCTTCAATAGCTCCTTTCTAAGCTCCAAATGATCGAATAATTTAATACCCTCGCTGTTGCACAGACACTTGGAATTTCCCGTTAGAAGGTAGAGAATTGGTCGACTCGCTTGAGCATGAATGAATAACTCAGGTAAGATTTTTCTGAAATGTTTCAAAATTTTCTGGTTCAGTAAAACAGTATCGTCAATGCATTTGAACAAGTACGAAATAACCACCGATCCAAAGTTGTCCTGAGCAGCCAAAACAGCCAATGAATTGTGGGGATCATTGTTAATGAGGTCGTCCTCTTTGGATTTGTCTTCTGTAGCATTTTCAGCCTCTCCAGCAGCATTGGCTTCCTCTGCAGATGCAACATCGACTTTGGATCGTGATAATGATCTCACAATCATCTTTCTTTCCTTTTCGTTGGCGTATGAAATACAGAGAAGAGAAATTTTACAACCGAGCAATGTATGAAGAATGAGAGGGATGGCATTGCATTCAATCAAGTCGTAGAGTGTGAATCTGACATGGGAGCTTTCACCACATTCAAAAATGTCAATGATAAGTTTTTGAACAATGGTCAAGTCAATCAATCTCTTTTGAATTGCTGTTTGAACAATAGAATTCAGCTCTGAAACGATGACTGATTTTGCTCCTTCCCTATTTGAAGATATTGAGTCCTTAAGTGAATCGTTCATCTTACTTTCTTCTGTTGTCCATAAAAATTCTGATCCATAAAATTCTTGAACGAAAAATCTCTTCTCAGTATAATTCCATAGCCGAGTGTAGCAATAGTCAAGAACTTCACCAGAGAATCGTTGTTGAATCATAGTCTTCATATTTCCAAAGAATACTTCCTTGTAGAATTCTAATCTTTCCTTATCATCCTTAATCTTTAGAGCATGATATTTCATAACCTTCTTGACCAATTGGTGTCCATAAATGTTGCTTGACAAGACACGAAGATCATTCTTAATTTCATCAACTACCAATTTTCGTTGTGAATCAGTACCATACTTGAGAATAGCTTGCAATAAACGACTCATATCAGAACGTAATGAAACACTGCTAATGCTTCCTTGGAGATGATGAAGCACCTCTTCTAGAATATCTGTTTTTTGCTTTCTCTTCTTTTTGCCCAATTTGAGAAATTCATCAAGTGCTCTCTTTGCCATCACATTACTATCTTCCTTGTATTTTCGTTTTTTATATTCAGCAATTCCACCACTTCCTGACTTTCCAGAGTGAGAAGTACTTGTAGCTGCTTTTCCAGAATCCTCTCGTTCAGAGTGTAAACGTTTTACAGCCTCATTCTTCTTTTTGTTGTTGTACTTAGGGTTTCTTCCCGTGTTGTTATTTCCACTACCATCAGATTGATGTTGTTTATGTGATGATGATGCTGTCTTGGATGATTTATTTCTGAATTTTGAACCCGATGATGAAGAGGAAGATGAATTCTTTTTATGAGAGGGAGCGGCTGCCGAGTTGTTTTTGTTCATTTTTTTTCAACATCAACTTTTTATTTGAATTTCAACCACAGGCTCGCCAACGATCGATTATTTCCTTTCTAATAAGTTTGATTATGCTCATCTGTTTCAACTTAATATTAATCTTCAAGATAACTATACTAGATGAATCTAACATAGTCAAATTAAATTTGAAACCCAGAAAATTTTGAAAAGTTTTAGGTTTAATATGAAGCGACCTTTACAAATTCCTCTAAAATATTCCCGCAAAAAAATGAATAAGCGTAAAACAATTCTTGATGAGGAAACTATTTCCGTTTCATCCAACGACGATTTTTCGCATCATGATGCTAATTCCGAGAATGAAACAACCAATAATGTTGGTACTACTCCTCGTGATGCACACAATCCGAAGGCAAAGAAAACAAAAATCAGTCATAACGATTCATCAACTCCTAAAAAAGATGCAGCACAGAGTAGTTACCAAGAGAGAAGAACTTCTGCAAAATTATCAATGATCACCACCCATTCAAAACCTTCATCCGCAACAAAAGCCACAACAATGTCCTCACCTACATCATTTAAATCCACAGCAAGCACTCCGAAAACACCTACCAATCACAAGAACGTCACCAGCAAAATATCAAGCAGCAAGTCCTCCAAAGCAACTCCATCAAGCAGCAGCAGCAGCTCTCACCACGGGAAATCATCTACTAGTAGCAAAGAAGAAAAAACGCCAAAATCTTCCTCATCGGCGTCCAAAACAAGAACCACCAATTTGATCGACCTTTCTCCAACAAGTTCAGAAGAGGATCATGAAAACGACAATGAGAATACTGATAATAACTTAACAATTGGAGAAATAATTACTCCCCTAGTGGTAGAATTCTCTAAAAACAAAATTCATACCTATTTTCCATACAAATTTTCAACTATTGAGGATTTTGAGAAAGTGGTGAAATGCATTGAAGAAAAATATAATGAATCAAATATTTATGTGAAAGGACCTGATCTAAAAGTTATTAAGGACTGGCATGACCATTTAAAAAACCAAAAAACAATCATCGCTTCTAGGGTGGTTCGAAAAGAAAAAGCAAGAGATGACAACACTTTTAATATTGAACAAGAAGATAAAAATTTCAAAACAATCAACAGATTAATGAATAGACTCAGAAATATTCTTATTAACCATGAAAACCATGATACAACAGACATGTCTCGATTGACCTCTTGTATTAAAGAGCGAACGGAACGAAAAAAACTCGAACAAGAAGAGGAACGTCAGTTACAAAAAGAACACAATGACCTGCGCTCAAAATCTGAAGCGGAACAAAAGAAGTTTTTCATTAAGAGGGAAGGCCCAATACAAGGTCTCAAAGAGTACTATGAATGGTCATCGACTCTAGCATTGGGAGCGCATTTATCAACAATGGCCAACACGCACAACAAGCAATTTAGTGTAGTTGATAAATTGTCGCCGTTCGCTCCATCAGCCGATAATGATGAAGATGACATTTTGAATCAAGACATTCTCTAATATTGGCAAATTTGAATTCTCAATTTGTTTCATGGTCTTGCTTCAAAACACTTGCACTCGGGTTAACTTAATGTCAAGGATCCTTTACTGTTATCACACTCGTTGTGAATTTTCAAAAAGCTGTAAATAAAAGACCCTTGTGTGAGGTTGTAATATTTATTGGTGGTTGTGATTCGATTATGCAGGTGCGTAGCACTACCAGAGGGAAAAGAGCAGTGGAACGTCACTCATCTTAAAGCTTCTTATAGTTGACATCCATGAAATAATCGGCCTTTCTGCGCCATCTCATAAGTGGTTCTAAAGCAGCATCATGTAAGAAAACGGGTGTCATTCCCAAGTCCTCAAATCTCATTACATTTTCACCCTTCTCTTTCGGAAGAACTTGATCGAAACTCATTCTGATTGGTAAATCAGATGTCCATCCAGGAGTCCATGTATATTCATTGATTTTACCAACAATACTACCAATAAATTCTGGAATCATGAGCTTGCCACCTGGTTCTTCGTCAATAATCTTGGCAATAATGTCAACAAGTTCCGAGTAGGTGTATTGTCTTGGGCCTGCCAATTCCACAATCTTTCCAATAGTTCTACTATTTAACACTGCTCTAGCAACACCATGAGCAACATCTCCGACGAATACTGGTTGAACCTTGGCGAGACCTTTCTGTGTGAGAGGAACCATTGGGAAAATTCTAATTTGTTTAGCAATTAAATTCAAGAAGCTATCTTCAGTTCCGTAGGCATTTGCTGAACGAATAATTGTGGTTTGTTCAAAGTTAGACTTGGCTGCCTCTTCAGCGAGCGCCTTTTGTTTCCAATATTCAGACTCTGAGTTTTTATCAGCATTCAAAAAAGACATTTGGATGAACCTGTCAACATTAGTTTCTTTACAGGCTTTAGAAATAATTTCTGCTGATTCTACATTGGAGTTGTACATGGTTACATTGTCGAAAATTCTCTTATGATCGCGTCCAATGCAATTAACAACAACATTTGAACGAGCACAAATATCAAGAATTGAATCATATCTCTTGAGGTCAAATCTCATTGCAACCACTTGACCAACATCACCCATGACTCTATGATTCATCACTTCAAACTCACTTCTTCTGAAAGGAGTAATAACCTGATAACCGGCATCAGCCAAAGCTGCAACAATATATCTACCCACAAATCCAGTACATCCGAACACAGTAGCAACAGGATAATTTGTATGAGGATTAATACCGGCTGCTTGTCTGAATGTATCAACTTTTTGTCTACCAAATCTCTTCGTGATGATATTTGTTTTGATGGAAGAAATTTGTTGGAGTGATGATGAGGAAGCTTTACGCAACGATGAAGAAGAGGACGACGAAGATGAAAAGGCGTGGCTGGTAGATTTGATAATGTTCATTTTTTGGGGATTTACAAAAAAAATATATATTTTTTTCTTCTTCTCAACGCGTAAAGACATTTCTCTCGATACACAGCTGCGTGTCGAGAACAGAAGACTCAACACATGTACTCAACAAAGTCTCTCTGTTAACCAGAGGTCACCAAAGTTGACATAACCCCCATGCGAACAAACAGAAAGCATATTTTACGAAAGACAAGATGATTGAATAGAACAACTACTCTCGTCGACCAATTCCTTCTGCGTCTTACATCAACCTGTTGTACGACGTGGAGAGATTTCTATTTTGGAAATATTAATTGCTTTAAAAAAAACTGTAAAAAAACCTCCACGTACTAGTCCAACCTGCAGACTGAATCAAAAGAAGCCTCATCTCCTCATCGCCAGAGGCTGAATCACACAACGATTACTTTGTCGATAGATTACTTTGTATATTTAATCCAAATTCGCTTCAGCCCTGCGATATCCCTTTCAAGAGTTTCCAAAATTTCTTACTCTCATATTCAATAACAACCCTCAGAGAGCTCTCTCGAAACAGAACAAAATGGTCTACTTTTCCGATGGAAATGGACGAGATGGTTTCATCATCTTAGGTCCCCATGAGAAATATGGAGCCTATGGAAAAATTATTCGTGAAATTCAAAGCGATCAACAACAAGTACGACATAATGAAATGTGGGAACGACTGGATAGAAAGGTCAAAAATTCCTCTAGTTTGAGAGAGTCCCACTACCGTTTGGCGAGTGTCAACACCAATAAGGTGCATGGAGCACCTTCAGAAGTGGCCGACAAAAAGTACTATGACCAACATGGAAACAGACCAACATTGCTCAATCACCACACATCACCTTCCAACACCTCTTCGACTCTATTGCTGAAACGGAGAACTGTAACCGAGGTCATACTCTCAGAACCTCTCAAAATTCCGAATTACCAAGGTCACATCCCTGGCACCCATGATATTATTGGGGCAAGCCCTTACTCGAGAAAATTTAAAGAAAATCTTTTGAGCTCGCTCGACTATCATGCAAACACCATAGGCGGAGGGTTGAATGGATCTCTTTCTTTGCCATCTTTGAATAATAATAATAACAAACGATCGCAGAACTTGTCGGAAATGACCACTCTACCACTACCAGAACACCAAGAAGATGCGAATCCAACATGCCACCAAGAAACCAATGCATCCAATCCAAGACAGCAGTCAAATCAAAACAACAACAAACAAGAAACTTCCTTTCGAGTTTCACCCTCCACGAAATCCTTCTCAAAATTCGTTTCTCCAGTGAGAATTCGTAAAGAGAATCGTCATGCTTCGTCATATTCTGGACATGTGCCGTCCTCTACACAGGTCAACCAAGTATTCAATGCCTCTCACAAGTACTAACTAGGTGGTATATATGGACTCACTGTTGAACCCCTTTGAAATAAAAGTTTCAAGTCTTTCACATGAGAAACGATTGGTAGTAGTATGTGGCCCAACATCGTTGTTGTTTGTGGGTGATATCTGCAAGCCAAAAAAAGAAGCAGTGCCAATTCAATCGCTGGAATTGTAACGACAACACACAATTCTCAAAAAAATTTTCATTTTTTCAATCCAGCCGAAAACGGTCTGACGCAGATCTTGTTGTGTTTTTACACCACCACTCTGAAACTAGTCGAAAATGGATATGCGTGGATTGTCTGTGTTTATTTCCGACATTAGAAAATGTTTGTATCGATTTTGAAATGTATTGATTAACATTTATTTTTCTTGTTGTTGGAATACTCGTCATCCTGATGAATGTTCAATAACAATAATAATTATTATCATAACTCACTTCTCAACAATGATGATACAACATCAATAATAATAACACAACAATCACTGACAAATTGGCCAATCATTATCATCATCATCATACAAAACCTTCCTCTTCTCCTGATACAACCCAACAGCAACCACAAAGGAAGAAGAACAATCCAAAGTGGAAAAAGAATTGGCCAAGATCAGAGGTAAATTCAAGAACGGAGCTTCTCTCAAAGGATATGATCGTAAGAAATATATCTGTAAATTGCTCTATATTTACATGCTCGGCTATGAAATTGAGTTCGGCCACATTGAAGCAGTGAATTTGTTGGCTTCACCAAATTACTCTGAGAAACATATGGGATATCTTGCTTGTTCATTGTTGTTGAATGAGAACCACGAAATGGTTACACTCATTACACAATGTATGAAAAACGATTTGAATAGCAAGAATCCAAATGATCAATGTTTGGCTCTCACTGCCATTGCCAACATTGGTGGTAAAGAACAAGCAGAAGCTCTCGCTCAAGATGTACAAAAATTGCTCATCTCCAACGAAACAAAACTGACTGTGAGAAAGAAGGCCGCTCTCACTCTCTTGAACTTGTACAGAAAATACCCAGAAAGTTTACCACCAGATGCTTGGTCCGAGAAGGTCATTGCTCTTATCAATGGAAGAGATCTTGGTGTTATTACAAGCGTAATGAGTTTGATTTTAGGTCTCGCAGAAAAGAATCCAGATGCCTATCACGATGCTGTCTCAAAGACTGCTCGTCTCTTGATGAAGTTGGTGTTAAATAGAGAGTATTCTACCTCATATTTGTACTACAAGATTGCAGCTCCCTGGTTGCAAGTCAAGGCATTCCAATTGCTTCAATATTATCCAGCACCAGAGGATAAGGCAATTTATGATTCAATCATTCAAGCTATTGAAAAAGTTGTTCAAATCGCAAAGAAATCAAAGGAAACAGCATCAAAGAGTGTGAGTCAAATCAATGCTGCACACAGCGTTCTCTTTGAAGCTTTGAATGTTGCTATTCACTATGATTCTGCAAAAACAATTTTGGTTACATCGTGTGGCATGTTGACAAAATATTTAAAGGATAGAGAGACAAATTTACGTTATTTGGCTCTTGACACTCTCTCACGTATGGCCTATTCTCAATTCGATGAAGTTTTGGCTACAATTAGAAAGGAACAAGATACAATTTTGCTTGCTTTGAAGGATCCTGACATCAGTATCAGAAGAAGAGCTCTCGACTTGTTGTACAGCATGTGTAATAGAGATAATGCTGGAGAAATTGTTGGTGAATTGTTGAACTATTTACCACTTTCTGATTATGCTATTAGAGAAGAGTTAGTTTTGAAGATTGCTATCTTGGCTGAAAAGTTCTCTGTTGACCTTACTTGGTATGTCGATGTTGTTCTCAACTTGATTTCCCAAGCTGGAGACTTTGTTGCTGACGACATTTGGCACAGAGTCATTCAGATTGTTACCAATAAGGGAGAGGAATTGCAAAAATATACTGCTCAAACAGTTTTCAGTGCAGTTTCATCACCTGCAGCTCATGAAACATGCGTCAAGGTTGCAGGGTATATCTTTGGTGAATTTGGTGACTTGATTGATGAGAACCCACAAACCGATTCCAATGCTCAATACGAATTGTTGTTGTCCAAGTTTAACTTGTGCACAACTGTCACCAAGTGTCATCTCTTTAACGCTTTCATGAAATTGTACAATTTATATCCAGACAACCAAACTCTCCGTGCTCAAATTAAGGACATTTTCGAGAAACATACCAATTCGTTCGATGCCGAGTTGCAACAACGTGCTGCTGAATATCTTGCCCTCATCAATACTGGTGACGAAAACTTGATTCAAGCAGTCATGGAAAATATGCCAATGTATCCAGAACGTGACTCCCAAGTCATTAAGAGATTGATGGAAAAGGAAGCAGCCAAGAAGCGTGGTGCTGGTGCTGGTCAAAAGGGAGAAAATGGGGAAGAGGAAGAAGAAGAAGAAACTCAAGAAACAAAACCTGTTCCAGCTAAACAATCTGACGACTTGTTGGACATGCTTGACATGGGTGTCCCTACTAACACAGGTAACACAGCAGGATATGACATGAACGATATTCTTTCAGGTTTTGGCACAAACGTCTCTCAACCACCACAACAACAAACACAAAGCATTGACGACATTTTGGGAGGATTTGGTCCAACCACTACCACCACCCAACCACCACCAGTCAACACTGGTGATATTTTTGGAGGAGTCAATATTGCTGCTCAAGCTGCAAATCTCGGTAAGCAAAAGAAGGAACAACGAGATCAAACCGGTTTCAACTTTGATGATGTCGTAATGGCTAATAAGGACAATGCTCTCGAACAAAATGAGCAAGTTCACCAAGACGCTGCAGTTAAGCATCAACAATTGTTAAAGTCTACAGAGGGTGTTGCTATTGAAGATGAACACTTGCAAGTCAAGATTAAGACTGAATACCACGGTTGCAAGGGAAGAATTATCCTTCTCTATGGTAACAAGACTACAAATCCATTAACTCAATTCCGAGTTCATATTCTTGTTCCAAAAGAATTGGAAGCTCAAATTTCTAAGCCTCCACCAATGATTTCTCCAAAGACACAAGTTCAACAATATGTTGACATTGTTGCTAAGGCTCCATTCAGCCAATTGACCGATTTAGATTTATACTTTGAGGCCAATCGTAGATATTATAGATTTAACATCAAGCTTCCAATTGTACCTCACAAATTCATGGAACCTTACACAATTGCCGATGCTGATTCATTCTTCAGACAATGGCACCAAATTCCAAAAGATTCTCCACAAGAACAACAAAAGATCTTCCCATGCACACCTAAATATGCTGACTCAACTTTATGTGCTAAGGTTTTGTCAGAGGGCTTCAATTTTGCAATTTTACAAGGAATTGACAACCCAAGCAATGTAGTTGCTGCTGCTTCATTCTTCTATGATCCTGTGGGTAAAGTCAATGTATTGTTACGTCTCGAATACAATGCTCAAAGACAAGCATTTAGATTGACCGTTAAGGCTGCTGATGCTACCATTGCTAACCAAGTATTCCAATATGTCTTACAAGAACTCACATCCCAATAATTTAACTAGCCCGTGCTTTTGCAGTAGTTGATACAATGTTGTCTCTTCATACAGTAAATTGAAATTATTTCTAAGTTCTATGATTATTCATTGAAGGTGGATCTTGTTTGTGAACAACTGGAAAGGGCATTCACATGACTTGGTTTTCGACTCGGACAGTGGAGTCAAGTTGCTTCTCCACATGAAGAATGCCACTCCGTAATAATCGATTCGATTCTGATCACAAACTACACAAGAGATGAATTTTTACTCGAATGGTTGAAGGGTGATGAAACGCCACACAATGAAGTGACCTCACCTCGACTTCTCTCTTACAACACTGTATTGAAAATAGACAATTCATGTTGCAACTTGTCTACAAATTCATAACCTTTTTTCACATCACCCTCCTCCACGTTCGTTGGTTCAATATTCTCCAAGTTAGTAGAAACTGGAACTTGATTATCGACCGCAGTTTTTTCTTCTCTCACATCGACATTGACATTTTGAGAAGTCGAAACCTCTTCTCCTTCCTTGACACCACCACCAGCACCACCACTTGGACCACCAACTACCTCTTGTGTCATTTCCGTCTGTCCTCCCGTAATGACTCCTCCCAAACTCTTCTTATCCACCAAATGTTTCAACTGCTTGATATCCATTCCATTCAATTCTTCCACCAATTCCTTAATTCGGTTAAAACTATATTTTCCAGACACCACTCGATAAGTCTTTCTTTCTTCACTTGTCAAGACGTATTGCAAGACATCTTCAATCACTTGCAACAAGTATTCACATTTCAGGATAATTTTTTCTTCACGTTTTCGATGATGAACATTTTCCTCAACGGCCTCATTGAAATGTTGAACCATGGATTCCAATTCACTCCACAATTCGACCAATTTAAGCAAGATACGATCAGCCACCGAGTGGATATGATGCAAATTTCCACCTGTAATACCTCCTTCTTTCACAGGAATGTATTTTTCAGTGTGTGCATGTTCGTAACGGAGATGATTGTTGGCTCCGATTTTGGATTGATTGAGATGACGATAGAGATCGACCATGGTGAGAACACGATGAATCAATGAATGGTTGGAATGAAAGTTGTTGTTGTTGTTATGGTTGGTTTCTATGGAATAAAAATGTTCACAAAAAGAAGACTTGAAAAGTGTTTTTTTGTGTGTGAGGATGGAAAAAGAAATTATTTTAAGAGAGTGATTCGGTGTGTGATCATTGAATGAGGTAGTGGTGTTGAGAGGATTTAATTGGAGAGTGTGAAAACTTTTGTTTTATTTCCTAATGTAGACTTTTAGCTAAAAGTCTACATTAGGAAATAAACCTTAAATGTTTTAGAGTGACCGTACAGGGTGTGGAAGTGTATTGTTAAGGTCAAGAGATTATTACGTTTTATTGTATCTCTTGTAAAAAGGTTTTTATTGAGGAACGTTGTATCTCTCAATGTTCAAAGTTCCTTCAGGACTGTCACTCATCAAAAAAAATAGCTCACCAATGTCTTCCAGAGAACCTTCTGCCAATCAGCAACACTTTCTCTCGTTCAAAACGAATTTCTTTTCATCGGAACTTCAACGACCCTTCTCATGGCCACGTTTCCTCCTTATCGGATCTTGTGGAATTGCATCCACTGCATTCCTCTTTTGGAAATACTTTTTAAAGTCACTGTCTACCAACAAGAAGGAAACACCATCATCAAATGACCAACTTGTTCAACTTCCTCATGATCATCATTCATTCACCACCAACGAAGAGCTCATTCAACATTTAAAGAATTCCATAAATCTTTCTCCAATTTTGGAAAACATTTTCAGAACTACTGACCGAGGAAAATATGCCATCGATTTCGAATTGGAAAAGAAAGATTTCGAATTGGTTCGACCTTATGCAGATGCTGCGATGCCTCTTCGATGCAACGCCACTATTTCTGCTCCTCACATACATGTCACTTGTCTTAATGCAGTTTTGGATGTTTTTGAAAATGTTCGAAAAGATCGGTCATCATCCTATCGATCGATTTCATGTTTGGATATTGGAAGTGGAAGTGGATTTGTGAGTACTGCTTTGTGTCACTTGTCAGAATATTTTGATTTGACAGAGGGTTCAAAAATTTTAGCCATTGATCACATGCAAGAATTGGTCAATTTAGGACAAGAGAATGTCGAGAAGGATGAACGATCCAGAAAGTTCTTAACTAATTCTTCAGGAATTCACTTGGTGTTCAAAAAAGGAGATGGTTACGATTCAGAAAATATTCGACAACTTTTTCACGAAGCATTCTCCTCAAATGAACACCATCCAACACTAGATCCTTCCATGTCTCATTCATTGTCCATTCTTCTTCACAGTTCTGAGACACCTCTCTTTGATGTCATTCATGTCGGAGCTGCCTCTCCAACTCTTCCCAAACATCTCTATTCACTTCTCAAACCAAATGGAAGATTGATTTGCCCAGTCGGTCCTTCGAATGGCACTCAAGAATTACTTTGCGTTGTCAAGTCTGTGAAAGCTCTTAAAAAACATTCGCGAATGGAAAATTCAGAATTCTCGGGTACTCCAAACGACACAATGAATGTGGTACAACAAGAATCAATTCCAATGGAAACTCAAATGTTGGTTCAAAGTATGACCAAAGTTCATTTCGTTCCATTGTTTTCGAGTGAGAAGGAACAAGAAAGACATTTGAATCGATCGAATCCAAAAGTCGTGTCGAATCCACAAACTGGTGAGAAATTTATTGTCTTGCCATATGTTCATTTCTGTGCTCATGACGAATCGAACACCATTACAAGTCTAAAAGACATTCAATGGGAAGGAGATGCTGAATGATCATTCAAGAAGAAATCAATAAAAACAAATTGCTATATTTGTGTCACATATTTCTGGAAACATCCCAAAAGAACCCAATCATGGATCTGTAGAGGTGAATGTAGTCATGCTAATTAAGCCAAATGCCAAGTTTCCCACACGGTGTCCTCTTCCTCCCCGCAAGGGAAAGGAGAAGCACACGATGCTTTCCACTTGACGATTGTGACCTAGGCGATCTTGTAAAAACTTTCTTCATTTCCATCTCTTGAGTCGGAATGTATAGAAAGAAACAAGGTTGAAATCGAATTATCTCTACTCGTTTGTGGTTTTATTTTAATAAAAAATTTTCATTGAAGAATAAGAGTCTTGCTCAAACTGCGTGTGTAATGTTCGAAACCACTTTGGCAGATAATATTCAGTGACCGAAACTTAAATGAGAATATAACGTCATCAACTTGTATTATGGACACTTTAAATCATCATTATTCATCCACTACTGAATGTGAGTCTTTATGGAAGGTTCTTGTTTGGAGTTTCATTTTATTCGCCATTGTGGTTTCATTAAATATATTTAAATGAGGAAGTAGTGAAAAGTGGAGAATACTAAACCCAAATTGAATTCATCTCGAGAGTTTGGTAGCTTTGTATGGTCACTACGGATATAGTTTCATTCTCATTACCATTTGGGCCATTTTGAAGATTTCACATGTTCTTGCCGCAGTTCTTCGAGATCCTCTCTCAATTCTTGAATGACTTGAGGATTGGAGTTGACCACCATATAGACATATTGTCTCATGACGCCTGTCTCTGGATCAATAGAGGTGATCTTGTCTTGTTTCATTCGCTCTGAAATGTTTTGTTGAGCTCCAAAATCTCCAGCTACTGCTCTCTGTTTTGCTTGATTGGCATTAAAGTGTAGAAATTTCAATGCATAACGTTGAGTCATATCGTGACGATTCAATAAAAAGCTCTTCCAGAAAAATCCAGCAAGCGGCATGTGTACTTTAAATTCTAAAGCATTATCAAGAATTAAATTACGAAAATCTGTAATCTTGTCAATAACTTGTCCTCGATCATCGTACAATATTAATACCTTCTTCTTGGAATCATATTCTAATTTTGTTAATACGAGTGGAATGTGATTAATATTATGTACATGTGAAGAGTAACTCAAATAGCTGCTTCCCATCAACCACAACAATGCCAAAAACCAATTTACATCAATATCATATTCATAGATTGTATAGAATAGTCCCGAAGTAATTAGTGCATTATAGAGATGAGTCTTATTTCTTTGGTAAGGTTGAATGAGAAAGCGATGAATGAAATGGGGATATTTGGAATTGTACAGAATCAATGGAGAGGAGCCTTCCAAGGAGGAGGAAAACGAAGGATCATCTTGATCCGATGATTTCTTCATGATCGGTTGTTGTTGTTTTCCTTCCTGATAGTTTGAATTGGAATTCCTCGTAACATGATAATGATAATTGGAAAAATTTCTAAACTGCTGATGATGATTGTTGTTAGTGATGATGGAATTGAATCCTCCTGATTTGAAGAAGGAGGAAAGATCTCTAACCAGTCCCGTGTTCGTGAGATTTTTCAAACAAGTATGATAATACTTGACATGGGAATGACAAATCATCATACTTAAAGAGGTACAAAATAATCGGAACACTCCTTGCTTGAGAAGATGATGATCATACGAAGGAATTATCGTACGATCCAACTTCTGCTGACCACCAAAGAATGCACTCGAAATTCTCTTCACGGAGCTGAAGGATGAAAGGATTGATTTTTTCATTTTTTTAAAATTGATTCAGCTGCCCGCATATGGCCGAGTGGCTTTTCTGGAACTGTGGCAGCCAACTGGTCCAGCGTTCGAATCCCAGGGGTTGCTGCTGTTATCGTGAGCAGTTTAAACACCTTTACTTCCGGGGTGCCTGCTAGGAAGTCACTACGTATCTTAGTTCGGCTTGTAAATAATGTACATAAAACCATCGAACAACGTTTATCATCGAATAAACCCATCCCTGAATTTTTTTAAAATTGATTCATCATTTAACAAGGTTGTTAGTATTTGATTAATTGATTGATGATTAAAATTTTGATTGAATTCCACAACGGTCGGCTTTATTGGAGTCTTGAATAATTCCTTAGTATGAGACAATCAAAAAGTTCTCTTGAATGGTGGAATTAGAAGTATTTTGAAATTAAAAAAAAATGAAATCATCAAAGATAAAGCCGCCTTTGCTTTCTTCTTCATCGGAATTGAATCATCATGATGGAAATAACAACAGTGGTAAACATACAAGCTCTTCTTCTATATCATCACTTGTAAAATTGATCGGAAGTCAAAAAGAAAGAAGAAAAAGGCTCAAGATGAGTAGTTCTTATTTGCTGGATGAAACTCATCGGGATGGGTTTTTGAGCACTTCTCCGAGAAATTCCATGCATCATCAAGACAATAATAGCAGCATGATCAACGATGTCAGCATGATTTCAATTAGTGCTAGTACGAATGGAACAACTCCTAGCATCACACATCAATTATTAGATAATATTTTGAAAGAAGAGGATGAGATGTTATCATCACAAGAACATCACTGCCACAATTTGATGGAAAAACTCATGGACCAATTTTCAACAGTATCCATTTCATTGTTTCATAGGATCATAAAGGAACATTCAACTCATCACAACAGCTCTTTTCATCCTTTCCCGAATGATATCCGATCAAAATTTGTACATATTTTAGAAAGAGATGTTATGAACATGTTCGTCCTTCAATACGAATATACACTCAAAAAGAATATTCCGAGTGTTTTGTCATTGTTTCTGGCTTTTCATATTTATTTAATTCAAGAGATTGCTCTATGTTTTACGAAATTTGCGAATTTTGATAACATTTTCGTGGGTGATTTGTCACTCTTAACAAATCTTCCAAGAAAGATCAAAATTGTTGCATCAGCTCCAACAACTTACACAACATCGACGGAACAGAATATCTTTGATTTTTATATGCATTTTTTACTTGATTTCATCTCTTCAGAACTAGTTCACAATATTTCCATTCCTCTATCTCCACTCTGTACAAATTTTGACAGATTGACCTTTTTAAAATTATTGACAAGCCCATCGACGCTGTTGGTGAGCTCATTGCTTCGGCAATTTGAAAAGCTATTCAATCTCTCTTTTCAGAATCAATCCAAAATTATTTTAAATTATTCAACATTGCTATATATACACCAATCACAAATACTCTCAATACCAGACTATATTCTCTCATTAACAACTGAAAATGCTATTCAGTTATTGGCAGAACGATTGGTTTTTGAATATCATTTTTTGAATAATTCCAAGAACGGACAAGGTGATCCAAAATTGACAAATCAATTGGAATCCGTACAATATGAATGCTTATGGTGTTCAACATTTTTTGACAAGAAAAAAGATACATCTAAAGTATTGAAATTTCTTTCGACATTTAGATTTTGGAAAAATAAGGAAATTTTAAATGACACTTTTACGAAGTCATTAATTGTGTGGAATGAATTTGCAAAACATTCTATTGAGACACAGGAAAAACGAAATATTTATATCAAAACATATATACGGATGCTTAATGTGAGTCGAAAAATTATTGATCCATCTCTCTCTCAATCCTTCATTCTTACTGAGCTGGGTAATTTACTAAGAAAAGATTACACAACGAACAGCATTAATTGCTCGGTCTCTACCAATATTGCAATGACCCAAGACTTTGTTCAACTCCGGGATCCTCTCTCAAAAAGCGATGATCCAACCTTTGAGCAAGCTCAAAATGAAGTCTTCGATTGGTTTATAAACAGACTTCAAGAAACGACAGCCAATTCTGAGACCATTATTTCCTGTATTCGAGAAACACTCATTTCTCCACATGTACATTTACCAACGATTATTCCATTAATGGCCAAATTGATTCGAACTCACGAAAATAACATTCTTACACTGCTCGATGAAAGTCTTTGTAGGGCTATAGAATCAGAGGACATGTCACTTGCTCTGACCTGCTTAATAGTTGCACGTAATATCTATGCCATTCCAAAATATATCAAAACATCCTCCGCTCAGAAGCCAACTCTGGTGAACAATCAACATTTACCAACCATTGACCAATGGATGAAGGATCATTTGTTCATGTATCTTTCATCTGGTTCCAACAAAGTTATGGCTGGAGGAATTTCTCTTGAACGAAATGCAAAAAGTGCCTCTTTTGTGTGTAAATTAATTGATACCATCATACCATTGGAGAGCGCAACTTTTTTACACATTTATCAACGAGTGTTAAATGGAATTACTAATTCACGCCATGAAATTGTGTCTCTTTTAACCAACAAGTTGAAAAAACAACTTACTGAGATAACAGAAGAAACTATAACGACAGCCATGTCGAATTCTAATGAGGATAGCGCCTATTTTGAAGTGAAAAACATTCTCGAAGAATACGAAAAACTTGGAGATGAAATATTCAACAAAAATACTCAAAAGAAGGGGAATTCTTCAGCTCCACCTCTCGTATACTATCCGCTCATGAAAAAGAATCGATGGTGCAGTATCATTGTACCCGAGCTGTTAGCATTTAGCTTTCGCAAAGAAGGACGAGATGACATTGAATTTGAAAAGTCTAAAAGAAAATATGACAAGCTGAAATTTGCACTACTTTCATCGTTGCGAAATAGAAAAATGATTCCAGAAGAAATGGTAGCAAAAGAAAATGAAAACACAGAAATATCTGAAAAGGAATCACTCAATTGTAGCATTCAGGAAAAGATTACACGTCTAGAGGGATGTCTCTCTCGTGTCACAGTAGAAATTGAACATCAAATGAGAAAACATTCAGGGCTATTGAAAATTGAACCTATTTGTGGAATTTTTTGTGAAGCGCATATTCTCATTTTGGAAATTCTGAAAGATTGCGAAAAAGAAGAATCGAAACGACAACAAGCTATTGCAAAAAATATGATCCAAATATCGTTGCAAACTTTCTACGATTGTTGTTCCTTAACAAGTGGAAATCCTTCCCAGACAAATGCACTTTCAGAAGATGTCAAACAAAGTCATCTAGATTGGGTGGTGCTTTTCAAGGTTGGAATTTTAATTCCATTAGCTGATTTCTCTTCGATATTTCATCAAAGCATAGCTGAATGTTTGAAGATTTACCTTTCATCTGCCTCTGATTCACAAAATCCCAGCACAGACATGTGCTACATGCTTTCCACTCTTATTGCTTCGTTGTCCCTCATTTCTACGAACGAGGTCACGATTATTCGAGAATTTATTGAGACAATATTGAACAATGAACAGCACCGTCCGTATGCCTTTACAATCCAAGATGCTATTCAAAAGAGATACAAATTATTACATTTATGTTTTGAAATTGATTTAATTCCTTCTTGCTTTTCTGACGCTATCCAAATTTCACAACTTATTTTGGCAACTTTGGAAGCAATAACTATTTTTGAAAGGTACAACTCTGGATTTGGAGAAGCACACAACATGTTTGAAATTTTAGATGATGACATTTTGGAAGAAACGTTTAAGATTCTTATTGAAAGAAATTTGGAAAACACTTTGCTATCAGAAAATCATTTTTACTGCCTATTCCCATCTAGGGTAATTCAATTTTTTGTTTGGATTGTTTCAAGATACTATCAATTATTTTTCATGGTAGAGAGCACGCAATACTCAACGTTATTTCCTTCTCTCTTTTCGAAGCTATTGAAAACGCGTAAAACTACAAACTCAACACAAGAGACAAAACAAGAAAATATGTTATTGGATCAAGTTAATGCAATTATTCAAGCACTTTCCACCAATGATAGTATTCCAAAATTTTTTGAAAAAACAAAAGAGTTGACATTCGATCAATGGCTTCGACTGGAATTATCAATCATTCAAGAAGACAATCTCTCTCTTGACCTATACTATAAGCAACATTTATTGAACTATTTATCGCAAATATCATCTCAAAGCCAAAACTCAAAAACATTTGTGATCTCTCAATTTCTTTCAATCATTGCACGAGAAATACTCTTGACCTCATCATCAACAAGAACCATTGCAAAAACATACATGGTGAATGCTGCCTCAAGCTTAATACCAAAATTTTTCGTTGTTTCGAGTCAAGACGATGAAAACTTTAACCAATTATTATCTCCATTTTGGTTACTTGAAATACTTTTGAATTTACTTCATCACAGTCAATCAAAGAACAAGAGAAGTATTGTGCGTGATTTTACAATACTACTTCAACACGTAGATCCCATAATATTTATCATTGGAAGATATTCTCTCCCAAACTCAGCAAAACTGAACACCAAAACGATCTGTGGCAACAAATTAATAACATGGCTTGAGGAAATATTGATGAAACTTACGTTGAACATTCTTCATCCACTCAATTCCATTCATCCATGGCCAACCGAGTTTACATCAAAGATTTTAGAAGGATTATTGTTCTTGGCGTTGTTGTGTTTTTCTTCATGTGATGGTGCTCAACAAGAAGAATTTTCATCATCCATTTCGAGGATAGTTTCAAACTTTTGGAGTAAGAATGTTATTTTAAGATTGAATGTGTCAAGAAATTTGAGCTTTTATTGGACACTTATTGACAGTTTCATTCTGTCACATTCCATTCATAATCACAACACCAAAATGCAAGAATTTTTATCAGAATGTTTTGGGGAAGACTTTTTATATGGAATTCAATTCGTTCAGACATTCCTTAGCGAAGGAGAAGCTTCTTCAGAAATCTTGCTCAAATTTTTACAAACTCACAACGATGATGACACACGGTTCCTAGCTACACAATTAACTGAAATTTTGTTGCATTCTTGTCGCGGTTGCTCCACCCATGATGGAGAGCCTTATCATGATTTTATCAATTCTTTATTTAATCAGAACGAAAATACTTCGTCTCGCTTGCATTCAGTGGAAATGTTAAAATATTTGAAATCTTTCATAATGAAAGCATTCTCCAAACCTCAACATGCTGAAAATAGTTTGGAAAAAACAAACATGCCACAGCAACAACGTGTTTTAACTTTGACATATCAACTGTTGTCATCCATAGCCTCTACGAACGAAGAATATTCGAAATTATTTTTGGTTGAATTCTTTCAATCGTTATTTGTGGCGTATTCAAGCATGATTATGAATGGGATGACTAATCAGAGAAATATTGTATGTCCATTTCCATTATTTTATCCTACCGATGCTTTCTTGTCACGTTCACATGAAGAGGAGAACATTTATCTGAAATTTATTGAACAAGTGATGAACAAGATGATCTTACTCTTGAATGGATATTTGTATTTGGATTTATTTGAGAAAATTTTCGAACTCTTTGAAAATAATCAACTATTCGTATCATCTACTTTATTACAAATGTTTGATTCAATTTCCTGTTCGAAACAGCAAGTGCTAGATGACAACAATCAACTGCAGCTCAACGAACGAATGGATGTGTATGGAATATTTGTATTTTCAATTTTCAGATTAACCTTATCCAATCCTAATATGGTGCATGCTATTCAGACACTATTTAACAATGCTCATTTGGAAGAGAATGCTTACTCGTGGATGGATCAAGCTTGGTATCATTCTAAATTTTGTACACTTGTTTCAGTATTGAGGAAAATTGCATATTCCGATGGAGTGACAACGTTAGTAATGGGAGACAACTGTTCGACAGAAGCTGTTTCCATCCTCCGTTCTTTATTGGATCGAGGACTCATTTCAGAGCAAGACGCAGAACCGGAAATTGATTTAACTGGTATTGAATTTTCGCAACTTTAACACTTTTGAATTCGTCTAATGCGTGGAATGGTGTATTAAAATGATTTGACGAAAATATTGGTTTTTCTTGAGATTGAGCTGAATGATTCCTCTCACTCGTCAGATCTAACCAAATACACCATATACAAAAACATGAATAATGCAGATGGCAAACTACTCTTAATCATTTCATACAAAACTTTCCTATTTTTCAAATTGGAATAAAGAACCATGAGAAATTGTCGAGGAGCCACTTGACCTCTGAACACACCTAACTGATGTGAAATTTGAATTTGTCTGACATCGCTCACTCTAAATCCAAATGCTGTCAATATCCAATTTATGAGAGAAATGTATTTGGTTGCTTGTACTGTTTTAAGCTCAGTGACCAAATCTCCTTGTTTAGGTTCATATTTCATGACTGTGTATTGGCCACTGAAAAAATTGCTTGGTTGTAACCAAATGGTTGGAGCATTTTGAATGCTTTTGGAGCTTTTCCTCTTTTGTGATTCCATGAAAAAGAAGTATCTAGAGTACACTTCACACATCATGGCTCTCTTCCATATGGCAATGCAAAAGAAACATATTAAACCAATCCAAAAGACCTTTGCTGGTTTCCACTTGTTCCATCGACTCACGGTGAGCCATCCATAGAAAAATACAATGAGTGTGAAATCCCAACTCGTTACTATTCCAAATGAATAAAGTTCGTTAGAGAGTGGATAGAACAAGGCTGTGCCAAAATTTGTCAAAAAATCTAATAACAAATGAGAGGACAAGCACATAACTGCGAGACTTGTACAATGAGTGAAACTATTAAAGCCGTGAAGTCCTAAAACTTTTTGGGTGGCGTATCCAATCAAGGGTGACATGATTAAATTTACAATAATGGAATGAGAGGTCAATCGTCTCCATGTGAGACTATTCTTATTTCTTCGTTCTAATAGTTTCAAATTTCTGGCACTTCGAATGGAGGAGCCCATTGTCACATCTTCAGAATCAGAATCATATTGTGACAAGTTTCCTCCGCTGCTAACACCTGCCAAAGATGAGCTGCTTAAGGAAGAGGTTAGACCTGATGTATTTGACATGCTTGAAGAGGTTGCTTCGTTGTCTTGTTTCTTATTAGTTAGCGAAATAAAGAGTTCCCATAATCGATGAAATCGATCGATCATTTTAGAAAAACCTTTGAAAAAAGAAAATCCAAATGAAATGATAAATGTGATAATATCAATATCTGGTAAATTCGCCAAGACCATTCCAATCACATAATATTTCTGCTCAAAGGTTAGATTTGAAAAGAATCGTCGAATTCTTCGAATAAATTTAAACATGTTTGTGCTCAGAATTTTAAAGAATTGTCGAAATGATGTTTTCCGAAGTAAATGAATTTTATCCTTTCCCAGTAATTTTGATGCTCTTTAGTGTTCCCAGTTTGATCAATAATAAATATATTAAATATATTATTAAATATCACGATTCAATTTAAATTAATTGAATTATTTCATCATTATGGTTGATGATCATCCTCATCATAACCCAATGTCAACACCTACCCAGACATGTACGATGATGATCCATCCAATAACGTCTTTCCTATCATAAAATACTGTTCCGAGATGTGTTTAAAATGTTCACTATGTTTCACCAGATCACTCTCCGGAATCATTAAATTTCTCTTGCCATGATCCGATACAAAGTTTCGATGATACATGTACCGAGAAATCAAATAACCAAAGATGGCATGAACATCGCTGAGCATTTTTTTGAACTTGGTTCACCATTCAATGATATGGTACTGGAACGTTAGTTTAATGATAGAATCGCATTAGATAGATTCGTAGAGATCTCATATGAGAGAGTATATACTCTTCTCGATCTAGATTGTTTCAGTATGAATTAGTTTTTAATATATACAAAGTTACTAATTATTTTGGAGAATTTCACAAAATTACAACTTTTGAGATTTGAGCTTGGCCAATCGTTCGGATAATTCATCCACTTGCACACTCATAATGTCATCTTTCTTTGTTTTGACATTGCCCAACTTTTCAGAGACGTTCAATCCATGTTCATCGGCAACTTCTGCCATTAATTGATTCACTTCATCCTCAGGTGTTGAAAGGGCTGTTGTTTGTTGCATGGAAGTTTGCATGTATTCAGAAGTGACATCGAGATCTTCAAATTGTTGTTCAAATTTATCCAAAATTGCTCCAATTTTACTGGCGTCCATGGAACCCAAGACTTTATCCATTCCTTTCACAATTCCACCCATGGTGCTTGTTACTCGATTCATCTTGATCGCAGTGTCAAGTCTTGAAGCAACAGCATCAATTCTAGAAGAAAGTCTCAAAAAGTTGATAGCTTCATTCTTTTTACGAATTGCGGTTTGTGCATGAATACGAGCTCCTTCTAGATTGCCCTTTTCCATGGCCATTTTCACCTTGTCCTTTTCCTTCTTTTCCTCCTTTTCCGATTTCTTACTTGCTCGTTGGAATTGTTTGGATGTAAATTTGAGATTGAAGACTAAATCATCCATGGAAGGCATTTTGTTGATGGTGATGAGTATGTGTATATTATTGGTGATATTATTAGAAAGTGAGAGTACAACTGCCGAGACGAGTGAATGAATTGAAAACCTGTGTTTGATGTTTCAATAATAATATTTGAATGGAACGTTGTGTGATGATCCGATAAGCAAAATTTAATTGTTTCTTTTCTCAGAGAACTGAACCGAACACTGTGATCACAAGAGATGGAAACAACAAGGGTTAATGCGAGGATGATGATAAATTTTTTGAAGATGATAAATTCATCTCCCTTCTAATTCCCATTTCAATAATAGGCATCACGCGTGATGTTCGACCTTGTGCTCCTTCTAATTGCAAAATAAGAAGACAACAATAAAGAAGTCTCACACCGAGGAACCAACACCCAACACAATGACCACCACCACAAAAAGGAAAAGAAAAGAATGTAAGCGCTTCGGATGAGTCCTGTACATGTTTCATACCTTCTTGTGGTAAACACAAGACACACCTACCACACACTCATCCGGTGTGCTGAAGGCTTTCACCCTCTCCAGCACCCTTCAGCACTCAGACCCGAGCCTCCACAGGAGAACCCCACAGAAGCCAAGCACTGGTTCCTTTGGCCCAGTTATGACTCAATAACTCCATCGTAACTACATCTCTTGTTGTGGTAACAAGAGGGAACGGAGTGATCTTAAGACCTGAGCTTGAGAGAGCGAGTCCGTTGGAAAGCACTGAGAGGAGTCTTTCTGTCGAATTTCCTCTTGTGTTGTGGTTTGGACAAAAAGTGATCATTTTTAAAAATGAAGAAACCAACAACAACAACTTCAACCCCACAATCATCGGAATCGAGCACCAATGTCATGAACAGACAACAAGCTTCATCAACGACACCTCCTCTCGTTCAAGATCAAGCTAAGCAATCTCAGACTGAGAGTGGTAATAATGAGGAGTTGAGTTCCGAATTTCTCAAGCAATACGATCGTTTGCAACAAGAAGGAAAGGAAATTAACCCGGAAGAACTTAAAATTCAAAATGTGATGAAGGAAACCTTGTCGAATCCGAAAACATTCCATGCTGCACGTACACAGTTTGCACGAGCCACAGGTATTGGGTATTCATTGCTCGGAGGTGGAGTGGCGTTGGGGCTATTGATTGGTTTTCTCTTCAAAAGATCAAATCAAAAGCAGCAGTAAAAGTTATGAAGAACAAACACACTGCTCATACATCATCATTACATCCTCAAATTATGATGATCATCCAATGGTGACGGGTTGATTTTGGAATTTTTGGGTTCATTTCGCTTTCTGATCGTTCCCAATTCCCTCTTCGAAGAGATGAATTGGAAAATCTCCACTTGTTGCTTTCTTAGTGTTGTTTTTCCTTACAAAAAGTGTGGTTGCAGAGACAGTAATGCAAAAACAGACAATAAAGGATTGCAATGTTCGATGCAAAAGTTTGTCGCTCAAGTGAAATACATGGTGACATGAGTGTGTGTTTTGCAAATTGAGTCAGCTTGGTTAATGAAGTCACATTCTTACTGCTTGATGAAGCTTGTTTCAGATGGACCACCAAATATTCACACATAATATTTGTACCATACATGTCAAAGTATTCTTGATACATTTCCAAGTCTTTTTCAGGATTTGTACAACATAAAATGATAAAATCTGAATTCTTTGTTTGTGCCAAACCTCCGCTTACAAAACGCTTGCCACCACCTTTCATTGGGTAATATTAGAGTGAACATGTACAAATATATGTAGGAGTGACAATGAATACACAATATTATAAATAATTATGAGGGTCTTTAAAATACTCACCACACAAATTCAACTTGCATAAATAATTCATATTTCCAATTTTGAAGCTTCTCTCCATGAAATCAAAACCCTACAGGTGGAAATTATATAGGTCACAATCCGTCCACAATGATGGCGAATTCAAATGGCATGACAATCAGTATGAAAAATTTAAAACGAATTATTCCATTAAAGGTTGCTTAACTTACCACTTCATTATAACCTTCAGAAATAAAGCTTCCAAATTCTCCATTAATAAACAACGAAATTTTCACCAGAGCAAAGTTTTTATCTTGTTGACTGTTCTCGAGTGAGGATTGTATGAGAGAGAAACGTGCACTCAATGCAAGATCATTTTCCATGCTGCATCCAAACATATTCATAATCGATTGTATCACTCGACCAAATCCACTTGCATTATTTTCACTCTGTGATATGTCATCATGGACATCAGAAACATGAGAGATTGGACTTGTTCGATTCCACACAAATCTTGAAAAATAATGATTCCATCGAGTATTTAGTAGATCATTCACAATTGGTTCTTGAATTTCAAAACTAGACACTCGAACTCTCTTATATGAATGTAGCAAGCTTGTTTTTTCTTCATTGTCACTTGTTTCATCGATTGTCAAGGTAAAACTTGTGGAGGTCGTTACAGGTTTCACACTCACACCTCCAAATAGGTCACCACTTGTGCTCGATCGATCATCTCCAATCACAGATTTAATGAGGCTACTTCTCACTTTAGTCGAGAGAGCATCCAACTTTTGAATGTCAAGAGTTCGTTGTTTTAAAAAGTTGTGTGTAGACATTATTGCATCGTTTCCGCTCTCATCATTAATCAAAACCTCAAATGCTGCATGATCCGATGAATATCGAAGTAATTGAGCCAAATCGTTCAATAGGTAATTTCTCACCAGTAATTTGTAACGTTCAATAAATTGTCTTTTTCGTAGAAACTGTTGCTGAGGCCACTCTGATGATTGATTCTTCTTCTTTTCACTGGATGCCATTGACGATGAATCAGCAGCAGGCTCTGATTGAAGTATTCCACTCAAAATCAATGGATCCATAAACTGTGCTTTCCACTTTCTACACACACAACCCGCTCCAAAATAAATATCTTCCGAAGGTAAAAAGGAAAAGATTAGTGCCCACACCTGTGGTGTAAAGTTCAATTTAATTTCTTGTAATAATTTGATTGAGAACGGTTTGAATGAGTGAGTAGGCAAAAAAGAAGAAGAAGGAACATTCTTTGTTTTGGACATTTTTTTCTTTCAATAAAAATCTTTATGATTTTTCAATTTATATTGATCTTATAATAAATTCAAGAGGCGTCAACCTCTATTATTAAGATCCAACAATGGACCTTCAAAGTTCAAACTCTAACCTTTTCTCTTCGACTGAAGCATGCTCACTAACTTATTCCAAGAAAATCGAACACAAAAAATGAAAGCAGCTGCTTCTTCTTCTAGATCTTCCCACTCAGTTTTTTTTGAAAACGTTTCTTGTGCGACCATCCACAAGGCTCATGATGATGGGTCCGGGATGGAAGAAAACAGGAACCGTCGTCGTTTCTAATGAGAATCTTGGCCGTTCCAAACAATCCAGTTGTGTTTTTCATGACTTTTTCAATCATCAGTACCAAAATATTTATTTTCACCATCTCATCACTCATCCACTTCGGAACGCCCATCAACAATACCAAGCAGAAGTAGAGAATTTTGTCCATAACAACAATATTCAACAACAAGTGGACAAGGAAGATGAATTTCTGAACAGCATGACGAATGAACTACTCAACAACTCCTCCGATGAAGACAAGCCACTTGAAATCCCCAGTCACGCATTTTCAAGCATCATAAAAGATGAACACTCTTTCGAATCGGGAAAACATTCCCTATTGAGCGAGTCAGCGATTTCAGGTACTGCCTATGACCATAGAAGAGTTTTATATTCTCTCTATGTTCAAAATTTTCCAAGAAATGATGATTTGGAGCTGAGTGCATCAACTCCATCGATATCCGGCCAAAGTACACATGTGAAATATGAAATACCACATCAAATTCAATTTTATTACGGAAAATCAGTTCACAAGTTGAGTGATTGGACAAATGTGATGCGAGGTTCTCACAGAAACCTAAACGAGTTGAACTTTTTGAAAGATTTATTTCTTAATACTTTATTTGTTTTTCCAGAGAAAAGAGAGGAGGCTCTTGAAAAATTAAGAGCGCATCATGCTCGTGTTCCTACAAACAAACTGTCACAAAGTTACCCTATATCTATTGAAGATTTGTCCACTTTCTATGATACGTTCAAAGTTTTTAATTCTACAGAGCTCGAATACGAAAAAATTCGAAATTTAAGGATTGATTGTAAAACACAGCTCATGTTCATTCTCTCACAACCACAATTCAGGCATTTAGATGAAATTAGAGAGATCTATAGGTCTGTGTCAATAGAAGAGGGCATTGATCCTCCTCAAAAGATTGCAAATCAAATGATGTCTTCCATTACCAATCTCTCTGCTTCCAATAGCCCAACAAAAAGTTTGTGCATTGAAGAAATTAAGGCAATTTATTCACAAATACCTAATCCCAACACGAAAATTCAACACAGCTTACTTCATGGCTATGCTAAATTCGGTATGCTTAAGGAAATGGAAGAGTTGTTCGAGAAAATTGAAGTTAAGAATGGATACACATATTCTATTCTTTTGTACGGGTATTGCATTGCTCGAAGATTTACAAAAGCTCTCAATGTTTTCTGCCGTATTTCAAAACCAGTCCCAGAACATCTGCAATTGGTCATTGCTCTCTTCCTGCAAATTGGTTTGGATGGTCAAGCCGAAGGTTTGCTTCAATCACTTCCCGAGTCAGCTCATAAGGTGCGACTCACCAATGAGCTCATGGATGTTTATACCAATGCAAATGATTTTAATTCTGTGCACCGAATATTCACATCGATGGAGCAAATGGATTGCTATAGCGTTGGAATTGCTATTAATGCTAAACTGAAACAACATTTACTCAATGATGCGTTAGAAATTTTCGACAAATACTGTAAGAACGGCCCTATAGAATGCAATAGCGTGATATATAACTCGTTACTTTATGGAATCTCCAAACATTCAGATCTTCGCAAAGCTCTGGCATTCTTTGACAAAATTCCTTCACAGTTCAAAAACGAAAAAACCTATTCCATCATTATAGCTTCTCTTGTTGCTGCAAAAGATTATGCAAATGCTCAACGACTATATTTTGAATATCCTCAGTTCCAATCCATGCATTCTCATGCTATCATGATTAAATGTTTGACGGCATTGGGAAAATTTGAACAAGCAGAACAGATATTCCAAAATGTAAAAAAACCTGACGTGACACTTTGCAATAACATGATGGACGCGTATGTGAAAATGGGAAAGTTGTTACAAGCTCACAAACTTTTTAACAAAATATTCAAAAAAGATATTGCTAGTTACAATATTCTTCTTAGAGGATATGTGGAATATGGCAAAATAGAGCGAGCAGAATATATCTTTGAGAGAATTCCAGAACCAGACTCTCATACATTTCTCACACTTTTAAATGGATATACAGAAACAGGAAATTTCAATAAGGCGGAAAACTTTTATGCAGCAATACCAAAAGAATTCAAGAATGATCACATTCATACCTGTATGATGAAATTTTACACAAGAAGTGGAATGATTAGAAGAGTCGAATATTTCTACCGAAAAATTTCAAAACCCAATTTTATAGCAGATTCATCCATGATGCATGCTTACTTACAAGGACAAGATTTCAACTCCATGCGCCAAATGTGGGAGAATGTCATTTCCAAACGCTATGCAAAAAAAGATTCAAAAAGAAAATTTTTCGTTCATCTCATGGAAAAGATGGCACTTGAAGAACAACACATGATGACCATTCAACAACAAAAACACTCACAGTGCAAAAAAATACTATAGAAATACATATATTTATTGGGAACAATAATAGTTGAAACAAAAGAACAACTTTAATAGAGAAGGACACATTGAAAAACAATTGGATTTGTGAAAATGGAGATATAAACAACCTGCAACCTGGGTTCAGAGTATTTTGCAACACTGCCAAATCTCTCTTCTACCAGGACGAATGCAGAAGATGGGATCATTGATTTACATTCCCAACACCACAGACACGAACACAGTCACCATGATAGCAGCAACCATGGTCATCATCATTGAAACACCTTGCTTGAAATAGGAAACTGCTGCATTGTTCACACCACCATTTCCATTTCCATTCTTGTTGTTTGGAATGACATCAAATACTCGGTACGTCACAGAAGCTACCTTATTTGGAATTGGTGCATCTGCAGTAACAGCTTCAGTACTGAATGATTCCATCATGGATCTTGTAGAAGTATTACGAGGAGTATAAGCAGTTTCAATGGTTAAGAAACATCTTCGATCCACATCATTTCGAATGGCCAATGGGAAACCAAATTGGAAACCATAACTTTGAGTAGTTGGAGGAGGCAACACTCCTGCATCAATTCCACCTGCTCTCTCAGCGACTCCATTAATGAAAATTTCATCACTAAAGTCACCTGAACGACTTGCATTTCTGCAGTCAACATTGACAGGAATGTTTGCGAAATTTTGGAAGCAACACAAAATCACATTATAAGGAGAAAGTTGAAAACCGGCAAGAACTGGTGAAGTTGGAGCATCGACTTTCACAAAGACAGTATCAGTAGGAGTAAATTGAGTTCTTGGTGTGCTAAGGGCCGCATTAGAGAAAGTTTGTGCTTGAGTGTCAAAGAGCAACACTTGTTCAATGGGAGGATATGGAACTAAATATTGCAAAGAATAAGGAATGGTGTTGACTTGACCGGATATAGTCCTAAAGGAGAGAACGTAATCTCCATAAAAGTCAACTTCAGAGTTAATGACATTTGATTGCAACACCACTAAGTAATAATTGAAACCATTGGAAGAACCTGTGAAAACAGCATCTGTTACATTGAATGCATAAGGACCACTCACACTCCATGAAGTAATAGTTTCAGAGACAGTTGTGTAAACAATCAAACGAATTTCCAATCTTCCCAAATCGTTGATGAAAATCTTTTTTGGTTGTAAAAAGCTGTTTGGATTACTGCTGTTAAAGTTGACACGAGTGACAGCCAAGGTCAAAGTCAAAATATATTTCTGAGTGTAAATAACTTGATAACAAGTTCCAGATTGAGATGGAACCACATAGATATCACCACCTGTGGAGGTTGTTGGAGTTAAACGAGTAATCATGTAATCGGCAAACATGGTGGTCACGAGATCAATGACACCTCCTGAGCTTACTTGTTGAACATTTGGATTTGACAAATATCTTGAAAGAGGGGTTGAGAATTGATAAGTATTGTACCAATTAGTACTGGTAACCAATGTAAAATTATCTCGAATCAAGTCTGATTGTTGACAGGCCATCAATGAAGAAAGACCCAAGTTGAAATTTGCTTCAGGACTATCAAACACTCTCTTAAACATGGTAATTCTCAATGTCACAATCAAAGTTTGCGGATCTACACTCGCTTCAAAGATTGGTCTTGGAGCACCAATGGTTCCTCTTCTAAAAGCTGTGAAAAAGATCGAAGCAGTCGAGTTTGGAGAAGCAGCATTCAACAACAGATCGGATGCATGTAATGAATAGGTTGGAATTTGTTGATTTCCTGGATGAGAAAATCGAACAAAACCATCTGCCAACTCTTGTTGAGTGAATGAATTCGTTGGAGCATACAATCCAGTCAAGTTATTGAAAAGGAAAAACTGACCATTCGAGAGAGTTCCTGGAACTACTGAATAGACGACACGAGGAGGAGCGTTCAAGGAGTTCTCAGTTGCAACCACATTAGAAGTGGTTAAGGTAATATTGTCTCCATTGTACAAGGAGAGTGTGTTTTGAAGAATGACAAGAGTTGTTTGAGCTTGTGTGGACATTACAAAAGTCAACAAGAAAATGACAACTGTCATGAGAGCAGTAGGAGTTCTGAACCATTGGTTCATCATTGGTTTTGAGGAGTATTCTCCACGAAATGGAAGAAGCATCATTTTGAGAGTTCTCAAATGAGGTTCAATTGATAATTACAATGTGTTATATTTCAAAGTGGGTTCACTGATTGTTTGGTTGTTATTGTTTCACACAATCTTACACACACAGAACTGAATTCGTCACACACAAAAGTTTCACAATATCAATGGTTTTTGTTGAATTCTTTTTTGATATTATTATTAATTATTAATAATTATTGCACACTTACGTATTTATTTGAAACAGAGATTGATTCCTCTCAAAAGTCCTAAAATGGAAAATATGGCACGTCACATGTTCAACTTTTTCAGAAAGTAGGTCTTTGCAATAGATAAGATTTCAGGGGGAGTATGGGAAATTGTGGAGAATGGAAGTAATATTTAAAAGGTCAAATTTGGAGTTTTGGAAATTGAGACTGAACAAGAGTAAAGAAATCACCTTTGCATTGAATGATGAATCCGATTTTGGATGAAAATGGAACAAGGAACTCTAAGGAAACAAAGAACTTAGTGTTGAGTAAATACACACAAAAAGAAAATTTCTTCGTTGCCTTTATCATTCACCATCAAACCACCACCATCACTGTTTCAATAGATCACACAATGATGATGATCCGATCGATGCTTTGGAACTTTTGGAATTCTCTCACCACCGAAACCAACACAACAACCACACACTCCACGGAATCCCTCTCCTCATCAGTAACTTCCAAAGACAATTCATCCTCAACAACAACGAGTCCAGATCAAACCTATCATGTCCATGATCTTTTAATTCCATATCCAACTTTTTCAGACATCTTTGAATTGGATCGAGAAGAAGAAATTCGATCAAGCATTCAATTCGAATCTTTGGAACACTCAGTGAAAGGATGTTTTCTTCTTCATCATGTGTTGACTCGGAAAGAATGTGAAACATTGATTGAAATTTCGGAACAAATGGGTTATCGACCTTCACCACTTTCCATTTTGAGTGGTAACTTTGACACGAGTCAATACAATGAGAGAACGAAACAAGTCAGAGATTCGGGAAGAGTGTCGACAGATATGCCTCAAGAGGTGATTCGAATTTTGAACGAAAGAATTGAAAAATATTTACCACAGACTATTCATTTGCAAAGTGGAGAATTAAATAGAATAATTAAATAGATATATTAATTAAATAGAATAATTAAATAGAATAATTAAATAGATAATTTTAACATAGCAAAAATTGTTTAATAAGGCCAATAAAGATGATGTTATTATTGGAAAGTTCAATTCTGTGTCTTTGGACTTTTCAAAAATTGTGAAATTGTTGTAAGGGTTCCATTATTTGGTGCTGGTTTGATTTTCAAAATTTCACACATCAAAGGATACACATCAAGATTGTCGAATATATCAGAAGAAACATATCCTTCTTTAAAATGAGGTCCTTTGGCAATGAATAGACCTCTCATATCTTGCTCTTCATTGTCATAACCATGATTTCCATTTCCATACAATAAACTCGAGGATGATCTCAAAATGGAATATCCAACTTTTCCTAAAATAATAATATCAGCAATTCGATTCGAGTTGGCATAGTGAAAACGAGAAGGCATATTTTGTTTCGTATAAACACCCTGAATTCCATCTGAAAATGTGGCACTATTTGCAATCGAAGTTGTCAATTCTCCATAAATGGTGTCAATTTGTGACGCATCTTGAAAATAAAAATCAAAAAATGGTCCATTATTGAAATTCTTCACTTTGGTGCCATCAATAATGTCACGTCCTAAAATATCAGAAACTCGAATAATTTTCGAAGAAGGTGTTGTTGCCATGCCATGATCACTCACAATGAGAAGATCAACGTTTTGAGAGACATTTCGTTGTTCGAGGCCATTCATTAATAATCCAATGCTTTCATCTACTTCACGAATAGCATTAATGACATTATTCGAGTCAGGTCCATAACTTGAGAGAGGGAAGCATGAATTTCATAATTTTTGAAAAATTCAAAATTTTGAAAAATATTGCAACATATTCGAATATTCCATAAATTTCATTCACACAAAAAACACCACTTACGAATGTCCACTCGAATCCACTCCTTCAAAGTAGGTCAATAATAATTGTGGAACTTTTTCCTTTCCATCCAACCAGCTCAGTAATGTGTTAATTCTATTCGAATACGGAACAGATCCATCGTATACTTTATAATAGGTAGGATATCGTCCTTGAATGGCCACATCGGATCCAGGCCAAAAGAATGATCCAGAAATGACTCCTTGTTTTTCAGCAGTATTCCATATGGGTTCTCCGAGCCACCATCTTGGTTTGAATGATTCGTCACTTCCTAATTTGAAAACTGCATTGAAAGAATGATCGAAGAAACTTTAAGTTGTGAATATGTATTTTCAAGTGTGAATTCAATATTTAAATATATTCGAGTATTGTAATTAGAAATATTTAAAATATTTTTAAAAATTTCCCGAATCGGAATGAAATATAAACATTTCAAAAATTAATTTCCTGATAGAAACACGTACGTATTCGAAACAATTCCATGAGACTCTGCATGCAATCCTGTCACAATCGAATAATGATTCGGAAATGTCTTTGATGGAAAGATTGGTTTAAATCCTTTCGAACTTGACACTCCACTCCTCACTAACTGTTTCAAATTTTCACAATAATTCTGTGCCATACATTGTGTCAAATATTGTGCTCGGAATCCATCAATGGACACAAGAATCACTGTCGAATTAAGTGGCGTCTCGTGAATGGGTGGTTTTAATGGATTCTTTACATTATAAACAATAAGAACCACCAACACTGTAAATAAAGCAAGAACCATGAACGCAGAAATTCCAATCCATAAATAGGTGAAGAATTGTCGTAGTCGTTGTTTCTTCATGTGTGTTTCATCTTCTTGATTGTAATAAGCAGTCGGACCAGTTGGTTCTTCGCCACCACCACCACCACCACCATCATCATCATGAAGAAAGGCTCGTCCTGTCTCCACTCGGAGATTGTCATCCTCAAGGTGGCTGGCTCTTCGTGACATTTTTTCGGAAAATAATGAAACTCCGAATAACAAGGTGAGTTTGGGGATCAAAATTAATTTATTCCAACAGTGTATTAGAGTCGCAAATAAATAAGGTTTTGGATATCATTGAATTTCTGTTTTCAACATAATCATCCTTTTGACCAGATTCAAAGATCACAGTGACACATCAAGTATTGTTGATGTCATTCACCATTCTTTTCCGTGTGTGTCAGAAATAAGCTTTCTTCATGCATTGCAGTATTTCCTTTTCTGCTTTTTGTGAGGAATATCATTTGTCCATATGTCAAACACCTGTCCAATCCATTGTATCGTCTGAGAATGTACTAACAGCATGCTAAAGATGACTTTTTTTCACATCAATCAATTCAACACCTTAATCTATTCAAAAGGTTCTTCTTGTTGAGCTAGGGCAATGGATGACTTGATCTTGTTTGTTGGTAAGAACGTCACACGTGTCACCAAATCTTCACCATCTTCTTTTTCAAAAATTGATTGGGCATCATCATCTCCAGGTCGTGTCAAATTTGTCATGACACATTTCAATACATCATCATCACCATGATCATCATCGTCGAGAACACCCATCGTCGTCTTTGATTTGTTCTTCACAGGTGGTGGCGTTTTAAATAAATCGAGCACAGATATTTCCAAGAGGTGATCTTCTTCTTGCTGTGACATTTCATCAACAATTCCAACTACTTTTTTCTTTTTCCATGTTGCAGGAGGTGTGAAAATGTTATTAAAATTAAAACCACTCGTTGTGCCATTGCTGTTGTGGTTGTTGGATGATGCTTCCTTTCGTTTCAATGTGGATTGTGGCACTTCTGTGGATTTTAAGATTGGAGATAACGATTCCACAACATCTCTTGAAACACCTCTTAAAGAAGGACTTGAATTCATCATTGCCTTTCGTCGTCGTGTGGAAGACGATGGTGGTGTCCGTAAATCGAGTTTGGACATGGAAGAGGACAGAGAAGATTGGCGAGCTCTTCGTTGTTGTGATGGCAAAGGTGAGGACATGGGTGATGAGAAAGATGGATCTATTGTTGAGGATAAACACCACGACGGAGCAGTGCTGCTGGTGGTATTGCTGTTGGAGGATATTCCTCGGATGGCTTTTGGTGTGCTAATTGTTTTTGGAGGAGCAACCACTTCTGTTGTTATTGTTATTGTTTTGGTGGTGGTGGTGGTGGTTTGGTCAAATCTATTATTATGATTCAAATTTTCCTTATTGATTTCCTCAAGAGGAGGAAGATCAACATGATGATGATGATTGGAATAATTAAGAGTATCACTGCTGTTCTGTTTTGGTGGTGAGCAGACACACTTATTGTTGGTATTGTCATTGGTGTTGTTATTACTACCACGTGAAGAGGATGATAAGAGAAAAACCTCATCTTCATCCTTTTCAGTGTTATAATTGAAAAGATTCTTTTGAATGACGAGAGGAGAATCAAGTGTTTGTACTGCTTGTTGAGATTCTCGGTGTGGTTTCTGTGTTCGGAGAGGAGAGGTCATTGCTAAAGATGATTGTTGTTGTGATTGAAATGAAATTAATGGCTCGGAAGAAAAGATAGGAGGTGATGAGTCGTGATCCAATTCACCAAGGATGATGGAATTGAGAGAAGCAGAGGAGGAGGAGGAGGTGGTAATCGAGGAATGGAAGAGATCTTGTTCGGAGAGAAATTTCATGGAACTGTTGTTGGTGTTAAATTTTTTTTCTATAAGTTAACGTTCAAAAATTTGAAAATGGCGCCAAAAGTTTGAATTGAAGAGTCACATTTTGGATTCTCACGAATTGACATAGATTGGTTTGATCCTCCATTATAAAAGATTTCTCTGACTGAAGATTTGATTCCTTTGAAAACCTTTCCATAAATTCAACATTTAACAAGAAAAAAATTCAGGGATGGGTTTATTCGATGATAAACGTTGTTCGATGGTTTTATGTACATTATTTACAAGCCGAACTAAGATACGTAGTGACTTCCTAGCAGGCACCCCGGAAGTAAAGGTGTTTAAACTGCTCACGATAACAGCAGCAACCCCTGGGATTCGAACGCTGGACCAGTTGGCTGCCACAGTTCCAGAAAAACCACATTTAACAAGAAAAAAATGAAAAAAGGTCTTTCTTCGTCATCATCTTCTACCTTGACGATGAGAAGTAGCAGCGGCCACTCTTCATTATCGGCTACTCCACCTCAGCCCTCTCCACACAGAAGATCAAAGGTCATTACCGATGATGATGATGATGTCAATATAATTTTATCGGAAGAGAAGCCTTCATCATCTTCATCATCATTACGAGATATTTCAACGAAACAAAAATCAACAACTAGCGGCAGTAGTAAAAACAAGAAGAAAAACATAGTACCCATTATTCCCGAATATTCATTAATTTATGAATTTTCTCCGAGCATGATTGCCGAGTTTCATTCCAAGTCCATAAGTTGTGTTAAATTTTCTCCCGATGGTTACTCATTGGCAGTGCCATCTGCAGATGGTAACATCAGCGTTTGGAATTTATTGGAAAACAGACAAGAGAATGGATCTTCTGAAGAGACTAGGATTTCGGAAGATCAAAAAGATGTTACCACAGAAAATGGAAAGTCATCAATTTCTGGAAACAAACAAGGAATGATCATGAAACCAACCAAGCGAACGATATGTTCTGGTCATTTTCTCGGTGTCAATGATGTGTGTTGGAGTCCAGATTCTCAATATTTATGCTCTGCAAGTGATGACAAAACTGTAAGAATTTGGTCAGCTGAAGATGGTGAATTATTGAAAACACTTCAAGGTCATAATCAATTTGCTTATTGTGTAGCTTTCAGTCCACGTGGAAATATTATTGCAAGTGGAAGTTTTGATGAAACTGTTCGAATGTGGGATGTAAGAACAGGAAATTGTTTGAGAACATTGCCAGCTCATTCAGATCCTGTTTCTTCGCTAAGTTTTTCTAGAGATGGATCACTTTTAATCACTTCGAGTTATGACGGATTTTGTCGAGTGTGGGACACCACGACAGGTCAATGTTTAAAAACTATACTCGTAGATACTCAGACGCCTCCTCCTCTCTCATGTGCCAAATTGTCACCTTTTGGAAATTATTTACTCATTGCTTGCATGTCCAATCAAGAATATCCACACGCAGCATTAAGGCTTTGGCAATTAAGGCCTGATCCAATAGCAAAAAACATTCGTACATTTCGTGGTCATGTGAATGAACGATTTTCTTCCAACATCATGTTTCATCCCACGCTGAACCTTGTCATTTCCTGTAGTGAGGATGGATTTGTATATATTTGGGACATTCAATCCGGAAATATTGTGAGCAAGCTTAATTGCAATACTGGGAACGATCCAAGAGGAACCAGCAATAATGATAGCAACAATAATAATACTAACACGGATACAAGCAATACTCATCGAACGACAACCATAGACACGGTGGTGCACACACAAACAGAAGAACCAAGTCAATCACATGGAACTGATATGAATATGGATACATCCTTGGATGGTGGTTTTTCTGTTCTCTCTATTGACATCATCTCAACAGTTGACTCGATTGGAACCAATTTTCTGGTCGCTTGCACCAATGAACCACGAATATTGTTATGGCAAGAAGCATTGTCTCATGGAAAATCGTTCTAAATTTATTATGTGACATGATGAAAATAATAATGAATATATATATATTATTGTGTAAATATATTGAAAATATAGACTCGATAAGGATCTATGAGAGTTACATAAGAGGCCAGATGTCAGTTGTAAGATGAAATGACTTTCCAATTTTCAACTACCATTCTAATTCGTCCATAAATGGAATTATACCACAATTAGATCAATCATACATTATATATATTTGGAATTTGTTGTGATTGATGTTGTGGTTTAGGAGAGATTCTCCTTCTCAGCCACAAACAAATTCATTCCCAATAACAATCATACAACAATAAATTGTCACAACAGAAGAAGAAGCACACAGCCGAATCCACGACACTACAACGATTTGCACCACATTCCATTCAAATATATATATCTGTTTGTACATACATTGAAATCACAGAAGAAACATTGTAAGATACTCGGAAATGATCAAGAAGGACACCATTCATCGATGGATCACATTCATTGCCATTCTTTGCGCGGTGACAATGATTCACATTGCACATGCCTCTTCATTCAACATACTCTCTCGAATGAATTTAGAAAGACCTTCTGAAAATTGGGTCGTATTAGTGGCAGGTTCAAATGGTTATTACAATTATAGGCATCAAGCCGATGTAAGTAATAGTGAACTCTGAGAGTTTTCCTTTTCGTATTCATTATAAATGCATTGTTGAATGATATGGATGAACAATGATGTGAACAGATTTGTCACGCTTATAAAATTGTCACTGAGAAGGGAAAAATTCCAAAATCCAATGTCATTACCTTCATGTTTGACGATATTGCCTACTCGAAGGAGAATCCTCATCCAGGTGTGATTATTAATGAATACAATGGAACGAATGTCTATATTGGGAAAGAAGCCATTGATTATCGTGCCAATGATGTCACTCCACAAAATTTCTTGTCTGTGTTGAGAGGTGAGAAAATGTCTGTTGGAAGTGGAAAAACACTCAATTCTGGACCAAATGATAAGGTTTTTATTTACTTTTCGGTAGGTTATTGAAATATTCAATGATTTAATTTGGAAATACATTCATTGAATTTTCAAACATTTTCAAACATTTACAATTTTGGCAAACATTTGGCATGTCAAATTTGTGAATTCTGAAATGACATTTCTTCTCAATTCATTGTATCGATGCAAATGCTTCTTTTCAAAATTACAGGATCATGGAGCCACTAACGTGTTGGCCTTCCCAGGATTTTCACTTCTACATGCCAGTGATTTATTTGAAACTCTTCAATTCATGTATCAAAATAAGAGATATCAACAATTAGTATTCTATGTCGAAGCATGTGAAAGTGGAAGTATGTTCAATCAAATTCTACCATCCAGCTTGAATATTTATGCAGAAACTGCATCCACTCCTTTTGAATCTTCCTATGCCTGTGATTACAGTAATGAATTTTCCGCATACCTGAATGATTGTTATTCCATTAATTGGATGAATGACAGTGACATTTCTGACATTCGTGAGGAAACAGTTGGAGTTCAGTTTGAAAAGGTTCGAAGAGAGACAACGACTTCTCGAGTGTGTCGATACGGAGATTTTGTGATTGAGAAGGAACCCTTAATTAATTTTCAAGGAAATAATTCGATCAAGTCTATGATGAAGCAATGGTCTTCGGAAGAAAATAGGAAGAATGCTTTTGCTCGTATTTTCAATCAAGAAAATGGTGCCAAAGATGTCACTCGCCAACCCATCGATTCTCGAAAGGTCTATGAAGATTATTTACAAAGAAGACTTCGAACCTTAATGAGCTCTTCCACAGCTTCACTCTCTGAAAAATTGCACATTCTTACCTTAATTGAACAATATAGAGAATCCATGAAAAAATCGGATAGAATTTTCAATTTCCTTTCCGATCAATACCAATTAGAGAAAATTCTAAATCTTCGAAAAGCCATGTTAAACAGAGAACTGGATCCAGATTCTGCATGTCGAACACAAAGTAGTTTATTGGCTCATCCTCAATGTGTGAAACAATTGATTCAACTCTTTGAAAAACGATGTGGTTCTTTTGATGAATATTCCTTGAGATATATTTCCTATTTGGGAGATTTGTGTGTGAAACAAATGTCCACTCCTTCTGAGAAGCATCAGGAGATGATTCATTCTTTGGATGAAACTTTGATTCGTTTGTGTCGTTAACGATTTTCAGAATCTTATTGTGAAATGTAAAAATAAATCATTTTAAATCAACTAAAAAATTTAAAACAAATTTAAATTTAGATCATATCAGCCATTTCCAATAAGAATAATAATTTTCATCTTATCGAAACTAGTTATTTCCGATCTGAGTGAATTGCATTGCGGTAGTCGAAAAGTAGAAACAACAACTCCATATGAACGATCATCATCATCATAAAAATTATGATAATTTTCATCATTAATACTATTATAAAATGTTTCAGGTTTCATTGGGTAGATCGATAACCGATGCTTGGTTAATTATATTGCAGATTGTTTTAATTCAATCTATTAATTATTTCCTTCTAGTGTTGTTATGTGTAGTGTTTTGTTTACCATTCGGATTTGTTCCAACATTGGAGCAGTTATTTTCATATAAGGCGATTTCAGTTTTTAGTTTGTTTGGATGGATTAACATTGTTATTTGGTTGTTGGACGGTTTTATTGGGTTTGTATTGGGATATCATCATGATGATGCAATTATTAATTGTAATATTTATTTTGTTCGTTATTTATTATTAATTGTTATAATTATTTCAAATTTACAAATTATGAATGATTGTCATCACACGCCTTTCCTTCCGAACTGGTATATATCACACCCTGCAGAGGATTTCTCTTATTTATGGTGGTGAGGAGAAGCAAAAAGTGTATGGATTTCACCATCACTTTCCATGTCATTCATCTTTTACTGTGCATCATTTACAAAGCATTTCCAGTGTATTGGGAGTGGTATGTGTGTGTGATTTTACACAGTATCACCATGACATTGGTGGGTGAATTTTCATGTTATTGGAGAGAACAGAGAGAAATTAATTTGCCATCCACAAATCGTTCCACTTCTACTGGAGGTCGAATGATGAGTGATTCTCTCTCGACAACAACCTCATCTCAACAAGAATGTCATGCGGATGACGAAGATGAAGAATCTGTTATTGGAGATTCTCAAGTAGCAGAACGAACAGCTTTCCTTTCGAACACCACAAAGGAGGAAAAGGCTCACTAAATATTGCCTTCTAACTATTACTAATTTAACAAAATCAATAATTTACAATAATTTAACTTTTAAGATCTTACAAAATTGTACATGCATCAGCATTTCCTTGATACTTGTTGACAATATTATACTTGTTAAGAATGATATTCTTGCCACCTCCAACCCAAGTTTCATATTCGGTTTGTGATGACAAATTTTGTTGCTCATCAGTTCCACCTTCAGGTTGTTGTTGTTTTGTTTGTTCTCTCTCTGAAGATTCATAAAATCTACCAAGCATGTACTCGTTCGTTCCTTTCTCAAAATAAATAAAATAGGACTCATCAAAATAGATTTCTTTTTGTGTGAAAATTTGTTCGTTGCATGACGAAAGAGTTGGCAAAGCAAGTACTCGAACTAATTTTCCAGCACCACGTCCACAAATACTCCAAATTCTAATAACAGATTCATTAATGCAAGCAGTAGCGACCATACTTCCTGCTGCAATGATCTTAACACAAGATACTGGACCAGGGTGAGGTAAAGTCATGAGACAATTTCCAGTGTGCAAACTCCATACTTTTACAGTCTTGTCTGCCGACCCTGAGACCATCACATTGCATAAATCGATGAGTTCTATGTTAAGGGAAAGTGTAGTGATGGTGGAGTGATGACTTTCGAATGTATGTAACAAACGCCAATTATTGACAGAACTGGAATGGCTAATGTCGTAGACATAAATTGTTCGATCCACAGAACATGCAATAATTTGCTGTGTCAGTTCCCAAATTTTGATTTCTTTTGCTTCTGTCGGTAACTCTTTCAACTCGAATGTTTTCGTAAGCTTTTTAAGTGTAATGTCATAGATATGAACACAATACTGGACTGGCACGCGTGCCATTTTCACAATGGCCATACAGGTCTTGTTGCTCAATAATTTAACAGCAACAATGTAATCTTTAGAGTATGTCACCTCCAAAAATACTTCATCTTTTAGCAATTCAGTTCCTCCAATTACAACAAGTGTTGAATTGATGTGATAATAACTAGATTCTGTATAAACAAAACAAAGGACACCGAATTGATAATCAAAAGGCGAATGAGAAAGATATGAATATGGGAAGTGTAAAATCTCCTTATTGAGGCTAATAGTATCCTTTTTGGTTTGTAATTGTTGACGAGCCAGTATAGACAATCTATCCTTGTAATGCAAATAGCCTCTAACTAGAATTCCATCAATTTCTGTCCATCCAGAGGGAGACTTTCTTAAATCCAAATCAATACGAACTCTATTTGTAGCGTATTCTCTCGTGAAAAGTTTTGGAGCAAAAACTCTGGCACGCTCCATCATTCTGCAATTTGTGTCGTAGGGTTTTCCAAGCCATATTGTATCCCAGCACTGGTTCGCTCGGTCCCAGAGTGAAATTTTGAAAACTCCTCCTGGGCAAAATGTTTCGAAAATTCTGATCTCGGTGATGTGCATGTCCTCTTCAATCTCAAACTCTAAAAATTCCAAAGAGCCAAAACCAAATGAACGATTTGAAGGAGACCAAGCGGTTCCAAACGATCCATATTTTGGATAAGTATTAACTACGCCAATAAGATTTAACACAGAGAAGGGTGGATAGTCAGCACGTGAGTGAGCTGTTGACAGATTGTTATCAGCTGTTGTGGCAGCTGCTCCGCTTTCAGATCTGAAATTTCAGCAATGATAATTTTGAATATTTTCCAAAATTATTGGTAAATTTGAAATGGCAATATTTAAACATTTCAGCCATAAACAAATTAAATAATTATTAGTAATTGAAATACACATAAGTATAAATAATAATTGTCATGGTCCATGTTAAAATCATTGCTTTTTTTGTAATTCAAAAACTTACCTATTTCTTGAAATATACTCACTGCTACAATTAATGACGCGTGCAACCCATTGTTCATATATAAAATCATCTGTTTCAGAGAGCAGGGTCTCGTGAAGTTCCCTCATGGACGAAATTGGAAGATCATCTTCAAACATGTTATTCAGAATTTGTTTTCTTTGCCCTGTTAGTCTATTTGCAACATGAGAATCTTTGGCACTATAGAGAGAATAGGTAAGTAAGTCGTATGAGAAATGATGCTTGAATGGTTTGGTAGTATGTCTAAAGTTTTTACGAGTATTAAGTATAACTCTTCCATCCAATAAACGAACGTCCATAAGATGAAAGCCATTACTCTTCCAGTCTTCCGTATTGGTTGAAGAATAATTCATAATTCCTCCGAATTCATCGACAAGTCGCTCTCGTTCCTTTTCAAGTTTTTCTTTTTCTTTTCGTACCTCTTCTTCGTCACTGACGTAAACTGTGCGCTTTCCAAGGGTTGGCCTCACTGAGGTATTCAAAATGGTGACTTTGTTTGACTCCGAGTCTTCCAAAGATGATTGATCCAACTTGTTTTGTGATGAAGCCGATGAAACATTGTCATTATTTGCATGAGTTGAATTGTCAATATCGATCCAACCTTTGCCCTTAATGGCTTCCTTCAAGCTTGAAGAACTCAGAGTTAAAATTTTGAGATCGGGTTGTGTGTAAACTTTCATGAGATGTACTTGTCCACATCTATACAAGCGTTGCATTTGTTCACGATATTTGACAGCATTTCTCCAGTTACATCGAGGTCGTTTGTAATATTCGCGCTCCTCTTTTTGAATCAGTGCAGGTGAAATAATGCAAGAATGACTTGTATCACTATTATTGCTAACGGGTGATCCCTGTTGTTGTGATTGTTCCAAATTATTGTTGATTGATGATACAGGCGGCAACAAGGTTGAGAATGAAGAATAGGAAAGAGTGGGAGTGAGTGGCTGCATCGTGGCTGACAAAGGAGATGAAGACAACACTGGAGGGTTATTGGCGGAAACTCCATTCGTTGTTGTTGATGATCCTGAAGAGCCAGAAGTGGTTCCAATGGGTGTCGAAGGAGTACTACCTGTTGTTGATGGTTGTTGTTGTTGTTGGCCACTCGAAGAAGCAGCTGGAACAATCACTCGATTGTAGTCATGATAAAAAGTGGTGTAGGGATCATACTTGTTGATAAAGTATTCCAAGAATTTACTCTCATCCGTGGCAACATTTTGGAAGATATGACTTGCTTTGCAGCAACTTTCAATATCAATTCCGTCCATAAAAGAGAAAATTAAAAAGATGATGGATTCATTGAGAGGGAGTTTTCGTTTGTTTCTCGTTCGGATGGATATCAGACGTTGTTTTTGCTTTTTCGTATAGATAGGGTTGATGAGATGAGCAGGTTGTTGTGGTAGTTGTTGATAAGAGATGTTGCTGCTTGAATGGGGAGTGGAGCCACTCATCGATGCAGTTGTTGCCTGTTGAGACATTTTTGATGATGACTTTCGAGCAAAAGTTTATCGCACAGTTTGTTCGTTTGTTCGGAGAATGTTTTTGGGAAACACAACACTGAAAACAAGATCTATTTAATTCTTAAAAACTTTCTTTAGGCGATATAAGGTGGTGAATGGTACTCCTGCTCGATCCTCGAAATATCCTTCGTATCGAAATTGAGCGACTTTCATTCCCTTGCATTCGGTCATATCATCAGGGGAAGCTTCTGTCATTAAATGTTGATCCATGCTCTTTGCTGACTTTTTGCAAAATCCAAGTATTTGAAAGGATCGTTGGCGAGCTAAGGGAAGGTTGTGAGGAGCTTCCTCTGGTTCATTCATAAATCGATTGAAAACCTTTCCCATGAGGACCGATCCGGACACTGCAAAAACAGAGAGGATCCAATTTCTCTTTGATAATCGTCTTGGCACACTTGGGTAGTATTTGTGTTTGACATTGTAGATGACCATGTCCATAGCGATTCGTAGTAATGGGTGACAAGGAATACTTCCAATGAATGACACAGACAAACCAAAGGATGGTTGTGAGGGTTCTAACGGAATGACAAACGTTGCGTTTGTGTGTATCCATGAGTCTAAGGGTTCCAGCAGAACCATATCAGCATCTGCATAAAAGCCTCCGAACAACCATAACACTGCATACCTCCAAAAATCAATTTTAAAGGCTGCAGGAGTCAGGTTTTCGAATGCAAATACTTCATCGGAATCTGCTCCAAAGTGATCAATCAAAACTTGCAAAGCCGCCTTGTTTCCATAGTACCGATGTTCATAATCCTTATTCAAATACTTGAATGTATGTAATGCTTTGGTCATGTTGGGTGGTAACTCGTCCTCACTCTCTGGCCGGAACGTTTGGTGGATGATTTTGGGAATTAAGGAAATGTTTGAAGAAATGCCATCGGTACAATCAATTAATATTTCCTCTTCATATAATTGCGAGGTGTTTAAATAGTCATTCGGAATGTTCACGGTTGTAATATATATGATAGTGTACACGTAGAGTGCAATAATAATTCCAGTTATTCCCTCTGGAAGGAAATGCCTTTTGACATTCAAGGCTTTAGAGCGCCTCATATGAATGGTTGTAGTTGTTTTTCTTTTTTCAAAGTTCGCCAAAGCTTTGGAGAACAAATTACTAATATTATGGAATAATATTCATTGAAATATTAAATATAATATTAAGTTGCGGTAATGTCGTACTAACTATCCATTAGGCATCAAAGATGATGACGGATATTTGAAATCCGTACTTTTTATCAATCATCAGAAACCGCATCCAACCGTCGACGTTGGAATGGATCGTCATTATCTTTCGAACCAATTTCTATTAAGGGATGAACAACCTTAAAAAAAGGGAAATTATTTCAATAACAACTCTCTAGACAAACACCTTCCTTTCCACAAATAATCTTCCATAGGGAATTTGTGCAGTTGACGCTTTATGTTCCTGTCTAAACTCTGGATATTTCACTTGGACCAACTTTGTTCCTTCACATGCGTCCTCAAGGGGAAGGGCAAAAAACGATTCCTCATCAAAAAAATCGTGACAGCAATATCCAATAATCTGCACGTTTTTGGATAGAATTTTGGTAATATTGTGCGGAACTTCTTCTGGCTCATGTACAAAGCGATTAATGGCCTTTCCTATCAAAATAGGCCCACTCACTGCTAAATCAGAATGTCTTGGATGAACTTTGGTGTTTGGAACACCAGGATAAAACTTGTGCTTGACATTGTAAATGACCATGTCCATTGCAATTCTCATAATTGGATGTTGTGGAACACTTCCAATGAATCCATTGTGAAAACCAAATCCAATCTTTTCCAAAGGAATCACAAAACTTGCATTTGGAGAAATCCATTTCTCAAAAGGTTCCATCAACAACATGTCTGCATCTGCATAAAATCCACCAAACAACCACAACATGGCATATCTCCAAAAATCAATTTTGAAAGCACCTGGAATTAAATTTCGAAATGCAAACACTTCATCTGAATCATTTCCAAAATGTTCAATTAAAATGTTCAATGCAGCATCATCTCCAAAATATTGGTGTTTGTAATTTGCATTTAAAGATTTGAATGAATGGATTGCTTTTTTCATGGAGGACGGCAACATATCTTCCGATGAAGGAATATAGGTCTGATAGATCCTCTTTGGGATTGTCGTGCGGAGAGGAGTTTCTTCCAATTTTGGGATTTCTTTGCACCGACCCGTCTTGATGAGCGTCTTGTTGTTTTGGTTCAATGTCCAAAGTTGTTTCCTTAATGAAAATATTACTGCGAGTAATAGGATACTCGCTGAACTAATAACAACCAGAGAAGCGTACGGCCATCGTTGTGTCATTTTTTAAGGCTTTCCTGACTCAAAAAATGAACTAACGGCGAGAAGGATATCGTGTTGACCCTTTTAAGAATATCATTCCGATGGATTGGAAATGTATTACCTCAATCACTTTGTTTAGGAAGTTTTGAAGACAACATTCATACATATTCCACTGAGACTTTTCATGGATAGATACCAGAGAATTTTGACCTTGGGAACATATTCGCATTCACTTTGTAAGACTCTATGAAGCTCTTAGGTTGAAATATTTCTTTGTTTTGTCTTACTCAAAACCAGTATAGACAGTATTTCTACTACGAATACTGATCCTTGAGGAGCAAAGAGTTCTGACTACAAGAACACCTTCCTTTCTTGAAATAGTTTGGTGTAGGTGCTTGATTTGGCTTCATGTTCTTTTTGAAACTGCTCAAATTTCACCTTGGCTAACTTGGTCCCAACACAGTTCCTTGAGAGTGATTGTGTATAATAGGTGTCTTCATCCTTGTTTTCATTTGCGCAAAATCCAAGGATTTGAATGTTCTTGGAACGAATTTTGGAAAGATTATGCTGTACTTCATCCGGCTCATTGAGATATCTGTTGATTGCTTTTCCAAGCAGCACAGGTCCGCTGACAGCGAGGTCAGCATGCACCTTTGGAACAATCCGGTTCGGAACGCCAGGGTAAAATTTTGATCTTACATTATATATGACCATGTCCATGGCAATTCTCATAATAGGGTGTTGTGGAACACTTCCAATGAATCCATTGTGAAAACCAAATCCAATCTTTTCCAAAGGAATCACAAAACTTGCATTTGGAGAAATCCATTTCTCAAAAGGTTCCATCAACAACATGTCTGCATCTGCATAAAATCCACCAAACAACCACAACATGGCATATCTCCAAAAATCAATTTTGAAAGCACCTGGAATTAAATTTCGAAATGCAAACACTTCATCTGAATCATTTCCAAAATGTTCAATTAAAATGTTCAATGCAGCATCATCTCCAAAATATTTGTGAGTATAATTTGGATTGAGTATTTTGAATGAATTCATCGCTTTTTTCATAGAGTCCGATAATTCATCTTCTGACGAGGGAATGTACGACTGAAAAATTATTTTGGGTATCCCCTTTGCGCTCGGAACCTCATGTAATTTTTTAGTTTTTTTCAAATCACTGCAATTGATTGGGTGCATGATGTGTGCTTCTCTTTGAAGTGTTGCAATTGGAGAGGATTTTCTTCGTATTGTTATTTTCAGAGAGGTAATCATCACCAAACAAAGGATACCAATCACTGAGGCAGCACTCATCCAAACATATTTGATTTGCATTTTTGAGGCTCTTTTTTTTTGTTTCATCCGAATGTCCCTTAAGGAAGCTTTTGATCCGAAGATTGAATATGGTTGCTCATAATTTATCGTAAACGTGTTGAGATACATTATTCATACCGTTGCGTTGGACCTTATCTGGATGAGCATGGGCAGCCTCAATCAACAACACCTTTGAAAAGTTGTTGTGAAGAAACTTTTTCTCCATTTGGGGTTTGTACTGTTGGTGCATGCATATCGAAAGACCCAAATAGTTCAATCATCAACTCACAGAAAACTTAGTCATATAGATGAATAGTCTTTTGATCGATATTGAAAAAAGCAAGTCCGTTCATCTCACCCAAACATCCATTGTAGGCATTCATTCTCAAACGTGTGACCACTTGACCTGTTTGAAGGGATACAACCAGAGTTGGACTAGAAAAACAATGACATGACCATACTCACGATCCAATAAGATTCGAAACGTTTGAGTCTGTGAGGAGCTGGTGTGGGAGGAATGATCTTGAGGAATTTCGAACCTATTCTTTTCAATCCATTTGTATTGACACGAGTGGTGGTTGTTCGTGTTGTTATTTACCACTGTTGTGGATGTTGTTTCTTTCATTTCGAGTAGATGAATGATCGAATTGCAGCACACCAAAATGGTGGTGGTTTTGGAATGGGAGTTGAAAGGATCCAAGATTTGGATGGTTCGTGTATTCAGATCGCAACTTGTCCATGCACTACTACTGTATAATCCATTATTGGGAATGTAAAATTGATGAAAAGTACTCAACAGACTTCCATCGATGGAATTTAACATGACATATTCCAACATTTTCCACACAACATAAAATTCGATTCATTCCCAATTGTTGTTTTGAATAATGAATGGTGAGTTCTCCTGTTTGAAATTCATTCCATTCACGATTCCAAACTTGTGTACATTCTTGTTCTCCTCGTGACAGGTGCACTTTAAACATTCCTATGTGTTGTGAAAATCAAGTAATTTTGTGTTGGATCAGTATTTGCTCTGAATCGATTCATTGGTGAAGATTCCTCTTCCACACACATACACAATGGAAGTGTACTAGGAATGGCTGAATAATGATATATTCGTTTTAAATATTTTCGTGTCAGCAAATCAAACATGTGAATCTTTCCTCATCGAAAATCACTCACGATCAATGCCTGACAATTGTAGCTGATTTTAATATCATACATGTTTGCGATTGGTCTATGTTCGATTTCGGAAATGATTTATTGGCAAGGTATTCAACAGGTCATCAAAGATCATCTCCGTCTCAGTGCGGATAAGAATTGTGTTGAGGGAAATTCTTTCAAGCAGGCCAATGACACCACTCTTTTGAATCAACTTCCATGATTTTGAACGAAATATAAAAGCTGGCGAAATGCACACTTTGGGTTTGGCTTCTGGATTTCCATTTGAAAATTCGTCAAATCAAAATCTAGCCGAGTGTGTTGTGGCCAGTATGTTATTTTGTTCAACTCAACAATAAACTCGTGATGATGAAAAAAAATTATAAAGCCTTAAAAGACTCCTCATCGAGCGCTCAAAAAAAATGGTGGTGGCGGTCCCGTACAGAAACTATGGACATTTCATCATTGGGTTGTTGGTGTTCGTCAGTGGTATGTGCCTGCTTGCTTGGATGAGGCGAAAGCCTGCCATGAAAAATCCGTATGAGAAGGATTTCATTGGTAAACACAAGTGCTCGTTTAGACCAGCAACATCCATCAGGTATGACCCTGCTGATGATTTGTCCAATCGGATACCTCAAACCATTATTCAAACCTATAAGCCGAGTTCTATTGAAAAGTTACCAGAGTCCATGAAAAAAGCGATGAATTCATTCAAAATACTCAATCCAAATTATACTCACAAATATTTTGGAGATGATGCTGCATTGAACATTTTAATTGAACATTTTGGAAATGATTCAGATGAAGTGTTTGCATTTCGAAATTTAATTCCAGGTGCTTTCAAAATTGATTTTTGGAGATATGCCATGTTGTGGTTGTTTGGTGGATTTTATGCAGATGCAGACATGTTGTTGATGGAACCTTTTGAGAAATGGATTTCTCCAAATGCAAGTTTTGTGATTCCTTTGGAAAAGATTGGATTTGGTTTTCACAATGGATTCATTGGAAGTGTTCCACAACATCCAATTATGAGAATTGCAATGGACATGGTCATTTACAATGTCAAGCACAAGTTTTATCCTGGTGTGCCAACTGTTCTCAAAGGACAATTTCGAGTACTTGCTGTAAGCGGTCCAGTGTTACTTGGAAAAGCAATTAACAGATATCTCAATGAGCCCGACGAGGTAGTCCATAATCTTCCCTTAATGAAGGAAAAAAGAATTCAGGTCATTGGTTTTTGTGCAACCTCGTCCAAAGAAGAAGATATTTATTATACAGATCAAGCTTCGTCTTCAACAACTGGTTCTTGTCAAGGAAATATTGTAGCTAGAGTGAAATATCCAGAATTTATGCAGGAAAATGAAGAAGTGACTAAATCAAAACATTACGACCTGCTGTTCCAAGCTAAAAAAGTGTTTGCCTGAAACAAATTGGAAGAGTCATCGAACGGCCTGTTGTTTGAGTTCATCTGGTGGTTTTGAGATGTTGTAGATCATCAAAAACAATGACTCTTTCAGCAACAAATTGCAACGAGAATTAAGAGTTATGTGTGTTGGGTGTTCAAAAAGAACTTATGCTGTAAATTGTTTAATGAGACCATTTTCTCAACTAATGATCCTTTACAAAGGTTTCCATTCTCTCATGAATACTTCTTGCAATTCTTGTGAGCTTTTCACTTTGGTTAGATTTTGGTACTGGTTGAGGAATGGTTGTAGATAAATCTTGATTTTCATGACTTGATACAGAATCACTTTCATTTGCTACTCCATCAAAACCAATGGTTTCAATCAATCTCTTTCGAATATTCTTTGAAATAGATTTCACATAATTGAATGTGTCATATGAATTTTGGAAAGGGACAAATCGTGTTGTGGGCTTAGGAATAGGTTGTGGTTTTGGCATTTCCTGATGATTGTTCTCTGAAGCTCTACTTTCAGAAGAAGTATCTGAAAAGTGGATCAATGAGTAGATTCTTTGATGGATATTTCGAATAATCTCTGATTGGTTCAACAACATTGCTGGTGGTGCTCTTTCATGAGCGGTGTTCGTTTGAAAGTTTGAGTCGAATGAATAACGTAACATGACAATTCCATGACCACTGCTGCTACTACTAGTGCGATCTGCCACACGATCATTCTTTTTGACCATCAACAACTTGGAGGATTTTAGTTGTTGTTTCACCCAATCTTTCATAAAGAATGCAATCGAAGTGAAAACTAGTTGATTATCGTTCGTTCTGTAAGAAGCAAGTCCAACAGGGATCATGCGATCAGAAAGGTCATCATTACTTTGATTTTCATCATGTTGAGAATTCGATGGTGATTTCACAAACAAGATGGATTTCGAGAACCATTCGTCATCTTCCTGTACTTCCTTTTTTGAAAGATCCAACATGAGAGTAATTTCTTTCGCAAAATTGGAAGATTTGTGACGAAGAGAGTTTGCTGGTACTTTCAACCATTCGTTATTATTGGATGCCAATAAAGTGAATTCAAATTGAGAGGGATTGCGTTCCATTTCTTGTTCGAGAGCTTTCCATTGTTGGGTGAAACAATTGAAGTTCTCTCCATCATCGTCATGCACTTGAGGATTTCTCATGACAAATTGTTCATCCTCTTGCTCGACCTCAATAAGGGCAATATTATTATCCAAGGTGAATGGGTTAAACTTTGGATGAAATTTAATCTCTCGAATTTGTGTAGGTTCTTCCTGTCCATCATCCTCATCATCATCTCCATGAATGACATATTCTTTCACCATACGAATTCTCAATAAGGATGTTTGGATAGGAGTAAAAGCAGAAGCACCTTCATGACTTCTTCGAGAATTGCTCATCAAACAGTTGGCAGGAGCAAGCACGACCAGGGAGTGACCATTCCAACGTTGTTTTCGTACAACCACTCCAGAGCAAATGTGAAGAGGAGAGGAAAAAGAATTAATCTTGAAATCGATATGGGCAATTGATGATGAGGATTCTGAGAAGAATAAGAAGGGACATGAGTCTTGTTTCTCGCCATGGCTGATATTGGCTGTGCAGAGAAGACATCCAGCAAGTAAGACGAGAACAAACAAGACGAACGACCGTGTTGATGGATTCATCTGTTTCTTTTGTTGAGAATATTTTGAGAGCGTAATGTAATGGATAATGTTTCTATTTGAGTGACGTCTTATCTATCAACCTGAATAGTATGAGTGGATAACTAAGATAGTGTTACTGTGATATCCAATAATATTAATAATATATTAATAATTTAATATCCACAATTGTCCACAAGGTGTCATCATTCGCATGTTCAAGAACAAGAGCAAAATTGCATTGGATGAGCGTACTGTTGTTGTAGTCATGATTTTCCGTCTGTGAGTCGACTTTTATGATCAATCTCTTGTGCCTTTAAGGGATGACCTATTGTTTGTAGCCTTTAAGAATCTAGATTTGCAATTCATATCCTAGAGAGTAGTAGAGAGTAAAATGACCTATTTCACACTGAACTGAGCATTTGCTTGATTTCAAGGTAGCATATATTCAAACAGTAGGGGTGATGTAACCGGAACGAAATTTTTCATCAACACAAGCAAAACACTGCAGGGTTCGTCTTGTGGAGGCATAGAAATGAGAAGAGGGCTTGAGTGAACAAACTTGGATAATTCCTCGTCAAGACTTGAAAGTGAATTCATGTTAACGCGATTCGAAATTTCATTCAACATGAGCAAAGTTTCGTTATCATAAGAAACTACAGGATTTAAACATGATGCTTTCAGTGTTTGTCCGTCCTTCACCTGAATCACCAAAAATTGAAGCAGATCCGTTGGTCGCAACTCAAAGTTGTGGTTAAAGAAGAGAATGGTGGTCTGGCTGAATGGTCCACTTGATGGCTGTATGTTGTATTGATGTGATGGTAATGCATTGCTACCAGTCATATTCAAAACATTCATTTGACCATTCACGTTTTGTGATGAGCCAGCAAAATTTCCGCTATTGGCAGCCAATGAAGAAGCTCTCTTTTGTTGATTCAATAGTTCGCCAAGTTGTTGATTGACCAATTGTTGTCGCTGATGAATATGATTCAGCATAATTTGTTTTTTGAAATTTGAGTTTGCATCACTGGATTGGTCGGTACTTGGTGTTGGCTGAATAAAGAATTGGTTCATGCTCGCTGATTGTAATGATGATGATGGTGGAATGGTTATTGTCTTGTTATTAATACCGAGCTGATTGGTAGTGCTGTTGTTTGTATTATTATTATTATTCGATGATGTATTGTTTGATGGTAGAGCTAAGCCCGCAGTGGAATTCACCTGCTGTTGTTGAAAGGATACGGTTCTGTTAAATTCGTTGTTGTTTTGATTGGTTAATAGTTCAGATTCAGATTGTTGTTCAGCCCCTCCTTCGGATGTTGGTGCAGACACACTTAACCTCGTATTGTTGTTAATATTATCACGATTAGTACTCTCAGCAGAAGACTGGTTGATGTTTGGTTGAAGAACGGAATAATGGGCTAATTGGCTCTTGTGGTGATTGTGGTTCTGAGAAGCAAACAAAAACGAGGAGGAGGAGTTTTTTTTCGAGTAAGGTTGATTGGTTGGATGTGCACATGATGATTGGTCAAGATTATCCAAATCCTCCGAAGATGTGCAGATTGGTCGGAATATGTTGTGATCCAAAAGATTCTGACCGAGAGTTGAAGTGATATTTGTGTTGGAGATTCGTTGATGATTGCTGGATGACTGCAGGGTCAGGTTGTTGCAGGAGCTTTGCTTTGTGTGGTCATTCTCTTGTTCATCCTGCATTTGTTGTTCTTGATGCTCCCTCATGGAGGGATCATGCAAACAAGAATCCTTGAAATTGGCAACAACATTTTTGCTTCCGTGTTTGAGTTGTAGAAGGGAGCTAAGTTTCTGAAGTGAGGCTGGAGAGCTCAAAATGTTGTTGTGGCCTTTGTGATGCATCAACGCGTTGCATCCATGAGCAGTTGTTGCGGTGTGTATTAAGCTTTTCGCAACTCCGTGAGAGAACGGAGAGAGTTGTGCGGAATTGAGAAGAGCATGCTTGGTATTGTTCATTTGTTGATGCAAAGCGTTGAAACGAGAAGTAATGGTACTGTGGTTGGAAATGTTTGATGTAGGCGTTTGGCTTTGCATGAAAGATGAAAGTGAATCATTCTTTTGGGAGGAGCCTACACAGGAAGTAGTTTGAAGTTGGAGAGATTGGTTTGTACAGGGTCCATTATTGAGCATGAGGGCAGCATGAGAAGAGTTGTTCTCACTCCCAACGGATGCTGATGGTAGTAATGCAGGTTTCTCAATGGTTTTTGTGTTGGAACGATCAACATTCGATGAAGAAACGCTGCTGTAATTATTAAGATTCATAACGGCCAAACTGTTGCCATGATGGTGGAGTGGATCCGTGGTACTGCTGTCGCCTGTGGCCTCAAATGTTCTCTCACCAACCTCAATATCGTTCTCCTTCATGAGAAGCCACTCCAGAATCCAGTATTTCTCATCACTCAACATGTAAACCACACATTTAGGAACACGTTCCTTCTCATGAAGAGCCGAAGCTTTCTTGTGATACACAAAACCGATTTGAGTTACAGTTTGAGAACGGTCTCGGAATTGCACCACATCACCACACTTGTAATAAGGCTTGAAAGGGAGTGGTTGTTGTTGGTCTTGATGATGAATAAGATCGCTGAAAGAGGCGTAACTGGAGGTTGTGGGTATATTGGAGTCATCTAATGATTGCTGCTGCTGTTGCTGTTGAACGCGTGAGGTCTTTCCATGCGGATGACTATTTTCCAAATCATTACTCGAGAAAATTTTTCTCAACTTTTTTTTGTATTCATTCCCTTCTTTGTCGTAAATGACTGACTTCTTTTTGAGGAGATGTTTGTCGTTATTACTATGCGTGGACTCGTTGGTGAACGGAGGTGGTTCAGAGGAAGTTGTGTTCATATTGGTCATGATTGAGCGAGTGTTGTGCGTGTATTGAAGAAGGTGTTGTTGGGTTTTCAATGTGATGTCAGATAGTACTATGGACCATGAGAGGGAATCGATCGGAGTGATGAACTAGTTCTACGCGGAGAGGAAATTTGAAGTCGTAGTATGTCGGAACTACTTCCAATGAAACAAAGAAGAAAGCAACACTTGAGATAAATAACAGAGCCTCTAGAGAATAGGTTCCGAAGCAATTGTTGGATATCCAACGGTGTGTACTTGATGACTTTTCTTTCGCTAAATTAATAAAATACCTATCGTCTTGATTGTCTGCTGCCTGTTTGTTAGACACCACCTCTCTTGATGCACATTAAGAATGAACAACATCAACAACGGAGATTTAATACGCTGTTCGTAGTTTTGATCATGGCATTATTACCTCCCTTGGAAATCGATGCGAAGTATCATCGGCAATTTTTGACGGCCTTTTAAGAATTTCTAAAAAGTCTTTCACATGTGATGCCATCGAATCGAGAAGCCACACAGCTGTGTGGAAAGTGAGAAAATCCAGATCTGTTCAATGGCTCACACGAAAGTCAATGGAAGGCAACACATTCAGCATACAAAACTCCTTTTAAGTCGTCATTCACACATTGGATATTTCTATCAACCTCTTCTTGGTGTTAGTCATGACATGTCCTGATGCCATTTTGAAATGAAAACGTTTAGGTGGTACTTCTCAATGTGGGCTGTGATTTAAATTTGTGTTCTTCTTTCACCATATTAATCTCAAAGTTAAATTCTATTCTTTTTAAAAAACTGGGTAAGAGGACTTAGCTCTTGAGAAATGTCTCCTGCTGAAATGTCGAGCGAATGACTGCTGGCAGAGTTGGGATAAGGGCAGTGATCAGCGCCACTAAGGTTGCCCAAGGTAGAACTTTCCAATCTTGTGGTAGAGTTGACAGTTGTGTCAACATTATTAGAAGAAGCATTAATCGTTCTAAAGAGAAATGTTGGAACGTCATCCTCCTCTTCATCATCTTCACAGGCGTTGTTGAGTCCTAAAAATTCGTCAGCACTTCGTTTAAGGGAAGTATTGTGCGTAGAGGGGAAGGTATAATGATATCTTGGATGTAGACCTCCATTATTGGAGCGATGATGATGCCGGTTCGGCAGCGTTGACACATTTCCTGACATTAAGGCACTTGCAAATGAAAAATCAGAGGAGAAATTAAGGTCGAAGGAAGAGGACGTTGAAGGGTTTGTTACGATCGGTTGAGAAGAGGGACTCGAGAACTGGAATGAAAAGGAAAAAGGATGAGGAGGAATAGTATTGTGAGTACTACCATTCGCCGCTTCAGTATTTGTGGTGTTTTGAATCGTTGATGTAGTGGCAGATGAAGAAGCCACAGAAGGTGACATGTTGGCTCCTTCGCAATTATTACTCGAATGTGCTTTCGATGGAGAATGAGTGTCACCAGAGAGAGGAGACAACTTATGAGTAGAATCAACATTAGGAGTATTGCCACTGCTGCTAGAAGCATGGATACAATCCGTTGCTTGAACAGAAGGGCTGTCACTAATTTGGTTATTATCAGAGTTGGTTATTATCATCATGGAATCTGTTTCAGAGGGGTGTGTAGTAGCTGCTGTTGTGGTGACGTCGTTCGAGGGTGTTGCTTGTGAATTTGCATTGTGATTGAGAGAAACGTTCCGTTGATGATGTTGCATACAATCTGAAGAATTGTTAGCCATATTACTATTTGTAAAAGTTGCATGATGGTGTTGTTGTGATGCCGATGTTGAAGGTGAAGTGGTATGGGAGGACGCAGACACAGTAGAATTTATATTATTACCACCATTGTGTTGAGTTGATGAAATTTCTTCCTGCAAAACTTGATTAAGAAAGCCAAGAATAGTCTCAACTGGAATTTGAATATTGGAATAAGGCGTGTTGAGAGGGGTGTGCTGATGATGCAAATTGCAATATTGAAGAAGCATGGTTGAAATTCTACGAATCGCCTTCCGAACTCCTTGTTGGTGTGACTTTCTGTACGATTGCAGGGACATGGTGTAAAATTGAGCAACGGAATTTGCAGATTGTACAAACTGTCGGTTGAGTTGATTCTCGTCCTCTACCACAGAATTTACATTATTGAGAGTGGTTTGGGAAAAAACCGTTGAAAATAAACTTGCAGGTGTAACCGCGGAAGTATGATTATGTGTCTGATGAATATTATTTGAGTTTTGAGCGGCTGAAAATGAATTTCCAATTTGTTGTTGATGCCTTGAATCATTATTATGAAAAGGATTTGATCCAACTCTTTGATTATTGTTATTACCATCAATAATGGACGAAGAACTCATAGAAGTGGTATGAAATAAATTTCCAAACGATGATGTGGTCGGTCCCGATGATGATCGGACCAAAGCGGATCTGCAGGCTCCTATTGATCCAGCACTGCTGTTGTGGTTGTTGTTGGTGGTGGTAGTGGTGGTGTTGTGATTGTTCAACAGAGTGTTTCTTGCAGAAGGATTCATTTTTTTTTGTTGTTTTAATGGAAATTCAGAAAGTCGCGAAAGAATTCAATCTCTCCTTCAAAAACAACAACAACCCATCCTCAACAATTTTTTGATGATTCAAAGGATTGATTTTCAGAGAGGTGTAGTTTTTATGGTGATAAGACTTGAGAAAACTTGTCCTCACAGAAATGAAAACCAGTATCAGTTACTCCTTTTAGTTTCATGAGAGTTTTTTTAATTTCCTTTCATTAAGGAATGAATCATCAAACAGAGTTCAGAACAAAATCGAAAGATACGACTTTATAGCATGAAGGAATCATGAAGGAAAACAATAGAGTGGTCAATCAAACAGTCAAAAGATTGAGTGGCCACTCAGCCGTAAAAGAACACTTGCTGCCTAAAGTGAGAAAGTGCTCTCTCATCTGACTTTCGGTTCATTGAATATTCGAGAGGTGATGTTTTTAGGGGGTGTTGGACCAAATAAATGAAAAGACAAAACAGTTCCCAGAAAATGGTACATTGACATTTGACACTCTTGAACGTTGAAAAAATTGTCACAACTTCCCGAGTTGAGTTCTCTCCTTCAACACACACCAATCGCCATGACACTGCAGAGTGACTGTGTTCATCGGTGCATTCATCATACGCACAACAATTATCCTACAATCTCTTCTTCTTTCTTCACTTCATGGTTCAATCCTCTTCGAATTTCTCTTCTTCCAACAAGTTGGCAAAAACATCTTTCAAACACCTCTTCCACTAATTCTCCTCCTCCTTCATCTCTTCTTCTTGTATTATTATTATTGATACTAATTCTAGTACTTGGTAGTTCGGTTCAAGGTGCCGAATCATCCATTGTGTTCATTTCTAGCAAATCCTCTCATCCATTGAACCATCATGATAAAATCAATTCACATTCCCAGAATCACCAATCTGACGTTCATCATCTTCATCAACCTTCTTCTTCCTCTTCTCATGAAGTGACTCACTTCCGTAAAGAAATTATTTCACCACCACCACCTTCCTCAAAAAGCAGCAACTCCCTATTATCGAATACATTTTCGAATGTTCGAACAACTTCTCAACAACAAGAAATTCCCATCTTTTCAATTCCTTCTTCTCTCACACTCTACTCGAACACACCTTTGCAAATTCCAATTCTTCTGACAAGTCCAATGACCACCAAAACAAAATTTGAATATTCTTGGAAAATTACATGTTGTTATTCGAGAGAACAACAACAACTTGTGTCTGATCAAGTGATTGTTTTAAAAAGTGGTACTTCTTCATTAATTTCAATGGGAGAATATGATCAAGATGTGATTGGAAATTTCACACAATTTTATCGAAATTTTGGTGTTTCTTCTTCTTATTTGAAAAATTCGAGTATTGGATGGCGAGTGGATTTGGATATTACTGGAAGAGGAGATTTTGATGTCATTACTTATCAAACTTCGAAAACTATTGATGTGAATTTTAAATTATTGGGAGCTCATGCAAGTATTAAAGGAGAGAATCAGGAATTTTCAATACGAGAGGGAACTACAAATGTCACCATTACTCCAATCATACAGAACTATGATCGATTATTTAAGAAAATTGATAAGAGTTTGATGGAATGTAAATGGAGTTGTCAATATATGGACACGACCAAAACTGATTTCAAGAATTGCTCAAATTTTGAATCATTCAACACATTTTCCAATTCTAATTGTAGACCCATCAATTTGGCAGACAAGATTGAAGGGAATATTATCAATGTTGATCATTTTCTCGTTGGAATTACCTATCGATATTTGAATTTGTACTATATTGAGTCTGAAAAGTACACAATTACTCTGATTCCACTTGCATTCAATGACAGCAGTCCTGTAATACTTAGTTTAGAAAGTAATATTGACATGTTGCAATATCATCCTCCCAACACGGCTGCCTTTCTGTATCCAGTTTTCACACAATTGGTTTACAATACTTCACAAACCAAAACATTAATTTTCTATTGGGAAAACGAACAAACTGGAGACTTTTTTCCGTATCGAAATTTAACACTTTCTTCATTGGAACCCAACACTCTTTACTCGATGAAATGCACTGTTTACTATGTGGGAAAACCTCAACAAAAAAGTTCAATGAGATTGACCTTTCGAACAGCAAATAGTATTTCAAAACCTACTTTTAATCTTTTAACTTCTTCAATCGAAGCTTTCACTACTCGAGTTCAGTGGAGTGGAAATTTAGGAACCTCGAGTGCCAACGAAAGTCTCTGTTTCACACAAGTGTTTGCTGAGACTTCCACTTATGGAAATGTGAGCTTGACCAATGGTGGATTTTTGTGTTTGAATAATGATTCATCGACGACTATTTTAACATTGCGGCTCCCATTAAGAAGAGTTGCAGATTACGATACGATCAAATTATATTTCATGATCACCGATGGAATTACTCAAGAATTGTTCACTTTCACTTCATCATCAAAGTCTACAGTGATTACCAATGTTGTTACAAGTGATAAGATGTCTCAAACTTTGTTGAGTGTGTTTAATAGCCAACAGTCAAGCACTTTTGAAAATGAAAAACCATTTCTTCCGTCACAATTACTCGTTGCAACTTATATCATGAATGACTTTTACACCTATTATGGAAAAGCAATACTAATGTCAACGTCTGATTATGGAGTGATGGCTTCCACTTATTCCACACTTTTGATGAACATGAACTCTTATTGTAACCAAGATGATTCTTTTTTTGAGAATGTGAAATGTTTAAGATTTTTAGGAGCCATGTTAGGAAGCTCTAAACTCACGACTACCTTCTCTACATACTCTTCGACACAACAATATTCATCAACAAGTAGTTTAATTTTCAGAGAAATTCAAAAATTTCTTTATAATCTTTCGTTGCGTTCAGGAACGATTCTCTCCGATTATATGACAAGTTTATACATGAATCAAGTGGGAGAGAAATATACAGGAGATTTCTTTGAATATATTCCACAAGCGTATCAAGCAATTTCTCCAGCTAGAGTATATGTCACCTTTTACAACAATTTGATTGTGGAAATGAATAGTAACACGATTAGTGACAGCTCATTCAAGTTATCTCAGTACATGATCAATAGTTCGGACAAGTTATCCTCTTTTAGTACTTCCTTTTCATTCATGACAAAGGTCAAATTGGACACATTTTCGATTCACACGACATTTTCCTTGAAAGATTCCATTCAAGTTCAGCTTCCAGAATTGATGAATATTTTACGCGCCTATTCCAACAGTGATACTTTTATTGTTTCTCTTCAAATCACTCCACCAAACAACGTGACAGATTCTCCCTGTGAAAATGTGAAAGTATCTTCCAAGAAGCTACAATTTCAAATCATGGATTCACAAACCAATTCGAAAATTCCACTCAGTAATTTAACAAGCCCAATTTTATTGAAATTACCAATTCTTACAGGATCTTCAAATGCCTCCTTAGGAAATTCATCCTCCTCCAAATGTGTCTATTTCGATGAAAGTCTTTCCACTTGGTCAACAAATGGATGTAATTTAGTGAACACAACACTCACTGATTTTTATTGTGAATGCAATCACACCACATTATTTTCAACTCTCACAAACTTGTCAGGAAACTCAAATATCACAACACCTGAAGTCACATTTACCTTAATTCCCTTAATTGTAATTTCATCTGTGACAGGTGGTGTTATATTAATGACACTTGGTGTTGCAACGATCATTCAATGTATTCTCCATCTCTATAGAAACACCAATTCTTTCGATTCTGTTGAATTTTTATTACCAGGAGAATTCAAACCACATTCACATCCGAGAAAAACAGCTTCTCCAAAACAAGAACAACCACCTGTCAAAACTCGATATCGAGATTTAACATTTGGAAAAAAGATTTGGGAATGTCTTAAAGAATTTCATCCCATGATTGGACTTGTCTTTCCAAAACGATATTTTAAAAGAATTCACATCAAAAAAGTGGATCGTCTCGTCATTCTCATGGTTATTTTCATGACCATTAGCACCACCAATGTGTTGTTACTCTCAACGAATTACACGACTTCCAATTGGGCAATTTCCATTCCAGCAGCCGTTGCATTAGGAGCTGCAGAATTATTTCAAATTCCTGTGATTTTGTGTGTTGCTGTGAAATCTCTATTTTGGAAAGTCACAGGATATGCCTATAGTTCTTTATTAGCATTTGCATGTTTAATACTTTCAATTTTAGGGAGTGCTGGAGTTTTCACACGTCAAAAATTGAATATGGATATTCTAAATTGGCTTTATAATACTTTAATTGCTCTCGCTTGGGATTTAATTGTATTGAAATTAACATTTGCAGCATGTATGGCTTTTCTATTGGAAATCAAAATTACAATTGAAGTGGAAATTGAGGAATATCGAAAGAAAAAGAGGCAACAAACTATGACATTAGATCAACAACCATCCTCCTCTTCAAACCGTCGTGTCATGATCACTGTGGAAAATAATGTCAAAATTCCAAAACTCGCCCTCCATGTGGGTCAATTTAAAAAGCCTCCAATTCCAAAACTCAATTTTCATGGAAAAATTGAAGGTTATACTTCTCCTAAAGACAACAATATTAATGAACTTTCTTCTCTACATGCATCTGAGAGTGAAAGAAGTGATGATGATTTTACTGCTACGACAAACACGAGTGAAATGCTTTCAGGTCATTATTTGAAACAAACTCCAAAAGAGAATTCAAACAATCATGTCAATAATCATGTCAACAATACTGTCAATCCAACAGCTACAACAACAACATTGGTGACCACCATTTCTGAAATGGATCCATCGAATAAGAATGAAACAAATTCAACACATGTCTTTTCGAATAATTTAACAAACGAAGAGAAGGACATTGAGAAAATGAATGATTTCGACCAACAATTAATTGTTCATTCTTCACAACAACAAGAAAGTGATAAATTGACGACAACATCAAAAACTGAAGATTGTAATACTGAAGATTTGTCACAACGGCATTCAAATGATGAAAATGACAACATTCAATCATCCACTCCTCAACAACCTCAAGAAATCATTTCTAGCAATTTTGATCAAACTCTTGATGATGAACATTCAAAAGACACAACGAATTGTGACCTTTCCATCACTATGGAAAAGAATGAAAAAGATGTGAAAAATCATGACGATTCAGAACTCGTGTTGAATTCTGATGTGAAATTGGATGAAAAGAAATCTGAACAATCTTGTCAAGAAGATCTTTCAGAAAAAACAACAACTCGTTCACAACATGTTGATCAGGACACGATAGTGGATGCTCCACATGTTGTGAAAGAAGAATTGAATTTAGAATTGAATCATTCTAACACGTTCATTTCTGATAATGAAATTCAAAAAGTATTGACATCCAACACGTTCACTGAAATTATTGTCATTGATGACCAAGTATTAACAACAGAAAAGAAAGATGATTCTCCACTACTCACCAATGCAACACAAGATGTTTCTTTGATTATTGAAAAATTCATCAAACAACAACATGAATTCAACACTCGAGATTCACAACCTCACGAATGTTTTAACATGTCATTCTTCATGAATCATCTGTATTCAGATGTGAAGATTCAATTCACAGAAATGAAACAAGATTGCAAGTTGAAATATGATTTGACAAAACCAAATTTAAATGAAGAAGAAAAGAAACACTTTCCAAAAGAAAAGTGTAATAAGGACATTTTGGAGTATATTTCTGAAATATTGAATACTGATGAGACAAATGACATGTCGAATTGTGGTGATGTTTCTTCGAATCAATATGATTTAAATGACATCTTTTCAGAAATTCCATTTGAAAAACTGCAAGGAAAAGCCATTCATGAAATTTTGGTCTTAATTTCAGAATACGAATCAGAATTATTGCTTCTCATGAACAGTGGTGGTGGAATTTTATTACCTCCTTCACTTGTCATTTCCTCTCTAGTCAAGAATGCAACTAGTCTCAAAAAAGGAATTACAAATGTCAATTCTCCCATTTCACGTGGTGGTGGTGGTGGTGGCGGTGTGAATTCTCCAACATCACCCATTCGAAGTAATTCCATTTCAAAGAATATATTGGCAAGTGCTAGTAGTAGTAGTAGTAGTGGTAATTTTGGTCTTTTTAGTGCCACTGCTAAAGTCATTCGTGGAGGTGGAGTTAATTTAGATATTTCCACTTCTTCATTGGATCATCATGCAAATACTCCAAAGAAGAAATTGAATTTCCCAAATAATAACCAAGTGAACAATAGTAGCAATCTAATTTCAACTCGTAGTTCAAATTCTTTAAATTCTTTAACTGGAGGTTATTCGAGAAGTAGAACATCGAGTTTTTACAAACCTTATGAAATTGAGGATCACATGATTCGAGTTCACACTCAATTTTTCAGTCGATTCAGGAAATTTATTATGAACCATCCATCTGCCAAATCATTGTTCTTGAATCAGAGTACAAGCAACAGCAACAACAGCAGCAGTCAATCTGATATTCTCGAGTCGAAACGAAAAAAGGCACTCAACGAACTGTTATTGTTACAAACTGTTTATTTACATTTCAAATTGTTGACAGTCACTACAGAAAGGAGAAAATTAATGGCCAAACAAATTATTGCCAAATTCGTGAGCGATGAACAGGGAGAATATTATGTCAATGTTGGATTTTACAAACGTGTCTTGTCATCACTCATTGCAGATGAAAATTTGAATGCAAATTGTTTTGAAAGAGCTTGTGAAATTGTGGAAATTTCTTTAAAACCAATCCTTGCTGCCTTCTTGAATTATCTGTGTGGTCATATGCAAGAAAAAACAATGAAGGATCACACACAGGCAACAAGTGAGATACAATCACAGAATAATACTCCTCATTCCAATTTCCATGGTGAGGAGGACCAAACCAACAAGTTGAAACAAGATCAACATCAAGACATGTGGACGGTGTAACGTGAAAACCAAACTTCCAAAAGTCCATGAAAATAAATTTCACATGAAAATCAATATTTACACAAAAAATTGAATCTAAATATTGTATTACAGACACAATCGAAAAGGAAATTTTGAATGAATCATGATGGGTGTTGAAGAGCTCAGAGAGGTGCCACTAGATGATCCTCTTACTGGAGTCTTGTTGGTTTTGAGAAGATTGAATTCAGCAATAATAAAGGAAAGGACTGGATAAGATGGATTTTCTCGAACAAGACAAGGAAGTCTTGTTCCATTGTTGTGATCGTGACTTGGGTTGTTGGGAATAAGTGTGACAAACCTCTTGTTGTGAATTCAACGATCGGAAAAATGTTTGTGGTGGTGGTTGTGAAAATGATCCAAATTGGGGCATTCTGGACAGCAATGTACTTTTTTGAGAGACATTGGTTGAGAAGGAAGTACTTGTTTCCATCCATTGAGATGTCAACCATTGTTGTTGCTGAATGAGCTCTTGGCTGTCTTTCATGTCACAACGTTGTTGTTCCAATTCGTAGGCCGTTTGAAGCCAAATACTCGCCTTGGAAGGTGCATCTTTTGAAAGAAGTCCACCAGAATGAAACAAATTCTTCCAATAGTCGTGTTGAGTCGTGTTTCTGGTATGTCTGACATCTTGTTGTTTGTCATGGTTGGAGTGACCATCTTGGAGAGTGGAATTAAAATATTCATCAAGAAATGGTCTCAAGGATTTTTGGAACATCTTTTCCTTCAAGTTGTTCTTGCTGAAATTGGTCATGGCGAAGGAAGTGGTGGACTTATTCTCCATCGCGCAACAGAAATGTATCCAATATTCAGTCCATTGATTGTGAGCAAGATAAAATTCAGCTTTCCATTTTTGTTCCAACATGGCATTTCGTTTCACAGGTTTGAAAATCAAGTCTTTGTCAATCGCGGAATAATTTGGTTGATACTTGATCGAAGAATAGGTTTCAATGATCAAGTTCATCATTCGAAACTCGAATGTGTGACCATCAAATAAACGACCTTCTGAGACCTTCACTTTTGAGCTCTCCAAATACCACGCTGGCTCTTTAAATTTTTGTTTCGTTTCCAAAATGAGTTTTCTAAAGTCCATAAGGTGAGCTCGTTTGGAATCAATGGCATCTGCAAGTGCTTTGGCTAATAACTTTTTCAACTCAATATCATCACTTTCTCGTACAAGCATGTTACAGTAAAAAATTTCTGAAATAAGGTTATCCTTATGGATAATACAATTCACATGTTCATTAATAATATCATGATGTGAAACAGGTTTGTTTGTTTCAATGGACGTATGGCTATCATAATCAACTTTTGGAGATTCCTTGTCAAACAGTGCAATTATTTCTTGATCGAAAATAATCACATATCGGTCACTGAAAACTCAATGTGCTCTCACATTCATCAAATAATATCATACTGAATATATTTCACTTACCCATCTAAATCACCACCTCCCATAAATTGATGAATCGACTTTTGTTTGTAACACTTGGGAAAAACAATAACATTCTCTCTGGAAGACAAGTATTCAGCTTCTTCAGCAGTAAATGTGTTAGGAAGGGTTTTTACAATTTCAAGTTTCATAATATCACCTTGATAGGCAAGAGGATTTCTGTATACAATGACATGTTGTAAATTGTGATAGTCACGTTCTCCAAGAATGTTACGGATTTTTAGGCATGCAATGAACACTTGGTTTGGGCCAAGTTTTCCAGTTTCATCAATGATTCCAATTAAATTAATGCATTTCTTGATTTTGAATTTAAGCGAAAAATGATTGAAAAACAAAGATTGACACTTTCTCTCTATTCTTTTCATAATCCACTTATGAATGAAAGGATTGTCCAATCTGTGACCTGCCAATAATAAACTTTTCACTTTGCTATAGATAGAATCTTGGTCAAATGTTGTGCTTGAATTAACATCATTCAGCACGGATGAATGTTTGAGTTGTGACCTATTCTCTGGATCCAAGCACAGCTTCTCAACCAAATATTCATCCAATCGTGTTAAAAATATTTTTTCCATTTCTTCTCGTTTTGAAGTTAATTGCAACATGCAAGACATGAAATGAAGATTGATGCTTCCACCAAAAATCCTAGAAACCTCCAAAACATCAAAGTTACTATAAATATTTGTGTTTCCAACAAATTTCTGCATAGATTTTCTCATCACACACCGCACTTGGTCGTTAAATCCATATTTTTGTTGCAATAGGTTCCAAAACTTCATTGGAATTGCTTGGAGGACACCCTTAAAACCACCCACTCGAAATTGCATCGCTACAATATGATCAATCTCACTGTCATCAATGAAACGAGAAACGTCTCCGTCATACAGAAATGGTTGCTTCTCTGTGTGAATTAAAATATCTCGAAAGTAATCTTCTCGTGCAAAGCCACAGCCATCAACACCAGGATAATCTTGTTCATCATCCAAAATAAATAATTCTTCTGTTAGTAATTGTTTCCTACTGAAAAAACTCTTGCCACTATTTAAAGCCAATCGGCTCAATGCTTTTCTTGGACCTTTTTTTGCAGCTTCAGAGAAATTGCCCAACATGGATACCAAATATACGTGGTTGATATGTGACGAGATAAACAATGATAAACCTGTTCGACTGCAAAGAGAAGAATTGCTAGAGGTGAAGAGCTTGTATCGTGTGCCGTTATAAACAATACCATGTTTGCAAATGTGTTCCACGTCATGGGCATGTGAAGAGACATACTCTTGCGTAAAGTATAGATACAACATGGCACGTCCTAATCCAATACTCATTAAAATTCTTCCCAATCTTGTGTAGGATTGATAGATGGAGCTACAGTTGTATGAGGTTTGTTTTGAAACAAGTCCATCATTATCAATGTGTAAAAAGTATCCACCGTTAGGTCCTTCATGGATTTTTCCAATTAGAGGATATTGATTTCCCAAAATGTGATTTAGGCCATCAGTTATTAGAAATAACTGGCCCAAATCAATATTGGTAATTATTTGTTTTCCAAGGTATGTATTAATGTGTGGTTCAATTTGTGACAAGAATTTCTTTTGAAGATCCGTACGAGAATGACATGTTGAAATTTTCTGAACATCAGAACATGTCATGGTACTACTTGGTGTTGTGAAATTCTTTTCCTTTTTCAATTCTTCTGTGACAAAAACCTTGTTGGTGACATTTTGTGACACACAATTATTATCAACTGAAAGAGAAATATCAGCAAGTGCATTTCTAGTTAAACCTTGAGAGCTTAATTGAAGAGTATTGGTATCTTTTTCAACTTTTCTCTTTTTCTGACTTTGCAAACATTCCATATTTTCTTTAGGTTCGATGCATTGTGAATTGTGGTTCGAGGAAAAAACATTTCTCTCACTAATTAACGGCATGCTTGATTTTCGTTGGTAAGAACGGCATAGTGACAAAAATTGTTGTCGTTTCATCTGTTGGTAAGCATCTTGATATTTTGGGGGAGGAATAAATACTTGTTTGGGTCGACGAACATTGGAAACTGAATGAACAGGTTGCGGGGAGTTGATGGTTGAGCATTCCGAAAGTGATGATACCATTGATTTGGACTCGGATTTGATCGTGATATTATTATTCTTGTTATGAATAGTAGTAACATTTAAATGATCATCATGATTGTGAATCAATAATTTCTCCTTGTTGCAATCATCATCATGATGTGATTCCGGTGAATCAGATTCAGATTTTCAAGTTTTATTTTTTGAATTGAAAAAAAATAAATTTTTGAAAACAAAAAAATTTGTTGTTTTCCCGTCGACGTTGTGGTGGACGGGATGAGATTTTTGAAAGGAATTGCAACGACGGGATCAAAACCATCCTCTCATCATCATGGTGGTGAGCCTCAAAAACAACAGAAGGATACCAATTTCAATACCAACATTTTCAATAATTATTATTTGGACAATGGTGCTAAATTGGCCTTTCGGAATTTGTTGAACGAACATTTAGATCTTTTTCATATGATCGTAATCAGTGGATTTTTGAGATTTGATGAAATATGTCAATGTGAGCGAGTTTGCCGCAATTGGCAATTCAATATTGCGGAAGGAGGTGGTTGGAATATGTTTTTCAATTCTCTTCCTTTAACCTATAAAAAATCTAGATCTTTAAGAAAATCCTCATCGAGAATTGAGGCTTATGAAAATGAATGCCACAAACCTCACACCCTCACCAAAATGGATATGAAGAAATTCTTTTTAATGATTTAAAATTTTATGTCTTTGGATGATTGTGGTAGCGTTGTGACCAGTATTGATATTGAGGAGGATGAATCTATCCAAACACGTAACCCATTATTGGATTTTGTTTCTGAAAAATTTTACAAACGTGTTGGAGATGCCAACTTGAGTTTCATTCCTTTAAAATTGCGAAATGATGGAACATGGTTTACTATTGCAAATTATGAGCTATTTCACACACCGTGTCAAAATGACAAGATTTTGCTGCATTCAATTGTGTGGTCCCAAAGAAGCTTTTTTCAATATTGTTTTTATTTCTATCCGGAGATTTATATGGAAGGAAGTTTTTTCAAAGGCGAGAGTGCCATGAACAAGTTGTTTTTATCATCCTCTCGTTCTGTAACATTGAGTGACGAAGAAATCGCACTGCAACCAGAAAATGATAACTTTGGAAGAATTCGAAAGACGTGTCAAAAATTGAAGAAAATTGAAACTTCTGAAAAATTTATTCTAAGATATTTAGATGACCAATTTTTCCACAATCCAGAGATTGAGACCATTCAAAATCCTGTTCCAGAGGCCATTGATTATGCATTCAATCATCAAATTGAGAGATTTCTTTTCAATATTTGGTCCAACGGCTTCCTTCAAACAAAAGCCATTCAGAATTATGTTTTTAGATTATTCATTCACCTCGATGCTCCAAGATTTGATTTTCACACTATCAAATTTCACGATACAGCTGCTTCCTCTTGTCCTAATAAGGAGGCCATTTTGGGTGTGGAAGCATGGATTGAAGACTACCTTACCAATCAAACTCCAGAAAACTCTGAGACGTTTTATACCTTTGTAGAAGAGAAAGGAAAATTAAGCGGCTATAGCTGTGGTCAATCCGATCACTCCTATGTGTACTAGTGATGACACTCACTAAGGAAAAAGACACCCGTATGACACATGGCTGTCATGTGAAACGAGTACGATATACATTCTATCATTATTCATGCCGAGGAATGGCATTGAGTTAATTGACAAAATAATTATTAAGAATGTCAAGCATGATGTTTCAACCTTTTTGATGTTTCCATCATCCAACCGAGATCTCAGCTCTCACTCTCTCATCACCCAATTTTGATTTTCAATATTCGTCGTCTATGATGACAACATCAAAAAAATGAAAATTTTGGTAACAGGCGGAGCTGGCTTTCTCGGTACGTTCTCGAACTCCTCTCACACATTCTTTCTCATTCCAATGATTTGCATCATCCATTGATGATTATATTATATCTCATGTCGTGAATATAAATGATTCCTATTTTCAACCATATGATATTCATATACCAAAATGATGATGATTTGTTCACCACCACCACCATAAATAGGAAGTCATATGGTTGATTATCTTTTAAAGCAGAGCAACAATCAAGATGAAATTTATATTGTGGATAATTTGCAAACTGGATCCTTGGTGAATTTGAAACACTTGAATGATCTTCCCAATGTTCACTTTATCCAAGCCGATGTGATTAATGCTTTGAATGATGATCGAATTAGCAAGCTTTCGGGAATTGAACAAATCTATCATATGGCTTGTGCTGCCTCTCCTCCGCACTACCAAAAGGATCCTATTCATACAACTCTTACCTGTGTGGTTGGAACCTATAACATGCTCACTTTGGCAACACAATGGAATGCTCGTTTTTTGATTACCTCTACGAGTGAGGTGTATGGAGATCCAGCCATCAACCCACAAGTTGAAACATACTGGGGAAATGTGAATTGCACGGGAACTAGATCATGTTATGATGAAGGAAAGAGAACAGCAGAAACTCTCTGCTTTGATTTTAATCGAACTAAAAAGACTGACATTCGTGTCGCAAGAATTTTCAATACTTATGGACCTAGAATGAATTTGACTGATGGTAGAATTATTAGTAATTTTGTTTATCAAGCACTTAAGGATATCAACATCACAGTGTACGGATCAGGTCATCAAACAAGAAGCTTTTGTTATGTGAGTGACCAAATCGAGGGACTCTACAAGTTAATGAATCAAACAAACACAATTGGTCCTGTCAACATTGGTAATCCTGATGAACACACAGTGTTGGAAATGGCTCAAAAAATCCGAGCTTTGATTGGAGAGACTGAAAATAACAAGATTGTTTTTCATGAACTTCCACAAGACGATCCAAAGGTTAGAAAGCCAGATATCACAAGAGCCAAGACATTGATTGGTTGGGAACCAAAGGTTGGTCTCGATGAGGGTTTGGCATTGACCATTGAGGACTTCTCCAGACGAGTTAAGGAAGAGGCGGATTTATTGAACTTGGAAAAATAAAGGAATTTAAATTGAATTGATTTTGTGCAATTTTCAATGATATGGTACAGTTAGTGACGACATGGCAATCAATGGAGCGGATTCCATCATTATCTTCAGCCACATCTTCATAGTGCTCCTCTTCGTTTCGAATTTGATCCAAATTCTTTCAAATTGTGTAATATTCAACACTATAGTACAGTTAGAGACGATATGATACAAAGTTGTCACTAGTAGAAGAAAAATTCACACTGTGCTGTCATCGTTTGACGCTCGTTCTTTGCACATGCTTTCTTTTGAATAAGGTTGTAGAATCCATTTCCGTATTGGATAATATCACATTATTTGGATGACTTGTCACAATGATAGCAATTTCATCATTCCCAAGATTAAACAACGGAGCGGATTCCATTGATGATTGTGGTGTTCGGAATGGACAAAATGGTCGCTTTCTGGGAGGAGAATGATAAAGAGAAGGTTTGAAATTTGGAACTGACTGATGTTTGTGTATCGAAGATTCAGACAAGTTCAGACATCGATCATTACTACTGTTACTACCCACACCACTGTCTGATTTTCTTCTTGATCTGGACGAATTTCCAAGATCCAGCTCGTCAAACAATTGCTCTGAATTCTTGAATAACCATTGGAAAGCTTCTCTTGAATGAGGAAGAATTCCACGTTCAATGTTTGTTTTCTCAATTCCTTCCTTCTCATCCTCGCTGTCACTACTGCTTTCACTACTACTACTTTCCTCCTTACGAAGGAGAGAAGGAACAACGATGGATGAGGAGATCTTGATCTGGGTTTCATTCTTCTTCTTCTCCTCTTTAGAACCAAGAAAGATGGTCGTGTTGTTCTTTTTACGTCGGGGATGCGAGTGGTTCAATGTGATTTTCTGAATGACCTTCTCCTCGTCTTCATCCATAAAGGGATAGGTCTTGTTATTTGTTTTAAACTTGGATGGTAATGATCCAAATCTTGTGATCGTGGAATGAAGGGATGATCTCCAATTCCCATCGAAAGAACCATGATCCGAGTTGTTGTTGTTGTTCATGCAGGCTTTTGAGCGAAGGATTGGAAGGGATGATTCCAAATCATGGCTCTGATGATGTTGAGGTGGTGGTGATGATCTTTTAAGGAAGTTCTTATTTCTGGGTTCCTTTAAAAGAGAAATGTGCTTGAACACCATCGATTCATCATCATCTTCCTCTTGAACCGATGGCTTTTCTGAGTATTGAACCTTTGGGCGAGTTTGGATGATCGAGGAGGAATAGGAGATGGCACTCTCTGAGGAACGCCTTGACGAATTTGAAACGTCTTTACGAAGTGAAGAAGAAGAAGAAGAAAACTGTAGGTTACCCATGTTTCGAATGATGAGGATGAAGAAACTTCTTCACCTTTTTTATTATAAATTTGGGAGAAGATGAATCATTCGATTCCTTAATGATCGTGAAAGAAACTTGCGTTGTTTTTACAATGGATAAGGGTGCGATGGAAAATTAATAATCATTGAAACTGCAACATGACCTCGCGACGGTTCTGTAAAAAGGTCCTTAAATGGATGTATTTGGCATCTCCAAAAATGTTTCATGTTTCCTAATTAAAACTTTTACTATAATAGTTGGTGTCTATACAAGTATACTTCTCTGATATATACATTACAAATGAAGAGTACCATTCTCTTCAAAGGTTTTCCATACCATATTATCATTTCGGACCTTAAATCCAAAGGTTTCATTGTGTTGCAAGAGTTTCGTTCCAATTTTGGTAAACTCTTTGGCTCGATCTTTGATCATGGCCTTAATCATTTGTTTCGGAATTCTACCTTTCAAATCCATATAGAACAATTGAGAGTACTCGGTCGAGGTGGGAGAAACTTCTCGGAAGGCACATCCACCAAACGATAATCCTCGGATCACATTCTTGTTGTCCTCCTTTTTCCCCAAAACGACCTCAAGTCGTGACGGTTGACATTCGGTCAAACCTTTCATGACGAGGTAATAGGTGGAAGTGGTGGCATCATAGGCTCCACTCTGAGAGGTTACAAAATCTCGATCGGTGAGAGGCCACACCAATTTGTACTTTTCATAGACCAGAACTGAGGACATTAGAACAGAAGCACTCGAGAAAGAAGAGGAAGAGGAAGGTGGACCTTGTCGATGATGATGATGAGGAGAAGAAGACGAGCATGAAGACGAGCATGATAAAGCACTCATCGTAGAGGAGGAATTCAACGTCGAGGAGAAATTCTTCTCCAGATAAGCAACTCTCTCGGTATGTGTGAGATGTGTCTCAATCTTTCTCCTGTATTCCATTTCAAACATGGTGCTCATGACCTGAGAGACATGATAAGGGAAAGTAACGTGAAATTTGAAAAAGTGTAATCCTTCGGACTCTCCCATATCGTACGTTTTGGTGGAGAGGAAACACTTGTAATGAGAGTTGGAACCAATTAATTCCCAATCGTTGGGATTGTTGGAAACAAATTGATTTTTCACAAATTTGAAATCTTGTAAGGTGACATGTTCGACTCGCAATGTATCATTTAAGGCATCTGCCATCTGCAAGACACTGTCACATTTCAAGGTGCCAATTTCATACAATACTTGTAAGGGTTGTTTCTTTAAAAACTGTTTAAAGAAATCTGATTCCAAAAAGGCAACAAAATGATTTTCTTTGAGTTGTAACAACACTTGAGATTCGACTTCATCAAACAATGATTTAGGACAAGTGGAAGTGGTGTTGATGCCACTGCTACTCATGTGAGATGATTCCAAATGATTGGAATATCCTCCTCCAACGCTGGAGGAATTGGTATAGGAACTCGCACTGCTGTTCGAGGAATCGATGGAATGTCTATTATTGTGGTGGTAGTTGTTGTTAGTTGTGCATACGGCTGGATCGTCATTCGTATGATTACTATCACATGATGAACCTTTTTTCATGGGAAGTTTTTGTGGAGGGGTAAGAGGACTTTCACTGGTCTCCATCATGGTGGTGCTGTTTGATGTTGTCGTGATTGACAAAGTTGTGGGTGTGTCCATTCCATGATGACTATTATTGAAAGAGTTATTGTTATTGTTGTTCGTGGTGGTGGTGATGCTGTTGTTCATGGACGATCTTTTTTCTTGACTCGACGAAGAAGATGACACCACAACGGAATGCAAGGAATGAACACCATTCTCCATGGGTTGTGTGGTTGATTGTTGTTGTTGTATTCCAGCATACTGATCTAAGGATGAAGAATGAGAGGAATGTAAGGGAACTGCCTGATGTGGAAAGAGTACGTTATGAATTTTCATTCGAACATCTCTTCTCAAATTGGGTTGACTCGACGCTTGATCGGCAATGAACTTGTCATACATTTTCAATGCCAATTGTATGCGCTTTCTCTCGTGTTTCATTTTACGAAATTCATTGACACTCGCCAAGAATTCACTACTCTCCGTGTTCATGGTCTCTTTGAGATAGCGTGTAAAGCATTCGAGAGTGGGACCATAATCAAAGAGGGCTTCGAAATGAATGTCAAATTGTGAAATGTCTTCTTCAACAATGAGACGTTTCTTATTGTTGAAAGCGGCGGTTGTGGAGTGGACCATCTGTTGTTGGGTGTGTTGAAAAGTCAATGGAAGGATTATGGACGGTTGGGTCTATTGGTGGTATCACCTGTTGATGATGATGAAGATGATAATTGTAATGATGTATGTAACAGAAAAAGAAGAATCAAAGTAGACAAGAGGTTTGAATTTTTTTGGGTTTGAGGTAATAGCGTCGAACAGTGTTCACATCATTCTTGTCATTTCCACTGAAACAAAGATGCATGCCCAAACAAGACTGTTCATACTAAATGCGAAACACCGATGAACTTGGACATTGCGTCCTTCTATTGACTTTTCAAATACATGCACCACTTGAAGAAGAATGAAATGCGGTTCGTGTTGGTGGTGTGGAGAGATACTTGGGAGGTATGAATGCGGAATGATGCTGCCAATATTGAAGCAACGACGTGATTGCCATTTTTGCAAAAGTCTCAACGAGTGAATGACATTCAAAGATGGTAATAACTTTTGATATTGAAAAATTGTCTTTTTTGAAAAGCGAACAGGGACCAAAACCAATTCAACAACCCTAACCCAAACCACAACTCAATTAATTACACAACAAATCAACCCATCCAAACCAAGAACAATGTTATTTTGATAAGTACAGTTGTTGAGATCAGACCCAAAAAAGTAGGTTTGTATACCGTTATCTGTCACCTTAACCAACGATTGCCAGTGAGTTTGATGGTTTTCATGTCTTATATACTGAAAAATTACATATTATGTAAGCGGGTTTAGCGCAGTCGGCAGCGCGTAGGTCTCATAATCCTAAGGTCCAGAGTTCGATTCTCTGAACCCGCAAAATTTTTGGATCTTCAATAACAGTCCAAAATAATTGATACATTCTTTGGTTGTTCCAACAATGAACGCATGATTATTCATAGTAATGAAATCAGAGCACAAGCAATACAGTTTAATGCTAAGCAAACAACAATTTCATTCAACAAGTCCCTCTAACGAGTGTGTGATACCTATAGATTCAATCTTTGATACCTGAAAATTCGTATGATGTGATCGACAATTTGTCTGTCCATGATATGGTTGCATTGAAAGCAAATGAATTCGGCCAAAGTCCATATTACAATCCAATCGATTGGTTTTTTTATGGATTAAGAAAATTCTTCAATATACCCTTTTGAAATTCAAAAACATGGTTCACATTCACAAACCAACAATTCCCCACTTGTTTCGTTTAAACAAAGAGAGTATGGAAAATAGTTAAAAATCTCTTTGCCTCCTAATGAAGCAATAGGTTCAAAAGTATCGAATGAAAAAACCTGAACTCGATGATTTCCATTGTCACAAACTAAAATATTCCGAGAAAATCGATCGTAAAGAACAGCGCAAGGATCATGAAATTCACCAAGCTCATTTCCAAATATTGTCCAATGGTTTTGATGGAATTCCATTCTGTTGTATTCTTTATCTCATCGAAGGTCTCTTTTTTAAATATTTCTACTTTGTGAATCGATACTTGGCTTACCAGTAAATATTGCTCATTCTCCACAAATGTCAAACCAAATGGTTGCTTGACTGGAAATTTGTAAACATATTCCCCAGTCCTTAAATTCAAAACCATGACATGCTGAGCGCCATGATCACAAACATATAATTGTCTAGTTGTGTAAGAGATTGTAAGTCCTTGAGCCCATCTACAATCAGAGTTTTTCCAAATATATTGAATATCTTGGGATGATTGTGCATTAGAAAGAAATTGTTTCAAATCATATTTAAATATATTATCATAAGCACAACATAATATCATTGCATCATTATTTTCTCCGTCATAATTCTCTTCAATGCATAAATGACGAGGATGTTCTTTTGGCAAAAAAGAAATACTCGCCTTGTGTTCCTTTGTTTCCAAATCGAATACTTCAATTTTGCTGCTATCATAATCAGTGATCAGTATGATATTCAATTGATAGGATATTTGAATATCGGTAGGATCATTCACGGAGAGGTTGTTATTGGCATCCGATGGACGATTTGGAGAAAATTTGAAATATTCATGGAAAAGCCATGAACTCTCTTGCGATAATTTCTTAATTTTCTCTTCAATTTTGAATATAATTCATCCGAGTGATGAGAGTAATTGTAAAGAGTATTGATCAACATCAATCTTGCACCAACTTCTTCAGAGAAAGCTTGACTGAGCCGTCCTTCCATCATATTTTTCAATCAACGAAAAGAGGCCCAAGAATGAAAATTTAAAACGCAGCAACAACCTCAATCACCAAAAGAACTTTTTCCCAATTACAAATAGGCTGCGTGGAGAAATATGAAGATGAGGAAGCACTTAACAGGTACCATTCTCTACCACTACTTCACACTCGAATTGTAGGACTGCATTCTCTTTTTGCAAGAACTCTTAAATCATTTACAGTTCTCCTTTAGGAACAACTGGCACATCTATGAAAATTATTTCGAGGTTTATTTTGGAACATCCGGGACTGAAGCCAACAGCGCAACAATCTAATGGTTGACTTCCATTTTGGGCCTAACTATATTAGTCGATTGATATTAAGTTTGCCAAGTAATTGAAACAATTAATGTGTGTTAAACTTGGATTTATGAATCATGGTAAGTTTAGACTCTCAGGATACCACATTTTAATTTTCGCATGGTGATGCTTTGTTTTTACAGTAAATTATGATGAAATTCACAGTGAAAAACACAGGTTTAAATACGCTTTGATGAATTTGATAAAGCAATAAAAACAGAAATCATTCATTTCACAAAGCACTTCAACTTCAAAAAATTTGTATGGACCACCCACAATTCAAGATGTAACGCAATAATTCATATATTAAGATGCCCATATATATTTAGGCCCAAAATGGAAGGCAAAAGTCTGATTGCATACGCTGGCGATCCCCCTCCCGGGAACATCAAAGCGTATGGATTTGCATGTGGAGAGACCATGGATTGAGTCCTAACGACCGTATAATGCAAACTGCCTTCACTGAGTTGAATCCACATGGTCCAATCATTATCCATGCAAGGCCAAGGAATGAATCCACACACTCCTAGTAAAGAGAATGCAACCCATCATCTCTCTCGGATCACCATCTTCATTTTTCAAATTTAATTCTATTTAAAAAAAATACACAACAACACCTCTCTCATCATATCTTGCAAGTTGTTATTTTCCTTCTTTTGAGAAGATTGTGTTGTACAGCACTGGAGAGATTTGTATTCATCTCCCAAACGAAATTTTTCATATAACCGCTCTGTTCCTTCTTTTTTCGTAATTTATTATTATTCTCATTTCCTTTATCATGCCATCATCATTGCCATCAATAAGACCATTCGGTGATGATACCATTCCGATGGCCCTACAAGAGGATGTCATGGCTTCACCAGAGAACAAACGAACCAATTGGATCGTTCTACTGACTTCTAAACGTTTTGTATTGGGCATGTTTGCGGTGTTACTCCTCTCTCTTGTATTTTCATATTTATTGTATTCTTCGAATTATTATGGAATGATCACACAGGGTTCTCACCATGCATTCAATATTTTGAACATATTCTCTGAAGCAGGAGGATCCTCTGACAAGTTGCACGCAACACCCTCGCTAAATATTTACAATTCTCGTCTCGAAATGAATGAACGTAATAATATCATTTCAGAATTGAGATATATGCACCAGAAAAACATTGCAAAACGAAGACTCAATGTGGCATCACCAATACAGGTAGAGCATGCTGTTCAATATTATGTGAAATTTAGGTCGGTTGAAACAACACAAATCAGTTCAAAACCATCTTCCGCACCTTTAACAAATTTGCAACATGCTCTCTTCAACACTTTACAACCAACACCCGATACCGCCACGCTTTCATCTGTCAATACAAATTCTCCACCACCAAACAATGAGGAATTTCACAGAGTTTCAAAATTATTGGAACACTTTATTATTGGAACTGTTTCGTCACAACCCAAATCTGAAACTACATCACCCGGTATTATAGAGTCCATTAGCTCCCTTTTTGCATCATTTTCATCATCCATGAGTGCAACCACACCAAGTGGCACGAGTGTGGTAGTCATTATGAGAGCCAAACCATCCCAAATCGCAGATCTTGCTTCAAAAAATTTAGAAGGAATTGAGATTGAATGGATTGGAAGAGTAGACTCCACTCGACACAAAACAGCTCTTGATTTTGGAGCCATTCAAAAATTATGGGAACAGCGTCAAGGCATTCTCTCTCAACAACATAACATGGTCGAGACATCACCTACACAACAAACTCTTGAAGCCCAGCTTGAAAAATTCACTCGATTTGAATCTGTCAATGCCAACATGAATCGACAACAACGAGCGCTTTCATCTTCCATGTTGAAATATGTGTCAATTTATGCCACAGTGATTCATTCATTGGATGCTACCTATCAAGGAACTGTAGAACAAGAAACTGACGAATTGGTCGAAGAATTGAATCAAGCATTGAAAAATCACTTCTCTGAGAGGCTCAAAATGGATCAACCAGACTCTCCTCTCTTTTATCCAGTCATGAAGGAAAGTAAGGATAAATTAAGTTTTGCATTTTCACCTTCAATTGCATCGGAGGCCATGCAAATCCTCTTAAAGCATGAAGGCATTTTCTCAGTGGAAAGACAACTACCATTGGAACTCATGAACTATCATCCAAACACAGTATTGCAAGGTATTAATGCAAATCTTCCCCTTCCTCCAAGAAACAACACCAATTTCTTCATTTGGAGCAATGGCATTACTGGAAAGGGTGAGGTGGTTGGTTGTGCCGATACTGGAATTGATTGGGATGGATGCTTCTTTTATGACCCCGAAAATGAAGTGCCACTCAATATTGTGAACATGAAACATCGTAAAATTGTTTCCTATCAAACAGTAGCTCTCAAAGATCAATATGGAAATATTCACAGCTCTGATAATAAGGATTCTGGAGACGGCCATGGTACCCATGTCTCTGGCTCGATTGCAGGAAGTATTTTGTCAACGGCAAGTAATGCACAAGACATGTCCAAGTATAATGGTGCTGCTCCTGGAGCTAAATTATTTTTTACGGATATCTTGCGGACAGGTGGTAATCAACTCTTAATACCTCCAGATTTGTACAATAACTTGTTCAAAATTCCATATCAAAGAGCAGGTGTCAGAATTCACAGTAACTCATGGGGATGCTCTTTTTCAAGCATTTTCAATTGTAAATATAATTGCAATTGTAAATGGGCCATTGATAGCGAGTATGGAAAGAAAGATGAAACAGTTTCGAATGATTTTTGTATGAAAAACTTTGGAAAATCATGTTGCCAAATTTGTAATAGCTACGATTCCAAAAGTCAAGAAATTGACAAATTCACTTGGGACAATGATGACTTTTTGCCACTCTTCGCCGCTGGTAATGAAGGATATACGTCTGATAGTGGAAATATTGGTTCGCCAACAACTTCAAAGAATGTCCTATCCGTAGGAGCTTCTCAAACAACCAACGAAGGATTTGTTGAAGCTGTTGATCATGTTGATTTCACTGGCGTATTTGCAGCCATCAAAGTCAGCACTGAAGAAGAATGTTGCAACTTCCAAGGCACTTCCGACGACCAGACCAACCTTGTGAAATCACTCTGTTGCAGCTCTTACATGAAAAAGATCTATTCTGAAAACAAAAAGTATTTTACTAAGGAGAATCTTGCATACTTTAGGTAAGTTTTTGAACATTTGATATATCTCAGCTTGACATGAATTTATTAAATTCCTTCTTTTGAATTCCCTAGTGGACGAGGACCAGCCGTTGGTAATAGAATCAAGCCCGACGTCGTTGCACCTGGTTATGAAATTGAATCCATGCACTCGGATGGAAGTGTGACCTCTTTCCAATGTTCAGCAATAAGACCTACTCCATCGAATAGCGCAGCCATTTTGACTTTGAGAGGAACAAGCATGTCGACTCCTCTATTGGCCGGAACTGCCGCTCTTGTGAGAGAATACTTGAAAACTCGAAGCGCACAGCGTCATTCGAATCCTTCGGGAGCTCTTGTGAAAGGTGTTCTCATTCACTCAGCTCAACCACTCAAGGGACTTGTTTCGCTAGATGGAAGAGGTGGTATGTTTGATTTGCGAAAATTAGACACACCCAATTCATATCAGGGTTTTGGACTTGTTTCTCTCAGTTCTGCTCTTGCATTTGAGGGATCCTCATTCGTTCTATTCACGCAAGATAGAAAAACCATTACGAACCATGCGAGAGACACGTACTGTTTCAAGAGAGTGACTGGAAAGAGCCCTTCACAAGGTGGTGACAGTTTCTTCTCAGCAACTCTAACTTGGTACGACTTGCCCTCTACCGTATTCAATGTTGAATTAATTCAAGACTTGGATCTGAATGGCTATGTTTATGCTGAAAATAGTACCAGTTCAACAAGATATCCAGGTAATGGCAACTCGAAAAATGATCATGAAAATAACGTGGAAAAGATCATGATCAGTAGCATTGACAAGGACATGATAGTTGCTGTGACTGTGTATGCGAATAAGCTCATCCAAAATCAAAATTATTCCTTAGTGATTACCTATTCGGACGATATTGAACCCATTGGTTGGTGTAATCCACCAGCAGCATATTCACCTCCTATCTCAGTATTAACAGTTTTGGTTTTGTTTGGCGTTTTGAGCTCTGTGGCCATTATTGTCATTGGAGGTATTGTGTTATTGGTGAGAAGATTTAAATATGGAGGAGGTAGTAGTGGCACTTCCACCTCTACTACGACGTCAACACCAAGCGGAGGAAGGCGACTCGGCAATGGAGAAAATAATGATAACTCCTCATGGGCGGCCAACATTGGAAGAAGATTGAGAGATGGTTTGAGAATTGGTGACATTACTCAAACAAGTCGCCCTCAACCTGCTGTTACTGAAACTCACGTACGTTTGGAAGATGAAGACGATATGGAATTACAAAATGGAGGTTCCACAGTTGTGATCAGGCCGAATGATAACCGAAGAAATGAAAGAAATGAGGACGGACGGTAATCTAGACCCTAGTTAACATCAGATTCCATAAAAACCAACACAATCTCTGATACTACAAGATATGATTTCTGCCTTGCAGCATTCTTTTTCCACCTCGACTCGCGAAAGTCAATCGAAATGGCAAATCAATGAATGGGCCAATCTTTTCCATCTCCCAAAAGTACACAAACCTCTAATGAGCAGTTAAGTTCAAAATGTACCTTATGAAAACTGTAACTGACCCCGAGAGTTGCAAGGCCCACATTCGTGAATGCATTCAAGGAGGTTTGCTAGACGTTTTGAAATGTTATTCCTCACGCTCAAATTTGGAATTTCATTGTGCTTTAGCATTTGGATTGCCCACCATGACGAAATTATCGGAAGAATTTGAATCACATCCAGTATTGGACCAATTTTACTTGCAAAGGGCCTAAAAGTGATGGAGATTTGGATTCTCAGGTGGATCATACTTGGAGAGTGGTGAAAGAGTTTTACACTAGAATGAACTCCCACTTTCAAAAGCAGTCTCAGGAACAAATGAAACTCTTGCTAGAGGAGGAGCATAGGAAGAAGGACCTCAAAAAGAAAGATCCAAAACGAAGTAAGCAAAAGAAAAAAACAACTGTCGAGTCCCAAATGCCCATCAAGAACTCAAGTACCTCAACACAAAAGCCTCAACACTCGGAGCAGCAGAATGCTCCTCCAATGGAAAAATTAGAAGACACCAACTGATGAACTTTGTGTGGAGCCTCAATGTGCAAACCAGCCTGAAGCCGAGCCTGAAATTCAACATCAATTCTCTGAAATCCAGCCACCTCAAAATAACCCTTCATCCATCATGGCAAAACATTCAACTCATACTCCACCCGAATGGCTGATGGAAAAGATGGTTGAAGGTATGAAGCTGTTGCAAGAAAAGATTGAAAAGTTGGACAATAAGATGGATCGTTTGGAAACAAGGATGGACCGTGTTGAATCAAGGATGGACAAGTTCGAAACCAGACTTGACAAATTCGAAAGCAATTTAGGCATGCTGTGTAAGCTAATACGGAACCAAGAATTTGAGAAGAGAATGAGGACTCGGCAACAACAAGCGGAGGAAGGAGACTCGGCAATGGAGAGTCAGAAAATAATAATACTTCCTCAGGGACAGCGTAAATTGGAACAAGATTAAGAGATGGTTTGGGAATTGATGTCATTATTCGTCAAATTACTGAAACTCATGTACATTTGGAAGATGATTCTCATGTGGAGAAGTCATGTCTCCTCTCACTATCATCCGTCTCTATCATATAAAAGTTCAATTTGAAACAAACATGCAATGATCGCGCCAATCCGGATGATGACAAGCCTTACATGACTCACTCAAGCCTTAAAATTTTAACCGCTCAAATGCTACAACTGACTGTTGTCCCCTCCTTAAATAGTGACATGTGTATACTTTGAATGCCAAAACATCAATAAAAAACAAGTAACTCTCTAGTCTGTATGTGCTGGTGTGTGGTTTGTAACAACAAACCAACACAAGAGCATACCGTAAGATTTGATTTTTGGGCTGAAATAGTGGGAGGTTTGACTCGAACAGCACGGAGTTCGTTTGTTCATATCATCATGCACATACCATTCTTTCTGCAAGTGGTAAGTATTTGAATGAATTGAAACATTAAATGCTGTTATTATGTAATGGGAACTATCGAAAAAAGCAACATTTAACAATAATGAACAACCATCTAACAGAGAGAATGATGAGAGCTCTGAAACAACAGCAGCACTCTCTGTTTTCAAAATGAAGAAGCATCACGATAACCAAGAGGAAAAAGAATGCACTAAAGAGCATGATGAATTTGGTTGTCTTCAACTGGAACGACAAATAAGGTTTTTGAAAGCTTGTTAACCACAAAACGAAATAAGATTTATTAAGCTCAAACATGTTTCAGCCCAGAGGAGAAAATAAGAACATAGAGGCAGAAATTGCAGAATTGATTGAAGGTCAACAATTACTTTCGGAGGTTAAACGGTACAAATCGAACGACCGTTTTCATTTGCTATTTTATGGATCCAAACCACATTCAAAGAAACAAAATAAATCAATCAAGAAATAATTTCTTGAATTTGCAAATGATAATAATGTCAATAAATCACGCTGCTACATGCTCCCATAAAATGCTTTTGCAAAAGAATGTTTGGTTTTGGACCGACAAGCTTGTAATCATGATGAATATCATTCGCAAGACGAAGCATAATTTCCTTTTTCATTGCATTCTTTTCGTCCAAACTCAAATTTTCCAAATGGTCATTAATATATTGGTCACAACAATATGTCACATTCTCTGCTGAAATATTAAGAAGATCTTCCTCAGATAACTCTTCATGATCAATGTGCAATTTACATTGCACAGGACATGCTAACCACATCATTATGAGATTATTAAGACTTATGATATAATTATCGGTAAAGAATTGTGACACTACACTACTGTGCACAACCATATCCGTGAGATGAGGAAATCTTTTCAACTTCCATCCCAATTCAGCATCATACTTGTCGATATTTCCTCTAGTCTTGATAGTAAGTCTTTTTAAATTTCCAAGATGAGAAAGAACAGTGAATAGAGTCGCATCAAATTCACCAAGATCTAAAGTGAGCGAGGTCAAGTTTCCAAGTTGTGGAACAAAATGTTTCATCAATTCAATAATGTTACAATGAACATCATCCACCACCGAAAGCTTCAATTCTCGTAGATTTTCTGCACATCCTTCAAGGAAGAATCTCGGCACTGTTTCTGAAGAAATTCTGGCTAAATGAAGAGCTTTCAATTTTTTGAAGGAAATGTCGCTACTGGATAACGAGAAGGGAGAATGTTCTTCTTCTTTGGGAGATGGCAATTTTACGTGCTCAATGTCTGATGGCAAGCACCTCACAAGCCGTTCGGTGACTAGTCCAGGTATTGTAATTTCGTCCTTAATCTTCAATACTTTAAGTTGATCTAAATTGTGGAAAGTGATGAAATCCGAATTGGCACGGTTGCTAATAGTGACACTTCTAATTGCAAAATACTGCAAATTTTTGCAGAACTTGGTAATTAACGCCACAGAGCGAAGTGTGAGCGAGGGGCAAAGCATGGAAAGCACTCGCAGACTACTGTTGAAGGCTCCTCCAAGTTTTAACATTTCACTGATCGAGTCATCGGTAAGGCGTTGCTTTCCAGTGTCATAGAGTATTAAAACTTCCAAGTATTTGCAGTACTTGGAGAGGGAGAGAAGCATTTCTTTCTGGATATCGCCTCTTAGCTTGCAAACTCTAAGATTGGGTGCTGATTGGCATATCTTTAGGAAAAACTGTTTAGCAATTGGAGCTGTGTTACCAATGTAGAGATCAAGGATTTTGAGCTTAACTAGTTCAAATTCTGGCTTGAAAATGTGAATTCCAGTCATTGACATGGATGGAGGGCGGAAGGTCGTTGCAGATGACGAGCCACCAACACAACCAACATGTTGGTTACTATTTCCAGTAATACTGACGTCGGATGTGTTGTTTGTGACCACAGGAGCAAAAAAAGGAACACCTTTTGGGGAAAAGAGTAATTGAGGAGGCTGCACATGTATATCAGTGATTGTTGTGGGAGAAAGGTTTGCACCATCATACACAATAATAGAGTCGTATTGAAAATTAAATTTGAGAGTTTCTAGTTGTGAGGAGAAGGGAATCAAAATCTGCTCAATGAGGTCACGAATGTCCAACTGATAGCTGTAGCCAAAGATCAATGTTTTTAAAAAGTTACAGTATGTTCTTGCATATCTTAATAAGAGACGTGTACTGGTCATGGGCGAGCAATTCACTTCAATATGTTCAAAATTACACTTGCTAAATAAGTTTTCAATGGTTACATCTTCATGTGTGGTTGAATCCACGGAGGAAATATTATTCGAAGGCAGACGAGCCTGTAGAATTGCTTTTCTCTTTCTTCCCAATGAAGTGGATGCTGTTACTCCACTTGTATTATTAGAAATATCAATTCCTCCAACGGCAAGAGTTCGAAGTTTTTTCTTCTTCAAGAACCATGCACAATCAAAGATGCAACTAGAAACATGCTTGATGTGAGGTGCAAAACCAATGGATGATGAATGATGTTGCGAAGAGGTGTTTACAATGCAGCTCCATCCTCTGTGGGAGAAAATTAGGTGATAGAAATGTCTAGATATTCTGCAAATGACTTTAAAACGTTCCAAAGGAGTACAAAATTGAATGATGTAAATTTGAAGCTCTTCGGGAAGGCTAAGAACTTTAATATGGGGAAGATGGAATGAAGGAGAATGTTGTTGTGCTGGCGGAAGGATGTGAGGCGGAGATGAAGAAGAATATAATTCATCATGATGAGAAGGAGGTCCACCATCATCACCACCACGATTATTTTCTTGCGGTAAGCCCCACAGTTTTTGCAACATTAATTTGAATCGGTGATTGAGTGTTTTTCGGAGTATAAAATTATCGTGTAATTATACTAAATTACGAAATAATAGTGGTTAAATCCAAATGAAAAGAATGTCTTCGGAACATGTAGACGTATACTCGAAAAATGTTATTGCGCTGTTCTTGTTGTTCTGAAACTTTTGTGTTCACTACGAATAATCTCAAGAGAGAGAGAGCAGAAAAGGTGAAGTTGTGAGAAGGCTTTCTTAGTATTCACTGGCTTGGAACATTTAATTTTTTTTGGAAATTTTTTTAAAAACAAAACACTTTCAACTGGCCTCTCCATTAAGCACTGCAACTACAGAAAGGAACTTGTCAATCGAAGGGTCCCTCATGAACACCATTTGAGGACTTCATGTATTATTATAAGCTGGTTTATATATTACTTTGATATGAAAACACATTTCATCTTGAGGTTTAATAAATTTCACAAGGTGCGTAATGGAATATTTCGATTTCACAGGGTTGTCAAATTGTTGCATCTTGAAATAATTGATAGCACTCAGTACAATTTTACAAACTCTCTATTGATTCATCGCAAATTTCTAAAAGTAGTAAATTTATTCGTTATGGATTGTTGTTGACATTCAAAGCTATTCCACTCATTCTCTCTGCGAATTGAAGCGTTCGAAGAGATTCATTGAAACACATCTGACTGGGAGCAATATGAGGAATCATACAAACAATGGCATGCTTATCCCTAAACACATTGGACATAAAGTAAGTGAGCTTGGTGTCTCTGTAGGGAACATGAGTTTGTCCATTGTTATTATTCATGTTTGGTTTTGCACTCCGATTTCGAAGGCTTTCCATCACATTGCCCAACGCCGACAATGATTTGTTAATATGCTTTGTTTCACTATCGGTAATTGGATTAGAGGCTGAACTGGTGTTAATCTTCTCACTACCTGCCAAATCGATCAAATACATGGTTGAAGTAATGGTAGTGGAGGTATTTGAGGGTATTTGTTGTGGCTGATCCGATGCGTCTTCTCCTTCATCCATAGCAAACGTTTCACTTTGGAAAAAGGTTTTCGTTATGCTGATTTGAACAATGAGGTGAGATCGAGAACTTCGATGATTTTGAAGTGTGGAAGCAACTGCTCGATTCTTTTGAGCAAACACGAGACATTGAATGGCCTCCTGAACATCGTTACAAACCACCTCACGAAGACCTTGAGCAATAATCTTTTTGGTATGAGGATCCATTTTGAGATCCAACTTGTTGTCATTGGATCTTAACAAATCGATGCATGTTTCATTGTAAATTTCAAGACAGCTTAAAGCAATGGACATTTCACAAATGGTTTGATCTTTTGCTTTTTGATGATACAAGTCATGAAGAATGTATTGTTGAATTCCGGGTTCTTCTCCACTTCCTTGCATGGTGAACTGAAATATGTAATGAATATTCAATGTTTGTCCAACATCATTATTGAAGTTAGCAATATAAAGTCCAACATCATTATTCAAGCAATATAAAAGGAAGGATCATAGTTGGTACAGAGTGAAAGAAACAGTTGGAGAACAATCATTTAGCCAAGTGTTGTTGTTGTTGTTGAAGATAACAACAGAGCATGTCACAACTCTACTTACAGTCTTTCCAGTTCCTGTTTGTCCATAGGCAAAAATTGAGACATTGTATCCATCCAGCACTGATTTTGTCAGAGGAGAAATTTCTTCATCATAAAGTCTACACAAGTCGTGTCGTCAAATCATGATTCAACAATGTTACAAAGAAACAACATCAAGAGAAATCATAAAATAGTTAGAGAATATTAAAATGACCTTTGGATCATCACTTAATCACAGACACTTACTGTCTTTGATGAATATTCGGACCTATAATTCGGTCAAATTGGAATTGTCGATAATTCTGTTTGGTGATCTTTTCATTTTCTGGTGGTGGCATCTCTTGACTGAGTACTTTTGGAAAGAAGAGTAATTGTTGACTATTCTTTGAGAATCGAACCACAGAAAAATCACCTTGTTGAATTTCGTGTGGTAGCAAGGGCCTCACACGTACAAATATTCTGATAGCTCCTTTCAACAATTGCAATTCATTGTAGTATTGTTGTCGGAGTTTCATTTCATGGAGTAACATCTTGTTGATGCGTTGATTTTCTTGAACGAGTCTCTCAATGTCCTGCTTGAGCATTTCAATTTCGCGATTGGCGTGCATGCTCACTCTTTGACTTGCTCTATTTCTACATTGTTGAAGTACTAAATTAAAGTTAGCCACTGGAATTTGATTAATTTGGTCAATGATGAGAGACTTGAGAAGAGTGTGTGCTTCAAAACATTCTTTAGAGTCTTCAAGCCACGATTGTTCGAGTCCGAGAGGAGGATCGTTGAAATCAATCGAGATGTTACTTTGAGCAGAAGAAGGAAGAGTGTTGTGTGAAGGGAAAGACATTTTTTTTGTTGTTAAATTCTTTTATAACAGTTAGTTTTTTGAAGAGCGGGAATTTTTTGGCGGTTTCTGTTGAATTTCCAATTTCAAACATCACAAAAATGATCAAACTACCCAACCAAGAAGAGGATGACACCACCAACTCCATGCCATTGACCAAGAAAATGAAAGGAATGGCAAAGAATCCTGAAACCAGCAGTGACAGTCATCACCCTGCTGTCTACTATGCATGGCTTGATCCACTTGTCACTCATCACATTCTTTCCTTTCTCGAGAACGATCCCATCACACAATTAAATTTTTGCATCATCAACAAACAAGTATTCGACCTCCAACATGTGAATGAGGAACAACGAACTTTTTTCAAAGAAGGACTCATTGAAATTGAAAAATTCCACATTGCTCATGGACACTGGACATTTCAAGTCAGTGCCGAATTCAAGTTGTTGGAAAAGAGAAAAAACCACCAGGACAACAACATGACCAACACCAACTCTCCAAAAGAAGTGGGTGGACGGAGTTATCAAATGAGTCGTGTCTTTAGCTTGGATTTAAGCGAGAGTGATCTACTTGTGAGAATATCTCATACGGTGAAGATACTGGAACCATCTACGAAGAGTGAAGTAATTTTGAACAAGTTCTTTGAAAGATATCGAAATGTTTCGTGTGTATCATCAGCCTCATCATTACTCTCAAAAGAAACAACTTTCAATGCATTGCTCCCATTGCACATGTTGCTTGCTTTATACAAAAAGGTCAAGAGCATGTGAGTGCCTTTGAAAACAAGAATCAAGAAGTTGCGCCACTGTCATTCAGAAAACAAGTGAACGATCGATTGATTCAAATTTCAGAATTTCGATTTCAAACATTTCAGTTGGACGAATATTCGACATTTACCACCGATGATCACGTCAAACACAGTAAGAAGGAAAAGGTACTTGTCGAACAATATGACTTTGAGAACATTCGACTTGAATTCGAACAAACAACACCTTGGAATGGTTTTTCAAATATTGAAACCATTTTGGAACAATTGAATAACTGCTCGGCATAGATTCCTTTTACAATGGATATTTATCATTTTGGTGACTATTTCTGAACGAGGATTAATATAAATCGATACTTTTCAAAACTGTATGACATAACAGTAGTACTTTCTTGGAGAAAAATCATCGATTCGAGGCTCTCTAGAATTGACAATGAACAAGAAGAAACAAAGAACCTTATTACAACCGATAATGAACAGAGACCAAATCTGCACTCGATTACTTGTTGTAGTAATTTTCTTTTTCAGTGAATGACAGAGTTTAACGAATAGTCGAGCACGATCAACAACAACTCAGAGCAACAACGACAACAACAACAACTACAGATCATCATCATCTCCATGAAAGTATGGAGATGGAGAAATTCGTTGCACCACGTCAGAGGAGGAGGCTTTTAAAACATGTGTGCATTTATTTACCCACTAGAGACAGAATCTTGAGGACATTCGTGTGCAGAGTCGCAGATCCCCGTCACACACATTAAAGAGACAAGTTGTTGATTTCCAAACATGCTTCGGAAATACCAAACATGTACTTTTGATTCCATCGTAGACTGGGTATTTTGGGAGTGATAAATTCCTTTTGAGTTGTTGTTCAGTAACTCTCCATAAAAAAACAAAAGCGTGTTGTATGTTGTTGTTGTTGTCGTACATGACACGAATACATCAAAGACTCTAACCAATAATAACAACATCTTCCTCCTACACTCACTTGGTTGAACAAACTCTCTAGTTTTTTTTGTTGCAATATTAGAACATCCATTCGTTCGTGTTTTCTTCAATTCTTGCTGAAACCGATTATTTGAGTTTCAACACACCATATCCTCTCTCTAAATATTTCCTAATTTGAATTGACCTCACTCCCTTCGTATTATTCGAGAAGGAACCACACCATACACCATCATGCCAAGCATTGTTTCAACACATCCAAGAGGTGGTTCATCACATACCTCCTCAACAAAAGAGTTTGCCAATACACAATTTCTTCAAGTTTATTCCGAACCTCTCTGTTCCAAACAAAGTCTCTCCTCCAACCACCACCCTCACCACCACCACATTATCAACAACAACACTCGAGACGATACAAGCAACAGCAGCATGGCAAGTGATGAGCTCTCCTATTATTGTGGAAGCACTTCTTTCTCTCCTAGACAGAGTTCAGCATGCTCCTCTCCATCCTCGCCCTATTCTCCCTCATCATCTTCCTTAACAACGAGTTGGGTTCAAGAAATGTGTGAGGCTTGTAAGTTGGGTGATGAATTTCTGGTACATGAATTGATTCAGGAAAGAAACCAGGCTCGCTCCCAGCTCTCGGATTCAGAATTCAAGAAGAATTATAACATTAATGAGTTAGATAAGGCCTCCAAGAGAAGTGCTCTTCATTGGGTCATGTCAGAAAATCATGTTCAAGTCTTGATGATTCTCTTGTCGGTATTTACCAACAATTCAGAGGGAAATCATCCAATGATGCTTCTCGATGTAAATATTCGGGATGGCCGAAATGGAGCCACTCCAATGCATTTGGCTGTTGCCAATGAAACCCTCGATTGTATCAAACTTTTTGTTCACACTTCTTATGTGAGAGCGAAAATTGAACAATCGGCGAAGGATTGTTATGGAAATACCTTCTTTCATGTGGCCTTTCGATTAAAGAAATGGCAAGTGATGGAAACTCTCATCGAATTGTTTGGGAATGACATGATCAATTCTAGGAAATCTAATTCTGATACTTGTCTGCATGTCGCTGCCAAGAAAGCCGATGTGAAGGGAATCAAATTCTTGTTAAGGAATGGAGCAAAAGTTCATCTCAAAGACGAAAATGGGAGAAGACCACTGGCAAGTGCAGTGTTTTTCTACAGAGAGGAATGTCACGTGGAAGGAATGGCTGAGAGTCAAAGTGCCAAACAGTCGTCCTCGAATTATTCTGATGGGGTTTCGAAACCTTTAAAGATTGGAGAATCCCTCATCACGACGTCGCTTTACTCGGATAAACATCAACAAGGCAATATCAAGAATGTGAATGGCAAGTTTCCAAACTCAAGACTTCAGTCATCAGAGATGATTGCTACAAACGAAGACTTTCTTTTTTCACAAGAAGAGATCAACAGATTACAGCGAACGTTAACCTATGCACTTCTATTGAACGAGGAAGTGAATGCCTTATCAGGAGGAAATGCAAAGAAATGGTTGAAGAATGAGAGCGATCGCTCTTCAGAAGGAATGAATTTGTTCCATTTGGCTTGTTTGAATGGCAATAAGGAGTTTATCGCAGCATTTACGTTAATGTTTGAAAAGAGTCACCTTCATTTCCTTCTTGAAAAGAGAGATCCTAAAACCAAATACAATGCTCTCCATTTTACGTGCGAGGGAGGTCATATTGAGGTTTTAGAATTGTTGACCACTCTGTTGAAAGATATGTTCCCAAATGCAGAGCACTTTCAACAATATTTGAATGCAAAAGATCATCAATCGGAGACGTGCGTTCACAAAGCAGCTCGGAAATTAGCCTCCTTAATGGATGGCAACACATGTACAATGACTCCTGACATTCAAAGAGCAATTCATTGCGTGACACATCTCATGTACACGCATGGAGCAGACATGAATATCAAGAACCTTCAAGGTGAAAAACCAATAGATATACTGGACCGATGTGGGTTCTTCACTTCAGGCCTTTTCCTCTACACGAAAAAGTAAAACTTGTTACAAAATAGGATGAACAACAACTATTATTTCAATACTGGTAAATCTTGCTAGAGTAGGTTCTCTTAGTTGATCACATCTTTAAATTGATAGTAAGGGTCTTTGGACTGGTCGTAGCATTTATTTCATGGCCTTACTATTGTTTATCACTTTAATGTGCCTGATGAGGGATATATCACGTCGTTGCTCCGGACCCAATTTCCGCTCCGCCACCAGCTGACTTTCAAGCTAAAAAATATTTGAAAATTGCTAAACGATCAACTAAAACATCTAACTATTCAAAATTTTGAATACTACCTTGCCTTCAGATTGGGTGGAATATGTACTAGACTCATTTCCCTACATTTTAGTCAAATTTATTTCAAAAGTTTTATTCAAAAAGTATACAAACGTTCTGTTCGGAGAACCCTCCGCCAATTTTAGCTGGCCTACAACGATGTGTGTTATGTATTCTGGGCGCCTGTGGAGAATAAACAATCATGTTTTGGAGTTGAAAATTTGGGTGTAAATAAATAACAAGCACAGATGACGATGCAGTAAAATTGGCAGGTTCGATAAATCCTTGCCGAACCAGAACGAATATATTTTCATCACTCAACATTAAAAGATGTGCAAAATTTGATGGAGTTTATTAAGGAATCGTGTTGTCGCAACAATGGGCTTCATTCTTGTAGTCAATTATGTACAAAATAAGAAGAAACTCATTACTTTAGGAAACAACTCCAATATTAATAAACAGCATTGCTGTTGCGTGAAAGAAACGTGAACGAATTTTCATCAACAACAAATGCTGTTTTGATTGGGGAGTGAGATTGCTCACTCAATTACGGCTTATAAGAATCAATCTTTGGCTTGTAAGAATCAATTGTTGGCTTATAAGAATCAATTGCTGGCTTGTAAGTATCAATCTTGGTACAGATTGTCTTGTAAGAGTCACAGACTGTAATGTTCATTATTCATTATGAGAAGAATTGATGATGAGCACATTCCGAATGTATCAAATACAATACAAAACACGAAATATTTAAAACTTACCTGATCTCTTAGCTCTCTTACGACAATACTTCTTTCCTCCAACAAATTGATACTTCTTACAGATTTTGTGTCCGTTAGAATAATGAGCACAATATCTCTTGAAGGATCTCTTGATACATCTTGGTTTGATCTTCTTATATTGAGTACAGAATGGAACAGCCTTGTACTTGCAACAGAAACTTTGAGTCTTTTTGTGCCTACAAACTCTGAACTTGACATTCTTCTTACAGTATTTGGTTGGAGACCACTTGGTACAGAAACGAACTCTCTTCTTGGCCACACAGTATTTACGAGTAACAGCCTTGATACATTTTCTTTCATAGGAAACCTTCTTAACGAAACGAACATTTTGACGACCAGTGCAATATTTCTTCTTGGCATAAACGACACAAATTTGATACTTCTTGTAGTTCAAATATTGATGATAATAGACATCAGTCCATCCCAAATAGTGTGTTCTGGAAACCTTCTTCCACTTTGGAATGGTCTTGGTGATGGTCTTGTACTTGGCACAATATTGATGAACGGCATAACGGTTGCATCTTGTCTTGTAGTAGTATTTGATCTTTGGAATGTAGGTAAAGACAGTACATCTGGATGAAGTATCGTATTTGGTACACAAGAAGTGATAAGCGTATTGATCGCACTTGTGATTGTATCCCTTCTTCTTGCATCCTCCTTTCCAGTAGAACTTTTTACAGAATTTATGTTGGGTGACCTTGTCGCAGACTTGTTTGTAACCGTGGCCGAGACAGAGATATCTTGACTTGCTGTATTTGTCGCACTCTGTTTTGGATCATTGTTGACAATGTTGGTTTCATACATGGTGAGTAAGGTAGATTGAGGAATGAGTTTACAATTTTCCATATTTATACGCCAAAGGGAAATACTTACTGTATTTTCTCTTATACAAATCACACTTTCCTTTACCAACAGTCTTCCATTTACAGCATTCCTTCTTGGTTCCTCTCCATTCATAATCAACACACTTTCCTTTGAGATACTTGTAGTGAGTACACTTCTTGTAACAATGTTGTGGAGGCTTGTAGGTATCAGCACTGACAGCCATGACGCTCAATGCTACCAACAAGGCAGCAACACCCAGTAGTTGTATAATATTTACACTTCTCATTTTGTTTTTTGCTTGTTTTTGCTGAAGAGTGGCGAGTGGTTCAGAGAATTTATAGTCTGCTGCATATCACGAGTCAGACCAACTCTCTCTGAGAGTAGTCTCGAAGAGAGTCGAACGATAGGTACAGAATGTCCAAGTCATGCATCGATAAGGGTCTTCCCCAATTTTGATCAAGGAATAGCACCGTTTGAGGTTTTTTTTGAGTTTCATCTTTCATGCTGGATTTGTTGCTCCTTCTCTCTGCAGAACAATTTCCGCTCTCAGAAATGACATTTGAAGTCTCTTTGGAAGGATTGATTTGTCTCTCCTTGATCCTTGAATGTCGGTGATGTCATGCTTTTGCTCTGTTATTCCATTTGAATACTTACCTTCTGAAGATCCAAACTTCTACTTTTCTGTTCGCAAAATGATTCAAAGACCTGTTGGAACCTCTCGGAGATTGCAGAATAAAAATCAATTAACATTTAGAAATTTATGTTTTAATTTATGGAGGATGTTGTGGGATAATTTACTCTTTCTTCTTAGCACCACCTCTGACCTTGGCTCTCTCCTTACCACGGACAATGCTGGCTCTGTTCTTCTTTTCCTTCTTCAATCTTCTACCTTCCTTCTTGACTTCAATGAGCTTGTTCTTGACCAACTTGTGCTTTGGCTCTACGAGTTTGACATCTTGAACAGAGTCATAGATTGAAGCAAATCCAGTAGTCTTACCACCACCAAACTTGGTTCTGAATCCACCCAAAACGATGGTTTGTGGGTTGTTAACCTTGTATTTTTCGGCAAGCTTTTCCTTCAATTGAGCAGATGAGAGTTGAACTTGTCCTGGATGGAGAATATCAACAACAAATTGCTTTCTGTTGAGGAGTCTATTTGTGAAGAACTTTCTGGTCTTGATAGTGATTTTTCCCTTTGTCATTGTCAATGAGTAATGGGTTTTGGCGTATTTTTTTTCAACAAAATTTTTTTAAAAACTTTGGTCATCCGAAAATTGTTGTTTACAATGCGAAGAAAAATAGCTTGCTTTTACTCTTCCACGAAAATATTCACACCTTCGTCGATGAGTGTTTGTTTCACCTTCTTGAACATTTCCTCAGGGTTGGATCGTCTTGTGCTTGGAACTGTCACCGTCTCAAAGTCTTGAAGTATGTGTTCCAACACATCATTTTCTGATATTTCTTCATCCTCTTCTTCATCTTCCATTTCGTCAACATGCTTTTCTTTCTTGCCCTCATCGTCGTATAACTCTTCCATGTCTGATAATTCTTCATCTTCCTCATCTTCATCCATGTCGTCTTCTTCTTCTTCCTCATCGATAAAATCTTTCACTTTATGATGTGAAGACCTTCTTCCTGGTTTTGGTGAATTAGAATGGTCAGAGTCACGAAGGTTGTGAGTCTGATGCTTTTCCGAATTCTTGGTAGCTATTGTAATCAAACGTTGGATAAGGTCGTCATCTTCCTCATTAACGTCCTTAAAGTCTTTCATGCCATAAGATAGGTTATGAGTTGGGATAATATCTGGCTGTTTTTTGTAACATTGAACAATCTCTTCCAAAGTTCGATCCTCATCAGAGAAAATTTTTAAGCAATCAGAAAGAGACATGTTTTGTAATGTTTTCCAGTCGTAAGTTGGATTTCTGAAATTAATACTTTGCCTAAATTTCTTGACAAGGTAGGAATGTTTTGGAAGTGGTCTGTTTTCAATAACAATGTTGGGAATGGCAGTCTTGTTAGATAGAGGTTGGACAGCGGAGGGTGACAATAGAGAAGCTGGAGTAAATGATGAAGAGGGAGGAGTTATGATCATTGGGGTTTGAGGAATCGTGACAGACTTGTCCTTTTTCGAAGTTTTTGGTGTCTTAAAGGTTGAAGCAGCATCAACAGCAGGTTTTGCTTGTGGTTTTTCCTTCTTTTTATCTTTTCTTGGGGTTGGGCCAACTTCTTCGTCATTGGAAGAAACTGATTCATCATCTCTGCTGTAAGAGGACGATAATGAGGAGGGATCAATGAAGGATTGAGTTGCATCATGGTTAGATTCAATGGATTTTGGTCGATTTTCAGGGTTAGGATCGGGTGTGTATGTTGGAAACTGCCAATAAGTGCAAGGTTGAATCATTGGAACCCAACCAAGGTCAATATCCTTGCTGTAAGGATTGGTTGGAGGAAGGGTCTTCTTCTTTTTTGTAGATTTGGGTTGTGACGCCTGTGATGATGGCTTCTTCTTTTTTTCTGATGTTTTTGATGGTACTTCAGGCTCAATAAATGAATCAATATCAGCGGAAGAAGAAGCCCTAGTTTCTCTCTTGTTGGTCTTTGGTTGAGAGACCGGAGTAGATGGTACATCTTTGAAAGTTTTTGATCTCAAGGGTTGCACTTTGTCCTTTGATAAATTAAATAAGCGCTTAGCTTCCTTAGCTTCTTTCGATGATGAAGTAAAATAATTGACAGTATTGGAATGAATCAGGTCCAAATCATTGACAAATTGATCGATGGTTTTGTAGTTCATGTTTTTACAATTGTCAATGATGGTTGACAGGCTCATTGGATGCTTAACTTTTTCCTTGTAGTTTGGATGAACACTCTCATCAACGTTATTCCAAAAGTATTTGTTTTTGTCTTGAGTTTTCAGATCCTCTGCAATTTTAAGTAAATGATAGCAGAGTGAGGTTTTAGGAAGTGTAGTGATCTCTTCTTCCTCCTCCTCTTCATCGTTGAGGGCAGACAAGTCATATTTTGGAGCTCCTGTTTTTACCACGGAAATCTCATTAAAATAATTCGAAACAAATGCAGGAGTAAGGTCTGATTTCTGCAATTTTCCAAAATGAGTAACCATGTCCTTTTTCCACTTTCTAAACCACCGTTGTTGTCTGTTTGCCTCTTTTGAAAAAATAGAATCTTGAGAATTAAATAGCTTGCAGTTGTCATAGATACGATCTACATCGTCCTCAAAATCTCTCCAATTTTCATAGCTCTTTGCATCCATTTTGCCTTTCATAGTGGAAAGATCCATAGGCTCTTTTATCATGTCGTAATATCCTGGAACATCCTTGGCAACAGGATTTTTAAAAATGGAATATTCATCAATCTCATTTAGCTTCTTCCAAATGAGATCAATTAGGGTATATAAAGAATCTTTCTCCAACTCTGGAAAATCAAGATCTGTTATACGAACTCGATCTCGCCACTTCGTGGAAGACTTCGACTTAGGTGTCTTCTTCTTATCGGAAGACTTCTTAGGAGTAGTTATTTCATTGGTTTCTTTCGACTCTACGTTGATAGAAGCTTCTTCCACCTGTTCAACTTCATTCTTCTGTTCGTTTTCTTGTTTTGATTCAATTTTCTTTTCCTTCTTTTTTTTCTTTGACTTCTTGTCTTCTTTTTGCTCTGCACTCTTCTCTGCCTTTTCGTCTTCTTGCTTCTTTTTCTTTGACTTCTTTTCTTTTGGCTCTTCATCAGAAATCTTAATAGTAATTTTTGGAGTTGTTTTTAGCCCGCCTTTCGAGAACTTGGTTTTCAATTGTTCTATCAATTCCTTTGCAAAATCGCCAATTCTGACGGCTTCACCATGATAGATTGTGCCAACAGGATTAAACTTCTTGGCGTTCGCAAAAACTCTATTCAAATATTTCTCGAACTTGCTAATTGAAATATGTTTTTCAGTCACTTTCTTTCTAAGGGTGGAAAAATCCATGGGCTTTTTGATGAGCTCGTGATAGCCTGGAACTGTAAGAGGGACTGGCTCGTGAAAAATCGAATATGAATCCTCAAATTTAAGAATATCTATAATCTGAATCATACATTCCTCAGAAGAACTAATGTCACTTGTGAGTGGAGTAATAATCTTCTCGTCTTCCGAAAAACTGGCAAGCTCTTTCGAAGAAATGGCACGCAACTTTTCTGCTTGTTTGTGAATAGGTGATCCTGTGCCGTTGAACGTTTCTGCATTTTGATAGATCAATTCAAGGTCAGCTTTGAAATGAGCAACTGTATCATATTTTCCTTGAAGTAGCTTAGATTTAAGTGTTGATAAGTCCATTGGATTTTTGATTGTCTGAAGGTACACTTCGTCCTGGACAGGATACCAAAAGATTTGTTTTTTGTCGGCTTTGAAAAGTTTCTCAATAACATCATCCAACAATACTACTAAATCCTTTGGAGGCTCACTCTTTTTAGATTTCGTTTTTTTCTTCTTCTTTTCGGGTTCCAAATCATCATCCACTGCTTGTGTTGTTGTCTCGGAGTCTCCGAGTTTGATCTTCACTTTGAGTGTTTTCTTTTCGGCACTCCCATTGTCGTCTCCAGCCAAGCCATCATCAGATCCTTTTTTACGTTTTTTCCGTTTTTCTTGTTTGTGATTGGAGGCATGGTCAGCACCACCGTTCAAAGGCACCTCTTTGTCATCTTCCATATTTTTTATTTCACCAGAATTTGTTGAGTCGGTCGCTGCATCCAAAGCTTCATTCCCCGACGATGATGCAGAAGCCTTCTTCTTTTTGCTTGGCATTTATTTCGAATAAAGCGTTAACGTTAAATATTTTTTTCGAAAAGTCTCAAGCGCGCAGGCAAACGAATTTTTTGGTTCCTGCTCAGATTGAAGATATCTGTGCAAGGGTTGTTGTTGTTTGGATTTGTATGATGAATCAATGTGAGGATGTAAGTCGGAGCAAGTAGAGAAGAAGAAGCAGCACTTGTCAAGGGTGCTACAGGATCTGAGCAAACTCACAACGACGATGTTGTAAATTTTTGAATAATCGAAGAAAAAATGCTATCATCACGACCAATCAGCTTTTTGCGCAGAGGTAGGTTCGCGAATTAAAGATTTATTTCTATTCATTCCTTCAATCATCTTTTCTCGCCGTTGTTGTTGTTATTATTATTATATTATATTCTTTTTAGCAAATGGAAGTTTTGCATTGATGTACGTACAAAGAATTCACTCCAAAATTTCTTACTGAATTCGAATTCAAACATTTTCATTCATTCATCATCATCATCTTTAAATCAATATGATTACAACAAACAACATCCAAATAACAAAACAGAAGAAACCACTTCAAAATTCAAAAATTATATGCATCAACATATTTAAAAGGACAAGAATCCGAACAAATTAACAACACTATCGGATACTTCCTTTCACAAAATGCCAGACAAATGCCATACGCCAACGCTTTGAAGTGTACTCATCAGAACGTCAATTGGTCGTTTTCCACTCTTAAAGTGAGTATCAACTTGTTGTTGTTTGGTTTAGTATATTCAATACATGAATCATGTTGTGTATAACAATTTTATTTGTCCAATAGAAACACGCAGAAGCTTTGGCTTGTGGATTGACTGAATTGGGATTGAGACCTGGAGATAGATTGGCATTGATTCAAGGAATGAACACCGAACTGATTGTTGCCTTCTTGGCTTGTGCCAAGATTGGAGCTGTTCTTGTTCCACTCCCAGAAATTAAAGCTGCTAAGGATTTGACGTAAGTATTCGGAGAACGTATTTGGAAAAAAACACATATACTCGATTGACGTCATACAGCCGATTCATTGAGCTTGTTAGACCAAGAGTTGTTGTTTCTGCAACAAAGATCGGAACTAAAAACTATTACAAAATGATAAGAGAAGTTGTTCCAGAATTGAGTTTATCTGAATTGCATCTTCCATTCAAATCTAAAAAGTTCCCATTCTGTAAGCAGATCCTTTTCACTGACATGAAGGAAAAGCCAAAGGAAGGAACTTACCAATTGAAGGATTATTTGGTCTATGGTCCATTCGGATATTATGAGACACCTCTTCGTAGAATCGCCATGGAATTGGATTCAACCAATCCTGGATTGATTTTATTTAATGACAAGAATCCTGACAAGGCCTCAAGCGCCGTCTATTCTCACAAGAACGTCCTCAATGCTGGACTCACCATTGCAAAGGCTCTCGGATTGAAGCAAGGAGATCGTGTGATGGTTCCAAAATATTCAACATCACCAACAGGATCCATTATGGGTAATTTCTCTGCTTTTGTTTCTGGAGGTGTAATTGTTTACCCTGCAGAAGAATTTTCTGCTTCAAACACGCTTTCTCTGTTGACAAAAGAGCAGTGTACTACTCTTTTCACAGAGCCACAAGACTTGGAAGAGTTGTTGAACCATGCTGATTTCTCAAAGAATACTTATGAGAATCTCAAGCATGTCGTAGTTTGCACTCCTCTTGGATTTGATTCTTCAACAGTTGTTGGATTACTCGGCCAAAAATTACCACAAGTTAAATCTTATGTTGTTAGTGGTTTAGAGGAAACATCTGGTATTTTAACTATTAATGGAAAGCTTGTTGACAACACCGAGGTAAAGGTCGTGGATGGCTCTCTTCAAGTTAAGGGTCCATTGGTCGCCACTGGAAAATGGCAAGATATTGGTCATGTTGGCTATGAAACATATGAAGATGGATGGGTCGACACAAAATTCCAGAGGGCCAAGATTGAAGGCAACAGTTTGATTATTGCTTAAATTATATTACCTCGCTCTCTACATTGTTTGACAACACTTTGGTCTTTTCTGCATCATAATAAATTTTACACACAGTGGTTTTTTCTAAGGTTGTGGTTGTGGAGAGCGGTTCAGGGTAGCCATCTAAGGTCGTTCGATTGTTACTGGTTTACTCGAATGCTTTTCGTTCTGGAACAATTGCGGTCTTTGTCTCGTGTCCCTTTTGGAACTTAAAAAATGGGACAGCTCTTTACTGAACACTATCACCGACTCATGATGCAGGATCATGATCATCGCAACGATGAGATTCCAACTGTAACAGAAATATTAAGGCCGGATGCCCTTCCCAAAAAGAAGCGAGTTTTGAGAGTTTTATTCTTGGGTTCTGGTATGTAGTGAATGAATGTACTCTGGGCAAGAGGAAAATCACTAACCTTTTTTCAGGTGAATCTGGAAAAACAACCTTAATCCAAAACATCAAATATTACTCTTGTCCCACCCTGGAAATGAATGAGAGGGTTCACATCCGATCATCCATCCTGCACGGAATGGTTCAATGCATCCACTCCCTTATGGAACATGTTGGATGCCCATATTTCACCCACCCCCAAAGTCTACTAAATGACATTTTGAGGTTTAAAAAATGGTTGATGAGAGATAAGAAACTTCAAGATGCCTTTCATTATAGACATTTATTTCATTTTCCGATTGAAAATTTTAACAGCTTGTTGGGAAAGATAGAGTTCATCTCTCAGTTGAATATTGGAATGAGGGAAGATCTTGAAAAATACGTCAAAGTAAGTGTGCATTCAGGGAAACAACATTTCTTGGTTTTTCACAGTGGATGAAAACAAGTAGACTTGTGGAATTATTGAGAATGTCTTCACAGTTTCACGTTCGCTTCAGAGTCCCTTAATATGTATTGACACAGAAGGCCAAAGGTGTGGCAGAAGGAGTAAGTATAAATGCCTGCATATGAATAGTGGACGTTAATCAACTTCTTTTAGAATGGGTTAACGCTTTTCAAAAACCATGTGACTGCATCTTTTACGTCATATCCTTGTCTGAGTTTAATCAACGCTGTTACGAAGGTGAGTAATTTTTTTATGAGAATTGAGTATTAATGAAACATCACCAACAAAAAAAACAGATGACCGCACATGTAGATTAGAAGACTCTGTGGGGTGCTTTATTAAAACCCTGAATGACCCTAATTATCCTAAAAAGACCCCACTTTACCTTATATTTAATAAGGTTGATGTGCTACTGTCAAAAATTTCAAATGGTTTTGATCTCACCTGTAAATTTTCAGATCAGGAACAGTTGAAATGTTTCAAGAAGCATGGGCATCCTATATGTTCATTAGTGGTTCCTCTTGAATCTCGAAAGCATTCATATCCTAAATTGGATCATGATACTCTTTCGCAAGTGCTCAAATTCTTAACTCCTGTAGATCTTTTTAATTGCATGCTTGTCTCAAAGGAATACTATCAAGCCGCAATGTCTGATCTTGTTTGGTTTGAACAATGCAAGGCTCAACATTTATTCATTTCCCATGAAATTGCTATTAGAAATATTGAGAAACATTGTGCAAATTTTGTGGACAAACAGGATGAACAATCTGTTTTCTACGCTTATTATAAGCACAAAGGATTCGTATTGGAAAACTCAATTGATTTTTTAGTGAACTATTACCAGTCTTTTATCGCGTCCAATGTCAATTACAAAGGATTTATGATCACAAATGCGATAGATCAACAACGAACCTCTGAAATGCTTGTCAATTCGATTCAATCATGCAATGAAGATTAAATGCTTTCATAAATCGAATATTTGGTCCAGTTTATACAGCCTAAAAGATAGTTCAATATTGTTTAATTCGTTGAAGTCTCTCATATTATTCCTCATCAGAGTTAATTTCTTCAATTTGATCTGATTCGTCGTCTGATGCAAAAGACTCAACATCCTCAATTTCCTCATCACTAGAGTCAACCACAACAGTTTCTGGCTCTTTTTTTAAATAATTTGTGATAGAATTGTTAGTTGTGGTGCTTCCTTTTTTCTTTAATATCAAGGGCTTCTTCTGTTCTGGCGCTTCATCCTTTGGTTCTTTCTTTGTTTTGGAAGATTTCTTTTTGGATTTGCTTTTCTCGAGAGAACTGTCTTCTTCAATGTCAGCTTCTTCTTTGTTTAATTCTTTCCATTTGTTGTAAATGGCCATTGCTAGATATGTTATTCAACGACAGATTGGGTTCACAAACTTGAAGCCAGCATAAAATGTTGTCCAAACCTACCTTTTGGGCCAGTTATTTTCTTTCCATTATAAATCACACATTTCTTCCCTTTGTAGGTAGTCCATCGCACTTTGTCTGATTTTTCAATTTTTTTGGGCGTGCTTGAGGAGGATGATTTTCTGAATCGTTTCACGTTATTGGATTTCTTAACTTCCGATGAGGATTTTCTTTCATAGGATTTACGAGTTGATTTTATATCGCTTGATTTTGAAGAGCTGCTACCACTACTACTACTAGATGCAGAACTCGATGATGATTTTGAAGAAGTTGTCGTGTGGTTCGTGCTCTTTCTCTTGAACATGTTGGCATAATCAATGGAAGAGGCTCCACTTTTTTGTAAATCCCGAACTCCAACAAAATTTCGTTTTGCTACCACTGAGCCCGATGATGATGAATTTAAAATCAACTTCTCGGACTTGACTGTTGCTTCTTGTTTGATGAAGGGAGGCATTTTTTCCAGTGTTTATTTGAATCATCATCATAGTTTGGGCTTTACAAATAATTGTTATTCCTCATCGTTTTCATATTCAGAATTTTCAACAACTACACTCTTGCCCTCGTCATCATCTTCATCACTTTCAACAAGCTGATCGTTTTCGACGACTTTCATTGTCCGTTCAACTACTGAGCCACCAAAGAACTCAAAATTCTGTAACCACTGTTGAAACCATCTCACTTCATGACTCATTCGCTCCATGAGTGGGCTTTCACAACTTTGGTTGTGTAGAGAGTTGATCAACAACTCGTCCGTTGAAAGTTGCAAGTAATCTCTGGCTAATTGTTTCACACGAGGATGAAGGATTTTGTTATTCGATATCAGAGTGATTGGACCCTCTAATGACCAAGGAAGTGAGGCCAAAAGAGTGACATTAAAGGACTGAAAGTATTCACAAGATTCATATTCAACGTCCTTGTACTCGGACTTCAAAGTGAACATGAAGAATGTTGTCTTGTTGGGAGGAAAGTACACTCCTTCAAGATGATCAATCATCAGTAAGGTATTACCTCCATATCCAGATCCACATCCCTCTTCACAGCATATACAAATGGCTTGCGGTCTCTTTGTGAGCAAGTAAAATTCTGAAGTGAAGCTTGTACTTTTCTTTGATCTATGGTCGGAAATAATTTCAGATTGACAGGGCATGGATGCATTACAATTGTCAAACGAGTAATTCCAGTAACGTGTTTCGCCTTGTTTCAAAAACAAGTCAACTCTTCGCTGAAGGTAGAACTTTGAAGAACTATTTGAAGGATCATAGGGCATGTCATCAGTTGAAAATAACATTTTCCAAACGGACTTCCACAAATCTTCTGTATTTCTAATGCATTCATACCAGTGTTTACAACAATATAAGGGTCCACTCGAAATTCTTTCCAGAGGTGAGAGAAATCCGAGAATGATTAGCACTATTTCATTGGGAAGGTTTGAAATTAATTTTAACATTTGTTTTTGGAGTGCCTTGGAATACATTTCAATCATCCGTTTCAAATCTATGGGATGCATTGCATCGAGAGCATTTTCATGAGTCATTTTGGCTTGCTTTCGATGCACCGATGACGTATCCGAGATCGAGGCAGTGGGACTCTCTTTTCGTTTCATTTTTTTGGTCCGGTTTGATTGCTGGTTGTTCATCTTTCGAGTACGCACTGGAAGGATTTGTTTACAACTCTTGATTGGTGTCAATGTAAAAGTATTGAAAAATGGACTTGTAAAAGGAATCCTCCAGAGAAGACGAGCCATTCAGTATACTTTCCCAATACTCGTCGGATTTGAATTCACCATTTCTCACTCGTGTCAATAAATCTTGATTGTACTTTCGAATGTAAAGATTGCACAAATACTTTTTTCGATCTAAGGAGAACATGGGAGGAGGTGGTTTTTCAGGACTTTCAATAGAAATGACTCTTGTGGGAGTAATAATATTCTGAACACTTGTAGACGGTTTTAAGACACCTTTTCTTCTCTTGTGTGTGGCATTTGCTTGTACGACCTTCTTTCCAAAAACTTTGATGCATTCTTCCTCGGAAGGAATGGAACAATCGTGTATGAGAATCATCATGTTTAACTCTGTAGCAAAAACTGGATGATTAATAAACATGGATCGTAATAATTCGAGCAATGAAGGACTTGTTGTTCAATAATAAATTTGAATTAGAATTAGTGATTAAGGAATTTCCTTCAACTGAACTATTTGACAATTTCATCACTTACTGCAATTTTAAATATGAATCCATGCCATGTATTTCTTCAAATCCATGTTTATCCTCTTTTTCTACGATGGAAAACAATTCATGAAGAACCTGGCTTGAGTTCATTTGTTTTCTTCTCTCCATGACCATTTCTTGTTTTGACTTGACCCACTTACTCAATTCGTCATATTGAACAGGTACTTCATCGAGGTCATAAGCGCTCAATTCAGAAACTGACCTCAGAAATGCTTTTTTTGCTTTTCTCACACACTCAAACACCTCGGGAGCTGTGTCGAGACCAGGTATTGAGCTAATTGCATATTCTCCCTGTACAAGTTCATATATACATCTCTCCTTGTCCTTATTGGAATAAAAATACAATCCTTTCGAAAGGTCACCCACAATGAAATTAAATCCGTCCAAATTTCTTGTCTTGAGAGCAATTTTTTGTAAATATTCAATTGGAGTGAGTGGAGAATGAAGAAAATCCTTCACTAGCAATAGTTTTGTGTCATGTTTCATTTTGGTCAAATGTTCAAATTTCAATTCTTTCCTTTTTTCAGACTTTCTTGATGTGGACTTTATCATCTCAGATTCACACGAAGACATCACACTTGGTGATGCCGAAGATTCTCGTGGAGTTTCTTTAACAACTTCGTCATCATCGTCACAGCTCAGAACTACTGTTTCTGGTAATTCAATGTTAAACTTTCGACACTTTTCTTGAAAGGACGCATTAAAATCAGCTCCTCTCTCTACTTCAATCATGATGGCTATTTTCCCTGTATTTGTAAGGCCAAACCAACAGGGAACCTCACTATGTAGATAAAGCTGTTCCTTGACCTCACTGACAAATAATCCATTTGAAAAATCCAAATGATTAGGCATTATTTTCTGTAGATCAATACTTAAAAAGTAAGGCTCCATACATGGCTGATCGGTATAATTATTTCTATTATTGAAATTCATTTGGAAAACATCAACAAAATTCAATACCATGATTGTTTCGGAATTGGAGTGAATGTTCAACGCAATGGATTGAAAGGATTCCATTTGATTGTTGTTGAATTTGCATGTTCGGAATGGAATCACCACATGATGTTTTTATCTCATTGTTCTAATTCTTCTGGAATCCATCTTTTGAGATACCTACTTGTTGATCAATACGAGCGTTGTATAGAACGGATTCTTTGGTTGATAAGAAATCAACACTCGAGACATTTTTTCATTCTAATCTCTCTCCTTTTCAACGTGCATACAACTCTCAATAGTCTATTACAAAAAGGCTAACAGATTCACTTTGTTCTTCAAAGGTCTTAAACAACCTTTATTCCAAACACAGACAATCTTTCGTGGCTCAACAACTGAACTTCATCACACACTTTTGAATTAACAACATTTTAAAGTAATTAAACTGAAAAAATGTCTTCATCGGTCCAAGCCTTCGCAAAAGAGGCTCACACATCCTACATTCAACATTTGGAGGAGAAGGAAACCAATACCTTCGAGTATTGTGTTACGGAACATTTGAGAATGTCCGGAATGTATTGGGGATTAACAGCAATGGATCTCCTAAATGAAATAGACAAGATGAATCGAGACAAGATTTTGCAGTTTGTGAGAGATTCCTATCATGAGGAAGAGGGTGGCTTTTCGGGTGCTCCGAATCATGATCCTCATATTCTCTATACTCTCTCTGCAGTACAATTATTGGTTTTATTGACCGATAATATTGAAGAGTTTTTAAGCCTTGAACAAATTGAAAAGATTGGTTCCTATATTGGATCGTTGCAAAAAGAAGATGGTAGCTTTGCAGGTGATCAATGGGGAGAAGTGGATACACGATTCAGTTATTGTGCTTTGAATTGTTTGGCTTTATTAGGACTATTGGAAACATGTAGTAATTATAGAGGAGACAAGATCAATAATCGAAAATTTATTAACGTCGAAAAGGCAGTGCAATATGTATTGTCATGTCAAAATTTTGATGGAGGTTTTGGAGTTTGCCCCGGAGCTGAATCCCATGCTGGTCAAATTTTCACATGTATCGGAGCATTGTCCATTGGAAAAGCATTGGATAGAATCGACCAAGACACACTTTGTTGGTGGCTATGTGAGAGACAGTGTGACAATGGTGGATTGAATGGACGCCCAGAAAAATTGGCTGATGTCTGTTATTCATGGTGGGTATTGAGTGCTTTGGGAATGATGGATCGTATTCATTGGATTGATGAAGCGAAATTGCACGATTACATTTGCAATTGCCAGGACACTGAAAAGGGTGGAATCAGTGACAAGCCCAATAATGCGGTAGATGTATTCCATACATTTTTCGGAATTGCTGGATTGAGTTTGTTAGGATATGGCGAAAAGTATGCTTTGAAAACAATTGATCCAACGTTTGCCTTACCTGTTGGAGCACTCAAAAAGATTGGTATTCAAACACCTTATACTTTGCGATATGATCAATAATATGACATATTAAAGAAACGACCAAGGGAAGAATGTCATCCCATGAGGTTATATTCCACAAACTTTCATCGTTGAATTGACAATGACCACCATCATCATCATCACGTCAACATGCCATCATTTATTTTCGCAGAGCAACAAATCTTCTCGGCGCGAAATTTTGACAACTACGAAAAAAAAATTTGAAAAATTTTCTTCTTCAACAATTTGTAATTCCGATCCTCCTAGGGACGTCATATCATCAATATGAATCAAAAATTGACTGATGAGAGAGAGAGAATCATCAAAGTATTGAACGAACACTTGTATCAGACAAAGCTTTTGCAATTTTTACCGCTATATTCTCCGCATCTCACGGATGAAACCAAACAACTACTTCCCGAAACGTCGCATAGGTTATTACAGGATTTGTTCGAGCAGGAAGGTGTCTTGGAGAGTAAAATTAAGGAATACTTGCATACCGATATTCCGGAATGGTCGACCAAGATCAAAAAAACCTTCATGCAACTATGTAAAGTTTTGAGCCAGAACCATTTTTCTGTGGATCAAGCAAATCCAACAAAACAGGATGAAGGTTTAGAGCGTTTTGTATATATCATGAAAGAAATGGTCAATATTTACTCTGACAAGCTTCATACGACCAAGGAAGAGGAGCAAGTAATGAATGATCAAAAGAATGAGAAGGCAGCAAGGGAGAAAAAATCCAACGCTGACCTCAAAGCATTGCAGAGAGAATTGGCTGGGGTGCGAAGCTCAAGAGAAAAAGAGGTGTCAGCGAGAGAGGAGACTCTGAAAAAACTTGAGGAGGAGCTTGTCGCCTTGAAAATGTCGACCAACTCGCAACGAGAGGAGTTTGAGTCTGTTTTGAAAAATAGGGAAGACCTTGCAGAGAGTAAATTTAAAAAGTTTGAAGAAATGCTGAAAGATCAAATCAAACAATGTGAAATACTGCTGTCAGAATTGAAATTGGATCACCACAAGGAAGAAAATGACATGAAACTCGATCGATTGACCTCAGAACAACAGGTCTATGACTTTGTGACCAAATATGACAATTTTATGAGTGAGCATACTGTCAAGTACAACACTTTGGTTCAAGATTACAATAGAGACCAGAAACGAGTTGTATTCTTGGAAAATGCTATTGCTGTCATGGAAGAGGAGAAGAGAAACGTAATGAAGAGCGAGAAAGAAAGAGAAAAGAAAAAGAAAGAGTGGAACGATTCAAAGTGCACACTCGATACCAACGTCTTTGGCGAAGAGCTTATCGTTTGGTCTTTTTAACGAATTATGAAAATATTAATGAAAAAGTGCAAAAAGCAAAGGAAGGCAAAAATCCACAAGACCTGGCCAACCAGTCCGCCAATGCAGGTAAATCAAACGATCCGAAAAAGACCACAACTAGTGGAAAACCAACAGAGTCTCGATCTCGAACCACTCCTTCCACCAACAGATCAGGATCTCAGCGAAGATAAATAGATTTATCTATTTGAGAATGTCTTTACTCTTCTTTCTTTGGCTTGAGCATGGGGAATAACAAGACATCTCTAATGGATTTGTTATTTGTGAGAAGCATGATTAAGCGATCCACGCCTACTCCCCAACCACCAGTGGGTGGCAAACCATATTCTAATGCTTTACAAAATGCCTCATCCATTTCATGGGCTTCATCATCTTGGCTCTTTTTGTCTTGTTGCTTTCTGAATCGATCTCTTTGTTCTTCGGGGTCATTCAACTCTGTGTATGCATTGCAAATCTCTTTCGTTCCAATGAACAATTCGAATCGTTCAGTAATATTTTGACCTTTGTTTCTATGAGATTTCGACAGAGGACTTAACTCAACAGGATGATCCATGATGAAAGTTGGTTGTACACATTCAGGTTCCACAAAATGTCCGAGCAATTTGTCGAGCAAGTAACCATAGTTCACTTTTTCAGCAGTAAAAGGAATTTTGTGAGTTTTGCAAAGGGCTATTAAGTTGTGCACAGCATCAGGGTCTGATGGATCTGGAAGCTTTTGCTTGATGTGTTGCTCAATCGTATCGACAAAAGAAACTCGTCTAAAAGGTTTGCTAAAATCAATTTCTCCAATACCATCAACATGCAAAATTGGAGATCCCTTAATTTCCGTCACAAGTCCTCGAAATAGTTCCTCTGTCATGTCCATCATGTCGTTGTAATCAGCATATGCTTGATAGGCTTCACAACTGGTAAATTCAGGGTTGTGTGTGGTATCCATTCCTTCATTTCTAAAGACCTTCCCTAATTCGAACACTCTGTCCATTCCTCCAATCACAAGTTGCTTTAAATATAGCTCTGGAGCAATTCGAAGTTTGAGATCGATATCCATAGCGTTGAGATGAGTCTCGAACGGTTTAGCATTTGCACCTCCGCTCTTCTCGCTGAGTACTGGAGTTTCAACCTCAAGAAATCCTCTACTCGAGAAGAATTTTCTTATATAGGAAATGGTCTTGCTTCTTGTAAGGAAAACATTGTACAGCTCATCATGATTAGTAAGCAAATCTAAATGTCTATTTCTATATCTTTTTTCAATGTCATCAAGAGAAGTTCCTTCAGAATAAGAAATTTTTTGTGGCAATTGATGCAAGCAAGGACTGAGAAGAGTAATTTGTTTTGGAACAATGCTAAGCTCTCCTTTGCCAGATTTTGCAGGAAATCCTCTCACTCCCACAATGTCACCCTTTCTTAAAATTGTATTAATAATTGAAAAATTGCTGTCATCTTCTGCGCTCGGTGTGGAATCATAATTTTCAGCATTTGCCATAATTTGAAGCTGGAACAATTGATGGTCATTTGTTGTTCTAATGGTATAGAAATAGAGTTTAGAGCTTGCTTTTCTTTTGCTGATAATTCTTCCTGCAATAGTCTCTTCAATGTCTTTTAATTTTTCTCCAGCTTGTAGCGTGTCATACTTTTCTTTGAATTCTTTAAAACTACAAGACAATGAAAAATGATTTGGATACAAGCTCGGTAATAATTTTGGATATTTTGCTTGATATTCCTTCAATTCTTGTTTTCTTTTTTGATAATAGTCTTCATCGGAGCTCACACTTTGCCCTTCCGATGATTGAATTTTTGTGTCTTCCGTTACTGAATTATGTTTTCCACCACGGAAAATACTTGTTGAAAACAATAAACGAGAAGTCCCTGCTCCACTCCACAGGAAGGAAGTTTTTTGAATCGGATGAGCATGATTCCATAATGATGATGATGACAACGAAGCTTGCCATCGAAATAAGAGACCCGAAGGGCTGCACAAACGTTTCATTTTTTTAAACACAATATTTCCTTTTCAGAACAATACCAAAAAACAAAGGGACTAATCGATTTCTTTCTCCGAGATTGTCTTAGGTGATGAATATGCAGAAATTCTGTGCAGTGACTCACACAACCATGATTATTGCCGAAAACATGGAGTCCATCCTAATCTATTCTTGGCAATTTTTGTGAACTCAAAACATTTTCGAAAAGAAAAAACGCAATCCAACAACAAACCGTTGTTTCTCGGATCTTTCGGATTCAAAAAACAACAAGAAGAACAAACACACACGAATCATAACAGACTATAGTAATTATTCAAATACAACCCGAAACAAACCTCATAGGAATCATCCTGTTTCTTGAGAGAGAAATTACATATATAATTAAAAAGAATGCTCTTCTTTCAACTGATTCAATTGAAGGAAGATGGAGTAGATCCCATGATGATGAATTACATGCATTCAAATAATCAAAATGCCCCTTTTACCAATCCTCCGAATCCAAATACTTCATCCCATGCAACAACAACAACATCTACTACGCAACATCAAGCCTTGTCATCTGCGCAGGCATCATCTTCTCTCGTAGGAAACGCTGGAAAATCAGGAGTGAATATTATTCGTAAAACTCCTTCAAAGAGTGGGCGAGCCAACGCTTCATCATCATTATCTTCAAATGGTGGCAATGCTCAACCGACAACATTCTTACCACCCAACGTGGGATCCTCGAGTAGCAGTAACACAAATTTTGGAGGAGTCTTGTCTTCCTCTCTGGCACCAGTTGCTACTACGATGCAATCCACGGAATCATCCATTCCGCTTGTGCAATTACTTGCTACCTTACCCGATGCAGAAGACATTTATCAGAGAATTTTAGTCTTTCTTCCATACACCTCTGCTTTGAGATTTAGTTATGTTTCCAAGTATTTCAATCAATTAGCAAAAAAGCATTCTCCTTATTTATTTAGCATGAGTCAATTTGTGCAATGGAATAATCAAGTTTGTGCTCTCATGATGAACAGTACTGAGAATACAGATTCGAATTTGTCGAGTGACCTGGTCAAGATGAGACAGACTAATTTCCTGAGAGCAGTACACGTCATTGCACGAAGTTGTAGAATTCAATTATTGCTCAACGAATTATTTCACAAAGAGACGATTAATATTCAAAGTGAAGATACTGTCACTACTCTTGACATGCCTTCAGTTGGAGTGTACATGTGCATACCATTGTCATCAAGAGTGGAATTCGCAAAAAAACACAAAATGGTTCGACAACTTATCGACAACATTTCGCTCCAAAATATTTATTATCAAGAGATGTGTACATTTCTTCTTGGAAAGCTTCAAATTATTGAATTTGAGCAAATCAAAGGAGAAGAAAATTATGGATTTTCATCAGTTATTCAACTCATACCTGATCTTCAACAGTTAGATCAGAAGGTTTATATTCATCAAAATTTGATGACAACCACTCTTCAAAACCAAAAACAAAAGAAACGGGTCATCCTCTATCAAATGTCGATTGGAACTAATTCTTCAAAATATGCTCAATTTCTTGGACTGTCTGGTGACATGACTCCCAATGATCGCCAAACACTTGTAATTATGGCAGGAAGCAAATACGAATTTAATGATATCATTCTGTACAAGCTGTGTCAACTAAGTGGAGTAATCACCAACACAACATCAATGTCCGTCACAGAAATGTTTCAATTTCTAGCCATGTGTGGAACATTAGACACCTGTCAGGCTGTCATAGAACAATATTATACCTACAAGAGAAATAATTTACAAACATTCAGCTCGACGCCACAGAAATTTGAAGTGTATCCACGAGAATCAGACACTGAGCTTAAAAGTTTTGATTTTGTCGCGTCACTGTTTTTGAAGCAGTACATTTTCGACTTGACGAACATCAAATCAACTAAGATTTACCTGCTAGACCTTTTAATTAACATGTCAAATCAACTTCTTTGCGATATTCAACTCTCATATTTACCTAGAAGATTACTTAATTATCAAAAGAACACATTAGAATATGAAAAGGCGATACGGTCAATCTCAAATGTTTTTGGCAGAGAGGTGAGGTTTCGATTATTGGGATCTAATGCCGAGTGCACAAGCTACAGCGTATTGAGACTGGCAATTATTCCAACCTTGGCAAACAAGCTACTCAGCCCAACGAACAAATCTCTATGTGAACTTGTTTTTAATTTTGTTGGATTTACCTCATTTAAATATGTTGGAGCCGAACAAGAACGAAATTTAAGATTAACTGTACGAACCAGCAACAAGAAGTTGGCATTCTTACTTGGAATTAAGGAAGAACGGGATGTCGTGGTGTTGAACAATCAAACAGTCAACACGAGAATCTTGAAAAATTTGACTGAAATACTTCAATTGAGCTGGCCTGAATCTGAATTGCTCTTCTTCTTATTGGCAGCATGTTCCTGTATTGCAACAACACACTTTACTGAGTCTGCAAAAACTGCCTTTGTTGAGACCGAGTGGAACACAGCCCAGAAAGAAACATTCCATCCATCGATATATTATATTTCTGAGCAACTCAGTAAGATATTGCAATGTCCTAGTGTGATCAATACTGAAGACATTTAAGATGGATTTGTATCTAAGTGTCTGGAGATTCTCTATGAATTAATTGAAATTTTATTACTTTTTTCTTAGAAAATTCAAGAGCTTGTTACTGACGATTTAGGACCAATCAATGAGATGATTAGTGTTTGTCGAGCTTCGGAATGGGAACTTCCATCGATCAAATCATTCTCTATAGGAATGATGAATTTAGAAGCCAAGAAATCCGATATTGATGTTTTGGCATTGATTTCAGATAGTCATTCATTCAAGAAGGAAATTGCAGATATTCTTATGTAGTTTCTTCTTCAACCTTTCTACAAAATATTTTCTGGAGATGTTTGGTTGATTTGCTCAAAAGACAGAATAAAATTTTTTAGTCAACTGAAAACTAAAAAGTTCCTGGTTGACTTGAGATATTGGTCATTTTCATAGAGTAATAACTGCAGCATTACTGGTACTGTTGGCAATGAAAGTTGGAATTTCATGTTCACTAGGATGCCATCTCAATTTGAGAAATACCACAAGAGCGTTCAAAGCACTTTGCAAGAAGAATGAAGAACCTTTAATCGACCTTCCACTTTCTACTTGGAACTTTATTACAAGCACTTTAAAACGAAAAAGCTTTGTTCCTCCTTTGAAGATTAAACTAACCATAAATGCAAATCAATGAAATTATTAAGCATAGTATTGTGACCTCTCGAAGTCGGAGAGGTCAGACAGTTAAATCAAACAGCTTAGGTGTTCACTCAAACCACAACCCTCGATAACAAGGACTTTGAAGGGTTGCCAGAAGGAAGTCTATTTTTTCCTGAATTTAAGGAAGGATGTAAATCAAACGGACGCTTTGATGAGATGCTGTAAAGATTTGGGAATTGGTAAGTGAAAATTTTGAATGACCACAATTACCAGACACAATTACCAGGCATAATAATGCAGAGCAATTTATGGACCAATTTTCAACAAGAGTTAAAACAGAATCAACTTTGGATCAGTTATTTTCAGACTCGAACTATGTAAAAGATTTGACAGCAATCCATTAAGTCGGCCAACCCAAACAACCCAAAATTAAGACCAAAATTGCAAACAATATTCGAGAGAATGTTGAATGAGTGGCAGCAGAAACCCTTGTTGATTGTGACACTTTTGGTGAGATGCCACTCGATGTATTCACGACTCGAATGGTCATTTCAATAGGATAGTGGTCAGAGACTGTTGGTGCAAATGTTGAATTCAATCCAAATTGTTCATCAAACCTAAATATTGCCACTTGACTAATTTCATACTTGCTACCAGACTTGAGGATGCTCTTATCGGCCATGCTTTGTGGAACCACAAATCGATCGTATGGACAAACAGAACTGGCAACAGTGGTGTCCATCGTGTCATTGATAAGCCATTTGAATCGAGTGTCTGTTCTCAAGGTGATATTGCTCCAATCACTGGTTGACACATAGGAACATCCTGCATTAAAGTCACCACAAATGATTGTATTGCTTGCAAATGCTTCATTTTGATAATAATTAAAAACATCCACTAAATGACTCATTTCAGCAACGGCATCTGTGGGTTTGATATGACAACCGAGCATTGCAAAGGTCTGACCTGGTAATGCCACTAATTCAAAAGTAAATATGAAAGGAGGTCTTTCAAACCAATTATTGACATCTGTATATTGTATGGTTTTCACAAATTTGATGACATCGGGTTTATAGAGAAACGCATACTGTTCCTTAGAAGTTGTTCTGCCAAGTGGGTCACTGACTTGAAATTGATATTTCACACTGTTGGATGGAATAAAATTATTTAATTGGCGTGTAAATTCTGGGATGGTCGTGTTACTTGAATCTCTCACTTCCATGATGAATATCAAATCGTACATGGCAGTAATTTTAAGAAGTGTTTGAACCACATCGGGTTTTGACAATTTCGTTTGTCCAAATACTTGAATATTGAAGGATGCAATTTTGACTGCCTGTGTTTGCTGCGCCAGAAAAATAATGCACAAAAGAGTCATCATGAAAAGCAATAAGAGTGTTATCATCAATTTGTGAGATGATGATGGCTTCAAACGAACAAAACGTCCTTCTTCGCAATGCTGTAGTGACATTTTTTGCGGACGTTGATCTTACAGAAATATGCCATGTTTATTGGCATTGAACGTCCTTGTTTTACCTGTGGCGAATAGTGGTGAGTAATCATATTTTCCTGGATAAATTTCTTCGTTTTCTTTTGGAATGTTTGGCTCTCTTTTTGAATTACTAACAAAGAAGCTTGAAGAGATATGCTTTTTGCTTTCTTTCTCAGCCAAATTGGAGCCAAATCGATCTGTGGAGGGATAGTACAGACTTGGTTGTTCTTTGGGCTTCTTTTTTCGTGTTTTTCCTGTAAAGTTTCCAAACCTATCAATTGCATCATTTTTGAAGAAGAAAGAACGAGGATCTTTTTCATAATCATTAATTTGAATTTCTCTACTTCTACTGGAGGCTGATTTAGGTTTTGCAATTTCTGAAATATCAATCGATTCATATTGGGGCTTTGTATTTTCAATATCCCTCTTTGTTGTTGATCGAAATATAGCTTGAGGTAATTCTTTCTTCTCCCGTATTCGATATAATCCTCGTGATGGGTTTTCTCTCTCATATCTTTCTTCCATGCTTTCTTCAAAGTGGTTGACAATATCTGTGGGTGATGACGAGCGGTCATCCTCCGAAAATCTCTTTGTTTTTGATGCAAACATGGAAGATTTACCAGCAGACCCAACTCTTTTTTTTGTCGAATGACGAATAAGACTTTAAGCAAGTTCAATGGATCATAGTCATCCACAAAAAGAGTTCAATACAAACTTACCACATTATATGTTCCAGGACCCACTGTAGGCGGTGTCTCTGTTGTAATTTTAGTCTTTGTGGGAGATGATGATAAAAAAGCTCGACTTCCTGATGATGAGGGAACTCGTTGTTGACTCGTCGACGAAAAGTATTGAATGGTTTCTGTTGAACCGGGTCCTGGAGTTATAAAAGTACTTCTTGGAGCATCATACCATCGTTTCGTATTTGATACCATATATCCATAACCTTTCTTTGAGTCTGATGTTCTCCTTTCCAATATTTCTCTACTGATGGAATAGGTCGATGCATTAGGACCTCCTAAATCACTCTTCATTGATTTTATATTCATTCAACTCGAAATTTCGGAATTCAACTCTGCACGCACATACCACAAATACTTGAAATCGACTACTACTCGTTCCAAATCCCTTCTTTTCCATGGATGATGTATTTAATTTCGTTTCAAATCGGGATGGAATGGAATGAGAAGAAGACTTATAAAATTCCTTCTTTTTTTGCTGTGTTTCCCTCAAACGGGATCTCACATCCTGTACCGATTTACTTCGTGTTGTTGTTGTTGTTGTTGTTGGATCCTCCATGGCTTGATGATCGATTTTCTTTGTTGTTTTGCACTCCGACAACTATTGTTTTTTTTTCATAACCATCACAAACGACTATTTTTTTAAATTTACTGATCACGGCGGGAAACGATGATGGTTCAGGTTTGGTGGTTCTGTGTGACCTTCGTTCAACCTCTCTCATCCCTTCCGTCATTTGAGATCAAGAGAAATCAAAAGGAAGATCATCCCTTAATCATTGCTCTTGATTTTTTCATTAAAAAAAATACATCACTTACAAAGGTACATATTCCTCAGACATTGAGCGACAAGTTGAACGAGAAAATCGGATGGAGAGGAAATTGAGAGATTGGTTTGTAAGAATTGTTGAAGACAGTAGATTCGGCATCGGAACGTCCAACAACAAATGATCATTCAGAGCAAAATCAGGTATACCAAAGATATTGTAACAGAAGATGAAAATTTTAATGTTGATCAATTTATTCCAGAGCTCAGTAAGCATATCAACACCAATGATCCATTTGTGAGACAATTTTTGTTGAGTTGGATTGTTATTCTTGACTCAGTTCCTGATATTGATTTACTTGAATATTTACCTCATTTTCTTTCTGGAATATTTGATATGCTTAGTGATCCCAATAGAGAAATTTTGGATTTACAAATTTTACAATTCGACAAGAAAGTTCTGCCCTATCACACAAATTATTGATGCTATTTACAACATATTTCACAATAATCCATCTCTCATGGCAACTCTATACTCAAATGACCCAATGAGGAGAACAATGGCGATGATTGCTTGGATGGATAGCAACTCCATCAACAATAGCCACAAAAATTTGATTCCATCCAACTATTAAACTTTATCTATTTAATTAAAACATTTCAACTTTCACATGTTTCTTCTTTGAAAGCTTTTTAATTGTCAGTGCTCCAAGAAACCATTTATGGGGTTTGTTTATACGTAATTCTTCTATTGTACAGTTTTGTAGAATTGAGATTACACCCCTATAATCCATACTTATATCACAAATAAAGAGAGTTTTTACATTAATAGTATGACCAATGTCAAAATGAATTGTTCCCTTATTACTAATTTTGTCAGAAAGAGAAAGAAGTTCCAAAGGGCGCCGAAACTTGACACTCATCAAATATTCAAATCCAATGTGAGTTAAGTTGTTGGACTTTAGTATTAGTGTCTGATATGTTCTGAACGAAGTGAAGGGCATGAATGTTTCGATTGTAAACATTAAAAGAGTTTGGTTGAGCAACGAAAAATATTTTCATGCTCAAAAAATTTTTGGCATATTCGTGCGTTTTGATTTGCTTAGTGACTTCCCACCCACTTGCTTTCTTAAGCTTCTAAGGTACCTTTTTCGCTGATCGGAATGTTCTTGTGGTAAGGAAGAACATTGAGACAGTGCAGGTCCACCTTGATCGAATCTTTACGACAAGGATTTTACTGAGCTAACTATATATTTTATTATTTTAATTTCATGTATTTAATTCATCATGTTATCTTATTTTCATGGATTTATCAAGCAATTGCTTAATGTGACTTCTTGCGCTTCACATCTTAGAATCTTTGTCTCTGCCTTCCTCCGTCCTACTTCCTTGCGTTTCTTTGGTTTTCTCCTTTTTTCCGCTGAGCGGTTTTTGGAGTTTTTTACCTTCTCAAATCTTAATTAATACTCGGGACTCTGCTGAATAAAGTCAATTGACAAAATATGCAGAAAATCCCACAAACACCGGACCTTTATTAAGGTCGGGTGTTTGGAGAGACTACAAACCCATCTGTTCCTCTAAATTAACCAAACGATTCTTGTTGTTTACGTCTTCGAAACATGTATATTATCCAAGTTATGATGTGAAAAATATTTTAAACCTTCATCTCCAATTTCACAATCTGAGAGGTCAATATGGGTCAGACTTTTCATAGCAAAAATATATTTGCAGATTTCTGGTTGTGTTTTACAGAAAGAACATTTGACACAATTAGATCTAATTGTGTCAAATGTTTTAAATTGTATATATATTTTCCACAAGCTGTCATTAATTGGCCTCTCCAAAGAGCTAATGATATTATATTATTGCATTTGCCACAAAGTAGTCTTAATAAAGTCAAGGATGATTTTGCATCAAGATGCCCAATCGTGAGTTGTTCCATGTCCTTATTTAATATTTGATCAATAATATTCACAGTTAAATAAGGAAATTTAGTTGTATCAATATCAAAATTAAAAACTTCATTACTATAATAGCTCCTAATATTAAGGTCTTTAAGGGATGATTGATTATGAGGATTGAATATGATCATAAAATTTCTTTGAGATAATTTACGCTCTGAAATAGAAAGACTTTCCAATTTCAATGGACCATTAATAATAAAATCAATGCTTTCACAATCAATTTTTGTTGATAATAGATGTAATTTCTTCAATTTCTTCAATTGTATTAGATTCTTAATAGTTTCAAGAGAGAGATTGACATAATTAATTGTCAAGAGTGTTAGTGAGTCAGAAGGAAACATTTCAAAATTTGTGCATACTAATTTCAATGATGATAGTTTGGGAGACATGAATATTGTTTTAAATTGCAAGGAAGTCAAATGACAATCAGAGAATTCAAAATGTGAAAACATTGAAAGAACTTGTTGATGATCACTCTTGTCCTTTGTTTCCATTGGTAATGTTTTAAAACGTTTTCTACAATACAACTTGTTGCAGAATTTGCCTTCGGAATAGGAAATAACAATTCTTCTCCATGATGAACAAACACCAGTAAATCAAATGATCTCATTTTGATTCAAGAATGGAATGATGATGTAAGCAATGTCATCAAAAGAAGAATCAATGAGTTGTTTGTATTTTCTGTTGCTCTTCTTCGAAAGAGGAGAAGGAAAACATGAAGGCATTTCGGTTATTGTTTTCTTGTTGTGACAACCGAATAAGATGTCTCATGTGCTTTTCTTCGGATTTGATGTGTGAGAACCTTAATTACCTGACTTTTATATTCATTAAAAAGTAAGCTCACAAACAAAAACTCACAAAAATGAGACTCCAAATTAGAATGGAAAAGTGATTTTCTCGGGAGAAAAAAGAATTGGGTAAAGAGCAGCCTGTTGAATCAAACAATAATCCATTCTGAAACCAATGAAGCCTTTAGCTTTTAAGACTCCAAAGGACACTTTTCCATAAGGATGACCCTTCTGATCAAGGAGGAAAACCAGAATGGCCATTAGAGGTCAGGCAAGACAAGAACTGTGACGAGAGCTTTTTTTGATCTCTTACTTTGAAGGATGCTCCTTTTCGCAAATCTTTTGATTTTTTTTAAAAAAAAAAATAAATTAAAAAAAATGCAACATTCAGCCTCAAGTGCATCGCTTTCATCCGTTTCAACCTCGTTGGACAATGAATTTGGTGATATTATTCCACATATTCATCAGACCTTGATCCGAAATTTGAGCGACAAGCTGAAAGATAAGAGAAAATCGGGTGGAGAAGAAATTGAGAGATTGGTCTGTAAATTATTACAAACGGTAGATTCATCATCGGAACCTCCAGCAACAACAAATGATCATTCAGAGCTAAATCAAGAGGAAAAGTTGAGAAAAGGAGAATTATTGGTTAAAAAGTTGATCCGATATCTGACCGTCCAACTTGTTGACTCGATTCAACCAAATATGAAAAAGGGAGGATTATGGGCTCTCGGTTCATGTGCTGTGGCACTTTATAAAGACATTGGAAAGTATTTGGATGACTTAATTCCTCCCATACTTCGATGTTTTGGAGATCAAGATGCAAAAGTGAGATTTCACGCTTCTGAATCCATGTACAATGTAGCAAAAATTGCAAGAGGAAAAATTATTCCAAATTATTTTCACATGATATTCGACCGATTGTGCAAGTTGAGTGGGGACCCAGATTCAACAGTCCAAAACGCGAATGTAGTCTTGGATAGACTTGTAAAAGATATTGTCACAGAAGATGAAAACTTTAATGTTGATCAATTTATTCCAGAGCTCAGTAAGCGTATCAACACCAATGATCCATTCGTGAGACAATTTTTGTTGAGTTGGATTGTTATTCTTGACTCAGTTCCTGATATTGATTTACTTGAATATTTACCTCATTTTCTTTCTGGAATATTTGATATGCTTAGTGATCCCAATAGAGAAATCATCAATCAAGCTAAAACCACTCTTGAAGAATTTCTTTCAGAAATTGAATATTCATTTGACTCCATAGATTGTGGTCCACTTATCAAAATTCTGATCACACATTGTGAGAACGTTCCTGGAAGCACTTTGGCAAAACAAATAGCTATATTTTGGATTTACAAATTTTTACAGTTCGACAAGAGAAAAGTTCTGCCCTATCACGCACAAATTATTGGTGCTATTTTACAACATATTTCAAGTAATGAGATTGACCTGAGAAATGCAAGTACCAATGCCAATAATGAAATAATGCGAATTATTGAAGATAAATCCACTCCAGATCAAATGATATCATTTAGTGACGTTATGAAGGTTATCAAAACTGAATTGCAAAAACCTAACATTCCTAACAGAATTTGTGCCTTAAAATGGTGTCACATTTTACTAAACAAGAATTTGGATCGAGTGATGAAACATATTGACATCATTTTTGCTCTCCTGTTAAAATCCTTATCCGATCCAAATGAAGATGTTGTCTCTCTAGATTTACAAGTTCTCGCTATCATTTCCACAACAGAAGAAAACTTTCAAAAGTTTTTAAGAAGTTTGGTTCAAATGTTTCAAAACGACAACAATTTATTGGCAAAGGCTGGATTTATTTTCAGAAAACTTAGTGTCATGTTGAACCCAGAAAAGATTTTCAAGGAATTGGCGAATATTTTACTCGATACCAAGCAAAGTAATGTGGAATTTACTTCTACTCTGGTTCAAACTCTGAACATGATTCTCTTAACAAGTAAGGAATTATTGGGGTTGAGAAACTCGATTAAGAAGTGTAAAACCTCTCGAGAAGGTCAAAAATTATTTTTTGATTTATTTAGAAGGTATGTTTTTCATGTGTTTGAGTTGTGTATTCTTATCATTTTTAATTAGTTGGTGCCATAATTCTATTGCAACTCTTACTCTGTGCTTACTTGCCAACCAATACGAGTTGGCAAGCTATCTTGTCTCAAGTTTGTAAGTATCAACTTTAAACACATGAACGTTACGTTGATCACTCACTCCAATATCCATAACCATTTAGCTCTGAGGTAGAGGTGACAGTCGAATTTTTAACTCAAATCGACAACTTGATTCAACTTTTAGAATCACCAATATTTGTGGATTTACGGCTGCAATTATTGGAGCCTCAGAAACATTCTTATTTATTGAAAACATTGTATGGTCTGTTAATGTTATTACCCCAAAGCACAGCATACAGCAAGCTAAGCAAACGCTTAGAATGTGTCAATACATTATGTATGATACAAACAGCAGGTCAACAGATAGCTGAAACAGAGGAAAACAAAAATTCTGAAGAAAGTATTGAAGAACTGTTAAAGCATTTCAAAACGATGCAATCAAAGTTTAGGACAATGAATGAATCCGATTAGTATTCAAGCTCTACATCAAGACTTTCAAAATACTCTACAATATCCTTTTTTCCTGCATTTTTAGCTTCTCCATATGGTGTATTTCCCCATCTCATTTAAGCGAGGTCAAATAAATTATTGAGAATAATTGATTCAATGTTGCCATCACCAATCGATTTGAATTAATGGTACTCACCTATCTTTGCAATTAATGTCAGCTCCGTATTCCACCAAAAGTTGTACCATATTGAGTTGTCCTTCTACAGCAGCTAAATGCAGAGCGGTACGTTTGTCATAGTCCTGTATATTTGGATCAACACCTTCAACTTCCAATAATCTTCTCATTTCGTCTACAGCTCCAATCGCTCCAAGATTGCACATAATCACGGGCAATAAAGCATCACTTTTAAAAAAAGTGTTAGAATTGATTGTATTAGAGATCATTATTTCAGTAACTCACCTCACTTCCTTCATGTCAGATTCTCCACCGTGGAAATTTAAGGCCTTACAAACGGCACTGACAAAACCCCTCTCTCGAAGAGAATATTTCGAAACAGGAACAACCTTGGTTAATTCACCTCGAAGGTCCACTGTTAGTAGTCGTTTCACTTCCTCGAGATCCATATCACAGCTTATTAAATACACTGTTGTGACCATGTAAGAAATATTACATCATTAAAAATCGGATGATCTCTAAATTACCTACTTAATTTCGTGACGGCTGCCTCTGGTGTCATGCTATATTGAAAGAAATGAAAAAATTTCACAATTCAACTGTGATAGAAAACTTATGACTTACTCTGATCCACTCACAACACCAAGCTCATATAATACTGAGCCTGTTTTATAAGAGGCAGACACAGCTCCTTTGACTGATTCATTAAAATTTTTGCAACATTCTCCAAGTTAGACTCTTTTTTCGTTACTGAGGGGGACATGAACAAACTTACAGCATTGTGTGCAATTCACAATTACTACTCCTCTTTCTGTTGCTTCTTTGATGCATTTCAAGAAGTCAGATCTGGTAGAGGGTACATTTCCAACTCCATACGATAGCATAACAACTCCTTCCGTCTATCATCATTATATGATGAGCATTCAATCACAAAATAAAAAAAACTATTACTTACTGGAGGCAAGAAGAAGTTTGACATTAAGCTTGTACTAATACCAGGAAATATTCTCAGCATACCAACTGTACAAGAACATCGATGATTTCATGAATGAATATCACGAATAAAAATATTTAACATACCATTGCTATTTGAAATTGGAATCATTCGAAATTCTTGATTTTGTCCTGGTGGAGGTCGAATCAAGGCCCAATTGACTTCCATATCAATACCAAGTTTCACTAGTGGTGCAATATTTGGAGAATCAAAAGCACTTAAATCTCCAGCATCCATCTTGGTACATCTATTTCCTCTAAATAACTTGTTATGGAAAAAAACACAAACTTCTGGAATGTATAATTTTGAGGCAATGGTGATAGCTCCTAATAAATTATCGAATCCATCATTTCTTGTCTGTGAAATGGGTATTTGAGAACCTGTCAAAATAACTGTCTTGGCTAAATGTCGAAACATAAAACTTAAAGCAGAAGCTGTGTAACACATGGTATCTGTTCCGTGCAATACAATGAACTGAAAACGTTCATTATTTTCATTCATTTCATCATATTTACAGTATTCACATTATTCACAATTTTCATTCATAATATATTCATAATTTTCATTCAACAGTATTCAATCAATAAATATATTACATTATTCACGATATTCAATAAATATATTAAATTATTCATTTCTTCCATCATTAAAGAGATCTCATGAATGGTCAAAAACCTACACAATCATAATCATCATAATGATCCGAAATACATTGAGCAATTTTCACCCAATCTTTATATCCCATATTACTTGAATCCAAAATTGGGTCAAATTCCAATAATTGATACAAAGCAACACATCCATCATCACTTCTCGGAGTTGAAAACCATTGATCCATTTTGGCTCTTTCAGTTTCTTCCGTATCTTGATCATTGATCACTCCAGCCATTTTCAAATATAACTTTCGATGTCGAGCATCATTGAATTGAGATAATTGAGCCAACTTTTTACGTAAATAACCTCTCACAGGATGATAGCCATCTGAAAACTTTTTCATACCAATGGTACCTCCGGTGTAGATGGCGAGGATTTTGGTGATACTCAAGGCAGCAGAAGGTAAATCAACAACTGGGACGACGGGAATGGAAATTAATGAAGAGGATGAAACGAGAGGCTTATGAGAGTCTTCTTTGATAAAGATCTTTCTTTTGAATCGGGGGCTTAATTTGGGTCCTTTTGGAATTTCCGATGAATGATGATGATTATTGTTGTTGTTGTTGTTCGTATTGTTGGAATTGGTGGTTGGTTGCTGTTGATCATAATTGTTATGATTCATGTCGTCGTCGTTGCTTTCATGTTGTTCTTGTTGATGGAAATGTTGAATCTTGTCAAGATGCAACAATGGAGTGTGCTCTTGCATCATCAGCAATGGTTGTTGCTGTATCCTTTCGGAAGAAGCATTCAGCGCATCCGAGGTTGAGGCAGCAGCTTCCAAGTCAGAATCTCTACCCGTGTGTTGTTGTGGTTGCATTTTTTGTAAACTTGAGGCCAATAAATTATAATTACCTATACCAGTACAGTGGAGCGAATATGTTCGGCGATGCAAATTGTCAATTTAATTTTGCGAAATTAATGACCAATTGTCTAATTTTTCAACAACAGAAAAAAAAGTTCCATAAAAATGCTCATGAAAACTTCCTCCCTTCTCTTCCATCTCCGTCCCTGCTGTCATCTTTTGCGAAAGGCTTCTTGGTTGGGAGCTACAACTACTAGTTTTCAAACAAGAAAGTATTCCACAAAATCTTCTAGACTCGCACCACAATCAAATACTTCAACAATCATTAGAGAAGGGAATCCATATCTGTTCTTTCTGAATTTTGTCCAAAACGGAAAGCAGATTCCGAAAGATGAATACATGAAGCAAATGATGAACAATGACTGTAACAATAACTCCAATTCAACATCTACTAATCTCCAAAAGAGAGATATTCCAACATTTTTCCTTCATGGATTGCTCGGAAGTGGTCAGAATTATGTTTCAATTATGAACAAGTATCATAATATTCTTGCTGCGAATGGAGATTGCTTTTTGTTGGACTCTAGGAATCATGGAAGAAGCTCCCATACTACCACGATGAGTTATGATGATTTATCGGATGATATTGTCTCAGTGATGGATGAATTGAAACTTGAAAAAGTGAATATCGTTGCTCATTCAATGAGTGGCAAAGCGGTCATGAATTTAATGTTGAGAGAAACCCTCAATAATAATACAACATTGTTACAACGGATCAACAAGGCGGTCATTGTAGATGTATCACCTGTGGATTACACTAAAGATGAAAGATGGGTGATTAAGCAATATATTGACGCAATGAGAAGAATTAATTTGTTGACTTTGCAAACACGAACAGAAGCAGAACATATTTTAGCCAAAGCTGGAGGAATTAATCCTGAAGCGAGACTCTTCCTGTTGACAAATCTCATTCGAATCAAAGAAAACAATGGTGAAACAGCAGGAGCTCAGTGGGCTTGGAGATGCCATTTGGATGTCATTGAAGAGTATCTTCCTCAGCTTGGTTCGTTTCCTTTCAAAACTAGAGAGAACCCTCTTGGAATTTACTCACTCCAAGCTCCTATTCAATATGCTGGAGATAATGTATTGTTCTTGAGAGGAGAAAAATCAATGTATGTCACTGACGAGTATGAAATAATTTCCAAATCCTTTTTCCCGAATGCCACTTTCGAAACAATCAAGGTAAGAGATTGCCCATTTATTGATATTTTGGTAATTTTATTGGTCTTTATCTTATCTCGCTCCGTATACAGAATGCATCACATTGGGTTCATATTGACAATCCACACGAATTTGCCACAATGATTTCTTCATTTATTAATGTCAACCATTATTAGGGCAGTTGTGACTGACAAGAGACATTTCAATTTGTGTATAAGAATGGCGCTAAGCGAATGAGAGCTAAAGTTAAATGTTACCTGACATTGGAAAAACCAAAACAGTCATCGCTCCTTGAAACCAATAAGAGATGGGCAATGTAATGACTTGTTACCTGTTTTCGGCAAACAAGCAAGTGATGATGATCAAGGATGACAGCATGGGTTGTTGTCGACAACCACAACATCAAGCAGTTGCAAACCAAATTCCTTGCTGGCGTTCGCCAAAATTATTCACCACCTGATATTCCATTTAAATTTTTTTATGCCCTTTGGGAGCTTCGACCTTGTCAAAATCAGCACCCAATTCCAAACACAGTGAAAACCGAATGTTGAGCCAATATGGTTGTGTTGACCAAGGATCATTTGACCGATGGACGCTGCGATGCAGAACGTGACGCCAGACGCATGCGTCATGAATTTCACAATTTGCTTTACTACACCACCGTTCTGCTTTTAGTGCACGCAAACGCCTTCAGAAAGAAAAATACATCCACCACAACTGCATCACTACTTGCTGAAAGGACAACAATCTCTTCACTTTGTTGTCGTTTGTGTGACGATAATGTTATTGTGGCAAGTAGTATTGCAACATCATCCACTCACACACTCCATCAAACATGTGGCAGCACCAACAAGCAGAGCAAGAGGCACAACGACGATATCAATCCAACAACATCAATGAACGACTCCAAGAACTACCACCATTGCCTCCTCATCACGACCATCAACGTGTCACATTGCATCGAAGAGAGAGTGGCTTTTATCCACAACGACACCAACAACAACAATTAACCGATTCAACACTCTATCAATCAAGCAACAACACAGCTCTACACTATCCAACCCTTCCTACCACTGCTACTACTAGCAGCATCCGCCATTCAACAAACCCAATTTCTCCTCCCTCTAGTTCTAGTGAACATCACCATAATTACTCCATGCCAATACGTACCACCTATCCACAACAAGCTTTTCAGGACTCTCACCCTCCCATTCTTCCTCCCATTAGTACACTTACCTCTTCCCCTCCACATGATCATCACTACCAACAACAACATGTCTCAACAATGAACAATCCCTTCTCATATCCCTCGCAAGATGTGTCGGCAACAATGTCCTCATCATCATCATACAACTCCTTCTCAAGAAAAAGCTTTCCTCCACACCAAGACCTTCTTGCAACCCAACATGGAGTGTCAACCAGCAACCAATTTTATACAACACGAGAGATGGTCACAACACGAAATGAAGGCCATCGAGCGGATAGCATGTGTGTGCCTTCGTCGTCATCCTATCAACATTTGAGTTTTGCATCACAACAACAACACACGGTTGTATACAACCATCAAAATCATCCATGCTATGACTCATCCACTCATGCGTTGGGACAAGATCGAATTAGCATCACTCCGCCTTCGAGCACAACTAGTGCTTCCCATCCTGCAACAACAACCAGTACGAGTACATCTACAACAGACTTGATAGTCAACAACACTAACAGTCACAACATGGGACCAACATGTGGTACAGATTCATCCTTTCAAACTCCATCTTTTTTGGAGAACAACACATGTGTTCATGCATCATCGACAACACATGCACCATCCACATGTAGAACACATCAAAAATCAAAGAGAAAAAGCAGGTCTGCCCCGTCATCGGAGTCACAAACGAATTGGACCTTTCATGCACATGCGAGGTCTGACACCACAGATGCGTCCTTTGTCTTAAATCCCGATTCAAATTTCACGGCACCTGTGGTAAAACCTCATGAAAGAATTAGTGTTGCATGCTCGGAGTGCAGAAAGGCGAAAAAAAGGTGCAGTGGTGGACGACCATGCGACAGGTGTGCGTCAATGGGAAAACAATGCAAAGATGAGCACAGTGGGAAAAAAAGAGGAAGAAAAAAGAAAGAAAGTTCAGAAAGTGTGCAGGAGAAAAATTCAACTAGTGACGATGGAAATAGAAAACATGTTAAAACAAGTGATTCAAGTATTGGAACAGAGTCATTATCTTCAGAAACAACCTCAAGCAAAAATGACGTAGCATCTCCCTTTAATTCATCCAATTTATCAAATCTGGATAATGAAAAAGAAGAAGAAAGGAAAACCTTCCAAGAAGAAACTCCAAATTTTAACAAACATTTGGAGGAATAATTTTCTACTACTTTTTCAAGTACCAATGATTAATCAGTAAATACTTGCTGGGTATTTTCATTGGATCTATTTATTAACACACAAAAGATTACTTTTTCTTCTTTTTACTTTTGACCTTAATGCCTGATGTAAATCTGTTATCAGGAAGCTGATCAACCTTAATGGTACTTGTATGGGCTATCTTCTTTCTCTCCAATAACTGTTGTTGTTGCTTTCTCTGAGCCTCCTCTCGTTTCATTCGTTGCTGTCTAAACAAATCAGCATCTTTCAGAAATTCTTTTGGATTTGCCAATCCTGTTAAAAATCGGTTCTGTCTGCTCTTATACTTTTCCTGATGCTTATTCAAGAGTTCAAGAAGAGAAGTATCATATTCTTCCTTTGATTGGTCCTTTGACGTATTTCTAGATGCCATCATGGCTGAGATTACTTGCTGCTGTTCTTCCCGTAAACGATCTCTCTCCTCAGCATTATCAATTTCTTCAGGTTCTAGAAAAACAAAAGTGGACTGTTTTGTCAATATTGGATCATTCTCTAATGGAATATAAAACCGTTTCAAAATATCTAGTAAAGCAGTGGAATAGTTATTTCCAAATGTATCCACTAAAAATTGTTGCTTCTCCTCAACTGTCCATAAATAACAAATAGCAATCTGGAAAATGTCACAAAGTTTTTCGATGAGAGCTTCAGGCAATAGGGCCAACCCTTTTTGTTTTGCAATGGCAAGTCGTTGTCGAATTTGATTTTTAGTCATGCCTAAAACGAACGTGGTAGAATCTTGATCTGTACTAGTCGTGTTGTTGTTATTTTCACATTCCTGTTGTTGCTGCTTGTTCAAAATTTCAATTTTTCTTCTCACAATTTTGTGCATGACATCTATTGTCAGTAATCTTTCAGTGGTTGACAAGTCTTCTTTTAACAAGGAATCAATCTTTGAGGACGATGATGAAGAAGATGTATTTTCTATTCTGCTTGATGAATTTTGTTCTTGATTATTGTTCATTGCAGTGATGATAGTGCTAGTTTCTGAAGAGCATGTTGATGGAACCATCATTGAACTATCATTCGGAATGGAAGGAGGGAAGGAATCTTCTTTTGAGCTCAATGAAGATTTGAGTTTTTCAGAATCAACAACAACAACACCTTCATCTCCTTGTTGAAGCTTTTTTCGTACATTCTTTGCTTGTTCTATTCGTTTGGTATTTCTCTTTCTCTTCGGAGTTTGTGAAGTGAGTTGCAACTCGACGCGTGTCTCATCCACTCGGTTCGATACTAATTCGTTTTGCTGCTTCTTCGTTGTGTCTTGCTTTGAAGATGATGATTCCGACAAGTTGTTGTTGTTGTTGGACATTTTTTGGTGTGAACGTTAAAATTGGCGGGCCCTGGAATGACTTGCATTTGAAATGCAATTCGAATATCCCACTCTCTCTCTCTTTGACAAATGTTGGTGATGAGGATAATCATGAAAGAGTTCCGAAACCTGCTCAGAGCTCTCTCAGTACTGCTTGCCATGCATTCAATTCCGAGCTCCAACAAGTTTTTTGGATGTTTGCTCTCGGAATAAAAAGAAAAAATACAAATCACAAAATGCCAGGCAAGGAAGGAGGAAAGGTCAAACCAGTACGTTTTTCCTTTTAATCAGTTTCCTCGTGTTTGATTCATGAACCAAACGTTTTTTGCTACCATCTATAAATTTATTGTATTGAATGGATTGATTGAACTTACAAAATACATATTTTCCTTTCAATAATTTATTTACAATAATAATTCATCGGTTAAACAACGGCAATTTATTACGAATTGATGATTTGTTTGTGGAATGATGGTACAGCTCAAGAAGCCAAAGAAGGAAGACAAGGTTGAAGATGAAGCTGATATTGCTTTCAAACAAAAGCAAAAAGAAGAACAAAAGGCTCTTGAACAAGCCAAGAAGGAACTAGCTGCTAAAAAGAAGAAGTAATCATTTGTTTGCTCTGTAGTGTGCACTTCAATTGATTTCTCCATCTACTTCTATTTTCTAGTACCCTCCCCATGTAATAGTTTTCCTTGAATACATATTGTAGAAATAATCGCTAACATCTGGTGATGATTTTCTGCAATAAATCATTATTATACTAGTAGTAATTTATTGAAAACATTCGAGATCTCTTTGTCGTACAAATGTGAGAGCAGAGAGGGTGAGACAGAAAGCCTCGAGAGCACTATCAATCGTAGAGGTTGGTTGCTTTCGTCTACATTCCCTTCACCAGTACACTCCGTATGCATTTTGACCACGCAGTTTTTGGGTGACATGAAGCCAGTTTGGGACACTCTCAACAAACACTCCTCTCATTCCAAAACGAGAATTTGTCACCTCAACCATCAAAAAATGTCTGAACCATCAAAAAATGTCTGAACCGGCATCATCTCACTCATCTTCAGTGCTTGAAAAGAAATCTTTCTTTGAAGGACTGGGCAATCAACTCTACCAACAAAACACGACTAACATCACGAGTCCAAGATCACAACCCAACACACCACGAACCCCACGATCCAATACCATACCTACCACAATTATGGCTGAGAATGAACCAACAATTCGCCCGTGTGGTGATTCCGTGGTGGCGTTGATGGAATCCAACACTTCCTCTGGTAGTGAAGATGAAAATGTCAGCAATCAAGCTACCGAGTCCACTAATACGATGGATGCTTTTGTGGTATTGAAAGAAGAGAAGACTGCGGAATCAAGTGTTCCACAAGAATCACCACTCGTTCCACAAGCATCTTTATTACAACCTCATGATGATGATGAAAATGAATCAAAAGTTCACTTCAAACTAGATGAAATACAACAAGAGAATGAAGCGGCTTCTCATGATGTGAATCACAACTCAGAGTCTTTGTCGTCATTATCGACGGAAAACACAAATGTTTCATCGAACACCATTTCAACAACTACTTCTCCAACAACAACTTTAAATTTGGAAAATTCATCTTCTTCTACGAGTAGTAGTTGTAGTAGTAATACCATAATTATGAACGATATGAAACATGTCACTACTTCAATGAGTGACGATAGTAGTAGTAATGATGTGGACCAACATTGTGCAAAGTCCATTCCATCTTGTTCCTCTCCAATACAATCAACAAATTCACCACCAACGTCAACACTGACCATTCCAAGTGAAGCTTCTCGATTGTTAAACTTCACAAGTTCTGTAAATTCTGTCACTACTGGTAGTAGTAATAACAATAGTAGTGAAATTCATCCCACACAGAATCATTCTCCGAATGGTATTTCTCCTCCACAACCATTATTAACAGCACCCTATGGAAATTCCTCATTTGATCAATCTGTGACAAGAACATTGAAAGATTTTAAAATTGTGAAAAAGATTGGTGGTGGCAATGAAGGAGCAGTGTTTTTTGCAGAATTGAAAAATCCCTTACCAGAAGAGGATCCTAATGTGGCTATTAAATTAGTCATTTGTGACGATCCACAAGAAGTCGAATCCACTCGGAATGAACTTCAATTTTTATTGACACTTCTACAAGAAAATATTGTGAAACATTATTACGTTTTTGAAGAAAAGAAGAAGGGTGTGATGAATGAACAAACTAGGTTTTATATTGTGATGGAATATTGTGCAGATGGAAGTTTAGAACTCGAAATTAATAAGAGACAAAGAGAACAACGACCTTTTGAGACAGAACTTGTCAAAAAATGGACAAGACAAATTTGTCAATGCATGAATTACATGCACAGCCAATCGATTGTTCACAGAGATATCAAACCTGATAATATTTTGTTGGCCAAAAACAAACAATTTATCAAAGTTTGTGACTTTGGTTTCACACGAAAGGATAAAAAGTTAATGACCACCATTATGGGAACTATGAAATACATTGCACCTGAAATGCTTGACAGTAGAGTGTATGACGAATCGGTTGATATTTGGTCATTGGGAGTTTTATTATTCCAATTAATTTGCTTGTACACACAAGCAGAAATTCCAGATCTCATTCTTGAAATTAGAAATAATCCAGATTACATTCGAGAACGATTGAAGGATCATGATGAAGTTCTTGTTCAAATTATTGAGAGATGTCTCAAAATTGATCCTGTCGATCGTCCAGAAGCAAAGGATATTATTGAGTTGATTGACAAACAAGAGTCCATTGATCAGAGCTCTTTTCAACAACAAGAAACACCTGTCAATATTCCAAAAAACACTGACAATTTCCAAGATAACGATGTGAAAGAATTGGCCAAATTGTTGGACCAATTGGAGAGAGCAAGATTGTTAAAAATTAAAGACCCACTCAAAGCCATCGAGTTGGATCGAGCACGAGAATTCTGGAGAGCAAATGGATGGGCAAATCAAAAGGAAGTGTTGTGGGTCGATTTCAGAGAGGCCTATCAGAAGCATGCCTTAGATTTTAACAAAATTCCAAAGAATGCAGAACGAGGTTTCAAAAAGATGATTACTGCCAATCAAGAGTTTGATGTCTACAGTAATGATGATGACAAAACAGGTATTGTCACTGTTCTAAGTTATAACAACTTGGTTCGAAGAGCTGGATTTCCATTCAATTTGGATGTTTTAGATCTCATTCAAAATTGTCTAGTTTTAGGTGAATATGATTGGAATATTGAAAAGTATAACAAACCCATGGATCCTCAATCCTATGAACATGCAGAGAGACAATATTTGAACATGATTTTACAGAATGAGAAATTATTTGTTGATCCAATTAGTCAGGAAACTCTTTCTGTGGATGAACATTGTGTTTCTCTTCATCTTTTACAACACGGAAAAGATTGGATTGATGAATTTATTGGAGTAGGTTCAACCACTCTCTCGAATGTCACCATAACAAGCTCTACGAGCTTTAGTGACGAGAAGGAATATGAAAATCATCGAAGAATTCACTTGATCGAAATGTTTAGCGAAGGACATGCCATTCAAAACGAAGAAAAGGAAAAACAATCCGATGTTGAAAACTTTAATGCTAAACAAAATATGTTGCATGAAAATGGTGACGAATTTATTGCCTCTTTTCCTTCCAATTGCCTTCGATTCATGCTACTCAGTAATGCCTCCTGTGGTAAGACGTGTATGTTAAAAATGGTCATGTCACGCCTTGTGAAAAATCGAATGCAACAACGAGAAACTTCAGGAGAGAAAGTTCTCATTCCACTTCTAGTTCCTGCTGGCCTCTTTGCAAGTTTAACGAATGAAGCAGAGTTCTTTATCAAATGCATTCGAGCAAGTGCAGGGGGTAGCATTGGAAATAATGGAAATACTGTGAGATATTTGGACACATTGGAACATTTCTTGTTGACAGCCATTAAGGAACAACGTGTGCTTTTTATTTTTGATGGTGTGGACGAAATTGCTTCTCCTCAACAAAAGAAACGATTTCTTCAAAGTTTGATTGATTTTTTTCCACCACAAGAAGAAGTTCCAGATTCCAATGGTTTAATTTTGTCAAGCAGATTGGGAGGTATTGAAGCGGATGTCAAAACTAGAAAATTCTTCTCTTCATTTACAGCAGCAAGTATTCAAAATTTAACATTTGAGATTCAAAAAAGAATTGCTCAAAAACGAAATGTCAACAACGAAGCTTTCCTTTCTTCCATCAAAGGAAAATACAGAGAATTGGCAAAAACTCCAATTCTCTTGTCACTCATCATTGAAGAATTCAAAACAAAGGGATCTCTTCCAGAAGTTCGATCAAAAATTTATTACAATGCTCTTGATACCATCACAAAACTTCACTACAGCAAGCTTGTTGGCGATCAACAACGAGTTCCTAAAATGCAAAAGACACTGATTGAATTTTTACGAAAAGTTTCAATATTTCTTCACAAATTGAGAAGACTCACGTTTAGTACTGAGGATTTCACACACTCACTCGAATTGGCTCGAAATCTCTGTACTGGAACCAACGATGATAAGAAACTTGCATTCATGAGTTTAGCTGAAGGAGATTTTGCTTCGAAAGGAGATGATTGGATATTCAATGCAGTTGCAAATCCAGAATTTCAAAAGCAATGGGAAGCTTTAAAGAAACGTATTGATTCTGGTAAATTCCCTCTCATTGTTTCAACAGGTGATGGAAAGTATCGATTCAGTCACACTTCCTTCCAGGAATATTTAGTGGCAAGTCATTGGGCAGATGCGACTCATGTGAGTGATTTTCGAATTCGATCGACAGGCCCATTTGCGAAAAACAAATTGGAATATTTTAAGGAAAGAATTAGACAATTGGTGGTCGATCCATTTTACAAGTAAGTTTTTTCACACACCTGTGAACATTTATATAATTATTATATAATTTATTAATACATATTTTTATTTTATTATTATATTTTATTATATTTTATTATTCTATATAATTTATATTACATTCCAATACAAACATAAATACATACGAAATGTCACAATTTCCAATGAAATCGTTCACATAAATTCTCAACATCACAGAGAAACATTCCTATTTTGTGCTGCAGAGATGAGCCGATCAGATTTTGAAGAATTTATCAAATTCCTCATGAACAAACTCTTCAAACATAACATTGGTCTTGTCGACAGCATTATTTATAACATGATTATGGAAAGACCTAAATCAGAACATGGTGAATATACCAAGATTATGAAACCTCTACGAAATGACGAAAGAGTTTCCATTATTGTCAAGGGTCTGATCCATCAATCTGAAGATTTACGAAAAATGGCTCTCTGTCGATCCTTCATGTTTAATGAACTCTTTGATAAGATTGGTGACGGTTTATTGAATCATATTCATGACAATGAAAATACATTACAAGCTCTCTCTTTGGTCATTCCTAAAGGTGAACAGAAATATGTGAAAATATTACTTGAAAAATTGCAAAATATTAATGACATTCAAGTGAAGAGAAGAATTTGTTTGTGTATTGGAAAGATTTCAGATAAGGGAGATGCTACTGTGGTGAATACATTGTTAACAATTATTAACAATACTTCACGTGACAGATCGAATGTTTCTCTCATTGAAGCATGTGTGGATAGTGTGTGTCGAGTTGGAGAAAAAGGTGATTCCAATATTATCAATGCATTAATTCCCATGTTAGAAGATTATAACTTTAGAAGAATTGCATCGATTGGATTGGGAATGATTGCAAATACTGGTGACAAACAAGTCATTTCAGCACTCACAAAAGTTGCCAATAAGTGTCAAGAAGCATGTCTTTGTTTGGGTAAATTGGCAGAAAAAGGTGACATGGAAATTATTGACACTCTATTAGATTGTCTCAAAGAAAATAGTTTTGATGATTTAATTGTCAATGAAGCCATCTCATCGGTCGTCATTCCTGATTTACTTCCAGTGATTCAAGATCGATTATTAGAAATGTTACTCAATGAAAGAAAATCAATTTCTTATCGTGTGGCAATGGCATTGGGTCCTATCAGTCAGAGAAAGAATTTTGGACTTGTGAAATCACTTTTAGAAATGTTATTCACTGTGAAACCCAAAGATCGAATTATTTGTGCACTTGGATTTTCAGCTCCAAAAGAAGAACCTGAAATTATTCACGAGTTATTGAAACAATTGTCAAACAAACAATCAAATTTTGTATTTAGAGAACAATCTGCATTGGCATTGGCTCAATTAGCTAAAAAAGGAGATGAACGTGTCATTGATGAATTGTGTAAAAGACTTCACACCGATCAAGAAGAAGTAATTGTGGCATGTACGACTGCTCTTGAAAAAATTACCTATCCCAATAATCAAAAAGTACTCAACATGTATGTGGAATTGTTGAAACACACAGATATTGGAGTTGTGGAAGTTTCTGTGAGATATCTCGGAAGAAAATGTGAAAGAGGTTCAGAATCTATTGTAAAACATTTGATGGATCGATTGGAGAATCGTGAAGCTCCAGAAGTGGTGCGATCATTATGTGCTGAAGCATTGGGTTATGTGGCAAGTTTTAATGATGAGAGAGTGATCAAATGTTGTCTCAATATTATTACTGAAGAAGGAAAATCAATGACTGTTTTGAGACTTTTCTGTTTGAATGCAATTGGAATGCTCAAATCAGTGAAACAAGATGATTATGTCACTTCTACTTTGTTTGAGTATATTGTGAGCTTGAGCTCTTCTCAAAATCTTGACTTGGATTCCAAAAAGTTTATTATTCATGCGACATTTGTCATTTCACTATTTTGTGATCTCAAGGCCATGGTTGATCGATTGAAAAACAAGAATTATAAGGCTCACAAGCATTTAATATTCGATATTGTGGTGAAAGGAATTCGATTTATTAGGTTATTCAATCAGTGTTATCGATTGGACGATGAAAGTGTATTGCTGTTGCAAAAGCAAGATGATTTGGAAGCTTCGTTTATTTTGATTGAAAACGCTTTGATGGAAGGAGGTGTTGTCGATGTCAATAATTAAAAGAAAATTCAAATAAGAAAGAAACTAAAGGTGTGAATGAAGAAATTTTAATGAAACCACACTCTTGCTCAACACATCACTGATCTTATCGTCTTCTACCACGACCACCACGGCCACCACCACGACCACCTCTTCTGGCAACACGTTCTCTCACTGGAGTTGGTCCTGTTGACTTCTTCTTTTTAGAGGAATCCTCTTCCTTTTGTTGAATACCAGCCTTTGCAATTCTAACCTTAACGTTATTAATCAAGTTCTTTCCTTGATGTTGTAATCTCATGGCCAATTGAACCGAATCAGGATGAGCAAATTCAACAAATGCATACTTTTGAGATTGGTAATTTTCAGCAACCTTGTGCTTGAGGATTGAGACATTCAAAATCACACCGCATCTATTTTGATAGAAGAGTCTCTTGATTTGTTGACTTGTGACAGTACCTGGAAGAGGAGTAATGTAAACACTTCTGTCTTGCTTCTCTGGATCCTTGACGTCCACAAGCTTGGCAAGGTCGAACTCAATGCTTCTATCTTTACAAGAATTCAATAAGAGAGAAATATCAGATCTCTTTGGTGTGGACAAATAATTGCCAGCCAGTGCGAGATAAGTCACAGAAGAGTTTGGATTATCTTGAGTGATGGCAGTTGCAATAGCCAAACCTGCCTTATCATTAATATGGTTATGTTTCAATCCAACTCGCTTCAATGAGGTATTCACTTGCAACAATTTAACAATTGCCATGGCTCCTCTCACCTTAATTCTATTCAATCCCAAGTCAAGATTTGTAAGTGTGGAATTATGTTGAAGAGCTTCACTCAACAATTGAGCTCCTTCAATTTGGATGAAACATGAGAACAAGTTCAAAGTTTTGATTCCCTTATTCTCTCTCATGATCTGAGACAAAAAGTCAGCACCAACAACACCAATGTCATTTCCAGAAATATCGAAATGCTCCAATGTGGTGTTTGTTTGCAAAGCAGCAATCAATGGCTTCAATCCATACTTTCCAATGTTGTTATTTCTAAGCAACAAAGTCTTGAGTGGCAATGCAAACTTTTGAGTCAAAGCTTCTCCAATTCCTTCCATATGTTCACGATTAATGTTACATTTGGAGAGATCCAAGTATACCAAACGATGAGACATCTTTAAAATTTCACCAATTACTCTTGGGAATTTGTTCTTATTGGCTGGATAGCTGTCAAATCGGTTTCCTGACAAGATGATTCTCTTGAGGTTGATCAATTGTGGAGGAGGTTGATTCGCTTGATCTTCGCTTGATGAATCCTTTTGAGAAGTTGTCTTCTTGTGACCAGCGGTTTGTCTTTGATGCAGCGCAAGCAATTCTTCGTAAAAACTGAAAAGATCTGTGCAAGTGATTCCATTGGACATTAAATTAATGTCTTCGAGGTGTTGGTTATCCTTTAGGGAAGCAGCGAGGTATTTCACATTCTTAAAGTTGGTCTCAGCCATATCAATTTCCTTCAAGCTTGACTTTCCTAATTTGTTGAAAACGGTTTGAGAAAGATTAGATACACCAACAGTCTTCCATAAATTCAACTTCTTAATGGATTGTGACAAGTCGAGTAATTTGCCAATGCTAGTATCACCACTAGATAATTCACCAGTAGACTTGCTGCAATCAACGGCCTCAATAGAGGTTGAATAACTTAGATTTTGGAAGATTTGTTGCAAACCACCTGCTGCAGGGTTGCCAATGAAGGTCAACAACTTGAGTTCCTTCTTGACCAAGAGAGCCTCAGCAATAGCCTTTGCACCGCTGTCTCCAATATTGCAACGAGACAAATCAAGCTCTGTCAAGTGTGGAAGATTTTCATGTCTTCTAAGGAATTGAGCCAAATACTCAGCTCCGTCATTGCCAAGTGAGTTACCATTCAATGCTATTCTCTTCAAATTGGATGATACAAGTCGTCCCTTTGTAAGTTCCTGAATGGACTGAGCGGTGATATCACAGCTATCGAGGATAAGATTTTGTAATTGGCCTGGATTGTTCGAGAGACCCTTGATCAAAGCACGGAATCCCTTAATTCCAAGTCCATCTTCGCCACGAGAAATGATTAATGTATCCAAATTCTTGAGCTTGGTGAGGACACATGTCAAGAAGTAGTACTTGCTCTTAAGCTTTTCTGGGTTAAACATTTGAATTTCCAAACGAGGAATCTCTACTGAGCGATCAAGAGTTTCATGGAAATAGTTGAAATCAGAAGAATCGTTAAGATTAGAAATAACATCTTGCAAATTGTTTTGCAAGTACAACTTTCTCCAAGGATTCTCTGCGTTGACGAGATAATCTGGCAATTCGACAAGTCCCCATCTTTGTGAACATCTTTCTTTCCAGTTATCTTCATTGCCTTCCAAAACCATGTCGTTTCCAACACGAACAAGGAAAGCATCTAAACCAACTTGCTTGGATTGCTTGGCAAATTCCTCTGGACTCAAGACTTCGAATGAGCTGCCATGGTATTTCTTTTCCTTTGATTTCTTAATGGATTCCTTTAAAAGCTTGATAATATCTTCCTTATTGTAGACTTTGTCTTCATGAACTTGCTTGAAAAAGTCGATATAGTTTTCGACCTTGTTAATCTTTTCGATCGTATCAATGAACATGTCTTCGTATTTGAGTGGACATCTTCCCAAGTGGATATCAAAAATTCTGGCAACCTCTTCTCTGGTCTTGGCGTTGTTTGGATGGCTGACTTGTTCAATGAAGAATACGTTGAACATTAAAAGCTTTTGACTCACTTTGGTCGTGTCGAAAGAGTATTTGAGTCTGTCGTCATCAGTGAATTCATCGCTGGAATCCATTTCTAATTCTTCGTACTTATTCAACAACCAAAAGACATTTCTTGTGAATGATTCTTGGATATAGGCATCTCTAACATCCTTCCATGAATAGTCACTCACTGGAACCAAAGCCAAGAATTCTCCCAAGTTAGGACAAACATCCTTGTGTCTCGCTTGTTCATCCTCAATAAAGTTCTTGATCGAAGCATTGATCTTCTCCAACAATTGTGGATACTTTTTGACAAATTCAAGCAACAATCTAAAGAAATGACAATATCCTCTTAAAGCTTTGATACTTGCATGCTTTCTGTTGGACATCACCTCTACGGTCATGGTAGCCATGAGTTTAGGCAAAACTTCCAAAACCATTTCTGGTTTAAAGTTCTTTGCGGATCCAGTACAAATAATTGAAATGGCACGTTCTGCAAGATACATGGCCTTTTGTCCATGCTTTTCCTCAATATAAATTGGAATCCAGTGTGTGAACTTTTCATTGTAAGATGAGGTTCTCAAATCATGATTCATAAAAGCTCTCAATGAAATCAAATCCAAAGGTGTTTGAATAGATTTGATTTGACCAGTTCTCAAATTCTTTGAATATGAGATACCATAACCGAGAGCATCTTCCTCATAAGTTTCTCTGGTAAAGAAACAAACAAGCTCACTTTTGGCAGCAATAGCTTCAATCTCCTCACTTGACTTGGTCGATTGCTCCTTATTCTCCACGAACAAGTGTTTTGTTTCTTCAGCATCTTCAGGGAAGTTTGGATAAGGTTTATGAGGTGGCAAGTGATAAGGAGTAATGGATCGATCACAATAGTTTCTCGATTGTTCAACACTCCACTTGACAGCGCTGTGCCATTCCTTCTTCTTTTGTTCATAAGTTTTTGGATCTTGAATGTTTGCCAACACACGAGAGACATCAGCTTCGAACAAGAATGCTTGCAATTGGACCAAAATGGATTGAACAGTGTAGGCAGTTGACCATCCACTGTACTTCTCTCCAGAGTTCTCCTGCAACATGTCCAAGCACACAGTGTTACCAAACACGTTAGGGTGTTCGATTCTTGTACACAATGTGATGGTTGGTGGTTTTTGAGGATACTCTTGAGGGAAGTTCATGATGATGTGGAAAATACCACCCTCGTAAGCTCCATAACCTATATTAAGTATAAACATCAATAATGACATCGATCAATTGTTAAATACGAGCATATTGTGAGAGACACATACCTTTGAGATTGCAATGCCAGGTAAAGAGGTTCTTTTCACTCACAGGGCATGCACTGATGTTGGAATGGTTGTGAAAGATAAATCACAGCAGATGTATCAGAATGGATGGGTTAACAGGGTTTTCACGTGAATCACGTTGTTGTTGTTATTGTTGTATTATAATGGTCAATAGCAAAACAACGACGAGCACACACAATAATACTTACTTGATACCCTTCAAAGGGTTTTCAATGATCTCTTTCCAATCTTTCATCAGACGCTTGGTAGCAACATTTTGAATGGCTGACTGCTGTTTAGTTTTTCCAATCTTGGTCTTTACTTTCTTCAACATTTTAGCAGATGAGAGTACGATGAATAATACCGATAATGATGATGAGAGCTACTCAAGGAATAGAAATAATAAAGAGAATTGATCTTTGATCAATTTTAAAAGCGATCGGAATGATCTGAAGAATCTATAATTTGTGAGAATGGGTTGTACAGAGAGAAATTGTGGTTTGGGAACTCTCAACTCTCTCAATGATGAAAAAGGTGGTGGTGTCGTCTAATAGAAGAATCTCCGTAACAACAACAAGAACACTCAAAATTTTTTTTTGATGTTTTCTTGATTGAGCTTTTGCTGTGAAGCGAATGAACTTGTCTCGACACAAGAAGCATCAAAACGGAAGTTGAAATTTCACAACTGAGAAGAGGGTCCACACTGTTGGGCTGACTGAGGTGCATTTTCAAAGTGGTGGTTTCAATACGGGCACTCGTGTGTTCACCATTTACTATTTAATAAAGGATGACAACATTGAGGAACTTCTTGTGACTCTTCGCTCTGTTGAGGGAGGAACAGAACTTTCCTTCTTTTTCTTCTTACTTTCTTTTTCAATGAAGTCGTCATCTTCCTCTTCTGGGTCTTTCTTTTTTCTTTTCGAAACTGTTTTCTTTTTGTTTGGTTTTTCCTCATCCTCTGAATCTTTCTTCTTCTTTCTGTTGCTGGTTCTTTTCTTTGGTTTTTCCTCTTCGTCACTTTCCTGTTCTATTTGTGGTTTTTTCTTCTTTTTGTTGGAGTTGGGCGAGAATTCTCCAGTAAGTAAAAAGTGTGCCCAATAAATCATGTCCTCGGGTTCGGTATCGAATGTCACTCCTTCAAACCATGTTTTCCACTTCTTGTCAATATCCTTACAAAATTTGAGAGCTTTCTTTGCAGCTGGATTTTCTTCATGTACAGCGTCCGAGCGGTTGGCATGAATCCATGTGATGAGTTTCACACAGGACTTCACTATATCACTATTTCTCCAATCTTCATATTTCTTACCCTTTTTTGAAGCATTCGATAACATTGGAATAGTGTCAAACATTGGTTTCAAGTATCTTGTTTCCAAATAGGACTTTCCATCACAGGTTGCAAAAGGTGAAATTAACTTTGCTTCCATGCATTCTAATAATCTCTTTTCACTCACATTAACAAGTGTATTTGAATCAAAGCAATGAAAAAGCTCATACTTTTTCAAAATTGCAATCCAATCTGAAAAAGATGAAAGCGAGTAAATTGGTAATGATTTTCTGAGGTTATACCAATCTATAGAATATGTTGTGCGCTCAGGTTCTATTGTCAAATGTTGGGTATATCTGAAGGGCGTGTTTTTGTCATCTAAATGTAAAGCAGTGATGTGAATGGGTGAATGGTTTTTGACTGTGAGAATTGATGTGTAACATTCTTCAGATTTTTCACTGAAATAATTATTTGAGCATTCGAGACAATATTCGTCTACATTAAAATTTAAGGTAGTTAAATCAGTTTCTGATGGATTAAAATCTTTCAGTTTTTTCAATTTGACATCAAAACTTTCGTTCACACACAATACTCCATTAGCATTGATCAATAATATATACTTTAAAAACTGGAATCGTGTGGTGATTTTGGTTTCTGGATCATTGTGTTGATTTGACAAGATCTCTTTGAAATTTTGTTCATCTTCTTTTCGTTGTTTGTTTTGTAAGAATGATCGACGACTCCAAAAAAACTGGAGTGTTGAAGTGGTGTCATCAAGGCCTTGAGCGATGTCCTTATTTCCAAATGGAAGAACCACCTCGCCACTGCTATAACGCTTTTCCATGTAAGAGGTTCGTAATGCGCAATCGCTGATAATGAGAGTTTCTACACGTGTGAGTGCAATGGCGTTCAGAACTTCATTACTCACAACCATATTGACCAGAGTGATCTTTTTGACTCCACGACATCTTGCAATAATTCGCAACAAATCCACATATTCAATGTTTGAAGCATAGACATAGCCTGAATCATCATGATTATTTCCGAATATTATTATTGATCCAGATGCGATCACACACATTCAATAAAAGTTGTTGTATTTAAAAAGTTGCGAATCACATACCGAAATGTAAATGGAAATTAAAACGTTCGGCATTTCTACTCATCGAGGTCAACAAGTAATCAATTTGTTCACTCCAGTTTTTGCATACGGAAGAGAATTTGAAGTAATAGGGCAATATAGGCAAGAAGGAAAGAATTTCGCCATATATTTCTGTTGGAATATCACCCCAGCTCGCAGATGTGTCGTTTGTCGTGGATGGATTCATGTGAGTGAAAGATGATGAAGACATTTTTGTGAAGAAGGAAAAATAGAGTGAGGCAACAACATTTCTCGAAATATCAGGAACTCGAGGAACATGAATGTCACCGAAAAGTTTACTCTTGCAACAGCCGGCTATAAGTGTGGGGCTGTCGTTGGTGGAGTAATGGAAAAGCTTCTCTCCACAAATCCATTTGTTCGAAATCGAGAGTGGCAACGAGGACACATGGTTTGTCGCGAGGAGCTTCTGACAACAACTGCAAATTTGATTTCAAAATCCACAAGGTAATGGGAACAGAAGAAATTGTTGAAAAGATTGCATCGTGATGTGTCAAGTGACAGCTAAGACACTACTGAAACATAATCATGTGAAAAAACTTACCTTTCCACCAGGTGCGCATATAAAACTGGATCCATAGAAATTAAACTCAAACTTTGCATTATCCACCTTCTTCTCTTCAATAGCCTTAAGAACACGAGGACCTGCACTTTGTCTTCCTACTCTGTTGGCAGCTGCCACAAAAACTCCATTAGCAATAGTATGAGAAACCATGATCGTTCTCCACATTGGCACGGTATCTAATTCAGGATATAGAGGCTCATTACCAATGCATGTAGGATAGAGAATGAGCTCAGCACCTTTGAGTGCGTAAATTCGTGCAAGCTCTGGATTCCACTGGTCATAGCAAGTCGGTACTGCAACTTTAATTTTACCAGTATCATGAACAGGATAATCACTATCTCCTGGTTCAAAGAAATCCACTTCGTTATAGCCTGGTCCTGATGGAATGTGTTGTTTTCTTGTCTTACCCAATACACCTCCTTCTGGATTTAAAATCACAGCCGTGTTGTAATAGTGAGTCTTGTGATCTTGTGGATTTTCATACCTTTCAAACAAACTTCCAACCACAAAGACTCTATTCTTCAAAGCTAATTCTCTACAGAATGCCAATGAAGGACTCAATTTTTCAATCTCGCTGCTGTTCATAGATGAAGAAGGATCGAGGTTAATATTCTTATTATTGGAAATGACATCAATGGCTGCAGTTAAATTCTCTGCCCAATCAAATACTTCGGGATTATCTTCCTTGGTTAAATCGCCAGGATATCGAATCATGAATAATTCTTGTAACAAGACCAAATGAGAGCCTTGTTCAGCAGCTTCTTTTACCTTCTCGGAAATATCTTTTTTCAATTCTTGACGATCTAGATTGAAATAACATTGAATCACTCCTAACTTGATGTTTTCTCTCTTGCCTTGTTGATTCATAGTGCCGTTTGATGAAGAGGATGATATGAAATAATAAATTAATGGGATGATGATTGTTGAAAGATTTTTTTAAATGTCAGAAATTTTCAGTTTTGGAAAAGATATATGAATGGAGCTCCGTTGTGTTGTACTTGAAGGAGTAGTGAGCAACCAAAATGTATTGGTTTCATCAAGATCCTTATTGTGAAGAGAGAAAGAGAAAAAGTTTATGAAGAACAAGCTTTCAAAAAATATCATCAGATGAAGCTTGGAGAGCTCTCGCTCTTGGACCATCACCAAATCCACAATCATGATCGGATCTTGGAAACTTCTACTAGCAGTAGTAGTAGTACCAGACCATTGTTATTTGTATGCGGAAAGAATGAATATTGCCAATTATTATTGTGCTCCTCGTCTTCTTCTTCGTCGGAGGTTATTTCTTGCTTTACAACACCACAACTTTCGGATCCAATGCTAGAAAAAGTTATTGATGATCTTGTGGAGATTGCTAATGGAGATAGGCATACATTGTTTTTAACGAAAAGTGGACAAGTTTTTGGAATTGGAAGTAATCAACAAGGTAATATTTTCATCATGATTTCGAGGATTCTTGTTGCTATATTGAAATTCATAATGAAAAATATGTTTCATTCATAAATATTATCATATAGGCCAGCTTGGTGAGTTTTAATGCCTAAAGAATTGCATTGGAATATTAATGAACTTGGTAGGAGTAAACAATACTCACATTGTATCGAATTTGACCAAGATTTCTTGTGAGGATGATGTCAAGTTTACAAATATTATATGCGGAAGCTTTCATTCCATGCTACTCGGCGATAATGGTGCTATATATGTAACTGGAGACTCTTCGTTTCATCAATTAGGTATTTATCCCCGAGAAAATGTGGCAGAATTCACAAAGTTGGATTTTCCAGAGCAAAATGTTCACGTTTCCTTAATAGCCACTAGTTATTCTCATTCATTGTGTTACTGTGAAAACACTAACAAACTATTTGGAATGGGAAGCGTGTTTGAAGACATTTACGGTGATGCATATTGTACCCCACAACGTTTACCAATATTTTACAACCTTAATTTTACTCTGAAAACAATTCAAGCCGGTTATAGATATACCCTATTTTTAACATCTGAAAATGATGTGTATCTTCACGGAAAATTAACAAGACAACTATATGCACAACCCATCAAAATTTCCATCCAGAATGTCAAAAATATTTTCACCGGCGGTAACCACTATTTTATTGAAACGTTTGACTCAAAATTTTATGGATCCGGCTTGAACGATGACAAACAAATACCTTTCTTTACTGGCACGGAAACCATTGCTCCTGTTGAATTAATAGGTCCTAAAGAGGTTTCATCTTTTCATATTACGAGTATGGCTGCAGGATCGTATCACACTGGTGTAGTTACCTCATGTGGTATGATTTATATGTGCGGATGGAATGAGTTAGGTCAACTTGGAATACCCAAAAGTACATCATTCAATGTTGAATGTACTCCATTAGACTTGGACATGTCAGTTCAGCTTGATATCTCGAGAGGGACTACAATAGTCAAGATATTTATGTCTCCATCAGCTGATAACACCTTCTTGTTATTGAGAAGGGCTAAAGAAAAGTTGCAATTTTTCGATAGGCTGTTCCAAAAGATCCAAAAGAATTTTTCAGACCTTGCGATCCATACGATGACTTCGTAATAAACAAATCCCTCAATGGAAATTGTTATGTCGAAACATAACATGCTAGGATGCTCCAAGGAAATTGGATTGTGAGAAACGATATTAAAGAAATTATTTTGCAAAAATTCTGAGTTGCAAATAAAGCATTTTATGAATTGAACAAAGCACAATTATTAATCAATGTGAACCAGCTGCACCATTTAGTTCTGAGTTGTGTGAACAAGCTCAACATCTGACTCCCTATTGAGTACACGATCAATTTCACTGCTACTTAAAGAAAAAATTTCAACATCTTTCATTGGTCTTTCTTGTTTGTTGAAAACATAAATATTAGTATTATTAAAAACAAAGTTCAAGAAATACTTTTCTGAGTCGTCTAATATTTTTTTCTTTTTTTGAATTTTTGAATTGTATCCTAGACTGTTGAAATCTTGCAAATCAATTTCTTTCTTCTCATCCATGGAAAATATTGATTTAAACACTTCTTTTCTTATGGGTAATTGATTCGAGAGTAATATCAAATTATTAAGGCTATCACAATTTTCCATCAATAAATTATAATACATTGAAAAGGCACAATGAGGCATATAGACAAAAGTAGGAGTGTCAATTCTTCGTTTGCACTCTTCATTTTTCTCAATCCATTCCATTCCAAACTTGTCCTTAATATATCGATATAATTTTTCCCTTTCGCTAGTAGACATTTTAATTTCAAAGACTGGATCATACATGTAACATTTTACGGAACTATAAGTATGTTCGTCCTTCTGAGTATTATTTTCACTAGACGTTTCGTTTTGATTCGAGCGATGAGAAGTGTAGCTCTTTTTGAAATACTCTAAAATTTCCAACAATACTTTGAATTGTGATAATGCAACTTTGTCTGAAATAAAGTCTCCAATTCCATAACAAATGATTTGTAAAATTGGTGATGAAGGATGAAAATATTTTTCAATCACTGAACAAATAGTTCCCGAAAGAGGTTCTCGGACTTGTTCCAATGAGACTTCAAATTTTGTTGGATGAAATTCAATAAAATCATCATGGTGATTGTTCAAAGACGACGGTGATGCATTGAATGGGTGTGATGATGATTTTTTCTTCTTTTTCCATGATGAAAAAGCATTCGGAGTGGATTGATGCTGATTGAATCTTCTTCCTGAGGAGGAATTTGAAACAATGGTAAAACCTCCCTCTTGCATAATATTTTCATGAGTAGTTGTGGAGGCAGTGGTGGCGCTTTTCATCGTGTTTCCGATTTCACAATCACCATCATTAGAGGAAGACATTTTTTAATCGCAGCAATAAAAGACCTTCCACCGTCCGTTTTGTCTATCGGCACAACATGAGCATCATCATTCTTTGACAGAAGAATATCATTGAACCGTTTTCACTTTCAAAGAGACCATGATGAGGACAAGTCCATGTTCATCACATTGCGATTCTAATGCTGTTGTGGAACTCATTGAAATCCAAAAATAAACACAAAAAAATGAGTTTTAATCCAGAAAACGAGGCTATGGACGGTATGTGTGCGGATCTTTAAAGTTTTGATCGTCATGCTGGAATTATGTCTGTCTTTATCATCCACTCAATATGTTTGAATGCTCATGATAACGATCTCCTTTTATACAGAAGGAGATTTTGATCCTGAAATGATGTTGGATCAAGAGGAATACATGAATTTTGTTGGAGGGGAAGCTGGAGAAGCCGGAAAGAACATTCAACAACTTTTGAAAGAGTCGCTCGTTGACAAGGATTTCTACAATGGTATGTTAATACAATAATATCATTAATAGTGTGTGTGCGAGAGAGATCGCTCAATTTTTTAGATTTTGATGATGACTATGATGATGACGATTTGAAATAATCTAAAATTCGTTCTACATATTTTGTAACAAATACACTTCTCTTTCAATATATAATTTAATGTCAAGTTATATTCATATGTACAATGGAAACAGCATCATTTACTTTTTAGCTCCGGGTATTGTTGTTCGTTTGGAATGCCTTTTTCCAGACTCCTCTTGAAAACCATTTGCCAGCTGTTCTGTGGTTTTCTGCTCAATCTTTTGAAGAATTTTCTTGCCTCTAGCGTTCTCCCAAGGACTCTTCTCCTCTTTTGTGAAATCATCAAACTCTACATCCGATCTCATTTTCCTGGAAATAGGAATATATATATTTTGATAATTATTTGAATTTGTTTCTTAAAAGTACTTACTTTGAGGCAAGTTTTGAAGAGTTTGAATTTGGATGAATCATCTTAGAGTAGTGACCGAAAGGAGTGGCACCCAACTTGTCATACTGAGCCACATCCAACATGTCTTGTTTCCTCAGACCTAAAGATGGCTTGGATGGCACTTCTCCAATCTTTTTCTTCGTAGTTGTTTTGTATTTGAACGTATCTTTCGACAGCTCGAACGGATCATATTCATCTTCGAGCACAATATCACGAAACACTCCGCCATTATTTTTATGCTTGTGGTTGAGCTTATTGAGATACTCCTCAAACTTTAATCTCTTCTTTCGTTTGATTTCTTCAAAAGGCAGCTTCGACAAGTGTTCATCAATTTGATTTTGAATTGGATCAAAGACCTTCTCGCACCATTCCTCATATATTTGTTGCCGCTTTCTCTCGTCTCCCTCATGATAGGAAGCAAGTTTCTCGTTGAGGTCTTTTAAAAATGTTTCTCTTTCTTCCAAAATGTCATTCCAAAGATCTTGAAATCGTTTTTCAGATTCCTCGTGCCTCTTGTTTCTTAATTTCGTTGTGGTTTCTTTGATTTTTTGAAAGAAGGCCTCAGTTTCTTGCCTCTTTGCTTCTCTTTTATGCTCCAATTTTTCTTTTTCTTCCCTAGTGACAATCTTGTTTTTGTTGCTTTTACTTGTTAATTTTTGATCTGAATGTAGTGATGATGGTGTTGCATCATGTTGTTGTGGAGGATAATGATTCTCTGAACAAGTTGTCGACTCTTCGGCTTCATAATAATCTTCGGGAATTGAAATACATTCTACGAGCTCTTTGTACAGAGAAAGATCATGTACAAACAACTGAGATGGAACCAAAGCAGGCGAGGAACTGGAAGAGGAAGAGGGAGAGTTGATGGCGTTGTTGGTGGAGTTGTTGTTGCTGCTGTTACTCACAGTTGCCCCTTTCACGACAACATCTTTCTTCATCATTTTATTTCGTAGTTGATTTTGGCGCCTTTATTTAAATCACATTCGATGAACAATTCCAACAAAGTGATGGTCGAACAAACTTATTCTTAAACATGATCGGCAATTCGTTTGGCGTCTCCTCAGCTATTGGTAAAGTGTGCAGATAATCCAGCGCATCGAATGCTTTGGACCACCAAGCTTGGAAGATACATTCTTTATTCGATATGCCTCACAAAAACAAAGTTATGAATGATAATTTATGCGTTGATTGGTTTTATTTATACAATCTTTACAGGTGAAGAACTTAGGTGTTGTTGGGGAAAATTGAGGGTATTAACGAGTGAAAAATTGGAAGCATTTCAGGTAGTGGGGCAAAACCTAGATTTAAAATTCTTGTGACATGCTAGCACTGGATGATCCTTCTTCGGTGGCCTTCTTGCTACCCTTTGTTGCTTTGGTACCCTTTGTGGTTGTACCAGGCAACAAAACGCTGTGAATGTTTGGCAGGACACCTCCGGAAGCAATGATGACTTCGGACAAGAGCTTGTTCAATTCTTCGTCATTTCTGATAGCCAATTGAATGTGTCTTGGGACAATTCTTCCCTTCTTGTTATCACGAGCAGCGTTACCAGCAAGTTCGAGAATTTCTGCAGCCAAATATTCCAAAACTGCAGCCATATAGACTGGTGCACCAGCACCAATTCTTTCGGCATATCGTCCTTCCTTCAAATATCTGGCAAGACGACCGACTGGGAATTGAAGACCAGCTTTGGTGGATCTTGATTGTGGCTTGCTCTTTGGTCCCTTTGGTGGAGCTCGGGTACCCATATTCTTCTTCTTGGACTTCTTGGTCTTCTCTTCGGTTTGTGGGACGTCCTTGGTTGCTTGTTCTTCAGTTGCAGCTGGCATTGTGTTTTGTGTGTGTGGAGTAGGTTGTTGTGATGTCTTTTTTTTGTTGATTTTATTGAACGCCAAACACTCGCAAGCTTTAAAAAGCTGCTTGTCCCACAGGCATTTTTGTTTTTTTGTAACGAAAATTTTTGGCGCAAAGTTGAAAGTGGATCGAAATTTTTTTCGTAGCTTTTACCAGTGACCCAAGCTTAACAATTCGATCGTAACAGTTTTCGGGTCAGTCTGGTTCTTCGGTGAAAGACGAATTTGTAATCTCCAAGACCTTCATCTCGTGGTGAACAACCACCATGTCCACATAAACTTCAAGATCGCTTCAACTCCCACAATTTCAAGTTATTCTCTCCGATAAGCAAAGCGAAAAAATTCGCTCATCTTTATCTTTCATGGGTCTTTACAAAAGAGCTTCCTTTCTTATTGCTGCGAAAATGTTTCAAATCCGAATTGAGACATGCCTTTGTGCATGATGTTGAATTCAACGGTGACTTCTCCTCCAACACATTCTGTTCTGGTCACTTCTCGACCTTCCCCTTTACACACGAGAGTGGAATCAAAATACTCGGGAGCCACTCCTTTCACAGAACCAATAATTTTCTGTATGAGAGACGTGCTCTGTGGTTTGAACAGTTTCACGGTCCTTGTGTGCTTTCCAGCTCCAACTGGCACCTGAACCCATCCGTATCCCAGAATGGTTTGCTTTCCTGTTCCTTCTTGAACCACTAGACACAGCTTGGGCCAACCATAGGGATTGGTACTTCGGAATGATATCTCGAGTGGAAAATTCCAAACACTCTTCGAATTGGTTCCTCTTGGTCTCATAGCTACTTGGGTGATTCCACTCTCCAAACTAACTCCTTCTCCTGTGGATCGGACTACTTCCCAGTCCTGTCCATATACAAATTGGAAACTGCATGAAATGTTATGATTTCCAGGATATTCGCAGTGACTGATCACTCCATTCAAGATGACATAGAATGATGAGCTCGGCGATAATGCAGTCGAAATGGTATTGTTATTATTTGCCATTACTGTTGTTGAATTATATACATTATTTGTTGTATTAAGATTAATATTTGAAAAAAAGGATCGGTCATTTTGTATGATCGATGATGACGTGTTTAGATTTGTTTGATTGTTTGTTCCGTGAAGAGGTGATTGCTCTCGTTCCCTACTATTCGAATTGAGCATGGCATGAAGGTTGTTATTTACATTGGATACAGCAGATAAACTCGAGGAGGAGTGATCTGCATTTCCCTCCTTCTTGGTGAGAATTACATTGTTGTTGATATTTCCATTGTTGCTGAAGGCACTCGTTGGCCTACCATACGTTTTTCCCGATGAAGGTCGATTGATCATGGTTGGTAGTGCTTTTGTTGATAATTCGTTGAAAGAAAATCAACGACTCGTTGAGTTATTAATTTTTTGTAGAATCAAATTCACACATTGGCGGGATTGTATTTATTTTATGTCCTAATGAGGGGCTCCAGAATAAAACAATCCCTGTGATGTGGAACTCTCTCCAACATGCAACTTTCTGAGAGGAGTGATGAGATCACTTTGTGTACCTAACGGTGGTATTTTTACCGAGACAAGGCTCAATGACTTGTTGTTCGAATAATTCGTAGTCATGAATATGTTCTAATGAACCGATTTGTTGTGAACGCTGTTAAATCGGTTCATTAGAACCAACCAACCAACCACTATCATTTTGAACAAGAATCTACGAGTAATATACCATTTAGTCCTTACATTTGCAAGCAAAGGAATCTTCTCGAACGACCCTCTTCAGTCACGTTGTTGGTCGAAATTCCAGTGTATATTTTTGCATAATTGGCCTTACATAACACTTGATGGCCCTGATAAGTAATGTGATTACCACTCAGAATGAGCTCTATTTCAGACTTGTTCCACTCTGCTTCAGCAAGATGTTTGCATCCATCGTCAGTAATTTCATTATCGGAGAGTGTGATCGTTTTGAGTCGAGGAAACGTGTTGCTATCCTTAAAGTACATACATCCATTGGATGTAATGTGATTGAGAGATAGATTAAGTTGAGTAAGAGAGGGGAAAGTACCACCACTAGCTAGAAATTGACAACCTTCATCTGAAATTGAGTTGCCTTCAAGAATTAGTGTTTGAAGACTTTTAAAGCAGCCGTTCGATAGGTTTTTACATCCTTCTCCAGTAATTTTGTCGTGTGAAAGAATTAAGGTTTTGAGGTTGGATAGATGATTTTGAGATAACACATGGCAACCTAACGCATGAACTTGATTGAAGGACATGTCCAGATAGGTCAACTTGGAGAAGTGTTTGCATGTTGAAATATCTTTACAGGCGTTCAATGATAATTCATTCACACTCAAGTTCAAGTAGGACAAGGATGCAAACTTTTCCTGACAGAGTGAAGTAATTTCCCGAAGACTGTTGGACATGAGGTTCAATCGAAGTAAATGTTGAGGAGCATGTGTAGCAAATTTCTCAATGAAATCCGAAATTTCACACCTCGAAATGTTCAAATCTGTGATCCTTGGGAGAGATGAATTCTCAAAAAGCCTAATAAGACCTTCCCCTCCAATTTTGTTGTTTGAAATGTCGAGAATTGTCAAATTTTTAAAACCATTGAGATGTTGACATCCATGCATATCAATTTCATTACTTGATACATCTAATTCAGTGAGTGGCGACATTTCTGCCAATATTCTCAAATATTCACATCCTTGACTACCAATGGAGCAACCTTTCAAAAACAATTTACGTAATTTTCTCATTCCAGAAAGATGAAGACATCCAATGGGTCCAATCGGGTTATAACAAAGATTTAACGTGGTTACATTGTTCAATTCTGATATTTTTTGACATCCCGCTTGTTTCACTGCATTTCCATAGAGATTTAGTTCTGTTAAATGTTCGAAATTGTTTTTAAATAATTCCAAACACGTTGTTTCATCTACATCACAACGAACCATTGTCAACGATTGAAAAACGTGCAAATTAAAGCTGTTAAACTCTTGCATGTCCCTTGAGGACATTCGGTTGGAATAAATTTCAAACTTTTTCAAATATTTCAAATTTCCTTTTGCCATATAATGCAACACCTTTTCATAAGCATAGACAGATTCAATCGTTACTCGTTGCAATTTTGGAAAATATGAAAATAAATTAAATTTTGAATTTCTGAACTTTGGATGGGCCTCTCGTGCTGTATCCTCAAAAACAGAAATTTCCAATCCTTTAAATAATAATCCTGTTATTGATCTAAAATTATGATTGGCACATTGTTGAATGAAGACTTTTCTTCTCTCATCACTCATTGTTAAACTATTTATGATTAATGGGCTTTCAATACAAATATTAATATCAGGTGATGTGATGACTTCATTCCATTCTTTTGAAACGAGTCTCGCCACACTGAAAAGCCAATTCCAACTGAAATTAGGAAATATGTGAGAGATCAATAAATCCATCGACAGGATTCCAAATGATGAAGACGGTTGTGGTGTGGTCATCGTGTTTGAATACAAGTCGTCCGCTTGGCGAGATGATCTGGTCTTTTTTGTTGGTGATGGATAGATGCTGTAACAAAAGTTCATTCTTCTATGAGGGTGTTGGTGTGGTTATTCTTGCTCGTGTTTTCGTGTTCTTGACGATGAATGGAAAGAGCAAGGTCTTCCGAATAGTTTCTGTTGAATTGTCGTTCGGAGTTGTGAGCAAAGCCAAACTTTAGAGTGTTGTGTTCACTCACTCTATTGTTCAGAATCATTGAGAGAATAGGAACCATCATGATGATGGTGAGGTCTTTTATTGTTGAGTTCGATTCAGCACTTCAACAAAATTTCGAACGGTTGAGAATTGTGCTTGGAAAAAGTTGAAACAAAAAAAATGTTGAATAGCAACAAGAAGAACAACAATAGTCGCGATACATCTTCCCTCTCCGCAGAGAAAACCACCTTCTCTTATAGCCATGTCTTGATGGTATTGGAGAAGGAGTTTCCTGCATTGAAAGAGGAGGTGAATTCTTTCAAAAAGAAGGTAAGTGTAGAGATGGCCTTTTTTAAAGTACTCATGTTATCTTTTTCGGAATTTGTTGGTGTCGTGATTGGACAATATCTAGATTTCAAACTCATCGGATACGGATCTGTATATCATCAAAAGTATACAAACTTTTTTAATTTCTCTATTTATTAAACCAGACTATACATATACTGTTGCGAGAGTTTGCAAACCAATTTTGCCTCTTTTGGTTGCTCAAGTCATGGAAAAGTTGTACAAATCAGCTGAAAAAAGCATCACTAATAATTCATCAGAACATTATGACACAATTCATGCAGTGAGCAAAATACTTCCTTTATATCCTCAATTTAAAACTTTTATCAAGCAATATTTCAAGAATAGACCTTCACTCATAGAATCTATTGTTAACAATAATCTGGAGGATAAGATAGAGCAACAAAAACTGTTGACACTTTTAGAAATTACATATCGTTTATTAATTTGTGCTCCATCCGATTTTTGTAAAATTTGGAATTGGGCACCATTTTTCTCACTTTTAAAACACAAAAATAAGGAAATTCGATCCATGGCATCTAAGTGCGTTTCGATACTTCTAGAGCTTGATGACAAATATTTCAATTCAAAATTCGAAAATCTCCAAGAATATGTCTTGCAAGAAATCGAATCAGAGGAAAAGATGCATCTTGAAAACACTCTTTCATTCTATGATGACACTGAAACATCAAACATGGAGTCAACTTCAACAGAATCAAGAGAAAAGCTTGTGATCTCACACAAGAGTGAAACCATGGTTAATGTTTGTGGTGTTTGGCTTCACAAGAACCTTAGAGAAATTCACTCCTCGCAGCAAAACATCTCTGCAGATAAGACAAAACTCATTTTCACAAACACAGCTTTTGACAATATGCGCTCTTTAGCTCTTGCAGTTTCTCAAGAAAAACCTGTGTTGGTTGAAGGTATTATCGGCTCAGGTAAAACCGTGTATGTTGAGGAATTGGCAAGAATTACCGGAAACACAGATATCATAAAGGTGAATTTGGACGAATCGTTTGATAGTAAGGACCTGTTGGGAACCTATGTTTGCACAGATGTTCCTGGAGAGTTTAGATGGCAGCCAGGTGCTCTTACGAAAGCTGTTCTTGAAGGTAGATGGATTCTCATTGAAGATCTCGATTTAGCTCCTTTTGATATCATATCCTCAATTATTTCGCTTGTGGAGTCCGGAAATTTATTCCTTCCCTCTAGAGATGAGGTGATTCCTGCTGCGACTGGTTTCCAACTCTTTGCCACACAGAGTTTAATGGAATCCTTATCGGGAATGGTTACTCGACAACGAGTTTTGCCCATGTCCAATTTATGGACAAAAGTGATGATTAACAAATTACCATCGAAAGAAATTGAGCACATTCTCAAATCCAAGTTTAAATCCATTCAACAACTTGTTCCTAAATTTATTGAAACGTATGATGCATTGAGAGGAGTTAACCTTCCTTCCGTTTCAGATAATTCTGATGCAACTTCACAACAAACAAGCACTAAGGAATCAACCCAACTCAAAAGCTTTGGAAGGCTATTCTCGTTTAGAGATTTGTTGAAATGGTGTGAACGAGTTCAACGATTTTATGGTCACAAGATTCAAAAGAATGAAAACTATGTTCTAAGTCAAATTAAGAGAGACATTTTCCATGAAGCGATCGATGTGTTTTGTGGAATGATTGCGAAGAAGGACGTTTATGACTCAGTTGTACATACATTAGCTCTAGTCTGGGAAATTTACAATTTTGAAGACTATTTGAAGACTTACAAACCTCAATTACAAGAAGAACGAGGAGTTGTTACTGTAGGTAGAGTGACACTCGAGAGAGACGAAAAGAACTTGGGCGAATTGTTGCACAAAGGTAGCACCTTTGCCCACACCAAACAAAGCTTGAGAATGATGGAAAGAATTGGAGCTTGTATCAAGATGAACGAGCCAGTGTTATTAACTGGTGAGACTGGTGTTGGTAAAACAACAGCTATTCAATATTTGGCGACTTTGATGGGTAAAAAGCTTCTTGTACATAATTTGAATCAACAAACAGATAGTGCTGACTTTATTGGAGGTTACAAACCTGTAGATTTGAAAATTCTTGCTGCATCTGTGAAAAGCAATTTTGAACAATTATTTTCCGTGACTTTCCCCTCAAAAGAGAATGAAAGCACTTTAAATAGGGTCAGAGATTTATACTCGAAAAAGAACTGGGTACAGTTTGTGATGCTTCTCACTAAGATTATTGAATTAGCAGAACAAAAGCTGAATAATATGGAAGATGATTCGAGCGAAAAGACAGAACATTCTGAAGAATCTTCAAAGAAGCGAAAAAAGTCACAAGCTTCCTCTTCATCTGGCTCGGGAACTAAGAAGCATAAAACAGAGAAAACATTCACATTGAGACAATACTGGGCTAAATTTAAGGAAAGCGTTGACCGATTTAATCATCAACAAATACTCGTTCAAAATAGTTTTGCATTCTCCTTTGTTGAAGGTACATTGGTAAAAGCATTGAAGGAAGGTCACTGGATTTTACTCGATGAAATTAACTTGGCTTCGACTGAAACCTTGGAACGTCTTTCCAGTTTATTGGAAGGAGAAGAAGGAACCCTTTTCATCACTGAGAAGGGAGATACAGAACCAATCAAGAGACATCCAAACTTTAGAATCTTTGCATGCATGAATCCTCCAACAGATATCGGAAAAAAGAACTTACCACCTGGATTGCGAAATAGATTCTCTGAATTCTATGTTCATGAACTGACCGATAGGGATGATTTGAAAATTGTTGTGTCGAGATACCTCGCAAACATTCCACATCCACCCGTGGATGACATTGTGAATTTCTACTTGGACGTAAGAAAGAAGGCAGAAGCAGAGTTATCTGATGGAGCTTCTCAAAGACCACACTACAGTTTGCGTACATTGACGAGAAGTTTAGATTATACAGTGATGGTTCTCAAAGATTATGGTCTTGAAAGAGCACTCTATGAAGGGTTTTCGATGGGTTTCTTAACCTTGTTAAGCTCCTCTTGTTGTTCAACGGTGGAAAAGCTCATCCGAAGCACCTTCTTTAAGAACAAGAATGTTGAAAATTCTCTCAATCAAGCTCCACCAAAACCAACCAGTGGAGATTTTGTCTTGTTCAAACATTTCTGGCTTCAACAAGGTCAATTCAAACCAGAACAACCCACAGATTTTATCATTACAGAGTCTGTTGAGGAAAATTTGAAAAATCTGGCAAGAGCGATCAAGACCAACAAATATCCAGTGTTGCTGCAAGGTCCTACCTCAGCTGGTAAGACCAGTATGGTTCAATATCTGGCTAAAGTTACAGGACACAGATTTGTGAGAATTAACAATCACGAAAGTACAGATCTCCAAGAATATTTTGGTACCTACATTACAAATGCACAAGGTAAATTGGTTTTCCAAGAAGGTATTCTTGTGGAAGCAGTAAGAAATGGTTATTGGTTGGTATTGGACGAGTTGAATTTGGCTCCTTCTGATATTCTTGAGGCTCTTAATCGTTTATTGGATGACAATCGAGAATTGTTCATTCCAGAGACACAAGAAACAGTCAAGCCTCATCCTCACTTCCAATTATTCGCCACTCAGAATCCACCTGGATTGTACGGTGGTAGAAAGGTGTTATCTCGTGCCTTTAGAAATAGATTTTTGGAACTTCATGTGGATGAAATACCACGACCAGAACTCATTACCATTCTCCACAAGAGATGCCAAATCTCGAATCAGCATGCCACTAAACTTGTAACGGTCATGAGAGAACTCCAACAACGCAGACAAAGTAGTAAGATCTTTGCTGGTAAAAGTAACATTACTCCAAGAGATTTGTTCAGATGGGCAGAACGTATGAATGGAGTGGCAGACAATATCAACTACAATCAAAATGCTGCAGAGGAGGGATACATGCTTTTAGCAGAGAGACTCCGAAGAGATGAAGAGAAACAAATTGTACAAGAAATTTTAGAGAAAGTATTCAAGACAAAGATTGATCTTGAAGCCATGTATAATCCTAAAGAATTACAAGATGTCTCTATTGCAGGAAGCAATATTGTTTGGACCAAGACCATGAAGAGAATGTATGTCTTGGTTGGAAAATGTCTCAAATTCAAGGAACCTGCCTTACTGGTCGGTGATACAGGTACAGGTAAAACAACTGTATGCCAAATCTATGGTGATATTTACAAGAGACATTTGAGAATTCTAAACTGTCATCAACATACTGAGACGAGTGATATTCTTGGATCTCTACGCCCTGTGAGAGGTCGAGAAAAACTCAAAGCAGAGCTTGAGCACATGATTCAAGACTTTATCAATATTGCCAACAACAAGTTTTCTCTAGATATCAATTTCGGTAATGAGACGAATATCAGCAAGAAGGTCAAGAGACTTGAAGACATTTGTAAAAAACTTGCGAAAGAGAGAAAACAAATTGAACCTCAAAAAAAGAAGAAAAAGAATGATTTCAAAGAAAAGGAGCTTTTAGAAAAGCAATTAATTATCAGAGAGACCTATCAAAAGTGGAAAGCTCTTTTCACTTGGTATGATGGTCCTCTTGTACAAGCCATGAAGAGTGGCGACATTTTCCTCATTGATGAAATTTCACTCGCTGAGGATGCTGTGTTGGAACGTTTGAACAGTGTGTTGGAGCCTTCACGAGAATTAACTCTTCCTGAGAGAGGTTCTGAAAAAGTCGAACATATTGTTGCCAATGAGAATTTCAGAATTTTGGCAACCATGAATCCTGGAGGTGATTTTGGAAAAAGAGAATTATCACCTGCCCTGAGAAATCGTTTTACAGAAATTTATGTTCCGAGTTTGTCAGTCTCTGAAGATTTGGCCATTATTGTTGCGAGTAGACTCAATGCAAGCATCAAATCCTTTAATATTCGAATGGTTGAGTTTGTTCAATTCTTTAGATCCAAACGTACGAAACGTCTATTGAGCGTGAGAGATGTCATTTCATGGGTTGATTTCATGAATATGGCAGTTGAAAAACTAGATATGGATGCCTATGGTGCCTATTTGCATGGTGTCGATACAGTGATTTTGGAAAGTATTGGTGTCGGTACAGATGCCTCAGCAAGAAATAGACAACTCTTGCGAACCGAATGTTTCAACTTCTTATTGCACAAGTTGGAACAGGAACAAGTTCTCGTGAGTGAGCAATTGAATTACTACAAGGATGTTTTCCTTAATGAAAACTACACAGCCATCAGAACTACCAAGACGAAGGAAAGTGTCGACTACTTTGGATATCATCCATTCTTTATCAAATGTGGACCCAACATGGAACGAAAGATTGTCTATGCATTGGACGCTCCCACGACAGGTAGAAATGTTATGAAAGTGTTGAGAGCCATGCAACTCAAAAAGCCTCTACTTTTGGAGGGTAGTCCAGGTGTTGGAAAGACAAGTTTGATCTCTGCCATTGCTAAAGCCTCTGGACACAATATTGTTCGAATCAATCTCTCTGAACAAACGGATATGATGGATTTGCTTGGAACTGATTTACCTGTGGAGGGTAGCTCGGGAGGTCAATTCCGTTGGTGTGATGGTATTTTCTTGAGAGCACTTCGAAATGGTGATTGGATATTGTTGGATGAGTTGAATTTAGCTTCTCAATCGGTTCTTGAAGGTTTAAACTCTATTTTGGATCACCGTGCTGAAATTTACATTCCAGAAATTAATGAAGTTGTCAAGTGTCCAGAAGGATTCAGAATATTTGCATGCCAAAATCCACTCCAACAAGGAGGTGGAAGAAAAGGTCTTCCAAAATCTTTCCTCAATCGTTTCACTCAAGTTTATGTGGATGAATTGAGACCTGAAGATTTGACATTTATTCTTCGCTCCATTCATAGAGATATTGGAGAAGACAATATCAAGCTCATGATTGACTTTAACAGAAGAATGCATAGGGAAACAATGGAATTGTACCGATTTGGTAGAAAAGGAAGTCCTTGGGAATTCAACTTGAGAGATGTTTTCAGATGGTGTGAACTCTTAAAGAAAGAACAAGAGCTCAACAAGAAGAATAATGAGTCATTCAAATATGATCCAATGAGACTAGTTGATTGCATGTATCGACAGAGAATGAGAACTCGGGAAGATCGTCAATATGTTGAAAAGATATATTCTGAGCTTTCTGGAAAAGAGTTCCCATCCGAGACCTATCCAACTTATACTATTTCTCCAGACGCTATTCAAGTAGGGTCTTCCATTTTGTTGAAGAACAATTCATTTGATGATGGCGACAAGGACAATCATGCTCCAAGTACTACAAACTCTTCAAAGGATTTGATCTTGTTACAATCATTTTTGAATCCTCTCGAGAATATTATGAAGTGCATTGAGATGAATTATTTGACCATTATCAATGGACCTTCTGCATGTGGAAAGTCTTCAATTGTAAGACTCATTGCACAAATGACTGGTAACAAGTTGAATGAATTCTCCATGAGCAGTTCAACGGATACTGTTGAATTGTTGGGAGGATTTGAACAAGTGGACCCAATTCAAAAAGTTAAAATGGTTGCAAATGTTATCAAACTCAAGATAGACGAGCTTGCAAGAATTTCCTTCTTGAATGATGAGAAACGAAACTTTGATACTGTGAAGCAACTTTATAATCAATGGGCAGCCTATGAAACAACCTCTAAAAAGGATGCCACTTTCTCAGGAATTGAACAGCTCAAGAGTATATGCGAAGGAGTTTTTGCATTGCTTCAGTATGAAAACGAAGAAAAACAATCCATCCTCAATCAACTTGAGAATTTGAGTAAATTATTAGAGATGGGTGTTAAGGGACGATTTGAATGGAATGATGGTGTTTTGATCCGATCACTGGAAGCAGGTAATTGGCTTCTCATTGACAATGTCAATTTTTGCAATCCAACTGTTTTGGATCGATTGAATTCATTATTTGAACCTGATGGTGTGCTTGTTGTTAATGAAAGAGGACTTGTGGATGGAGAGATTCGTATTGTTAAACCTCATCCTCACTTTAGAATCTTCATGGTGATGGATCCAAAGTATGGAGAAATTTCAAGAGCCATGAGAAATAGAGGATTGGAAATTGCCATGTTCTCAATTGCAATTCCTTCTCAAGATGCGTTCACATTGTTGGCTAATCATGGAATTCCCTCTTCACATTTGTGCAACGTAATGATGGACTATCATGCACGATTTGCTTCAAAAATTTTCCTTCTTGAAGAGGATCGACCAACGATTCGTGACTTGTTAAGATGTGCGGAAGTGTTCAACTCTGAAGTGAAACAAGGACTCAATATCACCAGTGCATTTAGAGCAGCAGTCTCGAGTGTCTATATTAGAAGTAGATGCCCTACAAAAGCTGCAAGAGAAATTGCAGAAAGAGAATTAGAAGAGTGTATACAGGTATTGCCAAGAAATGATCCAAGCTTCCCATCTACATTTGTTGCTTGTAATGCTTTCAAGTGCGACAAATCAGTCTTTAGAAATGTGTTTAGACAAGCAGCACGGCTTTATGATATCATTAGAACTTATTTAAGTAGATGTATGACTGAAAAGATGGATCAAAACACTAGTACAAAGAGTATTCTAGATGGATTGCAATGGAAGATTTTAATTACTGACTTGCCACCTCAGTTCTTGCAATCCAATGACATTCAACGAACAATTTTAAACACAGATAATAGTATGGACGACACACTCGAAAGTTCCATTTCTAAGTTGGTCAATGACATGCAATATGCGCTTGAATACTTTATTGATGTGAGCTCTCTCAAAGATATTGATATTAGAACGATATGGTTACAAAGACTTCACAGGCTTTGTAAATCCGACAAAGTTCTCGATGAGTTACTCACAAAAGGTTTAGAGCTTCTCAACAAGCACAAAAACGGTGACTTCTCGAAGAAGATTCAAAAAGTATTTGGAGATATCTCATTGGCTGTAACAAGCAAATATGCAGATATCATTGCTTCTCAACCTCTTAATTTGAAGTACAGCCAACAATTATACTCTCGTCTTGTTTATTTGGGACTTGTTACGGATGAGAACGATCATTTGTTTGAGGCTGCAAGTTTGTTAACCTCTCAACAAAAACGAAAGTACGAAGAAGAGCTTGCAATTTCAGGCGAATTTAAAGGATCCATTGTGGAGAATCAGTCTTCACTTCTTCATCTCTCTTATTACTATCACATTAATCCAAAGTATAGAGGTTCTGTTCCAAATAGAGTGGTTATTCACCTCTACACGCTTTTCACTCAAATTGATGCTTTTGTGGACAGCATGATGAACGCTTCCATTGAGGACTCTGTTTGTAATTTGGATGAAATCAGAGCTCTGTTGAGATGTAGAGACAAATTGTGGTTCTACCTTTCTCATACTTTGGAGTTAACTGAAGAATTCTTTATTTATTGGAATTGGTTGGCTAAGGAATTCCTCAAATTGAAGGTGAAAAAACCCAAGTTCAAGAAACCATCCAAGAAGAATGTTGAAACACCTTATGAGCTCTACGAACAATTATGCACATTTATGGGGGAAATTGATGGCCTGGTCATCAACAACTTCAATAGCGTTGGAAAGAAAAATACCTTGTATAAGAATTGTGGAAAGCCAACTATTTCAGTTTCCCAAGAATTGAAACAACTTGAAGACGTGATTCAACAATTCTTAACATCTACAACCGCACACACAGAGAGCAGAGAACTCAAAGAACTTCTTTTCAAGGCAATGAGCACTGTAAAATTGTTGCAGCAAAATCCTCAACATCCAGACTATGATAAATTGTTGCAATATGTGAGAAGTGTTCCAACTCTTCTCGAAAAATCAAAACCAAAAGAGCAAGAACTCTCTGAAGATATTTATACTCCTTACAAAGAATTGAGTAACAAATCTGAGCAAGAGCTTGTAATGGATGCTATTTTCCATGACATTGCCGAATTTACTGCACCAGACAAGAAGCGTGTGAATGCTGCATCCTTGCATTCAACCAAGGCAATATCTCCACTCTTTGATTACAAGAGTATGCATAAGGAAATGAATGTCATTATGTTATTCTCAAAGATTGGATATCTTTGTAAGAGATTGGATGCTTCCACAGACATCATGGAGGTCAAGAGATTGTTGAACTCTGTTGTGATCAAGTCAAGACATCTCGTCGATTTCATTTTGGAGAATTGTTCTCGAGGACCTTTTGATATGGTTCCTTATCAAATGTTGTTGTGGAAAGCAGGAAATTTGGATGCTCTTTCATTGGAAGAATTGAAACAGTTTGCCTCATCCATACCTGCATTGTTGCACTATGTTTACATTTATTGGAATGAGAGGGTGTGGAATAACACTTACAACAACTCCATGTTTGACATGTCCAAATCGGACGAAAATCTTACACGAGACGATTTGATTGGTCCAAATAGATTATTCCAAGATGTAAACTCTGTTCATATTTTGAAGTTGTTGAGCGGATGGGAAAATATTCCAATTCGATCGAGACATATTAAGATTGATCAACTCAAAAAGGTCATTCAATTTATTTGTACCAATGTGGATAATGTTCAAGCTGAGGAAATTGATTGGTCCAATCTCACCTACTTGTATTGTGATACATTGTTGAGCTTTAAGAAGACTTTTTCAGCCCAAGCGCTTTCAGAATTGGTAGATTTGACTGATTCACTATGTGCAACAAAGGACATTGACGTCAAGAAGTTGGAAACAATTCTCGACAGTTCCAACGATTCCAGACTCAAACAGAAGAAGAATGACATTATTTCTATTTGCAAGCTTATTTGCGCCAAAGAGTTAGACAAAAATAAGGATCTTATCAATCGTGGTTTGGCATGGTTAAAGTTAGGAGAAGTTCGCATGACATTGTTCATTCCTGCTAACGCCTTGGATCCAACCCTCAAATATTCCATCTATGACAAACATTTGAAGGAAGATGTGGACATGCTGAATAACAAACTTCAAGTTATCACTTCCATTGAAAAATTCATGACAGGAAGTGATAAAAGCTTTATCACAAGTAAGATTGAACAAGATTTGTCTCATATTCAGGTCATGATGGACAAGATCACTCCAAAAGTCATTCACAGACCATCCACCATCTCTTTCATTGATTTGTATCGTGAAATGAAGACCCTTGTCGATCAACAGGAAGTCTTACGTACTCTCTCCAACAATTTGCTCAAATACTTTGAAAGAAGTGAAGACAGTAGCAGCGGCAACAATGAAGAGGTTGAACTAATCACCAAAGAAGATTCCTATCAATCCAATACTCAAAGTTTGATCAAGACTAAGATTTTGAAGAATGAATTCGGTTTTGAAGATTTGGCCATTCCATTCGCCTCCTGTGCCTATCATATCAAGTATGGCTTGAGATTGTTGTGTTATGGATCTCTTGCACAGAAAGACAAGACCGAACAACATACTGTGAATCAAATCCTCAATCATTTACTCTCCTTCCCTTCGTGTAACTCGGTACAGACCATTGAATCAGACTTGGAAGTGGTTCGTAAATGGTTGAAATCGATCGATCACTCTCCAACCATGCATCTCAAATGCAAGCAATATGAAACAGCAACGAAAGTGCTCCGTGTTCTCATGTCTAGATGTTTGTTGATTACAATTTCTCAAACTTCAAGTCAAGAGAAAACCATTGAAAATCTTTCTCTCTTGAATCAAGTCTTCTCCATGTATTCCAACTTGTTTGAAACCGTCGAGGATGAATTGGAAAAGAAGCAGCAAGAAGAGGACAGTTTCTACAAATATCGAGAGAAGAAAACTGTGATTGAGACTGACGAAGAGATGTTAGAGGAAGAAATGGAATCCATGTTCCCAACCTATGCTGAGGATTATTCGGACTTTGTTGAAAAGCCAGAACAGCAATCTTTGAAACAAAATATTGGTGAAAAGCGAGAAACCTTAAATTCTGAGAAGTCCTTGTTGGAAAAGGTGAATAAGGTCATTCATGATGAGAAGGAAATTGATTATCTCGTTCAAACGCACAAGGACATTTTCAGTTTTGTGTCATTGAGTGGATCTGCTTTGAACCGTCTTGGAAGACCTGTTCAAGTCATTGAGAATATCCGAAGCAAAATGTTTGATGAGTCTTTCAATGTGGCTGTTCATATTCTTAACACTCTGAATGGAAAGTATCAAATTGATATGAAATCTTCGGGTTATTTGCCTTTGGTGTTGTTTGGAAGTAGAGCTCTGAATAATTTATGGGTAAAAGTTGATCATTCGAAGGAAGCCAAGTTAAAGGCCTATAACGAAGTGTATACCGAGCCAAACATTCCAGAAATTACTCTAGCTTTTAGCACACTTTTCAGTATGCTTCAAAGATTGAACTTCCTCATTAAGAAGTATAGTACTGAGGAACAGAAGGGACATCCAGTACTTGTGGAGATGGTTAAAATTATTGAACATATTCTGAATCAACCTATTACTAGTCCGATTATTAAGATTTTGACTGGATTGGAATTACTTTTGATAAAGGCTGGAGAATGGGAAGAATATCTCACTGCGCATGTCAATTCCTTGAAAGAAGAAATTAGAAAGCTTTCATCTCTCATTGTTCGATGGAGAAGAATGGAGTTGGAAAATTGGAAGGGAATTTATGATTTGAAGACACGAGAATATAAGAACAAATCTATTAATTGGTGGTTCAGATTCTATACGTTGATTTGCAACAGTGATTTCAATCAAGTGGATATTAACAAGACTATTGAAGAATTCTTCAGTATTTGTGATGATTTTATTAGAACATCCACTATTGGTGATTTCGAGTATCGTCTTGGTTTGCTTAACAACTTTAATCAACACTTGACTGCAGAAATTGAGAGAAGGTACTGTGAAGATATTGAGACAAGAACCAAGATTAGAGATATTATTCACAACATGCACAGATATTACTCTCAATTCATTCCAAAGCTTATGGAGAGACTGGAACAAGAGAAAAAACCACTCGAAGAAAAACTACGAGATTTCATTACACTAACCAAGTGGGAAGATGTCAACATTGATGCCATTCGATTCACCACAAAGAAGTCGAGAAGAGCTCTTGCCAAGTTCTCAAAAGGTTTTGGTGAAGTTTTAGTGAAACAAGCAAGAGATTTGTGGGACAAGTACGATGAACTTGCTGCAGCCACTGAAACCGTACAGGCGAAGCAAGACAAGAAAACCACCAAGAAAAAGTCCAAAAAGAAGCAAACCGCTCATTACTCTGACGAGCCGAATGATGTCATTCAAAAGTATTTGAACAAGACCAAGAACTTGCTTCATTCCAATGATGAAACAATCAAAAATATGGTTTCCTTCACAAAGAAAGACAAGCAATTGATGAAGGTGATTGAAACTGAGTTTATGGATGATTCAAAGAATATTATTGATCGATTACCTGTCATACATGATTTGGTTGGAAAGAACTTTGTGAATCATGTTCTCAAGAGCTCTCTTTCTAAGGAGTACGATGCAGTTGTGAGCAATATCGAAGATTTGAGCACTGAAATTATTGAGCAAACTCAAACATTGAACAAGGAGAACTCACCAAAGAGTATGAAATTGAGAGCACTGGTCTCACTCTTAACCGAGCTCAAAGAAATGGGTGTGTCCTATCTCAAGAAGGGCGTCTCAACCGAGACTACTATGGATAAGGTTTTCCTGATTCCATCTGTTTCTCTTACACTTTCTGCTTTTGATTCGAAGGATGTGATGGATGAATTTAATAGAGCTGACGAATACTTTTACAAGAATATTTTCAGTATTCAAAACTTTAGAGTCACCTATGAAGGAGAGTTAGCAGAAGATATCAAGAGTCAAAAGACAAAGATGAGAGGATATCCTGATAACTTGTTCTTCTTAACACTCAAACACAGAAGATATTTGAGTCAAATTGAGAATTGTCAAAAATCCAGCAAATCATTATATTCTACGTTGGAGCATGTGAGAAAATCCATTGTTGAATCCTCAAACCATGATGCAGATCAAGTGTTGATTTCTCAAGGTACCTCAGAAAAAGCTGTTACTACCCAAGCCGATTACGTGTTCAAATTGTACGAGCTGATTTATCAAATTCATTCTCTCTACACTGCTCTCTCAAAACATGACGACCAATACAACAAACCTCTCAAGACTCTGAATGAAGGAAAGCAATTAATTGATCGAGCAATGGATACTGTAGCTTCGGTGATGAACAGAACCAAGATTTACAGTTCCACAGATCTGAAAGAGCTTTCTGACAATCTTTCGACATTGGAAAGAGTCAAAACGGTTATGTATACATTCATTGAGGAAACTTCTACACTTCCAAAATCACCCGAATTGATCACTCTGCTCTCAGAGTTTGACTCGGTAAAGTCTGTGGTGGATAAGGCCACCTCTGGTGATGAAGAAATCTCTCAAGCACCAAGTCAAGACATGACGATTGTGAAAGAATTTGCCAACAAGTACAAACATGCTGTCAAATTTATCCAATTGATCACTCAAGATTTAATTAAGGCAAGCAGTGAGGAACAAGCTCAATTTGAGCAAGTTGTTAAAGCAACCACCGAAGAGCACACCAAACATCAAGACAACGATTCGAACTTATCCTTATCGTTCTTGAGTAAGAATAATTCTATCGCCAGATTGGAGGAACACGTTGAACATTGCTGCCAAACCATCACCAATGGCATGACAAAGATCAATCATGATCTCCAAGAGATGATCCAAACCATCACTACGTACAGTAAGCGAGAGGATCGAAATCCATCCATTGTCAATAGTTTGAGCGAATTACTTGGTAACCTTACTCCTCTCTTGCAACGACTCGATCTTATTGTGGATACCATCAAAATACCCATTGTTTATTACCACAAGAGTATTTCCAAACTGACTTTTATTTTACTCAACATCTTTACAACATTGTTCAAACAAGGTTTTTGTGGAAAGGATGACGAAACAGAGGGAGAAGGCCAATCGGACGGTGTGGAATTTAGTTCCGGTACTGGTATGGACGATGGAGAAGGTATTAATGATGTGAGTGATCAAATCGATAATGAGGATCAATTACTCAATGAAAAAGACAAGAAACAACAGGAAGGAAATAAGGACGTGGAAAAGAGTGAAAATGCTATTGAGATGGAAGGCGACTTTGAAGCCGAAAAAGACGAAATGGATGAACAAGAAGAGGACGATGAAGATAATGATGACAACGAAGAAGACGAAAACAAAGAAATGGGAGAGATTGATGAAGATGATCCAAACAAGGAACAACTCGATGACAAGTTGTGGGATGAGAATGAAAACGATCGAGATGACAAGACGGAGGAAGGAAGTGACAAGTCTGAAAAACCTCAACAACAAGATTCTGAGCTTAAAGCCCAAGAAGAAGAAACCGATGATCAAGGTCTCAATACCAAACAAGACAAGCAAAAGAAAGACGATAAACCAATGGGATATGAAGAAGATGAAGAGGCTGTCGAACAAGAAGAGTTTGAAGACAAAATGGATGACAAGTTTGGAGAGGATGAACTCAACAATGAACAACAAGAAGAAGACGAAGACGCTGATCGTGCAGATGATAAGAATGATCAAATGCAAGTCGATGATTTGGAAATCTCTGAGGATGAGCAAGAAGAGGAACCTCAAGATGAGAACAATATGGAGGAGCAAGATGGAGAAGGTGGCGACCACGACGACCAAGAAGATGATGATGAGATTGGTGGCGATGAAGATCTCAAAAAGAAGAAGGACGAAGAAATTGATGAACAAGTCGACACGGAAGATATTGCTCCTGAAGATCAAAACATCTCAGGTCAAGATGAAGAGGATCAAGATGCCATAGATCCAACTCTTGAATCCGAAAGTAAGCAAGAGAAGGATGAAGAAGGTGAAAAAGACGAGGAAGGCGAAAAAGAGAATGAGGAAGAAGAAGACAACGAAAAGGCTCACGTCCAAGAAGAAGCAGACAATGCCGATCTCAAGGAAACACCCTTCGGAGTCAAACAAACTGCAGGTAAAGCCTCTGAAATTAAGGATGACTCTGCTCAAGACAAACAAGAACGACAAGAAAAGAAAAACAACAATGCTGAAGAAAGTGGTAAAGACACCAACAAGAATGAAATGGGAGAGAGTATGGATCAAGGCAGTAATGATAACGCTAAACAGGAACCAGAAGCAGGACAAATGCAAATGGATCCAAATCCTCTCAGAAGTTTGGGTGATGCAATGAAGAATTGGAAGAAGAAACTTAACCTTGTTGAAAGAAACAAACAAGAAGAAGAAAAACAAAAGAAGGAAGAGGGTGAGAAGAGCGAAGCCTTTGAATTTGTGGAAGAGAATGATGCTGATAAGGATGAGCAAGAGAATCAAATCTTGTCCAATGCAACAGATGAACAATCCAAAGCATTCCCAGAAATGGAAGATGGTGAAGAGGAGGAAGAGGAAGACATGACAGGTGAAAAACAAAAAGAACAGTTTGGAGAAGAGAAGAAGAAGAATGAGGATGGTCAAGATGCCGACTCCAAACCAAGTATTTCATCGAAATTGGATAAAAAGATGCAAGATCAAGAGGATGAAGATGATGAAATGGAAGATTTGGACTTCAATCCTCCCTCCAAGAAGGCAGAATTTGTCCAAAAAAACTTTGAAAGCACCATTCACACAAAACAAGAGACCATGGAAGAAGATATTGACTTTGTGCAAGAAGAATTGAAACCACTCACGATGGATGATATTAAGAGAATGAGAGAAGAACTTGAAACCTCTCTCAATGATTGGAGAAACAATGAAGATAACGTCAATCACTCGAAGGAGATTTGGAAGAAATTTGACATGTTAACGTCAAGTCTCTCGCAAGAATTGTGTGAACAATTGAGACTCATTCTTGAACCAACACTTGCTACTAAACTCAAAGGAGACTACAAGACAGGTAAAAGAATTAACATGAAGAAGATTATTCCTTACATTGCCAGTCAATTCAGAAAGGATAAGATTTGGCTTCGAAGAACCAAACCTAACAAGAGACAATATCAAATTTTGCTTGCCATCGATGATTCCAAGTCCATGGCTGACAACCATGCAGGTCAAATGGCTTGTGAAGCTTTAACCTTAATCTCGAGAGCTATGGCTCAATTAGAAGTTGGACAACTTGGTGTTGTGAGTTTCGGTGAAAAGATGAAACTTCTTCATCCATTCGAAAAGCCATTTACCGATGAAACTGGAGCTGAAATTCTTTCACAATTTACATTCAAACAAAATCAAACTCAAATTGTGTCCTTCCTATCCGATACGATTCAACTCATGGAAAATTACAAGTCCTTAGAATTCTCTAACAATTCGGAACAATATCAACTTGCCTTTATCATTTCAGATGGTCGTATGTTAGAACGAGATCGAATTGTCAAGCTCGTTCGAGAAGGACAAGAGAAGAAGATTTTGTTTGTCTTTATCCTTATTGACAACCCAAATCCAAAAGAATCCATCCTCGAAGTGAAGAGTATTAACTCTACCAATGATCCAAAACAACCACTCACCTTCAGTTACTACATTGAGAAATTCCCATTCCCTTACTATATTATTTTGAGAGATATTCAAACACTTCCTGAAGTACTTGCTGATGCCTTACGTCAATACTTTGAATTGATTAATTTAACAGCTGCCGAACAAGTGTAATAAACTCTTCCTTTGAATTTGACTAGCTTGTCCTCATCATAAGATCGTAAAGAAAGAATTCTCTTGAGGAGGATACACCAATCTGTCAGTATTGTGATTTTCGAAAAAGTGCGAATAAAAAAATTGACGATTTTTTCGCGATTTTTTTCGAGTTCGAGCAACATTGATGTGTTGTCGATTTGACTTGATGTTGATGAAAATTGAAATCCACCACAATGTACTCTTTTAGTGGGGGTTTTCGATATATTGATACTCCTTCACATTTCTTGTATGTCCTGAACAATGTTTAGTCGTTATTATGGAGATATAAGATAGGGAAATTGAAACATCAAGATAATTTTTGACAATCTGACACGAAAAATACTTCTGGGGAGAAACGTACAAAAATGATAGTTGACCGAATTTGAGCAAGTCGTTTTCGATTTTACTCGATTTTTTTTTCGCACTTTTTGGAAAATCACAACATTAATGTCAATAACACCTACAAAAAAAATGCAACTTCAAGACAATGAAGGCCACTATTTGGGTATTGATGTTGGAACACAATCAATGAAAGGAAGTGTCATTGCAATACGTAATTTTGAACCAAAATACAATCAATCTTCCGATCCATCCAACCTGTTGAATATCAACAACACCAATTTTGAAATTATTTGGCAAGGAAGTGTTCACTATGATTCGGAATTTGCGTCCACATATATGATAAAAGGAGGTGTTCTGAAAGGACAGGAACATTATTTATTGAATTGCAATGGACAATTTTTGAATCGGACATGTCCTGTTTCAAATGATCACCACAATTCTTCTTTCCAAAAATGTTCAGATGATGATGGAACTGTAACTTGTCCAATCTTAATGCTGGTAGAATCGTTTGAACTATTGCTACAGAAAGTTCCGTTAGAAATCAGAGAAAAAATTGTAGCAATTGGTGGATCTGCTCAACAACATGGATCAGTTTATGTGAAGACGAAATTTGAGGACGATCACCAACAACATGTTCATCATAACATTGATATTTGGACTCGTTACAAATCGCGTTCACAAGGAGTTGGCACTTACAAACTACAAGAAAATGATTTTATGCTTAAAAACTGTCCAATTTGGATGGATAGCTCAACAAGCAATATTTGTCAAGAATTGGAACACATCATTGGAGGAGCACAACAACTGATGAAAATAACTGGCAGTAGTGCGTACGAACGCTTTACTGCAAGTCAAATAATCAAGTTCTCACAACTTTTACAATGTCATTTTCCTGTAAAAAATATTTATAACGAATGTGAAAGAATTTTAATATTATCCTCTTTCTTTACTAGCTATTTGACTGGAAAATATGAGAGTATTGATTTTGGAGATGGATCAGGAATGAATATTCTAGATATTCATAAATTACAATGGTCTGATGAAGTTCTAAACGCAATGTGTAAACTAATTTACGGAACATCTGTCAACTCTCTTGAAAACCTACAAAACAATTTGAAAAAACTTCTGGGAGAAAGCTTAGTTCCTTCAAATACTATCGTAGGAGTGATTAACAAGATGATTGCAGAAAAATTTCAGTTACCAGTCACATGCAAAATTTGCTGCTTTTCGGGAGACAATCTCAATTCTGCATCTTTCTTACTGAGGAGTAATAATGACTTGTGCATTTCATTAGGAACCAGCCATACTATTTTTGGTCTCATGAGTGATATTTCAACACACAATGCTCGCGAAGGACATGTGTTCATTAACCCAAGTTTCGTTTCAACTTGTCATGTCAAAAACATGACAAACGATCCCAAGTTCTTGTATTTGTTGTGTTTTAAAAATGGAGGATTGGCAAGAATGGATTTGTGTGAAAAATATTGTGGAGGCGATTGGAAACAATTCGATGCGTTACTGCTGTCACCATATCCTTCGCATGACAGTGCTAACATAATTTATCAAGAACAAGTGAAACATGTAGAACACATGATAGGTTTTTATTTTCAATTTTCAGAAATTACTCCCCTTTGCTGCAAACCTGGATATTTTAGATTTATCAAGTTCAAGGAAGATGAAGAGTATATCTTACTCAAGGATGGGGAGTTTCAGCTGCTACTGTCCAGCATACAAGATGACAATATGAAAAACTCTCTCAAAAATTTGGACATCAAGTCCATTGTTTACTCCCAGTTGTTAGGACTTAAATTGCATGCCATTCAAAATGGATTGTACAATCCCTCAGAGTCCAAAACGACGAACAGAATTATAGTCACAGGTGGTGCAACTCAGTCCATGGCTCTATTGAAAATTCTTTTCTGTGTCTTTCAACTGCCCATATTTACCATGCAAGGGTCAGAGGATTCGACAACCTTGGGTGCTGCTATGAGAGCGTTTTATTCAGTAAGCAATTTACAAATGATGGATAGAAAGTCTTATTTTGAAGTGGCAGAGAACATTTTGCCTCCTTTGCTCGAGGTGGTTTCAACTCTCGATTTGAAGGATTTAAAGGCCACCCTTTATTCAAATTTTTCATTAGAATTGTATGAAAATCTTGAAAAACGCCTTCTTTCAGTCTTGAACACTGATTAATAAGGGTGAGCACCAATTTTGATGTTACAATCATGATGACGAGTATTGTTGTGAGCTTGGTTTACTGAACTCATTCCAATCAACAAACACTCCCAAATCACAGCACTCCTCCCTCAATTGAGAAATTGGCTCGAGTACATTGTTGATCCAGGCCTTACAATCACACAATAACAGCTCACATGTTTCCGTTGCTCATGCCTTGATTTGAATTGTTTGCCGTCGAGGAAACCAATCGATGCAACGAAGGAAATTGCCATTTACGAAAAAATGATTCCAACCAACATGGTAAGTGTTGTTATCGGCGGCAATGTGTTTTTTAACTCAAACCCGTGGTTGTTTTTGAATGATGATGATGATGATGGTAATGATGATGGTGGTAATGATGATGATTTAAAAACATGCTGTTGATATTGTTCTGCTTTTGATACAATCATCATTGTTTACCAAATAATTTATCATCGTCGTGATGGTTGCAATGAGAACAGGATAATCCCGTAGAGCACTTTGGTAGGTCATCATCGGTTTGATATGATTTAATTATCTTTTTACTCATTTGCTGTTGTTATCACAACAACATTGTATTGTACTTCCTTTTTCACTACAACAACGATATACAGGACTCTCCAAAGAGCAAAAAGAGCAGCTGGAACTCCTTGCTAAATTCCATAACGAAAATCTCCTCTCGGACGAAGATTATGAAAAACAAAAACAGAGTATCATTGATGGTAGTTTCAAGCTAGAGGAAGAAGAGCCTGTTCATGAAGTAGGTGATAATTTATCGAGCAGTGATGAAGAAGATCACAAGGAACCAGAGGCACAAAAGCCAACCCCAAGCTCTTCCGATCAAGAACAAAATCACCAAAACGGAGTTCTTGCATCCTCTAGTGAGCCACAAACAACAACTTCGGAAACAATCATCCCAACTCCCAACGTTGAAACGACTCCAATTAATGGCACGAATGATGGTGTTGAATCATCGAATCCAACTACTGCACCACCAACAACAACAGATGCCACAGAGAAGAATGGAACCACTCCATCTACTACTGCTTCAGTCAGCAGTGTTGCGGGCAATGAAAGCCAAACAGTGATTGCTGCAGTGGTGAATGTCGAAGTGGAACAAAAAGATTTTACAAATGGAACTATTGGAGTGGTGAGCAAGAGTTTGGATTTAGATATTCTTGAAACCAAACCAGTTGAAATTTCAATGAAATATTTGGAAAATTATGGATTTGAAATTGGAGAAGATGAAGAAATGACTAAAGTGTTGAAACCTCTTTTTGAAAAACAACGAGATTTCAATGAAAAGAAAATTAATAGACAGAGAAATAGATGGAAGGAATTTATCAAAAAACACAATATCGGACCAAATGGTTTTACAACATTGGAAGAGTACGAGCAACAGCGTATTTTCCACTTTATTGAAGAATCAAACGAATTCAAAAAGCTTGTTAGAAAAGGTATTCCAATGGAGTACAGGGCTGTGATGTGGTACATTATCAGGTAAGTGTTTTGGCATCAAGTTGGGATTTACAACAATTTCCTATTGTTTACCCATTCTCCAACAACTCGTATCATTATAGTGGAGCTAACTATCAATTCCTTACGCACAAGGATGTTTTTGACAAGTTGAAGGAAAAAGCACAATCCATCCCTGTAGAAGAAAGAGAAAAAGACAAAAATTTTACATGTATTTGCAAAGATGTGGATAGAACATTCCCTACACATCCTTTCTATAAGGATCCACACAATCAAATTGCCTTAAGAAATGTTCTCTATCTCTATTCGCTACACAATCCAAAAGTTGGATATTGCCAAGCAATGAACTTCCTTGCAGGTATCATGCTTGTCGTCGGTATGAATGTTCAACAAGCATTCTTCACTCTTGATAGAATTATCGATCGTTACTTGCCACCAGATTTATACGACACTAAGATGCAAGGAGTCTATTCTGAATCATTTGTATTGCAGAAATTATGTTTGGATCGTATTCCCAAGCTGGCACACCATCTTTTAGCTCAAGATCCAAACTTTTTCATTTTGCTCTCACCCAATTGGTTCCTTTGTATCTTTTTAAATAGCTTCCCAATTGAAACATCTCTCAGAATTTGGGATTGTTTCCTCCATGAAAACTACAAGATCCTATATCGTATTGCCATTGCTTACTTGAGCCTTATCGAAAAGGATCTGATGAAGAGCAACGATTTCCAGGCAATTTATTCCGCCACTAAAGACCACGCTCTCAAGATGTTTGACTGTCGCCATTTGATCAAAAAGAGCTTTGGTATTAGAAACTTCTCAAAGAAGAAAATTTTAGAATATAGAGAAATGTACAGAAACCAACAAAAAAACGAAGAGCAGTAATCATGAATAAAATAATAATAATTGATTACATGGATTTAATTAAGGTTATCCACTTAAGAATACACTTAATTTAAATGGAAACTCCTGCTCAAAATTTCTTCCTCCCTCAAATGTTGCTTAAATTCTGCAAGTTTGTTTCGAAGGCTCTTGATTGCTTGAATTTTTCGCACGAGGATGCAATCCAAACTTGTGACATACTTGTCTATTGTTGATTGAGGCTGGTCCACATCATTTAAGAGTTCCATTTCTTGTTTCATGAGTTCCATAATATCGTCGATGTGTTCTCTATGTTGAGCAATAACTTCCTCCTCTTCATCTAAGATCTTGCTTATTAATTCCTCATGAGCTCGTTCAAGTTCTGCTTCTCCAACATCTTGGAAATGGGGTGGAAGCACAACTTCATTGTCTTGCATCATATCTGTATCTTCAAAATCTTCATCGAGATCGTCATCCACTGCATTATCAGCAACTTCATAATCTTGCTTGTCATATACTCGATCATAGTCAATTTTTTCGTCTTCCATTTGAATATCATCATCTTCTTGATCTTCCATTTGGTAGTTTCTAATTTGTTGTGGTTGCATAATTGGATTGTCATAGGGACTTGGTGAAGGTTGAATGTCTTGCTTTCCTTGTTTGTTGGCTTGAACAAGCTTGTCCTTGATAGCATCTTTTCTTAATTCCTTGACTCTATCTGCATATCTGAGAGTATTCAAACTATGCTCGCAAGATGAGGAGGAAGGGGAAACGTTTGCAATCATCACGGTCTTTGAGTTTCCAATAAACGAATCTTTCAGAACTTCTGTCAGCTTACTGCCTCTGAATGGTACGTGACTTTTACCACGATCCAATGATCGAATACACTCTTTCAGAGCAAGTAAACTCTTGTTGATATCAGCTCCTTCTAATCTCGTTTGTTTATCACTGTTTTTCGTGTCAGCTCCTCGTTCTGATCCTGCAAGATCAATGAACGAAAATTTACCATAAGTCTTATCATTGAGCTTGAGAACTATTTGCAAAATAGCATGTGAACGAGAAGAATCAGCGTTTGCACCTGTAGATCCGGTAGCTCTAATACTTAAACCAGTGTCAATGATGCTCATCAATTCCTCCACACTATTTACATTGGTTTCAGTTAAACCGCAAATGCTGACCATATTCTTTGCGTCTTCACGAGCAAATATTTTCTTTCTATTGTTCAAAAGATCAAACAATTTGCCACCATAAATTTCATAAAAGCTGATCCATACTGTCATGTCTCCCGAAAGTCGATTGAAGATGTCATGTGCTGCAAGTAAGTACAATCCCTTATTTCCGTTTCTTCCCATCATTGTAAACTACATATGTGCGACACAAATTAGTATCAGACAAAAAATTTAAATATGACACATACTGTTTTACCACTTCCTGTTTGTCCGTAAGCAAAGCAAGTTGCCTTTCCCTTATTGAAAATGTGGTCAACGAGAGGTCTTGCTGTCTTGTTGTATACTTCATTATTGTCACAATATTCATCAAAAACCTCATCAAAGCAGAATTGATGCTTTTCTACATATTTGGTGAGATCTACTTTTTGCTTTGGTTCATGTATCACGAGTTCGTAATTATTCACAACTTCTAAAATGTCGGTCTCATTCCTATTTCTTTCGTTTTCATTGAGAGGTCTTTTACGAACGGCAACCACTATGTTGGATCTTTGTCTTTTTCCGGCAGCATTAGCGTCTTGTTTACCTACAATATTTGCGACATCTCGAACGATTGGTTGTTGTTGCTGTGGTACATTTTGAGGCTTGGTATTAATCACAGCTGATGGTTTCTTTTCTACAACCTTTGGTTTAAGTTTTTGAGCTTGTTGAGGACTGAGGTTTTGTTGCATAATCTGTTGCAGAGTGTGTACTTTGGGAGGTAAGTATTGAGGTTGAGCTGCTGATGTTGGTCGTTTCATGTTGTTACTATTAATGTTGTTATTGTTGTTTTGATTGACTTGATGAACCTCAAAAGCATCATAGTGATTATCGGTATTATTAACGGCAGCATCCCAATCATACAAAGGTTCTTCATTACCGCCACCATAATTTTCTTTATCATCATCGTTGATCATGTTGTTATTGTAGAGAGAAGGTAACTGATTCTTAGGATTCAAGTCTAGTGCTTGACACTTATTCAAAGCCATTTGTTCATTCTCAAAATTCCCTTGTTGATTCGTTGTATTGGAAGTAGAAGGTGCCGATATGCCTTTCTTGGCGACTTGTATGAGCTCAAAGAACTTTCTTCTATCGGCTCCGTTTGCCACTCCGACTTTGTTGGCTACATCCTGTACGGAGAGTTGGGCCAAAGCTTCCACGCTAGTAACACCATTCAATTTCAATTGTGAGTAGTAGTGATCCAGTGAAGCCTTTTCCAAATACCGAAACAAGATAGCACTTGAACTCTCCGATGAATTTGCGGCCTTCATCATTGTGAATTGATATCTTTGTATGAAACAAAATATTGTCAATGTTGTGATAAATGTACACTATGTGATGGTAGGTGTGTACGAGGGTCGCTGCTTTGATATGACTATTACTAGTGGCTGTGATTGAATCAACGCAACAAGGAATTCAACTGAAATTCAATCACACACAAATTGTTGTGATTCTGTATTTTTTAAAGTGAGTTTTATGAAAAAGGCGCCAAATTGCAATTTTCTTAACGACCATCTTGTGGTGGTCATTCTTGTGAAAATGGATTCAAAGTCATCTTCAACTCACATAAAATTATTCTTGTGAGCTGCTTCTTCTCAATTCCTCAATGTTATCCATAAAGTACAAGTGCAATCATTAGAAAATTTGAATAATGAACGACGGATGACGTCCGAATATCCACAAAATAATACAACAATAAATTTTTTTATTTTCATCATCATAAAAAAATGTCCTTTCCACACATGCAGCGCTTCAACGATCTGGATAATGAGTTTCATTTGGCCGACAGGGACCGAGACAATCTTCTCAGCCCTGGAGAAGCAAAAGTGTATTTTGATCAATTCCAACTGCCACTACCTGTGATGAAATTTATTTGGTCATCGGCCAAAACTAGCCAGGCACCAGGACTTACCATTGATGAATTTAAACATGCCATGTCTTTGATTCGTCAAGAGCTGATGAATCCAGGAAGTTTACCCATCGGAAGTGGTGGTTCTCCTGCAAATTTCCATCCTCCACAATCACCAGGATTTGATTACAGCATCAAACAAGAAGAACGGGATCAGTATGAAACCAACTTTTCGAATTTAGCACGAGGAAAATACACAATTCCCTATGATGAGTGTATGAATTTCTTTTCAAAGGCAGGACTTCCAAACGATATCCTCAATACGATTTTCCAATTGGCCGACTTTGAGAGAAACAAGGTTTTGGACAAGGAAGAATTTGTGATTGCCATGCACTTGGTAAGATTGAAGAGAAAGATGCCTAATATTCCAATACCTATGCAACTCCCACCCGTTTTGATTCCACCTTCCAAACAATCATTGGTTGGTGTAGGCACGCCTTCCGGCATTTCTAGCCCACCTTTAAGACCAAGAAGTGAGTCAACTACGAGTATGGATAGTATTAACAATGGACCTCCTACTCTTGTGCCATCATCAGGAACCCTAGGAGGTTTTGGAGGACCACCACCTCTCGGAATGAGTAACAATTTTGGTGGAAGCTTTAGTGGCCCACCTCCACTTGGCAATAATTTCAGTAGCCCAAACATGATGGGAGGAGGCTCAGGTCCAGTTACTCTTGGTCCAATTAGAGATATGGAAAACCAAGTGAATAGGGTTTTAGAGGAAACAAGAATGATCAATCAACAAATGTTCCCATTACGTCAATCTGTTGAACAAAATGATTTGAGACTGAACAGTTTAAGAGAGAGAAAGGCAGATTTGGAAAATGATTTGAACCAAGTTCGTCAAGAGTTTGAAAATTTAAAGATGCAAAATCAAGCAAAGGCTGAAGAAATTGCACAACTCGAGTCACAAAGTTTCAGATTAGAGCAAGAAAGATTGGAGTTCCAAAACCAAATTCAAAGAGTGAGACAGGAAGTGATGAGATTGGAACAAATTTATGAGAAAACCAACCTGTCATACCAAAGTGCCAGTGGTATTGCTGAGTCTTTGAAATCGGAGTTGGAACAAAATTTGAACGAGCTCATCAAACACAAGGATGAGTTATTGAACCTTAAAAACTCCAATCAACAAGGAGATGAATTTGTACATGGTATTGAACAGGAAATCGCCAATGCAAAGAATGAATTACAAGCTGTTCGAGAGCAATTACAACAGGCTAGAATGATTAACGAAGATTTACAAACCAAAGTCAAGAACTTACAACTCCAAAAGCAAGATATCGAGCAATCTACTTTTAACACAAAGACTGAGCTTAGTGGACTTATTTCACAAAGCGAAGATCTTAAAAATCAACTTTCGAGATGCCAACAAGATTTGGAGAATCAAAAACGAAAGTCTGTACCAAATGCCAAGTTGGTCAAGTTGACTGGTTTAATCAAAAAGATTCAAGAGTACATTAATGAGTTTGACTCAGCTCTTGGAGAAGAATTCCCTAATCAACCAGCCAGTGAATTGAAAGTTGTTCCACCTGTCACTGCAAAGGTAACTTCACCAATCTCCACTCCTTCTCAACCAAAACCTCTTCCTACTTCTACATCGAAATCATCTTTTGGTAATGATGACTTTGGTTTTGGAAATGACAGTTTCGGAAGCTCTAACTTTGGTACCGTCAATAAGGCTCCTTCAACACAAACAACAGTATCCAGTGGATTCTCTGCTAATTTTGGTGATGATTTTGGTTTTGACACCAAACCTGCCCAAACAGGCAAGTCATCTAACGTTGGATTTGATAATGATGATTTTGGCTTTGATTCTAAGCCACCATCTTCAACCACTGCCAAACCTCCTTCATCTCAACCTTCATCCACCAAGACACCTTCATTCGATAATGATGATTTTGGATTTGACTCCAAACCATCCAATGGTGGATTTGGAAATGATGATTTTGGATTTGATTCCAAGCCAGCATCCAGCGGAGGTTTCGGAAATGACGACTTTGGATTTGATATCAAGCCAGCTGCAAAGACATCACAAACATCCTCTACAAAAACACCATCCTTTGACAATGATGATTTTGGATTTGGCTCAACAACCACAGCATCCACTACCAAAGGCTTTGATGATTTTGGAGATTTTGGAACTAGCACTTCAACAAGCAATACTAAATCATCATCTGCCAAACAAGACGACTTTGGGTTTGATTCTGATTTTACATCATTTTCTACAAACAAGCCATCTAGCGACCCATGGAACGACTTTGCTCAAACCAATAGCGTTATAACCAAAGAAGCTCCAAAATCAGAAGGTTGGGCAGATTTCGGTGATAATTTTTAAATGAACAATAATTTATTAACACCAATAAATAACACGTGTAGATTAAATAGTTGTAGTGACAACATCAACAATAGAAGTTTCTGCTTATTCGTCAAAAATATGTGGATTTTGCAACCTGGATTTAATGCTTGGGTTTTGTTGAACAAAAGCACCAAGCTTTAACAACTCTTTTTGGGCGTTCATCTGCCCACTTGCATGAAATGTTTCACTGGGTTCATAATTGACCACAAAGCGTTTTTTCCTATGGCAAGATATGGAGGAAATTACTGAATTGCACAAGCTACATTTTAGAGGTTTGTTGTTGTCATAACATTCCTTAGAAAAATGTTCAAAGCATCTTAATATCAACAAATAAATAAGGTGAACATGTGTGTTTTCACTTAGTCTATGCACTTACTCTTGACACATTGCCACGTGTCTGCATGGATTGAAAATGATATCTAAACTTTCTTCACCCAAGCAAACACAACACTTCCCATTACTAATTGTCTTGGTATTCTCCTCATCAGTAGAAGATTCATCCTGATCATTATTAGAAATTACAACAGAGAGAGTTTTGACAAAATCTGCAACTTTCTTCTTAATGTAGCTCAATTGTATCTTATTATACCGTTGGCTGAGCTGGCTTGGTGTAAAATCTAATAACTGGAAGTCATTGACATGAATTAAATTAATGCTCTCTCTGGCACCATTGATATATCCATCTTGATATGTTAACTTGTTTTTCAAATGGTACTTGTAATAAAAGAATAATCTTCGAATTGTGGCCGCCAACAGATACCACACAAAAAACTGTTGATTTTTTGGGAAATATTTTACAATATAATACACAGCAAAGAATCCATCAGGTTCATAGAAGCAAAAACTCCACCAAATCAATTTGCTTAATATTGGTCCGAAAATATTGAAAAAAGCAGGAGTGCTTTCTACAATCAAAAGTGCTAGCGAGGGATATATTAAAGCTAGATATTTGTAAAATCCATACTTTTCCGAAAAATCATCATTTCCTAATGTATTATTCATTTTTGTTATTTTATAGAGGAAAATACAATAATACCAAATTAATCCTTCACAACGAAACCGCTATGATGTGTTGTTATTCCGAACAGCGTCGAACTTGTTCGAGTACAACGACAAGTTGGTTCTTCTTCCTCTCCGCAGTTACAAATTCAACAAGTAATGATGGACTGGACAAGATTAATATTGGGTGATGATGATGAGGATCAAACAATCAACTATTTTTTTACAAATCATTAATTTTCTAAATTTATTCGTCCCATCAACAACAAATAAATTCCAAAGAGGTTCAAATGAAGCATCTCTTAAGCCATAGTCAGTGAGTGATTGTATGTTGCGTTGTTTGATGGAGAAGTACTATTAGCAGTGTGCACTTTGACAGTAATCACAAAACTCTCATTCTTCATGGAACACATTCCACTATCACTACAAACATATAATTTACAATCGATGGTGACTGTTGTGGTTCCTTCCTTGTGAGGTTTCATTTCAATCTCAATTTTTGATGATGCTCCGAGCTTGTCATTGGTGGCTGATGCAATCGAGAGAATGCTCTCATCTTCGGATTTAATACTGAAACTATTGGGAGCTTCTCGATTCAAATGGACACTCTTACTTTCCACCAAATGAATGGTATATTTCAGAGGTGTAGTGCTGTCAATGTTTGAAATTTCGAATACAGAAGGAATTTGAATGGTTTTGATTCCGAACATTTTTTTGTATTATTGACTTTTCAGAGACATAATGTATGCATGAAGGTACATGTGATGAATATTGGATGGCCCAACACAGGTGGTTGCATAATACGAATCGGCGAATTATTCGGAAAGAGCTCTTACCGTTTCCATGATACAAGCTTTGTCAATAGTTTAAAAATCCAAAAGAGAGCCATTAAGGAAACGTATGGGAGAAGGTGACGAAAAGATTTCATGATTCGATGTTTGTTGTCACTTGACATGGGCGGTGTTTGAAGATCTTCCCGAAGAGTGGAGTGTTCTTTTTTCTTCAAACCCAACACATGAATTCTAAAAAGATCGGAAAGCCATTCCGTCAATGAAAAACGAGAGACAAATCGGTGATATTTTCTCATAAATTCAAATTGTTGTTTTTGATATTCAATATATTCTCCTTCCATTCGTTCCAATGCACGTTTTTCATGTAGCAATAAATGATCCCGAATTAATTCCAGTAATTGAGGATATTTAGACCAATGAAAACTGGGGAAATGTCTGTAATATTCCAATAATTCTCGCATTGAAAGAATCATCTTGAATTCAAGATGTTTTTCATTATTGGAGACTCGCGAGCTTGGAAATAATACAAGTTCTCCACTTTTTAAATACTCAATAGGATCAATGGAATTTTCAAAAGGAGATGTTGTTTCCGTGTTGTATTCATTCAATGAGAATTTACCAGAGGAGGATTGTCCTTCGGGATTTAATTGTTCTTCTTCATTAAATAATATATTTCCATGATGATGATCGTCCACGATGATGACTTTAAGAAGAGATGATAAAGATGATGCCTGTTGTTTTTTGTGAGTGATTGTTGTTGTTACTTTTTGTTCTGATGCGCTTTTCTCGTGCAAATCATAATGCAATTTACAAACATCGGCCAAACTTAACGTTGTCATGTTGAGTTGGAAATAATGACATTCTTTTTATTTGAATGTTTTAAATTTTATGGTTGTAAAATCTTTCTTCAATAACAACAATAACGAAATTGGCTGAAATGAAAGAACCAAATTGGTTGGTTATCATGTTAAAATTGTAATTGTTGTTGTAATAATATTGAGAATGAAAATTACATCGTGATTACAAAAAAAATGTCTTCGTTGCTGGACTTTGGTGAATTGGATTACGTCAAACAGGAATCCGTTTCTTCTGCTTCGTTGTCATCTTTAGAGGTTTCTCATCAATCACATCATCATCAATCCAAACGACCACTTTCTCCTCATCATGATGAATTTTCAGTAGAGAATGAAACTGCGGAAGGAGTTGATTATCATCAGGATGATGATGGTAATGAAGAAGAAGGCTTTTTTCCCATCGGAAATAGTTTTGAAGGCTCTTCTTCTAAAAATCCCAATGAAACACTCTTTCAATTCATAAATCAATACATGCAAGATGAGGAGCAAGATGAAGATAATTTGGAAAATCAAGATAGCTCCGAAGTTGTGATTGATGTCAATGAGAAAGCAAAGCAGTCATTACCCAATGAAAAGAAAAAGAAAAAAGAACGTGCTGTTATTGTGGACAAAGTTGAATACGGAGGTGGTGTGAATAATGAAACTGAAAACGTTGACTATTTATTGACTATTTATTTGAAACGATTATCGATTGATTTGGTGACACACATTTTTTCGTTTCTTCCTGTTTCCACCTCCACACTGATTTCGAAAACTTTTGAAAAATGTAAGTAATGAGTGCCCTTAAGTTGTGGGATAGATTGACATTAATCCTGTTGACACACATACAGCTTTTGATTCAACTTACTATCGATTGCTTTATCAATTTGTGTACAATCACTTTTATTCTGTACAGCATAACCAAATTTACAAAAAACTCGATACTTCATGGAAAGATACATTATTGGGGTTAGTGTTGCTTCAATATCGAGAAAAGGAGAAGATATTGGATTCTAAATTTCCACACCCCTCAACAAAACTCTCCCAACCCTTTGGTTTTATTGAGAATAAGAAACTAATTTCAATGCACTCTGTTGATGCATATATCACCAAGAAATATAAATTCACTGTAATCACCTATGAAAAATACAATACCAAAGATATACTAACAGAGTTTAACAAGAAGAACCATTCCTCAATTTTGATCGACGATGTACATACTGTTCAATATGAAATGAATGTAAGTATTGCAAAGGTGACAACGAAGAACCAGTTTAATCATCAATTTTCCAGTTTGTTGGATACTTAATACCAAGCGCACACGATTTTTCCCTTTTTGCAGAAGTGGATACCATTATTTTGACCTACAACGTGTTAGATTTCAATTTATTTTACACTCTTTCCTCTTGGATTAATTTACTGGAGATGGTAGCTCCAGAGGTACCTGTCCTACTCGTTGGAACTCATGCTAATTTACGAAAAAATAGCCACATATTATCTCAATTAAAAGACCAAAAGAAATATGTGATGAGATTTATGGATTGTGAGCAACTTGCAAAACGATTTAATATTCTTTCGTACTTTGAAATGGATGCATTTCCACACATTGGAAAAGATTGGAGCTTTTCATCGAACAATAGTGAGAACTCTCAAGAAGAAATGGATCCACAAACAAAAGAAGAGGAATCCAACCCACAAGAAGAGCAAGACGCAGCCATTGATCATGAAACACCTCGTGTGGACAGTATTAATGACATTTTACATTTAGACAAGCCATCCATGTCCTTAATTGAAATGCCACCTGAATTATCTCTACAAATTTATCACATTATTCGTGGATCAGCCATTGCATCTGACATCTTTCAAAAACATCACAATAGTTTGTATTGGAATATATGGAACGCAACCTCTTCTCTCTATCGGGAGTGTATTCCTTCCACCAAATGTACATTGCAATAATGGCATGTTCATTACAGAGATGTGTTACAATTGATTCAATTAATTCAATTGGTTGTAATATCTGAATGATGTACACACTGAGATGACACAACTGTTCTTGTTAGATTCAAAACTGATTCTGAGTGTCCTCATGATGTAGTATCCTCCACCAAGTATAATAACACGATTCAAATTGTTCTCAAATACAAAGGTGTCCCTATTGTCGCTCTTTACTTTCAAAATGGTGCGAAAGCGAAAGCGAATTTATCTCTATTTTAGGAAGGAGACTGAGCGAAAAGTATTCGGATGCAGCATTTCATGTACGACGAATTTTTGAACGAACGAACATTTGGGAGGTGGATAACAATTTATGACACAGATGATGTCTCTTAGGAGTATCTTATGAGTGTCGCACTCTTTTGAAAAACAAACATTTGAAAAAAGTTATTCGAAAATGACCTCCACCACTGCTGACATTCCTCTGCAAGACATGAATGGACCACCACACTCTCAACAAGAACAAGAACAACAACAACAGAACACTCATCACTTGGTGGTCACTCAAAGTGCCACTCAATTCCAACAAGTCGAAGATGACTCGTCCGTCCTTGTCATTGAAATGACCAATGACCAGAAACAACAACAAATGGACCTTGGTGACAACAATGCTTTAAATTCTTCTTCATCGTCCTCAACGAACCACTCGGTGCAAGTGGAACATCAACCAAATTCTCGGGAATCTTTTGGAACTACCATCACAAGACAATACTTTTTCGAACAGCAATGTTTCATGGAGTGGAACAACATTTCATATCCAAGTTTGAAAAAGCCACTTCTTTACAACTTGTCAGGATTTGCAGTGCCTGGTAAGATCACCGCCATTGTTGGTCCAGCAGGTTCTGGCAAGAGCATGTTGTTGAGAATTTTATCTCGGAGAGGACCTTTCAAGTTGCATGATGGATCCATTTCCATAAATGGACAAGTGATTCAAGACAAATTGAGACATGGACTCAAAGCTGAAACCAACAAGTATCGTTCCTTAGTGTCCTTCGTTTCTAAAGATTACAACTTGACGGACCTGTCACTCACCGTAAAAGAAACCTTGCAATATGCTCTACGATTCAAAATGCCTTACAAAACCTCAAATAATCCCTTGTGGACCACTCGTGAGGAACGTTTGGAAATGCTCTTGAAAAACTATCGTCTCAAACATAAGGAACATGCATTGTGTAGCTCTCTCTCGAGTGGTGAACGAAAAAGATTAACCATTGCAGTTCAGAATGTGAATTTTCACAGAGTGATCATTTTGGAAGATCCAACAGATGGCATGGAATTTGGTGAATCACTCATGATTATCAAAACCATGAAAATTATGGCCCGAATGGGAATTAGTGTCATCATATCGGTTCATAAACCTTCATGGAAAGAATTGGAATTGTTTGACTATGTTTCCATATTGGATCGAGGAAGACAAATTTATTTTGGACCACCTCTACGAATGGATTCTTATTTTCGATCGGTAGGAATTGATACCATGAACATGGAAGAAGATTCCAATGATGATGAACAAATTTGTGAAAGTGAAGGAAAAACAAGAAGAAGAATTGACTATAGATCTGATGGAGATGTTCATCAAAATAGTTTGGAAAATTTATTGCAATTACTGTTTGTGCATGAACTTGCAAGTAAGATTGCACACGATGAGATGAGTACAGAGAGGCATCTACCGATCAAACAAATGATTGAAAGTAATCACATGGATGCTAAAATTATGGAACAGAGAGATTATTTGGCAGAAGCGTTTGAAAAGAGATTTTCTGACTTTTACCTTCCACAAAAAACACTCGAAGAAAAACACTTTATTCAAAATCAGATCCAAAACCAAAATCAAACCCAAAATCAAAACCATCCAAACCCAAATCAAAACCATCTTCTCGAGAATATTCACACTGAAAAGTATCTCACCAATTATTGGCTCTCCATTGTTTATCTCATCATGCGATTGTTCACAGTGAAAAAGAGAAGATGGGCCACCGAATTTTTGGCTCCATTCATTGAAAAGACTCTTATTGGAATTGGCATTGGATTATTGTATTTGCAAGTAGATGCTCCCAACATGGCCATGCGTGCGCGTGTGTTTGCATTCCTCAATTACAATCTTTCATTGACTTTTGGTGTTGCCATTCGAGTCTTGATACAACAAATTCCAACTCTCATGCAAGAACGAATGAATTCATCATCGTATCGAATCAGTGCCTTTTTCATTGCCAAAACAATTGAAGATTTATTTGACTTTACAATTTATCCATTCATCTTTGGATTAGTGGTCTATTTCATGACAGGAATGAGTATGGATGCAGGAAAGTTTTTCACATTCTCTGCTTGTTTTATTGTCTATAATTGGGCATGTATGGCATTGGCTCAAGCTTTGGTGTGTGTCTTTCCATCTCCTTTTATATTGGGATGGTTATGTGTGGTGGTGAATATTTACTTTATTTTAGTGTCAGGAGCGTATGGACAGACCATGTTGCCAAGTGGTTTGCAATGGACGAGTTATTTGAGTTATTTGTATTATGGATTTCGTTCGATGGCGATTAATGAATTTGCTGGAGTGATTATTCCAGTGAAGAATGGAACTGTGCTACCTGTCACATATTTTACGAATGGAACCTTGTTTTTGAAGAAGGCTTACAATATTGATGAAGGATGGTATATGAGTTGGGTCTATATTGGAGTGTTGTTGGGATACTTTTTGATTTGTAAATTTATTGGATATCTTGGATTGAAATATATTTATGGAAGAAAGAGTCCAAAGAGAATTATTGTGAAATTATTGAGATGTTGTGGAAAGTGCAAGTAGAAATTCACTCAAATTCACTACAAATTTGTTGTGTGAAAAATGTATATAAAAGGAAATTTGAAATATTTTGACACGATGTTCCATTTCTTTGAAAGAATTAAAACATTCGATCCACTAGAGAAGGACACACCACTTGCACCATCAACAACAATGGCCACATGATTCTCATAAACCATCGATCTGCAAAAACTCTCTCTCCACAATTCGAAGAAAAACAATTCTCAAAAATCACACGTGCCACCTCACTCGGTTCTTGTCCAATCCATTCCAATTTAGAGCTCATATCTTGTTGCATTTGCTTCATGGATTCACAGAGAAGAGAATTTTCATCAATTTGTATATTTTGAGAAAAGATCATTCCTCTTTTGGTAAATCCAGGAATGACACCACACACTCGAATTCCCAAATGCTTCAATTCTCTCCGCAGGACATCTGTTAAACCTTGAATGGCAAATTTTGTGATGGGATAAAAGCCAAGAAAAGGGCCTGCCAATACTCCAGCTCCTGATGAAACATTAACAATAATTGCACCACAATTCTTTTCTTCACTGACCACTCTCTCTGAAGGGATCCATTCTTTCAAATTCAATAATTCAACAAGACTTTTCGCAACGATATTAAACACAGAATTTGAATGGCTTCTTTCTTGTTGCTTATTGAGAACATGTTCATTGTTGTTGAATTGAAAGAAAGGAAGCAAGTAATGAATCATTCGATGATAGCCACCCACATTAATATTTAACATTTCTTGTAATCGTTGAGGTAATTCTTCTGCTGTGGAGCTCATTCGTGATGAAACGCTTGGAACTGCAGCATTGTTAATTAAGGCAAAAATCTTTTTTTGAGGTTGACCGTGGGAAGAATGATTCCATTTCTCATCATGATGATGATTTTGTGCATGAAACGAGAAAGATGTCATACTAGTGTCATCATTCTCAACATTCTGTTGTTCGTTGTTTTCTTGAAGGATTTGTTGAATATGTTTAACACCCTGAATCACGGAACTGTCACTACTCAAATCCATGACAATACTGTGAAATGAAGCAGGAGGAGAATAAATCTTAAAATCGGTCGCTAACTCTTGCAATCGGAAAGAATTACAGTCCACACCAATCACTTCACAGCCTTGAGAGAGGAGAAGTTTACAAATTTCTGAACCAATTCCACCTGTCAAAGATGATGTGAATGACAAGAATTCCCAAAATATATATTGAACAACACAATGTGTCATTAACCATTCTCATGCCACAATTGAAAGAACTTACCTGCTGCTCCAGTCACTACACAAACCTTTCGTTGAGGACAAAGGTCCATCTTGTATTTGAACAAACATTGATACATGGCGACCGTAACAATAGTCACCACAAGAACCAATGAATTCATCCTTTGGATCGAATCCATCAACCTGACTGAGAGAATCCAATCCTTCGCATCAACAGAGACCATAGAAGGAAGGAACTCTGCTTGAACAGAAAGAAACAACATCATGAAAAAGATTCCAATCATGACTACAAGATTCCAACCATGTTTCCAACAACGCATGATGTTGTTTGTTGTGGTTGTTGTGGATGATGAATGAAAAACTCGATCTTGAATCATGGCTCTCGTTTCTTGTTGTTGTTGAAACTTGTTGTGGAGAATTGTTTTTTTTGAATTCAAAATGGGAGGTGTTAACACTTTTTGAGGGATTTTCTAATGCACCTCACCACCACCACAAGAATGCATCAACTCTGAAGTGTGGTGCGACACTACTTGCTTTTGATGATTGGTTAAAGGATTTATATGAATTTTGGCAATTCCCAATTTGAAGAAAAGGAAAGGATGAATTGCTTGTTTACCCTTTTTCACATTGATTTTCACTCGTTTTTGGAATGAAATTAGCCGTTATGAGATTTCGTTGATTCATCTTTTATATTCTCTAAAAAAGGTTAACCACACGAATTGAAAAAAACTTCCTATTTTTATCTTCAATTTATGGAATGCTTTCAAGAATGTCAAGAATCTTTGAATATTTTTTAATTTTCTCATTTCCGCTGTCAAGATTATTCGTTCCTTTCTAATCTCACAGTTCACAATTTCAGATTGACAACGTGGTGAATTGGTACATTAGATTTCCAAGAATCGTTTTTCGAAGGAATGCTCCTCCTTCTCTATTTCCAAGCCTACTTGTGAATGAATTGTGTCGTCGAGCGACCTTAACTTAAATTTCGACATCATACTCGAGTCATGATGAGATGGATTCTTGTATTGCTGTTTCTTTTGAGAGAATGTCAAGACAACTGAATGAATGCGAAATTCCTGTTAAGGAGTGACTTTATTCTTCAAAGTTCAAACAATCATCCACACAACACATGAAATCATCATCTTCCTTCACTGATGACTGAAACACATCAACAAATCTTTCCAATTCAGCTCAGCTCGATCGTACACTGACGCCATTAGGTATCCTGAGGAGCATATCCAATGTTGGAACATTCAGTCTTGGATGGTACATAGAAGGACTTGATTTCATCCACCACGAACACACTCGAGGAATATCCACCACCACCACCAGAACCACCACCACCACCACCACAATAAGAATCGTATTTAATGGCCTCACCAAAAGAAGCTCTCACAAAGGCACGTCTCGAGTGATGACCAAGGGATTTCCAAAGTGATTTATTCTCGTGTCTGACAATACCACGGCGAGAGTTGTTGGATCGGGTCATGATGATGAAGGCTGCTTGTTGTTGTTGGCGATGATTAAGAGCTAATAGTGTGTGTTCAAGAATTTTCTTTTTTGTTTGTGGTTATTGTTATAACAAATATAAATAAATATTATAAATAGAATGGTAAATTGGTTATTGTTGATAATAACTCGATCGGAACTCGAACAGATCAATCGTTGAATTAAGTGTGATTTGGATAAGCTGAGGTGTGATCACATCAGGATTGACTACCAAACAAAACTTGAAAAAATTGAATCATCCTCCTATCCATGTTGTCTCACTCACTCGTCGTGCCTTCGTCGTCCTCCTCCTCCTCGGCGACTACTTCTTCACCAACCAGCAGCAGTAGTCTCGGAAGTCGTCATCCTTCCTCTTTAACTCGTAATAATTCTTCTACTCATGATTCAGCTTGGCTACTCTCCACAAACTCATCCTCTCAACAACAACCAATCATTCCGATTAGCAATGATTTGATTGAATTGGAAAAGAACAAGGTACGATTCGTCTGTGAGAAATGTAAAGGCTCTTCTTATCGGTTGGGAGAAGTCCGAAGTTGTGGTTCACTGTTGGCAAAGATTTTCAACGTGCAGAATAGAAGATTTATTACCATCACTTGCAAGAGTTGTGGACATACTCAATTCTTTGAATCCACTCAATCGGCTTTGGCCAATATTTTGGATATTCTCATTCGATAATTATCAATTGTGATACATACTTTATGTATATTGAAATGACCAAGTGATCGTAGGTCCGAATGTTCCTTATTAATGATATGCCATCAATAACAACATCTCATACACAATCCTCCCTCACTCACATCTAATATGGGCAATGTATTGCACACAACATTACACACACCACCAACACGAATGATCACGACAAATGAGGATTCTTCTGCTTTTTCCTTTTTTGAGCGATTCGTGGCCGGTTACAATCGCTCGAATCATTGATGGTATTTCATTTTTGTGAATCGTCAAGACGTTTGTGGCCACAAGAACGATCCCAACTGTTGGAATTTGAAAAAAACACAAGAAGAGTGTTGATGAATCCTTAGGCATTTCGTAGAGTCCACTCGCTCACTTGGCCCATTCTCCATTATTAATTATTGTATTCACTTATTACTTCTTTTCCACAACAACATCTCATACACAATCCTCTCTCACTCACATCTCATGGGCAACAAACAACATCACCACAAACAACAAGACGAGGATGCAACTTGTTGTTTCCAAAATTTCCCACATCTTGTAGAAGCCAATAGGCTGTATAGTAACATGGTGGTTCTCTTCGATGATGAACCACAATATAGATATGACTTTTTTGATCGAAACAAACAATTGCTTGAATTTCATATCTTGAGGCAAACCAACTGTGAACTGATCATGCAGCTTGGGGAATGCAAGACAGTATATCAAACAATTTTTTCTTACATGGGAGCGAGAGATCTGATGTCTCTTTCATTAACATGTCGTCTAATGTTTCTGTATTGGACCAAAGATGATGAATTATGGAGGACTATCATTCCAAGCTCTGCGAAAGCCCATCTCCTTGCAGTTCAACCCTTTGACTACTCTATCTTTGGAATTCGATCGTGGAAAGATTGTTGCAAACATTTATATTGCAAAGAGCTTTGGAAGCGTCTTGAATCTCAATATGAATTTGTTGATGGATCCATGTGTAGTAATAGTAGTAATGATGATGTACCTACAAGAACGTCAAAACGTTTTTCTCGAGCCTTCTCAAAGCCAACCAATGACCTTGAAGAATTTAGAATTCATTTCATTTGTGACGAACAGAAACAACGCATGTCTCGATACTTGCTAACACTCTTCAAACACTGTAAAGAGCCCTTTCAGGAAGATTTATTTGCCTTTAATAAGAGGAGCAGTAGGCGATTCTTAGACCGTAGAGTCACCCGAATCAGAGAACTGCGATTCGATCGCTCACCTATGACTTTTGAAATTCAATGTCTTGTGGGAGCAAGTTCAAGACCAAATTGTTCATGTAAAATAGCTTGTATTGACTTATCAGAGACGGTGTATGATAATTTCTTGTCACAATCGAATGATAAGGGTGATCACGAGCTTGTTGAAGAGTACTGTAAGAGAGATATCGATTGTGGAGAGGCTCTTTGTGAATATTTGAAACAGCTTACTGATGATTCAAATTGTGGTGCTGTCAAACCTGGCAGTATGATTGTTTGTGGCTTGAGTTATTCGAAGAAGAATGAAATTAACCCTAAAATGAAATTACTGGCCAAGGCTATTTCTCGTTGTTACAACTTGCCCTATCTTGAAATTGATGTAGGAAAGAACCCATACAGAAGAGCATTGCTGTTTTATTACTCTGCTTTTTGTCATTCAAAAAGAATCACCTCTCCACAGCTAGCATTCTTGAGAACAAATAATTTGGACGATGAATGGCAATAAATGCAAAGACTTGTTTTTTTGCTGTACTTTGGTGTCTTTACCTTGATTTTGAATCGACCTTTTTGCCATTAATTTCAATTCCTTGTTTCATGCATGCTGACGAAGGATATTTTTCAAGGGAAGAGAGTGATTTCACAATAAATTCAAACAATACCTGATCCCAAACATCATCGACAAGCTTCATCTTTTCTTCAACCACATATGTATGATTTAGAACACTATTAATGTAATTATTTACAATTCCAGAATATCGGTCAAGAAAAGACTGAGAAATGGGCGGGGCTATACTCTTGCTGACTGCTTGTCTTTTTCCAAAAATTTTCTCAGAGTTTGACTTGTCTGTCACGGATATTAGCTTTCCATTCATTTCGGTTAGTTGCGGTAAAATATAAATACAGTATGGTTTTAAAATTCTTTTCAATGTGGTGCATACAGGGTTGTCTTTAAATGTTATTTTCAACACATCAAACTCCAATTTTGAAAGTAAGGAAAGTTGTTTAAGGGTGCTAATTCGATTGTTCGAAAATATAAGAGTAGTAGCCATAACCTTCTTTGGAAACAAATACGCTTCACATATTCTCTCCAAATCCAAGTTGTGGAAATGGACAATATAATCTCCGTAATTGATTGGAGTGATATTGGGCTCTCCATAAATATGAAGAACATCGCCCTCAATTTTGCTATATGATTCCAGATTGTCGTAATTTGTGGCAATGCTGGTACTTCGACTTTCCGGCCTTTCTGATATTGGTGGAGCTTTTGGAATGGTTTCTGAAGGAGTGACACTCCTTGAAGTAATTTGAGGTCCAATATTGTCGGGTGTGGGCTGTCGAGGAATGGAACTGATTTGCATATTGTCTTCAAGATCAAAATCTCTATCATACGAAGGAGTAGGAATCAAATCCGTAAAGGGAAATATGGATGAGACATTAACATTTGAAAGATATTTCAAAGCCATTTCTCTGTCCGAATCTGTTACCTTAGAAGAGTCTAGAGCTGTGAGTTTCTTCATCGCAGCAATGACAATGACTCTATATTTTTGAGATAAATTCTGATGTAAAGGATTATCGTCCATAGAGAGCTCTACAACCGAAGAACTCCGTATCACACTTTCCACGGCTTCGAAGGAAGAAATATTGTTGGAGGAAAGGAATAGGCGTTTGAGATTAGGTAATTCATCAATCTCTTCAACCGTTTCAATCTTTAGATGTCAACACAAACATTTAGAACAAATATATGGTCAATCATGCATAATACTCGCAATATGTAACATACATTGTTTTTCCTTAAATTAAGCTCGTTAAGAGATGTGAGGCCACGAATATTATTCACATTTGTAATCATGTTTCCAGCAAGATTAAGTACTCGAATTTCCTTTAGAAATGAAATGTTAGATATTTCGCGCAATTTGTTTCCGTGAAGGTCCAACACATCAAGTTTGTGCAAATTTTCCAAACCTTCTATTTTTTCTATCAAGTTTTTCCCCAGCATTAATACTCTTAGTGATGTAAGAGAGTCCAAGTTCGATATCTTCTTAATTTTGTTGCCGTATAAATCCAAGAAAACCAAGCTTGAGAGATTGTTCAAGTTACTGATATGTCTAATTTCATTATACTGTAAATTTAGTAATTTTAAATTAGTGTCTCCCGTAATAATGGGACATTTTGTTAAATTTCTTCTATCTAAATTTAACCGTTCATTACTAATTGTTTCTTCAATTTTTGTTTCTACTATCTTTTCTTTTTGAGGAATGCTTGATGTTGTGTTTTGTCCCATCAGATAGTTAATTTTAGGAGAGGCTCCTCGTGCTATTCTACTCGAGGAGGGTACTCTCTCTTCTGTTGGTATTGAATTTCCAGTGGTGTTAGAAATGATGTTACTGGAAAAATTTTCTTGTGAGCCTGCTGGATTAGAATATTTAAAATACATAATGTTGTTGGTGGCATTTGACGGCGATGGAGTAGTGCCACTTGTTGGCTGTAATCTGGGTGTTGTAGCGCTTTGGGGGCGTTTTCCGTTTGAAGTTGTTGCAGTTGTCCCAATGGTTCTTTTAGAAGAAGCCACAAGAGGCGTTCGTTTGGATGTCATGGCATTTGCTGGTAAAGAAATTCCACTGTTCGTCGGAGCATTGGATGTAAAATTTGATGTCTGAGCTGAATGAATGCTTTTAAATCGTCTTGGCTGTGTAAAAAATTCTTTCTGTTGTTTCGAACACGTGATGTAATTCAGAATGCGACCATTAGTAAATTTTCGCCGATGATTGTCTTATGATTTGAAAACTTGAAGGATGATGATCACTTACCCCAGACGTCGTGAGAGGTTTTCCATTTAACTGATTCATTAAATTACCGCTACTTCCATTGTTTATGCTTGAAATTGCAAATAACGACTTTGCAATATTTCCCGAAGGTGAGACAATTCCTTGTGGTTGTTGTTGTATGGCACCTCCAGTAGTGGTTCCGATCAATCCAAACGAATTAATTCCAACCCCTCCTATTCCTGCAAAATTTTGATTCAAAGAAGAGCCTCCTCCAGTTGTATTTCCTAAATTCATCATGTTGGTTGTACTATTTCCTAACACTCGACTACTAAGACTTCCACTATTCCGAGGGTCCACTCCAATACCCGTTGATGATGAATATGCAATATTATTGTAGGCTGATGATGATGAGGAATAGATCGATGAGGACGCTGTGGTCATTCAAACATTAAATTTTTTTGTTCAAAGTTGTAAGGATTTGGCGCGAATTAAGTTCACGTGAAAAAAAATGAAACCCATTTCTGAATCGGGAATCCTGATGAGATAGCACTCCGATGACTACATTTCATCTGATCATGATGATGAACTCTAAATTTCACGATCAAGATTCATGGATGAATCAATTTTTCGTTCAAAATTCTTCAAATCAGCTGTTAAATTCCAATTCAACTCTTTCTGTTTCTACAGTGATGGATCACTTTCCTCCGTGGCTTTCTTTAATTACTCTCTTGATTATTGTCATATTTTTTGTAATTTGTTGCATTCAAACATGTGTGCTGAATCGACGGAGGAAAGCTTCTTCTGTACACTCTCAATTCTCGTTATTTAGATGGAAATATTTGCCAAGATATATTTGTTGTTGTTGCTATGATTTTCAATCACAGGTACTGTATCAGCAATTTTTAGGAAATTTATAACAATTTCACATGACATTAAAAATTGAAAAACGATGACATGTACACGACCTAATCAACTTCTAACAATTTTGATGCTTCAAAACTCATGATAGGTTATTCCTTGGAATATTCCTCTTCAATTTTCATTCCAATTTTTGATTGCCTTTTTTGTTGAAACTCTTCACCGATTTTCCCTTCAATATTTTTTTACCTCAACTTATGAATACACATGTTTTTATTTCTTAGACACCATTATAAACAAAATGAAAAGAACATGTCCCTTAATTAACGTCGTTGACGTTTCAACTTCCGTTGTGGTCAAATCCACGTATTTACTCTTACTCGTTTTTTGGCTTGAGCTCACATTTAATGCCTCCTATTATTACAATCCAAAAATCTGTAAACGATTTGAAAGAATCACCCGAAGAATCTATTGGGCATTTATTGGACTGTACTTCTTTGGAGCTAGCATTGGATTTTTAGCCTTTACATTATCACGATCGAATGTTTCCTACTTCTTGACATCAATTACCTTAATTTTTGATATTTCCATACCAATACTGTTTATTATTTTCGGAGGTGTATTAAGACGACTTGTCACACGGTCGACAGTTTCATTTCCTGTTCTCATTCAAAAACATTTAAAACGAGTTTCCATTATTAGTATCATTTTAGGATGTTATTTGTTACTACTTCCAGTGGTGAGAATAACTGTTCTCATTTTGAAGAATTTTGTTTATGCTGAAAGCGGATACAATGCAACCTCTTCAATTGTTGAAGTGACCATTTCTATCTTGTTTTATTTCATACCCTCTGTGGTGACTTTTGGTATTGTGATTGTTCCAACAAGCATTAGTTTTATTCATAATGCCATTTCTGATAGGAACGTTAGGGCTGAAGCTTATAAAACCAAATGGAAAGAATTCGAGAAAGATGGAGAACAATTTTCGAACGGTTCTTCATCCATGTTTGATCATGCCCTATTTGTTGGTGAAACAGAAGACAATGTTCATTTGCAACCCACGTCAAGTGTTTATAGAGAGATTTCACTTGAGTCAAATCTTCCTCAAAGATGAGTCGCTCACACAAGTTATTGAGCTGAGCTTTGAATTGGACAGATAGTAAGTCATTGATTAGGTTAGATTTAATAAAATATGGAAAATAATATAAGTTTATTTACATCAAATCATTCAACTTCAAAATTTGAATGAAGTAATTGAAATCAAAAAGCTCCTTGGAGTGTAGCTATGACACTAATTACTAGCACCACTACAATTCATTTCATAATATTCATCCACATCCATTCCGTAATTGTTAACGACTTTCCAATCATTCTTGCGAGGAACATTTGAATTTGGTTCATACTTTTCTTTGGCTGTAATCGGAATCATCTTTGATGGTCGAGGTGGTGGATTGGTCTTGGCAGTCATGGGAGCTACACGTGTTGTTGGAGAAATGAGTGCATAGAGTCTTCCGAAGAGTGGAATGCTTCGGAGAGCTTTCTCAACAAAACTCAATACCGAAACCACACGATCCGTCAAGAAAAAGACCCACGGAGCATCTCGATATTCTTCATACATGGGATGAAGAGGAAGCTTTGAAGACATTTTTTGTGAAAACGTCCAAAGACATCATGCGGACAGCAAACTTTTATGATGAAAAGAAAACAACTTCTTGAAAGCAGAAACAATTGGATTGTTTTAATAGTATGGGAGTAAGATGTGTTCTTTCTCTTCCGCAAAATTTAATCATCAGGATTCGTCAAACGATTGATCCATAATATTTTCATCATGATGATTGCTCGATGATGTCGGTGATGATTGTGTGTTGTTGTCACTCACATGATTTTCTTCGTGAGAAAATGAATAAAAGTAAGAGTCGGGCAATGTGAATCTATCGTCATGCCGAGGGATCGAGTCCATGACTTTTCGGTTGTTAAAAAAGTCAAGGACAACATACAAAGAATCTGATGAGGAAAGACCTAATTGAACGAGTGGAACCATAAATGAATTCTCGTCTCCAAGTATTTTGCCTTTGTGTACAATTCGTTGTTTCTCATAAGGAATTTGAAATATTTCAGCTATGGCTGTCTTCAAATCATGCAAAGTTAAATTATGAAAATTATATACACGCATTGTTTGCCCAGTTAACGTCCTAATATTAATAAAAGAAAGTGTACTGTTACAATTTGAGTATTGATTCAAAATATTCATAGGGGAGGTAATAATGGATTGGGAAGAAATGGGAGAGTTGGAAATAAGACTCTTGCAAATACTACTGTTGTGACAGGAGGAAATGGAATAAAAGGGAAAGGAGCAAGTTATGGAATTAGTAGAGGATGAAGAGGTTTCAATTTTGATGCTAACAGTATGTACTTGCTTGATCTTTTTGTTAGATCTAGGTTCAAATAATTCTATAGACTCATCCGAAGAATCATCACGTTCATCATCACTGCTGTTCATATTATTGTATTCCATCAAGAGCATGTCATTTTCCTTCTCCGACATGTTTGATGAGAAATTAAAACTTTGTGGTGTATGTGTCATGTGTTGATGATGATACGATGATTGATATATTGGCTGATCTTCTTGGTGTTGGTCGGTACTTCTTTTTCCTAACGCCGATGCAGCAGTATATGGACCGTTTCTCCCCGATTGTGATGTTGTTAATGATGATGGGGATATTCTCCGTTTTGATGATGTCTGTGTTGCCGAAGACGATGCGTTTGGCACACACCATTGAGGATTCTTTGAGTTTGAAAAATGCACTCCAAAGGAAGAGGGATCACAATCACTCATTTTTTTTGAAGTTTGTGCGTGCCAGACAAAAGTGGAAGTTGAATTGGCGCCAAATTTATTTGAACTAATTTTATTCCACCAATTTATTTGGTTGGTGGCCAACTGGTAAAATTCTTCACACCCAACAGTTGACTCAATTCATTTCTCAAATAGGAGGTATTTGTTTTCCAGTGTTCCAATAATTTAGCTTTACAGCAACCAAGTCCCTTTTTAAAGAGTTGCTTAAGAGCAAGTGTGAAATCCAAAAATCGTTTCGATTGAATGATGGAGGGCAAGTTGATGAGATTTTCATTCGAAAGTTTGATCGAGCTGAAAACTTTTCCTTCCAAGATGGCTTTTCCAAAAACTTGCACTTGCTTGGATCCATCATGTTTGAATTCAACAGTTTCAATGGGGAGAGTCCAAACCACTCCAGTGGAAGCCTGATGAATGGTTGGACGAATGAAACATTTGACAGAGTCCTCTTGAGTATCATAGAATGGAGGTGGTGAATCTAATGGGTCTGAATGTTTCACAAAACCACATTTGCTATTTCCAAATCGAGAAATCCAATTAGGTTCTACAGCAGTCACTCCTCTCATGTAGGTCTTGTTCTTTCGACTCTTTGTGAGTTCTGTAAAGATGACATATTCAGGATGTCGACCAAAAAGGCACGACGAAGGATGAATGAAAACTGGAACACTTCGTCCCAGAGAGAGTGTCACGTAAGGTCTACTTGTTTCCCTATAATTCACATCCATATGGGCTAAATCTTCAACAGTTGCAAGACGTGCGACCTGATCAACCATACCAGCACAAATCACTTGACGAATTGCTGTTTCGACTTCAAATTGTTCATCTTCATCATCTTTTGGTTCTGGGAATGGAAGAAATTGCTTTGTTTGAACGGCAAGATGATCTTCTTCGTCCTGATTTTCAACTTCAGTTTCATCGCTATCCAACTCGAGAGCAGACACTTTCAATTCAGATTTCACAGTATTCAATAATTGTCGATACAACTTTCTCACTTCTCTCATGTTCTTCTGGTGAAGCATGTATTCCAAACAAAATTCTTGAGGATCTTCTGAAAATAAATAAGCACCAACGGCTTTTAACATGGCCAAATGATCACTCAATGGATGAGACCACAATTTCTTAATTTCTTTACATTTGGTTCTCATCTCTTGTTCTTGTTCATTCAGGTATTGTTCTTCTTCTTCCTTTTTGGCTTCATTCAAGTCATTGTTAGACTCTTCCATAAAATTTTCCATTGCTTGTTGTTCTTCAATTTCCTCTCGATCCATGGTGAGTTTCTTGTTGGAATCCAAGACTTCAGATTTCATTCCAAGTCGTTGAAGTTTCTCTTTCATTTCTTGTTGTTTTCTTTTTTCAGTCTTTTCTTTCAATACTGTCAAGTGATTGTCATGCATGAATATTTGTTGGACAGTCATCACACTCACCACACCTGCAACATATTGCAATAATTCTGCACTCGTTTTCGAGAGAATCAACATTTTGGCAAATCGAGGATGAAGAGGGAATCGATTCATGGCAATACCCATCTTGGTGATCATGGTTTCAACCGTTCCATCCTTACTCGACAAGTATTTATCGAGAGCTCCTAAACTCACTAAAACATCCACACCCTTCTTCACCGATTCAACATCAGGAGGAGTTGGAAAGGGGAATTTCTCTACTTGCTTAATTCCCATACTCTTCATTTGCAAAATTATATTTTCAATAGGAGCCTTCAGAATATCCGGTTCTGTGTAATCCAAAAATCTCTGATCGAATACAGCACTACTGAACAGTCGGTAACAATGTCCTGGTCCCGTACGTCCAGCACGTCCAGCTCTCTGATTGGCACTTGCTTGAGAGGTCCATCCAATTTGGAATTTGAAAATTCCAGTACTCTTCTCGAAATGCTTTTCCTTAATTCGACCACAATCAATCACATAACGAATGTTTGGAATGGTTAAACTGGTTTCTGCAACGTTGGTGGCCACTACCACGAGTCGATGACCTGGTGGAGGATTGTTAAACACTTTCATTTGTTCTTGTGGCTGAAGCATGGCATATAAGGGTAAGACGTGCAGTCGTTCTGTTTTCTTGTTACGATTCAGCTTTTGGTTGTGCTCTTCACCTTTCTTTTTCAATTTCTCATTGGTGATATTGTCTTGGAAGAGAACTACAGTTTCACTTTTTCCATTCCTTTCTTCTTCTTTTTCTATTTGTTTGTCTTTTTGTGTTGATTTTTCATCAGAGTCAGTGTTTTCTTCCTCTTCTTCTGAGTCGAACATGTTATCTTCTTCGTTCAATCCCACTGATTTTTTACTTGATGAGAGAGATCCTTCGTCCTCATCATCACTGTCACTCAAGTCTCCTAATAAATTAATGAGCTCTTCCTCTTCTTGAGCGGTTTTTTCCTTCTCTTCTTCTTGCTTCTTTCTCAACATTTCCTTCTTTTTAATTTGCAAAAATCTCTTATCTGAATACTTTTTCAATTTTTCAACAAGATATTCAATTTCTTTTCGACCGGTAAGGAAGATTAAAATTCCACCATTTGGTAAATTTTCATGAATTTTCACAGCCTTCTTATATGCTGCTTCCATATAATCATTGAAAACTGTTCTCTTGTTGAAATGAACAACAACTGGATATTGTCTCGATTGAACATCTACTACTGGAGGAGCAATTGGGAATAGTTTTTTGTTGTCTGTAAAGCTTTCAAGTTGGAGTGTAGCACTCATGATAATTAGTTTGAGAGGAGTGATACGTTTTCCCTCAGGAGTTGTCAAATTTGCTGCTGCCATTCTATTTCTTTGAGGAATGAATCTGGAGAGCCAGCCAATGAGGATATCAGTGTTGACGTTTCTTTCGTGGATTTCATCGAGAGCAATGACAGAATAATTAAGGAGTAAAGGATCTGATTGAATTTCTCTCATTAAAATACCATCTGTCATGAATTTGATCTTTGTTTTCTCCGTGTTCACATTTTTATCAAAACGAACTTGGTATGCAACTTCTTCACCAAATACTACATTCAATTCTTCTGCTACACGTTTGGCCGTGCTTACTGCAGCAACTCTTCTTGGTTGAGTGACACCAATAATTCCTGGATATCCAGACTCCACACAACCATACCCATATTCATAAAGAAATTGTGGAATTTGTGTGGTCTTACCAGAACCTGTCTCACCCTTCACAATGGTAATTTCATTATCGTTAATTGTTTCCATAATTCTTTGTTCCTCTCCACATATTGGAAGCATCATACGTTGTTCTTGAATTTCTGGTTTTCTATTCACCGTGACATAGAATCTGGTGTATTTAATTTCCTTTTCCTCATCTGTTTTAGAATTATCCAACTTTTCAAGCATGTCGTCAATAAGTTCAACATAAGTTTTGCCCATAACTTCGAAATCAATTCCTTTGGTTGGATCATCATCGCTATCATAAAACAACGATTCTGTTTCTTCCTTTTTCTTGGCCTCTTCTTGAACTTTCTTTGAAACAGCTTGAGGAATATTGCTAATAACATTTCCTGAACCAAAGAAATCTAAAACCATCAGCGGTTTCTTTTCTTCTTTTGTTTCTTGAGGATTGTTGTTAACTGTTTCTTCACTATGCTTGTCCTCTTCTGTCTTATCTTGATTTGCATTTTCTATTGGAGTTATGTGAATATCCATCTCATCAGAATTTTCATTTTTCAATTGCATTCCTTCCTCATTCCATCGCTCTTGAACCAGTTCAGGATTTCTCTTTTTCCAAAACTTTTCAGCCTTGGGAGCTGTATTTTCTTTAATTCCAAGTTTTTCATAAATTGCCAATTTTTCAAGTTCTTGTTTTGTTGTTTCAGAACCAGTTCCTAACTGTCGAGTAGGTTTCAAAACTTTAAGTTGATCTTCTTGCAGTGTGTGTTTTTTATGTGACTCTATGAGTTGTTGTCTCATTGCTTCTTTGGCTTTTTTCTCTTCAACTTTTTTCTTTTTTCGTTCTTCACTCTTTTGTTTTCTTCTACTCTTTTGAGGGAGAGATTTCACTCGTTTCTGTTTTGGGCGCTCCTCTTGTGCAGAATTTGATGTGGGAGCATTGCTATCTGCAAAATGAGGATCAAAAGGAAGTTGCTTTTGTAAATCTTTGGAAAGAACTGTTCCCTCCGATAATGATAAAGTAGGAGTAGTAGTTGTAGTATTCCGTTGTGTGGACTTTTTTATATTATCGTTATCATCTATTGTGGCAGAATTGTTAGCACTTGCATTACTTGTTGTTGATGTTTCTTTGACCTTTTTCACAGGTCTTTCCGATGACAAAATTGATGACTCCAACGATGGTAATATTAAATTCGAGCTTTTCTTTGATGAGTCATCATCGGAATGGGTTCTTTTCTTTGCTTGACTCTTCTTCATTTTTTTTGAATTTGTTAATCTTGGATTTGTCAAAACGATAAATTGAAACAATTTTTGGAACGCAAGATCGAATGAACACAATGATTGAACGAATTTCACTTTTATTACAAAGGGAAATTTTGAGGTTTTGTGTTGTTTTCAAAATTATTGGTGTTTTTGTTGTTGAATCACGAGTTAGGTGATCTTAGTAGGATATTTACATAATCCTAGAGGACGTTGTACATGCACATCATAGATGTGGGTTTAAAGATCGCTTTCGTCCATCCTCGAGTTGTGTAATGCTTCTTCAAAGTCCAAGAAATCTCGAAAGTTAATCGAATTCAAATCCATTGAGCCTCGTGAGACTGTGCTTGTACTAAGGAGTGAGGAAACGGAAGGTTCTTTGAGTGCCTTCTTTGGCTGTTTGATTTCTGGAGTTGTCTCTTCTAACTTCTTTGAAAGCATGGATGCATACATGTTCGAAGGGATATCATCGCCAAACACGAATCCTATATCTGTGAGGTTATTATTGAGGCATTCATGGAAGAGATTCTTTCTGGTTTCTCTCTTTCTTCGTTCATCGCCCAACTTGAATTCATAAATCTTGTTATGCCACGATTTTCCATCACCACCGCCGAAAATGACCATGCTTGTCTTGTACAAGACAGCTGAGAGACCATAGCAACCTGGAGCAATGTTGGCTTCGTTGCAAGCTCCAATGGTTTCAATGAGTGTCCATTTCATGCAGGTTGTATCGCATTCGTAAACATCGGTGAGCCAATTCGAACCGTCACCACCTGCGAAAATGTAAATCTTTTGGTCGAACACCACGCTCACGTGTCCTGCTCGACCAGCATTCACCTCACCAATGTATGAAAGTTTTCTCCATCTATTTGTTAGAATGTCATACTCATGTAAATCGTTTAGCCTTTGCTTGCCGTCTCCACCACCAATGACAATTAATTTGTCTCCAACCAAATTGCATGTATGTGAGTCTCTGCTTTGAGGAGGCACTCCTTGAGTCTCAACTCGTGTCCAGTATCCAGTCATAAAATCGAAACAATAAAGGCAATTAAGGGTTCTTCTTCCATTCCATCCACCAAAGACAAACATTTTGTCTTTGTATACATTGGCTGAATGTCCTGCTCTTCCACTTGGCACTTGTCCTTTTGGTTCGACCTTTTTCCAGGTTTCCGTCTTGATATCAAACATGTACATGTCATTGAGCCAGTTAAATCCTAATTTAGGAGTTTGTTAACAAAGGAAAAATACCACAACAAAAAACTCCACTTACCATCACCACCACCAAAGATGACCATATAGTGTTTGTAAAGTACTGCTGAGTGGCAATCTCGTTCCGAAGGCACTTCACCTTTGTTTTCTATTTCTCGCCAAACTCTCTTTTCTGTTGCATTGACCCAATTTACGTTGTTTCGTTATAGTAAATTATTTGAAAATTATTGAAGAAAATTCAAATAAGATAAATACGTACCTAAATTAAAGGCAAATGTATCTTTCATTCTTTCTTTTCCGTTATAGCCTCCGTTGAGGTACATGGTGTCTTCGTATACGACACATCGATGACCGTATCTTCCACAAGGTCCTCCCAAAGGACTCTCTTTGAACCATTCTAACGTTTGGAGATATCATGATGATGACGATGACGAATCCTCTTTAGCAACCAAACAACTTACTTTGCTCTGTTACTAATGTTTTATGTACCATCTTGATGACTGGTTGTTTTATATATATACGTTGAGTGAGAGTGTTTGTTGTTGCAAGATGAGTGATGAGAAGAGGCTTATTGTTGGTATGATGAGCCTTGTTATGAAGTGTGATGTTGGTGAGAATCTCTCGAGGAGTTGTTGTTGTCGAATCTTTGTTGAGTAGTATGCAAGGTATGAGGCTTGTTTGAAAGCAAATACTTGAATGAGGAACGCACCAATCAGTGGTTGAACAAGTCTAATTGTGTGCAACAATAGTGTTGTACGAGCTGCTGTATCTCTCTCACAGACAGGCTGTGTATTGTGTTTTTTTTGTTTATTAATATAATGTTATTTGATGGTTGGTCCCGCCTTTTATTTTCAGTGTTTTTCACTTTGTAGTTTTAGAGCAGCAAAACCAACCTACATATCAACCAGCGCAGAAGGAAGTTACATCAAGCAAAGAGCCATCAAGAATATAAGCCTCATCCATCACGTCGCGCCTTCACCTCATACAATGGATTTACATCATGACAGTGAGTTATTGTTGTGGAGTATTGCTACTATTGATCATGATGCTTTACATTTTCAGTTGGGCACCCTAATTCGGATATTTGGGTTCCAAATAATATATAAAAGATTCGGAAAGGATTTGAATGGAAAAACACCATTCACTTCAAGGATTCCACTCCTTCCCTGTTTTCTTGCAGGAACATTGTGCATGGCTTGACGGTTGAACGACTTTTATGTCCACTCAATATATTTATGCATTTTGGGATCAATATTACATGTGAATCATGTGGAGGATAAGAATGAGAAGAATGAGAAGGAATAATCGCTACTTCACATGAATACATTTGTGTTGTATAACATGCATTCATCCATGACAACTTTACAAGACATCATGTTAATGCACATCAAGGATGAGAGATGATGTGAATATACAACAAAGAAATGTGAAGCACTCAACATTACAGACGATCGAAGATGTTTCTTTGAAACCAAAGATTCCTTCTCTTATTAGGCTTAATTACTGTAAAAACAATGAGTACAAGTTTGTAAAAGTTATACTTTTGTCGAGAAGGAGCTCAAGATCTATCTGAGGAGAAGATTTCATTCGAAAACAAAAAGGTTTCATCGCACCAAAATTCACCATTAGTCTTAAATAGTAATTGTGAATTTCAAACAGTTAAATTAAATAAATTTCCTTTTGTGCAGGCTTCCTCTAATGTTGAAATAGTTGGTCATTCACTACAATCACACTGTTTTCACTCATTACAGCAACAATGATTAAGGTTAAGAAAATGCAATGGAAGGTCTAGAATTAAGGTCATCTCGATGAAACACTGCAGATGACCAAAGCTTTTTAAAAGGGAAAGCACAACATTAATAACCAATAAACTAGATCTAGTTTATCCCAATTTTCATGGCTCCAATAAACTTCATCTCATGACGCGATGAGGAGGCTCAACACTCCTTTCAAAAAAATGCACGGAATACCCAGAAACCACACCATCGATGAGAAGAAGAAACAAATTTTGAAGGAAAAGATCCAAGTCTTTTCTGCACTCCGAAGCGATCTGCTCAAGAACAAGCACGACAAGATTTTTTCGTATGATGCCCTTTCTAAAATCGAGAAAACTCTCTACATTTCTCCCGAGTTTTATACGTTGTGGAATTATCGGAAGGAAATTATAACTCATCTTACTGAAGAGAATGAAGAAATTAAGAACTCAAATGAAAAGAAAAAGGAATTATACGAAGGAGAATTACAGTTGACTCAAACCATTCTCAGCAAGCATCATATCAAATCATATGCCACATGGCACCATCGTTGTTGGATTATGCAAAAGCTTGACTCCGGTTATTGGGAGAATGATCTCAAATTAACTGCACAACTGTTGAGTTACGACAATCGGAATTGTATGTACAATATTAATGTTATTCTATTTTCTGATAATTTAATATCATGTATGTTATTGTGGATATTATGGATCATGTGGATGGATGACCAATATTGACCTTTTCCAACGAATCATCATTGACCCGATGAATGTGTGACATGACTCAAATTCATCAGTCCACTGTTGGAATTATAGAAGATTTATCTTACAACTGCTTGACAGAAAACCCTCTGCTGAATTGGAATATTTGTATGGAATGTTGGACGATGTACAAAATTATTCTGCGTGGCATAATAGATCTGCTCTCCTCGTTGAATACTCGGAAAAAGAATCAATACCATTCACAGAAGTTGTGAATCAAGAATATGATTTGTGTACCAACGCTTTCTACACTGAACCCTCCAATCAGAGTGCTTGGATCTATCACCGCTGGTTGCTCGCTTCACGTAGGTCGTCATTTGTTCAATTCAAATATCTTATGTTCATATTACAATGATACTGAACTTTTGATGTTTACTTATTTTGGAATCTTTTTTGATCAAACTCTATTCAACACCACTAGCTGAGGGAAAGACTTTAAAATCTAAAGACCTCGAAACATGTAACGAATTGTTAGACATGATGACAGGTTTGAAGAATCCAAAAGATGAAAAATGTAAGTAGTTGACTGATCTGACTTTCTGAACTTCTAAACTAAATTATTCAGGGTGTCTTGTTACTATTGTGTTGAACATGTTGGACGAGGAATCTCTCGGAGATGCTGAAAAAGAGACTGTCATCACTCATCTCAACAAACTCGTTCAATTGGATCCAACACATAAGGGATACTACCATGATATTCGTAAGTTTACAACTCTTTGTATGATTTTTTGCTGCTCAACACTTTGTAATTTTCCATCTATTAGGTAGCGACTTTTTATTGAAACATTACACAAACAGAGACAATTTTGAAAAGCTTGTCGTCCACTCAATGCAAATTTCAAGAATGCACATTCTCAACACGTTACCAGAATTTTTTGCACAACTCAAACACATCGATCTCTCAAACAACAATATCACTTTAATTCCAACTTTAAAATTGGAACAGTTGGAAGAATTGATATTGGACAATAACAAGATTAGATTCCTCGGAGGCCTTACCCAGTTGAAAAAGCTGACAAAGCTCTCCTTAAACAATAACGCCATTGTCAAAATTCCCAATGTGCTTGTTAATGCAACCGTTTCACAACTATTCTTGGAAGGAAATCCTGTTGTCAACACACAATCATTCACACAAAACAAATCGGTGGCATTTCCATCTCTCTCTTAACACTTTCAGTTAATTTGAATTCAATTAAATTTGCTGGTCACGCGTTGAATTGTTCTGTTCTTCGGTTGGATGGAAACACAACAACGAAAAAAATGATGCAAAAACGGCCCAAAGATAGAGTTGAAGAATCGTCTGAAGAGGAATACGAAAGCGATGATGGTGGAGTTGATGGAGTTGAACAAGAAGAGGAAGAAGAGTTTGCAAAAAAGCGTGATCCTACTTTCCGAAGACAATTGAGAGCCAACATCATCGATTTGATTTCTCAAACTAGTGAAAAGGCTGAAGAAATTTGCCAACCCGGATCGAAAGAAATTCTAAATATTCTCGGGACAGGAAACAAATATTCGGCTGACATTGCACACGCACGTGAAGGTGCTCTAGATGCTGCACTGTTTGCCCAGAGCACAAAGTATGGCCTGGAACAAGCAACAAGATTAAATTTTGGAAAAGAGTGGGACCCTATTGAATTAATCACAAAACTAAGTTCAAAATATCCAGCACAAAACCAATCAAATGTTATTACATCAATAGAGCAAGAATTTATTCCGATTGAATTAGATTGGCATAAGATTGGAGAGTCTGTTTCAAGTTTATTTAGAAGAACGCCCACCATCACGTTCATGAATGGGCCAATAAAAGTGGAAAGAAAAGAGAAAAAGCGGAAAGAACGTCCAAAGAAATCAAAAGATGACATTGTGGAAGAAAAAGAGGCAGAAGAAATGGCAGAGACCTCAAAACAAGATGCTACTACAAAAGAAGTTCAAAGTTTGTACAAAAAGCTCAAGAATCAGTCAAAAAAGAGAAAAAAAGAGCACACAGATGGCCATTTATCAGTATTGGAAGTTCTTGTAGATCCCAATTCGTTCACCAAAACGATCGAAAACTTTTTTTATTTTTCATTTCTAGTGAAGGAAGGAAGGGCTAGCTTTGAGTTGAATCAAGATGAACTTAAAACATGTATTCTACGTGACAATGAAATCAATGACAATGCTAGAAACCAGAGTGTTCTAAGTCTCAATCTCAACATGTATAATCAATTGGTTCAACAAAGGTCAAAACTTTTACAACAACAACAGCAACATCAAGCCAATGGATCTCCGAGCTCAAGTAATACAAGAGATGCCAGAACAGCACACGAAGATGAGGAAGAATGATGGACTCGATTCAAAATATTCGAAAATTTGGGCTTTCTCTTCAATAAATACTTCCAACCTCTTGTACACCTCCCATTGTAAACGAGAAAATGTAGTTGACCAGAAATTTATGAAAAAATTTGTTGAAAAAAAATATCGCCACAAACGTACGTAACTCTTTCATAATCCCATTTTGTTGGCATTAATCTCAGCCCCTGTGTTCAATTTCTGAATTTCCCTTCTGGCAATCATCAACATAGTAAACAATGAAGACTCTCAACGCAAACGAGTTCGTGAAGGTCCCAAAGGGTGTTACCGTCACCGCCAAGGCAAGACGTGTTGTTGTTACTGGTCCAAGAGGTACCTTGTCCAGATCCTTCCAACATGCTCAACTTGATATTTTCGTTGAAGCACCAACTGAAGAAACTCCATACACAAGAGTTATTGTCCAAAAGTTCCACGGCAACAGAAAGGAAAACTCTCTCGTCAGAACTGTTGCTTCACACATCCAAAATATGATTGTTGGTGTTACCAAGGGATTCAAGTACAAGATGAGATTTGTTTATGCTCACTTTCCTGTCAACTGCAAGATCAGTGACGACAAGAAGAACATTGAAATCAGAAACTTCTTGGGTGAAAAGAGAGTTCGTAAGGTCGATATGAGAGAAGGTGTTACCGTTGATGTTACTGGTCAAAAGGATGAAATCATGATTCAAGGTAACGATTTGGAAAATGTCTCCGAATCTGCTGCTGCAATTCACATCGCTACTCTCGTCAGAAACAAGGATATTCGTAAGTTCTTGGACGGAATCTACGTCAGTGAAAAGGGCTTCATAGAGGAAGATGTTGAATATCAATATTAAATAAATTAAAAAAAAATTTATCTTAAGGTCATATCGGAAGCGAGCGTTCAGTGTTGTAAGAGATTAAATGTTCGAGAAAAGTGAGACGATCCCTCATTGAGAGAACTTGCAAAAAGAAAGGGAAACTTTCGTTTCTTACTGTGAAGTGAGAATGATTGATACCGATCAGAGACTGTTTGGCGCCCTTTCAAAACTACAGTTTTGTCGGTTATTGTTATTTTGATACTACCATGAAAAAATATGCAAGCAGTGTTTCATTCATTTCAACAGGAGCCAAAGCCTGTCAATAACACTACCAAGAAGACCAAGTACAGAGACCCCTTCAGCGAGACTGGAGGCGGATCCACATCAACAACAAATGCTGGTTTCGGCAACATTATGTGGGATCGGAGAGTGTACAGAGGTAATACCTATGCTCAGCAAGTAGTACCACAAAATCAACAACTGGAGCTGGAGCTTGAAAGAAAGAAGGAAGAACACAAGAAGAAGAGAAAATTATTGGAGGCCAAGCAAATGCAAGAAAGGGCTCTTGCAGAACAATTATTGGCAGAGAGAAATCTTGAACCGGTGGAAGGAAGGAAACATATCGATATTCAAACAATGACTTACGTGGAGGAAATTGACGAGACAGATGTATGGACACAAACAGATCCATTTCAAGATAGACCCGAGTCACCGGTATTCATACCATCAAAAACGGGTGTAGATATGGGTGTGCAAGTCGAGGATGATTTATTTGATTTTGATTTTGAAGTGGCTCCAATTCTGGAAGTAATTGTAGGAAAAACACTGGAGCAATCCATGTTGGAAGTGTTGGAAGAGGAGGAAATGGAAGCTCTCAGACAACAAAAGAAAGAGTTTGCTCAAAAGCGAAATGCAGAACTGGCAGAAACTCAAAGACTTGAGGCAGCAGAAAAAAGAAGATTCGAAGAAAAAGAGCGTCGCAAAGAGCAAGAGCGACAGAGGCTTCAACGAGAACAGGAATGTCGGCGAAAACTGGCAAGCAGGCAATTCGCAAACCAATATCTCGAAAATTTGGACCTCAATGTTTTTACTACTCTGCAAGAAGAAGGCTTCTTTTACGACATTGTACATAGACAAGTGGAACAAGAGTTTATGCCCTTCTTAATCCAACTTACGAACCAGGAGCTCGATAAGAAACGACAAGCAAGAGTCGAAGTAGATAATATCATCAAGACGAGCATCAGAAAATTATTGAAATCCAATTAGTGCTTATTGCTGTCACAGAACTCAAATATTAATTCCTAAACACTAGGCATGTAGAATACATCTTCGCACCTTTATTTAAATATCCATAGTGTTGTTGATTTGAATTTTGTCATTCTTAATTTGGATAGGATTTGAAGGATCGAAAGCAGGCATACCCAAGTAAGGACATGTTGAACAACGGAATGCATCTCCCTTATAACAATTTCCACAAGAGCTCACATGTTGTTCAGTAGATGATGGGATTTCTCCTTCCTTTCTTCCGCATGTACAATTCTTACATGCTTTTCTTGAGCTTCCAACTCCAGTACCGCAATCATCGAATGAATTTGCAGCGTTGTTTAAATCTTCATCTTCAAGCAAGTCATCATCATTCATAATATCATCTTCTTCAAGGTTGCTGACAGTCCAGGTTTTAAATGATTTTTGTTGTGGTTGTGAGGATTGGGTGGTGATATTGTTGGCTTGTTTTTCCTTCGTAGCAAGAGAAAAACTAGTTCCCATATCCCAGGAGGCCTTTTCAGCTTTGACTACCTTTTGATTGCTGTCATTAACAATATTCAAAAAACCAGCCATCATCAAATTTTCTTCGGAGTTGTTATCTTGCGACAACAAAACAAGGCCACCCTTCTTCAAAACTCGGAGACATTCAGCAATAAATTGTTCAGTTGTTTGAATCTTTGATTCCAAGTTAATAACGACGTCATAGGATTCGTTTTCGTATGGAATTACTTTAGAAATATCACATTTAGTTAATTGAGAATTACTACCATCAAATCCGTTCGATTTCAAGACATTCTTTGCGGACTCAAATGATTTTTCCATTTCTTCAGAAGAAAAATTAACAATCACCAACACTTGTTTTGAAATGGTCATTTCTTTTGTTGATCGGAATCTGAATATCGATGGAGGAGTTAGAGGATGAGATGCTTTGTGCAGCAGCAGTTGAGAGAATTTTTTGTATGAATTGAAGAATAGAGTGCGGCTAATTTTATTCAATCGCAAATGCGCACAAATGTATCCGAAAGATTAGATTCTTCAACACACAAATTGAATTCATTTCAGATAGAAGTTGTTGCCTTCGTTCTTAAGGATATTTTCACGAGATCTCATGTGTGTGACCTTATACAATGAAAGGCAAGAGTATTTTTCTTGATTTTGGAAGTTTGTCTTTAAATTTTTGTTGATACCATCGATAGGTCTCAAAGGAATGGTAGGAAAGGTTGAGAGCAGTAAATGAAAAGCAAAATCTTGATTTGTTGTCAAAAGTCACACGCATTCCATAACGCAGAAAAATGTATCATTGGATTATCATTCATGAGTATGACTTACATCATTGGAAATTGTGAAAATCCAAGCATTAAATTAAGTGAAAAATACATGAGTATTTCTGTAAAGTAATGAGGACAGTATAAATATTCAAAAAGATCTCCTCTTGGAATTTGATAACCAATTTCAGGATTTTTGTTCTTAATGCAAGCTAGAGCAAAGAGAATCGCATGACATTTGTATTGATGGAGGCTAGTATGAAATAGAGAATTGTAAACATAAAATTCCATTCACGCCAATGCAAACATACCAACTCCACAAGAATAACACAATTCCGACTATCGTCATTGTCATGTGTATAATGTAATTATCCTTATATTTTGGTTGATTGCATAGTTCAAGAGAAGAAATGAATAAACTTAGAGGAGCGCAAATATAATATGAAACTCCACTCAAAAACAAGAAAGATCCAACCAATCTTGCTGGGTGAGTCCATGGTTGAAAGGAAAAAACTTCAATACATCTTTTCACTAAATGTATTTCATAAAGGAGAATTATGATCATGCTACCGATGATTCCAGAATTAATATTCACAATTTCCCCATTTTCATTCTTGGAATCAAAATAATATATAAATAAATAAATTAAACTCAGAGTGTTGAGAAATAATCCAACAGAATAGATGCATCTCCAATGGAACTTCTCACTGATAAAAGGCTTTAAGAGAATTGAAATAATTTTCTGAAATAAATTTTCTCTTCGTTCGGAGCTTTTTGCTTGATTTTCAATAATCGGAGAGAATCTTCCGTATTGCAACATTCGATGAAAAAAGTTATTGAAGAATCGGAGAGAGTACAATCCAATACCAAGGATCCAATAAAAGTTCAACCCATAATAAAGAAAAAGCAGGTTCATCATCTTTCAATATTTTTTTCAAGACGAAAAGCAATAATTCGTGTGTGAAATGATGAGGAGACCATTCTTTCGCATTTCATTGAGGAAAATATTAATCTTCATGCTCATGCATGCAAAATAGTAATTCCTCTTCGTCTGAAGTTGGTTCTTGGTAGTGGCATCGTTGTACATGTCTTTTCGGACGGCACTTCACTAATGAATAATTGTCGAGCTCCTCTGTATCGTTGACATCGTCGATCGAATCATGATCACTTGGATTTTCATTAAAGTCCTCCTCTTCATGGTAATCCTCATCTTCATCGGAAAAAGCTTTCTTTTTCGATCGTTGCTTCTTGTTGGATTTCCTGGACTTGGTTTGTTGTGTAGTTCTTGTTGAGTCTGCTTCTTTCTTTCTTGTCGATTTGTTATTCTGTTTTGTTGTTGTGGTGGTATTTGCGGAACTTGTTGCCGAGGATGATGGCATCTTTGAATTTTTTCTTGCGCTGCTTGTTGATCGTTTCTTCATGCTGACATCATTTTCCTCTTGGTCTAAGGTTGATTTCTTGAAAGTATTGGATTGTGAGGAGGTCTTTTTGGATTGAGAAATGTCACCATCATTACCACCACTACGTCGGGGAGTAGAACTTTTTGACGACACAACCTTCTCAAGTTTCAAACGTTGACTTCTTTCCATTAATTCTTTAGCATCCCAGTTGGGTAAATACTTAATGATGATTGCTGTCCAATCATTGCCAAATTCTTGAATTCCCTTCTTCAATAATTCATCATCTGATTTTTGCCATTTGAGTTTCTGTAAACATTCCAAATTAAAAACATTATTGGGATTTGGATGAAAGTAAGATTCATCAATATCTCCGCACGGAGTTAACATTTCTGGAGATGAAAATAGCATTCTTAATTTTCGAAAGTATTCTTGTTTGGAAATCATCCTTTGAGAATTTTGTAAGCTTGCATCGGAGTTACTTAATGAATCACCATTTTCAAGGAGGCATTCTCTCTGATGATCATTCGTAGCAGCAGCAGCAACATGTGTGGTCGGAACATTACAACATAAGGAAGGGTTTTCTGATGTTAGAAGGGTTGTAAAGGAAGAATGATGATGAGCCTGAAATGGTTTATGAGATTCAGCATTCTCATCATGATGGTTGTGGTGGGTGATGAGCTGTGATGATGATGATGAATCAAACACATCGGATCGATTCTCTTTGTGATTCGTGCACGAGGAAATCATGGCATCATTGGTGCTAGTGCTCGTGATGAATCGAATTTCGTTATTATAATTATCATCATGGGAGAGTATTAAAAGAGAAGATATTTCCGAAGAGGGTAAGGAGGAAGAAGCCTCTTCTTCGTCTTGATTATTAAATTGCTGAAGTTGTTGTTGCTTTCGGGTTGGATGATGCTGTTGAAATCCCAAATAATCTTCACACCAAAGAGCAAATTCTTCATCATTCCGGAGAGGATGCTCCTTGTTGGGGACCATTCTCTCTTTCTCTATGAATTCTATTCAATAAATTTGTACTATTGATTATTAAATATTGTTTATTTTTGTGAGAAGGTTTAAATAACGGTTGGCGCCATTGGTCGGCCGAGAGAGGGCAGTCAAATGAACCATTCAATTTTCAGTGGTTGTCGGTTGGATGTCACAACCATGATGCATTTTACTAATGCCATGTATGAATCCAGATAGATGAGATCTCAACAACCGTATCCTTCCACTCACAAGAAATTTACTTTACAAATCGCCATTTCACGAATCGTGTCATCCACGGCTCATACAAAATCAAAGTCCAAAACAGAATTTCCCCATGACATTCATTGGAAACTTACCTTTGAAAATCTAATCCCTTGTACTCTGTAATTCTCCATAATTCGTTCTAACCATACAATTCAGGTGGTACAAGTGCTCGTCTCCACAGTATAAAAACTCCAACGCTGCTTGTAGCAAAGCTTTTACCACACAAAAAAAAACAACTCAACAACAAACTCTCTTCCAACCACCAAAAAACCAACCAACCCGTAAACTCCACTGATCCCATTAACGATTGTTGTTGATCAAGAAACACACCACCAAATCCACTCACTCAATATTCTCAATCATAACGCTCAAAATGTTCAGTAAAAAGATCTTCTCAACTGCCCTTTCTCGTGGTCGAGGCTTGTACTCTTTGGCAGCATCCCAGCAACCACAACCACTAGCCTGCTATCACCGAGTGATCCGAGAAGCCTTCATCCACTCGGGAAATATGAAGGACATGGAAAGAGTATCTACCATGAGATCTCCAGCCATGGATGATCTTTCCTTGAGTCTTGATCATGCACAAGAATCTTCAACCTCTCTTGCAATGAAAGGATCATCATCCACCACCTCAAAAGGATCTCTTCTTAAAAGAGAACAAGCTCTTCTCTCCAACATGGAGAAACTTGCCAAGGTGGATCCTGTCCTCAAGAAAATAATCAAAGACTACTCTGAAGAGATTGCCATTGTGATGAATGATGATTCGCATCATGCAGTCTCAATGATGGAGTCTGAATTGGTGCATCGTCTGCATGAATGCAATTTGAAAGTGCACCGATATTTGTCGAAGGCTGTCTCATCACACCTCCTTCAAGAGATGAGGTTTTTAAGCTTGGTCAATTCTGAGTTGGCTCACGAATGTGCAGAGATGAATCGTTTGCTTGAAAAGCACATGTTTTCAGTGTAGCAGATCTTTTAGACCAACTGTGTGACTGAACGGAAATGCTTTTTTGTATCATACTCTTGCTGTACAATAATGATCCATCATGTAAATAATAATCCAATCATGTACTAATAAACACAAATGAACAATACAATCTTGTTTGCATCCCTTAATTTCTTTGAGCCTCCAATGACAAGTTCCTATTCGCGAATCATGCTGCTAAGGTTTCGAAAAGAAAAAATGGAAGAAATATTCAGTCTAACAAGCGGCAGCTTGAATCAAATTGATCAAAGCAAAACAGAAACTCAAAGTCGTCACGAAAATTCGAACGATCCCTCCTATTATGCTTCGCCTTCTTATTCTCATAACATTCCTCACACGAATTTAATTCATCATCATGAGGAATCGCATTCATCAAGCAACATTGAAAAACAAAAATATAATGTGGAGCAAATCAGAGAAGAACTTTTAAAAGATGAGAATGGATATCAAAAGAAACGATGTGAATTATTGGTAGATGTCCTGTCTAGATTAATACATGGCATTGCTTCCGACATGGATACACAAATTAAATTTATGGATAAATTCATTGAAGATACCCAAATGTTTTTAGAGGTGAGTGTGTCATGCGGAATCATATTGTGATGATGATTGAATTTTTGTGTTTAACTCTTAAAATTCATATATTGTTGCTGTGTGAAATTATGTTAAAATTTATTTGATGTTTCGTGAATTATTTGTTGAATGCAAAATATGTGTGAAATTTTAATTATTTTAAAATTTAAATGATGTAATTATTTGTTGAATTCAAAATATGGCATTGTGATTCTTACTGCATGATTTAAAGAAAATGAAAAAAACGAATGAAAAAACAAAGGAAATTATTTACATGATAGACGGAAAGGATTGAAATGCATCACAATTGTCACTAAGGCATACGGAATGAATTTATTTTCATATTCGTACTTGCAACCGTGCTTGTGACAGAATATGCAGGCGGTCCATAAATATGCATTGCTGAATTTAATGAAAGACTGCCAAATGCCAACCACCTAATAATAATCACAAGTCCAATGAGTGACAAGTACACATATAAAAGTTTGATGGTTAGAGTTAAGATATTCACAGCACTTCTCAATAAAGATTCCAATGCATGCAATTGTTTTTGTGAATTTCTCAAATTTTGAGCTCCACCTAAAAGTGCATTTTCTTTTGCCATATTCCACAAATTTGCAAGATGTTTTGCTGGGGAATATACGCACGAATTGTGATTCGTTGCAAACTTTGGGAATGAGATGGTCTTGCTTTGTGCAGAGGACATTGTTTTAGTAGTGATGATTTGAGTGAAATTGTTATGAGTGGAAAGACTGAATGAGTGTGAAAACTGCCTCGAGAAGCAGCTACTCATGGATGAGTGATGATGATGTGAATAAATCATGATGAAAAACGTAGAGAACATTCCGAGCATTGCAGCAATCCATTTCCGATGTCTCCAAGTTTGTGAAATTGCAGTATGCAACTTGAGAGACAAAATCTTATGTACATGATTCGAGGACAATGAAGAGGTGTCAGTTGATGGTGATGATGATAAATTAGAGGAATTTGGCATGGAAGATGAACTTGAAGAATTATTTCCACAAAACCTGTCATATAACGAGGTCAGGAATAAAATGAAACATTTTGTCACAATTAGGGCCAAATACACATAGAAAAGATAGAGCAATACTTGAGCTGTTGAGAAGGAGGAGAAGGGTGGTTGTTGTGGATGAATTTGAAAGGAAGAAGAGGGTCTTGTGTTCGAATTTGCTTCTTGCATGACAAAGGAATTGCTTGGAGATCCATAATCTGGAGAAGCACTGTTGCTGTCACTGCAACCAAAGAAGAGCCATCGAGAGATCATTGAATTGCAATTCGTGATGATGCTGTCTCGTGGGTTGAGAGCAAGTAAATGGACAGTTTCCATAATTGGTTTGGGCAGTTGAAAATCCAAAGAGAATTTAAATTCAAGAACAAGGCAAACGAGGTGAGTCGATGATTGCGGTTTGTGTTGATGCTCTGTTTCTTGAGTCGATGATTCTCGAGAGAGAACAAGAGATGGTCAGTTGGTTGTGTGTGTGCAAATGTTGTTGTTGTTGTGGTCGGTCGATGGTTGTGTCCGTGGCCAAATATAGGCAGAGACTCTTTCCAAGCGGCAATACACCGTTCAGTCAGTGCACGGATGGGATTGTTTTTTTTTCGTGGTGTGTGAGTGGAGGATCTGTATCTGGCCTTCCGAGAGTAACAACTTTCAGAACCCCAAAAGGTGCTCTCTTTGCGCGCTCGTTATTCACTCGCACTGTCCCAACTTAGCTTGAGGTTCCGAACTCGCGGGTGCTGAGGTGATCCTAGTGCATACGTGAGAGAGCACAGTTAATAATGAAAAAACTGCGCTCAATCAATAACTTGAGCGCACATTTTGTGATGTCGAAACGCGCGAGAGGATTGATTCCTCTTCAATTCAAGCATAGTTGCCATCTATGTATTCTTTTTAAATCGATCGACGCGAGCATGCTCAGTAGTCGTTTAAAAACGCTTTAAGAAAACTGAAGGATGAGGATGACCTTTGGTTAATTCAGAACTTTACAACCTGGGTGACGGAAAAAACGAGAACAAAAAAATGATGAAGCGACCCTTGACTGTCATTGCGAGTATCAAAGGAAGAAAAGATTTGTTGTTGAAAGGTGTATGGTTTTTCAAGAAATCATCATCATCGGAAGGAGCAAGTGAGCTTCTTCTCCATCAACGGATGATGCAGCCATTAATGAGCAATCATAGTTCAAGACGACATTTTTCAATCGGAAGAAATTTGCAACAACAACAACAAGATAATTCATCATCATCACAAAAACCATCCCTTGAAAAAACATTGGAACAAGACTTTCCTTCTCAAAAATCCAGTAGAACTTCAGTTTCAACTCAACCCGATAAACCAAAACCTCTTTCTTCAATTCTCAAATCACCATTCATCAAAACCGAAGACGAGAGAAATCAATTTCTTGGAACGTTCCGTGAAATTATTTCGGTAAGCCTGAAAGAAGTTCCTAACTCTGCCGTTGTTATTTCCGGTATTTTGTGTCTTCCTTTAATTTTTGGTGCCACTTCGTTCTATATCTCGTCGCTTCCTGCTTCCTTATTGCTCGAATATCAGCTTAATTATGCAAGCATGTTGCTGGTTTTATTTGGATCCACTCATTTAGGTCTTGAATTTGTAAATTTTATCAACAAAAAGAAATTTAAATCATTTTTGGAGGCACAAAAACCTTTATTGCCATTTACTCCCACGAAACTACAACAAGAGGGTACTACTCCAATCATTGATATTGAAAAAGAATTGGAGACAAGAAAGTCCTCACATAGTATTATTAGAGGAGTACTCTCTTGTCTTCCTCCCATGGTCGGATTTTTATGCTTGTCACTTCCTCTTCTTCAATCAACCCTTCTTCTCTCCCTAACATTTATTGTTATGACCTACTATGACGCTTATTTAACTGCACGTGGATTAGCTCCTCAATGGTTTGTTTCCTTGAAGGTTCCTTTCACACTGATTATTGTAACAACACTCATCGTTTCCTTTTTCTTTTACATTGTTTATGGAGCTATGCAACAATTTGAAAAACATTCCGACAAATTGACCCATGTTGATGAAAAACAATCAAGAACAAGTTCTAGAGAAGGAATTGATTTCCTTGCTATGGCAGAAGCAAAGCAAAAACGATTGAAAGAATTGGCAAATCAAAATCCAGTACTGAATAAATGAATTGACGAAGATATTTACATATTTAAAGGAATATGGGTTTCTTTCGGAAACCAGTGGTAGTGATACCTCCTCTGTCACACTCTTAATGAACAAGGAATTCAAATTTACATTGTAGTATTGAGGGTATTTTGAAGAGCCATCGAAATTAAAGAGTTGTTGAGGGCTACCTTTGCAAATTCCTCCCGTGTGATGGAGCCATCTTTGTCAACATCCAGTTCTGAAAAAAAAGTCATGAGCAAATTCTGCTGGAGTTTTCCCACTATCTTTAAATTCTTTTGAGAAACTTTTATAGAGCTGAGCAATCATTCGCTCAACTTCGTCATGTGTGATTTTCCCCGTTCTGTCCGTATCATAGACATCAAAAGAACTACATCAAATTGAGCTGCTTAGAAATCTTCCTAGTTTCTGTTATGTACTTACAATAAAATTTTCTCAAGAGGAGAAGCTCGTGTATAAAGTAACATTACCACGACATATTCTGGTATTGACACTATTCCATCGTCGTTAATATCAAACAAACTTGGATCATTCGAAAATCAAAATATAATGCCATTCATATTAAGGATATTAATAATGATGAGCTCTCAATTTCGACAAAGAAACACGTACAAATATAACGAGTCAACCATTTGAGTCGTAGGATTTGAAAGATTCATAATTTTAGCAAGTTGCTCCCTTGGTACAGACCCGTAAGGAAAACGATGGGTGAGGTTCTGAAACAGCACTTTTAAATCTCGTTTTGCCACTCCAAATTGTTTTGATATTGCGTTAATTTCCTTATGCTGGAATTATTCCGATCAGGATCATGTTGCCCCAAGTGTTCGTTGATTTCATTGGCAGTTATTGAGGTTGGCCAAGTCAAACGAACGTTGGTTGTACGTACCATCGATTGTTGCCCGCCCATTTTTTTATTTGATCTTTTTTTTTAACCATTTCGTTCTTTTGGTTCTGCTATTGTAGAAGTCTTTCTTTGTACTTAACATGATGGGTTGTTAATTGTTGGTATTTATTAAATTATTGGATGCAATCTTCATCATAATGAATCATCTCCACAAATTTCTTAAAATATTTATTTTAATAAAAAAATGATATCAGGAGGTAATCAACAATCGCTGCAAGGTGTTGCCTCGTCATCATCAAACACCATAATCGATTACGGGAGCAATCCGACCGTAGGAGGTGGTAGTAATTTTCAAATGGGTCTTGAAGCTGAAGCGATGGCTTTCATGATTTCTTTGAAAAAAGGATTACATTCATCAGTGGTTGCTCAACAAATCCAAAGTGTTGTTAGATTCACTGATCTCATCACTGAGTATCCTCTTCCGATAATTGCCAATAGCACTTTGTTAAAATTGGCTGATGTCTTTCGAGACTGTAATAATAATTTTGTTCGATATTGGATTGTGAGTGTCTTTGAAGAGGTGAAAGGAGAATTATTAAAAGTATTAAATCAAGAAGAATTAATTCGGAGAATATCTGCAGTATTGGGTTCTAATGATCCAATAGCTCGATCATTGGCACTTAGAATGTTTGGTCACATGGCCGAAATACTTTCCGATCGAACAGACTTGCATCATCTCATTGAAAAGAACTTGTTGACTTGCATTGAAGGATATGAGAGGGAGTCATGCGTTGTTGCCATTGAACAAATATGTTCATCATCAAAACAATTTGCTTCTCAGATTCTGCCACAAATTGAAATATTGCTGAATGACATCAAGTCACCTCCCCAGGCTAAGCTATCTCTTATACGAGTGTTAAGACACATGCACAGTGATGTAGATACTGTGAACAGAACATTCAAGTTATGCTCCGAGACATTATTGAGAGCATATCCAACTACTCCTTTTATATTGGCTATTATTGACACGTTGACTCAGCTCGCCCAAAATTCAGTTTTTATTGGCAAGGATACCTTTAAATTATTATTTAATATATTTGAGCTTGATGGAAGAAAGAAGGTAAAGATTGCATGTCTGAATAATATTACCAAACTCTCAAAATATCTCTCCGACACCTATACCCTAGATTTTCCCTTTGATGTAAGTATTTGTGTTCATTCTTGCATTTATAATAATTTATTGTTGCTATTTCTGTTACATTCTTTTTAGATGCTATCCAAGTTTTTGAATAACTCTCCTTTCGACTCAATCAAAACATCAATTCTCAAGTTATTGGCATCTCTTTCATATTCTCCCTTCAATGTAAAACAGTGCTTTAACTTCTCAGATAAGAACAACGTTATTCACACTGTAGAATTGCTATTGTTTTACCAGAAATTAGAAATTTCTGATTTAGCTTTTGAAATTATGATTAATGCTGTACGCCACTCAAATCAATCTGAACAAGTTCTTGAGCCTCTCCTTAAAAACTTGTCAAGAGCTTTTTGTTTTTCTATTCCATATCGTGTTCGAAATAACGATAATTTATTCTTTATCGTAAGTATTATTGATAGACCAGAAGTTATATCATTTAAATTGACCTTTATTAATATTGATATTTATTATGCCTGCTTGTCGAAAATATTCATTTCCGAAATTTTCACAGAAAAAAATTTGTGAATATTTGGTACGCTTCATCAAGTCCTTCCCAAGCTATGCAGGTCTGATCACGAAAACCCTTCTAGGTGAGATTGGTAATATTTGTGTCTCTATATCCTCCAATCAAATCTCTCAAAAACAGGAATTCCTAAGATCAAGCAACATGTATTTCTCCAAATGTCTTCTTAAATTTTCATCACACTGCCCCAACGTGCTCGTTCATCACTTGATGGCAATATATGAAACTGCAGCTACTATGAATTTATCAGACGAAATTATTGTAAATCTCTATGAAGTCATTTTTCAGGCTCTATACATTAATCGTCACAAAAACTTTAACAATGAATTCAGTCAAACAAATATTAAGGCTCTTATTGAAACCAAGAGATATTGGTGCTTGTACTTGATTGCTAAGAATGCAATGTTTTATAGCCATTTCAGCCTCTCTGAGTCTATTTTGGGTATCGTTAAGGACAAAGTGGAAGAAGAAGCAACATCCTTCTATTTGAAATCTTTGTTCTTGTGGTCTAGTGCTGAGCATTTGGCTATGAAAAATTATATGAAAATGCAGGATGTTTCATTTGTGGAGACTGACATTCTGCAAAATTGTCTACAAATGTTAGACCAGGCAACCATGCTTCTTAAAGCGAGTGGTATTAGCAATTCTGGATTTCAACAATTATATTTTGGTCAGAGAAGACTATTTATTGAAAGCATCCTTAATTTAACTTTGCATCTTTCAAACTTTAATGAGCCCAGAAATACTGCCACGTCTAATGCTGTCTTCCAGCATCAATCACAAGTATTTACCTCACTGAGCGACAAGCTCAATGACATGATTAATTCATTCTTTGACATTGATATGGGAAGTGCCAAAACTTTAGAGCTTCAAGCTCTTGCATGCAGAGTGATATCCAAAGCTATTTCAACCATATTGGTCGATCATTCTGTCTCTTCGAAAGCGAACACAACTTTACAAGCATCCTCCAAGCCCATCGGAGAGATGTATCATCATTCAGCACTGGATCCTCTTTTCGTGCAGTGTCAACACATTTTAAAGTCATTGGAAAGTTTTGATACAAACAAGCCCTACAACAAGTCAGTGCTGATTCATCGAATCATTTTGGCTATTCTAAAAGCTGGTGCGCCTGTACCACAATTCTTTTTCAATTTGACGCCCCATACTGCACCCAAGCTTGAGATTGAGATTAACAATACCCACAATATCTTTACCAAGCCTGTAACAGCAATTCTAGGGCAAGGACTTGTGATTAAATTCTCGGGCTATATTACACAGCAACGCAAACAAGCCACCACTGCTCATCAACGCAAAGTGAAATCTGTATGCCTTACGATTGAAAAGAAGTTGATTTCCTCTTCAGCAACGTCACAGACGGAAGGAAATTTCACAACAACGAACAACGACCTTGAAGAGGTTCAAAAATTTATCATTCCAGTTGTGGAACAATCATTCCAAAGGAAATGTCTTTGCCACTTCAAATCTGAAGGAAGATATCAATTAGCAATAAGAACACAAATGGTTGATGAAAATGATTGCTACATTTGGTGGACAAGCAATTTGGCTGTGAGTGATGTAAACTCTCTCACGTCTTATGGAAGTGATGAAAAACGCCACATTGCAATAGTGGTCGACGTAAAGCCTTTACCACTCATTGCAAATAGATTAGCCTTGTAGGAAGAATATTGATGCTAAATCAAATAGATAGACATTTGTCTTCTAACCTCAGTCTTTTTAATTAATACAAATGTGACATTATGGAGTTTGTTGTTGTTTAATGGATTACCTCATGAATGTATTCATTCTCAAATCTGTCTCAATGAATTTACCAAGTTGAATCATCAACATGTTGTGGTTGCTGTGATGAATTACCTTCTAATTATTTATCAAAAGTAGTGGCATCAGATTTAACAGTTTCCACAACAGACTTGTCTGTCTGACCTGGTGCTGAAAGTCCTAAAATTCGTTCCAAATCTTTATCTTGCTCTTCTTGTTCATTTAATTCAGCCATAATTTCCTTTGCAATTTGTTCTTTGAGTTTCTGTTGTGATGATCGGAAAGTCATTCACGAGTTTCAACAAATTTAGTTGAGTTGTTATCATTATAAATATGAAATTGAAAATACCATCCAACGTTGGATTCATAAAATTTAATAATATTAAAAAAATAATAATAAATTAAACATCTCGATTGGTCCATCATCCGATTCATTGCCGGCAAACACATACTCTTTTTTCGGACCATGATGAGAAATTTTGGAAAAAGTTTTTAGTTTCCCATCCCACTAATCCAAAGCATACCAGCGTAAAACCAAACATGGTGGTTGTTGCTGTCTTCCATATCACATTCAATACTTTGTCTAATTTCATTTTTTTGCTTTGAATTATTGACTTTTTTGTGCTTTTTGAAGATGACTTGTCCACTGAAGGCGATGAATAATTCCAATGATACTCAATGATTTGAGAACTCAATAACAGGCCATGACTGAGTATATTATTCAATATTATTAAAAGTTCAGAGATGAAACGAGAGGATAAATCTCACCATTACCAAATTTACAAAAGATAAAAAAATACAACAACAACAACAAATACAATAATATTGAGACGACTCTGAAAATGTCTGCTACAAGTCCGTTAACTCCAGAACAACAACAACAATTTCATCATTACATGAAGCAACACAATTTGGATTCCTTGTTTAATGATTTGACCAAGAAATTGGTTGAAAAACAACCTTTGGATCCCATTCAATTTATGATTGATGAGTTGGAGAGAAAGGATCCTAAGAATCAGCCAAGAAAAGTTGTATTTGTTTTGGGTATGTTTTGTGCGATTTAAATCGTTACGAATCTAGAAACGAACACGATGTTCTATCCATCCAACGTTGTTGTATTGTTGATGATTTGAAATTTGTGGATAACGCGGATCACGTTGTGCTAATTACTTTTAATTTCATTTATTTGGACAATATTGAAAACAAATCTCATATCGGGTTTTGACACATGAAACAAACGGTACACAATGATGTTGGAATAATGATGACATGATTTTGAACTTCATCGGATCGCACGAACATATATCATGACAAACAATTTTAATTATCATCATTACCATACTACAGGAGGTCCAGGATCCGGAAAGGGTTAGTAGTTTTAAATGACTGGAAACTTTGTAACGTTCCGAAACTCATACACGTCATCATTATTTACCATCAAAATATGACATGAATTTACAATTTAATAGGAACACAATGTGCCAGACTGGTTGAAAAGTACAAGTTTGCACACTTCAGTGCTGGAGATTTATTGCGAGCTGAATCAGCAAAGGACACTGAAACAGGAAGAATGATCAATAACTATATTAAGGAAGGTAAAATTGTGCCAGGAGAAGTCACCATTGCCTTGTTGAAGCAGGCAATTATGGGTCATGAAGATCCAAACACAGTCTTTTTGATTGATGGATTCCCTCGTGAGATGAAACAAGCTGTTGATTTTGAGAGACAAGTTTGCTTCTGTCAATTTGTCCTCTTCTTTGATTGTCCTGAGCAAGTTTTGGAGGATCGTTTGTTGAAGAGAGGCCAAACAAGTGGTCGTATTGATGACAACATTGAAAGCATCAAAAAGAGATTCCAAACCTATATTAACCAAACAATGCCAGTTATTCAATACTTTAAGGCTTTCAATAAGGTCAAGACAATTGACAGTTCAAAATCTGTGGATTTGGTATTCGAAGACGTTTGTAAACTTTTTGATTAAGAGACATTTTAAATGAATAATATGATTTTTGTACTGCTACTATTCAAGCACCAATACATTTTATGGTAACATGTTATTATAAAGTTGCTATTGCTGTCACGTGAAAAGCTAATTAAGTTTTAAAGAGCTGTTAATTTACAATATCATTTAAAACTTTATTTTAGAAATTGGTCATGATTGCTAGTTTGAAACTATCGAATTGCAACATCTTCAAGCTCATGTCTGGACAAATTAATAATATTGTAATTTCGCCCTCTTGTTTGATTGTTGAAAATTAATTGCAAACGATTCGAGTTTTGCAAATCCTGTTCCTTCTGGAGAATGATATCTTTTGCACCAGACATCTTTTCACTTAGCTCTGTCTTTGCTTTTCGTTGCATGAATGGTTGTGACGAAGACTCAGGAAATTCATGAGGTTTCAACGTCATCCTGCCAATCTCTGAATTTGACATTTTATTGAGCCCTGTAAGAAAAGTGAGATATTACCATCCCAATATAATAAAATAATTAAACTTACGTTCTTTACGTGATCTGGAACCTTCAGATTTGGTTCCTCTGTTAGTGATGTCGTCATCCTTATTGAAAATGTCCATGTCGTCTTGAACATTTAGAACTCCATGCCGATAACCTGATTTGACAATTCTCATAAATTTGTTTTTCTTTCTTCGAATGTCCCTTTCCAATTTCAAAAATTCTTCTCTTTCTGCCTCAGCCTTGAGTAAGGCTCTCTTTTGTCTTGGGCCTAATTGTTTATGAAATTCTCCTTCCTCATTGTAAATTGTTGAGGCATCACCGTGAATTTTTAGAGCTTTTCGCAATTCTTTCTTTTCTAGGGTTACTATTTCCGCCTTCCTTGGTTTTCCATTTCTATATTCTTCTCGTTTAAAAAGTTGAACTTTTTCAAAGTCTGCTGTGGGGTTGGATGTGACAAACGTTTCACTTCGAAATATCTTGTGATCTTTGTGATCCTTTTCAACCAAATCATCGCTTTCACATGCCGAGTTTTCCTTAATGAATTGTTGAACTGGTTTGTCGAATTTTGAAATAAAGACCTCACTCATCTTCTTAACCACTGATGGTTTGTTTGGAATAAGTTCCGACTGTTTAGATTCATCCCAACATATCGGATCTCTAACGCCTTTGTCCAAAGTTCTAAAGTGCTTGTAGTACAACTCACCAGCATTCTCCGCCGACAGTTGAGGAATTGGAAAATCCATGTCACCAACATTATAACTTTCTCTTTGAGAGGAAAAAGGAAAGGTTTTGAAAGGAGGTACCACGTTGTTATTCTTTGGAGAACTCACATTACTTCCTTGAAGAGGTGGTAACAACGAATGATGATGGCGATGTTTCTGCAGCTCGTGATGTGTCTTTTCAAAGCGAATATCGGCATTGAGGTGAGATGCAGCAGCCGAGGATTGTTGCAACAAGGCAGATGGTTCCTCCGCTCTAAATGATTGAGACAAGACATTCTTTCTTGGAATGGATTCGGAAGGCTGATCATGATCCGCGATTGTCAATTTAAAACTCTTTATATTTGGGGAAATTGATCTCTTGACAAAAGAATCAAAACTCTTCGGATTTGGTTTCTGCATCATGATGAAATTCCATCAGCACTGCAATTGTTCTTCTTGTTGTTTCTTCTTGATGAAGATGTATTTGAATTCCTCCTTTTCTTGATATAAGGATCGCTTTACTTTGCTGTAAATTTTCAAAAATACGAAAGAGAGGGAAATAATTTTTTAAATTTTTGTAACGGACCAAAAAATTTGGAATCATAATCTCTCTCTGCCTTTCATCGAATTGGGTGATGAAGAACGACGTTGTTGTGGTCTCGTTGATGTTGTGGGAGACACTGATCACGAAAAGCAAGAGCAGTTTGCGGAATGTTTGGCTTGGCCCTTAGGGACCAAGTGGTGGTGAACTTGCAACGATCCACTTGTGTTGAGGAGACATGGTTGAAGAATCGCATAAGAAAGAGTGTTGCAAAATGTGAAAGGTGAGAACGATACCACTCGTTCAAAATGGAAGAGTGGAAGTATGATCTATGAGGATGTCAACAACAGAACTGTTGACCATATTATGGAGACTTACAGCACCTTTTACTGTTTAGATTTAAGCTCATTCGAGAATTTTAATAGTTCAGTTGATCATTTCCAAAAGTGTGGTTCAAAGTGAATTTTAAGATCGACCTTAATGACTCCAATGTTAATCGAAAAACTATTCAACAAGCACTTCATGAACACAATATTGTCTTACTCGGGACTAAGTGTGATATCAAAGCAGTTTCGCATGGGAAGATATGTACGTATTTGTGTACAGTGACGGATTACTGTTCCTTTTTGGGAAAGAAAGATCGTTTACATGGAAGTAAGCGCAAAGAAATGTCAAAATGTTTTGTATCCTTTGAAATCTTTCATTCAATTACATGCAAAGAAATCTAGTGCAACGTGTGTCCAATGAGATTGACTTGATTGATTACAACATCGTTCAATGCCGAGACCAGTAATGACAAAAAATTCAAAATTTCGAGAGTTTCAAATCCGAAAAGGCCTGTGTTTGTGGTGCTCTTTGAAGATTACCGAAAAAATCAACAAGTCTTGTGTTGATTTTTTCAATCACAACAAAGGAATAAAATTGGTAACAATAAATATTTGAAATAATCTCATTCTCTTGGAGAGATAGGTCTGTACGGGTTGGTTGTTCGTAGGAATCAAATGGAGTTCCATTACCTAATTGTCCTTGTACATTTGATCCCATTGAATATACCCATCTCTGTGAGCTTGTGAGCATAATATGTGCAAGCCCACAACTGACGTCAGTAATATATTCATTGATTGGTTGGGACTGCAAGTACAACTCGGTGGGAATAGTTCCCAAGTTTAAGGCAGAATTTGTATTTGAATGAACCAAATCTCCCCAAAGAAGCACTCTTGAAATTGGTTCATACACACCTTGTGAAATTAAGGCAATGATAAAGTTATGTCCAATCATGATCTTGTTAATCATTTCATTTTCACAAATTTTTGATCGATTCATTTCGATGAATTTTCTTTGTCCAAAATGAGAAACTCCAAATAAACGGCCATCCTGTAATAAAAGGATTCCCATTCCATATCGCCTTTGAATTTCAACAATTTTTGAAGATTTTGGAAACTCATTTTCATGTAGAGGTATTCCTCTTTCAAAACCAAAAGTATCGATGGTATCTCCTCCTGTATAAAAACGTTGTGTTCCGTATAGATCGTGTGTGACAAACCAATATCCATTTTCACTGCACGCAATATGTGTCACTTTTTCTTTTCGATTCACAAAATACTGAATCATCTCACAAAAATAAAGACGTTCTCCAAATATTGCCTCTATTGCTAATAATCCACTTGCATATACTCTTCCTGAGTTCGAATCTAACAACAAAACATGAGATGGACTACATTCAATTCTACTAATAGTTGGATACACCTCTATCCATGTTTCTTCTTCTCGATCATATTCACAAAATTTGAGTGGTGTCCATTTCTCCACTTGTCTCAAAAAACAATCATCATGATTTTTCAATACTAACATTGCATTTGGATTCTCTCCTCTGACGTAGACTTGACCATTTTCAGTCACTAACAAACAATATCCAAAATATCCAGAAATGAATTTCACTCGAGCGAATCCTTCCAAGTCATGACTGCCACCACTAGATTTTTCATGGGAAATCATGCTTCCTTTTCCATTACGATTATTATTAGTGTGATCAGTATTGTTGTTGTTATTATTATTGTTTTTATAAGTATTGTGAGATAGGTGAGTATGAGTGATAATGGAATTTTTCATTTCAACATCTGCATCCTCGTCCTCCTCCGAATAATGCATCTTATGAGATGTCGTACAAGAAGGTAGTTCTACAATTCCACGATTCAAAGACGCCATCATCACCACAGAATCATGACCTGGACGTGTAATATGGACTCCGAGTTCAGAATGTTCATTCCAACCACAAGCTCTCACTTGTTGTTGCCTCGGATTCCATATGGCTTTCCAAGGAATTGTTGATCGGATGCATGATTGCAAAAGAATGCTTCTGTTCTTGGGATGAAGATCAAGGCTTGAAATCATTTTTTTTAAATTGAAGAAAAGCCACAGATTTGATGGTGCTTTCGAAACAATTCTTGACAAAAGAGTTGAATCATGGACAGGTAAATTAAACATCAAGTTGCTGTTATCCATTGAATTGAAATCATTCCTTCAAATTTATAATCAAAAAGAGAGTCTCAGGGTTGAACACTTTACAAAAAAATGGCCAAAATTGATCCCTCCTCGGCATCCACATCGGGAAACCATCAAGAAGGCTCTTCTTCTTCCATTCCTAATCAAAATGTTACGAATGGTACTTCATCATCAAATGTTCCACCTCCACCTCCTTCCAACACTTCTGTTTTATTCAACTCAGCTGTTGCATCTTTTTTAAGTCATAGTTCCGGAACAACAACCACAGCAGGATCATCATCCACTAATACTAATTGTAATGGCACATCTACTAGTATTACTACTCAAAATAATTTTGTTGGATTGGCCAATCAGGGTGCCACTTGTTATTTGAATTCTCTCGTTCAATCATTGTTTCATACGCCTGAATTTCGATATGTGATCTTCAAGTGGAGATACGATGCTCAACGTGATCCGAGCAAGGAAAGATGTATTCCATACCAATTACAACGACTTTTTGCATTTTTGACGCTTTCAAAGAGAAAGGCTGTACCCACAACAAGTTTGACAAAATCATTTGGTAAGTTTGTCACGCTAGACAATTTTTGATATATTATAATAATAATTATTAATAGGATGGGAACAATCGGATGCATTCGTTCAACATGACGTTCAAGAATTGAATAGACTTTTGTTTGATGCTATTGATGTTTCATTGATTGCTTCTCGAAATACTGATAACAAAGAGACACAAAATGGTCACACTCCAAAGATCAAAGAACTCACTAATTTTCATGACGTGTTGATCAGTGACATTTATAGTGGAATAATGCTTGATTATATTGAAGCTAAAGATCATAAACGAGAATCAGGCGAACCTGTGGGAAGGGTGAGAGAAGATATTTACATGGACTTGCAGTTAGTGGTCAGAAGCGTATCCTCCGTGGAGGAGGCTCTCGACAACTATGTGAAGCCAGAGCTCTTAGAGGGAAATGAACAATGGATTTGTGAGGAACTTGGAAACAAGAAAATTGATGCCATCAAAGGCTTAAAGTTGAAGACTCTTCCTTACATTTTAACATTGCACTTGAAGAGATTTGACTATGATCTCCAAACTTGGACTCGAATTAAGGTAAGTGGTAGATGATTATGTCCACTACTTTAACGTCATACGTTAATAGTTAGGAAATATGGTTACCTTTCCATTCGAATTGGATATGACAAAATACGTAACAAATCAATCTGGCTCGTATATTTATGATTTATTTGCTGTATTAATCCACTCTGGATCTGCTCTTGGAGGTGTAAGTTGAATACTGAGATTTTTCTTTAATACTGACATCTACCTGTTATTTTGTTTTTCACTTTCTATTCAATTTAAAAGCACTATTATGCGTACATTAAATCATTTTCTACTGGAAAATGGTATAATTTTAATGACAGCAACGTGTCTGAGATTGATGCTCAACAGGTGAAATTGATGTATGGTACCAATGATGCAAGTGCAACTGGTCGATATTCCTCTTCCACCAATGCCTATATGCTTTTGTATAGGAAGAGAGACGAGATTCTAAACATCAACCATGTAGAAGAAAATATGATTCCAGACGATTTACGGGAAGAGGTAGAAAAAGATAACGAACAAATTGTTGAGGAGCTTCGAAAGGCCGAAGAAGCACGACAATCATTGAACCTTCGTATTAAATGTGAGGGCCAACCTGTATTATCAATAACTGTAAAAAAGACAGATACCATGAAACAAGTATTAGAAAAGGTACATGAAATGATGTCACGAAGAGAAAACTTTTATTCTAAACTCTCAAATTGTAGACTCCGCAAGTTTGACATTATGAAGCAAGTACCAACTTCTTCCTTCCATAGACATGGAGATCAACCAATTTCACGATTCAACATGTTCAATGGTACCATTTTATATTTGGAAACAAAAGAATCAGACGAGGAATGGAAAGAAATTACAGAATATATTACAATATATGTGTGTCCCTTCAATGAGGAAAATAATGATTTTGACCAACCAAGATCCGTCAAAATTACTACCACACATACCTTGTTGGATATTAAGAAAGAAATTGAGAAGGAATTGCAAAGAGAAAGATTTCCAAATGAAAAGTTAAATCTGGTCATTATGCGAAATGATCAACTTATATTATTCCATAATGTGGAAGAAAATGACAGAACTATCGAAAATGGGTTGAACATTGTCGGATCTGATTTAGTTTATGTTGAAACTCTTGAAAACCCAACACAAAATCTCGAAACCAAAGTTTTGGCGAAATTAGAAGAAATGAAATATTGTTTTGATGTATTGATTAACACATTCGACAAACCAAACGATTATACCACTGCTGTTACAGTTGATAAACGGAAAACAGTCAGAGATCTTAAAGAGAGAATAGCAAAAATATTGCAAACAGAACCTTCTGCATTCAGATTATGTACCAAAATGCACATGCAACCAATTAACGAAGACATGTTAATTGCTGAGTGTCCTCACATTTTTGAATATACGTCTTTACATGTGGAAAAGGGTGCAGCTCCTAAAGAAGGGGAAGTCATTCTCCAGTTATATGTGCATCTTCCATGGTTATCTGAAAAGCAACACCAAGAAAAGCCCCCTGAAGAAGAACCAAAATCTCCTCCTCAACAAGAGAATGTTCATCACGACATCGCAAGTAACAATGTACCACCTCCTCCCAATACAGAAAGCGGTGTCATGATGACATGTGAACCGCCACCATCAAGCTCAACTGCAGTAGTACTTGCTCCCAAGGATGGTCCAGTTTACAATCAAGGAATGAGATATCTCGATGTTATGCAAAAGTTAAAAGATGAATTTAGATTTGTTGATAAGATTGTCATCAATCAACAAGAAACCTTGGGACAATTCAAGAAGAGAATTTTTGAAAAGTATTTCTCCAACCCTGATTCTGATCAATATGTGCCATTAGAATTGATGAGATTGAGGACAAAGGTTGGAGTATTCTTACAAAACATGTTAATTCACGATGATAAGACCCTCAAAGAGAATATTTCGGACCTGACAAACAACAAACACATTTTAGTGCAAATAATGGAAAAACCAATGACAATGCGTGAAGGTGACATGACTATTTATGTTCAGAGATGGTTACCGTCTGAGTGGAAGTTTTATGGCGGTTCTGATGCCAAATTCGAGGTTCTTATTCCAAAAGAAAGTGATTCGCTTTCTCCTCAAACACTGAGATCAAAAATTTATGAAAGCCTTAAACATTCTGCTCTCTCAGATGTGTCACCAGAAAGATTTGAGCAAATAGGTATAAGCAGAGCTCCAGGCCAATTTGACTATTTCATTACGAAGGAGTGTATTCAGGTCGCAATTTTAAATTATGACGAAATTGACTCGGTGAAGGATCTGTATCGACCACCGTTCATCATCAAACAAGATGAAATTTTCATTGTGAGAATGAAGGACGAAGTGGACAAGTATGACATGGAAGAATACAAGCAAAAGAAAAAAGCAGAAGCAAATGCTCCCTCTACATCCCGTGTTCAGGAAAAAGCACTCAAAATTAAGGTTCTCGATAAAGAAACAGAAGAAAAGGAACAACGATTGAAAGAAGAGAGGGAGAGTGAGGAACAAAAAAAGAAGGAATCCCAAGAGACAGATCAAAACGGAACCAGTAGCAACCATCATGACGCCATGAATATTGACTCCTCGACTTCGTCCTCAACACAAGAGAATCCAAAAAAGAAACTAAAATTAAAAGCTGACGAAGCATAAGTGAATTTAATATCAAATAAATATTGAGATGTTAATGGTCTATTAGATGAATCTCACTAACTCCGTCCGTCCAAAATTTGATGAGTTACCTTAATTGCGATCACCACCAACATGAAGACTTTCCTTCTCATGAAGAGTCAAGCTTTCTTATTCATCATTGTGTTCTTTCAAGTACTTAGTTCGAACATCATCGTTTGCTTCATACGCCCATTTTAGATTGGAGGAAGCGACATCCAGAATTGAAGTATTATCCTGTTCACATGCTCCAAAGACATATCCACTGGCCTTATCGACCGTTTTCAACACGTTTAACACACTCTCCTTATCTTGAATATTCAAAGTACAAAATGAAACTAGAGAATAGTCCTGAATGACATCTGCCATTAATTGATTTAGCTTTCTGAATCTCGTCTTGTATTTTCGTTTTCGTTTGGCTATTTTTGATTCAAAACTTTCCTCATCTTGCATATCATGTTTTTCGTCATCATCATTTTCATCCTCATCAGATTCAATTGGATTGGAATTAGCTTCTCCATCAATGTGTGACTCAGGTTTTCGCCCAATACTTTGCACAAGATAAGATAAATCTTGAACATCCGTGTAAAAGTCAATGTCAAAAGCCAATTTTCCATATTGTTCTATCAGATCGATCTTTGACAAAATATTGACATGAGGTAATTCCAATCTAATCATAATCGAAAGAGAAACCATGAGAACAGAAATATATTTAGAGGCATCTGTACAATGATGAGCATCTACCAAATTTACAGCACATAATCTAAAGTGCCACTTATTCACTAAAACATCACAAATATCCTTTACAACATTATAATGTGTATATAATTCAATTTGTCCCGGCATATCAAAAATGACATAATAAGAATCATCTACAATATAGGGCTTCAATTGTACTTTCAACCAATCCTCCAAATGTTCCTTCAAATATTCCATACAATAAATCAAGGCTCCATTTGGGCCCAATTTTAATTCCTCCATCACAGGTTGAACACAAATTAAATCTTGAATATCCACTCCACATTCATAGGTATATCCCTCATTAGCTGGATCCATATTAACCACAACAACTTTTCTTCCGATTCCTCTCATAAATTGCTGCATTCCGTTGCAATAGGTTGATTTTCCGCTGCCCGGAGGTCCCACCACGACTTGACCGAAAGGCATTTTTTTTTGATATCTTTTTTTCTTCATCAACTTCAAAGAGAGTCAATTATTGCATTTGTCTTTTTAATGAATTTATAATTAATTACACTAATCTTACATTCGGAAGTTCTTACACTTGTTCAATAAATAAGCAAAACGAATGGAATGAGCAAAAATTGAAGCAAAAAAATGAGTCATCCTCATGTCGACCGTTATGCAAGCCTCAAGCTTGTCTATGGAAATGATTTGATTGAATTTGTGAGAGAGAGTAAAGTCTTGGTGGTCGGAGCTGGTGGAATTGGATGTGAGTTGCTGAAAAATTTGGTTCTTTCGGGATTTGAGAATATTGAGATTGTAGGTGTCTTGTTGCGGATGGATGTTTTATTGATTGTTGTTGTCGTTGCCATTAATTGTTATATAATTGTTCATTATTTTTTTATTTAATGAACATGGTTGATATAAATATCATTGTCGGATGGATTACCAATGTTTTTAAAATATAATTTTTAATTATTTGATCACGAAATAGATTGATTTGGACACGATTGACATTAGTAATTTAAATAGACAATTTCTTTTCAGACAAAAGCATGTCAGAGAATCAAAGGCAAAAATTGCAAAAGAAACAGCTCTCACTTTTAACCCAAAATGTAATATTGTTGCTCATCATGGAAACATTAAACAAAGTGCCTATGGATTGGATTTCTTCAAGCAATTCAAGTTGGTGATTAATGCACTTGACAATGTTGATGCTAGAAGACATGTCAATAGATTATGTCTTGCTGCTAACATTCCCATGTTGGATGGTGGTACTGCAGGATATTTGGGTCAAGTAAAATCCTATCAAAGAGGATTTACGGAATGTTATGAATGTAAGGGAAATAGAAACACCGAGAAGACCTATGCTGTGTGCACTATTCGATCTAATCCATCGAAAATGATCCATTGTGTGGTGTGGGCCAAATTATTATTCGAGTAAGTATTCTCGCCACTTTGTCTATGAATTTATGTATGAACATAATATCAAATAATCAAAATATGACAGCCGACTCTTTGGAAAAGTTAGTGATAGCAATGAAATTTCAACTGGATTCGAAGAAATTTTGAAGGCAACAGAAGACTTCCCACAAAAGGTTTTCAACAAAGTTTTTGTCCATGATGTTCGAGAATTATCACAAATGAAAAATAAGGAAGTTTGGAACACTGGAAAGCCACCTGAACCTCTTACTGATGAATATTTGAAAATCCTAAGACAAAATAATCCAAACGCTGACAAGAGAGCTGGAGTTAAAGATCAAATAATTTGGACACCTGATGAATGTGTACAAATTTTATTGAAGAGCCTGACTTCTCTCAAGCAACGAAGGGAAAAATCTAGCGAACCATTGTCATTTGACAAAGATGATGAGGATGCGTTGAATTTAGTCACTAGTGCTTCCAATTTGAGAGCTTTCAATTTTCACATTCCTCCAAGCTCTCGATTCGACATCAAGTCAATGGCCGGCAACATTGTACCAGCCATCGCTACAACCAATGCAATTATTGCTGGTCTTCTCGTGTGTGAAGCATTTAAAGTAATGAAAAGCATTCATCTGAGCCAAGGAAAAGAAGGTTCTGTCAATCATGTTAGTGAGTGCCTACAAACAGATTGCTTGGCCAAAACTGTGGTAAAGGGTAGAAAGAACACGATTATTCTTCCTGTCAGAATGGGACCACCAAACAAGAAGTGTTTTGTGTGCTCTTCAAATTCTGTTACAGTGTTTGTTAATTGTGACAAGATGAGCTTGGAAAGATTTGTTGAAGACGTTTTAAAAAACAAATTAGCACTCAAGGAGCCCTCTGTGCTGTCAAATGATGATCTTATCTATGAGTGTGGAGAAGAATTAGAGCAAGATCAAATAGAATTGATACAAAAACGTCAAAAGGAACTGTTGAAAGACACTGGAATTGTGGACGGTTCGGAACTCATTGTTGAAGATTTCTCTCAAGATATTAGTTGGAAAGTGATTGTGAGGCACATGCCAGATATTGAGGTTGAAGAGTTTTATGTGGAGGGAGATGAACCACCAAAGCCAGCAACTGAGGAAACAGCAACCCGTATTCCATCATCACGTGTTACTGATGAGAGCAGTGGTGATGTCATGACCCTGACAGATGATGATGATGGCTGTGTGTGCATTACAGATCAGCAAGAAGAACGCAAACGATTGAATGAGAGAAGAAATGAGCTTAAGAGAAAAAGAGCCGAAACTGAGAACAACCTCTCAGAAGATACTAATCCTCTCAAAGAGAAGAAACAGGAAGACGAGGTCATTCTCTTGGATGATTAACTCATTATTTGCAGTCTCTTGGGACGACACACATTTAAAAAAAAAAATTCTCATGCTTGAATGTTTGAACCACTAGGCTCGCCTTAAAACCATTCAAAGAAAACACACTCTCTTGCTACATCAGCAACATCAGCACCAACAACAATAACAACGAATTTGCAAATTAATAACAACGCTTAATACACGAACACGTGTGTTCCTTAATAATATTATGCTTGAATAACGAAAGTCGTTAGAATGACTGACCGTACTATTGGTTCTCCTCCCCGCACCAACATGGATCACCAAACAACAACCACTACCTCCTCCCTTTACTCATGTACCACAACCACTCCTTCCGTTCACTTTGCGGAAACAACTACTACGACTTTAGTTCCTGCTCATCCTTTCGATGCCGATGATGATGAGGAACCTCCTCTTCCTTCAGATGATACTGTTTCTGTGAGATCGAGAGTAACCAGTAAGGATCGAAACCCTCAGCGCTTCTCACCACGACCGCTTTCATTAGCTGGTGAAATTGTTTCACCCTTTTCTCAAGCTCTTTACTCTGGTACTTATGAACACTTGGGAGAGTTAACCGACAACTCTCTTTCCAAGATAGAGAAGAGATCAAAGCATTTGAGTTGTTCTTCGGTGATGGAATTTTCAGATCTGTTGAAGCAGGCTGGAGTGAATTTGGAAGATTTGCAAGATGAAGATTGGGACGATGACAGTAATGAAGAAGATAATGACACGGTTGGGACAGACAACACTGTTCATAATGAAACTGCACAACAATATTTCCTTAATACCATCGCCAACAATGCAAACTTTGTGGAAGAGTACGATAGCGATCCGGAAACCTTCACGGCCACCAGAGATTCGATGAAAGTTGAGGTGGATGAACATGACTTAAAAACTCGGAGAAATCCTTCACAAACATTTACACCTCCTCCCCTCAATAATCGAAAGAGCATGAGTCACTTATTTAAGTTTTCAAGCAGTGAAACAAAAGAAACTGATGGAATGAATCTCTCTAGGTCGGCCATGTGTGATTTTCCTGTTGGAATGGGCATTGAGGTACAATCTCCTCCCTCTTCCTCACCACAGCAAGATTCCCCGTCTCCCACGTCCAGTAATACTTCGCCCACTATGTTATCTGTTCCAACCACACCTCAAGCAAGAAGAAGTTCTGTAAAGCGAAAAAAGAGCATTCGTTCGAATGATTTTATGAAAGGTGGAAGATATATGTCCAAAGATTTTTTCTCTACTCTTTTCAAAAAAGGAGAAATTAAGGAATTTGGAGTAGATTTATTAACAGTCATGTCCCGTAAAAGCGAAATGGGCCACGAAATACCAGCACTCATAGAAGAAATGATGGTTGTGATATCTGAAAGACTTTCAGTAGAAGGATTATTTAGAATTGGTGGAAATGTGAAGGACATGGAAATACTGGTAAAGAAAATCGATTCAGGAAAGGTTGTGGAGTTAAGATCTCTTAATATTCATGTCATTACTGGACTCACAAAAAAATATATTCGGCAAGCCAAATTAATTCCTCCTCAGTCTTATCATATTTTCAAGAGAATAGCACAACTTGACAATGAAGAAGAAATAATTAAGGAGCTGGCGAACGTATTTCAAGATGTATCTATCATACCTTATTATAATTGTTTGTTATTGAATAGGTATGTAACAACGTGAGAAGATGATAGCGATCTCACGACACCTTTTTCAATATTCAGATTGTTACATTTATTGTATCATATCCATTGCAAGAGCAATGAAAATCAAATGACGGCTAGCAACTTGGCAATAATTTTTGCTCCTAATTTATTTCAGGAGGACCCTAATGCAAGTACAGCCACAATTAGCTCCTCTCTCGTTCTTCAAACAAAGGGAACAAAACTCATCACGATCATGATCGAAAAATATCAAGAAGTGTTTAGGGAACTGTTCGAGAAAATTAAGGCTAATAAGGACTTTATTCCTCTCGCTGTAAAAGAGTCAATCTCAAAGAATGAATCAAAACATTCAACGACATCCTCTAATAACACCAACAGTGTAGACAACAGTGGTTTTATTATCTTGAAAGGATTCTTGTCAAAGAAAACCAAGGTTAAATCATGGAAAAGAAGATTTATTGTTTTAACCAAGACACATTTGATGGTGTTAGAAGATGAAGACACTTCAAAAAAGGCTTTAGACTTTTTGGATTTATCAAAATCATACATCGAGAATAATTATGAGAAGAAAGATCACACCTTTAAAATATGTTTGAAAACCGACCCGCAATCTTCTCACCTTGAAGAAGCAAAGGAAATAATTCTTAAAGCAGAAAATGAAACTGAAAAAAACCAATGGTTCAACTCAATTCAAGAACGGATAGATGCACTTCAAACTAACCAGGCTGTAATCTCAATTCATTGATAGTAGTATCATCCTCCTTCTTGAATAAATGATGGGGCATGAGCTTGGGGTGGAATCATTTAAAATTAAGCCCAAAAAAAGACCGAAAAAAAATAACTCCGCAATCCACAAAATGAAATCTGTCATGCATTCTGTGTTGAAATCATCAAACTGCAAGCAACAACGGTTTTTTGCAAATTACTCAGCAATGATGATGTTGGGTAACCATAATCAACGATTTTCCCAAAGAGCTTCGTTTTCAACCCGTATGGGCCAACAACATGAAATTAAGAAGTTGAGTAGTGAGGATGTTATGAAATTAGAGAACGATTATTCAGCACACAAGTATGTACATGTTCATCAAACTTTCATCATTTTAACAATCATGATTATTATTGTTGTTGTTATCTTGATTCCGATGACCCAATCAAAATTTCATCATCATCATCGCACTATATGTACAACATTGTCTTAAATCAGTTATCATCCATTGAAGGTAGTCTTTGAACGTGCTCAAGGAGTGGTTGTCTATGATCCAGAAGGACGTAAATATTATGATTTTCTCTCTGCTTATAGTGCAGTCAATCAAGGACATTGCCATCCTAAAATTCTCGAGACATTGAAATCACAGGCAGAAAAGGTAACACTCTCATCTCGTGCCTTTTATAACAATGTGTTTGGCCAATGGGCTCAATACGTTACTAAATTATTTGGCTACGAAAAAGTGTTGCCAATGAACACCGGAGCTGAAGCAGTTGAAACTGCATTGAAAGCAGCCAGAAAGTGGGGCTATGAGGTCAAAGGCATTCCAGATAATGAAGCAATTATTATTGCTTGCTCTGGTAATTTCCATGGAAGAACTATTGGTGTCATTAGTTTTAGTGATAGCGATGAAACAAGAGATGGATTCGGACCATTCTTACCAGGTGTTTTAACTGCAAAATATGATGACGTGAATTCTTTGAGAGAGCTTTTGGAAAAGTTTGGAAAGAATGTTGCTGGTTTCTTATTGGAGCCAATTCAAGGAGAGGCTGGAGTGAGGGTTCCAAGTGAAAAATATCTAAGCGAAGTTTACAAGCTTTGTAAGCAACATAATGTTTTGATGATTTGTGATGAAATTCAAACAGGTTTAGGAAGAACTGGTAAAATGCTTTGTTACGAGCACTCATTGGATAAATCTAAGGGAGAAAAACCAGACATTTTGATTTTGGGAAAGGCATTGTCAGGAGGAGTATTCCCAGTTTCATGCATTCTGGCTGACAAGAGAGTGATGGATGTTTTTGAACCAGGCACACATGGAAGTACTTATGGTGGAAATCCACTTGGATGTGCTGTGTCAATGACTGCTCTCGAAGTTTTGCAAAATGAGAACATGATTGAGAACGCAGCTAGACTTGGTGAAATTTTCAGACAAGAATGCAGAGAGCTTGTTCATGAGGGAGGAATTGTTGATGAAGTCAGAGGAAAGGGTCTTCTCAATGCTTTTGTGATGAATCACAGTCGAATGCATGGCAAGAATTCGTATGATTTATGTACCAGCTTGAAAGAAAATGGACTTTTAGCAAAACAAACTCATGACAACATTATTCGATTTGCTCCTCCACTGGTGATTACTGAAGAGCAATTGAGAGAATGTATTGCAATTATTAAGAAAGTAGTGAGATCATTCGAGAAACCACCACAATCAAAGCAACAATAAAGAAGGGACTCTCGAATTTAATACAGAAATTAAACAAGAACTCACGTGATTGTTGAAGAAAAGTTGTACCTGAGAGAAAAGTTGCTCGTCCACTCACCACTTGGTGCTAGCACCGATGATTTATCAAAGCTCATCTCTGGAGTCGATTTTATTGTGGATTCAGGTTTGAAACCATTTTCAAACAAGAGATTCACACCATTTAGCACTGATACTGTTCAATTTAAGGACGATTATTTCTTCTTTTCAAGAATTAATCTTTCCTATCTGCTCTTGAAGACAATATAATTATTGAGAATATTAAAATGTCCTTGTAGAGATTTTAATCGATGATAAAGTCGCTCATATTTGTCTCAACAACAACAACGATGTGGTCTTTGACAAGAAAGCTGCTGACAGTAAATATCAAGATCCTTTGCAATATCACCTCACTCAGAAGATTGAATGGAAAGACATTTCGGCAACTGTTCAGTAAGGATTCAAGAGTTTCGAAGAAATGGACATCTTGGAACAATATACTTCCTATTTTGGTGAATTTGTGGAAATGTTTCATGAAAAATTGGCAATCTTGATATTAAGGTGGCAAACAAGATGCATTTTCATGGATTGTCTCGTGATTTGCTGGTCAAGTAAAATCTTTCGTTCATACTTTACTTGTCAATCTTTTCGTTTTTAATGTTTGGCATGATGGAACCTGATCACTTTAACTACAAAGCCAATAAATCCTGAAACGAACATAAATTTAGAGGATTACAGCCTCCATTGTGTGGCCAATGTTTATTGTTTCTTGACAGCGAATGTTATTTCTTTTCATTAAGGGAAGACATGAAAGTATTAACAAAATTTTGAAGTGAATTCCAATCTTTCTTCTCTTACCAATAACAATGGGTTTTCCTCTCTTAGCTTATCATTTTCCTTTCTTAACGTGTTCATTTCATAGTACATCCTATCGTTTTGTTTTTTCACAATTTCCACGAGGAGCTGTATTGATTCATCTTCTGAAAATCTTTGATGCAATGGGTGATGTGCAAAGAAAAGGTTCTTTTTAACAGTTTCAAGGGATATTGAGAAAGGAGGTCCATTTTCATCCTCAGAGTCAGTTGAATGTTGAAGAATATCCAATCCACTATTGATTGGTTTGGTTTGTTCTATTTCTCCACTTAACTTTTCCCAAATTTGGAAATCAAGAAGTCTCCTCTTTTTGCTAAAATTCGAATCATCAAATCGATGAATTCAATCCTTCTCATGATAGGGGCGTTTGGAAAGTGCATCTTTTAAGAGAGACTCAACAACGACTATTAGGAATTACAAAAAAAATGTCAACTCTCTCGATCACGACTCACACCATCGCTCCACCCACACTCGGGAATGCCTTTCTCGAAGACACTGCCCTTCAGGAAATTCTTGATAAACACATCTTTTCAAGCCATGTTCTTCCTTCTCTTTCGGAATCCACCAAAGATCAAATCAGAAAAGATTTGACAAATTTCGGAGAACAAGTCACTTCCACCATTTGGAAAATATCTGATTTGGCAGAAAGACATCAACCACAATTATTTCAATATGATGCTTGGCAAAATCGAATTGATCATATTGAATTACATCCTGCTTGGAAAAAATTGAATGAAATTAGTGCTCGGGAAGGAATTGTTGCATTGGGCTATGAACGAGAGGATTTAGGAGAACATGGATTGCATCGATTATATCAATTTGCCAAGTTGTATTTATTTGATCCGAGTTCAAGTGTTTTTACATGTCCTCTTGCAATGGGTGATGCTGCTGCTCGATTGATGGAACACATGTTGAAGACATTGCCACCTGCAAAGACACAAGCGGAATCGGAACGATTGAAATTATTTCAAGAATGTAAAAATCATTTGACTTCAAGAGATCCAAAGATGTTTTGGACCAGTGGACAATGGATGACTGGTAAGTGTTTGTTGAGAGTGTTAATGATGATCATGAAATCTCTTTCATTTGATTTACCATTGTTACATTATATTTTCAATTAACTGCCAACTGTCACTTGTTATGAATAGAAAAAAAGGGTGGAAGTGACGTGTCAGGAACTGAAACTGTTGCCACGCATGTCAAAGATTTTGATTACATTTTAGATGGTTTCAAATGGTTCACAAGCGCCACCGATTCACAAATGACTCTCGCTTTAGCCAAAATTAAATGTGAAAAAACAGGAAAACTCGATGATCAAGTGTCACTTTTTCTCGTCAAGATGAGAGATGAAAAGACACAAAAATTGAATGGTCTTGTCATTCACAAGTTGAAAAATAAGCTTGGAACAAAAGCATTGCCAACTGCTGAAATAGAAATTAAAGGAGCAAAAGCAACACTTGTCAGCCCAAGAGGAGAAGGAGTTAAATACATCTCCATCATGATGAACACAACTCGTATTTACAATGCAACTTGTTCTGTTGCTAAAATGAGAAGAATTATTAGCATTGTTCAAGACTTTTCTGCCAATAGAACCGTCAATAGAGGTCAACTCTTGTCACACAACTCACTTCATTTAAGACACTTGTCAAAGATGGTCACTGAGACGACTGGATGCTTACACTTTGTGATGGATGTTGTGAGAATGATGGGTCGTGAAGAAAGTGGAATTGCAACAGCAGCTGAATCTCATCTATTGCGTCTCTTCACACCAATCATCAAATTATACACTGGAAAGAAAGCTATTCAAGTTGTGAGTGAAGGTTTAGAAATGATTGGTGGAATGGGATACATTGAAGACACAGGAATTCCAAGATTATTACGAGATGCTCAAGTTCTTGCATTGTGGGAAGGAACCACAAACATTCTTTCATTGGACGTTCTTAGAGTTTTGTTGCATCCAAAAACAGGACAAGAAGCATTCAAAGCATTTTCTGATCATATCCATTCAGTGGTCAATTCACCAACCTCTTCCAATGTTTCACAAGCTGCTAAAACCATTTCACATGCGCTCTCAGAAATTCAACACTATTTGAAAACCAATCATTCGAATCAATCAGTCCTGACCACATTTGCAAGAGAATTGGCCTTTTCTATTGCTCATGTTCAAATTTCTGCACTCTTGTTGGAACATTGCATTGTCAAGAATTCACACAAAAACGTTCAAATTCTTAAATTATTTGTTGAGGAACATTCAACATTGGTCATTCTTCCAAGTCAAGAGAAGATTGAGCAAATTAAGCAAATTCAAGCTGTAGATTATTTAATTGCAAATGAAAGTGATGGATACAAGACACCAACAGAGAAGAGAAGTCGATTGTAAACATAAACAGAGAACTGGCATCCTAAAAGTCTTTTCTCATAAGAACGTTCAACTTGTTCACATGTGATTTTTGATATCAACAACAAATTCAATCATTATTATTGAATCATTCAGACAAAGTTGATGGATCAACTTCACCAATACAACAACAAATTCAACGGATTTGTGAACATGAATCATGTTCCTTGTTCACACCAATCTTTCAAAAACTTCCGCTTATCAAAGTGCTTGAATCTGATTGGCTACTGCACCACCTATCTTTCAAACTCCTCAAACATCACAATAAATTACTTGCATGAACCACAACTATTCCCACTTCATGAGCACTATAAATACAAACCACAGACTGCATTGCCACCTCCAAACACAACAACAAAAACAAATTCAAATCGAGCTTGAACCCACACTTATTAGACTCCCTTCTATCACCAATAACAAATGATGCTTCAAACCCATGTGGATGATTCCATTCTTCAAGCTTTCACTAGCATGAAGATGGGAAAGGGTTCCTACAAGGACCACAAGATGCTTGTATTGGCCATGAATGAAAACGCTCTTCATATTGATGAAGAACTTTCCAACGCTTCATCTTTGGAGGCTTTGGCTGAACAACTTCCTATGGATCATACTCGATATATTTGCTATCACTTGCATTTTGAGAAACCTGCTTCTTCCTCACTCCCAGATACTGCCTCAGAAGGACTGAGAAGTAAGATCATCTTTATTGTTTGGTGTCCTTCGAAGGTATCTGTAAAGGAAAAGTTTCAAGTGGCTGCCACTAGTAAGACTGTTAAGGATAAATTGAATGGAATCTTTGTGACTCATCATGCCTCTTCAAAGAGTGATCTTGAGGAGGGACCAATGATTGAGAGATGTTTGGCTATTATGAAATAAGTCAACAACAAACTCAATATTTGGTTTTAAATATGTTCAGATATACTCTCTTGTAAATATTCAACAACAACAACATTAACACGTTACAATAAATATCACATTATTATGATAGAACGGTTGTAAATATTAATATCCAATGGAAAGTCGAGTTGTCTTTTCTTCAGATCAGCACTTTATAGGTCAGTTACCAAATCAATTTTCTCTTCCAATCAGATTCTTCCTTTTCTCTTCAGACATCACCAAAGCAGCTGAAGAGTCCTTCCTCATGAATCCAACAACACCCTCAGCAACCACACCCTTCAACCATCACAACTCTTGAGGAATCGGATCGATCACTAAAGAAAAACCGTCTGACACACGTCCAACATCATCGTCATGTGTGCCATGTATTATCCGTCCTCATCATTACAGATGAGCAAGAAGGAGGTAGTCGATCATTCACAACAAAACTCACCATGGAAACGGTTTCGTCCCTTGTTACTGGCACTCCCTCATGAAAATAATATTGGAGAGAAGCAGCAGCAACAACAACAACAGCTTGTCCGAAACCAATGGCTGGAACGACATTGGTTATTCTCGGGATGTTTGAAAGAACGCCTTGTACTTGTTCCTCTCAGTACTAATAATAATGAACCATCATTACTTCATTACGAAATGATGGATTTAAATAGTTTTAATAATACTGATCACAAGTCAGCAGAGAAACCACTTGGATCATGGGTCGTCTTTCAGTTGAGAATTGAAGGCATGAGATGTGGTAGTTGTTCCGGATTGGTGACTCGCTTGATACAGGACTATCTCTCGGAACGATTTGGACCACAACAGCAACAACTCACCGACCATAATAATATGAAACCCAGTAATAACAATATCAACAACCGATCCTTCTCTCATCATGTTGATCTTGAAAAGAAGAGACTTGTCTGTGTGGTAAATGACAAGTCCCTTCTTCTCATCAAAAAGGATCATCAAAGCCTTTCCGAGCTCTATGATGATGAGCTTGAGAATATTCGGACACATATCCAACAACACACCAGTTTTATTCCTTTTGAAATTCGAGCCTTTGTGAATCACAATCATGGCTTATCTTCGCTAGGAATGAACGAAACATCAACCACTGAAATTTCTCAATTATTATCCAAATCCGTGCCGTTATTTGCCGATGATGACTCATGCCTCACGATGGAAGACCTTTTAGTGACTCCACTACTCCATGAATCCTCCTCACAATCATCTTCCCTCCATTCTCCTTCAATTTTTCTGCTTTTATGCAACAAAAAGAACCGTCCTACTATTTCCACTTCTTCTACTTCGGACCAACAACATCAACCGAATGACAAAGAAGCAGATCTTGAAATTTGTTCCTTACTCGAACAACACATAACACCATCAGCTCTTCAAAGCCTTTCAAAAAATAGTACAAACATCAACAAACAACAACACTTGTCGGGATTATCAACCACAAACTCCACATCGACCATGCCTGCTTATCCGACATCTTCTCCTCCAGAAGAAGAAGAGCAAGAAGAAATTGATTTGGATCTTCAGGAAGATGAGGATATAACGAACATATCTTCAAGGTTATTATTGAATGAAAACGACTCATCGGAAGATGATGGGAATGATCATTCTGAAAAGCCTTCATTTTGGACATCATTGAAGGTACTGCTTGGTATTGGCTATGAATCCTCCTCATCATCCGTGAGAAAGAAAATCTCTGATTTTGATGAGGAATATGAAATGGAATCCATTTCCATGAATGGAGAAAAAACAATTGAACTCGATGTAACAGGAATGCATTGTTCTTCGTGTGTTGGAAAAGTAGAAAACTCACTGAAAAACACAAAAGGAGTTTTGAATGCATCAGTTTCATTAATGACAAATTCCGCAAGTGTCACCTATAACACTTCGGAAATTACCATTCAACAAATTGTGGAAACAATTGAATCAGTTGGTTTTCAGGCCTCTTTGAAACAACAATCAAAGCAAAAGCAACATCATCATGTAGAAAAAGAGAGTGCAGAAAAAGCACAACAAACCATCAATGCTTGGAAAATCCGATTTATCATCTCTTTACTATTTACTATTCCTGTAGTTATACTTACTATTTCAAACAAACGAAATTATTCAGGCTACGAATTGTACAAAGTGAGATATAATTATTCGCCCAAAGATAAGCTTAATTATTTACTTGTAAATTATGGATGTATGATTTTAACTGCCATAGTTCACTTTGTGACAGGATGGCATTATCATGTACAGGCTGTGAAAGTACTTCGAAATTTTTATGCAGACATGAATGTTCTAATTTCACTCAGCACAAATGCTGCATTCATGTATTCTGTTGCTTTGCTAATTACCACAACCTTAGAGATGTATGGAATTATTGGCCAAGCAGTCTCAAAATTCCCTTCTTATTTATTTGAAACTTGTGTCATGGTGTTAATGTTCCAAAACTTGGGAAAATATCTCGAGTCTATTGCCAAGAAAAAGACCACAGAATCATTATCAGCTCTCTCACAGTTACAACCTGCAAAAGCAAATTTAATTGCTGATAAAGTTCAGGAAGAAAACTTGACATTCAGTACCCGCACAAGAGAAGTATTTGTAGAGGAAATATCCGTTGGAGATTATGTCATGGTAAAATGTGGTCATACCATACCATGTGACGGAATTATTGTATTAGGACAATGTTTTGTTAATGAGAGCATGTTGACAGGAGAATCCAAAAGAATTTTCAAGAAGAAGGGCTCGAAGGTATTTGGAGGCACTGTCAATGAACAATTTTCTTCTGGAAATGAAGCTGCGTCTGGTGGAGTCATTATTGTGAAAGTCATCAAGACCGGTCAAGAGAGTGTATTGGGGCAAATCATTACATTGGTTCAACAAGCTCAACATAACAAGGCTCCAATTCAGCAATTTGCTGATTCTATTTCACGAGTGTTTGTTCCTGCAGTCATTGCTTTATCTCTAATTACATTTGGAATTTGGTATTTTTCGTCAACTTTAGGATTTATTAATAATGGAACCAACAGATTAGATTCGGTGCTATTCGCTTTGATCTTCTCCATGTCGGTTCTTTCAATCGCGTGTCCTTGTGCCCTAGGAATAGCAACACCCAGTGCAATCATGGTAGCAACAGGAATTGGTGCTTCAAATGGTATCTTGATTTTAGGTGGACTTCCTCTCGAGATTGCACACAAAGTAGACTGCATTTGTTTTGACAAAACTGGAACTATTACCAATGGAAAAGCTTCTGTGATTGATTATGGATTTTTCCATGAGGATGCTTCAAAAGTGGGCATTGATGAGCAAGACTTTTTTGAAATGATCGTTGGAGCTGAAAGAGCCAGCGAACATCCTTTGGCTGAAGCAATGGTTCAATATTTTTCACCAAAGATTGAAAACATGTTTGACCATATGGACACCTCTTTGAACATTGTTGGAGGAAAGGGCTTGAAATATGTTTTCACAAACAAGAGAGACAACAAACAACAAACAGTTTTGATTGGAAAAGCCTCATTCTTGAGTCAAGAAGGCGTCATTGTGGATAATCCAAAAGATGCAAAATTTGCAAATACGAAAAAGCTTTTGAAACAAGGATTCACGGTGGTATTTTGCGCTGTCAATAATGTTTTAATTGGATACATTGCACTCTATGATGAGTTGAAACCTGAAGCTACTGAAGTTATTAGAACATTAACAGAAGAGTTTAACATCAAATGCGTGATTATGAGCGGTGACAACAAGCAAGCTGTACAACAATGTGTCTCTCGTTTGGGCTCTGACAAGTTAGAGTATCTGTACGACAAGACCCCTTCTGAAAAGTGCCAATATATTGAATTACTTAAAAAACAAGGATATACTGTTGCGATGCTTGGTGATGGCATCAACGACTCACCTGCGTTATCAGCAGCAGATATTGGTATTGCGATTGGAGATGGTACAGACATTGCGATTAAGAGTTCAGATATTATTTTGCTTAATTCTGATTTGAGAGATGTCGTGACTACCATTGAGCTTTCACACAAAACATTTTCCAGAATTCGATTGAATCACTTTCTTGCTCTTGGTTACAATATGATTATGATTCCATTGGCATGTGGCGTGTTGTGGCCATTTTATGGAATTGTTTTACCCCCTTATTTATCATCCATGCTCATGATGCTCTCAAGCTTGAGCGTTCTCATTAGCAGCTTGTCATTGCGGATGACTTTCAAAGCTCGAAAGAACTCGAGTGAAAAAGTTCAATAAAAAATCGAATCGAAAAGTTTACTAAGTAAAATTACTCTGAGTAATAATACAATCAATGAACGCTCTTTCTTTGTTCTGCGCTCAAAAATTGTTTAAAGTCAAAACTGAGAATCTCTGCAAGTTGTTCCTTCATGTTGTTATGCATGACACATAAGTGATCCACATGTGCCTTAGTTTGAGCACTTCCAAACTTTCGATACATCTCTAAACCTCTCTCCAGAACTTGCAACTGATCTCCAAGTGCTTTCTGCAATCTCTTGACATTTGGCAGCTGATCTGGATTTTCTTTAATCCAATCTTCTACAAAGAATGCACTAATATATTTGTTAATACCACCATGTACAGCAGCGTCAATGGTACCATTCAAAGACATGGATAATTGCTTGGTATCAGGTTTAGTATCCACCATGTGATTCAACACAAGTTCATTCAAATCTAAATTCTTATCTTCAATATTTTTGATGGCATTTTCAATTGGATTCAAAACAATTTGTTTTCGAGAAATGATTGGTTTTCTTCTCACCACTGTTGGGAATGAGTCACCTGTCATGACAATTTCCACATTCAACTCCTTGTCATGATGAACATCGTCGTGGTGTTGTGGCATTGGCTTGATGAAACTTCTTCTCAATTGATCATTCACAATTTCCTTATTACTATCAATGATAAAGAATGTAAATTCTGTATATAAATCTCTAATTTCATTCATCTTCTTATCATCAGGATGACCTCTATAGGTTTTTCCTAATTTGAAAATTCGAACGTCATTGAACGATTCATATGATGTGATATTCTTTGAAACATTCATTTCACGTGCCACACTTGTGCATTTCGTTTCAACTTCCTTATAGGACGAAGGATATACTGTAATAATTCGAATATATTGTCCTTCTGCTTGTTTCTTCTCTTCTGGTGCATCTTCGAGTGCCTTAATCAATTCAGCATTAGGAAAACGTTTCGTAATTCGATCTGTGAAATCCACCAATCTCTCTGCTTCATTTCCTCTATAAATATATTCCTTATTTTGTAATCCATAAGGTTGAAAACCTTTTCCATAATATCCCACAAAGAAATAGGAAGCAAAGAATCGTTTTTGTTCGAAAATTTTCTGAAACCATTCTCCTTGTGAACGCAAGAGATCTGCCAATTTCTTATATTCAAAAGTTTTGGTCTCATAAATAGGAGAGAGCTCACGAGAGAGTTTAATGGCACGTTCCCAATCTTTTCCTGCATCAAAATATTTCATGGCTTGTAAATAGAGTTTTTCCTTTCTTCTAAATTCAAATTCTTCTGGATATTCTGCAGAGAGAGCTGGTAAGAGTTTGTTTTGAAGTTGTGATGCAGAAGGTGACAATGTAGAATTCTGATTCACAAGGAATGATAATTTTTCAGCGTGTTTCAATAGAGCCATTCCTGCTTCGACAAAATTCGAATTATTTTCATGAATTTTGGCAAGCATGTGAATGTATTTGAAATAAATTTCTTCTTGTTGAGTGGATGCAACGTATTGCATGACACGGAGAAGAGCACTTGTTTTTTGATCTTCTTGATCATCGGTAAATCGTTTCACAGAAGCAACAAGTTCCATAAATCGTTTGGTTTGATTCATGAATTGTTTACCTTCTGTTTTGAGTAATTCATCCTTTTCAAAACGTTCATCAAGTACTTCGACAAAGAATTCTTTGAATTTGTCATCGACGAGTTTGTCATTGACAATAAATTCGTCAAAAACGACAGCAGTGAGACCTTGAGTGTGTTTTAAACTCGTTTCTGATTGGAATTCTAGTTTCAAAATGTTGTAATAAATATTAAGAGTTTGAACGTAAATTTCTTGTTTTGGAATGGATGCTGCCAATCTCAATACTCGATCAATTAAATCTGGAACAAAGTAGTATTGATGTTCTTGTGTCAAACTTTCGAAAATTTTTCTAAACAAGATCACACAATCCACTCTCAAATCACCATGTAAATTAAATTTGGTTTGTTTGGAGAGAGAGAATTTTTCAATCTGCAATCGAGGACACAATGCAAATCGATAATACAAATCAAAGAGTCGATTCCACAATTTTGGATCAAAACTTTTCACATGATGTTTCTGTAAGTATTCTGAAAAGATTTGAATGGTTCTCATCGAGGTGTGAAATGAAAATACGTTGAATGCAATCCAATATTCTGGAATGGGAGGATCATCAATCATGGATTCAATTAATTCGAAAATGTCAAGCACACGTTTGACGCGAACTTTGGAAGATGGTTCATCTTTGGTTGGTAGAACACGTTTTTTCAAGAGTCCTCCTTGAGTCTTGTCTTGTGTTAATTCATGAATTTCTTCACCTTTAAATTGTTGAATAAGGAGTTTTTCATCTTCTGAGAAATCTCTTTGGAAATATTCATTAATCATGTCAAAATCGGTGAGATATAAAATACAGAGAACAACAGAGAAGAGTTGGGCACGCGTTTGTTGAATTCTTTCATACTCTCGTTGTTCTTGGAATGATTCCAAATCATCACGTTTTCCAAATCTTGAAATTCGTTGTTCTGCTTCCCGACTCTCTCTTGTGAGTTCATTAAAGATGATTCGAATTGTTGGTAATTTTGAAAGGAATAAATAGATATCTTTTTTCACATCACCATAACCTTCTACTCTTTGAATGAGTGCTCTTTGAATCGTTGCTAATGCATCTGCTAAAATTCCAGAGCAAACACGTCGACTCAAAGAATTAGAAACCACGCTTTGCTTTTCTACTTGATTGAGAATCATTGGAAGAATAGTCGCTCTTGTTTCACGAGATTTCATTAACTCTGAAGAACAGCATTGTCTGACAAGTCCTAATTTACCTTCAACCGTTGCCAAACGACCAGTATTTGGAATGGTTTCAATAAAGTCCTTAATGAGCGCTGCAATCTCCTTCTTTTTAGAGGATGGAAATTCTTCAGTGACACGGAAAAAGAATGGAGACAACATTTTGAGAACAGTATCTTGAGCATCGAAAAGTTTTTGGGAGCTCGTGACAGAAATGGCCTTACTGATCTTTTCGAACACTTCTTTCACATTTTTGAAATATTCATCATTGGACATGCCACCCTTCAATTTTTCATTCTCATAATTTCTTCTATTTTTAGTAATAAAGAGCAAAACAAGTGGGAATCCAATCAGAGTTTCTTTGAGTAGAGTGACAGTCGATTTTTCTTGTACTCCTGTGTCTTGTTCAGCCTCTTTGATTTCATCCAAACTGTCTAAATTGGTGCTCAAGCATTCCAAAAAGCATTTGTGAATGGCTGGATCTGAATGTTCAAAGCAATCGTTAATGTAATCCTTGAACATGTCTAAATATATTTGATTCTCTGGTAATCTCAACTTGTTTGCTAGAGAGAGCACTGTGTTAAATACAGCTCTTGATGTTTCATCATCTTTCTTTCTTGATAAAATGTCAAATAATGTGTTACAAACAACTTTGCAATATGGAGCAACAGTTGACAATGGTAATTTGTCAAAGTTATCAAGAATTAATCGAGCTGGATATTGTTTAGTTTCCCAACGAATGAATGTGTCCAACGTTGGATCTTGAGACATGATTGTTGAGGATAATTTGACTCTCACCGCAATGTAGTCTTTCGTTGGAGTCAATTTAGAAGGAGAACCAACATAATCCATAATTGTCTTTTCCATATCTTTTACATATTTGTAAACTGGAAGATGAACCACACCAGTGTCATTTTCACCCTTTGTGACAATTCCAATATCATCCTTAATATTCATGAATGCAACACCAAATTTTTCTGTCAATTGTTTCTTCTTGGCAGTGCAGTTTGAAAGAATAATCACCAACACAGAATTGAGAATTTGATCTGGAGTCAAACTAATTTTCATCGTTTCATTCCATGTAGGATTTGGAACGTGATATAAAATTGAACTATGATAATGTGTGAATGGTGTCTTATAGAGACAAGTATATCTGTCAATACATGGTAAACTTTGTTTCACAGAGTTCGAATAAATCTTTGCTAATAACTTGATGTTACGTGTTTCTGTGAATTTACCTCTCATCATGGTGATATATAAATCATTTCTCTCTTCTTTAGGATGGAAAGGAATGGTTAAATCAAAACATTTGGTGAGAGCCGCTTGTGTGGTTGGACAGAGTGTTTCCTTGTTTTCTTCCAACACTTTGGAAAGTGTTTTGTTAAATAATTTTAGTGAAATACCAACACCAATGGCCTTATCTTGTGGAATTCTTTCCAAAGGACCACCTCCATCAATAATAATGTCAGGCAACTTGGCAAATAATTCTTCCTTAGGTGTGGTGTACAAAATAAGAGTACCAGGTTGAAACTCTTTTTCGTTCATTAAGTGTTCAGAAATGACTTCTGGAGTGATTGGCATTAGAGTTCCACAGAAAGGACGTCTATAACTTGTCTCTTCTTCGACATCATCCATGTTGGGATTCACTCCTTGTTGAAGGAAATTTTGCATGGTTGCTGTTGGTAATTGTTTCTTAGTGTTTGCTTTCAAGTCGAGAAGCATTTTACCTTTACGATAAATTTTCACAACAAGATACAATTCTTGAAGGTATTGAGACTCGGGAATGTCTGTGAAAAGAGCTTTGCAATTGGTGATTAAACGAATGTCACGAGGCATTCCCAAAGATGTCACAGTAAATGCATAATCCTCAGTGATGTATCTCTTTTCAGTGTAATTGTAAACAGAAAAGAATAATTCAGCTTCTTCTCCAAATGTGAACATACAAGCCTCGACATTGAGTAACAACTGAACATTTCCTCTTGGTAATTCATGTCTCATTCTCACACGTTGAAGAAGATCTGTGACAGGAAAATTTTCATCAATCTTTAGAATGAGTTCATTTTCCTTCTTTTTAAATTGTTCTTCTTGTTGTAAGACATTCTTGTTGGATGGATTTGATGAATGGTGTTGAGATCGAAGTTGCTTCATTTCCTCACGAATTTTACGATTTCTCTTGGAGAGATCCTCCTTTTCTTGTACTTCAGAATATTGATTGAAAAGATCGATCACAGCAGTATTGGATTCATTGGCACGTTGACCTTTTTGATGTCCATCATTCACACGAACAATCAAGTCCAAATTTAACTTTCTTGATCCTTCTTCAATCACTTTGATGACTCTTTGATTAATTTCTTCTTTCTGTTGTTCATCGGCATCTTTTTGAAAGTTATAATCTGTGATTTTCTTTCTCAATCCAACAAGAATAGCCATTTGACGCTTGACAGCATGATATTCTTCCATCAGATTTTCATTACGGAGTTTAATCAATTCACTGGACCATTCTCGAATGACTTGTAAAATTTCACGAGCGAGAGGACTCTCAGAAAATTCAACTGCTTGTTGAAAAGTTGGTAATTTTCTACTTTTCACATTTGAAGTGACTGTTGAAGTCTCGGAATCTATTATTTTGATAATGTTGATAAAAGTTTTGAACCCGAAAATGTTGTGTGTTGATAGATAGAAACATAAAGAATATGAGAATGTTGTGTGTTGATTGATAGATAGAAACACAAGTTCAATCATGTCATTCCATGAAATTCACATGTAGAAGAAAAATCATTGAAGAAATTCAAGTAATAGTGTGAATGGAGTATTTGAATCCACGTGTTATTAAGAACACCACACGCACAACATACCTAATTTGATAAAAGAACCAGGATAAAGTCCAACATGAATAGGTTGGTGATGAGCACCATGTGCTGAATTTGAATTTCCATATGGTTGTTGTAAAGCATTGACACTATTCTTTATAAACGAAGAAGCAGAGACATTTGAAGTTGTTGTTGGTATTGAATTTGCGCCACTTGAATTAGCCACCACGGAAGTAGTAGTAGTATTAGAGGATGTGGTGTTGGTGGTTGTGGTATTGGTGGTTGTGTTGGTTCCTCGAGGTGATACTTTTGGCGATGATGATGATGAAGATGAAGACTCGATCGATCCGTTGCTTCCTCCAAACTTTGAAGCTCTAATTTTCACAATGCTTCTCGGAGAGTTGTTGATTTCATTCGAAGAAGAAGACGACGATGAGTCCTTGACACTATTTGTTGATGTTGTTGTGGAGGTGGTTGAAGAGTTTTTCACAGAGGAGGAGAGATTTCCACCAGAAGAAGAAGAAGAATGACTGTCATGATGATGATCACATCTCATCACATCAACACCACCATTACTTGGAGTTGAATACTCCAATTCCACTAAATACCAACCATCTTTTTTGGCATGGCACCGAACACGATCTCCCTTGTTGAGTGTAATTTGGAAACGACCTTCAGCAGCACGAGAGAAGAGAACTGTGCCGAGAGTGTCATTGGGAAAACGAGTCCATGGAGTCATCTTCAAGTCAAAATACGCCTAACTTTTGAATTGATGGTGAATGTGGATGCGGTGAGAGGCTAATTTTTTTTTTGAAAGAGTGTGAATCCCTCAGATTTTTGAAATCGCTTGTCAGGTGTCAGCAAGTTTGAAGATTCGTGCAAACCAGGATGGTCGTAGTTTATTGCGATGCAAGTTGCGACGCAAGCTTTGTGAGATTTGAAATTCTTAATAAAAATGCTTGTGTTTACGCTACGTTTTATAACACTTTGTTATTAAGGTCTTTTTCTTTCTCCTTATTTTGTAAAATTTAAATAAATATGGCTCATTGTCAACCCTTGGAAATGGTCCATTGTGAAAGACAGGTATTCATTGTTTGTCATCCCCTCTTCACATGTTTTGAATCACCTCCTTGATACATGATTGGCCAAAAGAGACAAACCCCTAATGAGAACCAATCATAATCGTACCAAGAAGAATGGAATGTGAACACCAAAAGTGAAACCACTGAACACTGAGAGATTGCCAATCGTCCATTCCATCTAATCAAGCGTCAAGCTATAATTTCATACTTAAATTATTGAGGAAGAAAAGCGAAGCAATGTGTTCCTTAGAGAGAAGTAGAACATGATGAAAGCGTGAATAGGAAGAATTTTCATCAAATCAAAAAAAACATTACAACAACAACAACAACGATTAGACTCATTGGTGCAGATAGACAGCTAGATCTTTCTCTAGTGGTCGTCGTGTGGTGGAGCCGGGTGATTTGTTTGGAGAGATATCCTTTTTGAAGATTGTTATTGAGAGGAGAGAAGAAGGTGAGGCTCTACAGAGAAAAACACATCAAACAAACAATTCACCCTTTCCATTCGCTCCTATATCAGGAGAGAGGGTTACCAAGCAGCAAGCGTGAAAGGAAAAGCCTATAGACGAGGAGGACCATTATTCCCTTTCTTTCAATAGGAGTTGATGATGATTCAGAGCTCTGAATATTTTATGATTATTCAATGAGTACACGCATGCTTTGTAATCATCGAACGAGTACTTGTGTTCTCTTGATTGAAGAAGATGAGATCAAGCATGAACAAGACAATACTCGTACAAGAGTTCCCGACCACAACAATTCATGAATAAATATTATTGAGCCTTCTTCTTCAACAATTTTTGTTCAAAAATTAAAAATGAATCAACATCGACTCTTCTCATTATTTTCAAACGAGGGTCCAAGAGGTGCTGCTTCCTCATCATCACATAAAACACTCGGAGAGGGAGCATTGGAAGACGAGGATGAAAGACAGCCATTGGATCTAACTAGTGAAGAAAATATGCAAGATATAGATGATGATGAAGGAAAGGATGTTATGATAACACAGCACGACGATGAAGGATCGGATACTCTTCGTATTGATGATGGAGAGGACGATGAGAGGATTCAACTCGTGAATGGAGATGAAGAAGAAAATGTTAAGCCGATCGAATATGATGAAGATATTGGAAAAGCTTTTGAGATTTACGAGAAGAATTATAGGAGTCACGAAATCAAGAATAGCCATACAGCAATTGATGCCATGTTTTATGAAATCATGGAACAAAATTTTTATCCATCAGAAAATTCTCATATTATATTAAGTAAGCGATATGAGAAAATATGTGAAAGAAAGTAAGTGGTAAAATCAACAATTATTCCGAAATGATATACCCATAATTGTAGAGTACAAGAGCTGGAAGAAATTTACAAAAAGACATACTTCTTACCTGACGAACAACATTTCAAAGTGAAGGAAGAGTATTATACTCTGAAATTGGAAAAATATACTTGGGATTTGATTTATGCACTTTTTGAAGACGAAAAAAGAATAGTTCGGCAATATGAATTACCAGCTGATTATAAGGATTTTTTGTGGAGAAATAGTCACAAAGAAATTGTAAACAGAATGAAAATGAACCCGGAGTTTAGAAAACTATGTGTATGTACATGTCAAAATGTGCTGTCAATAATTATTAATGGAATATTTTTCACAAATACATCATCATTACATGGAATATTCGATAGATTATTGTGGAATGGCTCGAGAAAAATGCCAGAGAAAGGGTTGACATTGAAAATGAAGGAAATTGGATGTACACCTCAAGAAAGGACAAGCAAATTGATCCTGACACTGTCTACAAGCAAAACGCACTAGATGACGACGATTTGAGACAAGAACGGCTCATTGTCAAGAAAACATGGGCCCTGGTCAGATCGGGTCAAATGAAGGAGGCACAAATGTTTTGCCGCAAGCATGAACAATTTTGGAGAGCAGCAACAATTGCTGGTTCCGAACTTTACCATAATCCAAGATTATTATCGAAAGAAGGCAACATTGAGGGTGAAAACTCTGAATCTGTTGGCAACCAAAATCGTTTTGTTTACCTTAACACATTAATTTCCATGCTTAAGTCAGATGATTACCTAAGCAATGATGAAATCCATCACTACGAGAAAGCCATCTATGGAAGTATTTGTGGTGACTTGCCATCAACTTTAGCTGTTTGCAACGACTGGGAAGATTATTTGTGGGCCTATTGTAAGACAACTATGAATTACCTTATCAATAGGCAACTTGCCGAATATGTTCCAAGTGACTCGGAAGACAAGAAATATGTGGATGCGGTTCTAAGTTTTACTAACTCTAACAACAGGAGCTTCCATGAAATTCTTCAATCATTGCGAGTGTCCAACAACGAGAAGGTCAAAGAGGAAGCCGTTCATTATCATCATGTCGTTCAAGAGTACATTATTTGCAACCAAGTACCCGGCCTTATCAAGTATTTACTCGATTCCATAGTTCATCCTGCTGAAAAATCTATGAGCTACATTTCACACTTGTTGCGATTTAGCTCGCATTTTATTTTGACATTATCAATGGCTGGAGATGTAGAATTGAAAAACGATAGTGGAAAGGACGCAATTTTAGTCAAGTATATCCATTACTTGGTAAATACTAAGCAATATGAACATATAGCATTTTATACTAGATTTATTAGCGAGAAACACGAAACTGTGAACAACTACGACTATCGTTCTATCATTTTTGCAGAGGTCATTATCTCAATCGAGCAAGCAGAAAGAGAGAAAACCATCTCTAGAGATGATACTTTGAGAAGAATGTTAATTGCTTCAGCAAAGAAGAATGAACTCAATGTTTCTGAAATTGCAAGTATTGTAGCTGAAAAATCTCTTCAATCTGCAGAGAGTATCAACTCCATATCCCACATTAATTTATTAGATTCCCAATTTTTCCTTGACCCCAACAATAATCCATTTAATAAGCTCCGAGAAAAACAGACCACAGAACTAGACATTAAGAAGATTAACTCTATTGATTGGTTATGTATTGAAGATATTAGTCCATTCGAATGTCTTGCACAGAGCAACACTTTGCTGCGAGAATTCATTCAGGTAGGCAAGTTGGAAGCATTTGAAATGCTCTTGTCAAAGCTCCAAGAGGCAATTGATCCAAAACTTGAAAATCAATTCGACCTGCCAACCGAGAAGAAACAGCAACAAGCATTACAAGAATACAAAGATTGGAAGCTCTACAAGGAAACAATGTTGTCCTATGACAAATGGAGCAATCAATTAAGGCAAAAGCCTCAATTTAAAACCATGGAGAATGCCGTTTTCAAAAGCCAAGCTGATAAGATCAAATACGAAACAGAACTCAACACATTCACAAACACAACATTGAAAAAGTGGGCCCAAGAGAATGACATCTTGTTAAATCAAGCAGTGGAAAAACACTTTGAATTTTTGGATCATAGATTCCTTGATCAGGAACAAGTCAATGACAATCCACCACATCTAATTCATGAACTCAAACAACGGTGTATTCCTGATGTTGTGTTTTGTCTCTATCAATTACTCTCCTTCTCAGAAAAGTACGAAGATTGCATGCAACTCTCTGACAAGGTTGCCTCTGATTCACTATCACTCTTTGAATACTTTTCAAAGGAGCAATTAGTTGAATTCCTCAAGCTTATGGGTGTTTGTGAATTGAATGCCATTGTCCAAGAGCAACAACAGAACAATATCAACGATGGCCAATTGGAGTATTAAAATTGAGCAATCACTTTTCGTTATCCACATGCATCTTCACATCAAAAAATGTCTCAACCACCATTTCCTGTTCCTTCTTCATCATCATCACTATCGGATGATTCTTCCTCCTCGTCTACTCAATCGGAACCCACAATGACAACAACGCCATCCGAACATCAACACTCCCAACCCAATCACCACGTGGTACGATACTTCTTTTTTGATTTGGACGATTGTTTGTATCCAAAGAGTTCGGGAGTCAATATCCACGTTCGCAATCGTATTGCTCAATACCTCTCGGAACAGCTCGGAATTGAGAATGCCATGGAAAAGAGTGTTAATTTATATCTTCAACATGGAACCACGTTAAGAGGTTTAATAGCAGAAGGCTACAACGTAGATCCTATAACATTCTATCACTATGTCCATTCCGGATTTGACTTGGATGGAGTTCAACAACACGACGAAGAATTACATTCCATGATTGCAAAACTAAAACAAAACGTGGATAAAGTTGTCTTATTTACCAATTCGGACAAAAGACATGCAAAACGATTATTGAATCATTTAGGAATTTTAGAATTATTTGACCAAATTGTTTGTTATGAAGATTTAGAACTGTCTGTAAAGCCTCATCCTCATGCATATGAATTAGCTGCTGAAATTTCTGGATTACCGAGTGGCTCTCTTGAAAACCATACGCCAAGTTGGAAAGATATGATTGTGAATAGTCAATTAGAGATTTATTTTGCAGATGATAATTTGAAAAACGTGATGGCAGCTTTTGATATGGGCTGGAACGCGTGTTGGGTCTGTGAACAGGAGGGAGTTCAGCCACCACCCAATGAAGGAATTCCCTTTGTGCAAGATGTGAAACAATTACCAAAAGTATGGCCACATTTATTTCAATAACTTATTTCAAAGAATAATTCTGGAATAATATTGAGCCGTCATGCATGATTCTGTTCTCACTCAATTTGCTTTTTCCATGAATTCCACACAATCTCCCCAAACTCTTCATTAAATTTATTTATTTTTGCTTTTCAAAAACTGAAAGTGTGGGTTTGGAATGACAATTTTTTTTTTCATTCAAAAAATGAAACGAGTGTTTCTCTCTGCCTCGTTGTGCTTGTCCAAGCAAAAGGCTCGACCATCCTCTCTCCTGCTACCAACGAGCAGAATTATTTCATCATCATCATCATCTAATATGAATCATCATCCCATCGTCATGATGATTCAACAACAACAGCAAAATTTTTCATCGAGTCAAACCATGATGATGGCAGCAACATCTACCTCATCATCGGACAGCACTAATATTCCAGAGCCTCAACTTTTATATGAACGCTTCAGAAATGTAAAGAAGCCTCTCAAAAAGAAGGTCTCCTATGAACAGTTTGTTGAAACTGAAAACAAAAAAGTGGAGGACATTTCCTTGACGAATTTGAAGCTTCCTACACCACTCAAGAAGAAGAGAAGAGTTGGTAGAGGTGCTGGATCCGGTAGAGGAAAGTATTGCGGAAGAGGTAGAGGTGGTATTTACTCGCGTTCTGGTATTAATTTACCTGTTGGATTCGAAGGAGGACAAACACCCCTCTGGAGACGTATTCCAAAGCATGGTTTCCGTAATGGTAAATTCAAACTTGACTATCAAGAAGTGAACTTGGAGCAAATTCAATATCTCATTGATTCTGGACGCATTGACATTAGTGATGGAAAAACAATAACCATGAGAACATTGAAAGAGGCAGGTTTAATTAAGAATGTTAAATATCCTGGAATTAAATTGCTTTCGAAAGGAGTGGAGTTTTTCCGTTCAAAGATTGACATAGAAGTACCAAAAGCATCAAAACAAGCAATCAAAGCTATTGAGAATGCTGGAGGATCCATTCGCTGCATTTATTTCAACAAGAAGAGTCTTCATGCAATGTTGAATTTCGAGAGATACGTGAAAAAGAAGGGTCACTTACTCTCTGAAGAGGAGCTCAAGAATCCATATATTATTTATCACAAATATATGGGTTTGCCCCCACCAAAGCTTTTGAATTACTACATGAAGGAGGAAAACAGGGGATATTTGGCAGAATTTACAAAGGCTTCAAGCTTTGAATTTTATAACGATGAACAAAGACAATAATTCCTATTATTGATGTGAATTTAGTAAAGCGTATGACCATTATTAATGTGTTTGTTGATTACAAGATGCTCACAACTCAGACAAATCTCATAACCCCCACGCCAACAAAGCAGCTGTTGAAATTGCAAGTGACAATGGATAAAACCAAGGATTCTTGTGCTTTTCTCCCTTCATGTGCCAAAACCAAAAGGCACCAAAATGGAACAAACCATAAATCCAATTAACTCGAATGACCAAACGTTTCACCTCTTCACCCATTTCTGATTCTCGATTCTTCATTAACAGCACATGCCAACACAATGCAGAGATTGCTGCATCTCCAGAAGCAGCAACAGAGCACCAAAATTTAGATGTTGGGGTTACTTCCCCGTTGAAATGTTTCACAGTACCACCCGGTGTTAAAATATAGAGAGCAATGGAAGGAAGAGGAAGAAGGGCACCACTCCAAAAGAACATTGATTGAAGAAGAGAAGATGGTGACTTTGAATGGCAAACTGATCTTGACGACATTTTTTAAGAATTGGTGTCTTTACGGTAGACAACAAAAGCTCAAAGGAGCTGCTGGGCACACCGGCTGGAATATTCAAAATGACAACCCTTATTGACTTGGCCTTTATTGTGATTAGAAAGATAGAGGATAGATGTGAATTACCAACATTTGTTGGAGGGATTGGGAAAGGAAGGGAATTATTATATGACACGATGGCAATGTTGGTTCTATTCTTGGATATCGGAGTGCCGAGAATCAAATTCCATGAGTACAATTATTATTATGAATGGTTCTAAAACCTGTTTGAAATTGTAAAAAAGGCGCCTAAATGTTCTCGTCCCAATTTCCACTTGTTGTCATCATTGTCATCATTAATAATATATTATTAAAAATTGTTTAAATTATTGTTGTTGCTGTTGCGATGAGGGTGTAGTTTTCGCTTGTTGTTGCTGTTGTTCAACTCTCTTTACGAATTCTTGTTCTGGGGCGTGATGTCCAAAAGCCAAAGTAGAAACATCCTTGTGGGATGGATTGAAGAAGTGTCCAGGTGGATAATGTCTCTTCTCTGGGTTTCCGGACCAATTAGGTTGATGAGGACGTCTAACTCCAAAACCTTTTCTATTAGCTTCATCTTCCGTTGGAGGTTCATCTCTCAGTCTATGTATCCACATATGCCATTCAGCAGGAATGTCCGAAGCATCATAGACAAGATCTTTACGAGCAAGCTCTACCCAACGATTACGGTTCAATTCAGTTGGTTTTGTGGTTTCCCAATACTTGTTTCCGTATTTATCAACACCAACAAGAACTTTATCTCCCTTTTCCCACCATGCTTCTCTGAGTTTAAAAGCCTTCTTCAAAGTTTCCATCACTCCAAATTGTTTAAAATCGTTGAGAAGGGAAAGTTTTGATTGCCAAAATCCACGAAAATATTGCGACATGATGATAAAATATTTTTTTTATGATGATGAAAAGAAAATTTCTTATTAGGTTTGAACGTGGTGGACTTTGCCGCAAAAACGTTTGTGCATGAATGAATTTAATATTCAAACAAACTACACATCCTAGAATTTCACAACATTACAGATTGTTTAAAATATCTTCAAAGCTTTCCTCTAAGGTTGTTGGGAGGGTTCTTGGATGGCCCAATTCTGAGCTTGTTGGTAAAACATTATTAGTATTATTTGTCTGGGTTGTCTCAACAGATGATGAAGGAAAACCTCCAACAAGTGGGTTTGGTTGGGCTGATGATGTTGGATCAAATATGAGAGTGCCATCTCCTTCACGAACAAGAGAATATAGAGAGGTTAAATGCTCCTGCAGAAGGAAGCTCTTGTTGTCGGCACTTGTGGATTTTCCCTCCGTTCGCAATGTTTTTAATCTCTCGATTTCGCTAATGACGAGTTTTGATACCTCTGTTTCTCTTCTCTTTTTGATAGATTCTAGTTGATAAATAATCTGCGAGTATCTTTTGCGAACTCTTCCAAATTGTTTATCCAAATAGTTCATGGCCTTAAGATCTTTGTCAATCATTGCATAATAATCCACACCGAATTCATAATTGCTTCTCAGGCCGCTTTCAATTTCCTCAATGATACCTATGTGAACTTGGCATGCTGCTATAACGGATGACATATAGAGAGGAGACGCAAATCCAATAGATATCTCGTTGGAAAAAATCTCTGCAATTCTATTGGCTGCATCTTCGAGTACCTTTCCCTTATATCCACATTGTTGAAGTATGAGAACACGAGTACCGTTAATAAATGCGTCACAAATGGCTTTCGATATTTCTTCCTGTTCTGGCGTCAGTGTTTTTTGTCGATCGCTTTCATGTTGGGTGACGAGTTTTGTGATTAGGTCGAACAGCGTAAGATACAAATAGATTGTATCTTGATTAATTGATTGTGATGTAATTTGTAACAGCTCTGGAGGAACCTTTTTCAAGCCTGTTGTATACTTGTAGAAACCAACCAGTAAGTTGGCCACATCGTGCTGACATTGTTTAGAAATAGACTCTAAATCCAGTTCAGAAAAATCATCATAAACTGGTTTTTCTGTACCGGAACCAATTCCTGCCGCCATTTCTGCAATTGATTTTAAATATTTAAGATTTTGTTGACCTAATGAATATTTTTCTTTCAGTTGTGTGAAATAATAGTCCACAAAACTCAAATAAAAAATAGCGTCTCCATCATTTCCTTCTCCAGAACAATATATCGAAAGGTTACAGTATGTACAGGCAGTTAAAAAAGATCTCCATTGATCGAATACATGTGAAAGCATTGATCTAGTTTTTTCGTAAGCTCTTTCTGCTTCATCTTTAAACCCTCTTCTTTGACACATGAGCATATGAATACTATAAAGAAAGCAATTAGCTTCGTCGCTTCGCTTGTCAGAGAAAAATATGTGTTCTACAGATCTTTGGTCCATGAGAGGCATGGACGTCGACCTATAATAGTCATCAACCGTCAGTCTTTTCATTAACTGTTTGTTCAAGTCTCTGCTCATTCGGATCAATGCGATCAAACTTTCATTATTAAAGTCAACTTGAGGCATTTGTGAAAAGCCTGGAACATCAATTTCTGTTGTATTGAGTTGGGGTATCATTAGAGCTGTGGTAGCATTTGAAGATGAAGCGTGTGGTAATCTAGAAACTGTTGACATAGATGTAGCATTGTTGTTCTTATTCAACGGGTTTTCCAGCCAGTTGTTGACATGTGAGTCAGCATTATTGACAGAGGTCAGAAATTGAGAAGATGGATTTGTTGAGGCATCATTAATATGGAAAGTATGAGAGGTAAAGGATTGCATTCCCGAAGATGATGAAGATTCTGTTGTTGGTTTGACAATGTCAAATTTTGAATATCCTTCATGCTCTTCTTCTTCATGGGCTGCATTATTGTTACCTTTGTTTTTTGAGCTGGGTCGACCTCGTTTCTTTGGTTTTCGATACTGATTTGTCATTAATAACAATGGTAAGTTGGCAAAATTAAAATGACGCTGACAACATACCTGGCATATTAATCCGTGTTTGATGCAATATGTACAGGATGGTATTTTCTTATCTAATTATCATGCGAAAAAACACATGATCTTTAAATACCTCAACAATTATCATTCATAAACTTACCACACTTGATATGTTTTTCTCTGCAAGCAGTACAGGCAATATGAAAAGATGCTGAAGTTAGTGAAGAAAGATCGTTCTGATTTTTGAATGGTTCCTCGACGGTTGTGGTCATGCCAGTGGCTGTGGGAGAAAGCGGTCTTTCCATGTTATGATGACTCTGATTTCCACTCTCGATTGTTGTTGTTATACCCGTTGGTAATATGTTGTTGGTGACGGTGGAGCCGAAAATATCGGTAGCCTCTGATGGAGAGTATGAAAACGAAGGAAATGGTTGTTCTTCATTAGAAGGAAAAAGTAATTGGGAAAACGTGCCAACTGAAGAATGTGATTGTTGCGGACTTGGTGTGTTATTGTGGTGAGTAATGATCTTGTTTTTTGGTTGTTGTTCCATATACGGTTCCCAAATATATTCTACATTCTTTAACTTTCCGTTCGATGAAAACGATCCAACAGATGGTGAAGATGATTTCGAATCAGAGGTTGATGATGAAGAGTAAGGTTTATGATTTGTTGATGTACCTGTTTTGGATAATTCTTTGGGCATTTTGTTGTTATAAAATTTGCTATGATGATATTCTTATGTTAATTTCTATGATGATTATTTATACTAGGTCAATAATAATGATTGCTATTAATGTTAACAAGAGGTTTTCCGCACTCAAAAAGCGTTTGGCTTCTTCTTGTTGTTGATCGAATGCACCGATGTCGAAGAATTTGAGTTTTACAGTCGACGTTTGCTGTGACTGCGTTACGGTTGGTGGTTCAGCTGAGAAAGCCAAAGTCTTGTTATTCAGCACAAAAACAAAACCGTTGGTTGCCAATATTTTTTTTGAAGCTGGAAAGCAGCCTTTCGCTCAAGCCTTGCAAATACCGCTTACAGTAGGAAAGCGAAAAACACCCAAAAAAAAGTGAGTGTGGATCCTCTTGTTTGTTTTTAATTATTGTTCATGATTTGATCAATTAATTCATCAATCAATCTAATAATTGTTCTGCCCAGTGGCGGATACTAATGATGTGTAAGGGAGTGATCTTTTTAATTCAAAGGGTTGAGCAAGTCTTCAATTCGTATTTGAGTTCTTGGAATACGAGGAATTGTAGAGGAGGGAGAAACTGGAGGACTCGATGAAGATGCAGAAGAACAGATACTGAGGCTGCTTGTTTGAGAGGAGGTGCAAGATGATATCTCTTCCCTGCACTCTGAGGCATTTGTTGAATCTTCTTTGATCAACAATTGGCTGGGGAGATGAGGGCACTGGGAAGCACGATCCATTGCTTTAGGAGTTGCTTCCAAGAGCGCTGTGGATCTTGCTGTATCCTCTTTTCGTCTGTACTTTCTCTTTGGATTGTTGCTTAACTTCCAATGATAGAGAGGAACCTTACTTCCATACTTTACGTCCTCTTGTTGATATTCCATTTGGAAAACATTGGTTTCATTGATATCTGTTGACAATGTTTATCAAGGTGAATGTTAAAAAACAAAATTCAAACAAATATTCATTTAGAAATTCACATTCCTTATATAAACTTACTTGATTTCAAAGGTAGGACTGTGTTCAGCACTGCTCTTGATGGTTTTGCTTGAGTTGGTACTTGTTGTCCAACATTATGAAAAGAGACTTGAATAAAGTTGAAGGATGCATTCGAGTGAGTGCTGTTCATAGGTTGTGTGGGTGCCATTGATTTCAGTCTTGAAGAATTCTTTCGAGAGGTCTTGGGATGATTGTGTGAAGAACGAGGATTATTGGTGGAGCCCAAATGCAAATGACTCGAGTTGTGTCTGGTCATGGTAATTGAAAGTCAGAATGCGTCAGTGAGTGAATCAATGCGTGTGGTCGAGTGTTGTATTTTAAATATTGTCGAAATATTCATTCAAGAAAAAAGTCCAAAGCTCATGGTAATATTTAACCCCCACTCACATTCATATCTACTTCTCTTATAATACGTATGAAACTTAATTCGTTCAAAAGTTGTTTCCTTAATTGATACTTGCCATTAGACAAACTCGCTTTTTTCAACAAATTGGCGTCTTTTGGTAAAAAAAGCTGAAAAGGATCCAGGATTCAATTTAACAATTTTAGCAGATTGGAGTTATTTGACGTTATTATCCTGAAGTATAAGCCCATGTTGTGCATAGTATCACTTTTCGATAAACAATTGTTTGTTTCTTTTATAGGAAAGGATAAGCGCAAAGTCTCAACCCATTTAACAATTACACTTGGTCTGCGTGTTTCCTTATTGTCGTTTTTAACAAGACTCCGTAAAAGGAACGTCTCTTTTAAAATTTGTTTATTGCTTTGCAATTTGTTGAAAAAGGAAAGGTTCTCTTTAGACGTATTTTCGAACTAATACTTTAGGAAAGTATATTCTTAAAAGCTTGGTTTTTGTCCTTTTATCAACTCCAAGTAAGCGCGGAAGGGAAAAGAGATTTGGCTCGAAAGAGATGTTGTTCAATCCAATTAAAACACTTTCAGATAGGATGGGATCACCTTCAAATGGCTCTTGGGGAAGAATATTCATCACTTGTTAAAGCAACAGAACAAGACAGGAAATGGTTACACCTATACAACCATTACCTCCTGATCATGTTTAGATAGAATAGGCGGATTTAGAAGAATCTCAGAGCAGTATCTGGAATCCATCACGATGAGAAGCAATTCGGACGGAATACGAATAGCAGATTTATGATTCAAAAGTACTACATGCAGTGGACTCCAAGAGATCCTCAGAATCAAGAATTTCTCAATGCAATCTAATGGAATCTCGCTTCCTTGTTCTTTTCAATGAATTGATGGATCTAATAATTCATGAATGGTGAATACGCTGGTTCTTCTCCTTCTCTTTGGTAGGATCATCACATTGGAAGGAGAGTTCTTCAACGAGAGAGCTTCCTGAGAGGATTCTTTTCGTTTGGAAAGGGTTCCTTCTGGCACCTTCTCTGCTTCTTTTGAAGCCTTCTCGGATGTCCATTCACGTTTATATTGGGGTAGTTGATTGTGGGAATGTTCTCCTGCTTTTTGAGGAGAATCAGCATGAGAGATCTCTCCTGCTGTGGAATGTATTTGCTTTTTGAGAGTCCAATGAAACACTGGAACTTGTATTCGACGACGTCTGTATCTTTTCGAGGAAGTGTTATACGATGATGAGGGTTCTGCTTCGGAAGAGATCTTTGGGCCATGCATGGATGATAAGGAAGAAGTACATCCATGTCGACTTTGGTGACTCTTTGAAACAGTGGAAACGGTTGCATTTCTGTATTCGACCAAAGTCAAGTCTTGAGAAAGTGGTTGTTGAAAAGGATTTGCCAATAAACAAGTCGATGCATTCGATTCCTTCATAAAGGAGACTTGCACAAAGGCAAAGTCTTTTGGAGGAGTTAATGACAGATTCTTTAAAGATGTGTTGGTTTCTTGCTTGTTTTTGCAAGAATCAATTGGAAACGGCATGATGCTGGAAGATATGACCCTTTGTCAAGGGAGTAAGGCACGGAGAGTAGTTTTCAAAATCTTGAGAGAGTTTAAAGTCTTGGTGAAGATTGTGCAAGATCAGCTTTTATCGGAGAACCCAATGTTTGTCGCTTGTTTTGTTTGGAAAAATTGAACAAGCGGTCCAATAGTTGGTAATCAAGGTGGATGAAGGATTTGTTGACTTACCAAACAGGATGAATTTTGCTTCCTTGAAGTCGCTTTGTTAATCGAAGCTCATGACATTTTGGTGATGTTTCTAAAGTTGGACTTCGTTGAATGCCGTGTTGGATGGTGATTCTTTTGAGGAGGTTAGCTGGATTGTTCAATGGTAAAGATGAAGCCCAAAAGACTAGTTTTGTTCTTTTGGAAAGACTTTTTATTCTCAAACACTTAATACGTAATCATTCTTGGATCATTTTGAATATTGTAAGTTGTAATTGGAGGTCAATAGAAAAACATATTTCCATAGCTGTAAGGTGCATTCAAAACCTTATTCGGATAGTCTTTCACACCAATCTGTTGGGGTTGAACAATATTTTGTGCAGTCATGATTCTAATTAGATTTTCCAATTCCTCTCGTAAGTGTCTCAAGTCGTGTTGAAGAGCTTTCAAATCCGCATTTGAGATCATCACAATGGGAGAGATAAAATTCTTTCCATGTTGTTCCATTTCGTTCAACTTGAGAAGAGATTGCAACAATTCGTATGAATTATTCCATCGGAGAGAATGAAGAGCATGGTCATAGTATTGAGCATGGAGAGGTTCAGTCTCTTGCAGTTTTACAATTTTCTGCATACATTGATAGAAGGGAAGTTTCAGACAGGGATGAACGGATGGATGTTCATAAGGAAATTCCAAAGGCACAGAAGTGAGTGGTGATGATACAAAAGATTGGAGATGATCAAGATCTTGGAAGACGTGCGTTGGTAGCGTTGGTGTTAATTGACCATTAGTAACCGAGCCGTTGTTGATCAACAAGGAGTCTGAGGTGGAATTGAATTCCTTTGAGTGTTTCAATGATGAGGAACTTAGAAAGGACGAAAAGTTGCTAATGTTGTTGGTCATGTTGTTGTTGATGTTAAAATTGCCAGAGGGTGTGTTTTGTTTTGCAAGTTGTGGTCTTGGTTCCTATTGCAATGTTTTTGGAAGGTTTCTTTTTTTGTTCGAAACTAAAAAGGCTTGGCAATAGTTATGTCGAATTCCAAACAAGCTCCATGAAATGATGGTTGTTGAATCGAATCCAACTTGAGGAATGAACCCTCTCTCACTTGAACAACAGCTTAATGCATACACACATCAAGGTTGCAGAAAAATACTCGTAAATATTCTTCAATGTAAATGTTTCACCACACAATCAACCTTTTATACTTTCACTTGTTCAGCAACTTCTTCAGCAAAACTCTTCTTTGGTTTGTATTGCATTCCTTCACCAACCTTCATTCTTACAAAATCAATAATCTCAATACCAGAATCCTTGCAGAATTGTTGAACAGTCATCTTTTGATCCAAAACCCAAGGTTGAAGTAAAAGAACTTGATCTGAAAGGAATTGCTTATTCAATTGACCATCAATCATCTTGTTGAGAATGTCTTGTGATTTTGGTTTATATTCTTTTCCTTCTTGTTCAGCTTTCTGCTTTTCTTCGGCTTGTTGTTCTTCAAGTCTCTTCAACAATAAATCACGTTCGTGTTGAACGACTTCTGCTGGAACTTGTTCCTTTGTTAAATAGTTTGGTCCCATTCCACAAATGTGCATGGCAATTTGTCTTCCAAGACTCTGCAATTGTTCTGGTGTCTTATTAGATCCTGGAACAGCTTTAACAATGACAAATGATGCAACTCCACCAATCTTCTCTCCCTTACTGTTGTGAAGATATCCCGCCAATTGTTGTTCAATAGTGTTGGTGTTAACCAAATATTTGACTCTTCTTGGCTTTACATTTTCACGTAAGATGGCCACAAGTTCGTTAAATTTCTCTTTAATGGAACTGCTACCTCCAAATATTGCAGAATTCGAGACAATTTCACTCTCAAATGCTTGTTCGTTTTGTTCCACTGATAATTCGTTTTGAGAAGGTTTGAATTTCACTAATTGATCCAAACATTCATCAATGACTTCTTTGAATTTATCAGAATTTAGCACAAAATCAGTTTCACTGTTCACTTCCAATAAGACAGATCTCTCATTGCCTAACTGTTGCATACCAATGACACCTTCTTGAGTAGTTCTTGAACTCTTCTTTGCTGCTGTTTGAAGACCCTTCTGTCTGAGCCATTCTTTTGCCTTTGAAATATCATTTCCACTCTCTTCAAGAGCCTTTCTACATTGTCCGAGAGGAGCATCAGTTTCCACTCTCAATTGTTTAATTAAATCCATAGGAGGTGGTCCTCTCAAGAACACTGTTGTGATGAATAAATTTCTCTTGCTGGAAACAGTGCTACCAAGAACAACATTCAAAGATGATGTTGAGAGGGTGGATGTACAAGGCTTGAAGGAAGAAGCCAAACGGGATGAAAGAGCCACAACAGAACGTCTCATTTTTTCGAAAGAAAAACATCCCAACAACAAAATTCAATCAAAATTCGAACAAATAATTTTCAGCTCGGGATTAATGGGCATGATCCAGTTTAACAACATACATTTAATAGTTCTGAATGAATTTTATTCATTATTATTTTGCAAATTTCTTTTTGAGTGATTCAAGCCCTCCGCTGAAAATACCTTCCACAATTTTCACACAATTTTCGAGATGTTCAGGTTGTGTGTAAAATTCTGTCGACCATTCAGCAAATGTTTTGTTTTCATCGGTCACTGGTTTCAAGCTCACAGTGGCATAGTATCCAGTGATGGGTAAACTACTGGTCACAATATCATACGAATAGGAATGATTTCTCTCATCAAATGCCAACAATGTTTCGCGGAAAGGAATGTCGCTGCCTTCAATGGTCAATCTTCGAATGCATCCAATCGTATTGTCTGATTGATTGTTTTCAATCTCACTAGCAATAACACCACCAGACCATGAAGGAAGACCGTTAAAAGATCGAACGAGTGACCACACTGATTCGAGAGGAGCTGGAATGACGGCACTCTTGTAGACCTTTCCATTGGCAACAGCAGATGTTTGTTGTTGAGACATTTTTAGAAATGGAGAATGAGAAAAGGTTCCAACAAGATCCAATGCATGTTCCTGCCAGCAAATGAAAGGGTTTAATGATATCAAAAGAGTTGGCTGCTATCATCTCGAGACCAATCACTCCATCAAATTCCTTTTGGTTTACTCGTTAGCCCTTAAAATTCTAAACATTTGCCAGATCGGTCATGAAATAGGATCTTGTGTCGTCCGTTCTTTTTAACCAATACACAGTGCATGGTCATGGAACTTAGGGAGGGAGACAGGAAGCTGGAGCTTTTAAACTCCAACAGCTTGGCAACAACTTCAAATGACTCTTTCACTATCTTAATTCTGTACAATTGACCAAATTGATCTCCGCAGAGAAGAGTTAACAAAGCTCCATCCTCTTTTTCATGTCTCACTGCTAAGGTACAGCAAATCACACATCCTGAAGGAACTTGAATAGGAATGGTCTTGAATGTTCTAAATTCGTCCTTCGAGTAAATCAAGGATAAGCTGCTCTCTCCTCCAATTAGTACACAAATCAGTGAAGGGTATACAAGTTTTGTACATGCGATACTACAAGGGCAGGTTTTGCTTGCATTGATCATTTGACGATTATGAACTGAAACATTCACACCTGAAAGAAAAGAGTTGTTTCCAACTGGCAATTGACGAGATTCGACTTTCATCTCAGAAACTTCTAACACTCCATTAGAACGCTGAGAAAATAAGAAAAAAGAACGGCAATATAATGCTCGTTCATGTTCATAGGACTCCTGACATGGAAGAACACGAAGGAGAACCACTGAGGAAGCCTTTTCGTTGAAGTAATCGAATTGTTTCCATTGAAGAATACCAATGGAGTCATAGAGGATATGATACAAAAGGACATGTCCTGAATATAGCCCGATTACCATCATCATGGAACATTCATTATTTGAATTATTATTGGATGAATGCACGGAGGTCATCGTCATGCAAGTTATTGGCGAAACACAGTTTAAGGCTCTGCTTTGCGATTCAAAAAAACGCTCTCTCCCATCAAGAGAGCATTGGATGTAAGTTGTTACAACATTATCACTTCTTCCAACAAATAAAAACCTTTTTCCACCAGAGGAACAAAAAGAAGCACAAACACAGCTTGGTTTGGAAAAGGGTTGGTTGACCGCCTGGTTGATTGGAACCAGCTCTCTCTTAAAATTTTCAATGAAGATCGAGCCATCAGAATAGCATTTACACAAGAACTCGCAATCGGAAGTGTCCATTTCATGATTCATAGTATTAGGAGATGTAACGACTTGATCCGACTCATTGAGGGAGCTACAAATGCAAGTAAGGTGAGGAGCCATTTTTTTATGAGCCAATTTAAAGGCTTGATCATCTCAGGGAATTTCGTTCTAGATTATTAATACTGATTCATTCTCTCAGTATAGTAGTATCGATACTGAGTCTTAGAACGAGAATGAAATCGAATTAAATTCAAATAACTCCATTACTTGTTGGCTATCTCACGTTGGGTAACGAAAATTGCCCGCCAAAACAAAAATTTTTCATTTCAAAAAATTATTTAAACATGCCAGCCGATGATGTAAGTTGTGATTATTGTTCGAACATAACACCACCAACATTCCGAATCGCTATTCAACACATGAACCATCAATCACAGAAAAAGAGAAAGAGAGTAATAGACGATGATGTTAGTGAAGAGGAAGAAGTGGAGGAGAAAGTTAAAATTGAAGTCGTAAAGAAAGAAACCAAAAAGAAGAAAGAAACTCCAAAAGAAACAAAGAAAGAAGAAGAAGAGTCTTCATCAGCAGCAGCGGCAGCTGCAGCATCTTCTAGCGTAGAGGATATTTACAAGTGGTGGCAAGAATCCGATGAAAAGATCCAAGAAATACTTTCTTCCGATCAAAAGTGGAATACATTGAAGCACAACGGAGTTTTGTTTCCACCTGATTACGAACCTCATGGCATTCCAGTTTACTACGATGGAAAGTCAGTAAAATTAACTCCTGAGCAAGAGGAGGTTGCAACCATGTATGCTTCCATGTTGGAATCGGATTATGTCAAGAAACAGCAATTTAATGACAATTTTTGGAACGCTTGGAAAGAATTGCTTGGAAAAAATCATACCATTAAATCTTTGAGCAAGTGTGATTTCTCAAAGATTTGGGAACATTTATTGACCGAAAAAGAGAAGAAGAATGGTCGATCATCCGAAGAAAAAAAGGCAGAAAAAGAAGAAAAAGCAAAATTTGAGGATGCCTATAAGTATGCTCTTGTCGATGGAAGAAAGGAGAAGGTTCAACAATATAAAATTGAGCCTCCAGCTCTCTTTAGAGGAAGAGGAACTCATCCAAAGATGGGTCAACTCAAAAAGAGAATTCAACCTGAAGATATTACAATCAATATTGGTAGGCTTGAAGATTGTCCTCCACCTCCAGTGGGCCACCAATGGGGAGCAGTCGTTTCCAATAATACGGTCTTGTGGTTAGCTGCTTACAAGGATGTAATTAATAACAAGAACAAATACGTACAATTTGCGAGCGGATCCAGTTTGAAAGCTATGAATGATTATCTTAAGTATCAAACTGCTCGAAATTTGAAAGATTGTATCGAAAAGATTAGAGAAGACTACAAAAAACAATGGACGGATAGCAGTGAATCAGAGAGACAGCTTGGAGTTGCTATTTATTTTATTGATAAGCTTGCTTTGAGAGTTGGTAATGAAAAGGATGATGAAGAGGAGGCTGATACAGTTGGTTGTTGCAGCTTAAGAGTCGAACATATTACGTTAGTTCCACCTTCCTCAATCAAATTTGATTTCCTTGGTAAAGATTCCATCAGATATGAAAATACAGTGGAAGTAGAGAAAGCTGTCTACAAGTGTGTTAAAAGCTTTGTGGAAGGAAAGAAACCCACTGACATGCTTTTCAACAAAATTAACCCAACCAAACTCAATGAACATTTGAAATCCTACATGGAAAAATTATCTGCCAAGGTTTTCCGTACCTATAATGCTTCCATTACTTTGGATCGAGAGTTAAAGAGGCTCGAAAAAGACATTACCACCGATATGACTGTTGCTGAGAAAGTTAGTCTTTATAACACTGCAAACAGACAAGTTGCTATTCTATGTAATCACCAACGTGCAGCTCCTAAAACTTTTGATTCCTCAGTAGAAACCATGGACAAAAAGATTGAGGCCCAAGTTTCTTATATGGAAAGATTGAAAAAAGCTCTCAAAGACATTTCAAAGTCTGGATATGATGAAGTGAAAGAGAAATGGGAGAAAGACAATCAAAAGATTTTGAAACTTTATGAAAAAGAGGTTGAAGAATTCGAGCAGAAACAAAAGGATATTGAATTGAAGGCCAAGAATGCTGGAAAATCAGTTGCAGCGTTCTTGGGAAGTGCAAAGAAAGAAAAAGCTCCAAAGAAGCCAACTCTTCCAGTGCTTCCTAAAACTACAGAGGCTATCGAAAGCAAGATCGAGGCTGTCAAGAAGAAAGTTGAGGAAATGAATCACGAGAAGAAGATGAAAATTGACAACAAAACAGTTGCGCTTTCCACCTCCAGACTTAATTATTGTGATCCAAGAATTACAGTTGCATGGTGTAAGCGAACGAATGTCCCTATCCAAAAGCTGTTTTCCAAGACTTTGCAAGACAAATTCCCTTGGGCTCTTGATTGCGGCACTGATTTCACTTTTTAATATCATTTACAATAAATTATTGTTCCTACATCGAAGGAAAAGATTTAAAATTGAAAGGCACACTTGAAAAAAACAAGAATTCCAAGCTGAAAAGAGGTATAGGATCTCTGAGATGGTGTCGGTCGCATTCCATGTCTGTTTTGGGATGAGTTAAGTATTTGAGTGTCTTTGCTTTTAACTTGTTGACAAATCTGGTTTTGTTTTCTTCTAAGGACAAGCCTGGATAATATTCGAATCTACCCTCTAGTGGTGTTCCTATCCAAACACTTTGTCTTGTTTTATCGCTAGTAAATGGAGGTTCTGTTTGAATTCCTGCACCTATAATGTCATTCAAATTCATCCATCCACATTTCCTTTCGCCAAAGTACTCGATTCTTTGATTTTGAAGAGCTTCTTTCACATTGTCTTGACCAAGTATGGCTTCAAGATCTGACGAAGGATGACAAAGCAATAGCTCACATTCACCTCCAGCGAATCCTCCAAAAATCATTCTTGCATCTACACCTTCATCAGCTAGTCCTTCTAAATCTTCCACTGAGTCACACTGGACTGTCAATGCGTCAGATGGAGGTGATTTTTGAATTCTTTTCCATTCACAATCAGCTGCTTGATAAAATAATGGCTTGTCTTGATCATTCATGTAAGCTGCTTCGGCCTCAGTAATGTATAAGGTGTGAAGCGAGTCACTATAGTGTGGAATAATGTTTCTTACTTGTCCATATGCTAATGTATATGAAAAGTCAATCAATCTCTCTCCAAATATCACTTCGAAATTGTGTTGCTGGGAGTGCTTGATGGCCTTTTTGAAAAAGGAATAAGCAAATGATTGGTTGTTTCCATGTAAATTGTTGCTTCTTAACACTGCATGTTCAGAAGAATCAATGTCTAAAATTTGTGTTGTTTTGGATCGCTCCAAGTCTCTATCAATAAACGGAGAAAGAGAATAAAGTTCATGATCTTTTAAAACTTTTCTAAATTCACTTCGAGGAGCTTTTGACAACGATTCCATTGGATTTAGTAAATCTTGAACAGAATCTGATGTGATCTTATCAGATATTTTAGAGAAAACTCTTTCCATTTCAAAGTCTCGGCAAAATTTAAAAATCTTGGACACCAAGTCCCATAATGCGTGATATTTGTTTTTCTCATTAAATTGATAATTATGAATTTCGTGAACAAAATTCCTAGAAATGTCTTGTCGTTGAAAAATTGTAATATTCTTATGAATTAAATCCAAGATGTTGGAAACTAGATTTGATATTTCAGGTACAGTATCTTGAGGAATATTGTACACTAATTCTGATTTTCCAAGTATTTCTCTCTGTGATCGATGTTGCATGAGCTTTCTCCTTATTCTTTTAGCAAAGCACTGTATCATTAAATAAATATCCCAAATATCATTATTTGTAGGTTCTGATGTGAACATTTCAACAGTTGTAGGTTCAATCAGAGGAAGCAAGAGTCCGAATTGTTTGTGATGGTATCGGTCGTGTTTTTTGAGAGGTACATAACTGAGTGAATCCAACAATGCCAATCTAGAAGAAGAAATACACCAATCCAGCCCATTCATGAACATGTCTAATAAAGTGGTAGACAACGACATTTGAGTTGAATCCATACTTCCCAATTTTCTCGCATTCACAGGAGCATGAATATCGAAGGGATAGAACTTTTCGATAGGTTCTTTCATATATATGTTTTCTATATCTTTCTGCTTGATCAATTCCCAATCTTTCCTCTCTTCATCACTTGTTTTGATTGGAAAGCAACTTGTAGTTTTGTTTCTGTATTGAATGTAGCATTGTAAATCGAAACTCATCTCAAGCATGTTTTTCCAAATGTATAAATTTGTTTTCTCAGTGGGATGTACAAGAATGGAAAGAGGATGAATTAAAAAACTGTCAACTTTGCGCTCTAAGAAGGTGTTCCATAACAATGTTTTGATATCTATCATATTGGCTGTTGTCTTGCTTCGCCACCGCAGAGTGTGAACATTTTGTTGTTGAAAAATCTTTTTGTTGTTGTTCCTTGTTTCGATTGGTTTTGTTCTCTGTTGTTTGAACATGTCGATCAAACCAAGTTCAAGAGAAGGAATATCTGGAACGTTCTGTGTCTCTTTCGATAAGAGTTTAAAATTGTGAGCCAGCTTGCATAGCTCTGTTGTATCAAGCTTTAAGGATTTAGAAGTTTTAAGCAAATATTCTACAAGAAATAATAGAAATAGATGAGTCAATTGATACTCGTCAGCATTTCGTGATAGATATTTTCCGACAAGAGATGATGGCACTTTCATTTGACTAGGTTGCTCATTAATAAATGTTGTCTCGGTTAGAAGAAGTTTGAGAGCTTGAATCATTGAGTCATCAATAGGAAGTGGCATGAAAATATTGGTTGCTTTCTCTAAAATTGGTTGTGAGTTTTGTGTGTTAGTGTCATCTGTTTGCCTATTGAGTTGATTGGTAATTGGAATTGCAAAGCAATCTGCAATTTTCTTAAAAACATATCGAGTGGAAGGTGTCATCACTTGAACATAGGATAAGGGTCTCTTCCACTTCAAGTTCATAAATCTAGAAATCAAGGTAATGTTTTCTCTTAAAAGAGCTAGTTCATCATTCTCCTTGATATTAGTATCATCTTTGTCTTCTTTCTTGTTGTTAATCATACTCCTTAAGAATTTCTTAACTTTATGCTTAATGTAATCTCTATGAAGGAGTGGATTGTGAGGAACAAACAATCCTCTTAAATAAAGTTTAAAGTAAAATTTCTCCTTTCTCATCTGAGAAATGTTATGCCGAACACACTCTACAATATAGGGCAATAATTGAAGAAGAGTGTTTCGAGAGTTGTTTTGTTTCATTTGAATTTCATTGCTGGTTGTATCGTGTGGGTCATACAATAATATGGAAAGTGTTGCATTGTCTTTTAAAATGTCCTGTAAAAGAGGTGATCGTTGGTATGAAAATATTGGAATCTTTTTTGCATTTTCAATTTCCTTTTCTAAACTTCGACTTGTCTGTAGATATTCTCTCAATTCTAATGCTTCATGCAAAGTCAAATGAGAAATTTCACCAATGTTGACATTAATCAGTAAAGCCAAATAGTTGAGAAGTCCATCTAAATAACGCTGAGTACTCCAAGCTAACATCCTTTCTTCTCGCCGTAAGCTAATAGATTCCACATTACAATACATTGGTAAAAACCACTCTAAATATGATGTATCATATTTCACTACGGGCATTCTCTTGAAATCATCAATAGTATAGCGAATGTTGTTAAATTTTGGTTTGTTAATGGTTAGTGTTGATGATATCAATGTTGTCACTGTTCCATGAATAACTTCACTGACCACAAAGTCTGGTCTATATTTCAAAAGAATATGAAGAAAAGTTTTTCTTCCTTCCATTAAACCAGAGAAATCAGATTTAGAAATAGAATTGTGAGAGAGAATACTTCCAAATATCCATGTTCTTAGAGGTGGATGAATTGGATAGGAATACTCTTGTAGGTAGCCTCTCGAAATAATTTCTTCTTCAAGTTGTGGTTTAAATGTGAATAGGAGCGATCTTGGTGGTTTTTTTGTTTCAATACATTCTGTACCGTTCGATTTGAAATATGGATAATTATTGAAATGTTCCCTATTCATTTCTAATCCATAAATTCCTTGTTTCTTCATTGATTTCACGCTATCGTTCATGCTAGAGCTTTTTCTCCATCTAATTCCATAAATTAGCATATATTGACCATTTCTTTTGACCAATACAGGATATTGGGAAAGCATAATATTACTCCATTCCCTTCTTTCGTCTTTTTTTTGCGACTGAAAAAGGATTATTCTTTGGCAATAGTGTCATGCTTGCAAGTAACTTGTAAACAAGTTCTGCTCTATTTAGAACACCATTTTCCCAAGTAACTCTATGTCTGAATACGTTTGGTAAATATTCATTGCATATCCATTCAATTTGATCAAGTGAATAGTCTTTAGATGGGTTTTCTATGACATGTGGTAAATCATAAAGTGGTGGCGGAGGAAAAATATTGCTTCGAAGATCACAATATTTAACATCACTTGTCTCCACAGCCTTTTCGAGCTCATAAACCAAGGGTAGATAGGATGTAGGTTTGTTGAATAATCTTGCATGACCATGCAATCTGAAGAGTGTCAAATCAAATCTTCTCGTATTTAACATGTTAACTTACATGATCTGAAACGCTTTGAGAGCTGTATTATCTCCATGTTCATAATCATAAGGAACAAACAAACGTCGAGTAACGATTATTCTATGAATGCTAAAATGTTCACCAGGAAGAGGATTGTTTGCTCTAAACAACTCTGGTGATTCATATTTCAAAGTATTACTTTCATAGTAGTCATATTCCAATCTATACTTTCTTTCGTGCTTTTTAGAAATGCTATTAAGGTCATATAACAACTGCAAAGATTCAAAATATTTTTTGTTGTCTTTGTCTTTCAAATGATCCAAATACAAGGAACGAAGAAGGTCTAGAAATGAGGAACTTGAAACAGATTCTGTGACAACCTTCTTAAATGCCTTTTCGAAAGCAAACTCTCTTGAAAGAGCGTATCGTGAATAAAATGATTTGAAATAATTAGTTCTACTAATATCAGGTATTGTTGTGAATAAAAAGGAAGGTTTGACAAGGATTTTTGTTTGTTGTTCATTACTAGTTTCTTCCTTGTTGTCTATTGTTGTGGTTTTTAAACCAAAAACTTTTGTCAATTCTTGTAATAATGCATGATTGGATATTTCTCTGTTCTTTTCCTGATGATGAGAAGTAATTTCCCTTCCTTCAGTAATCCATAACAATTCGTCCAACAATTCCGAAAACTTTTTCAGACCATCATTAATTTCTTGCTGGTGTTGAATGGTAGCTTTAAAAAATTCTTCCATTTTAAAAGTTGTTGGTGTTATTATAGGAATGTTCAATTCACTCTCAGTAATGATGATGATCAAAGAAAGGCTTTCAACACATTTTTTTGCCTCACTGACGCTTTCAAAAAAATGCCGTAACTGGTCCTGTGGTGGCTGACGAAAGTTTGTTTCTACGCCTTTATCTCGAGGTGCCTGCGAGAGATACCCAAGTCTCCTACGGGAACACTTGAACGTGTTGTATTCCAAGAATACAATGTGTTGTTACAATTTTTGACAAAGCCAAGTTGCACAATGTAGACAGGGTGATCGATATTATGGCAAGCCGGCAACGGTCTTGCAAATGAATCGAGTCGAGATACTATTAAAGAAACATCAATGATGGTGGTCATAGGCTCGACAGCCTTCCTGCGGGGTAAAGGTAAATTCTCGGTATCGACGATATACGGGCTATGGTGGGGGTGGCGAGTAATGAGCAATCGCCGGGGAGCCTGAATGAACTAGCAGCGTCATGATACACATATAAGATTCGGAGATGTTTCTAGATTCAACGAAGGTCTATGGGACCTGTGATTTGAATCTATATAGCTTAGGGATTTGCGTGCCTACTCTATGAGATCAGTGTTGAGATGAACCTGTTATGGGAATTCTGGGGGTGATCCGTGCTATTCACTGAAATACGGCAGGGCAATAACTCCACCCTACATCATAGATCTCATTAACGAACCTACGACACCGGTTGGAGGGTATCTATTATAAGCCTACAAAGGGCAGGTGGGAGTCTTACGACGCTAATGTGAAACCACTACCAATGTAATGCTGTGACAAGAGAGGATCGCAACCATGATCCGGTTTCCGAAGGTGAATAATAAATTTTTGGGTTCAATTTTTTTGCCTCACTGAATGAAGAGTTTATAAACAACAAAAATGAATCCACAATCAAACACCACACAGCAACGTGCAGGTAATCCATCATCGGCTGTACCATCATCATCATCAACGACACAACAGCCTGAAATTACAACTCAGACGATACAAAATGTAGAGTAGAATTGTAGATGAAATTTTCTTTGTTCTAGTTTGATATCATTTGTTATTATTATCATAATAATTCAAAATCAATTGGATTCCATCATCGGATCCGATGGGTTCTTCATCTTCTTGGTAGTATCTTGATGAAAATCAACAATTAATATTTGGAATATTAGAACGACAAAAACAAGGACAATTTGATCAATGTGAGGCGTATGTTTCTTTTTTGAAAGAAGAATCATCATATCCCGATAATAATCTTTTCATGTAATGATGATGCATCACATCTTCAAAAGTCTTCAACAAAAACTTCAAAATAATTTAATCAAATTGGCCACTTTGGCTGACCAACCTAATCAACCCACAGCGAAGCCTACAAGACCATAATCACCTCCCTATTTTCAATGTTTATGAAAATAATTATTTGTCAATCATACATTTTGCATTTTTAGTATTCCTCGACCAGCAATCCTCACACATTGTCTTTTTAAATCTGTTCTGGTGATATAATCATATGAATATGTTGCATCAATAATAATTAGAATAATAATTAGAATATATGCGGTACCCAAAATCCTTCTTTGACGCTGAATGAATTTACCAACACGAAGCGAACGGCAAATTCATTCTCCCGAAATAAAAAGAGCCAACTATAACGAATAACTGTCACTTGTCAGTAGTTTTAGGCAGAACACACAACAATTTGGATTTCATCAATCCATTAAAAATGTCATTCAGAGCATCCGCCACAACTCCTAACAACCACCACCCTCAGCAACAACCACCTCCTTCTCTTCCATCACCACTCTCTTCCAACATGTCCACTCCATTCAGAACCTCTATCAGAGAATTATCGTCCACAGGAGGAGTTGGAGGAGGACCAACCATGTCATGTTGTTCACCGTGCTCTCCTCGCAACCACCATTCCTCACTTTTAACGTTTTCTGCATCCGCCACCACCACTCATTCCACCACCACCACCACTCATACTCCTACCAACAACAACAAGATGATGATGATTTCTGCATCCACCACCACTCATACTCCTACCACTAGTATTACCACCACTTCTTCTAACAACACAAATACGAGTAGTAGTAGTAATCATTGTAGTAGTTCTACAACCAATACAACCAACACCAATACCACCACTAGTAGGAGTAGAAATAGTAGTAGAAGTAGTACCACCACAAAAACAAGTCCAAACCACCTCAATCCTACAACTACTACTACTACTACAACTACTGTTGACACTTCTTCTTCTTCATTATTGAGAGCCAATTCCTCTTCCTCTCTTCCACGAAGAAGAATGAAACCATTCCATGACCTCACAAATTCATGTCACACAAATCATCATCATGAAACCATGTCTCAACGATCGAGTCGTTCATCCGATCACGAAGAATTTGACACTTTGAATGATGACATTCCATCATCTCTGTCTTGTGGTACTCGTGAAAGTCATCACAGTGACATTTCAGAAGATGATGATGTCATTCATGATACAAAAGTATTGACTCAAAATCTCACTATACACAATGATGAGAAGGAATCGTTCGATTCGAAGAATGAATTTGTGAGAAGAATGAATTCACAAGTTCACATTCATGCTGGAAAAAAAATGTTCACCTTTACTCCATCTCCCTCAAAAGAAGAAGAAGAAGAACAAATTTCCTCTTCTCCTCCTTCTCCTCCTATTCATCATCATCATCATCAACAAGAAGAACATCACCACCATCGACAAAGACCCAATACTATTCGTTGTAAAACCACCGATGATATTCGAACCATTTATCGAGCGAATGGATCTTCTCCAAATTTAATTTCACACAAAAAACATTCGTATTCTGTTCGAGATAAATCTAGAACTCTGTTGTGGCTAAATAGAGATAAACATGACATGGTGGTGATACATTCCCCTGGATCTCCCAATATTGGAAATGGTAATCATTCCATAAATGGAAACAACCACTTTGATCTTCATTCAAGTTTTATATTAAGAGCCGCTGTCACACCACGAGGAAATACAAATGGAACGTTGAAAATGGATCATGCAGCCACGAGTGTTGATTTATCTTCAAATGGAATGAATCATCCATCTGAAGACTCTTCTACTTTGACCAATGTTAATAATAATAATTTACATTTATTGGGAATGGATGATGAAGAGGAAGATGAAGAAATGAAAATGGAAAGAAGAAAGAATATTCCAACTTGTTTTTCAGATGTGACAGAAGAATTACATTATTATATCAAGAATAATCTTTTAGATGAATTTAAAAGAACTTTGGAAAGAGAAAGAAATGAAAATAATGGAAAATTTAATGTTTCAACACAATATCTCGACAAGGATGCAAATAATTCATCACTTTTACACAAATCTGCCTCTTTGAATCGATTCAAATTTATGGGTGTGTTAATTGATGATTATAGAGCTTTTATTGAAAAGAAAGACATTGGTGGTTCAACACCATTGTTTTATGCAGTTGCCAATAATTGCATTCGAGCTTGTTTCTATTTGTTAAATAAGGGATGTTCAGGTAAGTGTGTGTGTGTGTGTGTGTGTGAAAGGTTGACTGTTCTTTTTAACTACTTTTTTTACCATGACTACTCTCTCTTTTTATCTATCTCTACTCTCTCTTTTTATCTCTACCTTGACAATTACTCTCTCTTTTTATCTATCTCTACTCTCTCTCTATAACTACCTTGATAATTACTCTCTCTTGACACATAGTCAATATTAGAGATAATTTTGAAAACACTCCACTTTCAGTGGCTCTTCGAAAGGGACACATGGATGTTGCAAAAACTTTAATATTATTTGGTGCTGATGTCAATTTCAAAACACAAAAAGGTCAAACTTGTCTTCACATGTGCTGTGAAGAGGGTGATTTGTCCAAAGTTGAATTTCTTCTGGAAAGAGGAGCAAGTATCATGAGAATGAATCGAGAAGATCAATATTGCTTTTTCCAAGCTGCTCCACATCCTCATATCATTGAATATTTATGTAGATATCTATTATCGATTGAAGAAGAAAGTGTTTTTAACAATTGTCCAACTCCTTCTCCAACGAGTATGGTTCCATCCAAAGTTAAAAATTTAGAAATTGAAGAACAAAACAAACAAGACAAACAAATCTTTGAAAATATGCAAGATGCACTCTCAACAACAACCTCCACGAATGGTAGAGATTCAACCACGAAACCAACATTTTCAAAATTAATTGTGAAAATGTCTGGAGCTGGAAATACCATCATTCATCATTGTGCTTCTTTTGGATATTTGACATCACTCAAAATTCTTGTCAATTACATGAATTATGAAACAATTGTGGAATGTCTCAATACCAAAGATAAAAAGAATGGAGACACTCCATTGCATGTGGCTGTCAGAAAAGGACATCAAGATATTGCGCTCTTGTTGGCACGGGCACGAGAAGTCGATGTCGATGCTCAAAATGATTCAGGTGATACTGCTCTTCATATTGCAATTTCACAACAAAATCAAGAAATTGTCACTATACTTGTAGCAGCCAATTGTAGTGTGAATATTAAGAATAATCAAAAATTGACAGCTAAACAATTAGCAAAGAAGTATAATATGAGCTTGAAAGTGGAACAAGATAAAACATTGAAGAGTTTAAAGACACAACAAACGTTGGGATTCTTCCAGAAAATGAAAATGAAATTCAAGAAGGAAAGTAATTTGACATTAGAGGAGAAAGCTGCAAAGAGACACACGAGTGCATTTATTGGATCCAATACAAGACTCTCAACCAAGGATGTGAGACGAATCAGTCGAGGGTCAAGCAACATGAACAAGATAGTGTCACAAGATGAAATTGAAGATATGATCAAAAACCAACCCTATCTGAAATGGACATCCAAGTTAGAGTTTGACCCTGAAATGAATGAATATCACAAAGAGCTTTTCTATCAAGTGAACAAGCTCTACTATTACTGGGTTGCTGATCAACACTCAATCCAGATACAAATTTGCCTCAGCGATTTACTTGAAAAGACTCGAAAATTCTTTTCCAAGCAAGACCAATACATGCAAGAACATCATTATTCGGCATTAGCCGCTCACAAACAAGACCATGACATGTTCCTGAACAAGATTGAATCCACTCTCAACAAACTCAACACCCTCGATTGCAGTTTGGATGAAGACTTGTTTTCTCAAATTTCCACATCACTCTTAAACCATGTGCTAAAGCATGACATGGGATTGTCCATTTTCTCGAAAAAAAAGAAATAGTCCAATATTTATTTTCTATTGATAAATAATACATAATTACCACCACTTGTTAATTCTCATTGTTCCTTGTTCCTGAAGGTTTTGATACATCTTGAAAACGACACCCAAATCATGAGGTTCATGAGCAGATCCTGCTTTCAAACATTTCTTAAGACATGTTTCGTAATAATCAAGCAAAATTGGTCTGTACTCTGGATGGGCACACTTTTCGATAACAACTCGAGCCCTATCTCTTGGACACAATCCACGCATATCTGCATATCCGTATTCAGTTACAAATACATCCAAATCGTGCTCTGTGTGATCGACGTGTGTCACCATTGGTACGATACAAGTAATACCAATTGGGTCGTTCTTTGATGGTCTAACCGAAGGCGTGTGCATGATTGATAGTTTACCGTTTCTCAAAAAGTCTCCAGAACCACCTAAACCGTTGATCATTCTCGAACCATTAACCATTGTTGAATTGGCATGTCCATAAATGTCAATTTCAACAGGAGTATTCATGGCAATAACTCCCAATCTTCTGATCAACTCTGGAGCATTCGAAATTGATTGAGGTCTCAAAACAATCTTCTTCTTGTAATTTTCCCAGTCAGCATAAAATTTGTCAAATCCTTGATTCGACAATCTTACTGAGGTTGCGGAAGCAAAATCTAACTTTCCAGCTTCGAATAAAGTTAAGAAACAATCTTGGAGAACTTCAGTAAACACAGTCAAGTTCTGGAAGGGAGAGTCAACCATACCAGAGATCACAGCATTAGCGATATTACCAATTCCGGATTGAAGTGGTAAAAGTTCTTTTGGAAGTCTCTTGGCATCAACCTCAGACATTAAAAATTCAGTAAGATTCTTTGCGATTTGTTTGCTAGTTTCATCCTCTGGAGTATTTCCACCAGTGTTGTCTGGATGGTTGCTTTCTACAATGGCAATAACCTTGCTCATATCAATCTTGAGACTTGGAGTACCGATACGGTCTTGAACCTTTTCAATCATCAATGGCTTTCTGTGTGGAGGATCAACGACTTCATAAATATCATGAATACCATCAAAGGATGGTAAAGCCGTGTTCACCTCAAGGATAATCTTATCGGCTTTTTGAATAATCTCTGGAGTAGCACCAACACTAGCAGCCAAAATAAGGCTACCATCTTCCTTAATTTCGGTTACCTCAATAATTGCATAATTGATTGGACTCTTTTGATTAGAAGCCTCTCTGGTATAGAATCCGTAAGCCAAATTTTGAGGGAACATGGATAAATGTTGATCAGAGAATCTAATTCTTCCTTCATTGATACCCTTTTGAATGTTCTTTCCGACCTGGTGAGGATATCTACGATCAATCATATCGAGTTTGGCCCATCTATCTTCCACTTCAGCGCCCAATGAGGCTCCAACGAAAAGGTTGAATTTCAACTGTCCTTGAAGTTGGTTCTTTTCAACATGGTCTGCCAAAGCCTGTTGATTTTTCATCGAGAACGTTCATATTTGAAGGGATAAAGTTGCAAGGTTCGCGTGTGCGAACAATTTTTTTTGATAATTGTTGTTTCATGAAGAACAGAAACAACCACAGTTAGCGATGATGCTCTAGAATACTATTCCGAGTTGATAATGAAAATAAAGCACACATACCTGTGGTACAACTTTAGGATATCCAACACCTGTTTTGATTGATTTCAATGATTCATGGTTGTATTATTTTACACTGTCAGTGTTTCCGATCTGAAAAAAGTGATGGACATACCTGTAAAACCGCTCATACCAATGTAATCACCATGTTTAAACAATGGAACCAATTCTCTGGCATCTTTGACAATCTTCTTCAGTAGCGAAGCACACTTGACTCTCTCTTGAAGGAGGCTGGACATTTTATTGTTTCTATTTTTTTGTTTTTGTTTGCGGTTGCTCGTCGAATTGACACAGAGAGAGAATGTTATTTTCGAAAATTGACCGAAAAAGACCTACGGCATCACTACAATTCGGGGTTTTGCAAATTCGATGACGCTTGAAAAGGTGAAAAGTGGCTGTTGTTGGGTACCTTTGGTTGACCAAGTTGGATGGCTAGAACAATTTTGTGTTGGCGAAATTGAGGGTATTACTTCGGGTCGACGAAGGCTTTAACGATGCATTCTATTCAATCCTTTGGTCTGAATAATCGATGGTGGAAGAAGTGTTGAGAGAAATTCGCTCTTCGTGATGTCTTTTAGGAATACAGTACTGACAACGAAGAAGTTTCACAATAGAGGAGCGCACACTGTTGTTGTGATTATTCATCGATAGGTTTAGGGTTCAGTAGTGGAAGAAATTAACTTACCTTGGTAACCCTAGAGAATAAACAGTGACATTCAAAAAGCCTTGAAGTGGCACTAGAGTGTTATAAAAGAAAATATAAAAGTAATATTCAAAGTTTTCATCAGGTCTACCCACAAGATTTTGTAGTCCATTGTAAAAGAACCAAATGATTAAGCAACTTGAAGATAGTAAGCTATTGAGAGGGTTCGATGGTTAGAAAAATTCGAGAAACTAAATGCACCACTTACAATGGAAGTAGATAAAAACTTAATTTGATAATTATTCTTCGTTGGGCTCTCTTTGTCTCTTGCTTTACAGCGACACGCAACTGAGAGGCTGATAATATTGTACCCACATGTCTCCATATCAAGACAATGACCACACAATCCACAATTGCAGCCTTATTGGACTCAACCTTAAGACACTTTGAAATCTTCTACAATTTCACAAACTTACAATTGCCAAATAGAAAGCTCCAAAAAAATTGAAAAATGTCAACAAATAACTCTCCACCACAGGATGGTCTGCATGAAATCCAGTCATTCTCGAGGCCACTCGGTAAGAAAAAACTGTAGTAAATGTAATCAATGCAACACCCCACGCAACTATATGAAATATTATATCATAGGCATAATTTTCTTCCATCCATTTCACTTTCTTAGTGGTAGTATAAATAGCAATAGCAATACTGACACTCCATGTTGCACTACATAAAGCAAATGCAAAATTTCCATGCGAAAATATATGACTAATAATCCAAGAGATGTTTGAGACATTATCATCTGACACATTTAAGGAAGGTATATAAGTGGTGCACCATGACCAAACAGTAAACAAAATGTTACTGGTACTAAATAGCAGATCCGATACACATAACATGAGCATGGTCCTTCGAATAAATTGTTTCTTTTTTCTATTGATGAGTCCATTTGAAAAACTTGCACTCATAGAGGTCCGATAATGAGTGGTTAATGATCCAGTCTCATGATCTCGTATCGTTAAAGAAAATGAATGATTTCTAATCCGACCCGAGAGATCATTTGAATCCTCTGAAAATTGTTTTTCTTCGCCTTGTTGATGGCTGCTACTGGTCAGTGCATTGGTATTGAAAATATGAGTTGACTCAATGAAAAAGACAATGAACACAATCACAGAACCAATAATGGATAATAAATTCAATAACACAAAAACAACTTGGGATATTAAAAACAAAATATCGGGTTGTTCCGTATTAATATCCGATGAAGTTGTTCCGTTAAAAACCATTGAACGTGTGTTTGTTATCAATTAGTATTATGATTATTATTAGACACTTTGTTGATGATGTGAATCGGGTTGGTTATTTATCTATTTTTTTAACTCTGAAAAAATCAAACCAGGTTTAGACATGTGGTTCAGATCCTTTCTTTACTAGTTTCCATATTCATGTAAAATTAATGCATGGATTTATGCAACTCCCCAATATTTAAGTGAACAATATTCATCAAGGTGACTGAAATTCTTCCAAAAAAGTAATTCTCAAAATTTTCTCCTCAAACAATAAAAATGAGCAAAAACGCAGACACACCCGACCGCCCTACCCACGATCCCGAACGTCAGCCAGAAGCCTCTTCTGATTCTGCTGCTTCATCATCACAAGGAATACGAATTCCTGCAAACAGTTTGAAAGATTTACTAAAAAGTGAATATTCACAAGTAACCCGAGAGGCCATTCAGAAAAAGTATCAAGAACAGGGAACGAATATACCGTTCAAAGCAAGAGTTGAGGCCAAAATTCAAGGTTTTTATGGCGGCAATGTTGGTCCTCAAGCTCTAAATCCTTTGAGAAAAGGTATACATGAACAATCTCATAAACGAGGATGGACTCCACTACAAAAGAAAATTACCTTGTTGTTCGGCTCTTTTATTCTTGGACAACTCTTTTATTTCGGAGGAAGATATATTTTCAACAACTTTATTTCATCTAACAAACAAATGACCAATCAATCGAGTTTCTATTATGGAAGAGATGTTAATGAATTTAATTCAGAGGTTGATAAGTTAACAGGGAAAATGGTGAACGACTACAAAAAATTCAAAGGCTCTGACGATGTAACACCAGAAGAATACAAGATGATTGAACGAGATGCATTGAACAGAGTATCTTTAAAGTATGCTCAACAACATGAAATTCTTGGCTCTGCTTCACAAACACCTTCCTCCTCAAAATACGTGCCTCGTTAGATGTTTACAACACCCTCAATGAAAAATCAATTTTAAAATTAGGGAAGTAGTCATTGGTCCTCAAGTCCTCTAGGAAAACGAACATCACATTTCTTGTACAATGATCATTAAAATATTTTACATCGATTCCTTTTACCACAGGTCCATATGTGTTAGAAACTCATGTGTTTTCAATGTGTGGTTGACCACTTAAAGTGAAACAACTAATTCAGAGATCGTCATGTGTCAGCTTTCAAAAAAATGAGTATTGCTGCTTCTTGGATCCAGCTCACTGAATATAACAACAACTTCTTTTACTACAGAAGAAACAATCTCTACAACAACCTTTCAACAGCATGGTGCAATGAACAAGGAGTAAAACCAAAAGATTTTAATTTAGCATCATATGAAATTGTGATTTGTCCTTTTGGTGGTCCGATTGCCATGTTCAAAAAACCATCATCGAACATGTTATTCGGAGAGGGATCATCATCAAGTCAATCAGCATTGAGTGAATCACAAATGATTTATATATACTCTGCTGCTTGTAAATATTTGAGAAAGATCGATCAGAGCAAAGAAGAACCATTATTAGGGATCGGTTGGACCGATGATATGAAATTGATGGTTCTGACAAAGTAAGTGTGTCATTATGTCAACCACGCCATGACGTGATGGGTTCACCTCTTTTTGATGAAAACGAATTCTTTTCCAACATGGTTGATTCATCACCGAATTCTTTTTCATTTGAATTCATTTGCTTCTTCTATGAATATCATGATGATCTTTTGAAACTTTTCATCATGACAGAAAACGATTACTTCTCTATAATGCCTTCAATGGTGAACGATATGCAGGTCCATGGCAAAACGAAGATTCAAGCAACAACTCGTCCGACAAGAAGAATGGCAGCAGCAGTAATGGTGACAGCAATTTCTCCAGTAAATTACAACTGCCCTCAACCGCCTTGGATAAACTCACGATCAACCACCACCAAAACAACAAGAAAACAAAAGACGATCCACCCCTCAACACCGATACGACTTCTACCTTCATTTCCGTTCCACTACAGGCAGAGGAAGAAATTAAAACTCATGCCTTCTTCGGAGAAGGATGTGTGGTATTTACCTCGAAAAGACGTTTACTCGTAGCCTATGATTTGTCAGAGGCTAAACCCTTTCATGAATATATTTTCCCTAAAATTGGAATTTCTCAGAATGCTGATCTCTCTCAATCCGTGATGGCTGTTGTGCCTAATTATGAGCTTTCAGTGAGAAAGAAAAAACCAAAAGTTGAGGGTAAAAAGAAGGCTGGAGAACCCCATGATCATGAAGAGGAGGAAGAAGAGGAAGAAGAGGATGATGAGGACGATGAAGAAGATGATGAAAAGACAAGTTCTTCTAATGCTTCACCAAAATTAGCACCATCTTCAAGTGGTGGTGGTGGTGGATCAATAACAAAAAAGAAGAGTGGATTCTTTGGAATGTTGGCTCGAAGAAATGCTCGAACATTAACGAGTGCGCCTCTCGGAGGTGGTGGTGGAATGGAAACAAAACCCTTCAAAGTAGGAAAAGGACCACTTGTATTATTTTGTACTCCTGACAAGATGACCATCATTATGTGTTATTCCAATCTCTATAAGGATATGAAATTAGATGAAAGACTGAAAGGAAATATTCAAGAACAAGATACATCTGGTTTCACAAAAATTGCTCTTTCACCTGATTTAAAGACCGTTGCTGCTTTTCATCAAGCCTCTGGTCATTTATTTGTATTTGATTTGGCACTGACTTCAAATTATTTGAAATTTTTCACAGGAATTACAGAACATCGATTGGATCAATTAGTTTATTGCGGAGGAGAGTCCATGATGTTATATTGGAGTCCTGAAAATATTGGAGGTGGTGATCAATCTCTTGTTCTCTTAGTGAATTGTTTTGGCCACTATGAATCGTTCACTTTTGACGGACCTATTGTTCTTTCTCAAGAAGTTGATTGTGTTCGATGTGTCACATCAAACAGTGTAGAATTTATTGAACGTATACCTGAAAGTATTGTTGAAGTTTTTAGAATTGGAAGTTTGTCTCCAGCTGCTCTTCTCTACGATGCCTACTCTGACTTTGTGAATGAGAGAGCAACATGTTTGAAAACAATTAGGGAAATTAAGAACAAGGAACTGGGAGAACAAAGCATTGATGCTCTTTCTGATGGAGTCAACAAGTGTATTGATGCTGCATGTAGAGAATTTGATACTAACATCCAAGCTCAATTGTTGAATGCTGCTATTTATGGAAAAAATTTTATGAAGACTTCTATTGATGAAGCTAAGGCATTCCAAACAAAATGCAAATACATTCGATTGATGAATGAATTGAGAAATAGAAGTGAAATTCCAATTACATATGAACAAATTATTGCGCTTACTCCTCAAGTATTGGTTCAAAGATTATCTGAAATGCATGAATTCCTTCTCGCCTACAAAATTTGCGACTATTTGAATCTTTCAAAAGCTAAAGTTCTCGAACATTGGGCTAAAACCAAGATTAGAAGCCAAATGGAAGAAAAAGATGAAGCATCCCAAATGAAACTTCGTGATCGAATTATAGAAAATCTTGGGAAATTCTCAACCAGTGTGAGCTTTTCCAATATTGCCATGGAGGCATACAAAGTTCAAAAACCCAAATTAGCAAAAGCTCTTCTCGAAGTCGACTCCAATCCCCACTCACAAATCAAACTATACTTGTCCATGCACGAAACGTTGAGTGCCTTGGAAAAGGCACAACAGAGTTATGACACTGATTTACTCTATGTCGTAATTTTATATCTTATCAAATTCTTTGATACCTATTACATGTTTGAAATGATTGCAGATAAGAAAGCAGCTAGAAAGTTATTTATTTCCTATTGCACTCAACTTGGAAAGTACAAGAAGCTTGAAAAGTTTTACAAATACTTGAAATCAGAGCAGAATGAAGATGAAGCATCAAGAGAAAATGGATTTGTACAATTAAGACATGCTTTCAAGAATTATGATTCACCTGATGACGACGCTGAGAAACGATTCGCGTATTACCTTGAAAAATCAGAAAAATATTTCAATGAAAGAAGTGCTGATAAATTGGATGCAGAATTTTCATTAAAATCAAGAGAGCTTTATGGCTTGCAAATGAAACTTGAAGAAGAAACAGATGAAGAATTTATTGGAGCTCCACTACAAGATACTCTCTATAGGGTCATGATCAGTCCAGCACTCAGAGAAAAGAAAGGAGAACGAAAGAAATATGTCAAAATTCTCAAGAAGAATTTCGGTGTCACTGATAAGAGATATTACTTTTCAAAAATCAAAGCTCTTGTCCATTTGGGAGAATGGAAAAAGTTGGAAGCATTTGCCAACAGCAAGAAATCTCCTGTGGGTTACATTCCGTTCGTAGAAGAGTGTTTGGCCTCTCCAAAACCTGAAGAAGCTCTCAAATACATCCCAATGATTGAATCGGTTGAGACCAAAGTGGAGTATTGGATCAACATGCTCAAATTTAAGGAAGCCATCGAAGCAGCATTTGAAGCTCGAGATATTGACCTACTTGAATACATCAAAAAGAAAACAAAGAACAGCAAAACAAAGGACACAATCGATCAGTGCATTCAACAACTCAACAAGTAATCAAGAACGATTTCCGAATATGGTATTCTCTACAACTATAAAAATATTTTGTCTTTAAAACTAAACATTTTCAAGCTTGGCTAAAAGTTGTTCACACTCGTGTTTTTTTTAGAGTCGGAGCATACAAGTTTTGTTTAAGCTTCTTAATGATCTTAGTTTGATCGAAAAATGCAAGTCCCTCCATCAATAGAGTATCGTCGATTGCGTACATTCCGAGTTCTTTCTTGATGTCATTAGAAGTACAGCCTGATGGTAATTGAGTTGATTTGTCTGTTGACTTTTCTTTTTCCGATTCAAGTTCAATAAACTTTTTGCAAATAACAATGAAAATCTGTTTGTACTTTTTGGAGCTTGACGCAATCGTTTTGAAAACAATATCAATAGCACCAACAGCTACTTCATCTTCATTGTCGCTCGTAGTTGTATTTCCTTCTGATAGCAATGCGCTTAGAGAAATGTGTTCACTTTCCAAGAAGTATGTACAAAAATTAGTAATGTTAAACCTCATGAATCCAAACTTATTTTCCAGAGAATCATCCCACAGCAGATTAGAGAGTTGATGGTCAACACTACAAATCAAGTGAATATATCTAGAGGAAGCCAAGACAGCTAACAGTTGTTGACTTGTTTTGTCTCTCAGACTTGGACCATCTATGTTGTGAATGCAAATATATAAATGTTGTTTCTGCATTAGCGTTTGTTGAGTTGATGGGTTTACAAATTCTGAAAAATCTCCCAAGTCTTCGTCATTTGATTGTTGTACTTGCTCATTTCTTCTAGAGAGATGCATCGAAATATAATCAACCTTTTCTATGGATGACAATTTCTTGATTTTGGTTTCCTTCTCTTTAAAATTATGTTTTAAAATTTGATATAAAATTGAATCAGCGGTTACATTTGGGTTAAATCCAGATACAATAACAAAGTATCCATTTGTATCAACTATTTTCAAGTGGTACATTAATTGATTCAGAGCATATATTTTTGATCCAACTCCATAAAATAATAAATTATTGTCACATCTAACACATTGAATCCATTCATACATTCTCTTTTGTGTGAGCTCCTTATTTTTCTTTGTGAAAACTTCATTCTCAAAAACGGTATCCTCTCTTGAAGGAATGTTGCTATCTACATTTTCAAGATCCAGTTTTGCTTTATCCGTAGATTTCACTTTTTTATGAAGAATTTTCTGAGTGTTGTATTGTTCAAATGGAGTGGAATAAAATCGATCTTCTTGCTCTGGATCAATTTCAACACCTGAGTCAATTAATCGATGCTCAACAAAATTGTTATCTCTTTCAAAATGAACATGTTCTCTATTTTCTTCATCAAAGAACGTTCTCAAATGATCATCATCATCACCAATAAATAAAATTCCATCCGAAGGATTACTTGGTTCCGAGGGTACGAGAAGTGGTTTTAGAATTCTTCTCCCACTTCTCGTTGTTGTTGGTGTAGTCGTTGATGAAGATGTTAAACCAACACCATTGGTGGCACTTGTTGTTGAACTGGGTGTCATTGAAGTTGAAACCGTACTCGAAGCCTTTGTGGAGGCTCTTCTTCGTTTCATTCTTCGTTGCCGAAGGGGAATATCTTGAAGCATTTTTTTTGAGGAGAAGAAGCGAATGAAAAAAATGATTCCACCCAGCAGTAATGGAAGTAGTAGTAACTCTTCCATGTCCTCTTCTCCTGAGGATGGATGTATTAAAGTTTCAAATATTTCCAATATTTATTCAAAACCCTCCATTCCTCCTTTAGAATTCATTCTAGCCATCGGAATTAAAATTAAAAACAAATCTAAAACATCTGCATTGGTTCGATATGTAAACGAGCATTTCTCTCTAGATTCCTACGGATTGGACCATTTGAAGAGAGTTAAGAATATTGAGAAGGATGTTTATTGTCTTTTATGTCCTTTCAATATAAATGATGAATATAATAATTTAAATGATGATGATGAAAAAAATCTTGATGATACTCTGAACAAGTGGTTGAAATCTTCAATGACATCCAATCACATTCAAGAAGTGTTTTATAAAATTTTAGAATATCCAACATTGGATGATAATTTAGAAAATCATATGACATCAGATTTAAAATTATTTAAAATTCCTAAATATGCTCCAAAATTAAAAAGTCAATGGAAAGAATGGAATAGTCAATATTGGCCAATGCGAACAGTAAATTTATTTGAAACTGAACTACAGTTGGCCAAAGGTGATCCAAAAGCAGAAATCAATGTCAACACTCACGACATGGAGGGAGTCGAAAAATGTGTTCAATTAGTTTTACAGTCTTGGGAAAAGACGAAATTAGTCTCTGGAGTATTCTACAATCCCAATACCAAGACAATGGTTAAAAAACAGAATGGAGGGAATGAATTATTTCTGGACGAGTCGTATCACTCATTTTTCTCTCCATATTATGATCATTCTCTTCCAACAAGAACCTCAATGTTATCACAATTTAAGAATACATTAAGACATTGTTCTATGGTTGGAATTGAAATGGTTGCTCAGCATAATTCTGAGATTATTGATACACTAAATAAGAGTCCTAACTCAGAAAAAGATCCTTCTAAAATTCCCTATCTCTGTAAAGGTTTAGATTTATTTATTTCACATGAACCATGTTGTATGTGTGCCATGGCCTTACTTCATTCAAGAATAAGGAGAGTTTATTTCATTTATGAATGTAAACATTCCTTTGGAGGATTTGTGAATCATCATGATGATGGAAGTACCAAAGAAAATTCAACAAATCACACCATTCGACCACCAAAACATCATCATTCACAACAAGAATTTTGCATTCATGAAAATTCTCAACTGAATCACCATTTTGATGTCTATAAGATTTCCATTATACCCTGTCAACATCATGAAACAAATCAAACGACGATCTATTGACCCAACAGTTTTCTTCTTCTTCTTTGGATGATGTTATCAGCTGTTTGTTTTGAACATCTTTACAGCAGAAATGGGAATGACTTGACTGCCCTATTGGTAATGACAAAATGACCAATTCTGCAATGTGTCAATGGTTGACTGACTCTTAGACTTGAGCAATGCATTGAATGATGGTGACAAGAAAAGAAAAACCGCTCCTCCTGCACTTTTTACCAGTTTAAACCGAGAGAGCGTCAATGTCATCCCAATGTGTGACTCTCTCTTCCTCGTGTCGTTGTTCACACGCAAACAAAATCACCCATTGCACAGTTCGATCAACACACACACACGAGTGTGAGATCCTATTGTGCTCTCTCACTAACAACGAGTCTATTATTGATCAACAGTTGTTCAATTGGTATCATTCAAATCATACATATTTGATTGATCAACAATCATTCTCACTTCTCCTCCTCCTCTGCATTAAAATTGTACATCTCATAGCATCTCAAAACATTCCTTTTACGTTTCTCGGTTCTCAAATTCATCATTCTTAAAAAACAATAACAACAACAACGAGAAGACATTGTGATGAGCATTTAAACACAGAGTTGAAGAAACAGTTCATTGAAGGATCCTTCTCACAATAAGTATATTCAACAACAACAACCTCTCAAATCTGATTGACAAATTGTCTTTTCACCACACGACCATGATGAATTCATCACAAACTCTCCAATTATCATCATCACCTCCACTACCACCATCTGCCAGTACAAAACCACCATTATCTTCCAGGTCAACATGGACCACACAAATCATCTCTTCTCACAATCATCATCATGTTGTTGAATCATTATCACAACAACACTCAGAACAACCACCACTGAATGAATTAACAAGAAGAACCATTCAAACAACAACAACTCCTCCTCCTCCCATCAAGCCATCTACCTCTTCCATTCCAATTTCTTCTCACTCTCCTTCCTCCACGCTCACTACCAGTTCGTGTGAGATGCTTGTTGTGACTACTACTACTACTACTGTGAATGGTCGTCCAAGTCATGATTATTGTACTCCTCATTCAAAATGTACCAACAACCATCATGATGTGACATTATCGAGGAAGAGTTGTCATAAAGACGACAACCATGATCATCATCACTGTGAGGAAGAGTTGACAACCTTCGAATGCCACAAAGAAAAAGACTTTTTTGAGAATGATTGGAATCATCCTGTGTTGACCACAACAGCAACAACAAATGCAATCTCGGAATTTCAGACAAGTGCCACAAGTCACTCTTCCACATGTTCTTGTCCTCGGAGTGGTCCACCAGGTGTGAGTGCTGATACGAATGGTACGAATGGTACGGATTCACCATTACCCTCCTCAACCACAGCAACCACAGCAACCACCACCACACCCGATACGATGCACGACACTCCCAACAACCAAACTCAAGTGGAAGAGACTTCTCCTCATCCTCTTCATTGGAGTCATGCTCTGATCGATTCTCCAACTTGTACTACTCCTCCAAGCAGCCATCATCATCACCATTTCACAACAACAACCATCACCACCACCACCACCACTGGTAGTAGTAGTAGTGACTCACTCGGTGGTGGTGGTGCCCAAAGTGTTGCCATTCTGAACTCATCTGATCCAACTCTTGTCTATGCCAATTATATGAAAGGCACAGATTCCAAATCCTTACTCTTGCAATATTGTGTTCTAGGAATGGAACAGGAATTTAAGGATTTACTTGGTAGAGAAATTGAGAATTTATCTTGTTCTTTATCATCCTCCTCATCTTCATCATCCTTATCTTCACTTCAAACAGTGAATCATCATCATTATTCGATCAGTACGGATATTAATACGACTACTACCACTACGACAAGTGATACTACTACTACTACTACCAATCCACATGTGGATGATCAAGAACAACCACAACAAGAACAACCACAAGAACCAATGGATACAACAAGAACAACAACCACACATGAAACCCTTCATTATGAATCATCACCTTCATCACCATCACAACTCATTCTCGCTCAATCCAAACTATTAACCTCTACATTCATTTATTCAGATCATGACAAGTGTTCTCTCTTTCACTTGGCAAGTAAATTCAATCAAGTGCATTTATTAGAGTTCATGTATGACATGGTTCCATCTCTCATTTTCATGAAAGATTCAAAACAAGCTCATCCTCTCTTTTATGCAGTTTCTAATAATGCCAAAGAAAGTGTTGCATTTTTATGTAATGCAGCAAGTGTGACCATGAATGGTAACAATCAATTATTACCAGTTTCAAAATTTGTAAATGAATTAGACATGTATGGAGGGTGTTGTCTATATTTGGCATTACAGAAATCATTCTTTGAATTGGCTGATTTATTGTTACTGTTTGGAGCGAATATTGATATTAGTTTCAAGACAGGTGAGACCATGTTGCATAGAGCCATCACAGAGAGAAGATTGGATATTGTGGAATATTTGTGTAAGAAGGGAGCAAATTTATTGAAACAAAATCAAAATAATGTAAGTTGAGAGAGATTTATATATTCACAGAATATGATTCTCACCTACATGCTGTTGTGGTACTACTACTACTATTATTATACTCTTCTTTTTTTACTCTTCACACCACACCATTCATCCCGACCATCACCACCCCTTCATACCAAAACATACCCAAAACATACCCAAAACATCATCTTGAATATTCATTCCAGGAAAATCCACTCTTCAATGTATTTGTACATCAAAAGAAAAAACTTTCAGACCTTAATGAAAAAACAGTGAATGGATTCTTCACAACGAATAATGCCAACTTTTGTAAGAATGGAGCTCAATTTTTACAAAATCTCCTAAAAAGTGATTGTTTCTCTTCTGAAGTGATTATGAAAGGTTTAAAACAAAAGAATTCACATGGACGTACCATGTTCCAAGAATGTATTGTGAAAGGAGATTTACCAAGTTTTAAAGTATTATTAGCTTATTTAACTACACGACAAAGCTCTGAAACACTTTCATGGTTTGTAAATGATGTTGAAAATCAAAAGAATAGAACTGCACTTCACTTGTCAGTGGTTTACAAACAATTTCACATGTTCAAAATGTTGGTAGAATCCATTCCTGGAATTGCCAAGTTAGATGCTACGGATAGTGATGGTAAAACAGCATTAGATATTGCCAAAGATACAAATCAGGACAATGTGGTGGAATTGTTTAATGAAATGGCAGAATTGCAAAAACCAAAAAAGAAGAAGGGATTTGGACTTAAATCTCTTTTTAGTAGAAACAAATCAAAAAACAAATAAAACAAGTATGAATGTACATGCGGAGGGAGGAATTGAGTCCAAAAACATTAAAAAAGAGACAGACGGGTTATTTTAGTGAACTTTCTTAAATTAAAATTGGAGCACCTGTTCACCGAATCCAGCTGGGATTCTAATTGACAAAAGTTAAAAAAAAATGAGAAAAGGGTCTTGGTAAAAATACTACCTTTGGTTCGGACAGCGTGAAAAAAAAATATGAGTGATGTGAAAGAGTTAAAGAAGAAGGTTTTGTCTAAAATCTCGAAAAAGACGTTGGAAACATTGAATGCTGAAATGAAGAAGAAAAAGGTGCCTCTCTGGGGATTAGAAAAAGATCGAAATTTTGAAAATGATTGTCTGCTTATTGTGCTTTAACATGATTTATTCGGGGTTGGCTATCAAAAAATTGAGTCTGAAATTTCATCTTTTTTGGAAATATCAGAGAAATCAATTAGACGACACAATACCAAAGTGATTAGGCAATCTTTCTAGGATTGGTGTGATGCACAAATTGTCCTTGGTAGCTATAATGATTGGAATCGTGCATCTAAAAAGTTGGGAGGAAAAGAAAGGAAGACTAAGGTCAATTTACGGATCGACAGCTCCGATTTCAAAAAGACACAACCCGAGAATGCTTCTAAGAAGAGTGATGAACATTCCTAAAAAGAACATCATTATGCAAATCGGTTCACATGTTTTTCAGATGCCAAAGGACTAATTGGAGAACTCTATGGGGCTTATAAGTCGAATAGAGTGCCTTTATGACTCTCATGAAAGATGAAATAGAATCATCTATGGATGGTGCAGTTATGCTTGGTGATTGTGGATATGAATCTGTTGTCAGCAAGTTCAGTAAAATCAAAATCGTCACTCCAAAGTCACAACCAAAAGGAAGACCTCCAAAAGACGGAAGGGGAATCAGGAATTTGACAAAAAGCTGGAAATAAGTTGCTAAAATCACTAAGATAGAAAGTGGAATGTTCATTTGGTCAAATTAAGAAAGATCTTGTTCCACAGAAGACGACACTCAACATTACCACGTAGTCAAGATGGCAGTAGCAATTAGAAACTTTCAGACAGAAAATAGTGAGGCAGATGATGAGATTTTACTTATAAAAATTACTTCGCGTCCCCAACGGTAGTATTTTCTCAATTCAATTAGTTCATGAAAGAATTTAGAAATCCAAAAAAAAAAATAAAATCACAAGCAGTCAAACACCCAAAAAGAAGAACAAAATCACCACCATAATTGTCTCTTGTTTTATCAATCATCCGCCTAGTCTGACCATTTCATTTTTCTCGTTTGGTAGATCGACCTAATCGTATCATTCTTCAATTTCCAAACGATTCGTACCTCATTTGTTCATACCACTGTTTTGATTTAAATTGAAAAACGAATATTTGCAAAGAAGGCAACACCAACCGACAAACGCCCTCTCAAAAAAATGCGATCTTTCAATCGGTTGTTTTCGAGCAGTTCATCGTCGTCGTCTCCTTCCTCATCAGCAACGGCAGCAGCGTTGAACATCACCAATTCGACTTCCAATCATCATCATCATCCACAAGGTGATACTACCAACACCACGCCCAACAATGCCCAACATCATGATACCAGCGGAGCGATAAACTCCACTCGGGTACAAAAAATTCATGTAGTACCACCAACACAACATCATCAAAACGATGGAGAACGATCATCATCATCGCCCCTACCCAATACAATGGGAGATGTTGCTAGACCAATTTCTCAATCTCAAGCAAAACAATTTTTTAAATATATGAAAAAGTTAAAAATAGACGCGGTGGAGCAACTTTTGAAAGAGAATATCCGTTATCTCATGATCAGAGATGATGATATTAGTACACCATTGATCAAAGCTGCTTCAAGAAACATGCCAGAGTTCGTTGATTTGTTTTGTAGAATGAATAGAGATAACAAAGTAGGATTTTCTTGCTTAGATTTGACCAACAAACAAAGATATACTGCCATCAACATTGCTGTAAAAAAACAAAATACTAACATTGTAAAATTGTTGTTACAATATGGTGCAAATATTTCAGACACTCCTAACCAAGACGGAAATTTACCAATTCACAGCGCCAGTAGACGTGGATTTACAGAAATAATTTCCATACTTGTAAAACATGACCCTAACCAATTGAATATCACCAATCCTTGTAATAGAAGGACTCCATTATTCATGGCAGCTCAACATGGACATGTAGAAACAGTGGCATGGCTCCTGGATCAGCCCGGAATAGATCTCTCTATTAAAAGTAAGGATCACAAGAGACCCATTCACTCAGCTGCTTCTCATGACAATGTGGAAATTGTGAAATTACTGCTGAAAAAGGGCAAAGAATATATCAACGTTCTGACAAACTCTGAAAAGGACAAAGATAAGCGGTATACACCATTACATTATTGTTGTAAGAAAGCTGCATTGACAACGGCTAAATATCTATTAGAACAAGGAGCTATACTGGATATATTTATTAACAATGCTAAATTTAACTATTTTGGCAAAAAGACGCCTCTCTACTTGGCAATTCAAAGCAAGCGAGAAGAAATTTTAAAACTTTTTCTTTCATACTACAAAATCATTATGGAACTGGCAGAAAATCCTATTAGAGAAGATGCCCTTTTAAAATGTAACAGGATCAATATTTTTGATCTAGACATTCAAAGTATTGTCAAAACATATGATTATTATGTTCAACAAGATGACATCAATGTCATAATACCTGATCCGTCATCCGATTCTGGTGACAGTGATGTCGATGACATGGAGAACAGCAATGATGCAAGCACAGAAAACAAGGTCGTAAAAACAGTACTGCGAACCACAAAGGAGGCCATTTCTTTAGCTATTACGGAGGAAAACCAAGAATTGATTCATTTGGCCTTTTCGCTTGAACTTTTTGATTGTGTTAAACTGTATTTGGCAAGCTTCCCTCAACTACTAAATTGTAAATCAACATCAAACGGAAACACCCTGATCAACAAGGCAGCACATATTGGTAATTTGGAAATGATGAAATATTTAGTGTCTAAAGGAAGTAACATTTCGATACCAAATGATGTTGGAAATCTTCCAATTCACAGAGCTGCTTATTGTGGCCACGCAGAGCTTGTGAAATATCTAGTCGAAGAGTGTGGTGAGTGCGTAGATGTTTTCCAACATTCATCTCCCAAATCGAAGAGACTTGAAAACTCATTACACCTCGCAGCAAGAAAAGGATTTTTGGAATGTGTGAAGGTTTTATTGATGAATGGGTCAGATATCACGCGAACAACAAAAAGTGAGAGTACAACAGGAAGAAGAGATGCCATACAACTAGCAAAGAGATATAATCAAATCGAAGTCTATGAATTTCTTAAAAAAGTTTATGAAAAGACTGCTCGGTCATGCTAAAAAGTTTTTTCACACTGTGTACGCGAATCTTCAACATTTAAAGATCTGTTGTTGAATGTTATCTCACTAGTTCGTACTTTTTCAAATTTCAAAGGATACATTGACCATCGTTAATGCAAACTTGTCCGTTGCAAAGCCTGGTGTTTCTGAATGTCAAACCAAACTTTGAATAAATCTCTTGTTTCCAATCCGAACAAAGCATTTGCTCTCAAATATAAATAAGGAGATCCTGATAATTGGACAAAACAAGGATAAAATTCTTTTTCAAAAACAGGTTTACAGGGATCATTTTCATAAGAACTTGGCGTACTGAGAGCTTCACTTGGTGTTTGCCCCTTCTGTTCCGACAGACATTCCTTATATTTACCTAATTGAGTTCCGCATGGTGTATGAGGAGCGTGAAGAGCACAATAAGAACATTGATAAGGATCTTCTTTCGTAATTAAATCATTTGGAGAAAATAATGAATATGTTTTTCCTTCAAACTCAAATTTGTTTGCAAGTACTTGTGGTTTAAATTGAGCGAGTGCTTTCAGTGCGGAACGTCTTCGGTGTTCTTGTTCTTTTTTTGCTTGCGCTGAGGCTTGTTGGTGATGTGATGATTCAGTCATTTTTTTTGATTGAATTTGCAATTTTTAATATTAAAATATTCAGCATCATGGATGTTGTGATCCACTGACATATGAGCGTGGATCGGTTGATTTCATCATTGAGGTCACATGACTCAAAGAGCAAATAGAAAGTGAAATTGTGTTATCTAGTTTTACAACAACAAGAACTTAAAAAAAATGAATTCCAAGCAACAACTCGTTTCCAAAATCGTGATTGGTGAAAATTCTTCTTCTTTGGATCACCCAAATGCAAGAACACCCACAACAACAACAGCAATAGATTACACACAACAACCACCGACATTGAATGATCGTGAATATATATTAAACAATGAGGTTTCGTCCTCTCCATTCACCACCAGTAGAAGCAGTAGGAGTAGTAGCAGTATCATCGCTTCCGATTCGGTTGATTCATTCAATTTTAATAATAATCAAATGTTGAATTCCTCTCTCTCCCAAGACCCACTTGAAGACTTGAGTAAGAATGAAGAAAAAAATTATGTATTTGAAATTAATGATTATTCCAAGTTGACAGCATGGGAAAAGTAGGTTCCGATGATGATGATGATCGATCTATATATTTTCAAAATTTTTAAAGATTTGTGGATCAAATTGAAAGCTGTATTGTGACATGGTGCACTAATACAGCACCAACAGCAGCAGCAACTCGAGATTCTTCTCATCCTCGTCGTAGTCAACAACAATTTTCTGATTTTTCACATCATTCTCAATTACTGATCTATGGAGGAGCTAAATATAGACTAACTTATTTCAAAAACACAACTAGTAGTAGTAATAATAGGACATTTAATACTACTAGTAGTAGTAATAGTAATTTCAACAACAACAACAATACTAGTAACTATAACAGTAGTAGTAACAACAGCAATAGTAGTAGTAACAATAACAATACCAGTCCTTCGACTCATCATTCTCAAACATCCTCCTCCTCCTCCTCTATTCATTCTTCAACCACTTGTTGTCATTTCGATACCAATTTTTTATTAGAGAATGACAATGATTTTCAACATCGATCACATCACTTGACACGTTGGTTTGGAGTTCAAGAATTTCTCATTCTTTCACAATATATTGAAAAACGAAATGAACAACATTCACATCACCATCAACAACAACATGGTAAATCTCTTTCAAAACAACTCATTACCACATTATTGAGTGCCATTTCAATTGCTCTTTCAAATACTCACTTTTCAATACCATATTTTGTATTATGTGATGGAGTTCATGATTATATTGGAAGATTTAATTCCTCTCTTGTGAATCAAATCACAAGATTTAAAAGTGAATCTTTGAGAAAACAATTAGAACAAAACAAATATCTTTCTTCTCGATATACAAAATTAAGTGGAATTATTGAACTCTTTTGTTTTAACATTGGAAAACATGTTAAAATTTGTAATGAAATTCAAATCAAGGCAAGATATAACTACGTTCTAGAATCCTACAATTCACAACAATGGAATTGGATGAAAAATAATTTCTCATTGAAAGAATCTCGAATGGGAGCAAGTGATATTCCTCCTTTGGGATGTAAATATGATCCTATTCATTCCATAACGATGGCATGTTTATTTCCAAATGTTCTTCAACATTTACAACAACAAATCGATGAGTTAAATCTCACACAATCTTTTTCATGGGAAGTGAGAATGAATGTTGAAAAAAGGTAAGAAGGTTTTATAAAGATCAGAGGATAGGATCCTTAGATACATCATGTATATATGATGAATGGATGATTCAATAATGATGATGATATATGATGAATGGATGATTCAATAATGATGATTGAACACTCACTCACAATATCACAATCGATTTATCACAATCGATTGAAACATACTCACACACTGAATGTTCTATCCAATGCCATCCTATCCCTATCGAATTCCTATCGAATTCCATTCCTATACAGACCAGAACTCGAACACACCGATGGTTTACATCGACTCTTGTTTGATATTTATTTACCTTTTAAAAAAACTAGTTTTAAGGGTAAGTATGATTCATCCAATGCCAATCTTTAAAAGGTGATTATTCATTGTAACTTGTGATCATCATCATGTCAGAGAACACAATGAATGACCTGACGACAACCTTCTATCAACCTTCTTCTTCTCCTCTTCAACAACAACAACAACAACACAACAACCACACCACTTACGACTACATTCATGAAGCCATTTTTGATATTTTTGATGTCCATCATGATGATGATACTTCTTCTTCACAATTCATGAAACGATCTCAACAACACTACATTTCCACCAATGAAATAACCTCTTATATTCCCAAATCATGTTCTCCTTCGAGTCTACTACGAAGGTTGTGTGATCACTTACCTAAAATGAAGAATATGTCCGACATTGGTATTCTCTGGAAGAATTTCATTCGAATTTTATTTAAATTTTGGGAAGAAACAAATATTCAAGATCTTTCAGTATTGGCACAAATTGCTCCAGATCAATCTTTTATTCCATTCACAAAGGATAATGTGAGTTGGACTCCAAGTTGTTTATTAGAACAAAAAATTGACATGTTGAATGTGTGTTGTAAACGAGAATGTGAATTGGCAAGAAAAAAATGGAAAAGAAAAGAATTGAAAAGAAAAGAATGGAAAGATTCAGGATTGGATATTTCAGAGGATGAAGAAGAAGAGGATGATGATGAATTTTATGATGTACAAAGTGAGAATGATGATGATAGGAATAATACTTGTTCTTCTTCTCAAATAGATGAACAACAACAATCACAACAACCATTCACACAACATTCTCCTCACATCAAACAAGTACTCGAAATTTCGAATGGTCGAAAAATTAACATTCCCATTACTCAATACATTCCAACAAAAACTGAAGATGTGATTGAAGAAGAACAACATTTACTTTCGAATATGGAATCTTCACAACAACGTGCAAGATATCAATGTGAAGGTTTATTATCAGATATGCAAGCATTTAAGGTAGGTGTGTGTGAAATTTGAAATGTGTGAATATGTAACGATGAATATGCTTTATTCTTCTTTCAATCTCTCAATTTATGAATATTTGATCCCATTTTCAATGAATTTCTCTTTCTTTTAATTTCACAAACACCAAATGTGTTCAGTATGTCAATCCCAATGCTGAATTTTCAGATTTTCTACTTTGGTATTCTCCGAAGGATGTGGTCGATGCCAATAGCAATAGTCTCAGTTCTAGAATGAGTTCACAATCCAATGAAAATATTTGGAAACAATTTTGGGAGGAAGCACAACCCATTCCAGTCTCAAAACAAAAACCATTATTTGATCACAAATTACATGCAGAAAAAGTCATTCACTATTTAGATACCATAGAAATGACCCATGTGATGGATGAGTAAGTGTGATTGATAGTATTCTTTTTTCGAAATATATGCTAACAATCATCTCCAATGAATGGCATACGCTGCTAACAAATGAATGGCATACGCTGCTATTTTAACAACATTCCAAACAAATGAATGACATTCTGATTCCTAACGTTTTTATCCTTGACTTATTGTTGAAATTACTATACTACTCTCTATTGCAACAATTATCATTCGTTCTCTCAACATTATTTCTTTCACACACACCCATCACAGATTAATCATATGCTCTCTGGTAGCCACTTATTATTCATTGAGGGAGTGGTGGATGGATATTATTCATAACAATGAATCCATGATGCTACTACAAGAAACAAAAAAAGATCTCTCTATTCTTAGTGATGATTTCTCAGAATCAAGAACACCTGTCATTACAAAAATTGAAGAACGATTTGCATTCATAAGAGAACTATTGAAAAAACTTTCAAAAGAAACCATTCTTCAACAAACAGATTTACTCGAAGTGCTCACAGAAAAATTACAAGATTTAGAGAAATCCATCTCGTTAGTGATCTCTGTCTTATCAAAGGTATGTATTGAATATGATTATTGTTGGGGTTTTGTTGTTTTCGAAACAGAGAACGATATTCATATAATGACCAACACAACCACCACCTTGATGGCGATCATTTGCTCTCTGAATAGTTCCATAACAATAAGAGATGGCTATCAAGTCCTTTCATCCATTTCCTTCCATATATGGAACAATTGATCTTTAATGAAAGCTTTTGTTTGACCTCTCATGAGAATCCCACCAGCAATCACCACATACTCTGTCAAATATGTGCTGGCGGTGAGGAAGAGGAAGAGAATGAAAACACAGATACTACTACTACTATGGTTGAAGAAAAGAAATCTGGTCAACATTCGAGTCGAGTGATCCATGCCACAGAACATGCCAGAGAATTCATTTTGAGATGTCAAGCTCTACGACCATATCTAAACTCGGATGCCACCCCTCAACTCTTGTATGCTCTTGTTTCGAGAGATGAAATTCGTGTTTCTATTGCTTTAACGGAAAAGGTACCTTGGTAGCGTCTATCTGTCCATGGACGTCTCGTCGACAGTACCAGACGGAGAGCAGTCTGTGAACGATTGTGAAGATTCATATTTTCTGCTGTTCTCAACATGTGTGTGTGTACGAAGAGGATCGCCATTATTTTTTCATCAACAAAAAATATCTGCCCACCTCAAAGCCTTACTCGATTCGAAAAATGGCAGAGAAAGAGTTGGATCCAAGACTCTTGGAAATTATGAAAGAAACCGGTACCAAATTGTCGGGAGATGATTTGAGTGCTCTTAAAACCGTTAGCGTAAAGGAGTTAATTAAATTGTGGGAAGCTCTAGCAGTTGATCAACAGGAGCCGACAGCAAAAGGAGGCACTAAATCTGCACCAAAACGTACAAAGAAAGAAATATTTGAGGAATGGACTAAAGGAGTGGTTGAACAGTACAAAAAGCAAGCTGAGAAGAGACTCACGGCGTCCTCATCTCAAGGATCTCACGCACCGAAACCAAAACTCATGAGTGATCACGAATATAACAAGTCGATCAAGGAAGCAAGAAATAATTTGAAAAAAAGAATTGAACTATATGAGAAACTGGTCTCAGCAAAAGAGGCTAACGATCAACAAGCTCTTAAAGAGTTTTCATCTCGCCATAGAACAGAATTGAAGAATGATCTTAAATCCCGAAATACCTCGTACTATGAAACTATTCTCAAGAAGAAATCAAACCAATCCTTAAAGCTTGTGAGACCCTCGGTTGTTCCTCAAATAGTTACCATTAACGAATCAAAGAAACAGCCATTAATTCTTGCGTCTAAACAGCTAGGAGCCAATGGAGAAGTTTTACTATTTCTAGAAATTGCTAGTGATGACTCAATCCGAGATGTTGTTATTGAGGCGATTCCAAATCAAGGCGTTGACGTATCCGTTCTTTCAGCTCCCCAAATCGAGAAAATTGGTCCAGAAGATTTGGAAGCTGCAGTGTTGAAGATTGACTCCAAAGATGCAATTACTGAAGGTGGAGGATGTCAAATGAGGCTTCAAGTACACTATACAGATGAAGAAACCGGGCAAAGAAAGACACAAACTCTTTCCCCTATTCAGTTAGGTGTGGTTGATACTATCGAAGCCGAGACAAAGGACACTACTGAATTTGAGAATTTGTGGTTCAAGACTGGGCAAAAAAATGAAACAAAAGAAACTCTTATTTTTGATTCTCCACTTCAAGATGCAATCGATTCATTTGTAGAAGGAGCAGGTATGATTCCAATATCTGAGGCACAACAAGAAATACCTGCAACAGCTACAAAACATACGATGCAATTTTTTGCAAAAAAGGATGACAAACCTATTTTAACTAAGGTAGTATTTACCTCAAAATCAAATGGAACGGAAGCGCTCGTTCAAACAAGAACAGAACTAGAGAATGTCAGATCTGAAGCCGTGAAGAATCTCAAGTCCTTTTGGGAAAACATGAAGCAAAATAAGGAAGAGATTGTAAAGGGAGTCGCAAGAAAAATTAAATTTGAAAAAGAGAAAGAGGAACATATCAAAGCTCAAGAAATACTGAGGAAGGCAAGAGAAGAAGAAGAAGCAAAGCGTAGACAGGAGGAAGAGGAGATGGAACGACTGCTCAAGGAACAGGAAGAAGAAGCCAAGCGTAGACAGGAGGAAGAGGAAGAAATGGAAAGAATACTAAAAGAAGAGGAAGAAAAACGGGCGAGGGAGGAAGAAAAACGCAGACTTGAAGAAGAAGAGAGACTAAAACGAGAAGAGGAAGAGAGAATTAGAAAAGAACAAGAGCAAATCAGACTGGCTGAGGAAGAACGGATTCGACAGGAAGAAATGCTAAGAATTATCGAAGAAGAGCGTCTCAAAAAAGAGAAAGAAGAGCAAGAAAGAATTCAAAGAGAAGAGCAAATTAGACTTGAACAAGAACAAAAGCAACGTGAAGAGGAAGAAAAGAGACGTAAGGAAGAGGAAGAAATGGAAAGAATACTAAAAGAAGAGGAAGAAAGACGGGCGAGGGAGGAAGAAAAACGCAGACTTGAAGAAGAAGAGAGGATAAAACGAGAAGAGGAGGAGAGAATTAGAAAAGAACAAGAACGATTGGAATTGGAAAGAAAAGAAGCTGAGGAGAAAAGGAAAAGAGAACAGGAGGAGATGGAAATGCAAATACGATTGAAGCAACAGAGGGTTGAAGAACACAGAGCAGCAAGAATCCAATCTCTCGAAACCAACATGCAGAACTTTTGGAACAAATTTGGTAAACCTCTAAAGACAAAGGAATTTACAGGAGCAAGCCCCTTCATAGTTAAGGTTCATACTCTTCCTTCTCACCAAGTTATTGAGGTTCAAATCTCTCCTCCACAAGACACCAACACGTGCTACAGAAATGTCAAAATTGACATCGATCCAATCATCAAGGGTCTCCACAAGGAGGCATACCAAGTTATGATTGATGAACTCTATCCCTACAACAACACAAGCTCGGTTGCTGTTGCCTTAAAGAGAGATGAAGAATTCCCTGTTGGAGAACTGGGAGAACTAAAGATACTGTTCGATTCTGCAACGTTTGACCCATCCAACGATGAGATAATTGGAGAACCTCAGCCATATGAGGTTTCGATGGATAATATTGAATTCAAAATTGGAGACCTTAACCTTACAGAAACAGAACCAAGTTTTGAAGATTTCAAAACTCTATGGGACAGTGGTATCTTCAGTGAACATGGAACAGATAATATCATTTCAGGCGAGCACCAAAATCCAGTTGATTTAGTGAAATCATTTTGCATTTCGCATGATCTTGCACCAGTAATACATGTAAAGGAAGGTGTCGATGAAGGTACATGTTTCTTTGGCTCCTCCTACGAATTCCCATCAGGTGATGCAGCACTTGTCCTTGGAAAAGCTAACAAGTTCGAAAACGGTGTTGTTAAACTCAAGGTTCAAGTCAAATCATCAGAGAAGCAAATAACAGAAAAGTTCTTAAAATCTTTTTGTTCGAGCTATAAGGAACAAATCAAACCAGTTCAAATGTTTGAAGACAAAACAAGCAATGAATTACAAGAAAAATTGGGAGTACCAGTCGCCATTCAAAAATGTGTCTTGATTTCCAAACCATCAAATCCACTAATCAAAGTTGAAGTGTCTAAGCGCGTTTATCCTGACAAAGTGCTCCTAGAATATCGTGTAACGAACAATTCTTATTCACCTATTGAAAATGTTGATATTTCGATGGGTGGAATTGGTTTCGAATCTGGAGGTGGTGAGGGTGATATTATTGAACCAGGTGAAGAGGCTGTTTTGTACAAGATTGTATCTCCTGAATTTGAGGAAGGATGTACATCTCCTTGTTTAACCTACTCTGTATCTGGCCATCCTGAAAAGCATGAGCTGTTTAATGTTATGTTGGGTCTGAAGGATGAAATAATACCAGTATATCCAACTGCAGATTTCTTTGATGTGGAGTGGCAACAAAGTGCTACTTTCGAAACAGTACCCCACGTTGCTGAGTTAATGTCCACAGAACTTAACCAACTGAGTGAATGTGTGAATGATGCGTTTGGAGCAACTAAAGCTCTCAACCAGCATGAAGTTGAGGAATCATCTTCAGATACTTTGAATTACATGTTCAATTTACCATCAGGAGAAGACTTGCTTATTCAAGTTCTTTTGGAACCAACCCCAACATCTATCAAATATTCTCTCAGGTATAAGGGTGATAGCCCAAAAACAAAAGCATATGTCCAATCATTGATTTCTTTTTTGCGTTATGAGGTTCAAAAAAGAAATGCTATTATTGAAGAGCAACAATTACCAGAGATTCCAGAAGAAGATGTCCAACCTCCTCCAATTGAAGATTCTGTTCCTGAATTACCTGCTGATGAAGATTCTGCCCTTAAAGAAGACAATCCTCCTGAACTTCCAATAGAAGACGAAAAAACTGCAACACTTGCAATAGACGAAGAGCCTGAAATTCCAGATGAGGAAGAACCAGAATTACCTACAGAAGAAGATCAGCCTCCGGAAATTCCATACGAAGAACCTCCGGAAATTCCCTCTGAGTTTGAAGAGGAGCCTCCTGAAATTCCACAGACCACAGAAGAGGAAGAGCCTGAGCTTCCACCAGAAGATGAAGAGCCTGAATTACCACAAGAGGAGGACAATGTACAAAATATTTCTGAACCTCCTGTTGTTGAGGATGAAGAAGAGCCTCCAATACAGCAAGAAGACGAACCAGAACTTCCACCAACAGAAGAAGAGCCTGAAATTGTACCAGAGACAGCCGAAAAACAACAAACACCACTTGTTGATCAACAAGCCAAGCCTGTAGAGCAAAAACCTTCTGTTGTTGACGATGAAACTCCTCCAAAAAAGCCAGAATTATCAGAAGAAGATACATTTGCAGAGGAAGAAAAAGTGCTCAAACAAAATCAAGTGGATGTTTCAAAACTTAGTAATACAACTTGGTTGAAACCACGATTTGTTGTTCACCAAAATGGAAGTCCAAACGATAAGAAGATTTGGGAAATTGACTTCTTTGCATCCACATTCAAACTATTCGATAAGAAGGGAGGAAAACTTAAAAGTACCTATCAAGCTAAAGATTTATATTCCCTTGAAAGACATTTTACTGACTCTAGAAGATCTGTTTTGAGATTCTTTGGAGACAAGTCACATCACGATCTCGTATTTGAATCAAACTATCATAGAGAACGATTTTTTGAATGTGCTTCCTGTATGAGAAAGAATTTATTTGTTTGGTGCCCCTTCGTTTGTGGTCCTGGACAAGTCAAAGTCATTTCTGACCTCAAAGGTTCATTCAACTGTATTGAGAATGGTCAAGTCAAGCAATATCATGGTGAATGCAAAGTCAACGCATATGCAAAAGCCTTTGAACCAATCCAAGTATTCTGTATGACTTGGAATATGGGCGGAAAGAAAGCTCCTAAAGACCCACAAGAACTCCAAGACATTCTAGTTCCTGGAAAATACGATCTATATGCGATTGCAACTCAAGAATCTGGATTTCCTAAAGATGTGAACAAATTTAAAGCCTACGTTGAAAATTGTCTTGGAGACAAGTACATTGTTTTGACTTGTATTACAATGTGGGAAATTCAATTGGTTGTTCTTACAAAGAAGTCTCACTTTTTAAAGATTTCAAACATTCAAGGCGTTCAAAAAGCAACAGGATTTGTTAAAGTTGCTGGAAATAAGGGTGGTGTTGGAATTTCGTTATGCTTCAACGATACCGCAATGCTTTTTATTTCATCTCATTTGGCTGCTAATCATGGCGAGGGAACAGACGACAAGGAATATCTGAATCTTAGAAATCAAAATGCTCAAGAGATTATTGACGCCATGTCCATTGGCAACCCAACAATGGACATTAGTGGACAGTTTGATTACATTTTCTTTATGGGTGATACAAATTATAGAGTTGAATTGCCTTATGATGATGCTGTTGGTTTGGCAAGAAACAAAAAGTATGATCAACTCGTTGCAAAGGATCAACTAAAGGCACAACAAAAACTTGGAAAGGTGTTTTATGGCTTTAAAGAAAATCCAATTTCATTCCCACCATCTTACAAGTACAAACCTGGAACACTTGAATTCGATAATAAGAAGAAGCGAACACCATCCTACACGGACAGAATACTTTACAAGACATTCCCTGCTTGCAAGATTCTGAGTGAAAAGTACACTGTAAAGTTCCCAGAATGCAAACACCCATCGGATCATCTTCCAGTCCAATGTGTTTTCACTGTTCCCACCCACAGACCATTCGTGTCTGTATTTACTTCTGAAGCTCAATATTCTTGCCAAATTATCTTTGAAGAAATTGTTTGTAAATTGGCTGTCAGAGAGGAAATTATCAATCCTACTCTAACGTTTTATGCCTCTTGGCTAGATTCAAATGAAAAGGGAGAATATCCAATGACTTCCAAGATTGCGAATACAAAGACACCACTATGGACAAAGGAACAAATACCAGTACTTGTTCCAGCAACCTCCAATGTAGAATATTTGCGCTTGAAACACCTATCGCTAACCCTTAGAACTGGTAAGCCAGAAATTAGCCGTGGAATTGAAAATCTTATTGGAACTGTCATTTTACCACTTCAAAATGCTGTAGCCAAGAGCCCTGATAAAAATCCATTCAAGGCTCCTATCCATGCGCAAGGTGGATTGGCTGCTGGTATCATGGAAGGATGCTATAGGATTGTGTATAAAAAGGAGGACATGGGCAAGAAACTCATGACTGCAGACTTGGAATAAACTTGTACAACAGAATTTCACGTGCATACGATGAAGGAATTTATTAAGGCTTTAAATGTTTTTCCAATTAGGATCAAACTTGGTTTCGCTGACAGTGTTGTGAAGATTGATGGCTCTGGCATACTCACGGGCACCTTCTTCATCATTTGGATATTGATCATAGGTGCGAACCTTTCCATAAATTTTCAGATCGTTGATAATCTTGGCGTGAGAGTGCCAGCGAGGATATTGGAACACTTTGTGGTGTTTGACTGTTGTAATATTATGTGGTAATATTTGTATAATAATATTACATGTACAATATTTTGTTGCGTGTAGTACAAACAGGTATAATATTACATTGATCTTACACAAATTCTTTAAAAACTTACATGGTGGTAATACCATATGCAAATGCAAATGTTTCACACTCACAGGATAATTGTAACCAGCAATGACATTTTCTTCAATATTAAAATTCTCTCCAAATCTTGACAAGTCTCTCTTTTTAAATTCCTCAACACCTGCTTTAAATAATGCTTCCAACATTGGAATATGTTCTTGTGTTAAACAAGTCACGTCATCATAAACATCAATTGGAATAATATCAATGTGATCATTGTGAACAGACACTCCAAATTTATCATTAAATAAACACAATGAATCATCTCTAAATAAGATTGGAGTATCCTTATTCTTTCCAGTAATAATATCTAAAAATACATTGTCAGGCAATTGTGAAACATCTTGAGGTGTCAATGGAAATGAGCAACCAGTACAGAAATCTACATTGACAGAATTTGGTTTTGTACAGGCAGGACAAATTTTACCATATTGATGTTTTGAAGAAAATTCAGTGATGGTTCCACGTTGTGATCTCTCTCGTTCAATGACTTGTAAATCTTCGGAAGAAAAGTCTTTCCAATGGGACTTGTTGAATCTGAAAGTAGGTTGACTGGACATGAGATGGATTGTCTTGTTGATGGTGGTGGAATAGTGCTGCTGCTGCTGCTGGTAGTGAATACAATGATGTTGTCCGTGACGAGAGTGATTCTTGCGAAAGGAGAGATGAATTTTTTTTATCATGTTGGATGCACTCTCAGAGACTCTGTGTTTGTTTGGAATTGTAATCAAGTTCATTCTAGTTCTTTTCATTCATATATATGGATTGAAAATATAGGGAGTGATGTCTCGAACCATCATGATGGAGGTGATGAAAAGAATTTTGGAGTCCCAGTCTCGGAATGATCATTGTCTCTCATGTCCTTTTCAACCAACAAAACCTCGAGGTTTTGAATTGAAAAAATGAGTCAACAACACAACAACAAAATAAATTCTCCTGCTCTCAGTTCTGGAGTGGATCATCATCATCATGATGATGCATCTCCCTATTGTGTGGGTGATATCATTTGGTTAAAAATACCGGGATGTCCATATTGGCCCTCTAAGGTAGGTTTATATGGAATGATGATTACAATAATCAATTGAATTCAATGGACTGGACTCTTCTCACCAATGAATTCTGAATCCCACCATTAAATATTTAATCATTAACTATGATTGACATCATCAATGATGTGGTCGGGTCATCATCATCAATTCTCTACATGATTCACTTGTATAACATTCTCAACAAACAACACCATCATTATTCAACACCATATATTCTCAACCACATTCTTTACATAACACACATATTCTCAATCACATTCTTTACATTTTATATTCTCAACATCTTGACTCTCTTTACATTTTATATGCTCAACATCTTGACTCTCACAACAATGATCATTTCAAAGATTCTCAATTCCAATGATAAATCCATTCCATCTTCTGTCTTACAAGCAAGAGAATCTACAAGTCAAGTACTTGTGGAATTTATCAATGCTGCGAGTGGTGAAGAATATTATTGGGTGGATTTATCTAAAGAGAGTAATCATAAATTATTCTCAGAAGAACCATACATGTTAGATTCCAATCCAAGTGCATTAAAAGAACCATTATTAAAGAAGGCAATTAAAATAGCTAAGGAAAAGTGTGGAATTTCACCATTGGTGACAACCACCTCTCAGAAAAAGAAAAAAACTACTTCTAAAAAAAGAAAGAGTGAGGAAGAAGAAGAAACTTCAACAACACATAATGATGATGAGGAAGAAGAAGAGTTCGATACAACTAGTAAAGAAGCATCACCTCAAAAAAAGAAGACAAAAAAGATCGACACTTCTCAACCTTCTTCTGATAAAGTAGTATTAACAGATGATGAACTTGCAAATATTCAAATGGAATTAGATAAGGCAATTTCAAATCAAGATTTAAAATCAATCAAGGAATTTATCAAATTTATTCATGACAAGTGTACAGACATTACAGTAGAACAATTGAAAAAAGTTAAAATTGGTAAATCAGTGGCAAGTCTTAGAAAGAGTGAAGATCAACAAGTGGCAAGTATGGCTAAAGAATTGGTGAAACAATGGACCAATAAGGTGACAAGTGCTGACTCTAATGTTACCACCACCACCACCACCACCACCACTACGACTACGACTAGTACTCCTACGACTACTACCACTACTCCAACTACCAAATCTGACCCACCTTCATCCAAGAGTAAGAAACAAAGCAATAGTACTACCTCATCTTCATCCACTCCTCCAACTAGCACCACTCCTCCAAAAAAGAGCGCCAATTCAACTCCCACTATTAAATCTCCCACCAAATCGACGACCGCCACTGCCCCGCAAAAACTACCCGTCAAACCGCTTACCAAATCCAGTAGTGTCAGTAGTAATTTATCATCCAATTCTTCTTCTAAATCACCACCGACGACTCCTTTACCTCAAATGAATTTGAGTGCAATTCCTCAAGTTTCAAATGATGAATCAAGAAATAGATGGAGAACAAAGATTGCACAAGGTCTTTCTCTTGTTAAAGATGCAACTGAGAATAAGGTGATTGAATTGTGTGTTGAAATTGAAAATGTAGTGTTCAATTACTTTAAATCAAATCCTCATATTCATAACAACACATATGATGATCAATGTAGAACATTGGGAAGAAATTTATGTGATTCTAAGAATGAAGATTTTAGATCCAATGTTTATCATGGTGTTATTGCTATTGATGCACTTCCAACAATGAAAGTACAAGAAATGGCATCTAAGGAGAAACAGAAAGAACGTCAAATTTTGCAAGAAAGAAAACAACATCAAGATATGGTTGCTAAACCAGCAGAAGTGGAATCGAGCATGTTTAGATGTGGTAAATGCAAACAAACAAAATGTACCTATTTTGAAATGCAAACAAGATCAGCGGATGAACCCATGACTGCTTTTATTACTTGTCTTAATTGTGGAAATAAGTGGAAACAGTGAGTGGAGTCTTTATAAAAGGAGATGTTTTTTTTGAAACAAAGACTTGTGTATTTTTTCAGTACAAATGTTATCATACGTTCATTTCAACAAGGAGTGTCAACAGCTAATTGTCCTGTGTGTTTAATTAAAATTAGAATTTACCTCACTCGACAAAAGTAAAGTCGTAAGTGTTTGAACTTCCACTCGACACTTCTTATCATGGGGTAATACTTGATGAGTGAAAAATAGGTGTGGAAGTGAATCCTCAGTACTGACATGATCATTCAAGAATTCTTGATGATGAAATGCTCTCACTCGAAACATGAATTCCCTCGAATCTTTTGGGGCAATATCTTTTGATTTGAGAGTGTGATCAATGATGCAATTTGAGAAAATTTTGAATCATTGGTTCTTACTTTAGGTCTTAATATAATTTCTCTCTATAAAATTCATTCAATTCCTTACAAATTTGTAAATATTTTCTTCGAGTATTTTGAAAGGATTTGTTAAATATTGGATTCAATTGCATGATGAGATTTGTTAAATCATGATCATTCCTTATTGTATCCTGTGTACTCAATACAACACATTCCAATACATGTGAATTTGTTGAAAGGAGTGGTGGTATTCGTGCAATGTTTCAACGTGTATCTGCTGTCACTATCACAACAACAACACATATCTAAATGATATTCTCTTTCCATCACTTTCCATCCATATAATTCTCTCATTTGATCATAATAATGGTAGAATATGATGACATTTGGAGAAGGGATTGGTCCACAATTGGATGACATGTCATCGTTTTCTCTTCTTTCATTGCTGTTACTTTTGTTACTGTTGTTACTGTTGTTACTCATATGATTCATATTAAGCCTTGTATTTTCACTCTTACTCATATGATTCATATTAAGCCTTGTATTTTCACACATCTTCTTTGATAATCTTCACTACATGTATTTACATTCACACATCCAATATAGATAATATCATGAGTATATTGATTCCATTTGAACATGAATGTCAAGTGATCATGATGATTTGGTAATTTCATTAAGAGTCGATTAAAATCATTCCAAAATGCACTTCTTCATGAATGTGGTGTTGATGGTAGTTTGGGTGTTGAAGATTCTACAGTCATAGTCGTAGTAGTTGGTGCATATGGATTCAAAGAAGAAGAAGAAGGTGTGTTGGTGTTGGTCGAACCATTGTTGTTGAAATACAAAGGATAATATTCCCATTGTTGTCTCTCTACGGTTGGACATGAAATGAACCATTGATCATGATGACATGTTGGATTAATTATATTAGGATTATGATGAATATCATTATTATTATTACTATTACTATTATTATTACTATGACTGTTCATCATTCTGTGTTGAAAGGATGGTAACTTGAATAAAGTCACCTGTACTCCCAATGGATGTTTGAAACAAATATAATAGGTGAGTGGTGATGGTGATGGTGATGAATGAGTATTGCTAGTAGTGGTAGTCGTTACAACAATACTATTACTACTACTACTTTGAAACAATGTATTCAATAGAATCGAATGATCACAAGAGCATATTCTTTTCAATTTCTCTAAAATCAAGCAGGAATGGTTTTGAAAGAGAATGAACGATAAATTCATTCCTTGTTGGAGGTGATGATGGGTTTGGGTTTGATGATGACGGATGAGTGGTAGTAGTGTTGGTGGTGGTTCGAGTGTTGGTGGTGGTGGGAGTGGTGGTGCATCGAGTCGTGGTAGTATGGTATGGGGTGGTAGTATGGGGGTGGTCATAGCACTACTTTCCTTTTTTCCAATAATCCTTCCATGACATTTTAATAATTCACTATTTCTGTAGAGAAGAGATGGAAATTCACTTCTCAAGAATTGAGCATCAATGGAACATTCATAGAAACAACAACAACAACAACAACAAGATGATGATGATGCTAGTAATGGTGTTAGTGATAATAGAGTTGATGATGTTGAATCTAATAATACTATTGAATCTACATTTACTCCTACTACTTGGATGGGAGTGACTGATAATCCAAATATCTTGGATAAAACAAATATATCTTTGAAGAGATGATGAGATTTCTTGAATGATGATGATGATGAACTGATTGAACTAACTACCACCACTCTGACCACCACCAGTTGATGAATCCTCCTTGAGAGAGGATGCTGATACTACTACTGCTGTTACTGCTCCTCCTTCTTCTTCTTCCTCAATGATTGAGAACTTGTTCAAAAATTGAATCACAGGAAGTACTGATTCTCCATTCTCATCATTAAGTGGTGGTAGTATTGGTATTGGTGGTGTTGTTGCTGCTGGTAGTATTGGTGGTGGTGGTGATGATGATGATTCAACAATGGATTGATCATTTCTCTTCCTATTCAATAATAACAATTCTTCAGACATTTCTTGAATGAAATCATTACATTCCTTTTCAAATGTTTTTTCAAATTGATCATACATGATTTGAAAGGTTTGTTCATATTCTTTCCACATGTGGAATAGTTTTGAGAAGATTGAAATACCATTTCATAGAAATCTGAATTAGTTTCAGAAAAGTCATCAACATGTCCATCGTGAATGAGTTGATAGGCAAATCTTAAGAGTCGATATCCATGACAAATTTTCTTTTTCACTTTTTTTAGAGTATTGGAATTTAGAGAATCTCGAGAAGAAGAAGGAGTAGAATCTAGAGGGTGTTGGTCAGAGTGTTGGTGGTGACGACACGTTCTTCTTCTTCTTTGAAGAATTTTGTAAATTCCAAAATCGAAAAATTTAATTCATTGAAAAATTTAATTCATGAATGAATGCATTTTTCATTCTTGTTGGTAATTTCATAAAATAAGTGGACCAATGTTGTCTCCAATCTCGTTCATGATGGAATCTTCATAAATGACAAATTGATCACCATGATTAGAAATAAATTGTAAAAGTATGGGTTGATGATAATTGAGAAAGGAAAGAAAATAATTGGTATTGAGGAGAGAGAGTTCAATGTTGAAATGGAGGAAATGAGAAGATGATTCAAGGATGGTTGTTTGTTCTTCTTCTTCTTGTTGTAATTGATCATTTAAAGAATGAGAGGATGAAATGAAACGATAACAATGGTTTTGCTGTTCATTTTCTTCTTTGACACACACATCCAAAGATAATTTAAATTGTAAATTTGAAGTGAGACCACTTTCATCAAAATTCTCTGAATATAAATCATCGCAAACAAGAATAATATCTAAATCAGAATGTGTTAAATTATATTCAATCATGTGATTGGTATTTGGAGAGAATAATTTCAACACTACCATATTAGGTGATTCTTGTGGTGGTGATGATGATGATTGTAATGATGATGATCTTTCATTGGTTGCAGTCACACTCACAGTTGGAATCGTAGTAGTAGTGATGGTGGTGGTGGCAGGAGTGGTGACGATGGTTTCAGTTTCAGTACTATTACTACTACTACTTGAAGAATTTAATACTTTTGCAAAATACACTTGAGATCCAAACAAATAGAGAGCTCTCAATTTGGATCCTAACACAAACGGATCTGTTGAATTTTTAATATATAATTTACATGATGATGATGAATTGGATTGACACTCTTTTAAATATTGTTCGACTTGGGAAACAATGATTGGAGTGAAATCTTGGAGAGTGGTGATGACAGGAGGAAATTGTTGTTGTTGCTGGTTGGACATGATTTTTTTAAAGTGGAGCTTTAAATTTGCAGTCCAACTCCTCTCGAAAAGGCAAAAAACAATTCCTTCACGAGAGCTCCACTCACCCTACGATGGTGCCCTCTTCTTCTTCTTCTTCTTTGCTCGAAAGCAACGCTCACACCTCAAAGGCTTACACAGAGTCAAGTCTGCCTCACCGATCTTCCTCTCCGACCTTTACAAAGACGACGAACAGCACAAGAATAGCCTTTCCATCATCACCCCAGCAACAACAACCATTCACCTTATCTCCCTCCCTCCATCATCATCATCAACTACAACCACAACAACTACAGCTCGTTTCACCCTCTCATCATCATACTCGTACGAATCAAGAAAGCTTCAACAACAACCTCTTCATACATCCCTCTACAATGTCCTTTTCTACCACTACTACAACGTCAAACCACATCACTCAATCCCCGAAAAGAAGAACACAAGTGGGTGCTTCTGTCACCGCCTCCATGATGATCGAATCGTCCTCTTTGAATGATCATCCTCAAAAACAACCAACAACAACACTCTCTGCACCTTCTTCAACCCGAAATTCATTAAATTCTCCTCCTCGAACCTCCCCCCTTCTTATGTTCAACAATTACAACCAAATGAAACCATCCATCCCAAATTCCAATCTGACTTCAATGGTTCAACAACAACAACAACAACAACAACCTTATCAACCAAACACCATGGTGTATCATCATCAACAACAACCACTTGTTTCTCATCCTCAAATTTCAAATTCTCACTTTTATTCCACTCATCCCCCCACGAACTATGTACATCGTATTAAGACGACTTCCATTGATGCAAAAAACAAAATACCATGGGAGTTGCCAACCACCATTAATCGAGTCATTAGAATTCAAAGTGCACCCAGAGGTTATAATTATTTGAAGAAAAATTCAGAAGCAATACAGCTTACACCACCACTCACCTCATCCCAACAACCAACTCATTCCATCAGTAGCAGCAACAGCTCTTCCAAAGTTTCTTCTTCTGGTCAGGTCAGGAAGTGTGTCTCAGCCATTTCCAAACAACAACAGAGTTCGAGCTCTGTAGTCCTTGCAGACGACGATGATGACATTCTCCATGACGACGATGAAGACGAATTTGATGATACGATAACTAGTAATAGTAGCAATGATCAAGTACAATTTGATGAAAATGATATTCTAGAAAGGAATGACTCATTAATCATTGAAGAGTCTTCTAAAATTGTCGAATCGAATCACAAAAAATTGAAAAATCGAACACACATCAATGAATTATCAAAGAATGATGGAAATGATATTTCACTCAACAAAATTGATAATCATGGAAATGATATTTCACTCAACAAAATTGATGAAATGATTATGGATGAAACAGAAAAGAAAGAAAATTTTAGTGCTAAAAAACAACCATCCAAAATACGAGACAATAACAAACCAACCTCATCTCATGGTTGGACGGACAATAAGGATGAACACAAAGATTTGAAAAAAAGGACCAACCAGACACCACAACGTCGTCTTTTGAACCATCCCATCTCACTCAACAATAGCACCACCACAACGACCACCATGGATCATCCTGATACTCCTCATACTCCTCCTCCTCACATGAAAACATCTCATATTGGTGAATCTTCTTCATGGTATTATGATGAAGGAGAAGGTGGTGGTGATGCTGATATTCATTCAAGTGTCAACAGTAGTAGGAGTAGAAGAAGTGTATTCTCAAATAAGAAGAAGAATCGTTCAAACGAAGAATCATCAATGATAAACGATGACATGGATGAATCATTATCATTCAGAACAACAACTAGTGAAGAGGAACATTTAAACACTTCAAAAAGATTGAATTCATCTTCAAAAACCACAAAAACCACAAATACTGCAAATACCACCACCACCACCTCTGCTACTCCAAAGATCACTGATATGAATAATTATACTCATTCTTCGACAAGGAATGGCAAATTAGATCGTTCGAATATAGACATTCATTCAAGTGACACGACTATAGCAGAGAATGAAATTGATAGGATACTTGAAAAGCCATTACTACATCCAGAACAAGAGTTAGAGGTATGTTGAATGATTATATTTCCAATATCATTTATAAACTATTCATTAACAACATTGAATTCTTTTAAATACCCATGAACTATTATTCATTAACAACATTCAAAAATAGCATGTAATGGATTCTCTCTCTTCTAGTGATTGGGAAAGTCAATTATCTGGAGTGATGATTGTTATTCGATTATCAAAATTTAATTCAGAATTATTGGATGGTAAAATGTAAGTATCATATGATAGGACCATCATAAATCTCTCACCATTCTTAGAAGAGAAATTATTCCACATTTAACGAAATTAGCTTCCTCTCTCAGATCATCCATTTCTAAAACAAGTCTCAAATGTTTTGAAGAATTATTTATCAACAATCCAAAATCAATGGACTTGGAATGTGATTCCATTATTCCAATTTTATTGAAAAAAACAACAGATACAAACAAGTTCATTAGTTCCAATGCAACAGATGCTTTAATTCAAATGATTTTAAATACACAATACATTGAAAAGTGTATGAATAGTGTCATGAATCAAATACCTGGTACGAAACATGCAACAATACGTGGTGCCATTGCTCGATTGATTTATGAAGGTATTAATTATCGATTGAAACATTCCTTGTACAGTAATAGTAATGTTACTTCAGGTACCTCATCCAACAAACGATTCATTTCAAAATTATTGCAAAGCATTGGAGAGTTATCGAGGGAAGGAAATTCTGAATGCAGAAATTGGGTGAAACAATCGATACTTTCTCTATATCATTTCTACAATGGAAACATGAGTGACTTTAAAAAGATGATTCAAAAACACCAAGAAAAATACTACACGGAATTTGTTAAGATTTTAGAAAAGAATGAACAGTCAAAGTAAATATAGTTCATCTAATAATAATGATCATTTACCATTCATTCCAATCACGATATTTTCTTTTTCATAAATAATATATTACCATTAGAACAGCATTATTCAAATTTTCATCGGTTTTCATTTTGTAATTGAAAATGATAATATTGTTAAAATGTTAACACTTTTAATTCATTACAAGCTATATAACAATACATCAGAGTACACCAATTCTTCAGGTGAATTAAATATTTTACTCTCTTTTGTAAAACTAATATCTGTCATTTAAAGTAAATATATAAATAATAATAGTTGAAGTTTTACACATATTTATTAAAGGTTTGTATTAACAAAATCAAAATAAATAATATGTTTTGATTTCAATAGGAATGTATAATATAAACAGATGTTCAAGAGGATATGAATTCTTCGGGAAAAGTTGATAAATTATAACGAATTTATATTTTATTGACAATACAAGTTGAAAGTAATATAGCATAACAATAATCAGATAATATGAGTATAATAAATGATATCTTCGATTCAGAATATCTCTTATTGAGATTTCTTATCAATTAATATTAATATATGAAAATATATTGTAGTTCCCAAGATATATTACATTATTTAATGAATCATGATAAAATGGATAAGAAAATTATTTCTCAATAAAACTACAGTCATCTTTTGATTAGGTTTCTCTTTATCGAGTCGTTTGAAGTAAAATCATCGGCCTTCGGCAATAAACTATCGATAATCTTAGTAATTAAGAAAATTCGAGTGCTGAAATTGATCTGAAATCTTCTTGTTCACAAACACAGAGGTTTTAGATGCGAATTTGAATGATACAAAGATCTCTCAACGTCACTTTAAAGATCAACCTCAACAATAGTCTGAATACAACTACAGTAAGAAATGCATCAATTAGCAATCAACTTCTTGAGAATTCTAAAATAAATAAATCCCCTTACGATAGGGGGCAATCTGTGAACATTGATCCATGTTGAACTTAAAGGTGCAACTCATCACTCCCTGGATCTCCAAGAATGAAACCTCGATCGACCGATATCAACTCACTTGCTCGAATTGCTCTCGCCTTTTTCCCTCTCCTCAATTTTTCAAAGATTCTCCGAGTGAAATCTCTTTAGATGGATCCCTGTTGAACCCTTTCGCTAGTTATGAATTTTCATTGACAGCCATTAAGGATTTATTTGCATTTTGATTTGACTCCAACACCATTGATGAAGGAAGCAGAAGTTTGTTTGGAATCGAAAGAAGCTGTATTTATTTGTTCAAAACTGAAATACGTTTTGTACCTTACGAAGAGTCAACAAAACTAATGTGTCGTTGACATGTTCACGCGTTTAAATAACTTCAGATAATAATTGCCTTTGTTATCAGCCATTGAACATTTATCTAAAGCACAACGAAAACAGCTCTCTTAATAACAAAGCAACCATCATCGAAAACGGAAATTTTTATTCGAGATAAAAAATATTTGACAACTGAGTGATGGTGGTCATCATTAGCAATTGAACATTTATCGTCAATTACCAGAATCGACAGAACGTTACTCAACCACCACCATCATCATCATTGTAACAATCTTCTTGTTCATCATCATCATGGCTTCACAACTCCTCTCCGATATTGGTTCCTCTCTCAAACAACCACACTCCTTTCTAAAAGATTTAAAAAGTACTGTCATTTCTCATACACCCTTTGTTGGTGGTCATTCAATGAACAACATGTCATCATCAACTACCAACAATGACTCGTCAGATTCAACCATCACTTACAACAATGACATTCTCACACTCTCTCGTGTCAATCAAATTGATCACAAACTCAAATCCGATGATGATGTACCCACTGTAGAAGAAATGAAAGAATTATTAGAACCATTTTGTGATTTTGATTTTAGTGACATGCATTATGTAAATACCATTCTTGATAAAACAAAATATGATAAAAGAATTGAAAAACGATTATTGAGATTTGATAAGAGTATACAAAAAGTATTTAAAGGATTTGATTTAAATTCAACCAATTCACAAAATTTAAGACAAGAAATGATTGATAGTTTTGAAATGAATGATGATTTGGATGATGATTTGGATGGAATGAATGAAAGTGGTGCACTTTCTTTGGATTATTCCACCACAATGAATACTACTACTACTATGAGTACTACTACTATGAGTACTACTACTATCACTTCCATCAACAAGTTATTAAATCCTGCTTTGGCTGGTAAGAAACTTGTGAAGGGAGCCATGGATGCTGGAAAGAGATTTGCAAAGGAGGTGACTGAAGCAGGACAAGAAGGTAAGTGAATTTATAATAATACTAGTACAGTAATGTTTTACAAATTCTCAACTTGCATTCTCATCCACACTCCACTCTCATCCACACTCCACCTCACTCCATGTTTCTCAACTCATCCACACTCCACTCTCAACACACACTCAGCTGAAGATTTAATCACTGGAAAGAAATTTCAACTCATGCAACAAGAAAAGAATAACAAGATTATCAAAAATGTTCAAGATCACAATGAAAAGGTTCTTTTAAAACTCTCCAATGTCGTCTCTCATAATCTCATTACAGATGTCTATCAACATTATGGATTCTTTATTCAAACATCAAAACACATTGAAAAGATGGATAAAGAATTAGTGGAATTGAGTAATTTATGGAATGAAATGAAATCCAATGTATCCAATGTGTTGTATACATTGAAGGAATGGAACCAAGCAAGTAGTAGTAGTAGTAGTAGTGGACAGAGTGGTATTGGTATTGGTCAGAGTCATGGTGGCAATAGTAAGAGTAGCAATAACAACAACAACAACAACAACAACAACACGACTAGTACTAGTCAGAGTGGTGGTACTTTTAAGAGTTCAGCAACAAGTGCAATTCTGAGTAGTAATAGTAGTAGTAATACCATCCATGAACAACAACAACAACAAGAAGAAAACTCTGAAGAATTGAGACAACTCGTTCTCAACAAGATCAAAGATTTAACCAATGATTTTTATAATGCACTGAAAATACGTCATTTTGAATCATGTATTGAAATTTATGATCATGGACGTAAAATTGTAGAACACTACTTGGTGGATCCAACTTTGAATTCTCCTCCTCAAAGAAGAAGAATGAACTGTAATAGTAGTAGTAACAACCATATTAATAGTAGTAGTAACAACCATATTAATAATAATAATAGAATAGAATCACAACAACAACAACAACAACAACAACAACCAATGAAACATCCATCCTCTACCACCACCTTAGCTCCATCCTCCTCACAACAACAAGTTTCAATACCCACCACCACCACCACCATCTCCTCAGATATTGAAATTATTGAAAAATTCAATCATGTCTCTGAATTATTTGTTGAAACTTTATTAATTGAATTGAGAAATTCAAGAAATACTTCTTACAGTGAATTACTTGTGAAATATATTAGTATTATGAATTACAAAGAAGATGCCATTACAGTCTATTTAGATACACAAAGTACAGTGATTGATGAAGTATTATCACATTTATTCATTGGTGATCCATTAGCATTGTGTGAAGAATTGAGTGTGAGATTTTTCAATGCCATCTCTACGGTGTGTGAGAATTACATGACCATCTTTGGAAGTGGATTGAAACGATCGGATATCCAACTAACACGAGGTCAAAACAAACAACAACCTTCACAACAACAACAACACCCTCATCATCATGATGGATCATCACCAAGGATGGGAGGTGACTCGGATGAGTCTTCAATGATCAGCACGAATACCACTAGTAGTAGTAGTAGTCGAAAAAAGATCACCACCACCACCACCACCACTGTTCATACTCATGTTTCCTCCTCCTCCTCAACAACAACAACAACAATCTCAACAACAACACCACAAGGATCTCATAACAGTGGTTTCATCAATTGGGTTCTGACACAAACCATTGAAAAATTTTGTATGAAATTCAAGAAGAGTATTGGTTCCGTATTGAAACATGATTTAGGTAAAATGACAAATGCATTGAAAATTGTATTCCATTATTCAAGAAAGATGAATATTCAAGGTTTATCGGTACAACACTTGTTGAGTGAATTCTTTAGACATGATTTGGAAGTTGCTATTCAGAGATATGTGGATGTGAATATTGAGAATTTATTTGATTTATTGAGTCGAGAAAGTTGGAAAGGATTTGAATTTGCAGTTGGTGTTCAATGTCCAAATTTGAGTCTTTTATTGAACTCCTCTAATGTCATGATGATGACTTATACGAGTAGAAGTGGTGGTGTTAGTGGTGTTAGTGGTGGTATCAATAGTGGAATCAATAGTGGAATCAATAGTGGAATCAATAGTGGAATGAAAAGTCAAAGTACTGGAAGCAGTACCAGTACCATGAACAACAACATTCTATTGAATTCCAATTCCAATTCTAACAACAATATCTCTCTCAATAGTAGTATTCATACGAATACCATCTTTCTCACTGAGAGTGGAAAATATCTCTACCTTTTTTGCAATGAATATATTGAACATTTAAAATCAGTGGCAAATCTTTCCATCTATCAGACAGCAGTAAGAAGTGTTAAAGAAATGTTTGAAGAGTACATTTTAGAAATATTTAGACTTGCCAATTCACATCTCAATGACTCTCAATTCTGTAGTATGATTTGTAATTTAAATCAAGTGAGATATCATTTATTACCTAAATTTGTAGACAAGATGAAATTATTATTTGGAATTGAAATGGTACAATTTAGTTTATTTATGAAAACAACACAAGATTTAAATCAAAGGATTATTGAACGATTTTGTGAGAATCGTGTGGGAATGATTTTGGATCAAATGAAGTTACATTCTCCAAATATGTATCCATCACCATCTTTGGTACTAGATAAGAGAGATAACAACACTACTAGTAATAGTGGTAGTAATAGTGGTAGTAGTAGTAGCTCTAGTAACACTCGTGTCAACAACAGCAACAACACTCTAGTCATTGGAATGCTAAGTAGCACCGAAGAATCCAAATTACAAGTCTCTCCTCAATTTATCAAATTTGTGAGTTATGTCAAAAAGCTACAGACACTTGTCTCACAATATCCTCAATTGGTGATGACCATCAATGATGATGCTTCTTCTTCTCTAAATTCATCATCACCACCACAACCACGTCGTAGAAACAAATTCAATGATGATAATGAGGATGATGATGAGGAGGTTACTCGTGAAAAGGACAACTCTCTCGATCATCCTACTTCTTACATTTCTCAACAATTATTTAAATTATTTTTCAAATACATGGGTGAAATTCCTTACTTTTGGAAATTATTGACACCCTTACAGAAAAAGAAGGAAACTACAGAATCATCATCATCCCAATGGAATCACATTGAAGAGTCAAGAACAACAACCTCTTCTTCATACTCCTCTGAAATTACCACCACCATCAAGAAACAAACGACAAGTGCTACTCAACTTGTCTCACAACAGAATTCTCTCAATATACTTCAACTCAATGCCATTATTTTAGATTTGGAATTTGTAAAAACTATTTGTGAACCTATCATGACCACAGAGATGAGAACCATGTATCATCATTTGAAAGAGAAGATTGTCACTCAATTCTGTACTCTCAATGATTTAAATTCTAGTTCTGATGTATTGAAAGGAGATGCTTTCTTTGCATTTATTATTAAGAAATTAATGCAAGAGAATGAAACTGTGAAATCGGTTGTAAAATATTTTCAATCATCCTCTGCAGAAAGTTTGATGAGTGATGATCCACAACAAAAATCCTCAAATCTGAACAACAACAACAACAACAAGGGAAGTAGACCTCTCAAAAGTGGAATGGAATATGCACAAAGAAACCTCAAAACAGGAATGAACAAGTAAATTATCTTGAAATCATTGATTGCTCATTCACACACTGGTATGTTGTGGAAATGATCAACACAAATATTGTTGATAATAGTAGAGAAGTAAAAAGGAGGTTACACCACACAAATATAGATCTACTCCTTTTCATCCGATTGATGTTCAACAAGACTCACTTTTACAACACCAAACATTTGTTCATACTTGTTCACTAAATTCTTCCATGTTTCCACTTGTTGTTGTAATTTTTGATTCTTTGATTTGTATTTGGTGAGTTGATTTCTTAGATCTGAAATTGTTGAATTCACTGCTGGTAGTGTCAAATTAGTGTGTTCCATACCATGAATGTTGTTGTTCTTGTTCAATTCATTCTTATTGGTGGTACAATTCTTAACATTGAAATGAGTTGTTGTTGTTGTTGGAGAGGAAGATGACCATCGTCTTCGATTTGAATGGTTGTTAGAAAAGTTTTTAGGAGAGGAGAATTTAGGTGACGTTTGAAGTGGTTGTTGTGAGGTTGATGGACATGTCGTAGTCATCACCACCATTGAATGGTGATAGGAATTGGAAGTAGGTGAAGTTGTAGTGTTGGTGGTTGTAGTAGTCGTGCAAACATTTTCATGAATGTGTTCAGAATTCATTAAAAGATCTTTTCGTGAATCTGACAGACTAGGATCATGAGAATCATTCAGTTGTTCCTTAATACTTAATAAATGATCCATTTCTTCTTTACTCTTTGCATTTCTAATCAATGAAAATATTGTCTTGTATTTCATATTTTGAGATTTTAGTTCAATCGTTCGTTGAATTAATTTTTTGAGTGCTTTTTTTTGTTTGTAGGGCGAGAAGTTGTTCATTGTCATGGTTTCCATCAAGAATTTCTCCTCTTTTTCAAATTGAATTTGTTGTTCTTGCAATAGTTGTTGTAATTCTTCATTTCTTGCAACAAGATCCTTGACATAGATTAATAATTCATTGGCTTCACTTTCAAAATTTCTTTCATGTCCTGTTGTAGTAGAAGTAGTGGTGATAGTAGTGGTGGTAGTGGTGGTAATAGTGGGAAGATTATCATTCGTTGATTGATGATTTAATGTTGTTGCAGCAACTACAGGATCAGAACCACCATCGCTTGAACCACCACCACTCGAACCACCACCACCACCCACTTCTAATGTATGAACATGGTCGTTGTTATTATCATTGTTGTAGTTATTATCATTGTTATTACGATCCACAATGTCGGGAATGAATGGATGGGATTCCATTCGTAGTGGTTGGTTCAAGTGTTCAGTTTCAATCTCCACAGAAGGAGCTTGAAGTTCTTGTTGAATCATTTTTTAAAGAGAAATGGCGCCACTGTCTCCTTTCTTTTGATTTCTCGTGAATATAGATAATGATGAATGTTTGTCATGACACACGAGTCAATGATGATGAGCTATAGATGGATCTCTTCAATCCTCAAATCCTTAGGAGAGAATTCTCCTCTCTGTATTGTTTTTTTTTCAAATTCAACAACAAGAATAAAAATCTAATTAGTTTATTGTTAGCACCACTGGTGCTGGTAAATCCGTGAGGATTGGGGTTTGTTTTTGAATTGGTTTTTTAAACCTTGAGTTTTCATAATACTTGGTGTGACATTTACCAACTAGTAGGGTGAGAATTGTTTGGATTTCAGGCCAATTTTGGTAAATATTTGGTAAATTTTTAAAGTTGGGCATTTGAGTATCTCGAATCATTACTCCGTCATGATGAATAATGAAAACTTTCCTTCTTTCACAGTATCTTGATTCTTGATAATCGTTGAGGATACATTGCATTGATGTAATATCTAGGAATTTAGTGTAGAAAAAATCCCTAAAGCATTGAGTATTAGGGCAATAGTATATGAAATGTTTTAGAGTTCCGGGGCATTTACAGTGAGCGCATTGTCTTTCCTTATGTTGTTTGATATGGTTGCTTGTTAAGTTTCTCCAGATTGACCACTTAGTATTTGTGTCAATTTTAGATTTGATGAATTTCAGATTGATAGATGACCAGTTCTTGGTAAGGTGTAGACTGGAATTATCTCTATCAAATTGGCTAAACATTACATCATATCTTTTCTTTTGTATGGATTTTTTGATGTCGAAAATAATGGTATTAGATGTGGCAAGGATGGTTTGGTTCGAAAATAGCTTCTTAATGTCAAAATAGTTGTGCTCTTGAGCTCCTTTCTTAGCTAATTCGTCAGCTTTGATGTTTCCTTTGTTGACATGACCTTTAACTTTGATTAGTTGAATATTTAGATTGGATTGTTGAATGACCTGTTGATATTCATGCTTGAAGCAGTTAAAAATTCCGTTATAGGCTTTGTTTTTCAAAACGTGGATGGATATTTCACTATCTGTGTGAATTTTTGCCTTAGATTTAGGTGGAAGTATCTTTAGTGATGTGAGTATTGCTGATAATTCAGCAACGTTATGTGAGTATTCGCTGTTAATTTTGTATGAGAAATCTTGGGTTTCTTGGGAATTGTTAACTTTGGCGGTAAAGCCGAAACCTGTTGAGTTGTTGAGATTTGATCCGTCAGTGTAAATAGTAAAATTCTTTCCTTTGAGTTTTGGAAAGATTTCGTCATTGTTAAATTGTTGAGGTCTGATCTTGTATTTCTTCATTGATCTGTTCATTTCCTTAAAAATCGAATTTTCGTGTTTGATTCCTTCTGAATATACTTCTCTAAGAAGTTCATTATCATTGTTAATAAGATACAGGGCTGTTTTGATTCGAATTTCATCTGCAAAGATATCGAATCTTGGAATACCAAGTCCGCCATAGGTGATTGGGAGGTGAAAATAGTTTGTTGGACTAGCATTATGCATGAAAATTTTTCTTTCTTATTGCTTTTCTTACTTCAATGTTAATTCTATCAACAAGTGATTCAGGAATGTAATTTGTTCGTAAAATGTGTGTAAATAAGCTAGTGCATTTGGCAAAAATTACTTTCTTAATGTTTGTTATCTCCATTCTTTTCAGTGGAATATATTTGAGTGAGAGTTGAAATTGGAGGATTCTTTTTTCAATATCTTCATTTAAAGTAGAGTCATCCCAAGGATAGTGTCCAAGTACTCGAAGGTTTTTGAATCTTGGTATAATAGTACCGTCTATCATTGGCTTCATTTTGCTTTTAGTTGGGAGAGTGGTTGCCATGGATTTTGAAGGATTAATTTTTAGACTTAATTGGCCGAGCCATTTAGAGATATTATCAAGTCTTTCGTTATAATTGCAGTATCTGTTTGAAACTAAATTAATGTCATCAGCAAAGCAGAGCAAACCAATATCGTTAATATTAAGCTTGGTTGGTTTGATTGAAATTTTCCATTGTTGTATGCATTTGTCAATGATGAGTTGAGTAATACAATCATATATAAGAGGAGCTAAAGGGCATCCTTGTGGTATTCCTCTTGTTTTTGTGAATGGTCTAGAGAGATGGTGATCAATTTCTAGCTGTAATATTTGACTCTTGTATGAGTTTAGTATAAAAGTTTTCAACTCATCTGGAAACTTACAATGAGTGAGAGCTTTTTCAATGATATGATCTTCAACGGAATCATAGGCGCCTTCGATGTCTAAGTTTACCAAAAGGAATGACGACTTGTTCTTTTTGGCTAGAGATGAAAGTAATAATCCGTGATTCATTGTGTTTCTGTGTGAAATAAATGCTTGTTGCCTTAAGTTGATGTGTTTGGAAGCCCATTGTCTTAATTCGTATGCAATTATGTTGAAAAGTATTCTGTAATATATTGGGAGAATGGTTATGGGTCTAATATCATTTAGTTTTTGAATGTCTCTTTTAGGGAGTAATTTAACCCAACCAGATTTCCATTCTTCAGGGATATTACCTTGTTGAATGCAGTTTTCAAATTGGTCAGCAATAAGTTGTAGATGTTCGTCTTTGAGATTACGTATAATTTGGAAGGATATTGAGTCTAGACCGGGTGTGTTGGATTTCATTCTCGATATCGCCTCTTTAATTGTTTTAAGGCTTATTTGTGGTATTTTCGGTCCTTTCTTGACGGTTGATGGTGGATTTTCAAAGTCTGATGATTTGGATACTGAGGTAAATTTTGTTTCAAAATGATGCACAATTTCTTCTTCAGAGAATTGGATATTTTTCCAATCTATTGATTTTTCTTTTAGATGTTTGTCAAACTGGTAAATCATTGAGCTGTCATGTTTGTTGAAATTTTCACTTAGTTTTGCTTTGATATCAGCTCCAGTTTCCTTGTATAGTACTTTGATATTATTTCTTAGTTTTTCAATTTCCTCGATATTTTGACCTTTTCCTTGTGTTACAAGATGGAGGAGTTCTATTTCTTTGGTTTTGATTTCTTTCTTATTGATTGTGTTAATGTATTTGAGATTGGTCTTATCGTCTTTGAAAGAAAATTTGTTAACCATTTCTGATATGTCTTTCTGAAGTGCATCAAATGAATCATAGTGTGATTCGTTCAATGTTGTTGAGATTTGATTCATATCTTTCCTAGAGATGAAGTTTCTCCAACAATAGTCTGTTTCGAGCTCAATGTCAATATAGAACGGTAGATGATCATTTTTGGATATTGGTGGCAAAATAACTTCTCTGATTATTCTGATGTTGTTAGAAACGAAGATATGATCAGGTCGTGATTTTTGAACTGAGTTGATGACTTTTCTGACGTATGTGTAATTCTCTGGGATGATTAGTTCTTTGAGTTGGAAACACTCAATAAGTTCTTTCCATTCTTTTTCTCTCGAATTTTGTGGTTTCCTTGTGTTGATATTGAAATCTCCTAGCACAATGTTGAATTCATTTTCACATTTTAGTAGAAGGTGAATAATAATGTTGATTATTTCATCATCATCTTCACCATCAGATGAAGCATAAACCGTAATGATGTTAATAGGTTTGTTTCTAGAGAAAAACCTTGTCCATTGAAGTTTTCCTTGTATTAGATTTTCGTTGGATATGAATCGTTTTCTTTTGTTGTTAAGAATATGGAAGAGAGCTGTTCCCTTTTGAGCTTTTTCTTGCTCCAAATAGTGAATTAAAGAAGATACTTCCATTCCCTTTGTTATAGGCTTCTTTTTGATCTTCATATGTTTTTAAGTGTGTTTCAGTAATTGACATGATTTGGATGTTATGATTGTAGCACATCCCTTTGATTTCATTTGTCAATATTTCTTTTGTGGCTGTCTTTATGAGCCCGTTGCAGTTAAAACAGCCAATTTTCAAATTACATTTTGGTGACTTAATTGTTCTTATTTCCAAGAGGTTTATCACCTCTTCTAGGTTCTACTATATCTTCTTCTTCGTCATATTCCATTTCATCATCACTATTTTCATTTGGTTTTGGGTGATAAGATTCATTATCTTCATCTTCTACATCATCCTTGGATTCATGAATTAATTGATGGTACGGTTTTGTCAAATGTAATTCAATATTTTCCATTTTGGAAGCTATTTCGTTGAGTTTTTCAAAAATGGTCTGTATGGATTTTGTGTGGTCTGTTAGTGTATTGGTGATGTTTTGTATTTGTTTAGAATGTGATTCCAGTTTGATTGAGTTTTCAGTACATTCTACTTGAAGTGATTTGTGATTCTTTTCTAATGCTGAGAGGTCATTATTGAATTGGAAATTATTGGTTGCACCAGTCACTTCGTTTTCTTGTTGTTTTTTGAATTTTTCTACCAAATATTTGGTTGTAGATATGAGTTTTTTTGAGGTTGGTTTTGTGCCATTTGGTGGAGTGATACTTGTTGGGAATTTTGTAATTTTTTCCAATTCTGCAACATTAGTTGCTTTGTAATTGGCTATATAATAATGCTCTCCAGGGCGATATGGGCTAGGTTTGTTAATAATCTCTAAGTGGTTTGATTGGAAGACACAGTTGCTTTTTTTCCACCATCTTTTGTATCGCAGTTTTGATATCTTTCTCTGTGTAGAGGGATGAAAAATTGCAAGAGCAGTTAAGCTTAGATTCTGTTATGATCTGGTCAATGGATCGGTATTCAGAATATTTCCTTGCCATAAAATATTCTTTATCTTCAAGAGATTCAACTGCTATTCTGATTTTATAAAGCTTTTGGACTCTGTCATAACTGGTATTAGTTTCTTTAACTCCATTAGTTCTTTTCCAAAAATTTTTGATAATGTGGTAGTATACTTCATCATCTCGTCATATGATGAAGTATGATATTTGAGGGTGTGTTCAGCTGGTGAGAAATTCATAGGAGTCACAACGTATTTGAGTGGACTGGAGTCTCTTGTTGATTGTGAGTTTAAAATTCCCAAGGTTGATACATAATCTTCATGATTGTTACAGACAAGTTGGAGTACGTGCGTCTTGTCGTTAGGTATGTACCATGATGTAAGTTTTTCTTTGACTGCATCTGTAATAAATTCAGTGATGTCTGAGTCGATATGCTTACTGAGGTAAATAGATACACAGTGAGAATAGTTAATTGTTTTAGCTCTTTTAGCAGGAGGGTACATGGTTGTTGTTGTATTGTAGGATTTGATTTGCGGAGTTTTTTTTGTTGGATCAAATGTAATGTTCTTGGCTGTCTTGGCTATTTGCAAGTATGACGATTGCGATTCATTCAGGTTGAAGCTGGTGTTGATAGGTGGGCTCTTAGATTGAATCTGGGGTTGACTTTGGGGCTTTGAAGTTGTTTCAATTGGTTTGATGAGGTTTGTGCTTGTTTCAATTGGTTTGGTGAGGTTTGTGTTGGTGATGAAGTTTGTTGTCTTATTTTGATTGTTGATTTTCGATTTGTTTGTTGGATGTGTAATATTTTTGATTTTAGATATTTGGTTTGATGGTCCATCAGTTCGATAAGGATGTGCAGGGGATGGAGTTTGTTCTATGAGTGTTGTTTTTGGAGGAAGAGGTTGTTTAGGTTTAATTGGTTGGTTGCTGTCGGAGACTAATTTAACTGACTTTACCTTTTGTTTCCGATTATTGATGTGGTTAGATAATCCGTCCAATGTTTTTGAGAAATTCTCAATATGTTTAAAGATGATTCCGAAAGCTTCTGAGTGGGTCATCAATGTTTGGTTGATACTATTCATTACAACGTCTTCATTTGTGTTCATTTTTTTTGCGTCGCAACAAGAATAAAAATGCTTCGTCGACCTTCTTCTTCGGCATTTTCGATTCTGGGGACGAGCAGCAGCAAACGAGCCTCATCCCTTCAAACCCTCGTTCATTCATCATCAACAACAAATAGTGTCCGAAACTATGCACTTCCAAAGAATCCAACTCCACAAGAAGAAAACTACATGATAGAAGCCATCAAAGACTATGTACGACCTGTTACCAAACCTAGAATTCCTAAAACACCACAACAATTTAAAAAGGATGAAATGTTGGCCAATGCATGGTCATCTTTAAAGGGGATTTTGACAGAAAAGGCTCGCAAAGACCACAAGAGAAGATTAAAATTAAAGAAGGCAGCATTGGAAGCCCTTCCCAAAGAATTGAGAGTTGAAGCAGAGAAAATTGATTGGAGTCTAATTCCAATACAGCTCGGAGTTCAACCACACAAAGATTTACCTGGACAACCTGGATATAAACCACCAGAAGAACCACCCAATATTGAAGTTTAATTTATGGAGAAGAAGAACCACCTTCAAAGGTATGGTGGAGAGTTTTTTGGAAGAATAAAATTCATCGTATTTAAATTGTATTCTCAAAAGGGGTGATGATAAGAAGAACAAGTGTTTGTTTGAATAGATTGATACCATTATAAATTTAAAATTGGGAGAATGAACACAACAACAAAGGTTTTTCATAATCTCACATCAAGGAATCGATTGGCACTCCTTTACTTTTGATTTTGCATACCAGCTTGGAATCGTTCCGTAACACGCATGTTATGTTTGATATATTTCACTCCACACTTGACCACACAAGCCTTTTCATTTTCATCCAATTTATCTCCTTTTGGATCTTCAATACATTTATCAACACAATGTCTCACCATTTCATTGAATAATTCCATGGCTTCCTTCATTTGAAGATCTTGCATCATTTGCATTTGTTGTTGTCTTTGATAATTTTGCATTTGTTGCATTTGCTGCATTTGATTGAATGATGATGATTGATTAAAGGACATGATGATGATTTATCGGAGAGAGTGAGATTCGAGTGGGTGTTCACAGATGACACGACAAAGAGAAGCGAAGCTCGGGACACTTTTGCTGCCAATATTTTTGAAGAGAGAACCAACAACAACAACCACAAAAAACATTTTGATTGAAGTCAAAGGAAGTCATAAGGTGAGTGCATCACCAGGACAGTGTGCATCAGTGTGTGTGGACAAGGAAGTCAAAGGAGTGTGAATCACCAGGACAACACTTTGGTTGATTCAGGTAGACAGATGCATCTCTTTGAAAGGACAGACTGAAGGATGTTATATTCCACCTCAGATGGTTTAAAAATTAATTTCAAAACAAGGATTGCTGTCGAGTGTTTGTTCAACTGTAAACAAGTTTCGATGGTTGGAAAGTGTTATCATGTGATTGCAGACAAGTCAATGGCTGAGCAGCACACCAAATTAATCAAGACACCATTTTCATCGTTTTTCTCTTTTTCAATTCAAACGCACACACACTGGTGACAGTGTCTATTAATATTTATAATTGATCCACTCATAGATGTTGTTGTTGTTGTTGTTGTTGTATTCGAAGGTTTTAATTCATTTTCATTCATTCATACATATTTAGATCATTCCATGAACAGAATAATTCCATTTCAATGCATCAACTAGTGTTGGAGATCCATCATCATCATTAACAACTCATCACACACACACGTTTACATAAAAAAAGCTCTCACTTATTCTCTCAGACTACAACAACTACTACTGTAGAGTCTCTCTGTGTACATTACAAGCAACTTTTCAACCTTTCCTTTTTTCACTACTTCAATTGACACATTTGATATTACCTTTTTTACTTCATCTTCACCTTGTATTGACAAGTCATCTTATTACTTCATCTTTACTACTTCATCTTTTAGTTGTATCTACCTTACTTTCATCATTCTCATCATCATTCACATATGGTAGAAATTAAAACCACTTCCTCTGGTATCAGTGCCACAACCATCTCAGGCACTCCCTCTGACAAAGATGTCACCAATGTAACCGTTGAGAATAAGGTCATTGATCAAACCGTTGAACAAATACAAAATATTGTCAATCAAGGTGAAATTCCATCCAATGCTCAACTCTTACAAGGTGTCGAACAAGTACAACAAGTATTAGAAAAGACTTCCAATTACATTTCTACTGCTCCACATGCTCAGATTATTCAAAAACGTACTCTTCACTTGTTGGATATTGTTAAAGAGTTGATTCAAGAAAAGAATCCCAATGATACCTTACAACGATTTGTTCAACTCACAAATAAGATTATTCGTAAATATGCCGATCAAGTGAAAGACATCTCACAAGAGACAACTCAACAATTGAGTGGAACTTCACAAGATGTACTCTCAAGTTCTGCCAAAACATTGGAACAACAAGTGAGAGAGAAACAACCTCAAGTACAAGAGACTCTCTACGATGCTGTTCGAAACTTTAGTAATTTCATCTTTGAATTGTTTCAATCTCCTCAATTCAGACTACTCATGATTGATACGTTGAATTATTTGAGAGTACTATTCAGAAGTAATTTGAAGAGTATTGAGAGAAGAACTGATGAAGGATTGAAAAAAGCCATTCAAAGACTGGTCGATACCTTCCAAGAGGAGGACTTGACATCGTTGGGTGAGAAGGCGAGTGAGTATCTGGAGAGTGACAAAGAGAAGGTCTTGAAGGAAGGTGTTCCTCAATTACCTGGTGCCTCTGAGCAAACAAAGAAGGAAATTCAATCGGATTGGTCCAAACCACTTCTTCCCTCCATTTCTGAGAGCAGTAGTAGTAGTCGTAAAGAGGCAAACACCAAAGAAGAAGAAGCCTCACCTCAAAAGAAACAATTATTACAACACCAACAAGAACATGATCGTGAAAAAAAATTGGCCGATGAGTCTGCCCCTGTTGAAGAATCACTTCAAAAAGACATTGAGAAGAAGGATGAATTGGAAGATCAACTCTTTGATCGATTCAACCAACTCATACAAGAATTCTCTCAGAATCCATCCTATAAGAAATCAGTACTGGGTTTCTTCAACATCTTTGATCAATTGAAGAATATCCTCGTGGAGAGTGTGAGTGAGCAAAAAGAACAAGCCAAAGGTGCCATTGAACAAGTGAAGGATGAATTGAGTGAACAAACCTCTCAACTCGTACGCGACATGAGAAATGATCCTGATTTCCAGGAATTGTTGAATTGTGGTAAACAATTAATTGTTCAATGGACCGGTGGGGATGAACAATTAGTGAATGGAATGAGAAATTCATTGCGTGATGTGTATCGTGCCTTCAAGAATGACAAGGAATTGAATGAACTCTTAAGTGAAAGCGAATCTGACATTCGACGCTATTTGGACAATCCTCAATTAATGAAAGAAGAATCTGAATTGAATCATATCAAGTACAATTTGAGAAGAATTCGTGAAAAGATTGTTGAAAAGAAGGAATTACGTGTCATTGATCGATTCAATTCTCAACTGAATAGAGCCATTCAAAAGATGCGTAATGATGAATTGTTGAATGAATTGAATGCTGAATCTCGTCAATTACTCTCTGACCTATTCTTAGATTCAAAGGGTGAATTCACTTTCAAGACAGAAACCATTCAAGAATTGAGAACCATGTTAGTAGCACTCTTGAAAGAGAGTGTTGAGAAATTGACTGATCTTGACATTCATTACATTGATTCAGATCTTGAATATACTCTCTCGAATCTTCATATCAATGCAGATGATATCTTACCCTCTCATGTTGCCTTCAGTGCTCACTCTCTCACCAATATTGACTACAGTGAAGAGAATTTGGCACAATCTCTTCAAGGCACCAAATCCATTCTTGTGTTGCACTTGTCTGGCATGGTGTGTCATTTGAAAGATGTTCAATTCTCCTTCCAAAGATTTTCATTCCCTCAAATTGGTGATGAAGGTTTGATGGATATAGATACAGGTGATTTGGGTCTAATAATTCATTCCAAGATTCTCATAGATACCACAAAACAAACCATTGGCAATGAATTCTTTGTGAGTGAATCTGTGAGTGTGGATATTGATGAATTGAAACTGACATTCACCAAGACTGCTCACCATCAATTACTCTTGTCTTTACTCTCACCATTCATTCAGAACAATGTGAGAAGAAAACTCAAAGAACAAATTCAATATGTGTTGAATTATTCACAACAACAGGCCTTAAACAAATTGAATCGTGCTTTGGAAGAGACCATGAAGAGTAGAGTGAGTGGTGGTGGTGGTGGTGGTGGTGGAACATTGTTGTCATCCATCATGGGTAGTAGTGGTAGCAGTACGATCGATCAACTGTCAGCAAAGGTGAGCAGTGCCACCTACACGGGAGGTTATCAAGAATTGTAAACACATACGAATTGTAAGGAAATTGTGAGTCACTTGTAACAACGACAAGAACAACCTCAATCATCATCATAATAATAATAATGGTTAATAACATTCCTCAATTGTTCATCGCCCTTATCGGTCATTATTATAGTTCAGAAGCACCAAAAAAATTGCGAATCTTTTCGGATTTGTTGGTTGGTTTGAACGATATGACACCAAACAACAACAACAAATTCCGAGTGAATAGCGGTGCGATGAACGACAACAATCCTTCCATCACCACCACCACCACTGCTCAACCACAAGACCACCACGATTCATCAAACACAATCACCACCACCACTACCACCTCCTCTTCATCCACCTCCTCTCCCATCATTTATTCCAGCAATCCCTATGATGGAGGAGTTACTGCAACAACAACAACAACAACCACAACTCCTAATATTGCGACTCGAATTAACAATCACAATGATGATGAGGCTTTTATTGAATTAGAAGAATATTCTTTACCATCCCGACCATCCACTCATTGCGTCGGCGGTGAAGAAGAATATCATCACAACGATCATGATGTACCACTTGATTCATCCACACTTTCAACGCCACTCAGACTTGACGATGATGATGGTGCTGTTCCAAATTTAGCCTCAACAACTCAACTTGATGATTCGAGTCAATTATATATGATGAATACAAAAGGCAATAGTAGCAAAAATAGTGCTGCTACCACAACGACCACTACGAGGAGTAGTAATACATCCTCATCTTCTTCATCGACTTCCTCTCATCATCATGACGTGGTGACATTGACAAAAGAAGAATATGAACTATTGAAACAACTTGAACGAGAAAATGAAGAATTGAGAAAAATGATTCATTCCAACAACAACAACACGTTTACAAAGGAACCTCTAGTCTCCTCTGAAAATGCTGTAAAAAAGCCTTCCATCATTCAATCTTGTTCAACAACAACAACAACAACGAATACTACTTCTACGACTCATTCTAATAACAACATGGAATCAAATACCATCATCCCCAATACCATCACGACAACTCTCACTTATCGAAGTCATGTTAAAAATGCAACCAATCATGATGAGGACATGAATGATGAACGTGAGGTAATGATGGCTAACAAGTATTTCAATATTCCAAGCAATAATGACCATCCATCAACCATATCATTCACACCTCTTCATCATGCATCCAACATGACAATGGACACAACAGAACAACACAAGAATCACTCTTCCACAACAGAACAACACAAGAAACATTCCTCTTCTCATCATTCCATTCATGAATCATGGAGTGTTCAACAATTTAAAAAATTAATCATTTCCTTAATCTTTCTCTATTGGACCTATCTGTCACATAATTTTAGAGAAATTAGAAAACGTAAATTAGCCTATCTTTTAGGTGTTGGATCATGTGTGGTGGTGGTATTTGTTGTTTGTGTTTCATTAACAGTATTACAACAAGTTCCAATTATATTTTTAAGATTGGCAGAAAATAACAAATTTGAAGCAGATATGGTCATTACTCCATCCAATGCCATCTCTTCAACAACAGCATTTAATTTAACAGCAATGGAAGAGAACATTATCCGAGCAACAGGACAAGAAGATTATACCCTAAAATATTCTTATCATTCTCCTAGAATTGAATTAAGTTCTTTAAATATTTATTCAAGTTCATCATGTAAAACTGAAAATTCAAACAATGGTCTCTCATTACCATCCTATATCGATTCTTTTGATGATATGGATAAGATTTCATGGTTCTATAATGGTATTGTGAATTCATCAACAAATACATGTAGAAAATCATCTTCTTTTTGTGTACCAAAATTTTGTACACAAGTGGTTAAGAGTAATTTATACATTTTAGATTTAGAGAGAGAACGTCGAATGGAATTTGGAAGATCTTTTTCTTATCCACTACTCTCAAAGAATGAAGCTTATGTTTCAAGTGTTATGGCATCTAATTTGAATTTAAAAGTTGGAGATACTTTTATTATTCAATTAAATACTCGAGAAGTATTGAATGGACCATTTAGAGAGGCTCAAGTCATTTCAGATCCTTCGAATTCTACTCTCGTGGATAAGATTCTTAAATTTAATTCCTTTTTCTCATTTCGAGTCAAAGACATTCTTCCACATAATTTTAGAAAAATGGAATATACAGTGAAAGATTTTATTTTTATCGAGTACAAGTATTTCCTACACTCCATAGCACCCTATTTAAATCCAAATCAATATTCAAAAGAATCTCTCATGAATCTAACAAGAGTCAATATGGATCATTATGCTAAAACGATTTACTGGAATTTGGCGCCAAGTCGAATTCAAAAATATAATTTACAACAATATACAGATGTGAGAGCATTGGTTGTAAATTTTGCATCTTCACTTTCCTATTATATTGGATTTGATCAAATATCACAATCATATCCAGTATTACAATTTTTGAATAGTTTGAGATTTGTTTCTCTATTCCTTAGTCTCATTATTAATGTCATTATTACTATTTTGACATTACTTTCTACTGTATTGATTTATTCTCTATTAATGATTAATGTTGAGAATAGAACCTTTGAAATGGGAGTATTGAGAATGATCGGAATGCATCGGAAAGGTTTAATTCAATTAATTATCATACAAGCCTTTTTATATTCAATCCCTGGATTGGTGTTGGGTTTAGTGTTGGGAGGAGCAAGTTACGTGGGAGTGAGTTACTTGTTGGGACATTTTTTTGATACGAGGTAAGTGTCTCATGTGAGACAAGAAAGGCTTTTTTTATGATTCTATATCTATCTATACCTATTTATATCTATACCTATTTATATCTATCTATCTATCTATTGTATTATCACCTATTTATATATATCTATATATTGCAACAATAATGTCCAATGATGATGAATTGCAACTATCACCACCACCACTACCATTACACCCTACACTCACCTGAATGATGGTATAATAATCTATTGTTGTCATGATGGAATAGTCTCTCAAAATTACTTGATCCCACAGGTGTTGGTGTTTCCATTGCACTTGGATTCGTCATTCCCATTCTCGCCAGTCTATTACCCATACGATCTGCATTGAGTCAAAATCTTCATGATTCTCTTGACACTGAGAGAAGTAAAACCAAATCCATTGAATATTCCATTGAGAGAAATTCTGAGACATCTGTTTCTCCAACATTGATTGCAGTTCCTCTTTTGGCTATTATTGCTGGTTTTTGTGTTTATTATTTCTTTCCAAGTGCATTATTAACATTGAATTTGAATATTCTATTGAGCATGTTCTTTGCAGTATTATTGGGAATGTTATTAGGACTTGTAGTGTTGGCACTTAATTTGGAAAATATTTTAGAAACCATTCTCACTCATTTATTACTTTTTTGGGAAAATGTTGCATTGAGACAATTAATTTTAAAGAATTTAGTGACACATCGAATGAGAAATCGTAAAACAACCATCATGTATGCCATGTCTTTGGGATTTGTTATTTTTGTATCCATTGCATTTAATTTACAATTAGCAAATTTTAAATACATTTCATTACAAGATTATGGAACACGATTGATTGTGACAGATAATAATAGTTTAGAAATTTCAACCTATTTGGCACAATTGGAATGGTATTTGATGAATTATCATCGACAAGTAGTGAAAGAGGTTTCATTCATGTCCTATCCTCTGACATATTCTACCATGTATTCAAAGAATGAAATTTCAACCATGGGTAAGTGAGTGGTGTAGAGTTCATGATCATGTCCTTTATGATGATCATGACCTTTATGATGATCATGTCCTTTATGATGACTTGTGAATACATGATCATGTCCTTTATGATGAATCTATGTGATGATTTTGAAAATGGATATGAATGACTACATGACGATATACATGATGAATGAATTGATGCCTGAATACATGATGAATACATGATGAATACATGATGAATACATGATGAATACATAATGATGATGATATGAATGATGAATTTACACACACTCCTTAAGGTGGTTATCAAGCCTATACACAAACCATTCGATGTGTTCCTCCCAATTTCTTTCAAATTGCAAATCCATACTTTTTAATCACAGACATGACCTCTCATGAAAACTCATTGAGTGAACAATTATACACCATCTCAGGATCACAGAGAATGCTCATTGGAACAGCTTACAAACAATTACTCTCTTTAAAGAATTTAGAACACATGTTTGTAGTGAAATTCACCACTCCTACTGATCAATTTCCAATCTATAATTATACCTTGATGAAACCAATGGCATTTGTGAGTTCATCACCTGTCTTTTTATTTTCTGCATTTCCAAGTTCAACTTCACAACCTGCTGTGGTGTCATGTACAACGTATATGAGAATGTCTAATCGAACCTTTAACTCGATGATGGATGTACCCATTGAGAGATTATTTATTGATGTCTATAGTAATGCAACAGAACAACAAGTTAAGGCATTTAAAGATGATGTAAGTAAGAGGATGAACATGAGAGAAGGATTCTATTGTCTTCTGGTGTTGTATATTATATATATATATTAATCCTATTCTGTTGGTGTTGTATATTTTTAATTTCATTCTATTCTGCTGGTGATATGGAATAATTATGAATCTAAATTATTGATCGAACATGTAGTTCTCGAGTTATATTCGACTACTGAGTATTAGTTTGAAAGATGTAAATGATGAAATGGATACCATTAATGTTGCACTCGATGCTACTAATTTTCTATTACTCTTTGTGACTGTACTCTCCATGATTATGTGTTTCTTTAGTTTAGTTTCTTCACTCTACACTAACATTCAAGAACAGACCAAAGAAATTGCAATTTTGAGAGCCATTGGATGTAAAAAGTTTTTTGTGACTCGACTCTATGTCTATGAAGCATTGATTTTGGTGTTAACAGCATCATTGATCGGAATTGTTATTGGTTTTGTCATTGGTTTTACCATGAGTATTCAATCTAATTTATTTACAGAGCTGCCTGTGAGTGTGTATGTTCCATGGCAACTCATTCTCATTGTGGTTGGATTGGCTTTCATCAGTGCTTTCTTGAGTGCCTTCTTCCCAGTGACATCCTTGTTGAGAAATGGAATTGTGACCTTGTTAAAGCGAATGGTCACTTAGTTTTTTATAAACAAACACATGAGACCAATTTAATAATTAAAAAACTCGAGAATTCTCAAACTGAATTTGTTTACACAAGAATGAAAATTTTTGATCAATCAACATGAATAATTTACTGGAAATTTTCTATTACTTGATGTACTTGTCATAGTGTTGAATGAATGAGTTGAGTTCTTGAGTTTTACCACTCAAAGCATTCATGGCTTTTTGATAAACCGATGAAATAGTTTTAAGACGTTGTTGTTTTTTCAAGTACTGCATATACTGAATGTAAACCTTCCAATCATTCTTATTTTCAACCATTTGTTGTTCAAACAAGTGATTCAATAATTGTTGGACTCGCGAGTAGTAAGGTCCTTCTTGATGTTGTTGCTCTAATTCATTAATTTTCTTGGTGAGATGATTGAGCATCATTTGATAAACTTGATGATCATTTGGAGGCAAAGATCCAATTAATTTCACGACTCGATCTAATTGTTGGAATCCTTCACTTGTGAAAATGTCATCACCAGAAGCAAATCGTTTGAAGAATAACTTTTTCATTTGAACACTATTGAGAGTATTCTTGATGGCATCTACATGCATTTGATAAATATATTCTTGAGAGAATGTTTGAGTGGAGGATGGATGATCAAGATGTGGTAATAAATTCTTATAAAATTCAATCTTACTCTCATTCTCGATAGATTTAGGGCCATTCACCCATTTGCAAGCATATTCAATAGAATCTTTTGAATAATTTGTCAATTCTAATAACAGAGTTAAACACTTGACAAAATCATGAGAATCGACGCTTCTCAATTTTTCTAACATGACATGACTTTGTTTCAACATTCTAATCACAACACTCGTATGTGCTTCTCTTTGATAGGATAATAAAATATTTGAATAGATGAAGAGTGTTCTAAAAGTTAACAGGCTACATTGATTCATCTTGTTAAATACTTGATGAATTCTATTAATGAATGATATATCACCACCACTCATGCTAAATAAATCACTTAATAATAAAATATAATAGTGATACATGAGAGTAGTATGACATACTCGATCACAAATATGGTCCATCACTGATAGAATAGTTTCATAATTGGGTAGAGGAGAATTGGTCGACATTGTAGTAGTACTCGAGTTGTGGTGTTGTGGTGTTAAATATTCTAATTTAAATTTCATAATGAGATAGAGACATTTTTCATTAGTTCTATAATTTTTCAATAACACATTGGATAGAATGTGTTGGATCATGTTTGGAAAGAATACATTGGATTCTCCACTACTACTAGTAGTAGTCTCTTCTTCCTCATTTTCATCCATTTCAAGAATATCTTGTTTCTTCTTCTTACAAGATTCTCTCCAATAAAAAAGTAATAGTTTTAAAATACTGAAAAAGTGTTCATAGTGAATTTCTTGAATACTTTCGAGCATGGTATTAAATATTGTTGAGAAATCATCATATTCTTCCTTAATTAATTTCAATTTCATGAGTTCCATATATAGAAAAACACCGCTGTGAGGAATGGCCTTAATACCTTTCTTTAACACTTCCATACTATTATCAATTGCTTGGTTGTATTCAAATTCAAATTTAGCATATAACAACCATAAATGTTCTTGGTTTGAGTGTTTGGATAGAACTTGATCGAATGCAGCATTGGGTTTCAATTGATACTGCACACAAAAGTCAATATAAGATTTAAATAGATATACTTGAGTACTAAATTTGGAAATACCAATTTTGAATTGATTATATGGAAACTGTAAATGAATGTTGAATTCATTATTCTTCTTTTTTGAGAGCTTTAGTCTTGCTTTAATCAAAGTTAATAAATTCAACTCGAAGAGCATATGACTGAGATATGGATGCAATAAATCTTCTTTTGGAAGTGATGAGGCTAACAAGTATAAATAGTCTGTTCTCTTTTGAACAATTTTAGCAATTTCATCATTTGAGAATATATTCTTAAATTTCAATTCATTGAGAGAATCTACTTGGAGTTCTAATTGTTCGGAAATGAAAATTTGTTGTTCATTCATGATGATGATGATGAAGAATTGTTATTATTAAAAATCCAATGGAGAAGCGAGTTCGTTTTTGAGAATTTCCGAAACACGTGATGAAAAACAATCCGTGTGGTGATGATGATGTCAGACCAACTTCAGAAGAACCCAACGTCCAGAAAGAGAGAGAGAGAATTGGTGTTGTTCAATTTTTTTTTCGAACCAATAACCTGATCTGAGGTTATTCAAAAAATTCAGGTGTGGGTTTATTCGATGATAAACGTTGTTCGATGGTTATGTTACAAGCCGAACGTAGCAGATACGTAGTGACTTCCTTGCAGGCACCCCGGAAGCAAAGGCGTTTAAACTGCTCACGATAACAGCAGCAAAATATCCCTGCTATGGATTCAAACGCTGGACCAGTTCAGTTGGCTGCCACAGTTCCAGGAAAGTTCCACACCAACAACCTCAAAAAATGAACAAGTCGTGTTGCAACACCCTCGAGTCAACTGCTCTTCGACATCCTCCATCATCATCATCATCATGGTTATCAAGCATTCGGAAACGATCATTATCACTCCTTGTAGTAACAGTTACGGCATTAGTACAACCATTCTATCCATCATGTCAATATTCTAATCAACGACGAAGATTCTTTACAACCTCCGTTGTGATTGGGTCTCCAAACCATCATCCATCACCATCATCATCGACTCGTTCCAAGATGATTGAATCCTCTTCATCCCCAGAAAAGCCACATTCACATGATAGTCCTTTCAAATCATCATCTCACCTTTTTAAGAAATTATTTCAAATCTATTCTCGCTTGTATCAATTTCTCATCAATTCTATTCTCAAATTTCAAGTGAATTATTCCAAAATATTCTTTGCATCGTATGATCGAGATTATTCTCAACATTTTAGTGATTTAAAAAATAATTATAAGATTAAAAGTGGGAGTTCCTATGATTCAACTTTGTCTGGACGGTTTGCCCAAACTCGAAAAGACTCGGATTTGGACAATATGGAAACTCTTGATCCTCTTTTCGAAAAAGATTTATTTTTGTATTTTGTATTTAAAAATCATTTGTTAGTGAAATATTTACAATTATTAGAAACACATGGAAAGCAACAACAACAAAAGAACAAAATTGATGAAACACATCCACCTCTCTTACTGCATGAATTGTTTGCTTCTGAACAATGTTATCATGATTTTATGAAACATTTGAAATTAGATGATGGTTCATTTCAAGTTGAAAATATTCAAAATATTGATATTCTTAATATTCAAAATAATATTGTAGACAATGATAAAATTCAAGTATTAATGGATGTTGAAATGTATAGCTATTCAAAAGATGGAACATACTATTACTCGGTATTCTATATTGAAAAGAATTATCCAATGAATGATAGCGAAAAACCAAATCATTCAAAAACCAAAGATGAATTAGAGGCTTTGAAGCAATTCATCTCAGGATGGAAATTCTCTCGAGTACCTCAAATCATGAAACTTGAAACATCATCGCCTCAGGATTTGAATTGAATGCTTTCTTTTTGCAAGCCTTTTTCATGCTCTTCTCGCGACTTGACTTTCAAAATAAAAATGAGTTCAACAGCAACCACAACGCCCTCTTCGAATCCCTCTTCAACGACCACTCCAGCAAGAAAACCCCGAGAAAATATTCTTGATTTATCACAATATGTATCGAAATCAGTACTTGTAAAATTCATCGGAGGAAGAGAAGTTTATGGAATATTACGAGGCTATGATACAATGATAAATTTAGTATTGGAAGATTGTTATGAGTTTATTCGGGATTCACAAGATCATCACAAAAGAAAATTAGGTGAAAATAACAAACAATATGTCCGAAAGCTAGGAATTGTGATATGTCGAGGAACGTCATTGATGCATCTTTGTCCTGTCGATGGAACTGAAGAAATTGAAAATCCTTTCGAAGAGGACGAAGAATAATCTTTTGGTGTGGCCCTTGAAGAATATGAAATGTCCAAATAAAAACAAAAAATGCTCATCAAAGTCCTTCAAAGTAGTACTCGCTCTCAAACTCCCATCATCAAGCCTTTGATGAAAAATTTCTTGTCTCAACATTCATCGCTCGGAAATTGTGCGGTGATGAACAAATTAATTTCAGGTTCATCTACTTTCTCATCATTCCATACAACTTTGAAGACTGGAGTATCGGATCGTGAAACCGAATGGGAAAGACAACACAGAGAAAGAATGAAAAAACAAGAACAATTATGGAAGGAATCACCCGAGAAATTGATTAGATACTTTGTCGAGTTGAAATTCCTCAAGAATTGGAATAGAAGCAAAGTACTTGTATTACTTGTGTTGTTGTTTGTTGGTTATTATGCGTATGACAAAGTATCGGGCCGTCATGGATTAGCCGCTGGTATTTATCAATTATTGAACGGTCCAAAGAAGGGAACAGGAGCCGTTATTGAGGATGATCCACAGACCAACCAGCAACCTACTGATGATGAAACCGTTGCCACATCTCCAAAGCAACAATTATTGGATCGTATTGATCCATCTCGCATGAGAACATTTGCATATTTGGATGTTGAACACGCCGACTCTCGCTTTCAAAATGTAATCAAGGGACGAATTATTATTGGATTGTACGATAAAGTGGTTCCTGTAACCAGTTACAATTTTGAAAAATTATGCGAAAGCAAGGAATTGAAAGGAACTATTTTCCATCGTGTGATTAACAAATTTATGATTCAAGGAGGTGACACAAAACAAGGAACAGGAATGTCAAGTGTTCCATACATTGGAAGAGCAACAGATACCTCTGTACCAGAAGAATTGAAGAATAAGATTAATGATATGATTATCAGAGATTCTCTGGGAAATGTAATTCAATTTAAGGATGAGAATTTTGACCTTAAACATAGCGAACCATATTTGGTGTGTATGGCAAACAGAGGACCAAATACAAACGGTTCTCAATTCTTTATTACCACTGAATCAACACCACATTTGGACAATAAGCATGTGGTATTCGGCAAGGTATTGCAAGGAATGGAAATTGTGGATCAATTACAAAAAGTAAGAACAAGTGCACGTGACAAACCAATTGACTCCATCAAAATTGTTGACTGTGGTGTGTTAAGCATTGATGAGTTATTGTAAATAACACAAGAATGCAATGGCATTAAATTGGCAAATAATTTGGCACCCGATCAATTTGGCAATCTTTCATATTTAAAAAATGAGTGAAAACGATCATCAGGGTACGTTGATGAAGCTTGAGAAAATTTTGAGAATTGACTGACGAGCAAAATCACACATGACTCTCATTCTTGTCATGATACAACAATATTAATTCGAATCAAAAAACCACCTCTTGTCTTCGCTCTCATTCATCCACTACCATTCGTTTTATGGATTGAATCATGATCAATAATGAATCACTCATTGCAAATAACGACGCAATCCATCTTGATGATGATGATCAACCTTGACTCTAAAATATTATTTTTGTCATGATGATAAAAGAGATGGAAACAACAAGAACTTCTTCTGAAAGAAGAACATCACCACAATTGGGAGGAAATGCACCAACAGATGATGCCGAACACACCATTGATCTTCATGAACAGACTCCCGGAGTGGCTGATGAACCACAATTTCAAGAACCCAAAGTCAAATCCATCATCTTTTATATTTTCATTGGCCTTTTCTTAGTGTTGGCTTTCGGTTGCACCATTGCAGCCTTTGTAAGCACTTTCTTACAATTTCCAGTTCCGGATCAAACATGGAAGAACACAGCCTTTGATCTTCCAATGGAGTCACTCTTTACATCGATGGCCAGTGGATTCTTAGCCTTGTTCGTTGTGGTCTTTTTGAGTTTACGTGTATTGAGCTTTAAAGTTGGTACCTATGAATTCAATGGAAGCAAGTGCTATGAAATTAGTCAATACATTGCTGATGGTGCTCGTGCTTTCCTTGTTCGAGAGTTTCAAGTCTTGACTGTATTTATAGTGGTCGTTGCAGGTATCTTGTTTGCAGTGGATCAATCGGGATACTTTGTGGCCACACCTGTATGTTTCCTTGTAGGAGCCGTCACGAGTTCAATCACTTCCATAATTGGAATGTATATTGCCACTCGTGCCAATGTAAGAACCACCAATGCAGCTCGTACTTCTCTCAATCAAGCCTTGAAGGTTGCATTTAGTGCAGGAACGGTCATGGGTTTGTCAGTCGTGGGTTTAGGATTGGTCATGTTGACTCTTTGTTACATGATCTTTAGAAATTTGAGTGCTTTGGCTGGTTTTGGTTTTGGAGCTAGTAGTATTGCATTGTTTGCTCGTGTGGGTGGTGGTATCTATACAAAGGCAGCAGATGTTGGTAAGTAGAGTTGTTGTTGTTGTAGTACTCTTTAAAAAAAGTGTATAATTATGACCATGATCAATCACACACACACACTCTAATCTTTGGTGAATTTAATATATGGATATCTGTATGAAATTTCATAATGACCACATCTCTGAATCATGTCTTTCATGTCTGTATTCAAAATAATAACTCCTATAGGTGCTGATCTTGTTGGTAAGGTGGAATCCAACATTCCTGAAGATGATCCAAGAAATCCTGCAGTCATTGCTGATAACGTTGGAGACAATGTTGGAGACGTGGCTGGAATGGGAGCTGATTTATTCGAATCCTATGTTGGAAGTATTATTGCAGCTGCCACTCTTGGATCACAATTCTTTGGATCGGTGGGTGTTGCTGCACCTTTCTATTTGAGTGCCAGTGGTATTTTATGTTCCATCATTGGAAGTTCATTGGTGAGTGTGAACAGTTCGAGTGCTTGGTGGCCATTGAATTATTTGGTTGCACCTTTCCGAAGACATGATCGAACTCACACCACTCATGATACCACTCATGATATGGAACAGAGTCAAATGGATGAAGAACATGCTCCTGATGTCAATCCTGCCACTCAAAGTAGTCTCTTAATGGCTATTCGTAGAGGAATTTTCGGTGCTGCCCTTTTAAATATTTTGTTAGGTGCATTAATTTTATTCTTATTATTCGATCCATTAACACAAGCATGGGCCATCTTTTTATGTTTCCTTATTGGTATTGCAAGTGGAGTGTTAATTGGTTTAGCTACTGAATATTGTACTTCATTTGCCTATCGACCAACCAAATCCATTGCTGAGAGTGGTCTCACTGGTGCTGCACCAGTCATTATTAAGGGTCTCAGTGTTGGAATGCTTTCAACAGTTGCACCTGTGGTGATTATTGTATTGAGTATTATTTTCAGTGTCTTGTTGGGTGATTTTGCTAGTGGAGGTAAAAGTGGAGGTGGAATTTATGGTATTGCCATTGCAGCAGTTGGAATGTTGAGTACATTGGGAGTGACATTGGCAACTGATGCCTATGGACCTATTGCTGATAATGGTAAGTTACAATATTTTGTATGTCATTTCATCACTCTATTTCATCACTCTATTTCACCAACATTTGTGTTTTTAATTTTTCATACTATGAAATGTATTAATGTATTTGGACCATTTTTTTTTCAAATTCCAACCACCATCACATTCATCTCCACATGTACGACTTTTCTTCTCCCCAATCATTCACATACACTCTCACTACTACTACTACTACTACTCTGCACTTATCATAGCTGGTGGTATTGCAGAGATGAGTCATTTACCACCACTTGTACGTGAGAGAACAGATGCATTGGATGCATTGGGTAATACTACAGCTGCAACTGGTAAAGGATTTGCTATTGGATCTGCCATTTTAACAGCTCTTGCATTGTTGCAAGCATTCTCAACTGAAGCTGGTATTACAAGTGTCAGTTTATTAGAAAAGGATGTTATGAGTGGTTTGATATTTGGTGCTTGCTTACCATATATTTTCAGTGCATTAACAATGACTGCTGTTGGTGATGCTGCCATGTCTATTATTGTGGAAGTAAGAAGACAATTCAAAGAAATTGATGGATTACTTGAAGGAAGACCAGGTGTTAAAGCAGATCATACTAAATGTGTGGATATTTCAACAAAGAGTTCTTTAAAGAAGATGATTCTTCCTGGATTGTTGTCTATTATTGCTCCAGTGTTGATTGGCTTTGCTGGACGTCAGAAAATGTTAGCTGGTCTTTTGGGTGGAAGTTTATCAAGTGGATTCTTGTTGGCAGTGACCATGGCCAATGCAGGAGGTAAGTACTAGTAGACACAACACTCATTGTTGTGAATGATGTTGAATTTCACACAACAATACACTGGTTCACACAACAATACTCATTGATCATCTCTATTTTCTTGATCCTTACAGGTGCATGGGATAACGCCAAGAAATACATTGAAAGTGGTGCCTTGGTTGATAAGGAGACTGGTGAGGTTCAAAGAAAAGGATCGGCTGCTCACAAATCATGTGTGGTATGTTTTTAATATGATTTGTAATTATTTTTAGGTTCATTTGCATGTTTTCAAAAATTCAAAATCTTGCTAGGTTGGTGATACTGTTGGAGATCCATTTAAGGATACTAGTGGACCTGCCCTGAACATTTTGATCAAATTGATGACCATTATTGCATTAGTGATAGCTCCAGTGTTGAAACAAATTTATGGAGAACAATAATGATGCATGACCCATATCTATATTTTGAGTCTTACTGTTGATGTTAATTATGAGAAATTTTGTAAATATATATTTGCAATGAATTGTCCATTATAGTTTTATTATAGTTTTTTCATTCTTGGTGGTTTTCTTAATCTTCAAAAGTTGACTAATTTCGTTTCTTGAAACCGACTTGGACAAGCAATTAATGCTTAAATCTTTCCTCTATGAGGCGCACATTACACTAACGCATGCACATACAATCAATGTTGAGAGAGCATCAAACATGTATTTTGGGGCAAAGATATCCCAGGTCATTAAATGTCTTCTTTGAATAAATGCGCACAACATGCTTGTTACCAGCAAGCAAACATTCAGCAAGAGAAATCTGGAATAATTTTGTATCGACTGAAATGACAGTTCTTTTCTTGATGTTACCAAACTAGTGGTTCGATCAAGAGGAGGAGAGTGTGAAATCCATAAATTCAAAGTGATAGTCAATATAATTTTGAAGGAAAATTGATTAAGCATGACTAGTATTCCAGAGAATACCATATGTGCATTTGAAATACCAACAAATGCACTATTCCAATGAATGGTTGTCATTGAATTTTGATGTCCTAAACTAAAATATGCTTGAACACCAAAAAGGAAAATATCAATGATTTGACTCTCTTTTGAACGAACTTCCAATGACTCTGTGACTCTTTGGGCTTGAGTAATTAAATAGTAATAGTGATATTGTGCAAGTAAAATAACAAATGTATATAAATATCTATGATCATATAAGATCAATAAGGGACTAATGGAAATGATAAAGAAATAGAGAAAGAATAGATTCTTTGAGTTGGTCGTAGAGTTAACAGAGGTGGTTGTGGATGGTTCTTCTTTCACATAATCTTTGAAAACTAATCGAATACCAACATAGACCACTGTGATCACAAAAAGGGCATACAGACCTTGTGCCACTCGATTCGAAATTTCTACAAGACTCTCATTTACAAAATAATAAAAACTCAACACGAGAATGAATGAGAGTGGTAAATAAATATATAAAATGAAGAAAGTGGTGAAAGTATGTGAATGGCAAGTCGAGCTTTCATCATGATTCAATCGTTGTTTCAAATGTTCTCTCAATACATAATAAATCACGAGTAAATACATCAATTTCATCATGAAATGATTTGAAAAAATGATCGTTGTGAGATTATCATCAATGAATGAACTCGAATGATATCTGTATCGAATCATAGAACTTGATTGATTCAATAAGATTAAAAGAATAATGACATTCCAGGTGTGAGTGCTGTTCTGAAGAGTACTCTTTGTGGTTCTTTGCATGCTCTTCATTGTTGAACGACGATAATCTTTTCTTTTCACATAATTGAGTTGTAAGAAATAGAATAGAATGATTCTAAAAATTGATAAATAATTCACCATTCGATCTTCATAAATAATAAAACTATTTGAAAATAAACTCATCGAATATCCAATCACACAAATGAGATCAATCCATGTCGGTAGTATGGAAAGTAATTGTTTCCATTGTTGTACGAGTATTTGATGTTTTTTCATCAAGTATTTCAATTGTTCATAAATTCCAACAAGTAGTGTGAAAAAACAAAGATGAATATGAATCATTTCATAGTAAACATTCAATTTGGAAAAAAGAGATGCAATGGAATCCAAAGACAATGAATTCCATAGTGAATCAATACCATTCAAAGAACAAGTCAATGAATCATCCTTCTCTGTTTGAAGAGCAATCAATAATTTGAATAGAAATAATAACACACTAGAACCAATGACACCAACATGTAAACCACGACGAAGAAAGAATGGATTCTCAATCATCTCATTGTGAGTATTTTCATGATGATTCAACATTCTCTGTGTGAAATTTTCAAATAACAATAAAATCCAACTTCCCACCAATAATCCCATTCCAATATATAAATAATAATGATTGAAAGTTGCCCAACTCTCTCGACATTGTTTCACAATTTCTTGAATAAATTGTTCATAGAGTTTGTATGCTTCATTGAATGATTTCTGTTGTTGGAAAGATTCATTGTATACGTTCTGAAAAGATTCATTGAATGATGATGATGCTTCTGCTGCTTGTTCATTGGCTTTTCTGAAAAGTATTTGTAAATGTTTCCATTTCTCTCTTTCAATAAAAGAATGATCTAAATTTAAATATTCTTCAATGTATCGATAGATTTGATGAGCATTTTCTTGTAGTAGAATGAGAAGAAGAGAAGGATGATTTTGAATCCATCTCTTGGGAATCATGGAAGGAATGATTTTTCCCAAGTTCACAAAAGGAATTGGAATATTTAAGAGAAGACTTAATGTTGGAACGAGATCAATTTGAGGAATAGTTGTAAAAGTAGAAGTAAAAGTAGTAGTAAAAGTAGTTGAAGTAGATTCAGTAGTAGTTGAAGTAGTAGTTGAAGTAGATTCGATATGAGTCCTAATATGAGATTCAGCCCTATTATTATTATGATTATTATTATTACTAGTAATAGTATTATTACTATCAAAAGAACTTGAAAATAATTCTTGAAATGGAGAATATACAAAAAGAAGTGAATCAACTTCAAGTTCTGAATTTCCTCCATGATCTCCATGATCATTCATTCCATGATCACCAAATATTAAAATCATGGTATCATTTCTAAAAATGGATCGAGTCACATGTTCAATCATTTGATTCATTTGTTGTAATTTCAAATCCATTTCTGAGTGATGAACACCATATCGATGACCACAATGATCGACACCAAGAAAATGTGCAATTAATACATTTCTTTGATATTCACTTTTTTGAAAAGATTCCAATTCTGAATTTAAATGTTCTAAAATTCCATTATCGACTGTATGAAGATCCCAAACATTAAAAGATGGATATAAATAATGAGTATTAAAATACACAGAGGTATTAAATAAATATTTCCAAGTATCATCTCCTAAAACCACAATATTTGAATTAAAATGTTTTAACTGTGAAATTAAATTATCTTCAATGACTTGTTCACTGTTAAAATTATATAAAGCTTCTAAAAAAGTTGGTAATGATCCTGTGGTTAAACTTTTTAATCGTTGACTGGTAGTGGTGGGTGCATCTGCAACAAATTTAAATAATCTTGTGTGATTGGGATATTTAGATTTTAAAATTGACAAGAATGGTAATTGATCATAAAAGTCAAAACGTAAGGCATCAATCAAAAGAATAATGATATTGAAAGGATTGGATTCATTCATGTAGGTACGATTAGAGTAAGAGTATTGAGAAGGATCATTCTTTTTTGATGATAATTCTGTTTGAGAAGGATCATTCTTTGATAATGTAGTGAATGATGAAAGAGAAGAATCTTCATGATTGGATGAAGAGATTGACCTTTCAACAATGGATTCATCACTTGTGATTGATTTTTTTTGAAAAGAATCATTCCGAGACAAGGAATTTCTATATTTTGAATTTGGTAAAATCATTCTGCTCACTAAAAATCCTTTAAATGTGAAGAAATAAATTGCACTCACGATCATGACAATCATTGCAAGAAGGAATAATGAGGAGGAGGAGTAGTGCCATGTATGGGTCATTGAAGTGGTGGTGGTGTTGTTCGTGGTGGTGGTGATGTTTGAACGAATGACAACATCACTGTGTTTGAACATTTTTTTGAAAATTTTACTTTTTACTTTTCAACAACATAATTGCATACGAATTAAGACAATGGACTTCCAAACACATCAATCTAAGGCAACAGGCCTTTATCTCACACAGAAACACAATGAATCACGGATTATTACTTTCATCTTTAGCCAAAAAGAACAAATCGTCATTCCTATTGGTAAATTTAGACATTGAAGGTGCTTACGATTCCGTTGAAAACCATATTATTGAAAAAGCTCTCACGCATTGTGAGTTTCCAGAGGAGTTGAAATCTTTCATACTAAATTCATATAAGAATCAAACGTTACAATTAGAAATTAATCAGCATCTCTCAAGACCATTCACAAAAACAAGAGGAATACCACAAGGATGCCCTCTAGCTCCTCTTATATATGATTGTATTACTCAACTCATAATTGACAAATGTATACAACAATGGAAAATATCAATCAAACCAACCAAGCTTAATATTAACGATATTGGATTACTCTGCTTCGCTGATGACATTAATTTTATTGCAAACAGATATTGCAATTATAACGAAAGACTTGATAATATTTCAAAATGGCTCGGCCAATTAAGCCTAAACATTAATCCTTCAAAATCCATGTCAACCACTCTCCCAACTAAAAGCATAATGAAACCAATGATAGATGGTACAATTATACCAAGATTCAAAAACCTTCGAGTGCTTGATCATTATCCTTGGGATGACTCTACTCTAAATGAAGATATTGAAAAAAGAATCCTCCAATTTCAACTCTCACTCAAATATATTCCACTGAAAAGAATGGAGATAACAAATATTAAGAAAGTAATCTTTGCCAAATGTACTAGTTTATTTACACACATTTTACGAACAAATTATATTCCTGAAACGCTTGTTGATAGAATCAACATTGAAGTAAGAAAAGCAATAAGAAAGAAAATTTTCATGCATAATGCTAGTCCAACAAACTATTTTCACCTCCCAATCACCTATGGTGGATTAGGTATTCCAAGATTCGACATCTTTGCTGATGAAATTAGAATCAAAACAGCCCTTTATCTTATTAACAATGAGAACGAACTCCTTAGAGAAGTTTATTCAGAAGGAATTAAATATGAAAATTCGATTTTTAAGGAAATGAATAGATCAATGAAGAAATACAAGATCAAACCTCAACAATTTAACAATGATGAAAATCTTCCAAAACTCAAAGGAAAGAATTTTACTATTTACACTGACGGATCAAATCTAAACAATTCAACAGGTTTCGGCTTCACCGCCAAAGTCAACAATTCCCAAGAAACCCAAAAATTCTCGTACAAAATTAACAGTGAATACTCACATAACGTCGCTGAATTGTCAGCTATACTCACATCACTAAAGATACTTCCACCTAAATCCAAGGCAAAAATTCACACAGATAGTGAAATATCCATCCACATCTTGAAAAACAAAGCCTATAATGGAATGTTTAACTGCTTTAAACATGAATATCATAAGGTCATTCAACAATCCAAACTGAATATTCAACTAATCAAAGTTAAAGGACACGTCAACGAAGGAAATATCAAAGCTGATGAATTAGCAAAGAAAGGAGCTCAAGAGCACAACTACTTTGACATTAGGAAACTTTTTTCAAACCAAACCATCCTTACTACATCAAATACCATTATTTTCGACATCAAAAAATCCATACAAAAGAAACGTTACGAAGTAATGTTTAGCCAATTTGATAGAAATAATTCCAGTCTACACCTTACCAAGAACTGGTCATCTATCAATCTGAAATTCATCAAATCTAAAATTGACACAGAGACTAAATGGTCAATCTGGAGAAATCTGACAAGTAATCATATCAAACAACATAAGGAAAGACAATGCGCTCACTGCAAATGCCCCGGAACCCTAAAACATTTTATATACTATTGCCCTAACACTCAATGTTTTAGGGACTTTTTCTACACAAAATTCCTAGAAATTACATCAATAAGATGCATCCTCAACGATTATCAAGAATCAAGATACTGTGATAGAAGAAAAGTTTTCATCATCCACCATGACGGAGTAATGATTCGAGATACTCAAATACCCAACCTTAAAAATTTACCAAATATTTACCAAAATTGGCCTGAAATCCAAATAATTCTCACCTTACTAGTTGGTAAATGTCACACCAAATACTATGAAAACTCAAGATTCAAAAAACCATTTCAAAAACAATCCCCAATCCTCACGGATTTACCAGCACCAATGGTGTTAACAATCGGCTAATTGGATTTTTTTGAAAATTTAAAAAAAAATTCAAACAAGACATTCGAAATGATTTTTTTTTAACTCTCGATTTTGAAAATTATTAACATAATAATAAACAATATTTCAACAGGTATAACCATTCATCTCTCTCATAGGAATTCTCAAATTCAAAAAGCCATTTCTTCTTTTCAGTTCGATCATTTAATGTTAAAGTTCGATGATTCGATGGAAATGAATTCTTTTTAGGTTGATCATTAATAGTAATATAACACAAATTTGATAATTCCATTTCTTCCAATGGTTTCATATCTGAATGAAAGATATCATTGTTGTTACCATCTGCATTGAAAATTAAAACTTTAAATTTAGATTTAGCATTCACTGTGAGTAAAATGTGTCTCTTTTTCAATTTGGAATTTTGAAAGAAGGATTTCACATCTTTTTTCATGACAATTCCTTGTTTGAGAATGGTATATTTCACATGAGAATCAGAATATTCTTTGATCATGGAATGAGTGTGTTGTTGTTGTTGTTGATTGTTTTTAACAAATAAATAATGACTCAACGATCGAAGTGATGATAAATTTAGAACTTGATTGGTGTTTGGGATGTGACTGAAAATTTCATCACTAAATAAGGAAGAAATAATATTTTGATGATAAGAATCTAAATGTTGTTGTTGTGTCGATGAATTGACACATGACGTCATTTCAATAGGAGGAATAGTGATCCAAATGTTATTAAGATTTTGATTAGCAGTAGTATGATTCATTGTAGTATTAGTACCAGTATTAGTAGTATTAGTAGTATTAGTACCAGTATTAACACTAGTCGTTGCAGTCAAAAGAGAATCTTTGACATTCATCACAGCAATGAGAGGAGATGAATTGGTGAATGCTTGTTGAATCAATGTTGGACTTGAAGAATTCAAGGGTGATAGGACATTGTCCATTAGTGACACAAGATTCTTTTCCTTCATTTGTTGTTGTTGTTGATCGGAAGAGGATTTTAAGAGATTTCGATTCATTCGTGTGGAAATGAGATAATTGTTGGTTGTTGTTGAGGGTGAAGAATCATTGGTTGGTGAATTTCTTGCAAATGATTCATTAATAAATTCTGATATTAAATTAAATACATTTTGTGAATGTTTGCATTCTTCTAAACATGTCTCTAATAATTCTTGTTTGTCAAAAAGTGTGACATATTTCGGTAATTCATTCTTTGCAATGTGATAATGATCTGGTAATGGTGTTGAATTATTTCCTCCATGATGATGATGAGTATTCATATACAATAAACAAGATGAAATGAATCGAATCATTAATTTGAATACATGTGAAAGGATTTCAGTATTGAAAGAATCTTTTTCGAGACCCATCATCGAATCTTGATGATCCACTGCTGTGTGTTGTTGAACAACGGCGCTTGATCTTAGGATCGATGCATCATTTTCAATCTTGGTGCTGTTTATGGTGGTGGTGTTTATGGTGGTGCTAGTGGTGGTAGATGATGGTGGTGGTGGTGATGATGATGATGTAATTACTGTACTTGTTGTTGTTGTTCTCGTTGTTACCAAACAGGATGAATGATAAGCCTTATTCAATACTTGTAATTTCTTGAAAAATTGTTCCACTTTGTATTTCATAAAAGTGTCTAATCCAAGAGAGGATTTCATGATGGGATGAACCATGGATTCAATTCCAAGACTACGAGAAGGTGGAGAGATTTGTTCTCGAGTGAAGGGATCTATTTTCAATGATGAATGATCCATTCATTGTGTTCGGAAGTGATCAGTAGATGAATAATATTCAAATTAAGGGTCATCATCATATGAATCCATATCATTAAATCATCATGATCATATTTTAATCATCATCGTATTATGATTGTATAATTTGAATATAATTTGAATATATACCCGTTTGATTTTCAAATATGAATCCAAAAAAAGAACATGATCATCACCACAAAACCCAATCCTAACAATAACAATCTCCAACTCACCTGTCTTGTTTGTCTTGATCCACTCCAATATTTTACTTCTTTCATAAATTCTTCCATTCAACAAGGCTGGTTCGATAAAGATTGTTTCCGTGAGTGAACAAATGTAGTGCGAAGGAACATCTGGATCATCACTAAAGAATTCTTCTAATGAGGACATTCTCAGAGGAAGTACTATTAGTAATACTGGTTGGGAAAGAGATGCAATCGGACTATAAAGGTTGTGCAGAGAGTATTCAAATGAATTGCAATAATGAAATACAAAGAGAGAGATCAGACTGGTTGTAGGTGATGAGAGATGTGGTGGCTGTATGGTTGTTGTGCGCAATTGTTTGTTGTTGGATTACTATTAATATTGTGTTATTAATATTGTGATTCATCCGGAATGCGTGAGCTGGAAGAGAGAACCAGAAGAGAGAACAATTACAACAGCCACAAACCAAGCAAGTCAAACACAAAATTGTGCTGACACTTGATGATTAGAAAAAGAACTTCTCGGCCAGAGCGCTAGATCCTGACATGATGGTTCTTTCTTTTGGTGCTGACCTCGAATAAGAACCTTAAAGAGTTGTTTTCATGCCTCTTTCGAAATCACTCCAAATAATAACAAAAATCCATTGTTGTTGATTTATTGAGCATCCTTAGTGATGGTAACGGTATCAACAATTTCATTCGTTTTAGCAGCATGGAAATCAAAATGCAACGAATGAACACGAGTTTGTCTTGAGTAAGAGGTTCTCAAAATTCCATAACCTTCATCCTTGTAGAAAATATTAGCACTCCAATCATGACCAAAATGAATATACCATTCATGTGTGACACCTTCAATGCAACCTCCAGCTCCATTGACAATATGGATTGGATATCTCAAATTATGAAAATTATTCTTTCTTTCTACTTGTGTCTTGTAGACTGGATAAGTTCTTTCATAGGAATGAACATGTCCAACCATCATTATATCCACATGATATTTCACAATAATATCTTCAAATGCACTTTGAATTCGAAGAGATTCTCCAGACACTTGTCCATCAGCAGTACTAAAACCATGTTTAGAAGAATAGACAGGTCGATGACCAACCACAATAACCCATGGAGTTTTCTTTCGATCAATACTTGAGAGAGTATGTTCAAGCCATGCCAATTGATCTCCTTTAAAATTATATTCAGAATAGAATGCATTTGGATAATTGGTTTCAGTTGAAATTGACACAAAGGTAATTGGACCATGTTCAAACGAGTACCACATGTTGTGACCATATTGGGAAGTGTTTCGAAGAGGCATAAAGAAACGATGATTGTATGCCATGAAACCTAATTCAAATTTGTGATAAGGTTCGAGTTTTGGTCCTTTCTATTTGTATTTTTACATGAACATGTTGTTATATGAACATACAATGTCATGTTGAATGGTATCAGTTATTGACATTACATTGATTTTCATTTGTTGAAAATATCATTTCCAAATTATCACACAATATCATGTGAGAAATATGGAAATAACACATTATCAATGTCATGTGAAAAATATGGAAATAACACACATGTTGTTCATGTGTAAATTATTATTGGATCATCATATGGACCACTACATACCTCATGATTACCAGGAAGAACCATATAGGAGGTGTAAGGCATAATCTGTTCCATCATGATCATATACTTGGTCCAAATGGCTTGATAGATCAATCCAGGGAAATCATCCGCATAAGAAATGTCTCCCAAATGATAGACAAACATGTTCGTTCCATTGAAATTTTTCACAAACTCTCCGACTTGAGCAATGACGTGTTTGCTATTGGTAGTTCCTTGGTCTCCATACATGACAATGGTAGTTTCTAAACTTTCACTCGTTCTTGGATCAGATCTTGTATGGAAATAATAAATATCAGAAGTCACATTATCATTCAACATGAATCCACATTGATAATAATATTTAGTGGAATATTCCAAGTTTGAAAGTAAAATACTCATATCAAATCCAGTTTGTGAAACTTGTCCGTATTGTGTTACAACATTTCCCAAATGAGCGACTTGAAAATCTCTTTTCAAGGATGCATCCTTGGAACTGTACTTTACAATGGGCTTTCCTAACTTGTTTTCATCATAATTAATGGTATGGAAGGTGACTACCATTTGATTGGGTGTTGAAGTAAAGGCCAAGTGTACTTCAATGGGTTTATATTCATTCTCATCATCAAGATTACTACCAACAGAGCCTTTTATGGAAGAAGTAATGCGAATGTTGTTGTTGTTACTAGAGCGATGCAAATGTTTTGCTGCTGCGATCGGAAAGCCTTCCACCACCACATGGCGGACTAGGTTTGTGCCACAACAATAACAAACAACGACAAGTAGTGCCAACAGAGTCGTAGTTACGGCCGACAGTTTCATCGTTCTCTTGGGTGGTGTTGTTGTTTGATTTTTTCGGGATGGAAAATAAGGGCGACAAGTGTTTTGAAGAAGTCTCAAACATTTATTGTAATCACCATCTCTTTTAACACCCCGGAACAATTCATCTTTTCAAAACTCGTGAGATTCTCACTCTATTATCTGTTACGTACGGATCAACACAAGAATGGCTGTGACAAATGAAAATTTAGTTTTTCTTTTAATCGAAGAAACTATCAGCACTGTCCTGAGCTTGCTGTACATTGGGGGATGAGCTCTTATTCGAGGTATTTTGATATTCGACAGGAAAGTCTTCCTCTTCATTGTCAAGTGAGAACTGATGTGTTGTTGGATTCATGTTGTTTTGTTGTGTTGATTGATCGCTGTTGCTCCACAAAGAATCATCTTCGTCGATGGATGAAATTTTCTTTTCCGATTTTGTTGGAAGAGGAGGAAGCTTGGTTCTGTCAATCTCAGAACTTGTTGTTGGTAGACTTGAAGAGGTGTTTGGTGATACGCTTCCTTTTTGTGTCATACCCTTAAAGAATGATGTCATGGCTGACCAGTTCTTTGACACAACTTCGGATGCCTTGTTTGAAAATTGTTGCAAATTTTCCTCAATTTTCATCTCTTTGATCTTTGCTGAGAATTGAGTCTTTTGATCTTGTTGTTTGATTTTTTCGTTCAAATCCTTGCCAATTTCTTTAACTTTGTCTCTCATAAATGAAAGATATTGCTGTGTTTGGCCTCCAATTTGTTCTGCCTTTTGTGAAACTGTTTGCAGGTTAAAGGATTCACGGATTGGAACAAATTTCAACTTGACATTCTCCACATTTTCGTTCATATGTTTGGCAAATTTTATCCACTGTTCCTTACTATGATTCAAAGATTGTTGAACTTTCTTTGAGATATCATTCTCTTGATCTAATTGTTGAGCTTTGGCTTTCAATTGTTCAAATAAATTCTTTGATTGAATATATCCTTCTTGGAACAAACCTTGAATTGCTGACTGAGAAGATGGAGTTTCTCTTTCTCTGTCTACTGAAACTCTGCTTGACGTTGTTGCTGGTACAGCCGAATTTTGAACAAGCGATTGAGCTTTCTTTCTTGGAATACCAAGTAAATCACACAAATTAAATATATACAATGTGGTCTGTTCGTTCAATTTCATTTCATTCAATAACAGACTTGTGCTAAAACTTTCACTGTTTTCTAAACAAACAACAGCACCATTCAAATCATCAACAATAATAATCTTCTCGACACTACCACAAAACGAAAAGAAGTTTGATATTTCCTGAACAGACAGTTCCTGAACAGGAGTGTTGATACTGACAAAAACAGAACGATGAATTTGATCTAGAGTGAGAGCGTTGATTCCGTATTGATGAACAATATCCTCCGGAATGAGTGATGGTACATAGGCCACTTTTCTCTGAGTCTGGCCATTATTATGATTGTTAGTGCTCGTGGAATGAAACGATGAATTGTTACCGAAGGCTGGAGTTGATTGTCCAGAGCTGGAATGACTATAACTGTCATTATTGCTCGTTGTATCAACAACGGAATAATAAACTTGTTGTTGTGGTTGCATGGAATCATATCCTTCATCACTGCCAGCAATTAATTGTTGATGAGAATGTGGTGATGATGTGTGGTAAAATGTTTGATCATCCTCTTGTTGAATTTTAGGATAAACAACAGTCTGGGTTGTTTGGGACTTGTTATCCTCGGGTTCAAAGGCTTGCTCAAAGTTCGCTTCAAAGTCTGAAGTGTTGTTGTTGTTGTTGGACATTTTTTGTTGTGTAAATTTATTATCTCGCTGCGAATGGTCAGACGAGTCACCAACACGTGTTTGGTCATTTGTCCTTAAATGATTCAGTCCAGAATCATGCATTAGCAACATTCGGTTTGCAAACTCCAATGTACACACTTTACATGGCAGTTCCTCTTTCCAAATTACCTCTAATGTCTTCTGTGTATTTATCATAGGCTTTGCTGAGAGATTTGGTAAATCGTTTGTTGGTGTCATTCACATAGAGTACAGTTTCATCGTCATTTTGTTTTCGCTCTCTGCTGTAGTTAGCCTTGCTCTTTTCAATTTTCTGTTTCAATTCATTAGCCATAATCTCCTTGTTTTCTTCTGAAATATCTTTTCCCAAAGATGAACCGTAGGCAAGTAAATTTTCTTCTGAATCTTTTGCAGATGACTTTTTATATTCTTCGATTGCTTGTTGTGAAATGGTTTCCTTGATTCGTTTTTTATGAAGTTTGTATAGTGAATCACTATTTAAAGCCTCCCATCCTTCTGGCTTTTTCTTTTGTGATCTCTTTCGCTTCTTTTCAAAATATTCAGATTCTTCTAGCGTTACATTTGGAATTTCCATTGCTTTTTCAATTACATTTTTGTGATTGAAAAATGGTTTTGGTTTATACTCTAATTGTTCAAATTCTTCTATGGCCTGTTCTGTATTGTCATGTTTGGCTTGATTTAATCGTAGTCGTAAATTAAATAATCTCTGGGAGTATGATGCTAATTTGTTTGACAAATCATCCGATGATCCTGGATTGTCCAATTTATCGGAATGTTTCTTTTTTTCATCAACATTTGACGTTGTAGTACCTTCTTCTTTGAATGATGATTTTTCGTCTTCGTTTTGTTCTTTAGCGAGAGATTTTGTTGATGATGATTCAGAATCTGTCTTGTTTTTGGGCATTTTTTTGTAAGAGACAAACATGGAGGCCTCTCAATTTTGTAATTCGAATTTGTGTTCGTGACCAGTATTTTAATTTTGTAAAGAATTTATTGATTTTTTAATTCAGTAATAAAAGTACGAACTGGCATGGTTTGCACTCCAATCTTTCCCAAGTTCACCTCCTCATCCTTTTCATAATGCCAACGGAAGAGACCTTTCAATTTTTCACTTCGAATTTCTGTCAAAGTGTCCTCAGAAATATGAATCTGTTGAGTGGCTCCTGCTGCTTCCATCAATTTGGCAATTTCGACACTCTTGCCAAACAAGTCGTACGATCTTTTTGTTTTTCCAACCACCGCTGCCACAACGTCACGTCCAGTGTGAATTCCAATTCGAACCGAAAGTTCTCCATCCCAATTAATTTTCTCATTGCATTGTTGAACTGCTTGGATCATTTCTAAACCACACTTGATGCAATTGTCTGCATGATGGCGAGATTTCTCTACAATTCCACCTGCCAAAAAGTAGCAATCTCCAATGGTTTTAATTTTCTCTAATTGTAAATTCGAACAAATGTCATCGAATGCACTGAAAATGTCATGCAATAATTGAACGATCATTTCAGGACGTTTGCTTTTAGACATGGCCGTGAATCCTACAATATCACAATAAAGAAGAGTGCACTTGGAGAGAGAATCAATCACTTGTTGACCCATGGCTAAGCGCTGTGCAATGTTTTTTGGATACATTTGATCTGTAATTTTAGTGAGTGCTTCTTCTTTGGTGATCATACTTTTCGTGTCTCGAGTGAATCCCACAAAACTTGATTTTCCACTCACAGGATCAATAATTTCTGAAACTCTTAATTCTAATTTGAGAGTTTTGCCATTCTTTCCTTGACCCTTGACATAACGTACACAATCGACCACATGTTTCTCTCTTGTTTTCTGATATCTTTCCAAGTAATAGTCATGTTTCGCACGAACAGCGGGATTGCAAAGAATTTTAACATTCTTTCCAAGTAAATCCTGTTTGGAATATCCAAAGGTGGCAGAAGCAGCAGAATTGAAGGTATGAATGATTCCCTTCTCAGTGATGGAAATGATTGGAATGACTGAAAGTTCTGTAATGGATTCTCCAATCTGAACTCCAAAGGATTCTTCTTTTGATTCTTGATCTGATTCTTTCTGTGGAAGCAAGTAAGCTGCAAAGTGTAACTTCTTCATCTTGTTCAGAACAACCAATTTCACTTTCACTGGGAATACTTTTTTGAGAGTGGATGCTTTGGCTTGCAAGATCAAGCTTTGTTGTGAGAGTTTTTCTTTTCTTTTTCTTCTTTCCTCTGGAGGGATGATTTGAAGGGGAGGAATGAATGAGCTAACACTCGAAGTGGCTGACACGGACATTCGAAGTGCCGAGTCGGTGGTTGTCCCCAAATATTCAGAGATGACTTTTTGAAGTTCGAGTAAGGAGGTGGAGGTAAACAATTCACCTACATGTTCTCCCAATGCGGAAAAAGAAAACAAGTTGAAGAGGGTTTCTGCTTCCTGATTTAAATAAGTAATGATGAGAGAGCTATCGAACACTAGAATGGGAAAGCCACACGACACGAATTGAATTACGAGTTGATTGAGATTAAGATAATCCTCGCTTTTGGAGTTCATTGACTTCTCATCGGTGGCGGTGTCATTGTTCTTGTTGGTGAATTCGATGGATGATGAGGTGGTAGACAAGAGATCACTCGAGTCACCATACATATCTGAATCCAGAGAGGCCTCTGAGAATCGAGAACTTGACACACAACGCAGGAAAACAGGCTTTCTTGAAGTGGCATTCTGAGCATTGCTTCCCTCTTTGATGCTACTACCGTTAGGCATCACTAATTCATGCAGAGAGGAAGAAGATGACCAAGCCGAATGAGCGTTGGAGAGTTGTTCTGCACTGTCCAGATTTCCAGACGACTGCATCTGAAGAAACCTTTTTGATTGATAGCCTTTCATGGTTTTTTGTTTGTTTGTACTATCTCTAAGGTTGGGATGTGGTTGATGACAGTATCTCTATCCATCGACCGAGGAAATGTTTGTGTTCTAAAGAGATATAACTAAAGAAATCCCAATCTCTCGAGTTTTGAGCAATCTCAACATCTCTTGTCGCTACAACACTGTTCAGAAAGCTTTTAATAAATTATTCGTATTTAATACAATCATATGAAAGTACAACCATTAGAGCGCCAAACTATTCAAACGATTTTCCAGAAGAATTTGTTGTTGAACACGAGCTCTGGAACCCTCACCATATTCTCTAGCAACTGTTCTAAATGCATCTAATTCATTCTTAAGCATCAATGCTTGATGCTTCTTTTTTGCAGCATTCAATGAGCTGAGTGCAACCTCAGCTTTCTTAATGAGCTCTTTCATGTATGCATTCTTATATTTTTCAGACTGTGACTCAGATTCTACAATTTCATCAATTTTCTTTTCTGATTCTGTCTTTTGTAATTCTCTAAGTTGAGGGAATTGCAAGCCTGGCCACTTTGGCCTTTCAATAAAATTCAAATCTCCTTGAATGAATTCAGGCTGAGCATGTTCCAATGAACTGTGGAGAGCCTTTCTTTCTTGAGGAGATGGTACTATTTTACAATCGCCATAAAGTGATTGAACAAAAACTTTTACATCTTCCAATGTTGGAGTTGTTCCTAAAAACAATACAAGAGGACCTGCATTCTTTGGTCCGATATCAATCTAATTTTCAATAGTGATTAAATAATTCCGAAAATCGATACAATCCGATCGTACGAAGATGTTAGGATCATAACACTCAGGTACTTGTAATAACATCACACAAAACACATACATCGTATCCCTGATAGGAGAAAATAGTGTGTGGTGCTGGAGTTGCTGCTGGCATATTTTTTTGTAAGTTGGAAATAGTTTTATTTTTAGCTGTTAAGGTGATTCACCAAATCCCAAAATCAACGCTAAATAATTGATCTTTAGAGAATTTCAATTATTATTGAAAGAAATCAAACCTCTTTCTGCCAAATAACCCAAACAATTTCCTGTTCCACAAATTTGGGTGAAAGTGGCAGCATCCTCTGTGCAGAGCTTGAACAGAAAGTGACAAACCAAGCTCTTGAAGCTGTAGTGATAATCACTCATTCTTCCAACAAACAAACATTTGATAGGTTTCGTGTCGAGATCCTGAGCATCGAGTGGATCTTTGTAGGATTCTTGTTGTGGCGACGAAGAAGAGCACTGTTCATTCTCATTTTCATCTTCATGCATTGTCCTCTCAGATTTTGTTTTAATGGATTGAGCTGCTCTCCATGAAATATATTCCTGTACGTCTTGAGGAATCAATGGTATAAAATTTGGGAATGGCCAATTCGAATTCTCAAATATCCAATCACACAAAAGAGCTTTGCATTCATTTCCTAATGTGGGTGTCTCATCATCTGATAAGGTAAGAGAACTAGCCAAGACACCAACAATGGGAGTCAAGTAATCCGTATAAATATCTTCATTGGTGTTGTAATAAACATAATCGCTCACAAGAGTGAATAGAATCATTTTGTGAGGTCTTCTTTTTCCATGAGGTGATGTTTCAATAATAGATAACAATTTTTTCTTGTACGTGGGTGGAAGTTGTGTGAAAACTTGAACCGTATGTTTGATCAGTGTCAGCAATTGATCTTTAAATTCTTTCAAGTAATAGAAAGTATCATCATCAACACGTTCCTTACTATTTCTAAAAGTAATGTAAATGGTGAGACTTGTATAAAAGTTCATGATGAGGGAAACAATGTTCATGGTTCTGTGAATTTAATGATGAATCAAATATTCGTCTCCATTTCTAATTAGTCATGAAATCAACTTACTTTTCATAAAATTCATTCGACATGGAATCAATATGAACAAATAGGTTGTACAATGATTTGAACATGTCTTCAATACAAGAGAGCAGATATGGCACAAATGTGATGCTATTAGAAATTGACACGTTAGGTAACAGAGTTAAATCTTGAAGATCGGTATTATCTAAATAGATTTGTCCAAATTTGTTGAGTGTGTGTTTAATCCAATCCTCAAAATAATACGTCACGCTGTCTAGCATGGTGACAATCAGCGGCAGCTTTCTGTCAACAAACTTTTCAGCATTTTCTCTATCAAATGTCATGTAAAACAAAAGTCTTCCAAACATGAAATGTTCTTCGTAACTCATTCTCTTCACAATCAAGATTGCATTTTCTAAATGAATACCTTAAGAAATGTACTTACTCGTTCTTTGGAGAAAGTACTTTCCACTACTCCATCAAGAGATGACATGAAACTTTCATGTTCAAGTAAGCAAGTCCTTAAATATGATGAATGATGAATTAAGTTAAGTAAACATTTCATACAAGATAATTTCATAGAATCATTATTACGGTCATTGGTTAGTTTTGTTATATATTCCAATACATCGTTCTTCAATACTGTTTCACAGCCATCCACTTCTCTCAACAATAATCTCAACACAGATAAATTTCGTTCAAGCTGATGAGAATGGCTGTCACTCATCAAATATTTTTTAAATAATTTCATAAATTCTGATTTGATTGATGTGGTGGGAAAGCAATCGGGAATAAATCGTGTACAATTTGAATATTCTCTTAAAAATTGTTCAAGCACAGAATCCCAATCAATAGTATTAGAATTCACTGCTGGATGATGTGAGGAAGAGAATTGCTCATTCGGAGTTTTCTCTTGATGATGGAATGATTGTTGTTGTAACAAGGAATGAATACATTCATAGAAAGGACCTTCACGTTTTTTCATTTTTTAATGTTGATGATATTCCATGGAATTGGGGTGTCTGTCTCATTGCATTTGGGGGAACAAAACATTTATTGTGATGAACATCAGCTGTTGAGAGGATGACACAAGTCATGTGACTTTTCAACGTGCCTCACTTTTTGATTTCGCGCTTGAAAAAACAATCTGGTTGTAGCAATAATAATGCAAGCCTTTCATCTGGAAACAAGCCTTTTCTTTCCCATTAGAATTGAAAAAGCATCACGAGAAAAGGCTTTTCAAACACGAACAACAAAAAAACAACTCAAAATGCCCACAATACTCCTCACCAACCAGCCTTCCACAAGTTTTAGCAACAACAACAACACCACCACTAATTCCTTCTCTCAAACACAACAAACACCTCTGTTCATATTTGATAGCATCAAACGAAATGATTTTGAACAGGTCAAACTCTTTATACAGCAAAATCCAAGCCTTTTGACGTGTGTTGATGATTCCGATCAACTCAATACTCCTCTGCATGTTTCTTGTCAATGCAATCACGAACAAATTGCATTGTTTTTACTCGATAGAATTCAGTCCATGATGCCTACATTGGGATATTTATTAACTCAAGAGAATGGATCGAAACAATCTGCGATAATGCTGGCAAGTCCACGCCTGCGAGGAATGATGAAGGCTAGTATGGAAATATTCAAGATGAAGAAATTGCTGCTCGAAAAATATAAATCCAAGACCCATTCGACGTTGTCACAAAACAACAGCAATGAGCTCAACTTCTCTTCGTCAGCTACAACATCATCGGTGGACAGCATTGAGAATGTACGAAAAGAGACACAAAAATTGTACGAAATGATGCAATAATAAATATTTATTCGAATGGGAAAGTGTTAGACAGAGCAATCGTCTGGAGAAGGTCAATCTTGTTTGGAAGGTAGATGTCGGCATTAATACTATGAACAGCATCTAAACATTCAAATCGTTGTTGGTTTGAATACTCAGTAATCGATAGAGCTTCTCTTAATTTTTCATCTGTTTCAAAGACTGCCATAAATGATTTTATCTTCACAATAAAGTTGGTCACACCGACAGTCATATCGGAAATGGCTACACGGTGTTTGAGTTGCTCTGAATATTTTGAGCTTAATATTGCCACCTGTTCTAAGAATTTGACAGCATCAGAATCAAGTGTTGAAATATGTTCGTAGTTGCCCACAACATCAAATAGAGAAGTGTTATCATGCACAAGATTTTCTAATTCCTCAAATCGTTTTCTGATGCTCACATAAGCAAGTAAAATATCACCCCCTTGGCCCCATGTTGGTATTTCTTGTAGCTTGGGCTGTAGTTTCCCCAAATACAACAACAACTCGTCATATTTGTTGCAAAGAATCAAAGATGGGAAAATATGGTCTAAAAGAATCTTGTGAGCTTTAGCAAAATGATTTGAAAGACAAAGCTTTTCGAATAGCAGAGGATATAAATTGCAATATTCTGCAAACAAAGCAGCTGCCTCTTCAATCCAAATTTCAGGTAATCCAAGAGTAATTTTCATAAAATCAACATTGTTTGGATGGTCGATGAGTGATGGATAATTTCTGAATAATAATTCTCTAATAGCTCTATCTCTTGAATGGATTAGCTTATTCTTTTTGATCCTAGAAACTACATTATTTTCTCTGTCTAAACTTTGGGATGATAGTAAATCTGTAGAAAACGCAGGAGAGATCTCGTTGTGGCAAAGGATAAATATAGCGTGGCACCAGTAACCAGCTTGCTCCAATTGTAAAGCATAGCTCGTGTGGATTTTGTGTGCCATGTTGCTAGATTGACCAACCGAAGGTACCCATCTTAGAATATTGTACATGTGCCATGAGAGTTGGCAATCCATAATATCATTGCAATAGGTATAGGGCTTTAAATATTTGCTGAGTTCAAGAGGTACTCTTCTCTTAGATTCACAATAAATCCTAAGCAAATTAAATCGAACGTCGTAGTGAACAGAAGAGGAATGGTACTTTGTGTTGAGTAGCGGCCTTGTAGATCTTGCTGTTTCAAAATATGAGATATAACTCTGTAACACGTCACAAATAGTTTGATCAGGAGAGCATTTAAACCACAAGTGCAAACCCAAGCATTGAAGCCAGTGAAGTGAAGTGTCTGTAACATGTCCAGCTAAAAGCTCATAAATCTTCTTTCTTTCGGGATCAATGTTAGCTTTTGTTTGGTTCCATAATGTAATTTGCTTTTCAATGTCTTTTTGAATCATGGGATTGGAAAAACATTGAGAAATAATCGCAGAAAGTCTCAAATCCTTATTTTCTAAAGCTACTTTGGCAGCTTCTGGAATTCTGCCGCCTGTTAAATATAAATATATTTTTCGAAGAGGAGAAGGGTTTTCATTTCTAATAATATCTTCGATTGGTATTTGATCACGAATCCAAGAGCTTAAATTTCTTTTTCTAGCAATATCGTCCGCATATTCATTATTGTCACCCATATTAATTTGGCTAAATAGAATTTGGATCAATTTCCAAACGCTTAACTCGACCGATCCTCTAGAACGAGTAATGTCCTTCACTTGTGAAGAAATGTTTAAAGAGTCAATATTATTTACCATAGCTTCAATTCTACGAATATAATTTTCCATAACTGTGGTGTATTCACCTTTAACACGAATTGAAATATCGTGTCTATAACAGTTTTCAATGGCAAGGTCTAGATAAGTTGCATACTTTAGACGATAAAAGTCTTCTCTTTGATTTTCTGCTACACTGTGATCTTCTTTTACGATAACATCTGAAATGGATAAATTGGATACAGTAGATTTTGGATTAAAAACGAAGTGAGGAACAAAAAATTGGCCATTAGGGAGAAATCCGACTCTGAATGATCTTCTCAAAGCTGACAGCATGTCTTCTGGATTAGATTCTGATTCCTTATCTCCCCTTATGCTACTTGGAACTGGGGTAATAACCTTTTTTTGTTTCATTGGCTGAACAGGTGGAATTTCTGTCGTAAATGAAAATGTTTGAAATGGTTCTTCTGTTGTGCCGACAAATCTTGTTTTTTTGGGTTTTCTACTGCTTTCAATGGAGGAGATATCAATATCTTCGTTTTCATCCATGAGATTTGATTGCATGAGGTACAATTTGCGAGGATCCAAGTTTAACTGTCTTGGTAGAAAGTTTTTATGGGTATTAATCTCCAGCATCTCATCACTACGCAAAAAATCAGTATAATTGTCATCTTCCACTTCCTCATCTAGCAGTAAAGAATCAATAGCAGTAAATTTGTAAAGTAGCTTTAATCTACTTCATTACAACCTAATATCTTACCTTCATCCGCAATAATTTTAGAAATTCTTACTGAATCTTGCTTGATATCATTATTCTCATGTTCCTCTTCAACTTGTTCCATTTCTTCTTCTTCTTCTTCCTCTAGTCCATATTTTGTGAAATGTTCTACAGAGAAAGTCCATTGCCCATTGTTATAAGAAAGAAACTTGCTACCATTTTTTTCACAAACATTTCTTAACCTTCTTTCAAAAGCCCTAAGGTCATTATTCTTGGGATGGACATCAAAAAGTGTGATGATGGTTGGCTTATTCAGTTCGGTTCCAACTGGAGGCTTCTCACCTTCTCTATAAACGTTGTCGCTATAAACATCGACATAATTTTTCTCAATTTCAAAAATGATTTTGTCCAAATCCAAATTTTTAGTGACATCTGTAAATCCTAAGAATTTGAGCTCACCATAGCCTTCTCTTCCAACAACAAAGTCTCTGACGTTTTGAAGCTGTGTCTTTGTCATTTTTCTCATTTCTTCCATTGATGGAATAGTATAGAAACCTTCTTTGGTTAATTTTGGAAGATAATAAGGTTTTTCAATCTCATCTGTTTGGGTTGGCTCAATATCAATCGACATCACTTTTCCTTTCTGTGGCTTTGGCTTTACAATATTTGTATTGGCCAAGGTTTGTGTATCTTGTTGTACCTCAGGAGCCTTAGAAACTCCTTGTTCTGGTTGATTCTGCGCTCTCTTACTTTCAAATATCTTTGGAGAGATTGTCAGGCTTTTAACATTTTCTTTTGATGTGAAAGATGAGCTGTCTAATAAATCCTCAAATGGCTTGTTAGTCTCGCCTTCAGTAGATAGCAATGCGAGTCTATCTGCCATAGTGTTGATACTGCTTTTCTTGAACGTTCTTGGTCTTATTTGAGTTGATGTTTTTTGAACAGATTTAGATATCACACTTGATTCATCCTCAACCTCTTTTAATTCAGAGACACCAGAATCCTTAAGAATTTGATAGAGTGAGTTTGGACCATAAGGGTCGCTCAACACAGTTGGAACCTCAACATTGATAGCTGGCCCAAAGTTTGTAGCTGTACCTCCAGTCAAGTTAGCTCCAAAGCCTCCTGTTTGAAAGTTAAATCCAGTAGATGTGGGAGCAGTTGTACCGGTGGTACCAAAATTAAATCCTCCTGTACTTCCTCCAGTAGTACCTCCTGTTCCAAAATTAAAACCTCCTGTTGAAGGAGCAGATCCTCCAAATCCACTTGTAGTTCCAGTTCCAAAGTTAAAACCACTTGTAGTTCCAGCAGGTTGTGAAGTTTGTGAGGTGCCAAAATTGAATCCTGTTGTTCCAGTACCTGTTGTGGCACTAGTGCCCATACCAGTGGCAGGTGCGCTTCCAAAGTTAAATCCAGTAGATGCAGGAGCGGTAGTGCCGGTACCAAAACTAAATCCTCCAGTTCCAGTACCAGTTGAGGAGCCACCAAATCCTGTGGTTCCAGTATTTGTTCCTGCTCCGAAATTAAATCCTCCAGTACCAGTTGAGGAGCCACCAAATCCTGTATTTGGTTGGGTTGCTGTACCACCAAATCCTGTAGTTCCAGTAGTGGTACCTGATCCAAAGGTAAAACCTCCTGTAGTTCCAGTTGTGGCAGGTTTGTTAAATCCAAAACTACCTGTTCCAGTGCCTCCAAAAGTGCTAGTAGGCGCTGTAGTTCCGAATCCTCCTGTTCCTGTACTACCAAATGTTGTGGTACCTGTTTGTCCTGTGTTTGTGGTTCCAAAACCAAAACCTGTAGTAGTAGGTCTATTAAATCCTGTTGTGGTTGAAAAAGTGGATGAAGGTTGAGAAGCAGTATTTCCAAATGTAAATGAAGAACTTGTACTAGTTGTTGGTTGGCCACCAAAACCGGTGGACATTCCAGTGGTGGTAGTTGTTGTAGTAGGTTGAGAAAAAGGACTGCTTGTCAACTTGCCTTGTGAAGCAAGCATGTAGTACCATCTCCATTCTTCAAACGATTTATCCTTGTAGGGGTCCATTTTCGTTAATGAATAATATGTCACCTTTCCACTTGTTCCATTTTCGTCTACAGGCTTGAATGGTGGGAAAATTGAAGCATTGAGTTGTCCTTGCCCCATTCCTCCAAATCCCATAGATCCCATACCTCCAGTGGTTGTGGTTGAAGATGTTGGGAATAGACTTCCTCCTTGAGCTGTTGTGTTGGGTTGTCCAAAAGTAAATCCGCTACCTCCTGTTGTTGTTGTTCCTGTTGTTGCACCAAATCCGGTACCGGTAGACGATCCAAAAGTGCTTGGAAATGCAGAGGTTGTCGGTTGTGTGGTAGTTGATCCAAAGCCAAATGTACCAGTTGTATTTGTTCCACTAGAGCCAAATAAATTTGATGTTCCGAATGTGGATGGAGCGGAACCAGTTGCTCCCATTCCAAAAGTATTTGTTGAAGTATTTGGTTGAGCATTTTGGCTTCCCATCGTATTAAACCCTGTTGTAGAAGTCCCAAATGTTGTTGTGGGCTTAAATTGTGTACCGAAAGTATTGGTGGTTGATCCGAAACCAGTCGCCTGTCCTGCTGTAGTGTTTGACCCGAATGTATTGCTTGGTTGTGAGGTGCCAAATGCTGTTTGCCCACCCTGGCCAAACGAGAACGTGCTATTACTGGCGGTATTAGAAGGTTGGGAACCAAATCCACCAAATGATGGTGTCGAGCCAAATCCTCCAGTAGGTTGAGTGTTACCGAATGTAAACATGATGATAAATAATTAAATAGAAATAATAATTGCTAAATCGCGTCCAAATGAATGATCGCAGAAAATATTAAAATTATTGTTGTTTAAAGTAGCCGATGAGAATAGCCTTTTAAATGATGAAAGAAATTTTTTTGTTGAATTTTTTTTTCAAAGTTTTTATTTTTTTGTTCTTATTCAAATTGAAAGAATTTATGCATAGCATGAAAAGTCTTGGAAAAAGAATTCGCTCCAAGATCATCAAATGGTCTATTTGGAGGAAGGGTTCGTTGGAAATTCTTTTTCTTTATGAAATGCATGCTTATTAGTTCTCAAAAGGTTTTCCAAACATCGCATTCAAAATGTGGGGCGAGAACCCCTAATAAAAAATTGGTCTGTAGCCTTATCGATTAATCAACAAATGAGTCTTTTCCCTCTTGCTTATTTGGTGAAAGTGGCTGCTTCAGCAATGATTGTTGTTTTGATCGCTTTTCTCTGCACTGCACAAAATGATAGTCCTACGTTTAATCTCATATCACCGGGGACAGATGCCACCTATGTTTTCGATGACGAGGAGCTTTCTAGTCAGTGGATTTATTACAAAATTACAAATCAAAACACCGATATTAGCAGCTTAAGTGGGATAGTAGAATCTTGCTCCGGACGAGTAAATATTTACTTTAAATTGTGTGTTCCCTCCAACGGGCAACCCTGCGATGATAGTAACAAGTGGTTTCCCAATAGCAACAATTACGACAGAAAATTCGTCACAGAGCCAACCTCTCAATATCAAAACCCCATCGGAATATGCGAGGCAGATCCAAATTCTAAATGTTCTTCCTCCACAACCTACTACGTAGGAATTACTCCCCTTACTGAATCCTCGTCCATCAGAATTTCAGTACAAGGCTATTACAATGAAGGAAAGGTGGATTTGATAACAACTGATAATAAGGAGATTGGGTTTGATCTTTCTTCAAGAAGGGTAACTCTTAGCACACTAACCTACTGTGCCTCGTTGGATGAAGCTAGAAATTGCATTAATGAGCTTGTTCCAACCCCTTCATTCTTGTTTTGTGCCATCCCAAGAAAGAGCAGTCAAAAAATCAACGCTGCTTCTGTTTGTGGGTGCAGATTGGGCACAAATCTCAACATTGAAGGATGTGTACCCTCCAACGAAACAGGACTAACAGTGTGCGCACTTGACCAGAAAAGTTTTGACAAATTGGAGAATGATGAATACTTTTTGAATGTTGTTGTAGACAGAGAAGACGTCCCACCACTGAGGGCATTTGCCTTCAATCCAGTGCCCTTCACATATTCTCAAACAAGTAACGTCGTTGGTGTGGTTGTTGGAGTTTTGTTTTCTCTAATTGCCGTCACGATTCTTGTAGCAGCCGTTGTGATGGGCGTCCTATTGTATCGAAAAAAGTATTCCTATCAATCTATCTAATACAAAAGAAACTTCAATTTTTCTTTTTTCCGCTTCAATCAAGACAGGACTACTTTCACCCACAAACTTGTCATTTCTGTTAGTTAATTAATTGTCATCTAGTTGTTTGATGCTAAAGAGATGATGACGAATTAGCACCTCGTTTGAGTTGCGTGATCAGGTTCCGATCGGACGGTTGTAAAACAACAAAAAAAATTCCACACACTCAAAAAAACGATCGTTCATCTCGTGGAGTAGGGTTTTTCTAGAGTGATAAACAACACCGCTGACAACACACAGACATTTACATAGTACCGAGCATATCATACAAAGGAAATGAGCACTGCTAGCAACGTACAAAACAAGCAAGACGACAACAAGATCCAAGTCTCAGCCACTAAACAATCACTCTCTTTCTATGTTTATTTGGCAAAGAAATTCTTGAAGAACAACAATGAGATTGAGCTTAGTGGCTTGGGAGGAGCAATCAACACTGTTGTTTCATGTGCTGAGATCTTGAAGAATCAAAAGCTCGCTACTATTTCTAAGATTCAAACTTCCACTGTTCCTGTCTCCGGAAAGAATGACCAGTCTTTCCAAAAGGCAAAAATTCAAATCTATTTGAAGAAGACTGCTGAGTTTAATTCAATCATCGCAAAGCAAGAGGAGGAACAAGAAGAGAGAAAGAAGCAAAAGGAACAGAAGTAAGCTGATGATGTTGTTGTTGATTTAGAATTCATACCGATGAATAAAGATACGTTTATTTGAAGACGATGAGACTTGATGAAAACTTTTTGGTTGCCGATCATCCAAACACTCGGTGATGATGGTGAGGATGAGAAATGGCTCTTGTCATCGTGTTTGTTGGCTGCTGAAGGCGAGATTGTAAATGCCCGTGTTTTTGGTTGAATTGAAAAAAAATATTGTTGTTTTTCTGTTCAAAAAGAACTTTGCAAATTTCATCATCACGAACAATTATTATTATTACATTTTGCCATCATCATCATCATGGTTGTTCGATATGCCACGAAGGCTTTGAACTCTCTGAAGAATACACTCAAATATAAGAGAGTTGAGGACCTTCCTCCATCCATTACTTATCCAATCACACTTTCTCCCCAATTTGCTGATGTGCTTCAAAAGAAGTTAGAGAATAATGGAAGACTTGAAGAGTCTCCTGAAACAAATCCAGACGTTCGCGAGAGAAGAACCACCAATGAAAACTTGTTTTTAAAACCAGACTTTGGTTTGAAGGTAGATTTACCTCTCACTTCATCCAGTGAAACAACATACTCATCGGAAAAACATGTTGGTACTCCTCTCAAGAAAACAATGGAACAATCGGTCTCTGACTTTGAAAAGTTTTTCCAAGATTTAAGAGGAGAATCATTTGCTGAATTTGATATGAACACCCACCAACGAATCGAATCTACCATACCCATGCATTCATTGGCAAACCTCTTGAAGTCTCACAAAATTAATAGACAAAAAACCATGAGTGCTGATGAGCTAGCAGAACGAATTTTTGATGGTGAAGAAATGCGTGCCTATATTACAAAAAGGAACGAGTTCATTGCTCAAAACAACATCCAAATACCAAATGAAGACTTCCTTTATGATACTCCAGTTGAACTGGAATTAGAAAGTATCGTCAACCAAAATCATGAGCCGTTACTGAAGTGGATGAACGACCAATGGCAAATATTTGTTAATTACTCTAAACAAATGCTAGACTTCCACAAACCATACTATGAAGCATATGCTAAACAAAATACAAAATCTGAGAAAGAAGCAGCATTATTACTTGATACAGCTTACAAGTTCGAAGAGCTCAAAATACTAAGTTCTAGCTTGGCCTTCACAACACAACCATGTTTCCAAACTAGATTGAAGGAAGTCAAACCAATTTTGGATAGAATTGTTTCTATCACCCGGGATGTTGAAACCACATTGCTTCAGAACACCAAAACAAAATATCCACAACTTTCCAAGCTGGTAGAAAAGCTTTCCAAAGTATCAAAAATCAAAACAGATTTCTTGTCTTCTAGCCCTGAGGCCCATCTCTATTGGTTGCAAGAATCCCCTGTAAACCAAATCCATCAAAACTATCAAGAAGAAAACAACACACCCAAGTTTATGGATGTCGTGTTAAACTCGCTCAAGTCATACAAGAGTCAATTAGAGCCACTCTTTTCTGTTGAAGAATACAATGAATTTAAAAAGGCTATCATTGACAATATTGATGCATTAGATAATGACACTTATGGATTTTTACAAACAACGGTAGAGAAGTTTAAGTCTGATGCAACTATGGATCTTAGACCATTGGACATTTCAAACGATGAGGATGTCTTGATCATGAAAAAAATTAATAACAATGTAAAGAAGGCTTTGAAAGAAGGAAAGACCCCATTTAAGGCTATCTTTAATGTTGACAATTATGTTGAGTTTTTCTCTCACCTTAAAAGAACAAGAAACACTGCTGAGATCAAAGAAATGTTACCAGCCTATCAATCAAAATATATTGCAGACACAAAGTTACCAACTCACCATATTTCATTAAGACAATCATACGGATTCCTTCATTCTGGTATCAAGTATCCAGCTGATAAGGTTGTAAAGTTGACAGTAAGACTTGCCGACATTGATTTTAGCTCTGATATCGCAAGACAAAACTTTATCAAGCTTGTAAAGGGTGATATGAAAGCCAAGTACAAGAAGAGATTTAGCGAGATCAAACAAACAGTCACGTTAAGATGTGGCTTATATGATACCAAAGAAGAGAATATCAACTACTTGCAAAATCTATTGGTTGAACTTATTAGAGCAGCAGAAAGCTTTGATACTCTCATTCCTGAAGCTCCTACGACCGTAGCTACTGAAACAAGAGAACAATTACAACAAAGATTTTTGGATGAGGATGCAAAAGCAGAGGCTGCACTTGAGGCTTGGGTCATGCACAGAAGAGCTGGTAAGGTTGCCGTCGGTGCTGATCTCACTTACGGAGAAGGTGTCAAAGAAGAGCAGAAGGTTGAAGAAGAGATTGTGGAAGATTATGGTTACAAAACTTACAACGTGGATGAGTTACAAGACATCGATATGGATGAAGATTCCGGTCTGAACAAATAATTCTCAAAGTTGAAAGGGATTAATAAATTTTGATAAATATTATTTGAAAGTCTTCTTTGCCTGCCACGGCGTTCTCTTTTTGCATTCCAATTATTGTAAATTCTTTTTAGAAATCAGTTGCATGATTTCTCTTGTAATGGTTGAGCATTCATAGCGAGGACAAGTGCTATCAAACACACAATACAGCATGCTGTGATTTTTCTTGAAAGCAATGATTGTAAATTGTTTGGTGATTGTGTATGTTTCATTGATATCAAGATTAAATTCATCCCCTTGTTGTGGATGGAACACGTCAAAAACAGTCATCATGGAATTAATATAGAATTCCCTTATAGAATGTTCAATTATTTCATATGTCAAAGGACTTGTATCGTTATTAACAAAATTTTCATAGATAAAGTAGGGTGATGAACCTGTTGAATTGCTCATGAAGAGCAAAGCCTTAATTTTAGCCATTTTTTGAATATCTGATGTGATTTCATTCTTTTCATCCAGCTCTTGAACGAATGAGAGGAATGGTCTTGTCAAGATGCCTGATAGTCGAATAATACTTCTAGACCAGTCCTCACTCTTTGTCTGAATTGCGCTTACAATGTCGTAACCCTTTAAATCTCCAGTTACTATTGCACAGTAGTGGATATTGTCAATTAATTTGATGCACAAAAACCTAGTGTTGACATTTTCACGTAATACTAGAGGAATATCACGAACAGTAGCATCATTTTCTGAATGAGATAAAGAATTTAAATAAATAGAAAGAGCTGTCAACTGTTGTTGATTGAGATACTTGTGCCATTCGACCCCACAAAAAAACAAACCAGCATTCACATAAATAGCAGAGCACAATAGAGTATTTTTGAATTGAGTAAGGAGATAATTCATGCATTTGACCAAGAGAAGTTCTACTTCCTTAGCATCAGGAAACTTTAAAGTTTTTCTTCCAGGTCTTAAACATAATTGTTCGAATGGTTGTTGAAGAAAGGAGCTTGTCATGGATCTTGCATCTTCATCCGTCTCATACGATTTTTTAAATGGTTGATTGTAAGGAGAGGAAGGTTGTAATAGGTATGTAATGATATCGGTCAATGAGTTTAAAATAATTTTCACTTGAGGTATTTTCTTGGCCACTTTGTCTGATGGTTGCTTGTTTGTGATAGATGACAAAGTGGTCTTACTAATAAATAAATAAATTACTGACTCCAACGCTTTCAAAAAGGTCTCATTGCAAAAGTGTTGATAAATAGTATTAGATCTATTTTTCTTCTTTTTCTTTAATTGTTTGAACTCGTCTCTATTTTCTTCGCTCTCCAAATTTTCGTCATTATTTTCATTGTCTTCACCACTGTTTTGAACATCAGCAACCATCAACAACATGGCCATCGAGGGAGGTGTATGTTGAAGTGATCGTGCTGTGCTATTGTTTACAGTTGCGTTCGGATCATCAATGTCTAGAATTGGCAAAAAAGTGATACAAGTATTTTCGCTCTCCATGACCATCACTTGATGAGTGCATGATGAAAATGATCGAATAAAAGTAGTGTACAATAAACTTGTATGAGAAGTATCGGGAAGTAAAGATTGCATCATCATCGGAGCAGAGTGATCACCCATTAAAGAAGCCTTGTTTGATTGAAAATCTGAAAAGAAAGATGAAAACGTCGGAAGAGAAGAAGTAAACATCATCATGGTTGAATTTAATGTTGCAGAGGAGCTAGTGGTTGCATCCTCAGCAGCAACACCTCTCTTCAACAACTCGCTGCAATTACAGTCCATAATGCAACACCAACGTCGAGCCATTTTTTGTAAAGTTGATTTTCATCATCCTCTATCTCTTTATTAGACATGTGTGTGTTTGAAAATTGAATTCCAATCATTCAAATAGGAAGAGTATGATCATATTCACTGATTAATCCTTCCAAGAATGGGTTTCAATGTTCTTTGAATCTCTTTGAGGTAATTTAATTAACACAGATTTGGATCGACAGATTGGATCTGATTGCTCCAGCGATTAATTTTGAACTTTCTATCAGTTATTCCAATCCCAAACAGATCTATTTAAATTTCCTCTTTGAAGGAAGGTCTTTCCATGGGATTGGCTCGCCAACAGGTGCGAGTTGGAGATAATCTAGAATGGGTAGGATTCGAGTTTTCTGTGGTGCTGGTGGTGATGTTTAGTGGAGATGGAGGTGGTGTCAAATATTCTCGAATCCTGAGAGAAAGTATTGAGATTTGAAATAACCAATAGAGGTAGATCCTCCCTTTCTCACAGACCTACTGTTTCTGAAGGTATTGTTGTGAATGCATATATAAATTCTTTTGGAATTTTACTTTTTGCTTGTGTTTCCATTGCACTCTATCATCCTATATTTACTGACACTGCAAAAGTATTCAGTGAATTGAATCACAAGCATTTGAATGCTCCTTCCATTGTGAGAGATCAAGACTTGGGTGATAATGGAAGTGAGGCAAGTGGATCGTCCCTGAGGAGAGTTCATTCTAATGTCCAGATGATGAATACAACGGAGACTCGTACAAGTGTTTCCACTTCACAGAAGAAACAAGAATTGGCACCGACATCGAACACCACTTGTTCACCTCAAACACCTGGTGTTTCATCCTTAACTGGAAATGAAGAACATTCAGTAAATATTTGCAATGTTTGATAATTTGTAGGAATAAAGTATTTTGACTGGTGGTCAGACAACCTTCGCAACAATCAGATAATGATGTCTTGGTTGATGGAAGAGCTGCTCAAATAGGAAATTGTAAATATTCTGTACATGTTGCATTTACAATTTTCTGTTCAATTAGAAATTCTAGATTAGTTTTCCGAAACAAGCTGCAAAAACAATGAGATTGCTCTGACTATATACGGATCGAGGTTACAATTATTAGTCATGGTCGCTTGAATGGATAAAATAATTCCGCCAACTATTTTGGAACGTTCTATCCTTTTTCTCGTTTGTTCGTCAATAAAAGTACTGTATTAACATCGATAATCGCTCTGGTTCATCCACGTCGGGTCCCCAAAATGGAATGATTTGGGCTGGATGCTTATGCAATACTCTAAAGCAATACTTTCGAACAATTATTGGTATTGGCCTCAGGTTCAGTATGATTACTTGACCTTTCGTTTCAAGAGAGACAACAGCAGCAAGTGTCTTTGATTTCGCGGTCGTTACCTGCTCAATCCTTTGTCAATTTTAAATCGAGTAGGTATTCGCAAAAAACCGTCATACTAGGTCGCATGCTGTCATCTCTCGTCAAAACATAGTAAATGCTAATCCAATTTGTCAGAAGCCAAAAAAAGATTTGCCTTGTGAGCGAGTGCTGTGGTTCTCTCACAAAAAAACATAATAACAATCGGACGTTTATTCCATCAAACGTTGAATCTCCCAAAGTACTCGTCACAGTTCTAACATAACATCGACGAGCTATGGTATCTTTGTGTTCTTCTCCGTCATCATCCAAAACAACTCTCAGGGAATGCAAAGATATCATCCACTATTATTAAAAAGTATTTCGGATCTTGTTGTTCATCCACCACGATCTGGCCATGATCAACATCACTCAACGCTTCGTGATATGTTCTCGAGCTCGAGCCTTCATTCTCTATTCGCAACTGCTGCCATGGCCAACACCAACAACAACCACACGATCTTGAACAATAGTACCGTCAACAACTCAACCACCATCAACAATAATACGACAACGTTCTATTCATTAGAACCAGCGATTGTGAGTGGAATTAACATCACTCTCAGTATTTCATACATTCTCATATTTGTGATGGTCATGTTGTTTGTGTTGATTTTCACTTCATTGAGTCCAGTGAGAAAGCAAATGAAGAGTAATCAATTCAAAATGATCATGCTTGTATTCTTGTTGTGTATTTTACAATGTTGTGCTTTGGTTTCTCGATTATGTTATGATTCTTTGAATTTGAATATGGTTCTTCGATTGGATCATTTTGTTCAAACACATTATGGAAATGATTCAGAAATTATCAATCAATTTCAAGCCATTTATTCTTATAATAATTCCATTGTTTCATTGGAACAAGCAGGAATTGATTTTTCAACCTATATTGCAATGAGTTTCTTTGGAAGTTTGGAACCTTTGTGTGTCTTGATGAACTCAGTGGTCATGTTGGTAGTGATGTGTTTTGTGGGAAATGTATTCTTGACCACTGTGAGAGTTTCAAGTGGATTGGTTCATTCAAAAACCATTCGACGAGTGACCACTCTGGTGAATATCATGACATTGATTTCAGCGGTGGCGTTGACACTATTGATTTTCACAACATTTTTCTTTATATTCTTCAGTCGACTGAATTTGATTGGAGAGTTCTATATCTATTTCCTAATTGTTGCATATGTGGTGTTTGTTTTTCAAATTCTTCTTCAACTGGTGGTGTCCAATGTAAGTATAGTATTAGAAAAAGACAAACATGGAGAAACAGTGTATGGAATGATCCTTCTTTTTTCCTTCATACTTATCAATAATCATAATAACAATAATTATCATTGGGTATATTCATTTGAATTTCACAGGCCACAGCAGCAAGTGTATTAAAGACGATCACAAAATTAACTCAATCTGAAAATAAGGCACGCTCAAGAAGACCTATCATTAAGGTTTGTGTTTAAGTATCACTCGTGTTTTGTTTTATATTCAATACTATTCGCTCAACTTGTTGCTTTAGGTCATGATTCTTCAAGCAGGTCTTGTTTTATGTGCTTTGTTGCAAATCGTTGCAGTGGGATGTGCTGTTGGACTCTATGAATGGATTTATTTGACACTCTTCTATGCTTTTATAAATTCTTTTGGAATTTTACTTTTTGCTTGTGTTTCCATTGCACTCTATCATCCTATATTTACTGACACTGCAAAAGTATTCAGTGAATTGAATCACAAGCATTTGAATGCTCCTTCCATTGTGAGAGATCAAGACTTGGGTGATAATGGAAGTGAGGCAAGTGGATCGTCCCTGAGGAGAGTTCATTCTAATGTCCAGATGATGAATACAACGGAGACTCGTACAAGTGTTTCCACTTCACAGAAGAAACAAGAATTGGCACCGACATCGAACACCACTTGTTCACCTCAAACACCTGGTGTTTCATCCTTAACTGGAAATGAAGAACATTCAGTAAATATTTGCAATGTTTGATAATTTGTATGAACACAATAAATTAGGAGGACAAAATGGTTTTTTCTCCGGTGGCAAAAATCGAAGGGTAGAATTGAATCTCTTCAGAAAACCATTTTTTCAATGCCCCAGCCTGTTAATTTGTAGTGTAAAGTATTTTGACTGGTGGTCAGACAACCTTGGCAGCAATCAGATGATGATGTCTTGGTTGATGCAATTCAAATAATATTATTAGGATTGCAATCCAAAAAAAAATGTTGCAAAATACCTCTTTCCTCTCGACAGCACATTCCGAGGGTGAGAGAAAATTTCTTTCCAAACTCATTAGCTCTCAACAGCAATCTCAACAATACGCTGATGAAAATTTAAAGAACAAAGCCCGATCACTCATACCTGTGGATCGTATTCATCAAAATGCGCAAGAAAAATTTAAGTTTGCAAAGGAACGAGATCCGAATGCGAAACCTCTCTTGGAGCGGTTGATCATACAAGAATTATTAAATTGGTTTAAAGGAGAATTTTTCAAATGGGTAAACAATCCACCATGTGGTAATTGTAAATCTACAAATACTCACCTTACCGGAGGAACATCCCCTAATTTTGAAGAGGCCGCGAATTTAGCTGGAATGGTTGAGCTATATTCTTGCCAGGATTGTAACAAGACCACTCGTTTTCCGAGATATAATTATGTAGGAAAACTGCTAGAAACAAGAAGGGGAAGATGTGGTGAATGGGCACAATGTTTCACCTTATGTGCGAGGGCTCTTGGCTATGATTCACGTTTTGTCTTGGATTGGACGGATCATGTGTGGACTGAAGTCTTTTTGGACGGATCGTGGATTCACTGTGATAGTTGTGAAGGTGTTCTCGACTCTCCTCTCATGTACGAATCTGGGTGGCAGAAAAAATTATCCTATGTCATTGCATTCTCTATTGAGGAGGTTGTTGACGTAACAAAAAGATACACCCGACACTTCTATGATAGCGAGTTTCAAAAAAGAAGAAGGGATATTGGAATTAGCGAAGAGTTTCTCTCTGAAGCGTTGAGAAACATTAATAACCAGCTTCAAATATTCATGCCCCCATATAGAGCTACTTTTATTAAGAAAAAACAGGAAAAAGAAATGGAAGAATTAGAACAAAAACAAAGCATTAGTGAAGATAATCTCAAGGATGAAGAAAAAAGAGGAAGAATTTCTGGTTCTAAGGAATGGAAAGAGGCAAGAGGAGAGTCTGGTAAAACATGTGAAGTTGGTGCTAGCTGTTCTGTTCCACAATTTGTTATGGACCAGTCAATCACTGAAACACTTGATTCTTTTTCTCATATCCAAGATATTATTGCGAGCAAAAGAAACTCCATTCTATGTTTAGGATCGAGCAAGATTGTCAATGACACCATTGTCTTGACTGAAGACAAAACGGATCAAGTTGGAATGGCCGTATTGAATGAAGAATTCGAGTTGCAAGACATGTTGATATCCTTCAAGTTTATTGTTAGAAAATCTTCAGGAACTGGTGCTGATGGATTTTCCTTGTTATTGCATTCTAATGCACAACACAATTTGGGTATTGGAGGTTCAGGAATAGGTTATGAAGGCATACCAAACTCGATTGCAATTGAGTTTGATACGTATCAAACGGTTGATAGAACAAGGGATCCCAATTCAAATCATATATCGATCCAGACAAGGTTTGTTTTTTTGTATTTTAACATACTTTACATCTACCTTGTCATATTTAACATGTAGATATAATCAACCGAATTCAGCTAACCACGACTATTCATTATGCTGCCCAGGCAATCTCCCTATAACGATTGCTGATGGCTTACCCCACACATGTAAACTATTAATTCAAAACAACAACAAGCTTACTCTCATCTTAGACGACAAGTATTTGTTTCTTAAGGACTTTGTTGTCGATTTTCAACGAGTATTCGGCAATGGTAAAAAATTCAAAATTTCATTCACAGGTGCAACTGGAGGTCTGTCTGAAGAACATACCATTTTAGCCTGGACTGTTTCTTTCAAGTCGCAAAAAGCTAATGGAGAACAAATAAGTACTAACCTTCCGCCTCTGGAGAGTTATATTCTTTTTGAAGAAGGTAATTTGACAGGAATTGAAAAGAAATTTAGAGAGTTTTGTGCACTTGAATCAACTTCTATTTCAGAGCAACAAATTCAAAGTTTGTTGAATATGTCGTCTTGGAAAATGGTTGATTGTAGTTTGATTGTTAATATCATCAAACAATGGAAATTTGATCATCTGTTTCCTGTGATTGATTTATTAAGATTAGCTGTTGTCAGTAACAAATGGGTTGCTCAAACATTTAGCAAGTTGTTTATTCAAAATCAAAAAGATCATTTGCTTTTAAATGTTCTCGATAGGCTTAAGGAAGCGAATGAAACGAATTCTAGCTATTCATACTGCCTTTTGACTCTTCGACTATTGAACAACATGTTTACGGAGAAATTGAGCAGGGTATATGTGAACAAATTCTCAGAAACCATTCTGGATCAGCTTTGTGAAAACAAACACTTTTCTGCTCATCTCCAAAACAAAGCCTATATAAGGAATGTTTGGATCACCACTTTCTTTAACTTGTCTTTATTATTCACAAAAGAATTTCCATCTGAAGAAATGACGGTTAGACTTTTCAACATTGTATTTGAATTCTTAGAAAATGAATGCAAGAGAGAAGATACAGACGAATCATGTTGTGTGATGGCGTTGAATGCCATGGTGGTACTTTTAAAAATTACCTCAAAAGAAGATTCACTCAATGAAGACAGCATGCTTCATGGTTTGGCTTTGAGCATGGACTTGGTCACGCTCCTCTCTCGACAACTTGCCACAAAATTTTGTGACACTCAACAACATGCCCCACTTCATGCTTTGATTCACTCGATCATTCGCCACTTGGATCTTTGATGCACAAGAGTGCTTAAACGAGTAAAGTTCATGTTTCGGACCAAAAATATTTTTCCCGCTCGTAGGCGTACAGACATTCTTCAAAAAAAACCGACATTGAGAGATTACGAATCCCATCACAAGACCATCAACAGCTTTACTTTTTTATCTCTCCTCCACAAACAAAATAACAACAGCCACAAATATTATTTATTATTATGCATCAAACGATAAGGAAGCTCTAAGTAATGACCGATATAGGACCAGTTAAAGTTCAGCCCATGCTGGACAAAATTTCGACACTCATCATAACACAAACAATATTAACGCCCTCCACAAACAACGGAACTCTTGAGTCTGATCCTTACTTGAGGAAAACCCTTGTACAGCTTCCTCAAGAAAAGTGGTCCTTATCCAAAATGGATATTAATACAACAAAATTTGCCTTGGAAAGCATTGGGATAGTTGATTGTTTTGAAGGGGTAATAAGGTACAACAAAACCAACACCAACAGCGTGATAACACCAAAGAAATTTTTGGACATTCTGAAAGTAACAGGAGAACCACTTCCATACCGAGTACTGTTTATCGATAACGACATCAACAATATAAAAAGCGCCAAGGAGATCGGAATTTCAACATGTCATGTAGTGCAAGGTTCCAACGGAGTGCCTCATCCGAATACTGTAGATTTTCAAATAGATACAGTCTATCATGTACAGACCGACTTGAAAGAACTGAAAAGTATGTCTTTGAATTTGTGCTTGCTTGTTTTATTAACCATTTTCTGACCATCATATTATGCAGATTTTAAACGACAAGGAGAAAGTGATGAGGAACGAGGTAGCCCTTTAGCAGTAAGAAATGATATTGTGAATACGAAATCAAAACTTGTTTCAAACAGTAGTACAAACCTGGACAAACGACATATGGTTTCTTCCACTCTCTTGCAAGAAGATCTTCCTTTAAAACCAAACCCCATCCAAAGACCCTCTCCGATTGTTAATAAGGTTTCTCCAACCCCACCTGAGGTGTTTGAAATTCCAAGTTCAATACCACCAGACAAAAAAACTCCCCTTGAGAAAATCAAACTGAACTCGATAGATCCCTCAACTTCAAGTAACTTTAATAATACAAATATAGGAGTGCGAAGCAGTGTGGCGTCGGAAAGCTCTTCGAGCAATACTCCAAAGAAAAAGAAGAAACGGAAAAAGAAGGAAAAAGAACCCAAAGTTTCTGATGGAGCAGGAGATGATAGTGGGACTGAAAAAAAGAGAGTGAAACAACTGCCACCTCTGCAAACGACACCAAATGGTCTTAATCATGTCATTGATGATTCTTTCCCCAAACAAAAGCAAGCTGAAATTTCAAATACAAGCGAACTATTGAAAGATTTAAATTTGGATGAAGCACAAGGAAAGAAGAAGCTTAATCCTTTACCTTTCAGAAGGCCAGACGATGACCCTTTTTCCATTCAAAACAATAACAAGAAAGCTTATTCAGAATTAATGTTTTAAAGCTTACTTGTTCGAGAGTTTCTTTGAGAAAAGCTCGGTACAGGGGATATTGGCTTAAATGAATAAACCTCTTTAAGCACAACGTTTGGAGTATTGAAAAGCTTATCCAATTCTTGTTTCAAATCCTTGGACGATGGACATTTTCGTAGCGTGTCAAAAAGAGGTTTTAGTTGATCCATTGGAATGGAGAAATTAATGCTTGGCAAAAGTAAAGGTTGAACTTGTCCTGAAACTTGATCTGTTAACTTGTACTTGATATTGCTAGTGACAAGTCCAATCAAGGAACCGTGCTTGTTGAAAACGCCACCTCCACTATTACCATCATGAACCAGAGCAGTTGTACAAAGCATGGCTTTCTTACTGCCAAGAGTAACAACTTTAGAAATAATCCCTTTTGTAATGGTACACTGTTTGACAGAACGAGAGGTATTGATTGGTTGCATTAATGGATAACCTACTACAAATACCTCGTCTCCTTCTCTCGCAGTTTCGTCGAATTTGATAAATCCACTATCACCAAAACTGATGTTCGCATGAGGCATATGGCTAGCACATGATTCATGAATTTTAAGAAGAGCCACATCAAGCTATCACAAAGATGAGAAAAATTCCACATGAATGCATGTACTTACTGGTCCAGTGTTGCAAAATAACACCAACTCTGCACTGTGAAATTTATGATTCTTCTCATTGTCTCTTAAATCATAATCCAACTGCACAACAATAGACAAATGCTCTGGTAGGTAAAAAGAATCGCCTTTCTGCTGCATGTATGGAGCCATCACATGTGAATTAGTTAAAATATCTATCAAGGTTGTATTGTGACGTGCAAAGTTCAAACAAATCAAGGTTGTATTTTGAGACCAACTAATACGTGCAAAGTTCAAACAAATCACTCATACTTACAACCATTTTGTGAAATTAAAATACCAGTTGCCCAAGTGTTGTTAATCAAGATCAACACAATGTTATTCCTCACTGCGTGATAGACATTCGATATCTCTTGATGCTCTGTGACTAATAAATTACTATTCATGATTGGTTTCATGTCTCCAATAAATTTTTCAACGAAAAGGTTCAAAAATGGTTCAATAGAAATAATTACATTCAACCCAGTGCTGGAAGAAATTGATCTTATGGGGAGTGTACAAAACTATGTATAATTGAACATGTTGGTATCATCATATCAATTAATATATTCAACATTCAAATCTCAGAAAAAATAATACTCACACCAATACATTGGGTTTGTGAAAGCACTTTAGAAAATACTGGAGCTCCTTCGCACCCTGGATGTATTTGACAATCAGTCAAAATTGCTAAATTTTGCTTATTAGATGAATTATTAATCTTGTTGCTGATAACTCCCTTCGATAAATGATTACTGAGAGAATGTGGAGAAAGTAGTCCAAATGGAGATGAGACAATATATAAATCGTCACCTTGGTTTAGATAATTAGCAAAGTTTGAATTTCTATGTGGAAGGTCAACAGCATATTTCTTTACGACATCTCCATTGGAAATTTTGAAAATTGCAATTGTGGAAGGGGAAACTTTTAAAAAATTGTTTGAAATAAAATCAGAAGACATGGACTTGTCATCAAAATGTGAGTGTGGTTCGCTAAAGAAGGATTGTGAAGATTGTACAATTTTGTTATTATTTTTAACCAATGGATGGCCCCAATACCATCCATGTAACTGAGATGTCATGTGATAAATGTATTTATCCGTCACAGTATGAGAATATAGCCCACAAAATTGAATATCTGTTTTTGTGAAGTTTTGATTTGAGTATTGTTGTTGATTACTAATATTTTTAGTTTTTCCAAATCTTTTTACATGAGAGGGTAAAATTTCACTAAAGATCATTTCGCCATTTGGCAAAGTTAAAGTTATTTTGCATTTTAAATGTGGATTTTGAAAGGAAATGTTATTTTCATCCTCTTCAATTTGTTGAGATTGAGTGGTTGATGACTTTTGTTTTGTTTTTTGAACAAACGGAACAATGACAGTTCCGCTTGTAATTAAATAACATGAGGAAGAATCCTCCTTGTTTTCACTTGAAATGATAAATCCACTTGAGGAACAGCTCAAATCATCACCCGTTCCAGTCATGTCATTCAAAAAGAATGGCAATTGAAAATCATGTGCTTGTAATGTATTTTGTCCGGTTATAGTGACCATCACTGAATCTCCGAAAAGCTTTTCATTTTGTTGGTTGTAATACGAAGATCGACTCGGATTCGTGAGAAAGGTATCACTTCTAGATGTATGATGAGTAGTTATTGTAGTATTATTCAATGAGGAGGACGAGGAGGATGATTCCGACAAGGCTTCAAGGTCGTTGAACCAAGACCGAGAAGAGTCTCCATCGTGTGGTTGCATTTTTTCCGAAATGTTTTTACGGAGAGAGCATTTACGCGAATCTTTGGCGTGATCTCAACAATTACCATTGAGAAATCTTCCAATGTAAATCTCAGTGGTGAAATGACCAACCACGTGTTTATTGAGATGATGATGCTGCTGCTGCTTGTTGTCTTTGTTGAATATTCTTAACAATCTTGTCATAAATTGATTTAGAATAAACCACAGCTCTCCTGACAAGCTCAGATCGAATGCGAGCTGTTTCAATCGTTGAGCCACTCAGCACGTCTCCATTTTCAATGAGTCTTCGAGATAGATAGGGCATGACATCATGGACCTTTCCAAATGGCACATATTTTCCAACATTGTAGCCATGATATGCCAAAGCAAAGGATAAATTGTCACCCATACCATAGAGTTGAGCAAAAATAACTCTTGGATCGTTCTTTTTGAATCCATAAATCTCACTCATAATTCTACTGGTCATGCCAAGTGTGTCTTGATTGTGAGAGGCAACAACAATACCAATATTTCCATGCTTGTACATGCTGTCCAGACAGAATTCTACTCCCTTAACATAATTAACATGCGTTTCCAAAAGAGTTTGTTGGAAAGGATACGGCAGGTTCAATTCATTAGCTCTCAAAGTTTCAGACTTCATGTAAGCACCACGAACCAGCTTGGCTCCATGATGAGCTCCGTGATTATTCAAAAAGTGATAATCAAATTGCAATCTATGGAAGGAGTCTTTCAAGTACAATTGGTAGGTATTGTAGACTACCGGCGTATTTCTTCCAGCCATATACTCCTTAGAGTTATATTTAACACTCATCATCATGTAGAGATGATCGATAGCTGCTTGATAATAAGTTTGTTCTGCGTCAATTAATAAACTCATTCCATTCTTCACACATGCATCACACAGGGAAGCCAATCGTTTCACTACTCGTTCAAGTTTCAACAGTTCAACTGATGTCAATGGTTCGGGTGGCGTGTTTTCATTCAAATCGAAAGCCACAGTTCTTGGATATTGCTTGACTGTATATTCTTTCATTAAATCAAAAGTGTTAACATCATTCGAAATGTCTCCAAAGAAATAAATGTTGGTGTTTAACAACTTCTTTGCATGTTCTGATTGAGGAAACATTTGGATGTAACACAAAATTTTGCTCAATCTCTCTAACAGAACACAGCTCGAAATACCTGTGACCTTGACCACTCCGAACGGACATGGAGGCGTAACGGTAGATTCAGTTGATAATGTTCTATTCTGTTGTCCCATATATTCAATCGATTCAGCAATGACACTACAAATTGAGTCCTCAACTTTTTCATCAGTGTCGACAGTAATTGCACTACTTTCAAGAGGTTGAACTGGACCTTCAACGCTGTAGTCTAAAATGCAAAGCATTTTCTTGTTTTGTGTTAAATCATGAATCACCTTCTTTGTCTTGGGTAAAGTTTCACCACCGCAAAAGTATGGAAAGTATGTATATTTGACGGCCTGGTTCACAATCATGCCTCCTTTTTCAATGATATCAGGAGCAAAATGTTTAACGAATGGAAATCTTGTGCTTGCTAGAGCAGTATAGGTCTTTAACAGTTGAAATGATGACAAAGGTGCATAATAAATCTCAACACGAGTAAAATCAATAGTGGTATTTCCGCTTCTTTTATGAACAATATTTTCTTCATTTGATGTTGTTTCTGTTGATGCATTGTTAGCGGAATAGTGAGCCTTCGATATGATCTCATGATTTTTCATCATCACCATGGTTCCATAAACGTTTCCATGAAAATTCTTGCAAGCCTTCAATTATGAAATTTCAGCAGGACAAACGGACGAATGGACCGTTGCCATCCATCTGATGGTGAAATGCGTTGAAAAAAGTACTCACCCTGTGAGCGAGAGAGCATGCAGAAGCTCGGAGAAGCATTTTTTTTGTTTGCTGAATTTTTCCAAACAAGGTACCCAACCAATAATAAGAATGTGAGATGGTGTTTACAAAAGAAGAGTTGAAGATTTAAAAGATAACAATTCACTCATAAAATCTCATGTGTTCGTTTGGGAGAGGAACGAATAGCAAAAAGAAACTTTACAAAAAATTGAGCACTTAAAAAAAAATGTTCGCTGCTCATTCAATCATTTGCAGAATCGGAGGAAACCAACAGAGGTTGCTCCGTCAATTTTCTGGCCAAAGTGATGGAATCAATCATTGTATGATGATGAGGAGAAGGAATGTTCACGATATCGTGGTTTTTTGCTGTCGTCTGAACTCAGACCAAAGAAATATGTTTTCTCGGAATGTAATAGGAAGAGAAGAAGAACACAACAGTTCATCTCTCTTGAAAAAACCAAAAATTACCAATCAAATGATCATTGAAAAACTCAATACATTAATGTCTCCGGAGAAGAGAAGCAGAATTGTTAAAAAGACACGTTCAGGTGGAGAGAATAAGGAATTAATTCATGAATTGGATAACCTTGTTCTAAAGGATGACAAACCTGTATTGGCTCAGGTAGATATTCTGAAAAAGGAACTCGTAGAATTTGTATCAGAAAACGCAAAACCAAACACCTCAGAAATTATTGAACATTCCGTACAACCCAAAACATACTTTTCACAACAAGAAATTACCAAAATCCGATCCATCTATAAGAATAGCGTGTTCTTTAAGAACAGCAGCGCGAAACCAGAAAACTACTTTTTAAACTATAATGTTTTGGTACACAAGTCAAAGGATCAAAACGATTTATACTATATTGGACACCAGTTATTGAAATTTATTTTGACGAAATATTTCAATCAACATTTAAACCTTGTTGTAGAAGAAAACCCAGAAGATAACAAGAAATCCCTTAATATCATCAATGATGAAATCACCAAAGAATTCCAAGTTCAAGATCACTTGATGGAATATTTCTTGAATCAACGTCAACTCTTCTACTTGTATTCTCGTCAAAACAACCTTTATGAACTGGACCCTTTTTTTAAACAAATTGACTTTACATCTGCTGATTTTATTGATAGAACTGCTCACGAAAGATTGTTTAAGTCCCTAATTGGAAATATTTACATGAATGTGGAGTCCTTTGATGTCATGATGAACCATATTTTATATCCTTTCGTTGTTAAGGAATTCATTCCTAGCTTTACAGAACTCATTCAAAACAACTTGTCACAAATTTCAACGAAAAGACCCTTCCAGAAGCAAATGAGTATCGTCGAGCAATTCGAATATTTCCATACACGGCATTACAAATCTCTTCCAACCTACACCTCTGTAGCTACCGTTGGGAATGACATTCAAATGGTTCAAGTTTATTCCAACAACAATCAACTATTATCTATTGGGTACGGCAAAGATTACCAAACAGCAAAAGAAGACGCAGCAAGAAGAGCAATCTTGCATTTTTGTTAAATAAAAACAAGGTGATAGTCATTATTTAATAATTAAAATAAAAGTAGGTCTACAATTATGGATTTGGAATCAAAAACAACGGCTTACAAGAAGTACATGGCCTTATTAGATGGTTGGATGTTGTGGTCAATTGGAACTTCCTTAAAGCTCTTGAATTCTCTACCCAAATTCTCGTCGAATGCCAGAATGCTTGCCATATTACCACAACGATAGCAGTAATTTGGAGCGGACCAAACAGTAACTAGGTTTTGCTCAGGGAAATGATACTTGTATCCTTCTTGAACCAGTTGGTGAGCACGGCAAATCAATTCAAGATTATTCAAATGGTTAAATTCGCTTGTGACTCTACTTCCGAACAACCAGCCAGCTCCACGAGGAGAAACAGCCCATGTTTCAATATTCTCTGGATCTGACCACATGACATCACAAAATGGACCTTCATGAGGGATTTCTTGTCTACGATCAATTGTTCTCATTTGGTCCAGAGTACGAATATCAGGAGACAAACCGCCATGTACACACAAAATCTTTCCGTCAATGATTGCAGCAACGTTGAAACAATCAAAAACTTCACAACAATATTTCCAAGCATTAGCGTTACCATATTTACGTTGACATTCATCATAAAAGCCATAGATTTGAGTAATTTGACGAGATTCGTGATTACCACGCAACAAAGTCATACGCTCTGGATATCTTGCTTTCAAAAGCATTAAATAGGTCAATGTCTCCAAGCTATTGTATCCTCTATCAACAAAGTCTCCCATAAATATATATCTAGTGTCTGGTAACTCTCCACCAGTTTTGAACAACTCTAACAAATCATGGAATTGACCGTGGATATCACCACAAACTGTAACAGGGGAAGAAACAGGTTGAACGTTAGACTCTTCAATAAGAATAGATTTCACCATGTTGCACAATTTCTTCAAATCTTGCTCTGGAAGGTAATCACACTTCTTTACCTTCTCTATCCATTGGTCCAATTCGTTAGACATTGTTTTAATATATATTTAGAGTTCTAGAAAGAAAGAGGATTTTAAATCATGAATCGGTTATAGTAAAATAATTGTTGTTGTTATCCATAAAGGATAGGGAATTATTATCATCAACAATAATTATGAAATACCGAATCAACCCGAATAATTATAACAATAGCGGAATACAATATCATCAAAACCATTGTAAATTTACAATGAAAGGCAATGAAAGGAACGATGAAATGGTAGGTATCAGTCAACAATTCCGCACCATGATGAAATATTAGGCGTCAGTTAATGAGATTCATTAATAGCCCAAAGTTCGCAATGATGGGATCATCAACAAAAATAACGTACGAGAGTTTGATGATTTTTTTAAAATATTTTCAATTATCCATTCATGCATCATCGCTCTCCTAAAGAATATTTCATTGTTGCCAGAGGCCATAAAGACAAACATTCGTTAGTCAGATCAGTGAAATCCCTGACAAGACTGAGAATAATAAACGACGAACAAGCAGCAGTGAACTAACAACGAGAATCAGATGCAACGTTCATAAAAAATAAAATGATAAGTTCTCGTCATCATAAAGGCCTTCATCACGAGCTCGGCGGCGGATTCAGAGGGGTCATAGTTCGAGTCGACGGTAATGGTCATTCATCGATTGAAGACAGAGAAAATACTGAGAAACTGCGAATGTTCTTACGAACCAAATTACGTAGTCCATGTTACAAATACAAAGGATCAATCGGGAAAAGACATCCTCATAGCTGCAACGTTTTTAAATATCCAAACGATGTGCTTGTTGATGAAAAGAGATCAATGATTTTTGTTAGTGATTGTTCAGAATTGGGTATTCAAGCATTCGATCTTCATGAAAAGCAGTTTTTATTCAACATTTCTGCTCCTGATCGACCCAGATTTATGGCCCTTTATTACAATTCTTTGATTTTCTCATGTGAAAATAATTTGGTATATAGATATGACTTGGAGACAAGACAAGAAATTTGGATCTCTAAAAAGCAAAATGTATTTAGTGATATGCAAACGATGAACAATCCATGTGGTGTTGTCGGTGATGAAATTGATGAAAAAATATATATTGCAGATTGTAACAATAGGAGAATAGTCGTCTTGAATGGAGAAAATGGCATGTTTCATAGAGTTATTGATTTTAAATCAAAACACAACAGTCTAAGTTATACTGACGTGAGGCCTTATGGAATTGATATTAATGTAGACTATAATTTGGTTTTCTCAAATATTGTCGATGCTCAAATTTATATTATTACAAGAACTGGTATTCCTATTGCAATTATTGGATCACCAGGTAGTAGCATTGGTTTAGATTTCAATTTTCCATCAGGAGTCTTGGTCAACAGCAAAAATGGTAACATTTTGATATGTGAGTATCTTTTATGTAAGAGTTTTAAATGTTTGTTTCATCATGAATTCATCCAGGTGATCGTAACAATCATCGAGTGCAAGTGTTGAGCTCTAAGGGACAATACATCAAGTGCTTTGGATCATATGGAATTGATGCTGGCCAATTTTATGAACCTCGGGGTCTTTGTATTGATCATAGTAGTGGAGATTTGTACATTGTTGGTAAGTAAGAATTCATATTTCAAGAATTGTCATGATGATTGTGTTGGTTGTATCAATTTTATCAGATTATGGAAATGACAGAATACAAATTTTTGAACAATTTACTTAATGAGATCACTCTTTTATGGCGAGTAGATGGTATTCATGAGAACGACCTTTGACTCACAAAATTCACATCTACGATAAAAGACTTCATAGTTCACAACCAACACTTTCATGTTCTTTTCAACACACAGCTTACGATTCATTGCCTTCGTAACACCTTAGTTCTATTAGTGAACATTACATATTGACTCGTCATATAAATCCTATCTCAATAATTATTATCACCTGAGTGCTGAACTAAAATTCCAGTTTTGACTAAGCCAAAACTTCAACAAGTCGAATAGGAAGACAAAAAAATGATCAATTCAAGCCATGATGATGATCAAAAGATGTTTAACATTACAAGTGGATCATCAACCTCTCAAGAAAGATCTCCACCCTCTCCAACACATTCAGCATCTTCTTCTGCGATGAGTAGTACTTCATCTATTGTTTCCGAAGAAATGTATAGTGCAGGAAATACGGCATTGGATAAATTAAATCCATTCCGAGCCACTGCTCTTTCAGGTCATCATGGAGATTCCGAATTATTACCACCTACCTTGTATTATATTCCAAATTTTATTACTGAAGAAAAGGAACAAATGATATTGAAGAATATTTACGCAGCTAATTCACAACAATGGACAAGGCTGAGAAACAGGAGATTGCAAATGATTGGAGGCAAGCCAAACGATAAGGTCATGTTTGAAGAAGGATTACCTAAGTGGCTCACTGGTGAATTTTTGGGCCTCAACGATTTACATTCGTTTCCTGGAAATAAGACAATCAACCACGTCTTGATCAATGAATATGAAGTTGGTCAAGGAATTGATTACCACAAGGATGGACCTGTTTATTTTCCAATGGTATTCATCATAAGCTTGGAGTCAACAGTCATGCTGAATTTTAAAATATGTGAACGAGATGAAGATTATGTCGACCAATGTCCTTACGCGAAAAGTTTCTCTGTAATTGCAGAACCAAGATCTCTCTTAATATTTACTGATGATATTTATCATTGTAAGTAATAATAGTTCTAATTGGAAATAGAATACATCAAATAATAATTAATAATTCCATTATGATTGATTCCACAGATTACATGCATGGAATCGATGAATGTGACTCGTATGAAATTACAAGTGACGTTCCCATCGCAAATGCTGAACTACTATCAAATAAGGATTTAGCAAAGGTTGGAAATAAAATTGAGAGACATAAGAGACTAAGTTTAACATGTCGATGTGTTAGAAAAACAATGAAAAAGAAATTATTTTTCAAATAATAGATTTTGTACGGATTGAAATTAAAAATTGATTTTGTGCACATTTTATTTCTTTCAACGATTTTAAATAGGGTAAAAATATTAAGGGTGTTGCTGTATTGACTTCTCTGCATTTGTTCTTCCCAGATGGAGAATCCAGGTGATTCCTTCTAGAAAAAGCGTCACTTCTTGGAACAGAGATGCTAATTGAAGCGTTAGAGGTCATTTCCCTCCGGCAGGTTAAATATTTAAAGTGCCTATTACAACACGATGTCAAGTCCGCAAGACACCACTATAAACATAGGATGTAGTTACTCACCTGAACAAGACCATATTTCCTTAGTTAGAGAAAAGTGATCTTATGGTGCTAACGTTAGCTTTTAAAGGGATTACATATTCAACTGTTGTGTGACACTTGTCAAATTAGGAAGGTAAAATGTCTCCAACATAATATGACTTATTTACTGAGGCATCGATCGATCTTTATTTACTGCGGCATCGATCAAAGGCGGGAAACCCACATGCAAACCAAATAATCAAGAAGAGCACAATCAAAACGATGATTACAATCACAGCTACAATAATAATGTTTCTATATAACATATTATTTTTCAACTTTTTGCTCTTTCTCTTGTAGAGTTCAGCAGAATCCACCAAGTCGCCAGTTCTGTTCACTAATAAATCGATTTTTTCTCCTCTATCCAAAACCTTGTCAATATTGTCAATCATAATGTCCTTAACTTCCTCAATTTGTCCTTTAACCTTTTGAATACGGTCATTTTGTTTTGGATTGTTGAAGAATTTTGTTTGTTGTTTAAGAACTTGTCCGAATTCTCTGTTAAGTCCATTAGGTTGAATTCTCTTACTTTGATCTCCAGGATACTGTGTCAAAAATCGTTCCTTGATGTCCTCCAAGAAATTGAAAGGAATTCTTGATCCAAATTCCTTGCTACTCATACAGAAGAAAATTAAACCATTCTCTCCGTGAACCAAGATGTGGAAAATATATTGGTCATACAGATAGGAGGCTTTTAATGTACATGAATACCACGTATGATTGGAATGAATGATGAATTAATGAATCAATATAATGATGAGTATGCAATACATGATTTCAAACATTCCGAACATTTTCCGTTGCATAAAAATTCATATATGAATCCGTTTTCAATCATTGCCGTCATCAAATAATAATAATTTCCATCATCTCGATCAACACTCACTCATACCTACCTTTCTGTGATTTATTACTTGGAATCTTCTCCAATATTTGTCTTGAAATTTGTTGAAAGTTTCCCTTATTTTCCGTATACTCGCACAAAATAGTGGTTCCTCTCGATACAAGTGAGTAAATAATTCCATTACCGAGTGGTCCTTCACCATCGTTTCCTTCTCCTCCTGTTGAGCCGTACATTTATACTCGAGAGAATTAATACTTCAATCCGACTAGGAAGTAATAATGGTTGTGATTATTCAACAGCAACAGCAACAACTCTAACGTGAGACAAAGATTTTTTTTTAAATCTCGTTTATTGAATGGAACGAGAAGTGATTTGGAAATGAGCAAAAACAATACAAACACCACTTGATCTATGACCACAACGGGACTTGACGAAGCTATTCAACGCCAACATGATAACTCAACTTGTCGTTCATAGAATACAAAGTTTTAATTTTCACTTGAGGATGTTTGAGGAAAGTTGTTCGAAGGTTGTTGGAGTTTAGTGTGTTCACGACGAGGCAAACATGGGAGAACATGGTGAGATGTGTGATGGTGAATGTGTGGTGTGTGAAATGAAATTGAAATTCTAAAATTCCAATACATGTGTAAACATATGGACGCTTATCCAATTCCAAGTCCAAGTGAAGGAACGAAAATTTGAATCAATAACCATCCAACACCCAACAATGCAATAATAATAATGAAAATGATGGCAATGATAATGAGACGTGTCGCACCACCTGCTTTTTCAATAGCTTCCACAAGCTTTTTGTTTGTTTCGTCCAATGTCTTGTTATACTTGTCAACGTCAGCACTCATTTTGTCAAGCAATTGAGCTTGTTTGTCCAATTCATCAGAGATGGAGTTTGCAATTCCACCAATCTTTTGTATTTGTCCCAACAAAATGTCAACTTTTTCTTCTACTTGTCTTTTGGCAGCTTCGATTTGTTCTAGGCCTTCACTAATGTCAACAGTTGGAACTTCATTCTTTGCCTTTTCTAACATGTCAATAGAATCGAATTTAACATCACGTTTTGGTAAACCATCATCCTCCTCGTCCATAATACCTGTCACAAGCTTTTTATGTTCTGCTTTCACATATTTGATATAATCTTTAAAGTTTTTGATATCAGCTTCTCTTTGTTTTCGCATTTCAATTGGCATTTGAATTTCTTTCCACATGACTTTTTTTGTTCACAGCCTCTTGATGGATTTTCTCTAATTCTTTCATTTCTTTGTCCATCTTGGTGACTGCCTTGTTGATGTCATTGTTGAGACGAGGATCGTTACCACTACTCTTTCTCTTTTGTTGAATGAGAGATTCGGTTTGATCAATGGCTTGTTTAACCATGACTGTTGTGTGATTTTGAGTTGAATTGTAATTTTAAGATTTTGAGTTGTGTGATGAAATTGTTGATTGAATGGTAATTTTGAATGGTAATTTTTGAGTTGAGAGAAGTAACAGCAGTAGTGGTAGTGGTATGTCAGAAGTAGTAGTAGAGAATTGTTGTGTGATCAATGTAATAATAATAATAATAATGGATGATGATGGCCACACGTGAACATTAACGCCCATCATTAGTGCCATCATCACAACGCACGCACGTTTTACACACACACGTATTAGAAATGAATAGAGAGAGAAGGAACAGAAAGTAGAGACATTTCGAGAATGATACAACATGATGAATGTTCGCAATTATATTGTATGATGACGAACATTCCGTTCACAGGTGAAGATGAATAACAACCGAGCATTGAAAAATATAAATTTCCATTTTAGGATATCACAAAGGAAGTCATCACCGTCATCATGTAACAATAAAGATGTCTCCACAACACCATCAACTTGTAGTACTACAACATACCCTTTTGTCTTTCAAATTTATCCAACTTTTTCAACTTCTTTTGAAACTCTTGCATTTCAATTTGTCGTTGTTTATCCAAACCATCACCTACAATCTCTCCGCAATCAATTCTGATTTGATACAATCGTCGAAACAAGTCAGCCATACCAGGTGAACACCTCAATAAATCAATTGAGTTCACAGTTGAAGCGTAGCCATCGGCTGAACCTAGTTCTGCGTTGTCTCCTTCGGCGCCCATTGATGAGTGGTTGAATGAAGAGAGAAGAGATGCTTTTTCTATTTTTTTGCTGTTGCCTGTTGTTGTGGGTGACTGAGGTGTTCTAACGGACTGCATTGGGCTTCAAAATATTTTTAACGTTGGGTTTTGAGTGAGGTTGACAGCTGGCAGGTAACAGGTTCCTGTTGGTTTACGAGTGTCTCTGGGATGCTAAAGGAGATGTTCCAATGTTGATGATTTTGATAAAATCAACTAATGAAAGACTAAATTTAATTTGAATTGGCTGCAACAGTTTGGATGTAGCAGCAGCAATCTCTGAAGAGATTTGTCTCGATTTCAATTATCAGTCTCCGATTCGAATTTGTGTTTTCGTGTTTGATTTTAATGAAGTTCCAATACGATTCGAAGATTTTAGATAATTTTTTTGTTTGTTGAAAATTTGAGGAGACGTCGTGAAGATGGCTCAACAATTCTGGATTGATGTGAGAATACCTTAAATTTTGTTTTCTCTTCTTCATAATCAAAGAATCCATCATTCATATTGGAATAATAGTGCAACAGACCAATTCACCTCATTCTGTGCCCATAAATAATTATTTAATGGTGTTGTGGTTCATGTTGTGATGATTCAATCGTGTTGGGATGCATTAGAATAAAGCATTGTCGAATTTTGAGAATTCTCTGAACAGTTTGTAAAGCCATTTTCATTTGAGAAATCTTCCCGTGTAAGAGTTCAAATATTCCTCTCTCTTTCATGTTTGCTATTGGTGATGATGAACTGTAAAGTGGATCAATCGTTCTATTCGACAAATAAATTCCACTAAAAGGACTTGATTGGTTCCTTTCAAAACACTCGACATAAATTTGTCGCAATTCATTAAGTATGGATGAAGGAGTGAATACTTCTGAAGAAAATCCTTGACAAAGTACATGAGGAATGGATTCTAATGCATTACAGAAACTTTGCATGATAACTTGTTGAAGTGGAGAGTATTTTTGACTGGGTTGCGACATTAGGAATTGAGCGTAGGCAGAAAGGGACATTTCACAAGCCCCTCCTCCTGGAACAAGAATTGGATATTTGAAAAAGTTTTCCACAATACAAATAGAATCGTTGAAAGCACGTTCCAATTCGTCGACAGAGCTCTGAGTGGATGCATTCAATATCACAAAGGATATAGGAGAAAGGAGAGATTGATTTTGTGTTTGTCCAAATGAAATATAAACTTGTCTTCCAATATGTACATGCTTGGCATCTTGAAATTATAGAGACAAGCTCTCGTGTAAATCCCAACACATAAGTGACAGTTACTTACAAGCAATTTCTGTGAGATATTTTGATTTTTCATTCTTATCTACACTCTCGATAATTTCTTGTAGCTTTTCCGTCGAAGAAATGGGAGATACATGAAATGCTTTGCTTAATAGCGAAATATCATTCTTAGCTATGGGTTTGAGGCTTGTTATTTTGGATTTTTGTAGCCAATACTTTGCAGCATCTGAAATACCAGCTTGATATCCAGCAGCCAAATTTTCTTGAACGCAAATCAAGGTAGCTCCAAGTTTTTTCAACTGCACTACTAATTTTTTGATATAACTTTCTTCTTCTTTGAGAATTCGATCAATTTGAGAACTGTCAATTTGTTTGTGCTCATCTAACCTTGAGTTTTTTTGTTTGGGCTTATCCAATTCAAATAAAAGTAATGCCAATTTTGGAGATAGCAAATTCATCCCTTCTTGCTCATTTTCATGAATAAAATTAGTGTTGAGTAATACTTGATTGGTCAATAATTGTGTATCATCTGATGAAGCACCTCTAAAGGTAATACTATTGATAGATTTACCAAGCTTCAAAACATGAATTGAATTTTTATCCCCACTGGCCATGGTCATGGCATCTACAGCAATTTCCGCTAATTTTGGAAATGAGATGCTTGAAAATTTTGAATTGAGTGTAGTTTGTACAAGCTATCGCAGCATTGATTATATATGACCAAATTAAATTATGTCACTTACTTGTAAAATTAATTTCTTTGAATTATTTTCGAAAGGGTTTACCTTAAACGATTGAAAACGTGTCAAATGTTGTTCAATAATGTCATTAAACATGGAATAATTTTTCACAATTCTCATTGGATGAATACCTGATCGAATTAATTTCAGAGCCTCTTCTAACCTGAACATAGTTGAACCATATCACCACAGCCATTTTCATGTGAATTATCATCATTTCAAAATGCTGAACAAAACCTACATGGATGCTGCCAAAACAATCACAGAGGTCGTTCCATCACCCACTTGCTTGTCCACTGATTTGCTCAAATCCACAAATAATTGTGCAATAGGATTTTCTATTTTCTTGAAGAGCACTTGTTTTTTCAAAATTCCAAATTCCAAAAACCTTACCATATATTGAATTGCTGTTGCTCCATCATTCGTGATTAATACTTCTCCAGTTTGAGGATCAACAAAGAGCTTTTCCAAAGCGTTTGGACCTAACAATGATTTACATTTCTCTCCAATTTGAATGCAGCTTTTGATATCTATTTTAAATATGATTTAAATTTGAATATTTGTATATATTTTAAATAGTCTTTTTTCCAATTTAAAAAACACATACTTTCTAAATATTCATTCACACTTGGCGAGGATGTTTTTAAATGTTCCGATAATATGGGCATGACATGGACGGAGGATGATGTTTCATCATATGGACGATGGACGGATTTTCTTGCAAGCCTTGATGGCAGAGCAGGAGAATCTTCAGGACAGCTTTGACCATCATCCTTTCCTTCCTCAAACTCTTCAACCATTTTTATTTCATGAAATAAATTCAAATCAACCTGGTTGGCCAAAAAAAGAAAGTCTCTTAAACTTTCTCAATCGAGCATTGTCCAATCCAACGCACTGTAATAATGTATTTCTTTCAACGCTTTTCATGCATCTCTTTGAAACATCGGAAATGGCCATTCGAATTATTCAAAAGACCTAAAAAATGGCTTCTTCTTCCGAATCGCATCACTTTCAACTCGGAGTGCAAGAGGATAACGAACAACAACAGCAGCAAGCAGCTGCACCTTCTTCCGAGACTTATCAATCTCTCAATGATAGTAGTATTCATATCGATTCTAAAATTTTGGATATGGAAAGCTATAGCAGTTCTCCAAGTTCAACACCATCGACACCTACTCTCAATATTACTCAATCAAGAAAACAAAAGGCTTTAACTTTTTCTGCGAGCTATGATGAGTCACCTATAAGTGTATCCGATTCAAGTTTTGTGGATTTTGATCATCACGAACGATCAGTGAATGATCGTTTACATTTAGTTACTCCCAACTTGGAAAATAATGAAGAAAATGATTCTAAGCAATCTAAAAAGAAATTAAAACGATTTGAAGGATTTTTAAAGTATTTGCATAGGGAATTGAATGTCAGTTCAAGAGCAGCCACTCACTTATTTTCGAATGATAATAATAGGCAAGACAGTCCAGAATCTGTGAAGAGTGTAATGGAAACAGAGTCCACAACAAGTCATAATGGAAAACCTTATAATTTTCCGAATAGTTTTGTGAAATTAACACATGACCCAAAAGATAACTGCTTTACTGACGAAGAACTGAGGAGTCAAATGTATAGATTTGTAGAAATTCCAATTCGTGTGGAACGCTTTTTGTTTTTTGGATTTTTCATTTGCTTGGATACATTTCTCTTTTACCTGACATTCTTTCCAGTGAGAGTTTTATTGTCACTGCTTGGAATAATTTTGAGTTTAATCAAGTACTTTGTACTTTTACCATTTAAATTATGTTTAAAAGCGATTGATAAGGAATCAAACTCATCCTCAAGACCACGACCGGTCCTTCACGAGAGTGTTTTATTTGATATTGTGAAATTCTTATGTCTACTCATTAATATTATTTTAATCATGATCACGACAGATTATTCGCTATTGTATCACTATATTCGAGGAGAGTCAATATTGAAATTATACGTTATTGGAAATATGCTTGATGTTTTTGATAAGCTATGCTCTGCCTTTGGGCTAGACTCTCAAATTGCAGTACTTTACTCTGCAAAACAGTTCATCAAATGTTTCATCTCCATTTCTTCTACTCAATCAACCTTTGAGTCTGGGCCTAGTCAAGGAGCTCTCACAGAGCTATTTCATTTTGTTGTGACATTTTCAGTACATGTGGCGTATTTATATGTACATAGTATTGTACAACTCATTCGAATTGTGACTCTAAATGCGGCTCTCAATAGTTCCAATTACACGTTATTAACCATGATCATTTCGACAAATTTTGTTGAACTTAAAGGAAGCGTGTTCAAGAGATTTACCAAAGAAAATTTATTTCAACTTGCATGTAGCGATGTGGTAGAACGATTTGAGCTCTTTTGGTTCACTCTACTCATTATCGTACAAAACACATTGAGAACCATTGTGGACTCAACATCAGCGCCGTTGACTGGTGTGGATTTGAATGATTTTAGTGAAAGTAGTATTGCACAAATGGAAGGAAATAACTCTCTGTTTGCCTTTCTAGATGACAAGATGGAAGAGTTTGGTCAGATTTTTGTGTTCATGATTTTTGCAGAAGTGCTTGTTGATACCTTAAAGCACACCTTTGTCTCTAAATTCAACAATATCAATCCCTCCACATTCAAACTCTATACTCTCAAGTTATGTGATGATTTGATTTCACATTCCACTGATCCCAAAAAGGGAGATGTTGCTGTTTCATCCTTTTTCGATAACACCAATCGAAGTAAGGTAGCAAGAAGACTTGGTTTTCTCGAGGGACCACTAATCACACATACGCTCCGAATGATTTTAGAAGTCATGTTGCCATGGCTTTTCCATTTCGTTGCTGTATTTGGTTACAATGCTGCTGATGCAAGTTGGTCCTCGAGTAGTAGTACTATAAGTGGTGGTGTTGGTGGAGAAACATTATCCTCCTCCTCATTGGAGGCACCATCATCAATTTCCTCAGAGATTTCTGGCACTCCTGCTTCCATGATGATCTTTCTTCATCCCGTCATTATTGTTCTTCTTGGATTTGCATGTTTATTCCTTCTCAAACTACTCATCTCTATTATCATTATTGGTCATGCTGCAAAAAGGGTCTGCTTGTGGAAGGATGATCCCAACAACCATGATCATTCCCAAAATCAAGGAAATGGTATTCCAAACTTTCCCGATCGCTACATGATGTACGATAAGAGAATTCCTTAAGTTTTTCATTCAGGATAAGGTTATTGTCATACCACCATCCTCTATAGAGTCCGAATATTAATATTCATCATGTATGGTAATGTACACATGTATACACTAATGAGAAAGGCTTTTCAAAACATGTTGAGAAATATCAAGATCGATTTTGTAAAATTAAGCGGGAAAGAAATCATTTTCAAAAAATGAATACAAACCCTTCTTCGTTTTCAAAAGGTATGAGTTGGCTGACGGGTTCAAGTCAACCGCAGTCGCAACAACAACCACCGAACATACAGACAAGTACTCTGTCATCATCCATGTTTCAGAGCATGACGAGTGGTAATAATAACTCCCTTGAGAATGCTCGGTTAACATCTCCGACAAGACACAATTTGAATTCTCTGATGACACTTTCAACATCACCATCATCAGCCTCCTCGAATAAAACAGGAAATTCTTTGACGGATCAAACATTGGGATCAGACTTGGTGAACACGGGTAGTAATAATATTTCATTTGGGGAAGACTTTGATGAGGTTCGGTCCACGATTAGCAACGAGAGCACATCAAGCAGGTTCAGCTCCTCATCGGCACGAAATCGGGATTTACAAAAATTATTGATGAACACCAACGGCACAGCCAATAACTCATCATCTTCCAATAGATATGCTGATGTGACTCAGTCGGCATCAATCGACAGCACTACTCTCTCTTGGGATGAAGTACAAAATGTAATGAAAGTAGGATCTGTGGAGAAGGAGATGGAACAAATGAAAGAAAAAATTGATCACTTGCAACGAAATAATCTAACGTTATCACAATCTTTATATTCTACAAACAAAGAGCATATATTGCTACTAAATACGCTAAAAGAGAAAATTCATGAAGTTTTTCCGAATATTTTGATTGAAAACCAAAAATTGAAAGAGCAAGTTAAAGAATTGACAAGTCACGTATTCAATCTCGAGAAACAACTCGAAAAAGTGAAAGTAGAACATGAAAATACCAGAATAACATTAGAACATAAGATTGAAGAGCTAAAGAGAGAAATGGATAGTTTAAAAACTAAGAAAGTTCAAACAAAATACGAACGAATAGAAGAACTCATCAATGCATGTATCAAACCCATCGAACATACTCTGAAAAACAACAACATTGCTGTGAAGAGATGCTCTGATGACATTTATCAACTAGGACAATTTAAACTAAACGTGAATTTGGAAAAGAGAGGAGAAAATGAAATTGTTGTGGTACATTTGAGCGACAAAACGATACCGTTCGAAGACTTTTTACGAACCTTTTGCAGCAAATTCATCATGAAATAGTCATGACATCAACAACTGTTAGACAGTTTAATTAATTGTTGGCATTCACACTTTGAGCCTTCTGAAGTTTGCTTTGGATAAAGTCCTTGGCAATCTTCTTCACATGCTCTTGCCGTTCAACATCACCATGTTGAGTCTCAAATTTCAGATACCTTTGTAAGAAGGATTTCATCTTTTTAGTGGAAAGCGTTGTGAGATGGCAAACTCTTTCAAAGATTTCTCGAATGTATCTGACATCTTTGGTGTGTTGTTGCTCACAATCCAGATAAATAGACCATGCATCAGACCTCTTTGGATGATTCTGTATAATATTCTCCATCACATTTCTAGCGTCTAAGATATTTTCACCAGTTTTGTATAAAAGAATTGCAAATTTGCATCTAAGAGAAATATGCTCCTTATTTGGAAAAACCTTAAGTGACCTCGCCAACACCAATTCACCCTTCTTGATATCTTTTAACGTTGAAATGCACCACCGTTCATACTCTTCAAAAACTTTCTTCTCATTTCTATACTTTTTACAAGCTTTTCGGTAAACTTGATCGATTCTGTTCAGTAAATCTTCAAGTTCACTTGTTTTTTTCTTTTTAACTTCGTTTTCATCGTCAGCATCGCTTTCTTCGGCCTCTTCTTCATCAGCTTCGTCAAGGCGTTGTTTCTTCTTCTCATAAAGCTTGTTAAGAATAGTTGCATATTGTAAATAAATATTATGTGGCTTAGATGATCCTTGTAGAGCCTTTTCAATAACTTTTTCAATATTTGGTTTGTTATTAGAAACATATAAACTCATAATAGCGCTCCACAAATTGAATCGTTCATTCTCTTTTGAAATATGTATTCTACTCACTGCTCTCTCACCAATTTCTTTTGCTTTTTCAAAGCCATAGGTGTTGAGCATAAATGTCATGTATTGAATCCATAAATAAGAATTATTAGGCTCTCCGATGATAAGTCTTTCAAAATCTGCTTCACTTGTTGGAGCCTTATTGGGAAGACTTTCTTCTATTTCTGCAATTTCAGTTTCAGTCAAATGGTGAACATCGTGATGATGGTGATGAGCTTTGGTTTTCTCATCAGTGCTTTGTTCAACGAGGTCTTCCTCATCCTCACTTGCAGACTCTTCTTCATTGTCCTCTGGCTCCTCTGAGGTTCCTTTCTCTGATTGCTGGTCAATGTTCCAAGCAAAAGAGGTTTTCAACTTTTTCGGAGCAGTGGTAAAAGACGCTGATGATGCTTCCGAAGAGGAGGAGGAAGAAGCAAGATCTCTCTTTACACCTCTTCCAACAGAGCTGTTGTTAGAGTTCAAAGATGAATTTTTCTGATTGATTGAAACTGTGGTTTCATGATCCGATGACTCATCTCCACTGCTGCTGTCCTTGTCGCTTTCAGAATCGTCTTCTAATTGCTTCTTCTGTTGATGTTTGGATGGCAATTCCGGTTGCTGCTTTGATTTTTTCGCAGCTGATAACTTCTTCAACAGTGCTTGTTTGTTCATTTTTTTGTTGAATTTCAAAAGAGGAACAAGTAGAACCTGAAATCAATTGACACTTGAACACAATACTGCTGTTTTAATAGTATGAATGAATCTAGGAGAAGTTGTAAGTTTCTAATGATAATCAAATTTTCAAAGAATTTTCTATTCCATTTATGATGGTATCCAATTGTAGAGTTTGATATGTCGAACCAAATGTTTAAACAATTTCTTGAGTGGCCTCTTCTTGAATCTTTCCCAATTTCTGAAGCCTTTGGAACTCTTCGATGTTTCTCTTTCTTCTTTCTTCGAGTTTCTTTTTCATCTCTGGGTTCAAGTGAATGTCGTAGACATACTTTCTGGCATTCGCTAATTTTGTTTCCTTCTTCATTAGCTTTGGCTTCTTTTTTTTGCAAGCGGTTCAAGAATTCTCTCTTCTTTTTGTTTTGTGCAAGTTGTTGAATTTCTAATTGTTGTAATGTTAACAAACGATCTTGTTGTTCTGGAGAGAGACTATTGAAGTAAGAGACCAAATGTTCTCCGCTTGATTGTTGTTGTTCAAATTGTACCACTTTTTCATATTCGGATGGATTTTCCTTCAAGAATTGAGCCAAACTTTGGGCTGTTTCTTCCAATTTTTCGTTCAATCCTTGTACTCTCTTATTTTCAATTTGTTGTTTGATAATCTTCTTCTTCAACCAATTACCGAATCTTGATGAGACATCCTCAGACTTTGTGTTCAGTAAGTAATTATCGAGGCCTCCGGCTTTATCAATACAACGTAGTGCCTTTGCTGTTGCCTTTAATTGAATTCTAGTGTCTAGAGCTTCACTGTAGAGTTTGACCCAAGCAACGTTTGGCATCCACTTTCTCTTTGTTTTTCTCTCCGAAAAACTTCTTTGGTTTCCTGTTAAAATTATAGTATCATGATAAAGACCTGTATCAAATCTCTTTGGTCTTGTTGATGGATTTTTGCTGTATTTCAGCACTTGTCCAAGTCTGACGAAGGGTGAAGGAGAGCCTGAAAAAGACATTTTTTAGCCTGATGATGAGAAGAAATTTCTTGATGATAATAATTGAATATTACAAAAAATTATTTTATTATTTACCAATACACAATGCAGCATTGATTAATTAATTAATTTAATTAATATAATGTAAACAGAACGTCGAAAAAATCAAAAACTCAAGTCCAACCCTTGGATTTCACCCACCACTAACTCATGCTCAGTTCTGCCATCCGTCCATCCTACAGTGCTGCGAGTATGATTTGCTCAGTCATCCTGCCTCAACCGGTTCCCCGCTAATTAGGACCCAACTTGCTCTCCATTCCTGTAGAGCCAGATTGGCCACACCGCTGTTGGCACGGACAGAACATCGTCACCTTATTGATAGTGATGGAATGAGTCCAAAGAGCCATTCCCTCGTCCTTCGCTGTGGCAGAGTACCATGACAGTTAGACCCCTAGTCTAACCCAGCTTGTTGTGTGTGGTGGAAGGGCTGGCATGTGATTCTTAGGAGAAGAAAAATGAGTGATGTTTGTGGTTTGGAAATATAATGAGGAAAAACAAATCCCGCCACGTTAATTTACGACAGTGATACACATCAACAGAACACCTAGCCCTAAAAAAATGAGTAAATATCAAAGCCACAGCGAGGCCATCATGGAGATGCAAGATAAATTAAATCTCTTGGATGGAGACCGAGAGAGGAAAGCAACTCTCGAGACCAAACAAAAGGCTCTCCAAAAAAACAACGACACCCTGGAAATGGTAAAGAAAGAGAATAAGGAATTGAAAGAGTCTTTGAAAAAGTTGCAAAAAGAAGTAGGAGGAAGCAACGGTGAGAAAACGTTTCAACAAAAGGAGTTTGATCGCCTTGAAACAATACTTCATTTGAAAAGACAAGAATTTGACGAGTTGCAAGCAATCGCTCAAAATCTGCAAAAAACAATTCGAAAAAAGGAAGACATTCTCAATGATTTTAATAAGGAGAAGGCACCTATTCTCACCGATGACTCACCGTTAACGAGACAGATCAGAATTTTGGAAAACCGATTAGACAAAGCCATGATCAAATTTAATGAGGCCCAGAGTATCAAAAAAACTTATGAACAAATTTTGGAAAGGCTCAAGGAAGAAAGGATTGGATTTGATAATCAACTACAAGCAATTGAAAGAACCCTTCGATCAAAAGATAAAGACTATGTAGAGCTCTTAAATATGTCACGAGACGCAAACTATCTAAGAGAGTTAGCAAAGAATGAGCTGGGACAGGCGAAGACAGAGTTTGAAGAATCCGTTAAAGAGCTCAGAAAAGAGTTGGATGAAAAAAAGAAGTACGTGGAAGCCAGAGTTAATTTAACTACAGACCTGGCTAAAAAAGAGGCAACTAGAAGAAGAAATCAAGATGAAGAAGGCACAAGAAAGAATAGATCGTCCAGCTCTTCTTCCCAACAAATGCTTGGCCTAACGAAATCTGGACCTGTTGATGAGGAAAGGGACAGATTGCAAATTCTTGAGGAAAAATGGAGAAAGTTAAAGGAAGTCACTGGTGTGGACGATGTCAACGAAGTTATTCAAAAGTTTTTGTCATCATCAGACACCCATAAGAACCTCGAGCAGATGACGAAGGACTCTCAAAAAAGAATTGAACATCTCACAGAAAAGAGAGCTAACCTCAAGGTAAAATTGGAAGATCTAAAGTATTCCCAATCTTCCGGGTTGGGAAGTAAGCGAATAGTGGACGAGTTTATTCAACAATTGTCAGAATCTCAGTCTAGAAACGAACGACAAAAGCAACAGTTTGAACGAATTGCAAAAATTTTGGTAAACGTAAAAGCAGGAGCTGAGCATTTGAATGACAAGATGGCTCCTGCTCTCGCTGATCTCACTCCTGATGAAACGCTTCGAAAGAAGTTTATTGAAGAAATTGCAAGAGGAGAGGACATGACCGTCTCGGATGATTATAACGATACTGTCAGTATGTCGACAGTTTCGCTAGGTACCCAAAGCAATGAGGAGAGACATATTGTAAACCTTCTTGCTCAATGCTATGTGAATGTTTCCTCCATTCTTGACAGTCTTCCATCAGAAGAAGAAATGTTCCAAAATACTCTTCGAAATTCAGATTCAATTGATTTCAATCAGAGCAAGAACAATATTAGAATCAAGATACACGAGGATGAAGGACAGGACTCCGAATCTGAAGACGAAGATGACGATAAGGAGGCTGAGCTCATTAGTAGGATGAATGTAAAGAAGAAGGCTGAGAAAATTCTAAAAACTAAGGTTGTAAAGAAGTAGATTTGTAAATAATAACATTCTAAAAAATTCAAATGAACACCCCTCAATCATCTCGTTCTCATCGCTCAAAGACACAAGTCCCAGAGATCTTATCACCGATATCCGCCTCAAACCTATTTTCTTCGGTATCCAAGCAGAGATTACCAAAGAATGTTGTTAACGCTGTGGAATTTGTTGGGGATGTTATTGAGGCCAGCTCCGATGTAAACAGCCCTATTAAGGATAGAAGCGAATCAAAGAAGAAAGAACGTGAGAGTATATTAAAAACGGCCAATCTTGCTCCAGAATTTGTCAATCATAACCAACATATTAAAAAGGTCCTTGATGATTCGGACTCAAGTGATGATGAAATACAGGACGCTTCCTTGTCCTTATCAAAACAGATCTCCATATATTCCAAACTTCCTCTGCCAAATGTTCCATCACTTCCGTTCAACTTTTTATCGGGCTCAGACCAAGATGGAATGGGTGAGGTTATTTCTAATATTCAAACTAATGAAGATTTTGATGCTTTGAAAGGGAGAGTGAATGACTACATTGATAATTTGATTAACCTTGTGGATGATTTATTTGCAAAGAATCCAAACGAATTTGTATCATATTCATTATCTAAGAAAAAAGATCATGTTAAAGGGCAACCAACAACCATTCAGTATCTCAAAGCAATAGAGAAAGCAAACGACATTATTGAAGAAGTGGACAGGAGCAGAAGAGAAACGTTGATGAGAACAAAGTTGACAAAAACACATTATGGACAATAGTTGGGATCAGGTTCTAACAAGAAGGTAGCCGTGTTAATAAAACCTCCATTTCTTCCTTTGAAATTTTTGTATTGTTTTCGCTGACTATTGAGGAGATTGCGTAATGAGAATACATGTATTTTCATGTTTGATCTCACTTACCTATGGTAAAAACTTCTTCTTCTTCTTCTTCTGAGAAAAATTTCTTGATTAATCCTTGGGATTTCCATATTCCTTCAACACCAAGGCTATCAAACACTGATTTATCAAACACAACGCAGGGCGCGCTGTTTTCTGCAATGTTCTGTAGTTTGGAAACATGAGTCATGCATTTGTTAATTGAAGAAAGCTTTTTTACATTCAGTGATGCCTTTCCTAAGCTTAGTAGATAAATTCAAATGTTTCACTTACCCTTGTCACACCAATATTGCAATAAAAGGCATCCATCTCTTCTCTGTTTACGTTCTTCCTAAACAAGTTCATCATATTTAACAGTTGAAGTGCAGCCATGAGGGACCTCTCTGCCTTCTCTTTAGGGAAGAACACCATCACAGAAGACTCCATCAGCATGATGTACTGCCCGTTTTCCTTTTTAATCATCTCCAACATATCCCCCACAAACTTGGCCAACAAGGGGTAGCCACCCTCAATTTGATGTAAAAAGTGAAGGAACCTTTTGTATTTCATGAAATCGATCATCGTGACAATATGCTCCATGTCTTTTGAAGTTAAGACCACTGTATTAGTCTTCTTTAAATGTTCTGTTGCCAACACAGTAGCGATCATGTTTTTTAAAGCACTAAACGCTTCTTGCACTTTGAATTTGCCAGTACTATTGGTAAGATCATCCGAAGACCAGGACATTCCATCCAGATGTTTCATGTTCCATCCAGGAAACATTCTCTCACTGTCTCCATTAAACACTGCAGATTCCAACTTGGTGATATTACCATGTCGTGGATCTCTTTGCAAATTCTCATATAAGGTTTCAACATGTTGTTTCGGACCCTCGATAATCTGGAAAAACATGTCCTTCACGCAGATCAATACACCCGTAATTCGGAATTTTTGATTCATGGGAACAGCCACCTGAAGAATACAATCTCTCAGTTGTTCCGTAATGAAACCTGAAACGCTCCTCGAAGCATAATGCAAACGAAGCATGGGTTTGTTGGAAGTGGAGGAAGCCGACAAAGTCTTTACCGCCTCTTTGTTTCTGGATGGTATTCCCTTTCTTGTGGAAGAGGAAGAGGAGGAGGGCATGCTATTTGTTTTATTGTAGTGGTTGATGGTTTTACTGAGGGCGATCGAGCCTACTTCTTGGGAGATACCGCCTCAGGAATATCCTTATTCATCTCGTCTCGTTGCGTTCTTTTTTTCTATTTGAGGACGGCATCCAGCGCGCACGTTGTGGAAATTGGTCAAAAAGACCAGAGATGAGCCACATCAAAAATACTTTTAAAGGTCAAAGCTCCAGCGAGCGTGTGTTCCACCACTGAACTCAACAAAATGTCCAATGTTAACATTAAGAATTGACACTTTGGATCATGTTCTCAGTTGTCAAATGTTTGGAACAACGTTGAAATTTATTGACGATAATTTCTAATAAATTATTGTTTTACCTCACTGGTTCTTGTTTGTGTTATTTCTTTGTCTTTGTGACTGTCGTGATGTGCTGAAGGTTCGAGCTTGTCTACTCCATAAGAAAGTTTCTTTTGGGAGGTGTAAGCAAAATTCTTGAATGGATTATTTTCAGCATTTTCCTCTTGCTCTGAACCTTCATCTTCATCTTCTTCGTCGCTATCCACAAGAGGTCTGAAATTTGAAGTATCCTCTGGATCAGTAACTTGTGGAATGATTGGAGGTGTTTCGTTTCTGATCAAAGCCCAATTAATACCCTTGAAAAATGGATGAACCTTAATATCTGCAGCACCATTCTTATGTCCCAATCTCTTGTCTTGGTCAGAAACTAACAATTTCTTAATCAACTCCTTACAAGCCTTAGATATTGGCTTGTCCTTTGGAAATTCAAGCTTGTTGTGAAGAATATGATTAAACGTATCTTTTTGAGAAGATCCTTTGAACGGTGTTGTACCAAAAAGCATTTCGTACATCAGAATACCGAATGTCCACCAGTCAACTGTCGAAGTATGTCCACATCCAGCAATAATCTCAGGACTAAGATACTCAGCTGTTCCGACAAAACTGTTAAATTGTTGAATTTGTTTCGTGTCTAGCTTGCTCTTCTTATCAGAGGAGAAAAATCCTTTCACAATTTTTGGAGTGACTGTTTGGACTGTTTGTTTCGAGAGATCAAAGTCAGTCAATCGAATGTGACCGCTCTGATGGAGTAAAATGTTTTCTGGTTTCAAATCACGATAAATAAAGCCCATAAAGTGCAAATATTCCAAAGCTAAAAGTACTTCTGCTGCATAGAATCTAACTGAAGATTCTGGCAAGCACTTTCCTGGCTGCTTTTGTAGCATTCTGAAGAACTCTCCTCCGCTGCAATATTCCATGATAAAGTATAACTTGTCTTTTGATTGGAAAGAACTGTAAAGCGTGACAATGAAGGGATGATCGGTAGTAGCAAGAATTTCGCGTTCGGTGAGCACTCTCTTGACCTTATTTCGTTGAATCATTTCTTCTTTTTTCAGCACCTTCATGGCAAAGTATCTACCAGTTTCCTTGTGTTTTACAAGGTAAACTTTACCGACTGTAAAGAGAGGCGTGTTCAGATGGTGTGGTGATGAAGAGAAAAAGGTTCATGAACATGATGATGGGAATTGGATAACAACACAAGGAAAAATCAATAGACGGAGAATTTTCATCAGTATGAGTCAAACATTGAATGTAATAATATCAATATTAAAATATTAAGTGATGATTAGTATCGTTAAATTCTCTCATCAAATACGTACCATCTCCACGTCCTAACAATCGAATCTTCTTAAAGTGAGAAGGACGTAAATTCTTATAATCAAACTTTTGTTTTGTTTGTTGCAATGCCTCCAAGTCCACATTGGACTGATTCGATAAAGCCATTTCCTCTGCCATCAAATCAGAAAAGCTCATGTTATGTGGGATTTGTCTTGGAAACATGGTAGGCTCTACTTGAGAAGGTTGGGCTTGAACCGGAGTGGATGATGAGGATTCTGCGCTGGAAAGAGAAGATGATGAAGCACTCACTTGCGAAGAATTTTGATGGTGAACATTTGCACCATTATTGCTGGTTGTACTCGAGGAAGAAGGCATCATGGTCGGAGTTGGTGTGCTATTGTTGTTCATTTTGTTGTGATGTTGTGATGGATGATGCTTGAGAATTGGAAGGGTGTTGGTCTGGTTTTGAAGCAAAAGATTCAATCGTGTCGTCGGTTATGAGCACGACTTGATAAGATGGTTAGACTTCCGTCCTGTTCTGGTTGATGCGTTCAATGATGATGATTGACTTACATTTAATACACCAATATAAATGTTTGGTGTTTTTGTTGTTGTTATTGCTTGTAATATTTACGAGAAACGGATTCTCAGATAAATGATGATGATGAACCTTCTCAAAGAAACGTTCTCTCAATTTTTAAGATCAAACATTCACGAGCATCTTCTATCAACAACAACAACAATCTCCTAAAGTCAATGACGTTGCATCTCTCATCCTAGGATTGTACGTACCAAGTTGAACGATGAGAGGTTTGTCTGAATGGATTCCTTCCATCTCTCCATTGTAGGTGAATTCATGTATTTATTTGGATTTAATGCAAGAATGTTCAGAGAATTAATTTGGAAAGTAAGGAAGCTGTCAAAGAAACAATAATGTTGTCCTCTCCAAAGATGTAACCCCAAAGTGGTGGTGATGATGATGCTTTTGATTTGTTCTTTGCGTTCTCTGGGTTCTTAGTATTGCTACGATCGTAGGTCAAACTCTCCACCACCGTACAGGCTCTATCGTGTAATATATTATATATACATTATATTGTCCACACCAACAAATGAAACTTACAAATTAATGAGGGCCAAATGAGGCAGATGGGACAGTGTCGAGAACTCTCCATAATTTCCACTCTTTTCAAAATAATACAAGTACAAGGAACTGAAAAGAAATCCACCGAAAAACATTCCAATGGAACCAATTAAGGATTTTGAATTTGAAAATCGAGTGGAATGTCCAAAACTTCTTCCAATGACATCAGCAAATCCATCTTGTAGAGAACATTTTCATGAGCATATTTCCATTAGAAGGAGAGCATGAAATTCAATAATAACAATATTCAATAATCAATTCAATAATAAATTTATAATAAAGAATAATTCATCACAATATTTGAAAAGACAAGATCAACACACATAATCAACTTACCTCCACCACACAACACCATGATGGTCACAATAGATGCAACATCCCGTCTCCAGAAGGCCAATGTACTTGTCACCATGGACAAACCATAAAACGTTGGTCCCTTTAGAATTTCCCTCGCGTCACCACTTCTTGACAGAGTGGCCACAAGTTTGTCATTCCTTACCAGTCCCAATCCAACCATAACAAAATAAAAAGTAAATAATCCAGGAATGCTGGCACACCACATCCTGCTAGCCATGTCTTCTCCTGCAAATAAATTCCAAAACAACACATAGATTGGACCCATTCCTATATGTACTAATTTTCTTCTTAATTTTTCAGGTGTGAATCGACCAATTTGTTCCAACATTCCGAGTGATAACACAGATCCCAACAAGGTGATGGAAAATGCAGCAATATTTCGATGATCGGAACCGAACATGTGATTCATCCAATCCTCCATGTTTGAGATTTTTACATTTGAAATGTTTGAATGTTGTTGTTGTTGATGAGAGTGAGAGGATGAATAGATCCAGTGGATGATGTGATCGAAAAGAGGTGATGACAACTTGGAGAGGGACATTTTTTTACATGTACTGAGCGTGGTGGATGGAAAAGGGAGTCTCACAAACCACCGTTGTTGTTATCTTTGTGAGGCATGCTGTGTGGATCTGTTGTATTGAAATTGTCACAAAACAGTTACTCAGATGGACTCATTTGTTTTGGTTATATGGACAACCTCCTATGTCGAACCCAAATGAGAATTCAAAAAATCATCAAAGCTAAATAATAAATGAAATAATTATTTACATATTAAATACAAATGAAACGAAATAGTTCTTCGCTGGCGATATTCCAAAAACCCCAAATGGCGCCATTTCGAATCGTTTCAGCTGGAGTTCAAAAAAAATTTAAGGGCCCAAGAGATAACTAAGAGAAAAAAAAAGCGTTTACGGTGTCTTGAGGAACAGGAACACCAATTCATCATCATCTCCATTCAAAATCCAAAACATAACAAGAAAAATGGGACTTTGGAATATGATTAAGCGTGAGTATAATGATGATTGTCTTGGTGTTTTATCTGATCAAAATTGTATCCACCTATTAGGCAAAAAGAAGAAAAATGCCGAGGAGGAAGTGGTTATGGAGAGGTCAATATCGGAGGGAAATGTGATGGCCATCTCATCCGAAAAGAAAAATTCATTTCCGTTCGGGTTCTCACCACAAAAATCAAATAAGAATCATCATCACTCCAAACATCACCACTACAAAGAAAAAGCTGAATTTTTTGCCGATAATTTAATAACAGCAGAGACAATCGAAGATTTTTCATCAAGCCCAGAAACATCAAAACATTTATTTCTAAATGAGATTACTTCATCTAATGACAATATTTTACCTGACAACAGCATTCTCACAAAGATTGTTCGGAATCGTGCTTCACCAAACTCCACGATAAATTCAACATTGGATAATGAAAGTATTTTGAGGCCACCCTCTCCAAAGCCAGCTGACACCACGATCGAAGAGAGCATTATTGAACACAAAAATTTTGAGGATGAAGTGCGAATTCAACCAGAATCGTCATTACTCAATCAGAAACTTCCATCTACTCAACAAATATCTGCTAAAACAATTGAAAATGATGTGACAGAAAAAGCCAAAAAAGGCCAACGAAAAGCCATCAACGAAACAGAAGTTATTGAAAATCATAAATTATTGGATTATCAATCTAAACCAGCATTTGAAACAGATGAAACTAAGGGAGATGCTTTTAAGTCACCCACTACTGAACTTAGATCATCAACGCTGCTGCCCACAGATGAACAAGAATCTGAAAATCCAAATGTACAACAACCTCAAGCCTCCTTAATGGATGCAGTTATCCCACCTTTTTCGTCATCACAAGAAGAGACTATTAATACTCCAGAAGAGTGCCCAACAAAAGAAGCGCCATTCCTCGAAGAAACAGTTCAAAGTCATGTTGCTCAATCAGATCTTAACACATTTCCATCTCAAGAATTAGCTCAACTAGAGCACAAGGAGTTTACCCGTTTTATTGAGTCCGAGTTATTAAAGCTTAAGGATGATCTTCAGACAGATAAACGAATAGGTGATAGTGTCAACCAACAAAGAGTACCATCTCCACTTCCAAAAGAAAAGACTCAAGGTCATCCAAGCCACCCTCAGTCATTGACACTAAACCTAGATGCTAAATACAAGTATGCACGAAGAGCTCTACTAAGGCAATACCTCAAGAACAAAAGTTTAGGGGATAAAATGGCTTTGGGCACTGTTAATAACAGTTTGGATCTAAACACGTCATTAAAATTGCAGAGATTGGAAAAGGAAAATAAGGAGCTAGAAAGGTTACAGGCGGCTAGAAAAAAGTATGCTAAGGATCTTGTCAAGCTAGAAAAATTGGTGGAAATAGCAACCATAGAAAACGAAGTGGAGGCCTCTCAACAAAAATCGCATGTAGTGATTGTTGATAAGAAAAAGAAGGATCATAAGGGAGCCTTATCGAAAGGGTACTCAGACATTTTACAAAACAAGATGGAAATGATGGGGAAAACCCTTGTCTCATCCTCAGATGAGTTAACTGACGCAGATCCTGAAGTTTTATTGAAACAAATTAATCTTCTCAAATCTGAACGAGAAAAATTCCAAGCATTGGTCGAAAAGCAAAAAGAAACCATACGAGTTCTATCTGAAGATTTATTGACCGATGTCGAAATTGATCCAAACGAAAAACAAAAGCTTGTAGAACAAGTGATTACAAATCACTCTTTACCAGAATCACCAGCCGGCTCTTCTACGACTTCACACTCATCATCCACAACGCCCCAAAACGATTTTAACCTTCCATTAGTATCTGAAGATCAAGCTCCTTCTCTTCCCATTGATACGCCCCTCACCTCACCCAACTCGAAGCATTCAGAACCATCAGAACCACAACCACAATCTCACTCAGAACCACCTCTTCACACGGACACTTGTTGTAATCCTGCCTTAAAACCCAAAAAGAAAAAGTCCAAAAAGACTAAAAAGAAGTCGGCCACTAAGGAGAGCTCTGCATCATCCAATCCTACTACATCAGCAACAACAACAACCATCAAGATGGAATCTCCTTCATCTGCTTCTCCCGAACTGCCAAAAGATTGTAACAATGGAAGCAATAACACCACTCACTCGGAAACAAAGAAGAGATCCTTGTCTGCTCGAAAACACCAAGAAGAACGGCCTTCATCGGCATTGGGAATTTCACGAAAGAACATTTCATCACCACTACCATCATCATCACACGTTGGTGAGGATAAGAACGACACTCGAAAAGTATTATACTCTGAACACTACTCTCCATCAGTTTCATGCTCTACTAGTAATAATAGAAGCACACGAAGACCCATGTCTGCAAGTCGTTCATCCTCTTCTGTAAAATCATCCTCCACCTTAATTACTGCTGTGGCATCACCAAACTCGGAATCACTCTCTCGGATTGCACAAGATGCCACTAAAAAACGACGACCATCAAGCGCTTGTGCCACTTCCTCTAGATATGATAAGATCATTGATCGTCTCTATGAGGGTGGAATTGAGAAGCAAAATAAATCGAGAGAATGGGCCAGAACACAAAAGGAGCTCAAAGAAGCCAAGGAGTTGCAGGAAATGAGGGAAAAACCTCAACTCAATAGAAAGTCGATTGAAATTGTCAATCGGAAGTATCAAGCAGGAGATTTTATGGCCCCTTATAGAGGTTCCTCTCCTCTCACTGATTTTAAACCATCCAGTCCAAGCTACATGACCATTTCATCTGACGGAGTGATCATGCAAACACCAGTTTCACTTGAACGACCACGGAGCGGAGGTAGCATTGAAGAGCTGAGACTACTACGACAAGAATCAATGAGGAGAAGAACACGTGAGTTCAATATCATGAAAGAGAGTCTTGCTGAGTGCACCTTTACTCCAAATATTGGACGAAAATCTTTAGAAATTGTTTCTCAGCGTAAAACGAAAGATGAACCAATACACAACAAGTTATTTGAGGAAGCTAAGGAAAAGGAAGCTCAAAATGCAAAAATCAGAGAAATGTAAGTACATGTGCAATAACGATATTTGTATGATATATTCACAATTTGATAATAGGGCCAAGAAAGTGCAGGAGGAACAGGAAGTTAAGGAAATTCGAAAATCAAAAACCTTTAAAAGTGCTGAAGATGAAAAAGCATTTATCAATCGAATGCTTGAAGCAGAAAAAGCAAAAAAACAAAGAATTGAACAGCTACGCATGAAATGTTTTGAGCAAGATACATTTAAACCTAAAACCAATAATTCCCAGCCATTGCGAGAAGGTGACGTATGTGAACAGCTTTACAAGCAAGGATTGGATATACAAAAAAGAAAAGAGTTCATGAGAGAGCAATACGAGCAATATTTAGAAAATATACGATCCATGAAACACACAACCAAGGGAAGCACTAAGTATATTGAAGAAATGAAAGAAAAAAGACTATTTTCTTTATTTAATTTATTTTGCATTGAATCAGAATGCGAGGAGTCTGCAGAGGTAGAGATTCATAGGTTGCACGAAGTCATAGAACCACTGCTTGACAAGTTTGGAGAGCCCTTATCTCTAGTGATACCACTACTGTCAGAAAGATTTGGAGATGATGCAATTATCAATTATGACCAATTTCGAACATTTATTGAAAGTCCAGAAATTAACTTGGATTTGGAAGATATAGCAGCTCAAGTGAAATTACTTCAAAACCAGCTGACTCTTCAACTTGCAGTTGAAAATCAATTTAATTTCAAGCCCATCATCAATTCCACATCGCGAAAACTTGATCCGTATGCTACTGGTTGCGAGACTTTAGAAGACCGAGTTGACAATTTACTATCTTTCAAAGAATATCGATATCAAAAACTAGAAATAATGCGAAATAATGCTATTGAAAGAGAACTGGAAGAATGCACATTCAAACCAAAAATTAACAAGTAATATTGTTTTTCTTTTAATACCTCACAACTCTTACATATTCTTCAGGAACAACCTGTTCTGATTGATCTTTTCTGTCAGAAAGAGATTTAGCTCTAATGAGTATGTCATCTATAGTCCGAGTGGGAGACATTCCCAAACTTGGAAGACTATCATAAAGCTGCTGAACTCTTTCAAAATTATTGATGTTAATTTCCATTCCAATTTTGATAATATCTAAATCAACCTTTCCAAGAGGAAGTAACATGTCATACAGCAACTTATTGGCAAGTACTCTTCTCTTTCCTTCGATCAACTGATTGAGAATGAATTTGTATTCTTCTAAAGAAAAAGGATGCTCAAAAACAAATCCCTTCTCTTTTGTTTTGCAAATTCTTGAGAAATAGGAGCGAGCTTTGGCAAAGTCCTTTTCAAATAGACATGCTACACCAAGGTACAAGTAGGATGTGTCATCTGGTGCACATAGAAGTTGATTCATATCCTCCAGAACTCTCTCACACTCGACAACATTTTTCATGATTGCATGATGTTGAATTGCCTGATTAAAAAAGTAAATAGCATTTTCCGTTGATGTCTTCATTCCAAATTCTAGTCCCATATAATAATAGGTGTCAAAAATATCAGATCGCTTGTGAATGGTTCCATATTGCATAAACATGCAATAAATGTAGAAATTTGGAACAATTTGGAACACATAATATGATTTCTTAAACAACGAAGCTGCAGTCTCAAAATCTCCCTTCTGAAGCAATGTTCGAATGATGGGTGTGATCGAGTAAATATCTGGATTGATATGTTTGATTTTCATCTCGTCTAAAATTTCAATGGCACGTGTATGATCTTGTGCTTTGCAAAAACCATTGATTAGAGCATTGTAAGTGTGAGATGTTAATAAAATTTCATTGGCCTTCATCTTTTCAAAGAATTTAACTGCTGCAGTTAACTGTCCAGCTTCCAGATATCCTCTCAATAGAAAGTTGCAACACACATTAATGTTTCCTTCAGAGTGAACGATCTTATCATTTTTGAAATCGAGCATTGCATCTTCAAGAAATTGGTTTGCCATTACGAAATTTCGTTGTCTTGTAAAGAATGTTATAAGTAATGAGTAAGTCTGAGGCTTTAAAGAAACCCCTGCGTCTTTCATCTTCTGGAACACATCAAGAGCCAATTGAATGTCACCGATTGAAGTATAGGCTTCAATAAATGCGTTTCCAATAGAAGCATTGGCTTTAAACCCTAAAGAATGGAACTCTGTCATCAACTCCTCAGCCAGCTTTATGTCTGGAATCTGGCACGCAGCCTTAATCATTTCACAGTAGCAGCGTTGTACAATAGCAGGAATCGCCCTGTTGGAATTGTGTAAATTCTTAATTAAAGTTAAATAGGGTCTTGCAGAAGTAATATCTCCTATTTTGCAGAATCCAGAAACAAAATAATCATAAATATTTGCATTCGGCTCTATATTATAAAATTTTGTCATAATATATAGGAAGTTCGTAGCTAATTTCATTTTTCCTTGCTCAGCAAGCAGTTTAAAAAGATGTTGAAACATTTCTATGTTTGGAGAAACAGGATTGACAGATAGTTTTTTCTGTTGTAAAATGTTTTGCTTGTGTGAGGTAAATGTTTTGTGTATGTGCTCCATTAATGAGAGAGCTGAATGTAAAGCTCCAGTTTTAGAGAAATAGTCGAAAATTGTGACATAGGTTTCCTCATTGGGTGGATAGAGTTTCAAATTAGTATCGTCTTGCATATCTTTCAAAATATTTAGTGCCTCGGCATCTCTTCCAGCTTCTAGCAATGTTTTGATTATAATATTACTTAATCTTGTGGGTATTGGTTTATGTATTCTCTCTTTTAACTCGTTAAAACAATCTAGAGCACTTTGAGGTTGGCCTTTACGATAAAACGCATTAAGAAAATAGTAATATAATTGTACGTCTCTGTCTGGTTTTTCGAATGGTTTTCCTTTCATACGCAACATGTAATAATTTATGATATTTTCGTATCTGTTTTTGCTTTCTAGAGATTTCATCTTCTCTATTTCAATATCATCCTGTTTCTTTTGTTTTTTGTCAGGCTTTTTAGAAGTATTCGGAGGAGTGCGCTGGCTATTATTATTATTACTGCTGTTGTTGTTCTTGCTTTCAGATGATTCATTTTCGGGAAACTTGAATACTTTGAAAGCATTCTTTAGATAGTCCAGATAAACATTACGTTGTTGTTCATGACCACAACATTCATGTATCAATGCAACCCATACTCCAGCCATCCTCCGATTCGTTTTAGAGAAGAACATTGGATGATGATGATGATGATGAATCACCGATTCAAGGCAAGGAACAACGAGTCTTTTCATTTTTTGGTAGGGATGGAATTAAATGTTGATTGTCGTGATTTTAAGTGATGATCATCGCTTAATCATCACTGAAGCAACAGAGAACAACAATTCCGTAATAAACCCTCTCTATGAGGGATGGAAGAAAATTAAAAATTCTTGAAGAAGTGTGAATTTTAAAAACAATCAATTCTTAACTTATTGGCTCTCGGAATTGACGCTCTTGTCCATTCATACTCTTTGGATTTGCATTACCAAAAACAACAACAAAATTTCTAAACAATTAAAAGTCCACTCGTTCCTACGCATGTTCAGAGCTGAAGATGAGACTCTCCGTATGAATTCGGAGGTGGATTAAGGAATGAACTCTCAGGAAGTGCTTGAATACAATAGGCAAGAGAGTTCGGAATGGCTACTTCTCTCTCCAACACCATTCCCAAGATGTACAAAACAATCCCATTTGATCCAAGAACTCAATGAATCACCATCACAAAGAAAGACGACCATTTTCCATTTTACAATGGGACTCAGTTTTAGGAGGGTTGAACTCGTATCAGGTAAGTTTGTTTGAAATTGCGATGAGCGTTACTCACAGAGATAAATAAGACAAATGTCGTTTTCGGTTGTTACTCATGGCAAGATTAATTCTCTCTCCACTGAATTACAAGTCAATCCTGTCGAAATAGGCAATGACAAGTTCAGAGATTCAAGGGTGTGTCTGAAGGATTTTTATCCACGGAATAACAAAGCGATCGTTATTAGGAAAGTTTGGTCGTCCGAAGCTTCGAGTGATACAATAACAAGTTTGAAAAACTCCATTCCTTCGCTTTATCGTTTTTTGCATGATGTCCATCATTTGTTTTTGCATGACCACCATCACAACATTCACCACTTACCAAACACAAAAAACTACAACAACACACATACGAACACGATTGTGGTCTAAACACATCAAAACAACCCTGAACTATCAGATTCTCTCTCAAATCGTCTCTACTATTACTTGCCACTTGCTGTTCGAACTACCACCATAAATGATGAACGCCAACATCTACCCCAATGCTCTATTCTATTCACAACACCATCAAAGCCCTTGCAGCTTTTCACAACAAAGTGATAATAGTCAACAATTAGAGGACCCATACCTTGCTTTGATGATCCAAATTCAACAGCATCAACAAAAGCAGCAAATGTTTGCCAAAGTACCCACACACCAACACTCTCCTCATCACATCATGTCGACGACGAATTGCAACTCATCACAACAAAACAACACAAAAAGAATGCAACAAACTTCTCAAGCGTTTTCAAACCTCTCACGAAACGAGTTTATTGAACTCTTTCTGGAGAGAGTGTTTATGGTGGAGGAATCGCCAGAAACCTCTCACCCATTAAATGGAAAGCAATGTCAGCAGTTTTTAACAATGTTGTCTCTTCCTTCCGCACAAGTGAATACCCACCCAAATTGTACAAATGATGCCACTAGTTTGTCATCCGATAATTATACTCTCATTGAGGACAGCTTGTTGCTCGATAACTCTAATTTCATGCAAAACTTCCGTGAATGGTTGATATTGTCCCAACAATTACAGTCCCTGCAATCGTACCTCTAAAGAGGCATTCGTTCTCTTCGAACTTTTTAACTTGAAATGTTTGTACCATATACTAACCAGTAACCACCGCTCATCTCTCCTCAATGTACAAAATATCCACTCACTTTTATTGCTTCTCAATAAAACACAAAAATTCCTCTTAGTACTGTAGTTGAAATGAAAATTGAACTCGGTCGGTTGACATGTTTTACAAACCGAAAAAAACATTCCTTTGTGCCGCTTTTGAAAGGAAGAAGAAAAATTGATTTAATTGAGGTAGAGATAAAACAGTAGTTCATGATGAATTTAAATCATCACCGGAAAAGATCAACTTTCCAACAAGGTGGAGCAGGAGGCTTAAAGAGAAAATTACCACCCTCAGAAGATGGTGATCAGTTGTTGGATGTATCAGATACCTCAGATTCCCAGTTCATCAAGGGTAGTAAAGGCTCTTCCAGCTTTTCAAATTCACCTTTAAAAGCAATTAGACCAGGTAGAAGAAGGAATGATATTAGAGATTCTATGGATGCAATTCCTGAAGATCTCAAAACCATGTTCTCTCATAATAAGAGCAAGGACGTCCCAAACTTGTCCTTAAAGCATCCGTTCTCAAGGAAACCGCAAGTTCACGGAATTTCAAACAATCAGATTCGTTATGATTCAAATAGAAGTCCATTAAGAAGAGATTTTGAAGAATCCAATCATCAACCATTAGCATACTCTGAGGACAATATTTTCCTTCCAAATAGCGATCAATTTTCCAAGAACGAACACTTCTTCATTCAGCCTTCTTCCTTCTCTCAGCCTCCCAAGAAATTCTTCTTTCCTCCATACAATAGTAAGGGTGATCAAGAACCTCAATTCCCGCACTTGTTCTTGAGTGATGATCCGTACGGAGGCTTGCACGATGAGCTTGAAACAGAAGAGACCAATTCTGGAGACTTGACATTCAAACCAGAAATGACAAACATGGGCTCATTCAATTTTTTCGGAAAGCAACCGTTTGGATTGAAGAATGAAGAGAGTTCAACCAATTCAAATCCGCATTTTTCTTTTCAATCAATACCACGAGAGGAATGTGACCTCTTCTCTCCACTGAAGAGTCGAAGATCAACCGTCGATCCAAACAGACCCAATCAAGAAAGGCAACCTTTGTTCGGCGCAAACGACTTTGCTCTCAAATGAGTGGCTTCTGCCAAAAGTCACCCTTCAATCCATCTTTAAAAAAAATAAAAAGAAGATTCCTCTTCGGTGAGAGCATACTCTATCACTGCCACCGCATTCTTCGAGACCATACCAAACGAGAGGCGATTGATTTCAGCTTCTTCTAATTGACATTTATTGTCGCGACGCCTTCTCAACTATTTATCCAACTACTTGTAAATAGACCGTAACCAATTAATTGAAATTTTGTGTTGTAATTTTGATAGGAATTTTACCGTGTCTCTAGAGAACAGTCAGATATCAAAATCTATCTTATTGCTTGTACATTTTGTAGATACACTCTCTGCATAGAGAATTGAACAACCAAGCTCGTAACGAGCGACATTCCATACAATAATATCATCATCATCCTACAAAAGTACATGATGAACAACAACAACAACAACAACACCAAGCAATCACCATTCCATGGACCTGGAACTCCAACCAAACTCACACAACAACCAACAACAACAACAACATCCTCTCCTTCCCATACACCGCACTACCCTTCAAATGTTTCTTCTCCGCAACATTATCACATGCTAGTACCACATTCTCCATCAGGAACAGCCACATCATCATCACTACATTCTCAAATGCACTTGAATGTTGGAATGCCCTTGACTCATCTTCCAACAACAACAACAACCAGTATGGGAGGAATCATGCATCATCATCATCATCAGCCTCCTCCTTCTACTGGAATGATGATGATGCAACAACCTCATCATCATCCACAGTTTAATGTACTAGGATCTTCTTCTTTGGAGGAACATTTCCATCATCCATCAACATCGCAACATAATTGGTTGAGTAATAATTACTCATCATCATCATCGCCCTTTGTTGGAGGAGGAATGGTAGGAATGAATACAACAAGCAATGTAAATTCCTATCGAATGGTACAATCACCTACAATCACCACCACTACACCCAACTCGACTGTTGTTGGTCATCATCATAGTAATGCCAATACCAACACTTCTTTAATGATGATCCAACATGGAGGATCAAGAACTCCTCAACAACAACAACAACAACAACAATCACAGCAATCCATGATCATGCCCAACCAACAACAACAAGTCCATCATCCAACCAACAACCAAAATACAATGATGACCATGATGTCCACTCCTCAACAACAACAACAACAACAAACATCCACTCCAATCAGCAATAACACAATGTTCACAGGAAGCAGCAGTGGTTTAATTGTTAATTGTAATCGACCTGGATCTCCACATTCTCAAGAATCTTCTGATTCAAATAATTCCACTTCTGGATTGCCCACGATCAATACTTCTCTCAAGCGTGCAAACACAAAGAGTAGCAACATCAGTAACAATCAGAGTTCAGGAGGTCCTCCCACCATTAACACTTCTAACTTGAAACGTGCCAATCAAAGCCGTTCTGCAGTAACACCCAATCGTCATCAGCAAATCTCTCAGTTCCCTCAAAACATGAATCAAAAGAGAAGGAATGATCATTCTTTGAATGGAGGTAGTGGTGGAACAGGTGGTGGTGGACATGGAACTGTTCGTGCAAATAGTGTCAGTTCTCCCACTCAAGCAAACGCAAATTCAAATTTGAATGATGTTGTGAAGAGAACTCTTCATCTTCGATCACAGTATTTGTCATATTGTGATCAGTATGGAGTTAAACCAAGTCAAGAAATTGTTCGTTTACTCAAAGTTGCAATTCGTAATCAGGAACCTCTCATGAAATTGTCCATTTGTCATGCTCAGGCGGACGATGAACATGTCAAAGCACTTGTCAATGCATTGATTTCATTCCAAGATAGAACTAATAGATCGAGAAAAAGTGTTAATTCTAACACTACGAGCAGCAGTAACAATTCCATTACACTCTACGATGTGAATGAAATTCTTTTGAATCACAACAAAATCACAGATATTGGAGCGAATATGATCATTCAAGAATTACTTCTACCTCAATCTCCTTATCACAAACAAATTGTGAGCATTGAATTATTTGGCAATGAATTGACTGATTTTTGCTGTCAATTGGTGGCAGAAATGCTTCGTACTAATAAGGTGTTAAAAAGACTCAAATTAGGAGATAACAAGATTGGTCCTGAAGGAGCTCGAATTATTGGTGAAGGCGTGAAACATAATCAAACTCTCACACAATTGCATTTGGGAGGTAACAATGTTGAAGTGGTTGGAATCAAGTCTATTGCTAATGCTCTCATCAACAACACTTCATTGACTTCTCTTGGATTGAGAGATAACGGAATTGGAAGTGACGGAATGAAAGCATTGGCTGAAACTCTCAAATCCAATACTCAACTTTCTGATATTCAATTGAAAGGAAATAATATTAAGGCCACAGGTGCTTCCTTCCTTGCCTCTGCTTTGATGACCAATCAATCTCTCAAAGTGTTAGAACTTCAATCCAATGCTATTGGTCCAGTTGGTGTGAAAAGTCTTTGTCAAGCTCTTAAAGACAATCACAGTGTTCATGCTCTCAATTTTAATGATAACGAACTCGGAGATGAAGGAGCTCTTCATGTTGCTAACCTTCTTAAAGTGAATCCTTCCATCACCACACTCGGATTAGCCAGTAATAGAATTAGAAAGAAGGGAGCTGTTGCCCTCGCTGAAGCATTGCGTTGTGAACAAACTGCTGTGACTGGACTGGACTTGGGATCCAATGAAATTGGAAATGGAGGAGCTGTAGCTCTTGCAGGCGCTCTTGCTGTCAATAAGGTATTGACATCATTAGATTTAAGAAGTTGCGAAATTCACTTAAAAGGAATTTTGGCGCTTTCAACAATGTGTGAAACTAACACCACGCTAAGACATCTAGATCTTGGAGCCAACTATGCTAAAAATCAAGGTGCAGTTAGTTGGGCTCAAGTTCTGTCTAAAAACAAATCACTGACCAGATTATGTCTAACAGACAATCAAATTTACCACGAAGGTGGTGAAGCATTAGCCATTGGCTTGCAAAGTAATTACACATTACGTAATTTTTCATATGGTGGTCAAGGTCCACAACAAAACAAAATTGATAGCTCTATTAGGCGCATCATTGATAGCATTGTATCAGAAAATAAGAAATATTGGGAACAAAATCAACAATCATCCGAAGTGACCTATGTTTCTAACAATCAGATGAGAACTGTGGATATTACCAAGATGAGATTACAACAACAAATGTATTACAATAGAATGGTAGATGAAAATGGAGAAGACTATAACAATGATCAACATGACGATTTTTCAGGTAGTGACGAAAACAATCTCTCAGATACTTTAATGTCTCCAAGTGAGTTCCAGAATACCATCTTGTCTCCACTCTTTCCACAGTCACCAGCTGCTGAAGGTAAAAATTATAATTCCATGCCAAATTGGCTTCTCTCCTCCGTTCACATTCCAAGATCAAATATTGATCCTGAAGAAATTGATTCCAAATTGGAATTTATTTTCAAGAACAAACTCTTGAAAGCAGAAAACCCCAAGTTCAAAGGATGCTATTTTATTGGAAACATTGTAAATACTTTGAAAAAGGTATACCCAGAAACTAGAATTGATGAAGGACAGTTGGTGCAATTTGCCATGAACAATCCAAAATATCAGGTTCACCTTTCACGTGAAATGGTTAAAACTCAGATGAAATATATTGGTGACAGTACTGCAGAGCAAGTTCCAAAAACTGGAAATATTTCAGCAGCAACCTCTTCCTCATCATCATCTAATAATGGTGACACACCATCATTGCTTCCAATTCAAAAGAAGGGAACAAAATCAGTCCGTACCAAAGGTAGTGAATTATCCTCTCCAAGCAATGACCAACACAAAAAGTCAGTACGAATTGACACAAAGATTGGCATTGTTGAGACATCATCAGATCTGATTGATATTTCTACATCTACTGGTCCAACTTCTCCTTCCGATCGAACCTTGTCACCAACGTTGAATATTAGCACAAGCTTCCATGCACCTCTCAATAAGAGAGCTCTCACAGATCCTGGATTTGGAATGGTGAAACAAGACAATTCTGGTTTGTTATTGGGCACTCAACCATCCTTAATGGAATCTGGTGGATTATTTACATCATTCTATTCTCCTCTTCAACCATCCTCTTTCTTCACATCATCTGGTACCAGCACCACCAATAACACCAATCGAACCTTGTCACCATTCATTGATAGTACTTCTTTTGGAATGGGATCTTTTGCAGGACATGGTACAGGAATGGGATTTTCAACAGTCCATTCATCCTACTCTATGTTTTCATCTCCTTCAACTCATTTGCAACAACAACAACATTCACACCAACCACCATCTCATTCGGGTGGAAGTAGTCATTTAAATTGTCAATTTTTTCGGAAATACTGGTAGTAGTACCAGTTCTTCACAACAAGGAGTTCATGAAAGACAAGCTTCTGAAGATTCCTACACTCGTTATGACAATATGGTGGACAAACTTGTTCAATAATCACCTTCAACAACAACATTTGGTCATTTATATTTCAGTCACTCTCTATAATAAATTAATTAGAACAAATTTCATAATAGTCGATGGTGTTGACGTCATTTTCCGTCGACTTTTTCTCATTTATCACTCCAAAAGATCTCAAAATATTTTGTCACAAACAAACGCACCCACAATAACGTTCACCATTATTCATTCTCTCCATTACCCATCACAAGAACACTGAAAGAACGATCATTTTCGCCAAGTTGGAGAACACACACTCTCGCCAAATCCTCTTCAAGTAGTGCTCTCTCAAGAAGAAGAACAACAACAACAACTTCTCACTGAATTATTCTTCAACAACAACTCTCACTCAATTATTCTTGTTGTTGTTGTTGAATTGGATTGCAATCACCCTCTTTCATTCCGAAAGAATCCATCCATCAACAAAAGTAAAGAAACCTTTTCGAAACAGAAGAAGAAAAAAATCAACAACGACGTCTTCTTTTGAAATGTTCAAAGCCATTCGTAATTACTTTAATTACAACGACTTGATCGATATCAATATCAATGAAAGGTTAAAATGTAAGTTGTTAGAGAATGTGAACAACAACAACAACGTTCGCGAATGACTCGACACTTGGAAATTCTTGTGTGGTTTCAATAATAATGAATTAATTGTTGTGGATGATGAATTGCATCGGATGCGAATACCACTACAATGATGAAACACGTTCATGGTGCGAATAATGATGATGATGAACATGTTTTTAAAACGGAAATTTACAATGATGGAAAATGGTATTTAATTTTCATCATCTTGATGCCATATCATGGGGATCCTTTTGCATTCTTTGATCTGGTCCTTTTGGTCAACCAATGGTCAACCACGTTCTTTTATCATCACTCATACCAACAACAACAATCATCCTATCTCTCTCTTTTTCAATTACTCATCATCCACATCAATCCATCATCACAACAATCTTGAATTCCATCCTCACTCAATATATCTCATCATCATCCTCCTCTCTATGATCATCATTCTCCATCATCATTTTCCATCCTCTCTATACATTCTCCATCATCATTCTCCATTCTCCATCACACACACACACAGACATTCACAATGAAAACGGAACTGAAGAACTCAATCTTCGTATTTCCAACATGCTGACCGACAAGTACGAAGATAAAGTTCTCATCTTCAACTTTACATCCAAACCGTTTCCTTCCGTAGCGACACGTCCTTGCATTGATATTGGTTCTACACCAGTCATTAGTGAACACTTTGAACAAATTCCAATCCTTCTTTCTCTTTCTCACATGATGGATAATTATCTCCTAAATTATTCATCTTCCAAAGATTATTATGTGGTTTTTGTAGCCTCCATTCAAACAGTTTGTTATGCCTTGTTATTAGCCTCTGTGTTTGTTTCCTATACCGATTCCAAAATGTATATGGATATGTATGGAATTGAACAATCAAGTCTTAAATCTCATCATCCCGAACGAGTCATGAATGCTGCAGCAACAACAACGGTATTGGATGGAAGCACTATACCTTCTGCACATTCTTCTCCTAATCTTTCTCATCCTCCTCCTCCTCCGAACAACGGTTTGCATCACTTGAATCATCGTCGTTCATTATCCACACCGGACGAATATGTCTTGATCCAACCGCATCATCATCATCTTCAGGATGGAGGAGGTAGTCATAATGGAGATGATCCGAGTAGTGGTGATGCTGGTGGTGGTGAAACTGTTGTCACTGCCACTGCTGTCATCTCTACCGTCGACGGATTGAACTCACCCCAAAAACTGATTCGAGAAAGTAGTAGTAGCACTACTTTGGAAGGAATGGTGGATGCCAATCAGGCACTCGCTGCTGCAGAGACCAATTCGACCTGTGAGAGTGATCGAACGAGCACGACGGTCACTACCAGCACCACTACCACCACGACGAATTACAGTACTCGAATTTTGAATACTCTTCAAATTCTACAACATGCGAGAGAGACAGTCTATCCTCGATTGGAGAAGAAATTGAATGCAAAATCATTGAACAAGCTCAAGAATTTGGAACCTTCTGTGAGTCGATATGCAAATTTGTTTTTGATTACCTTGCAACGACCACTTTCTTTGATGATGATTCAGGATCATCCTCATCTCTCCATGTCGACTCAAATTCGACCAACTTACTTTAAACCATCATGTTTTCGATTGCAATGCATTTCAATGAATAGTTCGAGACTTTGTGTGAAATACTCAAATAATGGAATGATTAGTTCGTTTTTAGATCAAAGTAATTCAAAGATTGAGAATCGAAGACATACCATGTCTGCTAGAAATTTAAAACGTGAGGAATGGGTCTCTGTGAACCAAGGCAATTCTACAGATGACGATAACATTCCTGACAGTCTAGTTGCTTTTCAATATCGAAAATTGTACTTTGTCGTTCGAAAACAAACAGACATTTTGTTTTCAACTTTCACAACTGCTTCTACAAATAATGCTCCAACCGTTGAGAGAAGAAAGACAATTCTCTCTTCACATGATCCAGAGGAGAGACCTTCCACTCGTGTAGAAACATGGTTCCACTATAATTTACCATTCAATGAAAGCAAACCATTAATGGGAGATTTTATTTTGCTTGCATTCACAATGGCTGATGATGGTAATATTATTTCATTGTTTAGATTTACTTTCAATACCATGTTTTTGACAAGCACAGTGGTTGTTGTTGACAAGAGTGAACTCGATTGGGCTCACAACTCTCCTGCATTTTCATCCAATTTCAAATTAGAGTTGAATTTCTCTGAAATTGATTGCAGCAATGACAAAGAAGCTGAAGAACTTGCCACTTCCTATTGGACTGAATTAATTTGTGCTCTCGATAAATGTCCACATTTCCTTTCGAGAACTGCAGAGCTTGACAATGCAAGACAACTCTTGACCACAAAACCCTATCTCATTGATAATTTTTCAAATACCATCATGATGGGAGAAAGCATGTTCACTCAGGCAGGAAGTAGCAACAATAGTCAAATCAATTCACCTTCTGTAAATAGTAATTCTTTGAGAGAAAATCCATCTCCTCAACTCAACAACCAAGGTTCACAAGATTCACCCCTCATTCTTGGATCCATTCCACCACCACCTCCTGAATTGGCAGTGATTCCTCCACCACCACCTCCTATGACCAACGGTGGAGAAGGTTTGGTTCCTCCTCCTCCACCTTCTGGTTTTGTTCTTTCCACATCCAAGAAGAAATACAAGACAGTTGAAGTTGAACAAGTGAGCAAAACCAAACAATTGCATTGGAAACCAATTAAGAAAGTGAGTTCATCAACTTCTGTTTGGAGTCAAATTGATGAGGTTGATGAATCATTGATTGATCTTGAAAAGATTGAAATGTTGTTTGCAAAACAATCCAAGAATGATGAAGAAGAAATGTCGTCAAATTCTCCAAGATTGTCTTCCTCTTCAACAATACCTTCTCCAAGAACAAAGGTATCACCAAGACAACAACAAAAGTCACTTGCCACAGAAGGTATTATTGATGCCAAGTCTGCTAGAAATATTGAAATTATTATTAACAGTCAATTTAAGCAAGCGAGTATCGAACAAGTGGTTGAAGCAATTAATAATCTCAATGTCACTGCACTCACTGCACAACAAGTTGAAAATATGGAACAATTTGTTTCCACGAGCGGTGACTTGTTTAACATGAAAGCCAAGCTTAAAGGAATTGATCGTGAAGAGTTACCAAAAACAGATACATTCTTCTTGGATGTCTTGTCTGTTGAAGAAGTTAGTACAAAACTCAAATTGATGAAATACATGTTGAACTATCCAAATCTTCAAAAAGATCTTACCGATAAGATTGAAAAGAAGAGAGCTGCGATCAAGTGCATGATGAGTTGTGCTTCTTTCACAAAGGTTCTTTCATATATTCATGCTATTGGTTCATTCATGAATAGAGGTAAAAAGAGATTAGAAGGAGAAGGGTTCGATTTAAGAATTTTACCCAAGCTTTCTGATACTCGTTCATCGATTGATAAGAGTATGAATTTGATTACATATCTTGTCAAAGTTCTTGAAAAAGATACCACTGGAAGTATTAACTTTGATCAAGAATTGATGGATGCTGGAGTTTGCTCTCATGGTGTCACTGTGACATTGGCCAATGTTGCTCAACTATTGAACGAAATTCAACAACAATACAAATTTATCGAAAAGGCAGCCGATGACATGAATAAGGAGAAATGCACAGAGGATTACAAAACTAATTTAACCACTTTCTTCAAAACTTGTCAAGAGGAATATCCTAAAATGATGGAGGCCTATGAATCTTTACAAAAAGAAGCTACAAGTTGCTATGAATTCTATCATTTTGAATTTTCAGAAGATGGTTCAGATCGAAAATTTGTTGAAGATGAATTCTTTTCAATTATTGCCGAGTTTGTCGATAAGTATCGAAAAGCAAAGGAGGCTGTGATCAAGTCACCAAGAGGCGCTTCTCCAGGTATGAAAAAGAGAACTCAGTCCTTGATGAGACTTGACTTGAATAGACTTGATAGAAGATAATTGTGTTTCGTGATTAAACTTGATCAAATTCGAGTTGTGAATTTATAATTTGATGTTCTTTCTTTTCCTCAATTGAGATGAAGCTCATTGAATTTATTCATTCTTTTTCATCATGTTCATGAGCTCTGATGTTTGTACAGCCAAGTCACTTCCTTGTCGTTTCAATCCCTCAACCACACTTTGAATCACTGGAAAAGACTTATTTTGTGACAGTTTCCACTTTTCTTTCACTTCCTTCACATTTAAGGTAAATCCAACAATTTCATTCAGCAACACCTGTGAATATTTTTCGTCGATCTGTGAGAAATCATATTTCACTAGATCACTTTCGTTTGGATTTTTCGTAGTCTTCAACAACCATTCTTCATGGACATTTGTAAGTTGTGTTACAATTTCTTTCTTTCCATTCATATCGTGTATCACTTGACAGGTATCTGCCATGGCATGAATCGATGTGAAGTTCCATGTTGGAACTTGTCTTTTTTGAACCTCTCGATCACCATACCACTTTGGTGAAATGTAAAAGTGAGGACCTGCAAATATAACCATGCATTTCCATCGAGGAGAAAATTCAAAACAAGACTTGGAAAATTCTTCTAATGCTTTACAATGGGGATTTGTTTTAGCTAAGTGAAATTGCAATGTCACACTCTCCAATGATGTTGCAGGTTCAATCAAAAATGGAACATGTGACGTGAACATTTGAGAAGGTGTCTCGTCCTTCCATGTGAGTAATAACGCAAATGAATTTTCTTTCATGAATTGAATTTTAAAATTGAAATTGTCATGATGATTATTCATTCGAGCATGATCTGAAACTTGGTGTGGTGTATCCTGATGGATGTTAAATGTTGAAAAATATTTTGGAATATAAAATTCGTGATGATACTGATCCACAGGGGTATTCTCGATTGCACAATTAGTATTTTGAATCAATGTAGCATTTTGATTGTTTGAACGGTGAAGACTAATCTTTTCAGAAAGATATTTTAAGCCTGAATATACATAATAGAGACAGGTACAGAGACCAATTCCTGAGAGAATTTTAGAAGATGGTTGAAGAAGGAACGAAGAGAGAACGGAGAAGTAGTTGCTGTTTGGTTCTTGTTGTTGTTCTGACATTTTTTTGTTATCCCACGATAAACAGATGGGTTACGTCATAAACTCCGATTGCTTGTTGTAATCCACACGTCCAATCAATAAACAAAATTGCAATTAATTCTCTTTAAAATCGTTGATGGAGAAGAGTTTGGTTCTTCCAAAATAATTTTAAATTCTCAAAGAAGTTTCAACAGGAACCTTTCATCGTATTCCCCTAGCAGATCGAGATACGATTATTGATTGTTGTTAATATTCAGTCCAAATAAATTATCAAGATCGGAATGTTCATACCATCTCCTGCAAAGGAATGAATGAGTTATTTTTAATGCAATTTTTTTTAAATTTCAAAAAAAAAATTCAACAACATCCAGAAAGAATATAACACAGTCATTCTGAAAACAATGGCCATCGACCTTCCTCAAATCAAAACTTGGATTGAGAGTGGAAAGAAAGCGAGTATTATCAAAGCGCTTGAAAACCTTCAGGCTTACATGTTGCAACAACAATCGGATCACTTTGTTGCAAAGGAGAGAGTGAGAGAAATTTCTCGACAAATTCCGATCCACAGTTTTTTACCTTGTTTTGATACGAAATCTTTGGAGCAATTACAATTGGCTGTTACTGTCTTTGGAAAGATTTTGGATGAGGAGGATATTGATTCTGCTTTGCGGAATGATCCGATGGTTTTGCAGTTTCTAGATCTCGGCTATAAGCATCCATTCGAAATTGTCAGAAGACTCACGATCAATCAGTTGGCAAAATGTTCTACGGATACATTATTTAGTAGACCTGAGTTGTTTTTTACGATTTTATATTCCGGAATGATTGACTCGGAAATATCGGTGCAAAAGATCGCTCATAAAATTATTTTAACAGTTGCATCACAACCAGAAGGTCTTAGGAAATTATTTGAAGATTATCGTAGCTATTTAATTGGACCATTGATTCAGTACTTAACACACGAAAAGAAGGATGATATTATCAAATTCAGAGTGCATGAATTACTGGCCTCAACGAGTGCAATTTCTAATGAGGCATTTGAGATTGTAGAGAAGAACGATATTTTCAAACTCTTTGCGGAGGACTTGAAGAGATCTAAAGATGATATACTCTCTCTGTTAAACTTGTTAGAAATATTTAAGCACTATTGCGTTTCCAGTTACAACAAATTAGGAGCAGTGTCCCTGAAGAAATATGGCTCCTTTGATTTGCTGATGAAGATACTAACAGAAAATCAAAATGATCCCCTGACATACTCCTTTATTTTGAACTTGATTGCTGATCTATCGGATGCCTCCGAGGATTTATTCGATGTACCTCTACCAAATTCTGTCATTGAAAAGATTTTCAATGAGGACTTATCGAACACTCATGTCAGAGAGTCACAAATTGTAGCCATATCAGTGATTGGAGCATTATGTAAATCATCTCTTAAGAATCTTCAGCAAATATTGCTTAGCAGTCATGAAAGATGTGTACAATTCCTTTGCTTTTTTGTTGAATCGATCAATGATCAAATCGCTCAATCATTTTATCACTCATTGGGATCAATTTTAGAATCTTCAAGAATAGACGACGAAAGTGCTGAAAAGTTGGTTTCCATTCTGGATAGTATTCTTAAAAAGAGAAGAGAGACATCCATTACACAACCTTCAACAAGTTATATTATGAACTATGCCATGTACAATTTGAAAGCTCCTTTTCCTGACATTAGGTGTGCTGTTTATCATTTACTGAAGGGATTGGGATCGAGATTCAACATTGTCAAAGAGCACATCAACGTTTATCCTGCATTTTTCGATTACATCACCAACAGAAGTACAGAGCCCAACAAGGAAACCAAAGAATGGAAATTCAGTGTGGTGGAGACATTGTACAACACTCTTCATAGACATCCCCATGGCTCTGTTATTGACTCTAAACACATGATTGACCTTAAAACCTATGTTATCAGAGGTGCTTACGTGGGTGACAAGGTTGAAGCACAAGTTGCCGTGCAAAGTGAAGTCCTGTAAAGATTTTAAAATTGAGTGAAATAAAAATGCACAAAGCTTGCACCAATCTATTCGCACCTTGCAAAAGCAAACCAATTTCAACACTGCTCCGAACCAACTCTTCTCTGAAGATTCATCCTTCTTTGAATAATATTTGTAACTTTGTATCTGTTCATAACCAAAGAGAGTTTTCAACAAAATTAAGTCTTATTCGGAACTCGAACGGCCGAGATGATGATGCTTATAATTATCAAACGCAGCCTGGACAACCAAAATCTGCTGCCGGTTTAGAACAATTTAATTTGATACAATATGATCCGTACGTGTTTAGTTTCCTATTTATTTGTGTTCAAATACGTATTTGTAACATGTACCTTTTGATTGAATTTTAATTTATTATTTTGATAATTACTTGAAATAATGTTTCTAATTTCCGATACTTGATCCACCTATGATGAATTCCTTTCTTAATGAACTGTTCTTTGTTCTTGATTGAATCAATTTTATCCTTTCCATATGTTTCTAAATATCACAAACACCAAATCAAACACTAATCGAAACATTTGGAACAATACAGAAACGTTGTGTTCATTTCAGGATATGGTCAGCGTTCGTTCTTTTTAGGTAACACCCGAATTTTTGGAAGTATTTTCGCAACCACTAAACAAGTCTTTCTGTGGGATGTGTCTTATCCGCACGATATCACCATTGAGAGCTTGGCATTGGCTGAATATTTAAATCCAACTCCAACGATGTTGTTGGTGGGAACTGGACACAGCATGGTCCGATTGCCTCAAGAACTTCATGAACATTTTAGAAGAAATGGTGTAGTCATTGAGGAAATGCCAAGTGTGAATGCAGTGGGTACATTCAATGTGCTGAATCAGGAGGGAAGAGATGTTTGCTTAGCCTGTTTGTCGTTAGAACCAGTGAATGTTAAAGATTTGACGCCTTCCAAGGCACCAACTTTATTTATTGAGATTAAGGATGCAATTTCTAGGCATCCAAGTAACATAATGTAAACAATCTCCATCAATTCAATTCCATTATTATTATCAGCAATATTATTAATATTATACCATAACACTTTTTGAAGAAATATTAATAGGTTAAAGAGCATTCACATTCTTCAATAACATTATTTCCAAAATATTCGATACGATATGTGAAATTCCTCTAAAACAAGGATAGCTGCAATTCGGCAGGTAGTACATATTCGGAAAAATACGAAGTCTGCATTTTTCTCAATTCCATATAAACACCACAATTCTCCAAGAGGATTTTAGCACCAATTAACCGACGATCATTCTACTCCATTCTTCTACACACAAAAAAACGATCAACATATGTATCTCAAACGGCTGAAGAACTCCTTATTGAATTGCATGCCCCACCACGAAAATACTGAAGACAACCAGCATGAAAATGGAATGACATATGACAACAGCTTGGAATTATCGCCCATGTTATCAACACCAACCACACCCTCCTCTTCATCGACAACAACAACACAACCAAACAAATTCACATCGGGCACATACATCGCTTCACCATCGGCTTCCAGCAGTACACAAGACAATCTAAGCTTTGAAGACCATGTGGCCCTTTGTGAATCGTCACGAGAGGATCATGATTCTTCGAATGACATTACTCTCAAACACATTCACATTCAATGCTACAAGGATAGGGAAAGCCAATCTTTCTTTCATTCCAATCTCACATATCCTAAAACAATTAAGATTGAGTGGGTATTTGACGATTGTATTCGTCAACGTTTGATTCACAAAATGTTAAAACGGTATATTGATTCACAGGAAATCATAGCTTTTTCAGACGTTAGGATTGTGGCTCGATACGACAATTCTGAATTGGATTATGATCAATCGAAGGAAAAAAGGGTATTCACAATTTCTCAAGATGCATGCTCCCTGATACCTTGCATTCAAAGGAGAATAGAACCTTGTAAACCACAGACCATTGAATTGCAAATACCTTTTTGTTTTCACTTTGCGATTGACTATCCTGAAGATTCTCCATCGAGTCCTGTTGTTTCAACAGGGTCTTCGAGTTCATACCCAAAAGTGACTCTCGAAGGGTGTGTTGTGTTTTCTTCAGAGGTGTTTCAGCATTTGATCAAGTGGTGTGAACATTACAGCAAGCATCGAGAATTTATACAAAGCGATTTGGAGGTAAGTGTTTTCGTCGATTATAAGCAACTTTTGGTTTTTCAAATCAGATCTTCTGTTGCGTCCGCTTATAATTGGCTATAATTACGCCTACAGGGAAAGGGTATGGTGTATTGTAGCAGCAGCGAATCCTACTTCCGATCGGTCATTGGAGAATGGAATTGGAACTTTTTAAATTCATTGAGCAAGAATTTGCTGCTTCAATGTTTAATAATGTCCCATATCTTGTCCATTCATCCCTTGTTGGTGATGTTCAAAACTAAGATCATGTTTGATGTGAAGCAAAAGTGTCGAGAGAAAAATGTCACCATGTTAAGCACTCAACAACAACAACAACCAATGGGCGGACACCATACACAAGCTCAATCGTCTTATTGGACCATACCAACCAACACCAAGTAAGTATGGATAAATAGACTTCGCTAAAGAGTTTGTTTCAATACAGAATTCAATTTTTGAACTATTTTGTACAGGATTCCCGAAAGGTGAATGAAATTTTTCAACCACATCATGTAAATTACCAAAAGCCGTCCCCAACGACAAGAAGAAGAATCATTAACCACGTTCGTTCCAATAGCTATGACAAAATCAGAGGTCTCACTGCTGGTAATAGCAAGTGCAACACGGGATTAAGGAATGACTTTTCGTCTGCTTCCACTTCCACCTCCAATGTTTCAAGTTTCCTGAATTCAAGCAATAATAAGGACGAACATATAATTGCAACGCTAGGAAATTCAAAAGATGGGTTCATTCACTTTCTCAGGATTAAATAGAGAGAGATTAGATCTGCATCATCACCACCACCCATTTGCCGATTTTCTTCTTCCGTCATTGCACAACACAGACTGTTGATCCACAGCGTGAGAATGAATCATTCCTCCTCAAATCAAGGTTAGATTTTCTCAAGAGAGAGAAGCTTCGTGTGCATTTGGCGAAATGTTGAGAAAACTACAACTGTTATAATACTATACTCTAATTAAAACACACTAAAGTTTTTATATATATTCATATTGTAAAATTTATTTTCTTTCGAATGATCAAAACTACAAAAAAGGCGGGAATTGCGCACCAACAGCAAAATAAAAATACAAGAAGAGAGTAACTCTCTCTCGCTCCCATCTTCATCATTGACTTTGTCGAGGGAATCAAATTTTGGAACATATCTAAGAATTAATTTTGAAATTGAGAAAGCACCACGCACACAATCCAATTCCTAAAGTATTGATTATCATCGTTAGTAATGGACATTGTAACAGTATACAAAAAGCCGAGAAGGCAATTTGGAAGATACTGTGGTCATTTTGTAGATACCGAGCCCGAAACGATCATTGATATCAAACCGAGCGAGGAATACAAGGCAAAATATATAACCAGAGAACCAAGAGCGGTTGGTGTTCAAGCTGTGGCAGAATTATCTGATCACTTTACCAATACCGAAACTCATGAATCAAAAGAGCAAGGAATGAATCACCTCGAAGGAGGATGGCCAAAAGATGTCGACACAGCAAAATTATCGAGCAAAGAGAGATATATCAAAAAAATCGAAAACAACATTGAGGATTTGAACTCATTCATTGCATTAAGGGATTCAGCAGAGTACTACATTCAACAGAACAATTCAATTAACATTTTTGGCAGCTACTTTAAAGAAAAGACTTTGGATTTCGGCAGTGAGCGATCCATGGTAAAAACATTATCCGTGTTCAAAGATCCATGTCAAGACAAGCGAACAGTCTCTAAGATTTCTTGGCTTCCTAGTGACGGCTCAAAACTGGCCGTTGCGTATGCTAACCTAGATTTCCAAAGTTCAAGCAAGAAAATTCCAACAAACGCCTATATTTGGGATGTCAATAATGCCAACGAACCTGATGTAACATTAACTCCCTCTTCTCACTTAGTTTCAATAAGATATAATCCTAAAGATAATAACATAGTTGCTGGCGGTTGCTACAATGGCGTTGTTTGTAAGTATGAGCGTTCATTTGCAAGCTGATTAACTTTAAACATCATCATATTAGGTATATTTGACACCAGAAAGGGGGGTGAGGAAGTGTTAATTTCAGACCTAAAAACTAGTCATAGAGATCCAATTTATGATTTACAATGGATTCAAAGCAAGAGCGCCACTTTTTTCATCACCACATCCACAGACGGTCAAGTGCTGACATGGGACACTCGAAATTTGTCAAATCCAGTTGACTCTGAAACTATGGAATTAAGAATTCCTGACGATAAGAATGCCGAGTGTAAACTGCAGGGCTTACTAGGAGGAGAGTCCATTGACTATGATGTTTCATACAGTGTAAGTTATTTCATTTCAAGATGTAGTTTCCGAAAAAAAATGTTGTACACAGCCAACAAAATTCATGATAGGAACAGAACAAGGTGCTGTTATTAGCTGTACAAGAAGAAAGAATAAGGGAACAGCTGTAGATAAAGTTTATTATGGACAACACCATCACCATGGACCAATATATTCCATTCAACGAAATCCATTCCTTCAGAAATACTTTATGACAGTCGGCGATTGGACCATCAAGATTTGGAATGAAGATATTTCAAATGATCCAATTATTTCAACGAGGTATGACGACAGTTACATCACGTCATGTCAATGGAGCCCTTCTAGGCCAGGTGTCTTTTATACCACAAAGATGGATGGAACTCTCGATGTGTGGGATTATTTATACAAGCAAAATAAGCCATTGTTATCGATTAGATTATCAGATCAAGGACTTCATTGCTTGAGCATGTATGGTAAATATATCGCAGTTGGAGGAAGGGATGGATCAACTAGGTTGCTCGAAGTGAGCGAAGGTTTGCGAGGAGAGGACAAACAGCAAGTGCTCGAGGAAAAGGAATACATCAACAATGTAAGTACTTTTGAAATTCAATTCTCAAAGTTGGATTTAACTATGTTCTATTAGATGTTGGAGCGAGAAACAAAGAGAGAAAGAGCTCTCGTTGACAACAGAAAGGAAAGTGAACAAGCCCAAAAACGACTGGAGATGAAGAAGAAACAAAAAGAATCTTCGAAATCTTCATTTGTAATTACAATTAATGAGGATGAGCTTCAAGAAGATGAGCGCTTATTTTTGGATGCTATTAAGGTGAAATAAATGCAAATACTATCATTCTACTATAGTGATTGTTATTTGTTCGGACAAGGTGGCATGTCCATGAGCTGCTGAATTGTGCAATGATCCAATATGTAGCTTAATAACCTGAACAATGGATTATCCACTGAAGAGCCCGGTGTAGGATGTTTTTGGGCTTGTTCAATGATACTAGAGCCAGCAGTTGTAATAGTGGTGTTGGAGTCACCATTAGCTAACTTAAATTTGACTGGGTCAGCAGTGTTTTGAGAAAACTCGATTGGCAAATCAACATAGTCGTCTTGAATATAGACTCTTACAAAGAAACGTGCTGCAGGTGTAGTCGTGCTGCTATCAGTTTCAATCATTGAAATTTGAGGAGTGATTTGATTTGCAAACACCTTTGGAACACGCAATTCACCAGAGGCCTTACTAACATCATACAAGTGCCGTGAGCTAGACGTGTGAAGAGGATATGGCAAAAAAAACACAAAATCAATTCTATCTTTCAGTGCATACCAGGTTTGAACAGTATCTTTGAATAAAGATGAAGGCAAGAATAAAATTTGAATAAAGGATTTGGAGTAAAATGCTCCTGATAAGAAAACTCCAGTATAAAGTGCAGGATTAAGATAGCGCCTTGTAAAAGCATCTTTTAAAAACTCTTCTTCAGCTTCGTTAAGGATTGGAACTGGAGTTTTTGGTGTCATCTGAGTGATCTTGAGTTCATAATCTTGGTATTCGCATGTGTAACTATAGATGGGTCCATGCTGGGCGGCGAACGTTAACTTTGGACCTTCGTCAACTTTAGCATAAAATTTGTATAAAAGAGCAGCTCGCAGATTGTCAAGGACTTTTGTCAAACCAACATATCTCTTTAACTTCAGTATGGCTTGATCCAGGTCATCACCATATGATTGTGCTGTTACTTGAAATACTTCTCCACTAGTGGTATGAGCTTGAATTTCCTTAATTTCAATCTCACTAGTGGGTTTGCAAATAACTATGAACTCTCTGTTAGTGGCTTTGTCAGAAAGTGTGGTTTGATAAATGACTTTAAATTCTGACACACTTCTTGGAATTAAATACCATTGTGTTGGATTTCTCTCCCATAACATTTGTTTCAGCTTATTCAAAGGAAGAACAAACTTGAGTAAAAGTTGGGTCAACTTGAACATTGATTCTCCATATTGATCATAGCGAACAGATTTGTTTAAATAATCTTCCAGATCATATTCAAATCTACAAGTCGGATGTAAAACTAATTTAAACTTTTTCTCAGCCCACTTGATCATGGCCTTGTATCCAGATTTTCCGTAATCCAAACGTATTTTAGTGTGAGAAACCCACTCAATATTGCAAGTTTGTTCAAGAAGCACTGCGAAATGTGGACTAGGATAAATTAATTGCAGTGAAAGTGGATACATCTTATCTACAGATAGTAAATCTTGATAAAGATCATCGAAAATATTCTTAGAATTTCTAATGGTGCTGTACTTGAAGGTAAGTCTACCATTGACATAGTTGCTTGGAGCAACAGTTGGTGGAATAATCACAGGAAGTGGTTTTCTCTCGTAGCATGTTGCTACCCATTGCGCATTGTCGACATCTACCGAAAGTGAAATGTAATCAATGTCGAAATAGCTCAGTCCGCAACTTTCATTTGGCAAAATGATCATTTCATATTCTTGATCTGTTAATTCAAAAGAGAATTTGGATGATGACTGGACTTGTCTCAACATGGTACTAAAAGAAACTTTGTGCTTGGTGGAGTTAATCACTTGCTTCATGTGTCTAAATGCTACAAGTGTATTCTGGAATGCGGCACTTTTCATTCTTTTCACACGTTTAGAATTAGGTTCACCAATATTTTCATTATCCTCCTCGTCTGTATTGAGAGAATAAACGTCTAAAAAGAGAGATGAAGGAACAGGGATATCGATTAGCTTTGGATGTTTTTCGATAATTATTCGGCATGATACCAATGGTTTTGATCTCATGTATGCAAATTCAACAGCCTTAATTTGAATAAAAGCAGTACTGATGTTAGGAAATCCAAAATAGATAGTTTGGTCCAAAGTTCCCGTGCCTCCTTCAAATAATGTTGGAAATACCTCTAAATCTAATAATTGTGCTGCAGATTTGTATGCATAAATGATTGTACGCTTTCTTGCAGTTTCTAGAACGTCCGTAATTACCTGAGAAAACTTGGCTTTTCTGATGTCTATGTTATTAAGTCTGTAGAGAATATCAGAGAAATCTACGTTTATCATTTGATCGTCACATGATAGAGAGAGGAGAAAATATCCAGTTTTCCAATCAATACTTAATCTAAGCATATAGTCTTCAAAGACGTTAATACAAAGCTCTGCTTGATTTGTGGATGGATCAGTAAGAATCACAATATTTTCAAATATCCTTTCCATCAAAAGATGATTACGAATGCAACATAGTCTTTCCACAGTATGAGCGTATATGCACTCTGTAATTGTTTGACTTAGATTAATCTTGGACAAATTAAGTTGTGGAGAAAAATCTAATTTCAATTTTGGCTGATAATCGAAAATTATTTGTTTTGATTTGTCCACAAATATTCTAATCTCATTTCTAGCGCTCTTTTCTTTGAGGAGGGTTGATTTTTCGTCCACAACTCCAGGATCGGCTGATGTATATTTTTCCATAAAAGTTACCATAGGTGGAGCTTTGAGCCAATATTTGATCGACAATGAAAGATCTTCATCAATATTGTCATTAAATGTATCACAACTTATAACGTCATTTCCCCATCGCAGCTGTTTTGCTTGTTTGGTTAGAATATCCATTGCTATCCTTACAACCACTGCATGAATAGTATTATAAAGGTCAACCATACAAGAGACACCCGTGTCAGACTCATCAAGAAAATAAAGTCTTTTTTGCAACACGGGAATAAGCTTTCCATGAATAAGCTCGTCATATAAAGGACTCACAGTAACTCCAACCTCATTGACAAGTAAATCCAAATAAATAATTTGCCAAAAGTATTTGACATCGTCAGAGCTTCCACTACTCAACTCTTGTTTGTGATTTAATGTCATGATAATAGAAAACTCATTCTCAGCAATGAGGTTCACTTGTCCATTCTCCAACTTATTTACAAACATATTTGATGGTATGGTACATTGCAATAATTTCATACAAATAAGATCTGTTAGTTTGGACACAGCTGTTTCTTTGTCTTTAGTGGTAAAATCCTCATGTGTATTTTGTAAATTTCCTCGAAACTACATTTGAAAATGTTCGTTGCAATATCATAATTATAAACACAAACCTGTTGCATAATGTTTGGAAGTCTGGGATATGTTCCAGTTGTCAACACATCAATCGCAGTAGGAAGGTCAAATACTGGTTCAATCAAGCTTCCAACCTTTTTGGATGTGAAAAACAACGTAAAAGCAGCCAAATCAAACGCATTTGCTTTCATCTCCATGGATGATGCCACCTGGTTTAATTTATCAAGGGTCTTCTTTGATTTCTTTGACCATCTCAACAGTACAAGTAATCGGATGAACCTCTCCCGAGTTTCCTGAAAGTATTGATACAAAATTTGTTTCTTCATTAAAGCTTCCCTATCGGATGATTCTCGAGTCGACTGATCATTAGCCTCCATTACCTTCTTTATTTCTACCACACATCTTTTCAATTCATCATGTGATTGCTTCACCAAGTGATGGATGAGCGTAAGAAAGGAAAAAGTCGGCTGAGGAGGCTCCATTTTTTTTTTCAAAGCTTTTTCGTCGTCATTAGTGCTTTCTTTTGGTAGATTATAGATGCTTTTAATGATGACGATCATCGTGTGATGGTTTCCATCCTATCCACAGGCCTGAAGACACGTCCAGAATTAATTCCGAAAAAAATTATTAATAGTTTCCATAAAAAGAAAGAATATTGGTGCTGGTTTGGAAAACCACACACACATCGTTGTAAATATTATTATTTTGTAATAATTGTAATATTCATTGAGAATTGTTGAAAAACCTGGAACGATTTTGAGAATGTTTCTCTTCAACCTGTTCACTTCTTGTTTCAATTCTGCGGAAACATCCAACAGACAGATCACGGATCACCAATCCAAATCAATTCGGACATCACCATCCACACTTAAAAACAAAGTTCAAAAGGTACAAATTTCAGACAAGATTCTTTACAAAAACGTTCGTGCGAAGAATTGTTGCTTTCATCATGATGGGAGAATTGCGACTGCTTTCTATACGGGAGTGGCAACTGTGCAAACTTTTAAAAAACAACAAAAAAAGGAAATCATTGATTTCAATACGAAAGGTAGTCCATTGAGATGTGTCAAATTTATTGAGAGAATTAATTGTTTGGTGGTTGGATCAGATTCATGTCTTATTTATGTGTATGATTATGAAAGAAAATCACTTGTAAGAGAACTGAAAGCACATTTAGATTATTTGAGATGATTGGTCGTCCATCCAACACTTCCCTATTTGATTTCATGCTCTGACGATCAAACCATTAGAGTTTTCAACTGGGAAAATGATTGGAAGTCTGAAATGGTATTGACAGGACATTTACATTACGTGATGTGGATTTCTGTCAATCCACACAACCCTAACATTCTGGCCTCTTGTTCTCTTGATCGAACGGTGAGAATTTGGGAAGTTGATTTTCAAAAACACTATGAAAGATTTAAGAGAAAGCAAAAGAGTCCTCGTTCCAACAATTTTGTTAACACACTGAAGAATATATTTAATCTTAACAGCTCAATTCAAACATTAGATGGATTTCAAGACGGACTTAATTGTCGATTTTTACAGAGGCAGGGATCTTGCGAAAATGAATTGGTTAATCGCATGTTCAGACGACGAGACTTTGAGAATATTTAACTGGAAAACTGCTGAGTGTATCATGATATTTCCATATATTCATACACGCAACATCTCATCATGTATCTTTGAACATGATTTAATTATTTCAGGTAAGGTATTTTGTTAGATTGTTACCTTTTGGTATATTTGTATGGAACAATTTGTTAATAGGTGGAGAAGATTCAACAGTCAATGTCATTAATGTTGACAATTTTAAAGTTTTACATACATTTACAACGAAAGAGTGTGGTCGTATATGGTCTTTAGAAGTCGACAAGTACTCCAAGAACGCTTGTTGTAAAAGGACCATTGATGAGGAGGAGCCATTCACTCTAGCAATTTGCTGCGATAAAGGATTGATTTTGGCAAAAGTTCAAAAAACAATGACACATGCAAACAAAATTGTATTAACACCAACACTCGAAAAACTCTCTGATGTGGACATTCTGACAACATCATGGCAATATTCAAGTGAAGACGAAATAGTTATAACATAGAACAATGTATGATTGTAAACTGTAAAATAATGAATGATAGCGCCTCAATGGCGCCCATGAGTAAATACAGTTGACTGTAAGCTTGGTACGAAAATACTGGAATCGTATTCAAGCTCGTATGAGTTTTGATCCGGACGGATGGGCCAGGAAAGTGCGTGCTCATTTCCAATGCTCGCTCGGACGATCTTACAAGTTCTTCTAACTAGGACATTCGAAGAAATAATTTGTCCTTCACTTCTCTTCTCTGTGCAGGTTTAAAAGTGCTCACGTGAGATAATGCCACCGAACCATTCAACAAAACAAAATCTTGAACTGACCTTTTAGTCACAACAACACCCACAATCATGACCTTGGAAATTGTGTATTTTCCAGCTGCAGGAAGAGCAGAATTGTTAAAGCTAATCGCCGAGTATGGTGGACTTGAATACAAGTACACAGGTGTCCCTCGTCAAGATGAATGGCCAAAACTCAAGCCAAACACTCGTTATGGCCAATTACCATACCTCAAGGTCAATGACGATGTCGATATTTATCAAACCATTGCTATTGCAAGATATTTAGCTCAAGAAACCAAGTTGTATCCTGAGGATCGTTTGAAGGCTACTCTTTCTGAAGAGTATATTTTGGCTATCAGTGATGTTTTGGGAAAGTTCTTTGCTCTGTCTGCCATCACCGATGAAGAAGCCAAAAAGGAAGAAGTTAAGAAGATTGTCGAAGGACCACTTAGAGTCACTTTTGGTTCACTGAATCAAACTTTGGAGAAGAATGGTGGATACTTGGTGGGTGAAATTTCTTGGGCTGATTTTTACTTGTATGAAGCTCTTCAATTTTTGGAGTCCAGAGTGAATGTGACTCAAGAAATTCCTCAATGGCCTATTCTCAAGAAGAATATTGAAGGAATTGAAAAGATCAAGTCCTTCTTGGAAAGTGACAGAAATTTAAAGCGTATTAAACAGTAATAAAATTCATAATTCGCAAAAAAAAACAAAAAAATGTCTCCAATCAAGCCTTATGGACAAGCCACACTTGTAGAAGGTGATCGAACACCTCATACTGATATGGAAATGGATAGTTATTGACAATTTGAAATGTTGTTGGAGGAAGCCTCACCATTCCATTTTGCAACACTTTAATGAGAGAAACAACCAATGAATAGTCAACACTTGAAGAAGAGTTTTTGACCAGTTATTGGACAACTCTTCTTCAAGAATCTCAGTGGACTCCTTTGAGAATCCATAGCACCACGGAGAATCGGGATATTGAAACTTGTTGTCCCTTATTGCCCACTCTTCTCGAATTGGTCCTCATGAAAACCGAAACTAACGTTTTTCTGGTTCATGAAAGCCTTAATCAGTTGATCTCACTCACTTTCAAAAAACGCGGTCTCAACCAAGAACAAAATGACCCGAGTATATCCTCAGCCTGCTATAACATCGACTCCATCATCCACTTCTGTGCAGACTCCTCTCAAAGGAACGGGTTCAACCTTTGAAATTCGAAGAATTGAGCACAGTCAGGAGGAGGATACCACGGATAAAGCACCATCCGTAACGGCCTCCTCAACGACTGCTTCTGAACCATGGTCAGAAAATTCATTATCCTCATCACTGTTCAAATCCATCAAATTTTGCCTCATCATGCTCATCTCTACTCTCATTGTGGTGAGTGTGGTGTTGCTGTCGGCCACATGGCTCTCGACCTTTGGTCCTACACTGGTCAGTTTGAGCAACGAAGATCGTGATTACGAAGCCAGAAACATTATAGGGTTTGTGGAACAAACCATTCAACAAATTGCAGCCTCATCACGGGATATTCAACAACAGCTCATTGGAGATGATTTGGACATATATAATGGACCAGTGGTTGAAAAGAAAATGTACAGCGCCTATAAGGTAGGTATCGATTGAGATACATATAGATTGTAACGAACTCGCTTACTTCGTATTTGTGTATTTCCTCAACAGTCTGGACAAAAGAATAGCGGAGGAGTTGCTATTTCGAGTTATATTGGAGATGAGCTTAATTATTGTTTTGGAATTATTTCTTGGACCAATGAGACAGCTGCTCTCTTCAATATCACACGAGAGAATCAGAAAATTTATTATTGTGACTCCCCTCTTTCCACACATAAAGAATGCAATCGAAATCAACGTCCAGATGAAGTTGCTGGCTCTTTTGATTTGAGCAATTTGATATCTCTTTGTAACCAGTATCCAGGAGAACAAGTGTTTTCAGAGAGCTATGCAGATCCTGCCATGGGAATGTACACTTTTATTTCCCTTGTAAATTGTGTTCCAAAACTAAATAATGACTCATCCAACCATCGGAATTCTAATTTTACTTTTTATTATGGAAATGACATGACTACAGGATCTATATCAAAGTTTTTGAAAGACAGCGCGGAAGAAATGGGAGGTCATGCAAGAAGCTTTATTATTGAAACCTCAACTGAGTTTTTGATTGCTCGTAAGTCTCCTATTTAAAACAATAATTGAATATTTATTCCTAGTTACATTTTCGAACTATTGTTGATTCATGACAATCATTTTGAAAGTGGACAATTTTGCTGATGTTAAGCTCACAGAATGGAATCCAAAAGATGGAAGTCTAATTCGAAAAACGTTTAACAATGTCGATGACTCAGAAATTATTTACTTTTCAAAAACAGCGCTCACAAGCTTGAGCCTAAACCATTTTTCACAACTTGAATGTAATGTTCTAACAACTACCAAAGACTCTCAATACTTTATTATTGTCTACAGGCTTTGTGTCATGCACCTTGATTGGACAATAGTTTTAACAGTACCTCAATGGGCCTACATGAAACCTATTGCAATTGCTGTAATTGTTGCTGTTGGAGTTTCTATTGTTATTGTTGTTCTTGGAATCATTTTGGCAGTCATTTTCTCCTTAAAAATCTCCTCACCGATCTATAACTTGATAGAACTATTTGAAAGTGTTGCTAATATGGACCTAGATAACTTGGACATATCACCTAGTAACTTTTTTGAAATCCGAGCTCTTCAAAAACAGTTTTCCTCGATGATTAAGAGAATGAAATTGTACAGGAGTTTTATTCCCTCACATCTATTAGCTGATGTGGAAAAATGTTTGCAAGATAATGTAGAAAGACCTCCTATAGCAAACTCTTCAAGTTCTCAAAACAATGTAATTGAGAAACAGTCATCAAACCGTGTATTTTCAATCATTTCGTCAGGGAAACAAAGCTCTTTTGGGAAAAAAAACAGCAAAAAGAAAATACAATTTTCCAAAGAGGCAAATCACAAATTCTCGTTATACTTGGAAATCAAATATGTCACAATGGTTCAATTGTTATTGGATGGATTGAACGGATGGATTCATACAATTACACCAAATGAAACAGTTTCTCTATTGAGGTAGGTTAGTAAGGAGGTTTGTTCATTCTTCATTCAATGTTGTGATTTATTTGATAATACTTCTGAAAAAGCGATGTTTGCGACCAAGTGAACAGTGTAAGCAGAGCAGCTGGAGCCAATCAAATTTCACCCTTAGAATATGAATCTCTCATTCTTGCCTTCAATGCAACCTCTGGTCAACCAAATCACGAAGAGAAAGCAGCTTCTTTTTGCAACCTTCTTTTGGAAAAATTATTGAACCTCAAAACCGCAAAATGGAAATCACGAGAGTCAGTACAAAGAAGACCTGAGTTACTGAATATGATGAGTTTTAGGTTTGCTATTCTTGCCACTGAATGTTATCTCGGTAACGTTGGAACAAGCAATTCAAAAGTTTTCACACTATTGAGTAGTGGCAAGACCAATCTGAACACAATGACTACTGTGGCTAAAAATCTCGAAATTCCTATTGTATGTTCTGAAAATGTAAGACATGCATGTCTGAATCTCTTCCAGACACGCTATGTGGACACTAAGAATTTCATTGAAGATACCCACATTTCCTATCAGCAACCAAACACACAAGAATTTGAGGCAAGTCGCCCTCATCCCAATCCAGAACAACCCACCTCCATCTATCAATTAGGACTCTCCCTTCAATCCTCAGAAGATGAATGGATGTATGAACTGGCAGATGCTGAAAAAAAGGATGAATGGAATATGTACAATATGGCATGCAGTTTGTTCATGGAAAACAATACCTCTCAGGCTCTGCATCTGTTCGAACAATATTTGAAAATTAATCCAAACGATAAACCAACACAACAAATGATACAACTTTGCAAGAAATCCATCAACAGCAACAAGACATACTGAAGGTCCTGAACACTGAATGACGCGTGAGTTCATAAACCAACTTTCGTTCATCAGTTTGGATTGTAATTGTAATTTGATTGAATGTGAAGGCGAAGAGAAGAATCGATTTAAAAAATTTTCAACTCATATTCGATCATCAGAGTGGACTCCGAGAGAGTGTTCATATCGTGTTGCTGTTGTGGTGAAGACACGTAACGAATTACGCCACCACTCTTTTAAATTAATCATAAATTCTCTTATTCCTTCCCAGCAAGAAGCGACTAGTTGTTATCAAACCGCGGTTTTTAGAATTCTAAATATTGTTGTTGGATATCATCATCACCAATAATATTATTGAGTTCGGTTTAAACGGTTTGAAAAACATCTTGCACAGCTGATAAGCGCTACCAACTGATACAATTATTGCAATTATTATAATTTGGTTTTTCTTGATTGACTACTCTCTGTGTTATCCGTCCCGCACAACATTTTCACAAAGCCTTTCATCACCACAGGGCTAACGAATTACATCAAATCCGAACATTGTTGTCATCACAACAACCATGTACAAACTCAAAGAGAAGGATATCCGAAAAAGGAAGCAAGATGAAATTAATCAAGGAGGAAGTCCCAAGGTAAACGGAAGTAATACATCTCTTCAAATCAACACTTCAAACCTCCAGCCACAAACACCTACAGAAACAACTCCAACCAGTACTGTAAGTGGGTCGTTCACTCCGACACTCTCCACTCCCACAACATTGTCAGGAATGTCATCATCTATGCCTACCTTCGCTTCATCATCGAGCGATCTTCCAATCTCTCCACCTACCAAAAAAACTAAATTTTCAGACCAGGAAATTGTATGTTGTTTCAAGATTTTGTGATATACGTTTTACTAATTAATGATTTTTAGCACGATTTAAAACTTGTCAATGAGCAACGAAAGCGACTTTTATTGAAAAATAAGGAGCTCACCAGATTGAACGATCAATATCAGAAAGAGGCTGCTGAGTCTTCAAGACAACGAGATATTGCACATTCAAACATGATTAGACTTTTAAGACAATTTAATCATGTAAGTATTTGTAAGAAATTTGTTGCTGTGAAATTTTACCATCACTAAATGGTGAAATAAATTATTTTCAAATAATTCAAGATGATCGAGGATGTTATGTTACAACTCTCTAGATTACCTGCAGTTCCGAATGGGAGGGTAGGTGAAGATGTTTTTGCTAAAGTTTATGACACAAATGTGGATGAAGAATCTATCAATCAATTGTTTGAACGGTTCAGGTCGATACTATCTAGAATAGTGCATGCAATTGATGTTTTGAAGGAAGAGAAAATGACTAACAATGAAAAGCAGCTGGAAGAAGGACTTCGAAATCTAAACTCACAGTATAGAGAAATGAAAGATGAATATAACGCCTTGAATGAAAGGTTACAACAATCTGAACAATTAATAAGGAATCTCAAACAACAACTTGAAGATAAGGAAGAAGATTTAAAAACTTCCAAAAACAAAATCGAGAGACTCTCCTATGAGAAAGAAGAATTATTAACATCCACTCCACTAGCCACCCCAGTTTCCCCTTTTACATCTCCAACTAAAGTTTTTCCCTCATCTAGTTTTGATAATTTACCACAAGATGAAACTAAGATGCTTATTGCCCAAAGAGAAGAAGAAATTAACGAATATGTGCAGAAGTACAGCAGAGCCAATGCGTTGAATGAGGAGCTCAAAGCTAAAGTTGAAGAGCTTGAATCTAAGATTAAAAATTTAACATTAGACATTGATTTTTACAAGGACACCCTCCAGAAAGAGAAGTTAAGATTAGAAGCCCATTACGAGAAGTATAACGCTGAAGTTGAGAGGAATAAGTTGAATCTCAAGAATTTAGAAGACACCTATACCTCTTTTAAGGAAAAGATGAAACAAGACTTTGTGGAAGTTAAAAACGAAAACAAACAACTCAAAGACACCATAGAAAAACTAAATAAGGAAAAATCTGAAAATACTCTGTTAAAACAGAACGAACAACTTCTCCAAAAGAAGAAAGAACAAGTTGAAAAATATAACAAGTTAAAGTATAGATATGAAAAGGCTAAGCAGGCTGCAGAGGAAGCCAAAGTTTATAAGCAAGACAAGGAGGACATTATTCGACAGTTGAACATGTACAAGAAGCGAAATGAAGAATTAGCCAAACAAATTTCATCCCAAACTGAAACATCCAAAGAAAGTGCATCCACCTCTGAAGGAGCATCCAAAGAAAGTACTTCGGAAGATCCATCGTTTTTGAAATCAGAAATTATCAAATGGAAAGAACAAAGTGAAATGTTTGAGGCATCATTGAATGACACCATTCAGGCCTATGAAAAGCTTCAACAAGAAAAGGATGAAGTAACTAGGAGAGTTGACAGAGCCGAAGAGCAACGATTGGAGTCCATGAAAGAGAAGGCAAAAATGGAAAAAATAGTGGAATCTGTCAAGGATGATATGAAAAAGATTTCAGATACTTGTGCTGAGCTTGAGCGTGCAAAGAAGCAACAGGAAGAAAGGATACAATCACTAGCCCAAGAAAAGGCAGTGTTGGGCGAGTTAATAGAAAAACAAAAACTGGAAGAGATAATGTATAGGAAAACCCTAGATCAACAACGACAGGCTCTAGATCACTATAAACTGGTAGTACCCAGCCTACACTCTGAAATAGAGCTGCTGAAAACTAAAAATACACAACTGATACAGGACTTGGAGAAGAAAGAAAATGAATGCAACAAACAATCTCTTGCTATTAAGAGGTTAAACGAAGAGAAACAACGAAAGAAAGAAGCCGAAATTGCTAGTGCTAGCACTGACGATTATTTCAAGAGAAAGATTACTTGCACACAGTGTAACGATCGAGAAGTGGATCATGTCATTTGCCGATGTTTCCATACTTTTTGCAAGGAATGTGTCAACTTAAATATCAAAACAAGAAACAGGAAATGCCCAAAATGTGGCGTTCGTTACGATCAAAACGATGTGAAACAATTTTACCTCAATTAAATTATTTACTTAATGTATCATGAAGTTTCAAAGTCACCGCTTTCGAAATGCAAAAATGGAGCACGAGACCTTTAAACTCTTGTTGGCTTTTTGGGTCCACTCAATCATGTTCACAGTGCAATCCAGAAACACCTTTCTTTGAAGCTATTAAGAAAGCAAATATTATTTGCCACTCACAACGATGGAACGAATACACAGTCCAATAATATCTTTCACACCTTCTAATATTTTCTCTTGTACTGAGAAGTTTTTCCTCCTCGCTTTGCTGTTTTCACTGCTTGCTTTTTGTTCTTTTTTTCTAGCAACTCTTTTAACAGTGGTGTGATAATTGGCTCATCACTCTTTCTGTCATAATAGGCTGAAGACCCAACACCACCAAGAGCCAAAGGAATTGCAGATGATTTTTTGCTTGAAGAGCTTCCTTCAGAATGGCTGTCACTTGCATCAAGACCGAGCCCACTCGTAGTTGAGCTGTTATCCAGGCTGAGTGGTTGAAGAGTAAGCTCTTTTGGTTGCTTCAATTGTTCCAAGAATTTTAAATAGTGCTCATCCTTAAATATAGTGCCGTCTCTTGGATCTTTCTTCTTTGGTTTTGGTACCATTTGAAGAGGACAATATTCCATGGTCATTGTGGTTTCCCTCCAAATAGACGAATTCGTTGTAGGGTTGCTAGTGTTTGGCAGTAAAGGTGTAGCGTCTTCGTCCTCGTCATCTTTGCTCAATGTCACTGATGCTTGTAGGGTTGAAAGCTGTGTTGATTTAGCTAATTCCATAAACTCATTTCTAAATTGATGTAATAAATTAACATTTGCAAAGTTCAAATAGGCAATACTTGGAAACACTTGTGTGGTGGTTTTGTAGCCACAATGGAAATCACTCCAATTAATTTTCTTTGGATCATAAATAATTTTCGTAGATGAAATACTTGAATTATCACTACCACTGCTAACAGTATTTGTTTTCTCTACTAGAAAAGATCTAGGGACGCATTTACCAATAAAGTCCTCCTCCGTGAAATTGTATGGTATATTCCGAATGATCGCCTTGGTTTTGTTTTTCACGAGACTTCCGTAATGTTGTTCATTACTATTGCTAACATGAGTTTGAGATATTGAAGCGGCTGCTGAAGTATTGTTGTTAGTAGAGGAGCCTTTTGAAGCATGTGCCTTCTTATTTCCTTGCTTTTTTTGTTGCTGAGAGGTACCTGAGACCTCAGATGATGAAGTAGAAGGCTTATTACTTTTAGTACCTGATGCTATTGATGGAGAGGTCGGTGGTGTTACTGATGATGCAACAACGGATGATACATTACGATTTGGTTCGGAATTTACATTTGTTGATGCTCCTTCCTTCAATTCAGGAGTTGTTGATCCACTACTATGGCTGCTCGGAAGTGCACTACCACCACTCTCTGAATTAGCAGCAGCAGAAACAGAAGCAGCAGTTGTTTGAGTCGTCGTGTGGGGTGTTGTTGTCTTTTTCACCCACAAAACGGGTTGATGGCCAAACTTTCCACTCATTTTTTGTGGTCTTTTTCAATTTTAGAAATTAATTTCTTTTTTGTTGGGAATTTCTTGTGCAGCAACCAATTCTTCAAAATTTAATATGATTCAATCTATTAAAATAAATTATAATTGTACAATACTGTATTTACAGAAATCCAATGTTGATGAAAATTGATTAATCTTCATACAATATGTCTTTGTATTTTTCTCGATATTGTCCTAAAAACTTTTCTCTCAAATAAGGACAAGTCACCTTGACTTTCCATCCATGTTGTTTGGCATAATCAAAGCAAGCCTTTGCAAAAGGCATAGCCACTCCTTTTCCACGACACGAGTCCGGAATTTCAATATGATAAAACTCATGAACCACAAACGAATTTAACTTCTTTTCATCTTCTCCCATCATCATACCACGAACATGAATCTTCTTCTTTTCAAATTCTAAAATAGCCTTGCTATTGGTTGATGATGAGGTTGGTGATGATGGTTGCAAACTCCCAAAATCACCATTGCCCACAACACATGAAAATTGATCCTCTCCGACGTGAAGATGTTCCGAAAAGTAAGCCTCCGACATTTTTTGATGATCAACAGCAACACTGGAAAAGGTATGAAATTGATTTCTTGAATTGAAGATTGCCCATCGATGAGATGATGAGGACCATGTTATGAGTAGAGCAGGACTGTTGTTGTTGTGCTTATAAATACTAACACCACTACAAGGTGATAGACAGACAGCTCTGTTTAATGCAACAACAGACAATTTTTTCATTGTTGATGAGTTGTCTGTTCATGCGGAGGAATGTTGAATTGATGAGGATGATTATGGACAAAACGTCAACAACTTCAAGTGATCATGAGCAATGATACTCAATTTGAGCCTGAGGTCAATATGGCTGTACAAAAAACCTCATTAATCACAATGCCCTCAATCTAATTGTAATAATGGCAAAAGCAAGAATTGCCATTGTCTGAAGAACAGATTATGGAGCTCACGCATGCACAAGTAACTATTTGTAAATAAGTACGCGGTGATTTAAGCTGTCACATATCACTAATTCTCCAGTTAACTCGTTCAAACACATGCCTGTGACAGCAGAAAATTGGTTCATTCTTGAATTCTCCTCTCCAAACGACTTTAAGAATGAGCCATCTTTTTCAAAAATTTGAATTCGGTGATTGTCGCTAACAATGATATGCTTTGCTACCTTATCAAAAACCAATGCAAAAGGGTGATCAAATTCTCCATTAAGCTGTCCGTACTTTCCAAATGATTTTATACATTGCCAATTATCTCTATTTTCATTCATGCGAAATATTTGAATTTTGTGGGAAGGAAAAGTTTCACTTATTATGATATCGCCATCGTCACTAAAATCAATACCATATGGACTCTGAACTTTCATACTTTGAACTAGCTCTCCTGTTTTTACATTCAAAATTTTCATGTTATGCTCGTCCCAATCGCAAATATATGCATGACTGTTGCAAAAATTCATTTCACTTTGGCTCCCTAATATTTTGAATTTTGTACAACCTTACCTTTTAGAGCTCAATAACACTATTCCTTGAGGAGAAACAAAAATTTGAGAAATCCAAATGCTATTACATGCCTCCATATTTGGAGATTTTTCTAACAACTCATTCAAATCATATTTGTAAACTCCAAAATTTTCACATCCAAAAATTAGGGCATCGTTGTTTTTACCATCATAATTTTCTTCGACACATAAAAAGAGAGGATATTTAGAAGGACTTGGAATAGATGTACGGAATTCTTTCGTGTGTAGATCAAAAACCATTATTCGAGAATTACGAGTGTCAGAAATTAAAATACACGAATGAGAATACGATATTTTGACATCAAAGGGACAATGAAATAGATGTGAATCAGTGCCATAAACTCCAAATCGTCCGAATGTATGTACAAGTTCAAAATTCATGGAAAATGGTTGAGCTCTTCTCTTCACTGTTCTCATCTTTTGTATTAATTTTTCAATCAGCTCATAGGCATTGGTTCCATTTGGCTCATTCATGAATTCGTCATGATGGTTTTCATCATTATTTCTTGTGGCCTGTCGTTTCGGCAATAAATGTATTAAAATAATTTTGACAACATCGGATCGTGAGTCGTCCTCCCAACAACAAGCATTCAATTCCCTCCAACCATCATGAGTGTTGTTGTGCAAGTCTTGAGGTTGGTACGACGATCTTGGATCATCATTATCATTCAATTTCATTTTTTTGTTGCGCTTCTTGTTGTTGATTGGAGGTCCTAATGAACAGAGAGATGTAGAGTCGTTGAGAGTGGTGGACTCATAGGCAGAAGAGAAAAAGATCTAACTCTTTTCTATATGAAGCTTGTTTTGATAAGGTGAACAAGCCTCACTCAAACACGAGAGTACAAGAATTTTTCAAAGCCTTGAGAAGTGGAAACGAAAGGCTTTTTTCCGCGCTTTGATCGACATTATGGGTTAATTTTTTTCACGAAACGAGTCTTTGTGTCTGATCTATCTTAGAAGAAGAGTTTCATATTTTGCATCATTAGACTGAAAAGCTCAGCAAAATTGTAAAAATTATTTTTGTTTGATAAATTTGCAAAAAATTAATCAAAAAATTGTCTAAACAACTCATAAATGGGAAACGCTGTTCTCCATTCTTCATCATCATCACCAAAAAACTATTGGACCACTCGAAGATGGTGGTTTCGAAGAATGAATGAAAAAGTATTGGATAGACAGCGAATAGAAAAAACTGGTCAATCCTTCCTATTTTCGGAACAAGAAATGGATGACATGATGAGGAGATTGAGAACAAAAAGCTATCTCACCCCGTCCATGAACGGCAAATATATTGGTTTGGCATTGATCACTCTGCTCACTTTTTGTGCAATTGTTACAACGTTGGACTACAGAAGACACGAAGAATATTTAGCCGCTCTTAGCTTGGAAGAGTCTAGCAAGTATGGAAAACTTTCAAGGATTACCGCTGAGACACACAACAACAGCCATCATGAAAGACCGAGAATACCACAAGACTTTAGAAGATTTTAAATTTGTGGCAACATATATGAACGCAGAAAGATGCGGAAAACACTAAGATTTTCATGAAATGAAGAACAAACCCTCGTCTAATCTCTACGTAAGAAATTGGTGACACTAAAACTAATTTTGATTCTAATAAGGGGTTGCTGTTAACCATATTTTGTTAAGGATGGAGATATAGTATGCGGTGTTTTAATGTTCGATGCCATGATCTCACTGATTGAGAGGAATGGAAATGGCAAGAAGGTTGTAATTTTCAAAAATAAATTTATCGAAACAAATTGGTTTCAAAAATTGTGAATTATTTACTATGATATATCCAATATTGGCGTAGAAGACGGTGACAAAATCGTGTTTGTTGGAGAAGATGTCGATGATGATGCTCCTTGATCCACAAACGGATCACTAAAACTTCGATTCATTCTCGGTTCAAGAACTGCAGCGTTGGAGGAAAATGTTGTTGATTTCTTGATGCCTGTACCCTGAGTGACGCTGGGTAGTTTTGGTGTCTCTCCAGATTGTTGTTTTAAAGGTGATACCAGCTTGTTGGAGGTTGAATTAACGTCAGTAGGTTTTGTTGAGTTTGTAGAACCATGGCTTGATTGTTGTTGAGGAGATTGTGAGGTGGCAGAAGGACTTGAATTGTTTGGACTCTGTTGATGTAGTGGTCCGTATGAATTCGATGAGTTAGTAATGCTCAAATTCTCTAAATTTTTGCTAATAAGGGAGCTAAGATCTGAGTCTTGAAAAGTCGCTGATTGTTTTGACTCTGTCTTACTGTTATTGCTAACCTTTTGTAAGGTTGCGTTAATGGTTGTTGTTGTTGATGATGATGATGGTAATTTGGAAGGATATGGTACTGAATTTGGTGAGGTGTTTGATGTGATACTTGTAGGCTTAACTTGTGTTGATGACATGCTAGGTTGGCTTGTTGTTGTCTGTATGCTTGTACTGCTAATTTTGAAAGTATTGGAGGATGTTTGCTTCAAGCTATTTACAATTGTGGTTGCCGTTATTACTGATGCTCCTTCATTATTTATCTTTGCCACCTCCGCCAGCTTGTCTTGCATGTCAAAAATCAACTTATCTCCGATATTAGTCATGAAATGTGGGTTTACAATTAATGAATCCTTGTGAATGCTTGATGTACCATTCTCAGGACTACCAATTGTCATTTTCATGCTTTCTGGAGCAATTCCAAACTTTTTCAAAAGCTCCAATTTCTCTCTCTTGTGTTTTGAATTCAAATTCATGACTTCTTCGTAGTGCTTTTGAGCCAAGGCTTCCCATTGCATCTCGAATTCTTCGGGAAGTTTTGTGGCATTCAAAGAATTGCCGGTTGGTTTGGAATTTGTTGGGCTTGTACGAATGCTCTTTCCGTTTGGTTGAGTCTGTTGAGAGGTATTATTTTGTGTTGCATGGTTTGGTTGGCCTCTCAACAACGGTGATGACCTTTGGTCGTTTGTTGGAGAATCTTTTTGCTTTGTCACGTCAGCAATTTTCTTGGTCTCTATTGTCAGATTACTTTTGTCATGCTTTGCTACTTCACCTTGTGCAGGAGTTGCTGGTGAATTTGTGCTTATGGGTTGTTGAGGTTGAGGATTTGGTTTAGTCATTGATTGACTATTTGAATTGCTGGTGGCAACTCCGTATGTTTGTTGAGTGACATTTTGTGTTTGTTTTGGTTCTGTTTGGCCCAACACATTATTCGTAAGAGGTTTTGTTGATGTCGATATTGGTTGTGGTTTTACATTTGTTTGAGCACAGGCAGGTGTCTGAGTTGATGATTGCTTAACACCACTCACATTCGAACTGACTTGATTTTGTGGTATCGACTGAGGAAATGTGTTTTGAGAGAGGAAGTTACTTTCTGTACTTTTTGGTGAGGATGCTTGTTGTTGTTTTTTGTTCATGGTCATATCGAGTTGTGTTGGTAGCACTAATGTTGTAGTTTCCTTAATGTGGGTAATGACTGGGCCATTGAATGGAGAAATTGGTCCAGGACTTGCCAGGTTAATAATTTCCATTTCCTTAACAGGGGTTGATTTGGTGTCACTTGATTTGGTAGGAGTGTTTGGAGTGTCAATAAGAATTAAATTATCCACGTGGCTAGTTGAAGAGGTAGAAGCTGAAATGTTGGTGTTTGTGTCTTTGGAGAGCTCTGATGCAGATGTTTCTGGATTTGAGGCTGTACTATCTGCACTTGCCTTTGTTGTCAAAAACTTTAGCTTTGCTTTTGTCAAACATTCCGCCAATGCTGTCGAAATAGAATCAACAAATGACTCTGTCAATGAAAGTTCATTTACCATTTCTCTGGCAACATCTAAAGGAGTGTCCTTACGTAAATTGAATGGAAATTTGATTTCCTTATACTTCTTGCTTCCTTCTATCTTAATATATAGTTTGGTGTTCACAGAGTACTTGTCATTTGTTGAGTCATTTCCAAGAACCACTCTGACATCCTCCAATTCTTCATCAGATTCGTCACTAACATCATTGCTCTCTTCCTCATGTCCAAAGTAAAATACAGTGTCATTGTTTCTATTATCTGTCATGAAAGGATGTTCCATCAGTTCTGCAGCATTCGGCCGTATATCCTTATGACAAATGCACAAGTTAATAAATTCCTTAACATCGGGATCTTTGACTTTTTCGATACCCTCAGGTTTAACACCAGACGTGACTCTTCTGTAAACTTGAGCAATACTGTTACATTCACAATATGGATATTCACCGGTTACCATTTCCAGAACACACAATCCAAACGCATAAATATCTACTTTTTCATTATAACATTCTTCATATAATTCTGGTGCCATAAACTCAGGTGTTCCATTCACTGAAGTAGCAAATTTTTTATCCTTCATACTGACAGAAAGTCCTAAATCTCCAATTTTCACCTCACCTCTACTGCCGTTCATGAAAATATTGTCACATTTCAAGTCTCTATGAATTATTGATAAAGAGTGCAAATATTTCAAACCCTCGAGAATTTGTTTGCACCACTTTTTGATATTTCTAAGTCTCACTTTTTTTGAGTTGCGAATGAAGCTTCATTAGCAATGATGACATTCAATAATTAACAGATAGCACCACTGTTGGTCTGATCAAAAGTATATGATTTCTGTACTTACTCTTTGAGTGTACCAGAGCTCATCAACTCAGTGATAAATATCAAGTATTCACCGTCATCAGTTTCCCATGAGTCATAAATTTCCATGATCGATGGATGTTTCACTTGTCCAAGAATCGAAATCTCCTGAAGCATCTTCTTCTTTTGAGATAGAGCAACACCGGTAAGTTTGATTTGGTTCCATGCAACTTCAATACCTTCCTCCGTGTCATAGGCGCGATAACTTCAGTTAAAGTTTTTCGAAATTGTGATGATGGCGAGAATAACGGTATACCGAGTCGTTCCGTGATGAATTGGACGAAATGTTAAACTCGTGAAACTTACACTGTTTTGAAGGCACCCGAACCTAAGAGTTCTTTCTTTGAGTATCTTCCCTTTGGGTCAGTTTTAATTTCCTTTGACATGATGAGATATTGGTAATTGTTGTTGCTACGATGCTATGAGATGTAGAAATAAAATCAATAATGATGATGATATGCCGAACAACAGGTTTGTTCGCAATAATAATAAATTCCTTGTTATCAATAAAGACAGTTTTTCCACGAGTATGATGTGATGTTGAAGCAAGTGATGATAATTCTCCCGAGCAGAGAAAAACACAACCAAATTGAATCTCTCCCTTGCAACGAAGGCTTCTGGATATCAGACGGGTAACAATGATTCTTTACGGAATAAAAGAGGAATGGCAACGACCCAAAAGAATGATTCAATCCCGTAATATTCCAGTTGTTGTTGGCTTTGCCCAATTCCAATAAACGTAAATTCAGAGTACAATTTGTTGTTGTGGTACTGATGATAACAAAGGATTTGTTGTTGGTTATTCTCCACAATTCTCCACAATAATATTAATAAAATCAAGAAGCTCTTTCAACGAGCAATCACGTAGCAGCGTTGATGTTGTTGAACAAATTTCAACTCTCACAACGCACCAGCTGCCCACAGTAATATCAACACACTTTGTTGGCGGTTTTTTTCGCTCGGTTTGGGTTGCTGTGCTTGGAAAGAGGCTTCTCTTTTGGAGAAGTTCTTGAAGGGTGGTGTAATAACAAAGTGACTCGATCAACAATGATTTGATTCGTGTCTTCTCCTCAAGAGAGTGTTATTGGGAGTAGGCAATTTATGGGATAAAAGAGGAGTTAATATCAATTTCAGTTCTCATGATGATGATGATGGGTCAGCTTGCTTTGGCAACCATCGACTCATTGCAGGTAACAACACCATTTTGTACTCTGATGAACTTCCCTCTCAAAAATTAACAACATGTCAGAGTGGAGAATACAAAACGGAGGGTCGACCCTCCAACCAAGAATTTGTAGAACTTTAGTAAGCGTAATATTAGAATTAAGGCCAAACACTAAACACTAATCGTTGGAGTTGCTCTTCATTTGGCCTATGAGAGGATTATATTACAACAACTCAAAAAATTGCGAATTTTAATGTTGGTGCATGCCGGATCATAACGACATGCCAACTCTGAACGAAGAAGAGAAGACCGTCATTCAAAGAAGACAAACCACGGAGAGAAGGCTTCATTCTCTTCTTGCTCATCTTCAATTGCTCGGAATTCCATCTCCGTTTTTCAGACATGCCTCTCATGCTGTTCAATATGCGAATCATCATCTCTTGAGCACAAATCATCATGATGGGAATGATGATCGGAACAATAGCACGGTGAACCTTCATCCATCTTCTTCTTTATCCTCTGAAGATGCAGCAACATCCAAAACGAAATTATCAAAGGCAACAAGAAAACAAGAAGGAAAGATTATTCTGAATAGTAATAATAATGGACGAACCAACAACAAGTTAAACTCTCTTGAAAACTTGTACCGAAACTTGAGACCTCATGCACTTCAGTCTTCACAGACCACCCCGAATAGTCGAGAGGAGCAACTCAACAAAACGCTCCAACAAATGGCTGTACAATCGACCAAATCAAGAATTGGAGGTTCCGATGTCTTACTGCAATTTTCTCCTCTAGTGACAGGCCAAGTCAGACATTCACAAGTCACTTACATTTCTCCTCACTCGGCTTCGGAATCTGCAGATTCAACCTCACTGCAAGCTGGGATTCTTTTGGTAGCCTCAACAAGGGCGGACGTGAGAAGAGCTTTTATTGAGAGATTATGTCAAGCTGCTGTAGAAAGATCGGCGCTTGTCTACTCGATTGCCACTCAGGGAGGTGTCAATGTATCGACCGATGGAGTCTACAAGTTATCGACGCATCCAACCTTGTCGAGGAGAGCAATTTTGAATGCATTGCTTAGACATGGAGCTCATTTACTTGTGTTTGGAACGATTAGCACACGAGACGATGTCATGTCCTTGATGGATGCTGCTTACACAGGTTATCATTGTGTTGCTGAAATTTATGGGGAATCTGCTCATGATGTGCTGTCGAGGTTGGAAGCTATTGGTGTCGACGTTTCCATGTTGCCTCAGAACTTGAGAATTGTGGTGCCAGCCATTCCTAGCGTCGCTACTGCCAGCACACAGTAAGAACAACAACAAAAACCAAATTCGGAATTCAATGTGAGATGTGAATTGAATAGAATCATAATATCGTGAAGGAAACAAGCTTGTATTGTCATCCATGTTTTGTTTCTGCGTCGCAAAGTTATTTCATCGAATTATGAGTAGAAGAATTGAAATTTATTGTTACTGATGGAATTACTCATCATCATACAAGCGCATGATGACCAAGTATAATAAAGGAGGAGAGAATTAGGGATGATGAAGTGATGATGAACAAAATGCTCTACTATTCTACTATTGAACACTCTGGAGCGAAATGGTAGGTATTCCGCACAACATGTTGTTGTTGTTGTTATATAATCAAATATATTATTTAGAAACCATGAATCTTTAGATTTTCCTTTGTTACGATTTCTTCTTCTAAAAGGAATTCAGAAATGTTATCACGTTGGTCTCCAGAAACTTGGATGACCTTTCCAGCCTTCTCATCTTCCACAATGGTTCCGTTGCAACAGAATTTATGTTTGACAGCGCTGATAAACTTCTTAAACTTAAAGTTGCGGGGTAAACCTTCGACAATCGTAACGCACTTTCTACCGTTACGCTTTTGCACTCGGATGTGGACGAATTGTTGTTCAATCACTCCAGTACCAGTTGAGAGTTGATTAGAATCGGCACTGTCTCTGAAAGGATCAAATGTTTGAAAGTTTTGAATTTCTCCAGACATGATGATGATGTTGTTGTTGAATATTTTTTCGATTTGATTTTATTTTTGTGTTTTCAATTTGAAAATTTATTGTGGTGGTGAAGGGTTCAATAATTCAATTACTACAATCAGAATGAACGAACATGATTCCACAACTCGACATCTGTGATCATTCCTTCCAAATTAATTAACGCCCAAACTTTTGTTGGATGGCCTCAAATAAAGTCAACTCTGGATGTTCTCTCTTCTCCTTTGGAAATTCCATCAACACGTAAGAAAGTAATTCTCTAAGTTTTACAGAGCGCTCAACAATGGCTGGGACGACTTTTGTGTTAAATTCCTCTTCAATTTTAGCGTCATTTGGTGAAAAGGTATGAATATAGATCAATGGACGATCGCAAATAGTTGCTGCCAACCAACTCTGAATCACTTTTAGATATCGATCATTTCCAAACATCCCACATCCCCAGAATCCTGATGCCAACGGTATCTTGTCATTAATTTTTGAGAGAACTTTTGAATATTCACAATTCTCACCATTCGTTTGCTGTAAAAGATTATCGGAAGACTTCAATGCAAATCCACAGACAGCTTTGAGGAGATCTCTTGTCATGTACTCTTTTTGGAATTGCATATGTCCCATTCCTTGTAAAGCATCCATTGCAATGAGTTGATTACTTTTCACATTCTCAACCATGATGGGCTGTTTGTCTTCATAGTCTTCGAAAGACATATTTCGAATGTAACCCTTAATATTGGAATATCGTTGCCAACCCACTAAGCGAATGGTTTCGTTGGGCTGCATTTGGGGGCACACTAAAATTGAAATAAATAATTCAGGTATTTCTGCAAACATTATTTCCTCTTGTGCAACGGCACCAGATAAGACATGACCGCCAATCATGCAATTAGCAAAATCTACCATAAGAGTGTCCAAATTGTCTTGAATTTTTCCAGAGACGAATTTGAGAGGAATCATTGATCGTTGATCGTTCATCCATGGACTATTTTCAAAACTGTTCATTTGTAATACTCTTCTTTCGATAATCATAACCTCATCAAGAATTGAGTCATTTCTTAACGATTGCTCCCATTCATAATGCTTGTCAAAGTAATTGATGAGTGACGAGAGGAAGGTCGAGCAAGCGACACTCAAAAATAGACCAAATTCAAAATCATGACACTTTGGATGATGAATACCTTTCCTTTTTCTAAACAAGCACAAAAAAGCACAACTCAAAACAGATCGAATTTTTCTTCTACTTAGACAGAAGTCACATGGGTTTGAGATTTCTAAAATTGGTAAATAACCTTCAGGAATTAAATCTTGAACTTGTAATGCCCATTTCACAATATTCGGAAAGATTTGTTTACAAAATTTCAGTTCTCCTTTACCATCCTTCTTGAAAAGAAATGAAAGGTTGTGAAAATGATAATTTGTTGAACTTTCCAACTCTTCAGTAGTTTCGGAAACGTGTTCTTGATGACATTCTCGAATTGCTTGATCTAACTCTTTAACAAGTTGAATGAACTCATGGATCGATTGTATGCAAGATTTGTTGGTCGCGAAGGGAGTTAATTTTTGACAAATGACTCGCCATTCATACTCATAGAAATGTGGCAGAGGTACTTGAGTTGGTTTGGTTGAAGATGAGGACCAAGATCTTGGAGCTTGTTGGGACATTTTTTAGGGATTGGTTCAAGTTCACAAGTTCCCTCTTTTCGAGCTTGTTTGTTCAAGACAAAATGGATTGCCAGCAATGCATTAGATTCGAGAAAGAACAACAACAAGAAGAGTGAATCCAAGTTTTGAAATGTAAATCGTTTGAAAAGTCAAATTTCATAGGACATGATAATTATTGTAATTCATGGCGTTAGGAGATCTTGCCAAGTGTTGTTGTTGGTGATTCAGAAAGGGGCCATAACAACGGTCCCTCATCCGTTCGTTGTGATAATTTTCACTCTCACGCCATTGATCTTTGCGTGTGGTGCACCGTCGTTACAAATCCAATACTACTACGCCTTATTACTAATCCTGTACTATCTAAGCAAAACTACGAATAGAAAAAATGAAATTTTATGAAATCCCGACGGCCCTTCCGAAAGAAATTGTTTTTGAAATTATCTGCATGGCTATGCCCAGTGATACGTTTTCAAAATATATTATTTATTACATTGTGTGATTCGTAGGAGTGATTCATTATTGGAAAATGTTGTAGTAGAAGAATTGAATTTGCCCTACTCCAGAAGAGATTTAATGAACGGAGAATATATGGAGAGATTTTTGGAATGTTTCCACTATTTTGATGCGATCTTATTGAATGATCATTACTCTCCTACCAAGCAGGTTGCCAAATTATTTTCAATATTGCGAGAATCCATTGATACTGTTATCAACAAGATTCGAAAGTTCAGGAACAATTCAAAACTCTCAGATTGAATGGTTCAAGATATGAATCTGATTATTATATCAATGAATTCACTTATTCAGCACTTCAGGCGGAAACATTTTTTGAAATTGAAATATTTTATTTTGACACTAAATTGAGTATATTGGGCCCAGCGATTTTTCTATCGTACGCTGGATGCAAAATAATCCAGCGAAAATCAATAAGAATAAAAATAGGGATGAGAAATGTGACACATTTACACTTTCCACTGCAAAGAATGTCACTCTTTATTACAGAGAGGACAATCCCCAAATAACCTTGGTTTACATTTCAGCGTTGGGCACTTTGATGGCCGTGTTTGAAATGTTTTGAGAATCAAGATTGGGACAGCACAATTAGAGGGAACTATTCTCTCTCGAAATCAAATTAAGGTTTTGCAAAGAGTATTGTTTGAGGAAAATAATGACGAAATTCAGTCAAGGAAAAAGTTGAATCAGTCCATGAAAAAGATTCATTCAAAAATAGTCACAGTCAGTTTATTTGGGTTTTGTTTGAATACACTTGGCAAGTCCACGACAGACATCCCAGCAGAAGGAGGCAAAGGGAAACTTTCGGTTATCACAGCATAAGCCAACTGTGAGCAGGTTTGGAGTTGATTCGTGTACTGTCAACAAATGTTTTGGCATCTGAGTCTGCAAAACGATTCACTTCTCCAAATGCCCAACCAACGATCGACTATCTCGTTGAGCTGTTAACTGCATCAAAGGAAGGTGAATCTTCTGCATCCAAGTCTTCCAAGACCAAAAAAACCAAAGCTAAAGCAACCAATCCAGTTGCCTCAATAGATACAAGAATTTGTCATTATTGTCTAAGAAATAAGGCCAAAAGTGACATTCCTGAGTTTTGGTTTGAGGGTATGTCCACCAAGTCGGTATGCGTGTCATGTTGTATTGAAAAAGCAGTATTTGATACTCTCTCAGCAAAAGAAGTAACTTCTCTCACAGGTATTAAATCACCATCCAAGGTTTTCTCGAACGTCACTTTTGGATACAATCCCAAGAAGTACTTTTTAAAGAGGGAAGTGATGAATTACTCGAACAAACAAGAGACACCTGAACCAAGCACCAAGAAAGTGAAAACTCAAACTCATTAATGTCTTGAATTTTTCCATGTGTCAATATTTCCATGCTGCATATTCTCTGATAACGCAATGAAATTCTTAACCCCTCACCTCTCATGAATGAGATACGAATGGTATTTTATGTGTGTGCAAAAACAAAAAACTGAGACTTCAATAAATTCCAAATGAAACACAAAGATTTCTCTCTTCTGAAGGTGAGGTTGTAATCAAAAAAATTTTCCAAAAGCATCGTTGTTGCTTCTCTTTTCATTGGCATCATCATCCTCGCTGAGAAATTATCACCCACACCACCAATAGCTGACTTGTCTCATTTGAGATCCACACGTATTTCGTATTACTTTATACTTTGGTGAATTTTGATTTGCATCAATTGATTCTTAGACCAAGCGATTTTCAAGTCGTCCTAAAATGTTGAACACTTCCCTTGCATCATCATCAATATCTTCCGTAGCGTTGCAACCCAGCCAATGTCATGAAAACGATAAGGCCGAGGTGGTTCTTTTACACGAGCCTGGTTTGGAGGCCTTGTTAGGCTCTCTTCATGCCTCCGGCTCGCTTTTTGAAAAGCCCGTAAATTTGCACATGGCAAGAAAGAATCATCAAGGATTCAAAGAAGCTCTCCGAAGACATGGAGTGAAAGTGATGGACGTGAGAGATATTCTGGCAATGAATTGTGAGCATTCTTTGAAATGCAGAGTTGAATTGGAAGAATTAGCATTGAAATGCATGAAATATGTTTGTAGTGATGGAAATGATGATGATGACCAATCTACGGCCGAGTTTGAGGATTTGACTCAAGTTCAAAAATATCTTTTAACAGATGATTACAAACGTGAATGTCTGTCGACAATGGGAGTCAAAGATTTGATTGATATCATTCTGTTAGGTCCAACAGTGCGTCTTGTTCCATCTTCCATTAACACTCCAATGCGTTTAGAAAGGCTCGGTATGCGACCACTTCTCAACTTGACTTTCACACGTGACCAACAAATTGTTACCAATAGGGGTCTTGTCATTTGTCGTATGGGAAGTTGGCAAAGACATCAAGAAACAAAAATTTTGAAATTCTGTTTTGAAAAACTAGGTTATGAAATTTTGGGTGAAATTCAAGAGCCTGGTATTATTGAAGGAGGTGATTTTTTGGTTGGAGGTTCAGATATTTGTTACATTGGCGAGGGTTTGAGAACCAATCCCGATGCCATTCGTCAAATGTTGGACAATGACTGGTTTGGAACACGACGTGTTGCCGTTGTGCACGATTATTTCGACTGTGACCAACAAAGAATGCACTTGGACACATTCTTTAACATTTGTTCACATAATTGCTGCGTCATGCTCGAAACAGTGATGGGAGAAGAATCACCAATTAGAAGAGTCGTTACTGAATACACCAAGAATGGAAATGGCAAATATGAGGTCACTCGTTTCAACGTCGAGTTCTCCAAATTTATTAGAGAAGAGGGTTACCATATCATTCCTGTGACAGAAAAGCAACAAGAACAATATGGTATTAACTTTTTGAATGTTGGAGGTGGAGTATGCATTACTATGGATGAATCTACAAGTAGAAAAATGTTGCAACATCCACACTTTGATGGTGAAATTGATCTCATTGATTACTCTGGTATGACCACCATGTATGGATCTCTACACTGCTCTTCTCAAGTAATTCAAAGAAAAAAACTTGCAGTCAACGAGTTTAGAAACTCATACTCTAAAATTCAACCACAACCATACATGACTCAATGTAGAGAATTTGAAAATCAGTCATCCAACAATGTTTTAATTGTTGTTCCAAGTTATCATGCGGTTCACACCAATGTTACTAAGGCCCTTTCTGCCGCCAAACATGAGCTCATTTCATCCAATGACATTAGTAGAATTAAGGAACAACATAGACACATCCTTGCTGATATTCACAGACAATTGGTCAAGCATGGAGTGAATACCATTGTTTTCACTCAGAGACCAGATATTCCTGGAGACTCTACTGCTCACTTCCCAACTCACAACATTTCATCACATGCCAACAATTTGATCCTTTATTATAAGGAGGCTGAACGTTCTGATAGAATGGATAAATTAGCCAAGACTTTGAACATGTTCTACAGAGAAAAAGCAACCATTCAAAAGAACGTTGAAGATCAAACCACTTTAGACTTTATTCAAGGAACAGCAAGTTTGGTCTTTGACAGAATTCACAAGAGAGCATTCTATGTCATTTCAATGAGTACCATTGATACTTCCAAGATTGAAGAATTTGTCAAGTCATTGGGTTACAAGGAATTTATTCCATTCGCCAAAGAACGATTCACTAAGGGAACTCTTGATATTTTGGATTATACCAACTCTCATCTCTTCATTGGTACCAAATTTGTGGTCATTTGTCGTGATGAATTTGAAAATGAGAATGACTATCAATTATTACAAAGTTATTTCACCGATCGAGTGGTCATTTCCATTTCTAAGGAACAACGTATGTGCAATTGCATCAACGGTCTCATTGAACTTAAAAGCAATGATGGAAGACTTATTTTGTTTGCTTCTAAATTGGCTATGAATGTCTTTAAGGAAGACCAAATTGAAAAGATTAGATCTTGTGTGGATGAAATTGCAGTGATTGAATTGAATATTCTTGAATCTAAATACCACGTATCATTGAACAACCTCATTGCACCACTCTTTTTTGAATAGAAAAGCACCACACGACAACTTTGAATAAAAGATTAATGATCCCAATTCCCAAATGATAACGTGATGTGAGTGGTGTGAGGAAGAGAAACAGTCATATCTCTCTCTGGTGTAACTTGGAACTTGATGGCATGAACATGCCTAATCTATTTTCCTTATTTATGTGAACCGATCATTTGAAATTAAAAAATGTTGTCACGACTCTTTGGGTTCAACAAGAAGATCAATAATAACAATTCAAGTGATGATACTTCTTCACAACACAACAAGAACACAAACAAGACTTTAAAAAATCCTTTTCCCTTTCCGAAAGAAATTATTTTGAAAATTTCACAATTTTTATTTTTACCCGATTTGTTTCATTTCGGAATGTCATGTCCATTCACATTGAAAATTTTATTCAATCAAACACCACAATTGGTGATGCATCGACTCAAAGAAAAGGAGCAAAGAAAAAGTAAAAAGAGCAACATGTCACTTGTTCTTCAGCAAGACGCCATCATTGAAATTTATAAAAAACAAGAAGAAGAACAATTACAACCACAGAACGATGACACGTTCATGAATTTTGAAATTGTTCAGAACATGATTTGGAAAAACTTGGTCAATTATTACTTTATTCGATTTTGTGCGAGTGGTGTGAAAAATTGGATGCATGTCTTACGAAGAAGAATTACTTATTTAATGGTTCATGATCCAAAAAAACTTCCTCTCGTGACTTCCTTTCATCGAAGTGAATTTGAAGCAATGATCAATGACCCTTACCAATTTAAACTATTATCTCCATGTTCGAGTGATTTGGAATTTATTGAAAAGTGTGACAATTTATACAAGTGTCCAATGCATTTATCTTCGATCGAGACGAAATCCTACCATTCTTCGAAATATTGTCAAGAATGCAATCATACCATCACGTTAACAAACACTTATGATAACTTTTTGACAAGTGTATTGACTGATCCATTGACAGCCATTACTCTTCAAGTGAATAACCAACCAAGAGCACCACCAGCCAAGAAGTAAGGACTGTTTCATTTCGAGCGGTAATCACATTAAACAATTTCAAGGATCTAGCTCTGTAAAGTTCAAAGTTCAAGCCAAAACGTCTCTCATCATTGAGGATCATCATCATCACCATTCGATTGATCCAATCACTCTCGTTTTGTTAGGTCCTTTATCGAGTGGTAAAACAGAAGCCTTAAAAATTATTCAATATTACAACTCACGAGATCAATTCCGAACTAGTAGTAGTACTGATAGTAGTAGTAGTAACCATTCAAATCTAAATTTATTCAACCACAAGAGGGAAATTCCGAATATAATTCGCTACGATCAATGGTCAGGAGAAAGCTATCGCAACAAGGAATTGTATTATTCTCGCTTGAGAGAGTCCTATGATGAGCCAACCATTGACATGAATTGTTTAATTTATGCCTATTTACCTCCAAAGGGAGAACAAGTGCTTCAATTGGCGGATATTGGAGGCGATGAAAAACTCATGAAGAATGCTTCGAGTGGAATTTCATTGAGCGAAAATTCTGCAGCATTGATTGTGGTGGGTGTGGATTCCATCTGCCATTCCAAAGTATTACAAAAAGTGTTGCATGATCATTTAATGTTGGCTCGAGTGTATGGCATCAAAAAGTGGCAGCATGTGTGAATCGAATGGATACAATGAATTTTAGTGAGGAAAGCTTTATGGAGGTGAAGAAACAAATTTTGGAGCTAGGTTTGAAAAACATTTTGAGAATTGATCATTGGTCAAATCATTGGTCAAAGGTGCCAATCATTCCAACAAGTTTGGTGATGGAAGAAAATGTCATGAGAAATTCTGAAAAGATGCCATGGTACAAGGGTGACACTCTTTTAAGTTTTATTGATTCATTGACACCACCGTCTTGTGAAGAATGGAAAAAGTATGCACCCTTAAGATTTTCAGTCATCCATCCATTTAAAATTGGAGGAATTGGGACTGTTTTGTTTGGCAAGTTACATTCTGGAATTCTACAAGAGGGCGCTTTGGTAAATGTTGCTACAGTAGGAGGAACGTATATTTCGAACGTGCAAGTCAGGACTATTGAAATTGATGGTAGAAGAGTGAAAAAAGCCTTTCCTGGTTCATTAGTGGCTGTTAATGTATGTAAATTGACACTGAGAGATTGTAGAAGAGGTTTGGTGATTAGCACTCCTGACAATCCAGCCACATTTACAACGAACTTTGAAGCGAAAATTAAGATTTTAGAATGTCCCAATATAATTAAGGAAGGATTCACACCCATGGTGGATTGTGGTTTGGCTCATGTTGCTTGTAGATTTGAAAAATTGTGTTACACTATTGATGCTTCAACAGGTCGAGTACTTTCAAGTCACCCTTCTTCTCTTAAAAAGAATGATTTGGCTATTGTGAAATTGCGTACCACAAATCATAGATTTCTATTGGAGAGATATAATGATTTCCCTTTTTGTGGAAGAATAATAATAAGGGATAATGATAAAATTATAGCAGTTGGAACAGTCACCAAGATTGTTCGACCATGACAATATGCCAGCTTTGTATGCTTCTAATTACGGAAAATATGTTGCAGATGAATCCAATAGCTCACTAATAGACATTTCTATGAAGTGCCATCATTAATAAATGATCCAAAATTCTTGTCCGACTGAATGCCTAATAAATGTTCAAGCGCAACCTAACCTAGCATTCAGTTTAATTTGAGGCAAGTATCTGTTTGAGATATGTTTTGAAATGCCGAGCCACAAATTTACAAACTCTCTTCATGTCTTCATTGCTGTCAAAATAAATTGCTCCAATGATGGCTTCCAAAGTGTCAGCTAAAACCTTTTGATTTTCACGAATTCCACACATCTCCTCTCCTTTTCCAACAATTAAATATTTTCCAAGTCGTAATCGTGTTGCAATGGTTGCCAGAGTTGTATTATTTACACAATATTTCAATTTCGTGTTCAATTCTCCTTCGTTATCCCCAGAGTTCTTTACGAACAGAATTCTTGCAACTGCTAATTCCAATACTCGATCTCCAATAAATTCTAACCTTTGATTTGCTTGTTCATCCACTTGAGTACTAATACTTTCCAAAACAAAAGAACGCCTCGTTAATGCTTGTTCCAACCATATCCGATCATTAAATTTATATTTCAATCGTTTTTGAATTTTCACTATTGATTTCTTGCAAAGGGAATTCATATTAGCGGAGGAAGAGGAGGAAACGACAGGATGCTCCGATATTAGTGAGGAAGAAGAAAAGGAGGAAATCTCTCCTCCTTCTTTGCGCAACATTCGAAGGAATTTGGCAATGTTTCGTTTCTTCATTTTTTTCTTTATTTCTCTATTTGGAAGAGTTTTTGAAATAATTAAAGTTTTAAAATAATCAAAAAAAATGTCTGTTGTGCCTCCATCACCCTCATTATCTTCCATTCTTCCATCCAAAACTCGGAAAAGATTTAAATTAACTCCCCCGGAGAAGGGTGATAAATTCATCATTGATCATGGTGATCATTTCTCCCCAAAAACAAGAAATTCAAAAAGAATTCAAATTATTCCTCATTTACATTATCATTTACATCGGCACTTTACCATGATTACATTCATGGATGAATATAATGAAATCACAAAAAGTCCTACATTGGTTTCTTTTGGAGGATCCAATGTCACGGATCATACGATTTATTATTTGGATTTGGAACCAAAGCTTACAAATGATTCTTCTACGCAATGTTATGAATGGAAAGAATTGCTAACACTCACAAATAATGTCAATGGAGAATATTTCAAAAACAACAAATTAGATTATTCCAGTGCCAGTATGGTTTATTCGCGCAAATTACAACAATTAATTATATTTGAAGGATGGAGTCACGGTATTTATTGTCTTTGTTTAAAAACAAAAACTTGGGCCAAAGCTTTGGAGTTAAATTTTGTGGGATGGCCTGTTTATTATAGACATTTCTTGAAATTATGCGATGAACAAACAAATAATGCTTTACTATTATCCAGGCTTTCTACTGATTATGAAATCAATTTGTCTGTTGGAGTTATTGATTTGAAGGAATTATGTGACACAATCAAAAATCCAAACAAATCAGTCACTTTTGGACAACCACCAAAGAGTTGTGCGAGAAAAGGTGTGACTCCACACTCTGTAGTACCCTTATGGCACGAAAAGAAACTTCTAATTTTTGATTCTTTCAAAGAAATTGTTACCACGATATCTTTATCATCAAATTGTGGAGATGAGAAGAGACATCCATGTGATATCATGGAGAGAGGTTGCCGCCGTTTAGTGGCATGTGCACTCCCAAAGGATGGGTATTCAGTGACGACAAACAAAGAAGAATTACATGGATCACATGCCTTAATATCGTTTATTGACGATGACAAGAAACATTCTTTGTTTGAATATGATTCAAAAAGTGAAGTCTTCACTCGGTTGGTTCATAATTCTTTACCAATTCAATTGGAACATCATGCTTTCTTTCAAACAGTCCTTTTCGCGTACCGAAATAGAAGACAAGAAAGATGTGCAGTCTTAATTCCAAATCTTGACGTTTTGTTCAAAATCAAATTGGATTACGAAAAACCAGAGTGTACTCTCCCTTACTTAAGAAAACAATTACTGACACTTTTGGAAGAAAATTCTGAAAACGGAACAAATTCATGCATGGGAAAGGACATTGTGGCCGTAATTTGTCATAACCACTTCATTCATTAGGCGCACGTTAGGAATTCAAAGAGATGCCTTTTGATTGCAAAATCCTCAATCAACAGATAGATGAACACATACCGCTTCTAGTGTGTGAGATAAAAAAAGAAATTGTCGGTATACGGTCTTCATGTAGAAATGACTTTAAATTCGTTTTAATCGATAATTTACACACCCAACTATATCAATTTCATAATTAGTTCAACAAATACACTGCTTTCGATACTCTGTTAGGTGTACCTTGTTTTACATGATTCACAGTACAACGAAATTCTATATTTCTATATTCTATATTTTCAGAATATTAATATTTCTGTACCCTACTTGCGCTTTTTCACAAGAACAAAAGAGGCTTGTTGAAAAGGTGATTCTGGGTCAGTCATCATTGAATTTTCACTTCTCTTTAAAGCCTCATTCCTTCTCGAATTTAGATACTTGTTATGATCATATTGTTTAATGTAATCCGCAATTGTGACATTACCCTGTCGCATTGCATATTCAACAGCTGTTTCTCCGTGCTAAATTTTGCATAAAAAGTTAAGAATCGAATATCTGAATAGTTATAACATACACCATTTTTGCAATCCTTGTCAACTGGACGAGTTTCATCATGGTTCATGTTATTAATGGAACTAACTAATTGCTAACAAAAAACATACCTTTTCCAGAATGTAACAATAACTTTACCATTTCCAAGTCCTTCCTATCAATGGCTAAATGAAGAGCTGACTATTGACACGAAATTGCGTCACCAAGTGTGTGGTAAATATTTATGAAACCTACAGAATCCTTGTCCCAACTCAGCTTTGTGACATCTGCTCCTGCATCCAACAAATAAGCAACAATGTGCAAATGACCATTTGAAATTGCTTTCATCAGTGGTGTCTTGTTTTTCATGTATTATTTGTAAATTCAGTTTATAATTTTCACAACAAATCATGCTTACATTCTTCAGTTTACCATTATTTAAATTAATAATGAATTTACCAAATATTAATATACTTTCTAACTTGAATAATTACATACTCCATAAATACTTTTCGGATCATGTTCATTAATATCCACCCGTCCTGTGCTTACACATCGTTTTACTTCTTCCAAATCTCCACTACGACAAGCCATCATTAACGATAATACAATATCCATATCCGTTTGTTGTTGTTGAAGTGAAGTCTGTTGTGGTTCTGTTGTTGTTGATGCTGCTGAAGAAGTTTGAAGAGTTTCTTCCTGTAAGCCTTCATCAAGTATCGGATTGCTTTCGGAAGAGGTTGCCATCGATAATAAATTCATGGCAGTTTCCGAATCTTCGGGAGTGATTATGTTGTTCATGTTGTTATATGGTAATTGTGGTTCTTGTAAGTGTTGTACTAAATGTTGTTGTTGTTGTTCTTGTTGTTGTTGATACTGATTTGGATCAAACACGGGTGGTGGTTGAATCATTTTTTTTGTAATCTTTTTTTGTAAACATAAACAATTTCTTATTTGAGATTTATTATTCAGCAGTTGAAGGGTGAATAGGTGGTTGGGTGGAGCGGAAATTTGACTCCCCTCTATTATTCAGCACTGGAACCTTAAATTCAATTTGAGTTATAATTTACAACCAACCATTAATGTGAAATATTAAAATTGAAGAATGCTTGGAATTTCTTCATTCACCTTTTTCACATTCTTTGTGAGAAGTTTGAATTGATTGGTATAGTATCGATACTTTTCCTCATCGCCCATATAAATGGTAGCCAACGAATAATAAGCAGAGGCACAATTAGAATCTACATAAATGGCTTGTTTAAAATCAAGCTCTGCATTCACTCGATCGCCCATTTCCAAATAAGTTTTAGCCCTCAAAATGTAACAATTTGTACTTTTTGGATCTAGTGTGATACATTGTGTGAAATCGGCAAGTGCCTTTTGTTTGTCACCTATGAAATTCTTGTAGAGAAGACCTCTGTTGTAAATTGCAAAGAAATATCCTTCCACGAGTTCAATACATCGATTGTAACATTCTTCAGATTTCGTTGGAAAATCCATTCGATATAAAAATCCCATATTGAAATAGGCCTTGTAAAAATTTGGATCAATTTCGAGACATTTTTTGTAATCTTCGATGGCCTTATTCAAGTATTCATCCATCTTTTCTTTTTGTTCCGATTGTTCAAGAAGGAATAAATATCTTTGTGCATAAATATTACCTCTCAAAAAGAAGGCCATTAAAGATTTCTTTTCCGATCTCTTAATGGATTCTGTGAAATATTTTTCTGCGTCGTTGGGTCGATTCAAATCCAAATAAAGTAATCCTAATTGGACATAGGCATTAAAACTATCCATTTCTAAAATGTGACGCAATAACTTCTGAAAACCATAAGGATCCGCTAAGGCTGGATTAATTTCGAGACATTTTAGGAAATCTTTTTCTGCCAAACGATACAGTGGTTCCTCTTGATGATTCACATAATCAAGAATGGCTCGAATGGATTCTTGTTTCTCTTCCAAATCAGTAGAGGCCTCATCCTCATCAAACGCTTTTGTTTTAGAAGTAGAGACAGCTTCACTGTGTCTCACAGATCCTGTCTGAGCTGCCAATAACAAACTCTCGGATCGAATATGAATGGCCTGCTTGCTATTTCGTGGGTAAAATGAAATTCTCTCATTCTCTGCTGATAAACCATAAATAATTTTTCGAAGAGCAGAAATGTTTCGAGTGATGGCGAAATTATTACATGTTTTGATATTGTCTCCTAAACTATTCAAAATGTCAGTGAGAGGTTGAATGTCCATACATGAAAAGATGAAATTCTTTTTGAAAAAGTATTGAGTGAGTGAGGATTCTTTGAGAGGACTGCTATTCGTTGTAAAAGTGGAACTTGACAAGGATGACGACGAGTGATTCATATTCGTGACATTGTCTGCAGCAGAAGGTCTCTCTCCCTTTCCAAATAAGAGATGAAATTTAAATTTGTACTGAAATAGAATTCCTCTCAGTAAATACGCATCAGCACAGAATTGATTCATTTCTGTAAGTTTTTGTAAATCTTTGAATGCTAAATTTGCATACTTGACATAACGTAATTCATCTCCTTTTTTCTCTAAAATTGAATTTCCAGCTGATAAATACAATAATGCTCTAAATAAATAGGAATTAATATTGGCATATTGTGGATTCAATTTGATACTCTTGCTAAAGTCAGCCACTGCATTGACAAGATCACCAATTTTATGATAAAAGAGTCCTCGATAAAAGAAAGCTTTAAAATCTTTTGGTGATCGTCGAATGATCAAGTGGTAAAACTCTTCAGAGATGTCTTTTCGTTGATTGTAGGATTTGAGAGTTCCTGTTTTGAAATCATTGATGGACACTGTGGAGCAAAGAATTTTCATAAAGTTTTCAAATCGTTGTCCATATTTGAAAGGTTTTTCAACTGAGACTCGTTCTTTGGTGGCATTTCTAATTTTTGCTTTGAGAGATTGCACACCGTTTTTCATCATCTTCTCGACTTGTTTACGATTGTTAAATTTTTGAAGAATGTCAATAATTCCCTATATATTATTCATTTGTGTGAAAAAGTGATCAATAGATACAAAATGGGTTGAGTGTGACAGTCATTTTCCAAAATGTTCACATTGGTCTCAATTCATTGCCAGTAAAGATGAAAAATTACTTACAAAGACTATGATTTTTTCGTCATGTAAACATTTTAGAATTATTGTTAATGAATCTCTTGTACTTACAGTAAACTTCCTTTCCATCACTGGAAGAACAAGTATTTCTTTGCCATCCACTAAACGATGTATCATTCGGTTGTGGTAATCGAAGTCGTGAAATAATTTTTGATTCCTCTTCCGTTCGTTGACTGTGGTTGTGTACACCGAGAAGTAATGAATAATCCATAATGTCATTTTCCTGTAAAAATCTCACATCGCTTTCAAGTCTCCTATAAAAATTAAGCTTTAAATCGAGATTGAGTTTGATGTCTCCCTGTTGGATGTCTTTATCTTTCAAGATGGGAGATTTCTTCTTTCGTTCACTTTCTGTAGCCACTCTTCCAGCTGTACTTCCTTTTAGATCATATTTTCTATGAATTGTAAGAGGTGTGAAAAAGATGTTATTCATGACAATAAATCGATACTTGTTCTGGTTGCGAAGTGTCACTTCAAATAATAAATAAAAATTACTCAACAATGTATATGGATTCTTTTGAATATGTTTGTGATAGTGTGGTAGTAACTCAAGAGCTGTTGATAATTCTTCCTCAGTCACTGATTTTAACAAATAACTCGTGGATGATGTGAAAAAGAAGAAAGCTCCACTTTTCCCAGGAGTTCCAACTCGTGAATAAGATCCACAGTGACATCCCATTTGTTTTTTGAAATCCCATTCAGAGACTCGAAATAATTGTCTTAAATGTTGAAAGACAGTTGGGCAGAATAGCTTAAATTCTGCTCCAATGTCTCTAAAAATGTACACTTCATCCGTGTCATATTCATATTCAAAGTTAGAATCTTCCATCTTTTTCAGACTTGAATCCCCACCATCACGTGTGTCGTCGAGTGAAATTTTGTGTAATAATCGATCCGTTCCTCTATTAATGACTCTCATTAGCTCAAAATCTTTGTCTGAAGGTGTCACTTCCTCACCAATTTTGTTTTGTGAATTTTTGATTAATTCTTGCATATTCGCCATATAAATATCTGCTCGACTTTCTTTTTTCAACATGGAATCCAATCGTTTTTTAAAAGAAGCTCCACGACTGGATCGTGCCGTGTTGTTACTAATGCTGTTCATGCTGCCACCACTACTACGACTGCTCGAGGGAATCGATTCTCGATCTGTTGTCACAAATCGATCCGTATCAAAATCAGTGCTTTCAATTCTTGTCATGAGCCCTACATTAATTTTGGGAACTTTAAAAACTCTTTTTTTCGATTTCTGAGAATTTAGATTCGTGGATTGTTCATCTTCCAGAGTCGAATCAGAAATGGAACTTGGCATTTGATTTCCATCATCCAAATAATCATTGCTCAATGAATCTTCAGCAACTTGTTCAGCACTGATAGCAGCAGGATCCGACAATGTCTTTGTGTTGTTGCTGTTATCATTGCCTTGTTCATTCAATGAAGAACTTGTTGTTGTTGTTGTTGAAGCGTGATTCTTCTCACTAAAAGATGAAACAACAACTCCAAATCTTCGAGAAGAAACGGTCGTCGACTTTTCACATAACGTATTACTAATACTACTACTACTACTACTACTACTACTATTTGTACGACGTGTAACATTCATTTCTTCCTGTGGTGGTGAGTGGTGAATCATGGAGGCTGATGATGATGGATTCGATATGGAGGAGTTGTTGTTTTTGTGAGTCATCGAGTCGGTGGCGGTGTGAGAGGATGACATTTGCGGAGAAAATGATGGAAAGGAATGTGTTTGGTGGTGGTGGTGGATTGGACGAGATGATGAATGATCATCAAAAGAAGAGGATTTTCGAATTTGACTTGAATCGGTGGCAGTATTGAGAGCGCCTATGGTGTTTGGACGGACTTCTTCTTCTTTCTGATCACCATTAGAGAGATGATGAGTAACAGTGGCAAAAGTAGAAGAGAGTGTGGATGGAGTCATTCCTCCTCCTTCGTTGCGTTTCAGGTTTTTATATCTTCGATTTCTGTCAGTAATCAAATTCGAGTACGACAATTCGGAGGAGAAGGAGGATTGGTTATTATCATTGTTGCACATCATGATGTCGGAATTTGTTTTTTCAAAACAATGGAATGATCCATACATGGAGTGAATTGTCTGCACTATATTTCGTTGTGTGTGTAATTGTTGCTGAAATCAAGTGAAGCTTCAATATCACCGCGAAATGCCAACAATGACAACAACAATTACGACAATTTTTTGAAAGATGAATATTTATTGACCTCTGGGCCGTGTTCAAATCTGATGGGCGACTGGTTCTTTGAGCCTGTAATAATGATCTTTCTCATAACACAGCCTGTAGACGAGATGTGAAAATCGTTCAACAACTTCTTTGAGAACTTTTTTGCTTGTGAAGATGTATCTCCGACTTGTCTTTGATCCCCGTTTGGAATAGGGAATGTTGTTGGAGTTCAATTTCCTTTCAAGCTGTCTTGGATCTTTTTTGGTTTTGAGAAAAAATCCAAATTCTCGATCGTTTGGAATATCCTCCATAATTCTTTGCTCGAGCTTGTCACTATTATTGGGAATGCTGACATGAACAATTTCAACATGTTTTGCGATCATCACTTTGTGTTGTGTGATTTGTTTTGAAGGAGACAACTCTTCTTCGTGCACCAATAAATAGTCGTCCTTTCGTTTTTCGAAATATTTAACCAAAATTTGTGTGTTGTAAAACTCGCTATATACTTGCATCAGTAATGCTCTTCGGTTGTTGGGTGAGGTCTGAGAAGAGATAATGGGGTTTAAATATACAGAAAGATTGTCATAGTTTTCTCCGATAATCTTATAAATGTCGCAAAAGCAATCTTGAAAATTGTCAATCCGTCCGTTATCAATTGCTAATCCGTAGTTTTGATGTAAATAGCGCTGAAATTTTGCGAGATTCTTAATGAAATAATAATTGTATGTGAATAAACATCCGTGATAGGATTTGAGGAGGGATTTGCAAATCTCGATATTCTTCAATGTTAATTCATTTTCTTGAGACAATCCATGCAAAGATTTCAAATAAATTTCATGTTCTTTTAGATCCAAAGAATCAATGATTTTTGTCACAGATGATTTTTCAGTCTTTTTGTCACTAAGTGCTGTTAAGTCAGACAGTGTGAAAGATACACTGCTGATTGAATATTCAGCCAACTTTTTCCTTATTAAGGTCAGTATTATTAGAGACCATAATGGATTTTCTTGTACGCAGTATTGAGACAAATGTTCGGTAAATGGTAAGTTGGATATTATTTCCTCAATCTTATCCAAATTGTGACTAATAGAATTAATTTGGCTTTCATTGTTGTCAGAATTGTTCATAAATGTTGTTTTGAATGATTGAATTTGCTCCAAGCATTTTTCCTTGTTATTGAATAATAGATCCAAGTAGAGGCGTATATTGGTGTTAGATAATTCAAGATTAATGGAGGAAATAGCTTCCATTAATTGCTCAGTTTGATCTTCTTCAAAATCAAATGATAATCTACTGATTTTTGTGTGTAGGATGTTTAAGAGTCGAATGGCCTCTAAAAAGTGTATGCTGCACGTTTCACATTCAGGATTATTTGAAAGAGTTTTGTCTAGTCTTTCTTCAATAAACATTTTCGTGCGTTCAATACGGTCAAGTGCTTCTCGTTTCTTGCCGGGTTTAAGGGATATCTTTAAATCGTGTGATGAATCCTGCGAAGACAGATCAAATAATTGATTCTTAAGTTTGTTATACTTTTCCTCAATCTCCCAAATAAGTGCTTTTTGAGTATTTTCGTCTTCACTGTCTAGTTTTCCCAATCTTTTCTTAATGAATTCCAGTACGCGTTGCATTTTGACATTTCTTTTTCTCACAAGCTTCTCGGCTTCGGTTAAAGGAATTGCTTCACAATAATCTTTCTGAATTTCTCTATCTCTATAAGCTTCAGGCCCTTCTAGCATACAGACACGATAGGTATCCTTTTTGATATCAATAACTTGTGCCAAATATCGGTTATTATTGTCTGTGATGTATATCTTTCCATCCACAAATATGTCGGGATTGTTGAAGTCAACTTTTTGGTTAAATGTACTTAATATCTTTTTGACAACCTTTAAAAAATTTGCAACGTTGTCTTCAGCATCTTTTTTATATTTGAACCCATTCTCATTTGCTAAGATTGATGATTCTCCATGATCAAAATAGTCTAAAATATAAGAGGATATCGAATTTGGGTCTACAATATTAGGAATTGGAATTAATGTGCCATTGACAGTAATGGTATGTTTGATATGTTGTTTGATATCTTCTAAATTTGTAAAATGATCGTCATGATTTCCTGATAGGGCGCTAAATGAAGATACGCAATCAATTTGGAAACTCGTTTGACTGCTAGTTGATTTGAATTTTGAAATAAGTTCGAAATACCCATGTCCATGCATACCATGAGAAGAACTGAAATCTATTCCACTATATGGCAATATCAGATCAGTAATCTTATTGGATCGACTAAAGCTCTTCAAATATACCAAATAGAGATTGAACGTGTCCTTATGGAACTCGTTATATAAATCTGAAATTTTCAGAGGTTGTTTGTCCATTGTTTCAATTTGAAATTCAGTAAAAGGAGTTAATACTCTCTTATTTCGAATGTAGCAACGGTTAAATAAATAAGCCAACACTTCCAATATCTGTCTTGCCTTCTCTTGAATAATTTGGTCATCCTCTTCATCATCTTCTGAAATGCTTCCCACAATATGGTCAAATACTCCCTTTCTCAACAAATACACAAATAAAAAGTTGTCAGGCTCAGAGTAGAAAAGTTTTGAGACAAGCCCAGTCAGTCCAATAGGTAATCCATTTTTTGAAATATATCCATAATGTCGTAAGAATTCAAACGCAAACCGAGTATAATGGTAATGCTGAGTATTTGATTCCACATTCGTTGCTTGAGTGAATAAAGAAAGAGGTTGAGTTAAAGCACTAACAGCATCTTCTAATGCATGTTCAGATTGTTCTGAATCTTCGAGTCTTAATTCACTCAACATACAGAACGTAATTAAACGCAATATAAACGTGTTGGTGTTGCCAAAACTACCATTCAAGTTAGGCAAGTTTGTTGTTAAATATCTTCTCACCCTCTCCAGTAACATATTCATGATAACGACGTTGCCTTTAGGATCAAAACCTCTTCTGCCAGCTCTTCCAGACAGTTGTTGGAAATATATTTTTAACATAAACATGGAATTATCAGCGATTACTGATGTTTTGCAAGGCATTGAATTACCATAACTAAGAGTACCAGTTGCTATTGCGACAGGTAGTAATTTCATGCGAAACAATTTCTCAACCTCTTGCAACATGAGAGGATCAACTGAACTATGATGCATACCACATCCAAACCTGAAAGCTAAAACCAATAACTCTTCATCATCTTTTGGTAGAACAGTCTTACAGGAAAATATCTCATTTTCATAAAATCGCTTTACATCTTCTCGATATGAACAATTATTTTGAGATTGCTCTGTGTGAGCAGCTGTCGTGATTAATCCTTTCAGATAATTTGATACTACTTGATAATCAATAACATCTCGCTGTACATTTGAGGTAGTAGTAATTTCTTTGAGTAAAGGAATTTCAATAATATTTCTAACAGATTCACTTCTATTATCTTTCGCGTGCTGAATGTAATAAATTCCATTCTGTTTCAAAATTTCTATCATACCCGTCAAATGATTGTCATCAACAAATTCAATTCTAATATAAGCCTCAATAGGCTTATGTGACACATATGATTGCAATTTGCTCTTTTGTTCGGATGTCAATAAAGATTGTCCTGTAATTATTAAGTAGTCAATGATTTTGTAAATCATTGTCTTAATACCATGCTTATCGAAATGGAAAACTAATGCTGGCAACATTTGGTGCTTTTTCATATGTATGCACAGATGAGGAATAGACTCATACAAGGACTCGGTATCATTGTCAATACGCTCAAAAGCATCCATCACTGGTTTCAATAACTTGCTATGTAAACGTGACATGAATTCTAAGTCTTGCTCTTGGAGGTATGCCAATTTTTGCAACAAATATTTCCGATATGAAGTATATCCATTCAGTGTCAGCACCTCAAGCTCGTCAAATAACGCGATGTTTTCATGCGAGCAGGTATAATTTTCAAAAAGAAATTCTGAAAGAGGATTGTGTTGTCGATTCAGTTCTTGAGTAACCAATTGAGAGTATTCCAACAATTCCAAGCATTGATCTTTGGACATGTCTGGAATGAACGAAAGGCTTGCCTTTTTGGAAAGTGTTTTTTCATCTAAAACTGTTAATGGATGCATTCTTGTGTGAGTATAGCATTGAGGATTCTGATCGCTAACACTATGATACAAATAATATTCTAGGGGCTGCAATCTCTCTACAACAGAAGCACTGCCATTATAGGATGGTTTTGGCACTATTACAATCTCGGTATTATGGTTTTTTCTTTGACTTCCAAGGTTTGATAGCCATCCCATAAAATGTACAGCATTTCCAATAGAGGCACTTTATGCAATGAAGGGACATCTTATTAATGATAAAATATGCTCCCATTGCCTACCATTGTTTTCATCAGTTATTAAATGAATTTCATCAAGGACCACGCAAGCTAGATTTTGTCTCAATTCAAAATTGGAATAATGGAGAAGTAAAATCTCTAACATGGCGGCATTTGTAACAAGCACTCTGCAATTTCTTGTATTCACTCTTTGGTCTGCTGTAAAAACGCCAACAATGTCAGCTTCTCCCTCCTCGTTTTCAAACTTATTCAACACTTCAGCATAAATTTGGTTACAAAGCGCGTTTGTAGGCACAACAAACACGACTTTGTCGGTCTTGCTATTCTTTAGAACTCTCTCAATCAAATACATGGTGATGAATGTCTTTCCACTGGAAGTAGGTGTGGTGACTAGGAGAGATTTCTTTTTTTCTCCTTTACCATCAATATTGTAGTTGATGTGTTCAATGACTTCCTTTTGCCACGGATCAGGTTTGAATTGTAACACAGTTGTTATCATCCTTCCCTGTTGATTGGCATGACGATATGTCTTTGGAAACAGCTGAGAAATGTAATTTGGAATCATGACATCTTTAAATTAAATCTTTCTGAAATTAATCATGTCCTTTCTCAGGTCAGTGATGTTGATGCTGTGGAATTTCAATCTCAACTCTTCTTTTATCATGGACTCTTCTTTCTTGAATACTGCTCTAACAAGCGGGTACAAGAATCCACATTGCAATATTATCAGGAAGAACTTGTTAAGTACAACTCTATGTCTCAAGTAGGAATAAATAGCTTCTAATTTCTGCATTCCTCTTCTAGCTTTTTCAATTAAGCTATAAAATGCTCTAGCATGAAGAATGGATAATATTTTCAAGTTTTCATCGTTTGGATTGTTACTCAGCTCTCTTATAATCATTTCTAAATGGACCAATAATGCATCTACGACTAATTTCATTAACTGTGTTCTATTCTCGGACTTTTCTACTTTAAACTGATTGTCATCGAGATATTGAATTCGGACATTAGAAACCCATGTTTCAAACAAATGTGTAATAAAACTGTAGAGTTTTTCACGGTTCTCTTTTAAACCTGAAGTTAATGAGCTCCTAAATTGACTCAACCTGTTTCTCATGTCACGGATAGCATCGTTCTTAATATGGTGTTCTGTTGCAGCTTTTTTATCACTCAAAAAAACCTTTTCATATCGTTGAAAGCTACGAGAGTATTGAGAGAGAGACTCCTTGATACGTAACGAGTACAAGGTGGTCTCGTCTTGTTCGGTGTCCTCGACTAATAATCTTCTAGACTTCCAATGAGTAGAATCCATTTCAACCATTGATGTGAACGAATTGGGATTATTATTTTCATCACTTAGTGTGGCTGGTTTGGTGTTTTGCTGCACTATTCTGTCACTCTCCTCAATAGTGTATTCATTGAAATGCAAATCTTTGAATAAACGATTCGCAAGCTTGTTGTTGACAATAGGATGAACCTTGTGCTCATATTTGTTGCATGAGGGCTGCATCATTCTTGATAAGGTATTACTTAGGTCATATTCTTGGGAAGGATCATTCAAATAAATTTCCAGCAATGGTTCAATAAATTCTCTTACAAATGACTCGTACTTGGGATCAATAATGAAAAGTTGTTTCCAATCTGACTTTTTAGTTTCAAAGAGCATCATAAATGTTTTCAACATTAATCTGCCATCAAATAGATCAATAATTGCCCTGTCAGTAACCTCTTTGTGCAACTCTTTTAGTATGATCACCAATTCTTTGTACAGATACGTGTCTAAAAACTTAGAATAATCTGCAATGAAGAAAATTCATCGTCAGATGGTAATTGAAACGCTCTGTCATCAAGATCAAGATTAAAAGCTATTAAGGCAGACAACAGCAACACGGAGGAGAACAAATGATCAAGAGTTGAATCTGAAATTTTGTCTTGAATCCTTCTCACTGTCAGTAACAAAATGAATAACTTATCTCGTTGATAGGTTTCAAGATAAGAGTACTTGTTCAACCTTTCATCAATTTCTTGAAAAGTACGGTCATCAATATAATTGTTCTCAGTATGCTTTTTTCTCTGAGAGAGCAGCATTGCCTTGTTCTTGAATCTTGTCCATAACATCGACAAAGCATGGACACTCCAAAGTACTTGAAAATGAAGTGCCGGACACATATGAATAGCAAGTATTAGAACCAAAATTCAAACTATCACCTACAAATCGCCCTACAAAGATGCACAATGACTTAAAAAGATGGTCATTGCGTTGGGCAAGGATAAATCCTGGCTCTCTCTGCCTCAAGAGCTGAAGAAATTTGGCATCACACATGTTCTTGAATGTGTGGCAAACAAAACCATTGTTGCTCAAATACATTCTGAGCAATTCTTTCAATAGTGGTTTCCATTTGGGAGATTCCACTTTGGAAAGGGGTAACTTGACTGAAACCATGTAATCGTCTCTGTATATACTCTGTTCGAGAATTTCCACTCCTTCAGAAATGGAGTAAGTCATCGATTTCAACCCTTCTTGGGTTTTCATACGATCTATTTCCATCACATCAAGCCAGGTATAGACCTCGTCTTGCTCGAAAAACAAGAATTCAATGTTCATTTGCAAGTCACGGATGCGCGACAACAACTTGGACAAATTCCAAAAAACGTGAAGAAATTGACCACCATGATGCATGTCAGTTTTTGAATTCACTATTTGTTCAATCAATCCATTGATATGAAAGAAACTCAATTCTCGACCCTGGCATTTGTCAATAATGTCAATGTACCGAGAGATCGTGAGCAATCCTTTGTGCAATTTTAAGAATTGAATTCCATTCATTTCCAAACAATTATCATCATCGTCCTTCTTTTCAGCGACTGTTGCCTCAGATTCTGCAACAATCATCATTTCTCTCGTCAACTCGCGCTTATCATCAGAAGCGAGATCATCTTCAGCATCGTGTGTGATTGTACGCTGTGATGATTGTGTTGTATTGGCATCTACTGCTGTTCGAGAGGAAGAAGGCTGGTTGTTAGAAATCATAGTGATGATGATTCTCTATTTTTTTGAGATTGAGTTGAATTCAATGGAAGATGATGGTGAGATGGTATTCACCACTAAACCTAGAAAGGTCCTCGCTAGTGTGAAAAAGGACTGTCATTCTACAATAAGCTTATTGTGCCCGAACACCTTTCGGTCGAACAGACAGCCACAGGTCGGTTCCTTCCGTTTTCCACTCCTATCAGCACGGAATGAACAAGAAAATTTTTGATCGGTTATTGCCCACTTTTCCGTTCAAATTTGAAGAGTAAAGAAGAATTAATGATGATGATGATTCGTCATGAGGAGAAGTGCGCCAATTTTTTGCTTTTTTCACAAAAAAATGTCTTCTCAGAAAAACAGTGATGACTCTCGAATGACCGATGATGATCAACAACATGAAGGAGCAACAACACCAAGTACTCCATCAGGAAGCAGAAAAAGTATAGATCCTCAAAAACTCACGGTGAGAGAATTGAAAAGTATTCTTAAAGATTACGTTGAATTACCACCCGAACAACAAAAGAAGGCTTACTATGTTGATTTGTACAACAAGTATGTTGTAAATGCTAATAGCGAGGCCACAACTCCATCTTCATCATCGGATAAGAAACGTAAATCTGATGCTGTTGAAAATGTTGCCTCTGATAATGAAAACGAAGAAGAGAGTGAGGAACCAGAGCAGAAAAAAGTTAAGCCAACACCACAGTCTCCACAAAACGAGTTTCAACAAGCGAGTCAATCAAAATCACCAGCTGCTACCAGTAGCGAGGTTACTTCAAATGTTGAAGTTAATGTGAGAAAAGCTAAATCATTGACTTCCTCCGACCTTCCTCAACAAAAACCAAGCAATGAGGAAACACCAATCATGAATGCAGCTAATAGAAGAAAAACTGTTGGAACTGCAGCCTCTTCAACAGGCCGCTCTACTCAACAAATGATCTACAGAAAGAAAACCACTAGTGAAATTAATCCAAAGTTGTTCCAAACAACTCCAATGTCGAGCAGAATTTCTGTATCGTCTCCTTTTGTTCACGACAATGCAGAGGGAGTTGATCCAAGACCAAGTGAAGTGGAAAGTAGCTCATCAGGGAGACAAATCCTGCTCAGTACTTTCATGCTACTTGTTTGGGCTGTACTATTCTTTTGTGTTTATTTATTCTTCTTTGGACAAAGAGATCCGCACTTGCCTTATGGAGGTGTCTATTGCAATTCTGAAGACGGTCTTCTCAGATTGAAGCCTGAAGAAGGGTGTTTGCCTTGTCCTGATTTTGGCTATTGTCTTGGAGGAAGACTGATCAAGTGTGATGAGGGATATATCATGAAAAATGCTGTTTGTGTGAAGGACGAAAGAATTCCACTTGCTAGTATTCAATTTATTAATGATCTTCAAGCAGAATTGTCAAGTTTGGCTGGAAAATATGAATGTGGAGAGGCAAAACAAAAGACAAAGTTGTTGGATGATGTCAAAAAATCTCTTGCCACAAAGCCATATGCTGTAGGATTAGACGAAAATTTGGTGATGGCACAAGTTGCCCAACTCATCAAGAGCTCTCCTGAAAACTTCCAGCTTGTAATTTCTGAAGAACCAGTTGACAATACAGACGAAAAAGCCTCAATAATTTTCTCAACCAACTCATCACTTCCATTCCAATGTCGAGTGACAAAAACAGTATTGGAAAATAAGGGAGTTATTGGTACCATAGTGATTTTGGCTATTTTTGTCATCATTGGCAATGTAATTAAGAAGAGAATCGATAAGGAAAGAGTTGATTTTGAAGACCTAGTTAGAATTGCATTGACAAGAATTAAGGAAAGATCTGAAATCGTTGTTGAACATTTGAGAGACGAATTAAAGGAAGACTATGGTGACCAAATTAATGTAGACAAATTGTGGCCAAAAGTAGAAGACTTCCTTAGTCAGGACACTCGTATCAGAGAGACTCCAGTCCAACAAGGTAGAGCTTATTCTTGGAATGTGGTGGAAAACCAATCTACACCAAGAGCCACAACACCATCAGAGTAATTTTGCTGACGCTTGCTCGTTAAAATACTACCCTCTAGGTTATCCGACCAAAAATAACTTAAATTAATAAAGAATTACATGTTTCTGACTTCTGACGAGTTCTTTATTTCTCGTCTATAAATGCATGAACATCTCCCATAGCAAACAAGAAAGGAGCAATTTGAATAAGTAAATTCTTATTTCTCTCAAAGTCTTTTTCAATTTGTTCCAATCGGTGCGATGACTGTTGAAAACGTTCTTGTCTCAAATCGTTGCTCAGCATGCTCACCAAGTCACAAAGATTCAGGCATTGATCCAGCATTGTGAAGAGAGGTATCATGATTTGTTTCTTGTTTAAAAAGCATCTTTGATGTATCTTTGCAATACAGGTTTGATGCAAACGCTTAGCAGTCTCAAAGTCTTTGGTTTCCTTAATTGACTTTTCCATAGCCATAAATTCTCCTTCTATCACCTCCGTATGCAAATAAAATTGTAGACTATTCACAAAATTTGCCATTTTCAATCGCAACAACAAGGTCCATGACAACCCTGAAAATATTTTCAAGCTTCTATTTCTGGTGAGTGGAATCCAGGACGTTGTTAGTTTGTGTTGAATCCGCTTACAAGTGAGTAAGAATTTGAAGATTTCATTGTACATTTCCTTCAAATCATCAGTGAAGAATAAATTCAGTGGCCATCCCACATTAAATTCGAGAGTAATTTCGTTGGGCCAGTGTTTGGACCGAAGTAAATCATACCTGTTAGAAGTGTCAGTTAGAGATATTTTGTTGTAAGAAACTGTATAATGATCTAGGAGCTTGTAATTATCTGCAGAACTTTTCAGAGAGGACTGTTTGAAAATGTTCTTCAAATCCTTGACCAAGTGTTGAGGAGTAAGAGGTTGGTTGAAAATTCTATCAGAATCCTCAATAAAACACAAGAAAAAATCTCCCATTCCTAGAAAATACATTTCTCGTACAGATTTGATATAACCTAGCAAGTCACAGTCCATCACTACTAAATTCCATAAATGTGTTCCTACATTGATTCTTATCTTGTCAATTGTGAACTCAAAATTAAAAGAGTTGTATTTCCGAGAGGTCTCATGTATTTTCATAGCTTCCTTGAAGCCTACAAGTTCTTCATTTGGAAGCTTGTATTGCCTATCTGTTTTTGAAATGTTGTTGAATGTTTGTAAAATCTTAATTGCTTTTCCAATGAAAAGAATTTTGTTTGCTACTCTTAGAGATATGTAAGAAGGAATCTGATTCGTTTTAAGAACGTATTGCTTCTCCCATACATCATTTGTCTTCAATAGATCTTCCTCGGATTGAGAAGTATTGGGCTGTGATGATACTTCTTCACAAACGAAAAATTCACTCTGATTAGAAATGATGCCATAAATCATCCATGCTGAAATTTGCTTCATCAGTACTACATTACAGTGGTAGAGTAAGCGATTAATAGAGGCTTCAATTATTGGAATTCCAGAAAATGTAGCATTATAGAGAAAATCCAGTAATTTTGCTCCACTCAAATTCTCAGCCTGCACTTGTTTTACAATGTCCAATAAATTTGGAAATATTATTTCATAATCTCGTAATAATTGTTTCAGGTAGGTGAGTGGCATTATGGCACCTGTTGAATTATTGTGTTGCTGTACTGCCAGAGAAGAAGAATTAAACAATGAAGGAGGAGTAGGAGAGAAAGGATTGAGGGATGAAATTGATGATGAATTCTCACCACCAATCTCATTGGAGCTCACTTCTTCCCATATACAAAATTCTTGTTCCGCTCTTGTTAAAATTCGCAAATATCCCTCCAGTATTTCCTGTAAACCTTGTTTCAGAGCCAATATATACAACGATCCACTCGAATAATGCGTTATAAAATCCGAAAGCTTTTTATAATAAAATCCTATTTGGCATAGTTGTTGTATGGTGTGCTTTTCCGATTCATGTAAGAAGGGCAACTGATCATCCAAATAAAATCCCTCTCTCTGTGGTTGTATATTCGTTGTTGCTGTGGTTGTTGTTGCTGTTGGATGATTCTCATTGTTCTGTGATGATAAAGAGCTGAGTGTCGGATGATGATGAGAGGAAGTGGATGATGGCGCCACCAGTGGCTCGGAAACATACACGATAATATCACCCGAGAAGCCTGAAAGTGCCAGCAAGAGTTCGTGAAGCATTTTTGTTTTGTAAAATTGGTGTTTTTTAGTCCTGAATACTCCCGAATATATTCGCCTTAAAAAAGTTTTGGCCAATCACTCACAACAGTTATTATTGTCTAAAGACAAATGTCCTTCACAAACAAAAGAGTCTTCCACTGTTCAGGTGTGTCTGTTCAGCAGAGGTCAAGAACGAGAATTGGCGAGAAAGAACCAAGAACTAAATAGTTCATCATCATCACCGTCAAGTGCATCAAATTTGCATCCTTCTATGCTCTCTATTAGGAATAATATCGCCGCAGACAAGTGCGTTCAAATTCTCCAACCGTCCTTCAACGGGATGTGAGTTTTAAAATAAAACCGAATGAATTGGCTTAAAGTTTTTTCAACAAAAAAAAATACAACAAATCTCATCGATACAGGTATTATATCATACAATACTACAACAACAACATGGTTCATAAAGTTGATACACTCGCAGAACTCAAGGACAAGATTAAGAATCACAATGGTCTCGTCGTGATTGACTTCTTTGCTGAATGGTGTGGACCTTGCAAGAGAATTGCTCCAAAGATTGAAGAATGGTCCAAGAAGTATCCAACAGTCTTGTTCTTGAAGGTTGATGTGGATGTTAATGATGAAGCTGCATCTGAATATGCTGTCGAAGCCATGCCAACATTTGTTTTTGTGAAGAATGGATCAAAGATTGAAACTGTGGTCGGTGCCAATGAAACTGCTCTCGTCAACTTGATCGAAAAGAACAAGTAAATGAATTGTAAACAATTAAATTGTTGTGTAACTTTTGTATATACTTTTATATTATTTGTGCTGATCGGATCGATCATTTCTGTGAATATTGTTGAGCATTACCAAAATACCCAATACCAAATATTGAATCATCACACTGATGGTACATGTACATATCTTCCGACGACACTCCAGTGTGTTCATATAAATGTATTGTTCATTTATATTCAATACATATTTGTCATGTTTATTGATGATGATTGTTTTCTTGGTAGTGTTTCTTTCCTTGTTCAAGAGCAATCTTTCCTCCTTCATAAGCTACTTTTCCAGCAACTTTGGCACCTTTCGCAGCTCCTTTCAACAAGGTCATGAACCCACTCGCTACCTTTCGTTGCACTTCCTTGTCTGTGGCCGCTTTAGCAATGTATTGACCAACCTTTTGTTGAACTTCCTTATTACCGACCGTATTAGCAACCACCACACCAACAGTCTTTTGCACACTTTCATTCGTTGCCATGGACTTGATCATGGAATTATCAGTGGAGGATGCAATGGCTTCACCGACATTTCTCTGCACAGATCTGTTGGTGGATGCTGTGGCCACTCCTGTGGCTACCATGGACTGTACATGCTCATTTTGTGCCATGTTGGCCACTTGATTTCCGACAGCTGTTTGAAATTTGTCATTATTCACAACATTGCCGACCGTGTTGTACATGAGCGAATTGGATCGTTGCTGCTGCTGCTGAGAGACCACATGCTGAGGGAGTGGTGGAGGAAGAGGTTTCTTTGATGGCACACTAGGAAGTGATTTACGATTTCCACTTTGGTTTTGGTATTGAGGTTGTTGTGATTCTTCTTCGTATGGATTCAAAGGAGGTGCTGATGGTGTTTGATTTGATTTTTGTTGGGACTGTTGCTCCAATAGTTGTGTGATTTGGGACATGAGATTGTTTAGCTCTTTTTTCAATTGTTGATATTTCTATGAACAGGAGGATATCATCATGAACCATTAATGGAGAATGAACATGAAACAACTTGCATCAATAACACTCACCTCCACATTGTAGTTATATTCATCCTTATTGGAACTCACTTGAGGATGTTTGGCCAATCTCTGAATTAACAATTCAAAAGCCTTCAAATTGATATAAGCATTCTCCAAATCTTGACTCTTCTTGTACTGACCAGCTTGTCGAATGAGATTGGCCCCAAATTGAAAATAGTCTTGAATGGATCTGTTGGAATCAATTTGAGGCACTGATTTCTCAGCCTTTATGGAACGACAGATTCGAAAGCACGTAATAGTTACAAAAGGAAATATTGAGATTCAAATCATTTTGTTTCGTTAAACGGAGAGTTCAGTAACAATAAAGATGAAGAGTTCATCACAAAGATCGGGATGAGGTTTTCATTTCATGAATGATTAGCAATGTATCCTTTTGGAAATCCGAATTAAAGAGTCTTACCTTACTATTTAATTGTTCAAATTTTACAGTCGTTGGATTACTTGAAGAAGAAGAAGAGGTGAAGAAACTAAACATATTCTATGCGCAATAAGGAATTACAATGAATAATTCAAGTGATGATGATGATCTTAACGTTCAAAATGATTTCCAACTTTGGAGATGTTTCAGTGTTGTGTTCTCTCCAATAATTATATAAAATATACTTCCAAGAGATTCAACGCGATGGATTTAAAACACGTTTGTAGTATGGACACGAAGAGCGATAGTAATTTCGACACAATTTTTTGAACTTGGTGTTGAATTTACGGAGAGAGAGAATCTCTTTGAACTTTTTCCGTCATCAATGTTTATTGAACTGCCACATCGTCATCTTGGAGAGGACATGAAGCAAAGCATGTAATTTTGTACTCTTCCGCCCGGTATGAAGGAACGTTGTTGTTGAGTTCAGCTTCTGATGTTTTGGCGACTTTGGAATATGAAATGTAAGTGGTGAGAGTGCCCAATTTCAGGTTATCTCTGTTGGGTGCTTCTGGATTATCTTCTTCGTCACTTTCTTGATCACTTTCTTCTCCAACAATGCTACATTTAATTTCTTCAGCGTGGGATTGGTCGAACAAAGAGGCCTCGAAGAATATTTGAGCATTTTCTCGTTTCAGTAATTGACGTAAATCCATAAAAGCTACAATTTCATCCTTTGTGAGATATTTGGGTCTTAGTGAAACTTTCAAAATTCGTTCCTTTTCCAAGAAGGCATTCAGGTTTTCTCTTGAGGCCGAAAAGTAAGTGGCATTCTCAATGTGAAAAACAAGAGGGCCCTCTGAAAATAATTGAAAACTTTCATATTCTTTTTTCAGAACCCCAAAGAAATCAATGGTTAGTATCCAACATTCGTCTACTGATGATTTTAAGTCTTTGATGGTCACCTGATTGATAGTCATCTCCCACAACACTTCATCTTGTGCATATTGGACACGTGCTTCAATCGGTGATCGTGTCACAGCCACATCATGAGGAGTAACCACTTCTTTTTGATTCACGTTTGAGGTGAACATATCTAAACCAGCTGGTTGCTTTTGTGGTGGTTCTAGCCATGCTAGTGAGGCCAAATCTTGAGCGGTCATAGGAGAAGTTGAATAGTCGAGTGGATCGTGATTTGATGGCAAACCATTGTATACCACTCGTGGTCCTGAGCTTTGAGGTCTCTTTTTGAGATTTCCAATTTGTTTTGCATACGACGGTACAGGTGGCTTTGTAAGTTGAGCACTTTGAGAAGCTCTTCTCGTAAGAGTTTGTGAAGGTGTTGCAGGCCTCTTGGTAAAAGTGGAAGAAAGTGGTCTCTTCTCTCCTGTGCCGCTGGTGTTGGCAAGAGAAGCAGATTGTGGCCTTCGTGCTGAAAGTGGTTTGGGGTCTTCATTCTGGGAGTCATTGGTTGTTTTTAGAGTAGGAATGAGTTCCATCCATTCCTCTGGAAGTGGATCTGCTGTGTAAAAATCGGAAGGAGGTATGAAAACGCCTGGAATCCACTCTTGAAGCTTGATGTGACTCACATCTTTCGTGCTCATTTGTACAAATCCTAGAGTGGCCCTCAGAGAGCACAATTTCAAACCTGTGGCTGAGAATAGGACCATGTAGTCCAGCTTATCGAGAAGACCACTCTCGAATTGTCGAAGATGCAGTACAGCTTTTCCAATCACTTCAGTGGTATTTACACATAAATCGACTCTTACTTCGCGCTGGGTTTTCAAAAATTGTCGAAATTGTTGTTGATTTTTAACAAAAAAGTAAAACACTCTTAATTTTCCAACTGCAATCTTTTTCTTTGAATCAATCTCGTCCATATTGATAGGTACTATTAATTCAGTGTTGAAAATGGTCATTTTGAGGTGAATCTTTTTTGAATACAATAGAATGTCAGGAACATTTCTCACCTCTTTTAAATCAAACATTGTAGTAATGAGTTTGCAATGCAAAATGCTGAATGTTAGCCCAATTGACTCCTCTCACTTACCATTCAAATAAACAATAAATCGATACATTTGTAAGGTTTTTGGTTGTTGATGTTCTTCATGAATGAGAATTCTTTTTTGCTTTGAAAGCTTTTGTTGGAGAGACTCAATTATAGATGCATCATCGTTGATCTTTTTTGTAACAGGAATTCCAATAGCTTTTGCAAATTCCAGCTCTACCTTGGCAAGTTTTTGTTCTTGTATGTACATGTCAAAGCTAAAAAAGTTATAGCATTCAACCTTCCTTACAAAAATATCGAAATACCTACCAAGGTTTGCAAACCTTATACTCTTGATACCAGCTCGAAGTTTCTGTCAAACCCTTGAATTCTGGCCGATCGAACCAAGACAATTTCACAGCTCGGCGTTTTAAATGCTGTTCTGTCGCATAGATCATCTTTAAAGTCATTGAATAATTCAATTCGCTTGGTGGAAATAAATTAAGGCACATTTTGCACTCTTTGCATCTTAAATAGGCACTTCGAGATTTTACAGATTTTTCTTCAAATGATTCGTCTTCGAACGATGTTGGGCGTTTTGAAGTTGATTTTTCTTCTAATGTGAACGCTTTAACTTGAATAAACCAGTATCGCCCATTATCATCTCGAATAAAGTCCGCAGCCAAAGATTCAAATTTACATTTCAAATTGGGTAAACCCTCTAAATACTTTACAAGCGATCGAATTTGCTCTCCCAACTCTCTCAAGGCAGCTGTTTTGAGCTGGAATATGTCAATGTTATTAATATTTTCTGTACTAGTTAAGAGTCTATTTGAAGGCTCTTTTTCAGACATGTCTGTGGTAGTTTTGATGTTGCTAATGACATAACCTGAAACTGGTTTGTGACAACTCCAAAGAATTCTTGCGATAGAGGCTTTAGATCCACACGATTTAACATATCTTTGATAGGCACAAACTCCTGTCGTTTGAGTGTCTAGAACGGTCATTAGCTGTTTTACACTTAGTAAAGTTGCTGCATTGCTTGTGACTTCTCCTGTAACTGTCTGTTTGAAAGTAAAACATTAATCAATAAGGCGTTCCATTAAATTTGCTACGTACTCTCTTCATCACCACTGCAACATCGGTGTCTGTGGAGGTACCCAATGTCAATTTTTGCTTGATCGTTTTGTAAGAAATATTGTCAGCTCGCGCCACAAATCCATCATTATCGGTATAATACAAGACTGGATTTTCTGCAATTCCATAAACAACTGTGTAGGGTATTGAAAGTCGTAATTTTGATTTCGTGACAACGTTTTGTTGATCGGAAGGAATGGCCTTTACGGGAATTAAGTGTTTAAAAAAATGGACGAGGGGTTTCAGAGCATGGTTTGATTTGTAAATGGCTTGATATTTAGGATCCGCAAAATTCACTCTTTCCAATAATTCCTTTTGTTTTTTAATTTTAATTTCTGAAAGATGAGACCTTTTCGTTCGGAAATCGTCATCGGTGTGATCTGCAATATCGTTTGTTCTGAATAGGATTTTGTTCAAATAATAATTTCATATCAGATAATTTTCAAATGAAATGATTGGTCATCGGAATGACTCTCATGTTATCGATAACAACAAACACATACAGAAAGGGAAAGGTGAAAATCTCTTCATCTATTTTTTTGTCCATCTCCGCTTCCACTGGCTCGGCCAACCTGATTTTCCGAACAGGTTTCTCAGCTGTTTCTGCTCTTTGTTTGGATCTCTGATGTGATCGAGAAACTTTATCAATCAATGAGGCCAATTCGAGAGGTGCATGACTGGACATTTTTTTCGCGCGTGGGTATTTACAATTTTTCCGTCAAGTGTTTAAAGGCGCCATTTTGTCATTTTCTTCACAAAACACTCATTTTGATATCCTACTCGTTATAAGAGTCTTTATTGGAATCGATAATGGATCATAAAGTCGTGATTGTTCGTCATTATGGATGTAGTTAATGTAAGGTCTGAAAAATTGTGTGGAATCGAATAATGGTGACGGCGTCAAGGTAACTCTTGCAAGTCAATTATTTACATTACTCATGATGGAAAATCTGTATCGAGTAGCAATAATTGGTAATACAGGTTAGAAATCATCCGTGTCAGCCCCGTTGCTTGACTGAAAAGAAAGGTCATTGGAGGGAGAGGGAGAAACATCCACAACTGCGACTGAAGATGATGCATGTTCTCGCGTGTATTCTGAGATCAAAGATTTCATGAGTTGGTTGATGCGAGAAATATTAACTCCTTGCACGACCTCAACAAGATTTCCTCCCTTGAAAATCAATGAAAATTATTAATAATATTTAAAAATGTCAATCAGATCATTCATGATGTCAATAAAGTTTGTTGCCTCCGACACATCACTTACCTTGTAGAACAAGAAGGTGGGACGAGACTTGCCTTTCAGTGACTCAATTAGAGGGACCCATTGAGATCGTTGTGTATCGTCTTTGGTTTGAAATTTTTGAGGCGAGTTGTTACTTGCACTACTGTTACTGGGAGAATTGTTTTGCCAGGACGTTGTTGACACTTCTCCAGAGACACGACTCAAAGAATCATTTGTAATATTTGAGGAGTTTTTGTTTTCCTCTATAGACATGGTTGTTGATGACCTCTCTAATGAATTCTTTGATCCAGCTCTCATTATTGAATGGCTCGAATTTCTTCTTAGAATGGATTTTGCATGCACCGCTTTTTCGAGTCTTTCCTCTCGAACACTTTGGACGGTGAGATCGGAATTGAGGCACACAAAACTCATCGGACAGGCCTCACTACTCTCCAAATAATATTTTTGAAAATAGGGAGTTATGACTTTACAGGATCCGACCCAATCGGCAAAGACGTCAACGATCAGTAGTGTTCCGTTTAGCTTGCTTTTATGTAATTCCTTCTCAAACTCTCTATGGTTTTGAACTTGTAGTTGAAATTCAATTTTTGAGTTGTGTTTTTGCATTTTTTAGCGATGGATGGAATTTCTGTCATACAACTTTGAACCAAAGATCATATCTGAAAAACAAAATATCGATTCGAACAAAACATTAGCCAATAATCATACATGAAAAGAGAAGCCACTTTTAAATGAAAGTATTGCATTTTTAATAATTAAATATTTAACAGTTGGAGAGCAAAATTATTTTTGGAAAGTCTTCAAAATGTTCAATCTGGTCTTCATGGCATCAGCTCTCTCACCTGAAACTGAACCAGCTCCCAAAATCTTTTCAACTCGAACAATTTCAGCGTCAATATATTCCATTCCCTTCTCAATAACACGAGCCATGGCCTTAATATATAAATCACCATTTGCGTGAACAGATGAATTGAGAGTCTTGAGTTTTTCCTCAGCTTGCTTCATGATTTCCTTTCTTTCCTCATTGGTGGAGGCAGAGACAAAGCTCTTAACAAAGGAAGCCAAGTTATAAACAAGTCCAGCACTGTCAGAAAGGGTTCCTTCAACAGTACGGAATGTACTAGCCTTTTGATTCAAAAAGTCAACCATAGCTTGAGCATCACGACCTGCATTGTACTCTTCAGCTTGCTTGTCAGCCTTGGCAGGGAAGAATTTAAGAGTTGGATATCCTTGAACTCCATATTTTGAGGCAAGATCTCTGTACTTGTCGCTGTCAACCTTGGCAACCACAACATTCCTCTCGTTGGCAAATGCCTTGGCAACCTTTTCATAGTCTGGAGCCATCTTTTTACAATGTCCACACCATGGTGCGTAGAATTTAACCAAAACATTCTTCTCAGGATTAAAAACAATACTGTCAAAATTTGATGGAGTGAGTTCTTCAGCAAAGGTTGGTTCCTTAGAAACTCTCAATCTAGCACTTGGTTCCTTTGAATTAATAAAGTCCACAAGAGCTTCAACACTTCTTCCGCTGTTGTAGTCAGTTGGCTCCTTGATTCCACGTGGGAAGAACTTGAGTGTTGGATATCCTTGAACACCATATTTGCTACAAATATCCCTCTCAACATCACAATTCACTTTAGCAACAGAGACTACTGCTGGCTTGGCCTTGATCATGGCTTGTCCGAGCTTGGCCATCTCAGGAGCAAGGTTCTTACAATGTCCACACCATGGTGCGTAGAATTCAACGAGTACGCTCTTGCTTCCATCAAGTACGGAATCCACATTCGAGCTGGAGAGATCAATGATACCCTCCATAGAAGCCTCTGGAGTATCAGCAAGAACGACAACGGAAGCAGCAAAAACTAGAGCTGCCAATACTGAAAGCAGCGTGATGAAGAGTTTTCTCATTTTTTTGTTTACAACAACAAAATCTCGGAACACGTATTTCGTAGTCGCCAAAGAAGCAGAAGGGATTTCACTAACGTCAAGAACAAATCAACTAGTTGAGATTTATATTATACATCCTTGTGCACAACCAACCTAATGGTAAAGCTGTTATTTGTGGTGAACAAAATTAGTTTCGCATGAATAAATGCCAATAAAAACCAAGGAATGATCATGGCTGTTATAATGACACTCAGATAAATGGATAATGTCAACACCTGATTGAACGTTGATAGATGATGCTTCAATTTAAACGATAATACATCATACAACACCATACGACAGATCCTTTCAAAACAATGCTCGGAATTTTTATTTGGAAACAACATTTGTTAAGTACAGCAAAAATTGACATCCAAGAACCCTTAATGACAAATTGGTGGCATTCACCATTTAGTTGTTGTATATCAACGATGTAGACGGTATAGAAGTTTATGGATTTACAACAAGCAGTAGTATTTCTCCACACCTAATCTTAAAAGAAAACATACAAAAGACAACCATTACAAATACTAAAAGTTTTTGCCGACACCAGGGATCGAACCAGGGACCTTAAGATCTTCAGTCTTACGCTCTCCCAACTGAGCTATGTCGGCTTCACGTTTTCGTTATCGAATATCTATACAAGAATAAAAAGTATTTTTCGATGCAGAAAAAGAGGCTTGTTGAAGTTGGAGTGTTTTGTTGACAGAAAAACAATCAAAAATGTCTCCTCCAAAATCCTCGTCCTCCTCTGAAACTTCCTCCTCCTCGTATGAAATTCGCAGACCTAAACACGATTTAAAGTGGTACCTATCCTATTATCGATACAAGTGCAAACAATTGGTAAAAACAAAATGGAAGCATCTCCTTATATTAAGTTTATGGATTTCTCTCGGTTATTGGTGCTATCGGAACGAGTTTATGACCGTCTACATGATCATCACCATGATCGGCTTGATTTTCTACAATTTAGATTGGAGAGAAAAATCAAAGGAGGAACGAGAATCCACGCTGAGTGCATGGAGCGTCTTTAATAAGGATTTCAAATCAATTCCAGGAACATTCACTGCTGATGATCAGTTGAGAAATATGACAGGAGGAGCAATTAACACCAACAGCAATGGAAGAAGGAATTAATAGCCACAACGAATCGAATGATTAGAGGAAAAGTGCTCATAAAAGTAACGTACAGTGACAAGAACTCATATCAGGAATGCACGCGAAAATGTTGAAACAACAATTTGTCGTAATGCGCTGTGTTGGTTCTGGACAGGGACGACAAATTGTCAAAATATATTATAATATTATACCTTTAAGAAGTTTTAGATTTGGAATATTCAGCCATTTTCGTCTGAATGGGGATCATCATTTGCAATGACACTGAATGCCAGGTTGCGATTTTCGTAGCGAGCTTATTCAACACATCGATATCACCACAATCAACAACTCGAGTTTACTTGAAGATGATAAACTTTTGATGAGGATTTGTTTTCTTGAATGATATCTCTTCAAACAAGTTATGACCAAACCTTACTCTATATTTCATACTAGGATGCATTTGAGAGGTCTTGTTTGATTTTGAAATTTTGGTTTGTGAAGTCGATTTTCTCGTCTTCTTTGATGGTGTAGACGCAACAAATGTGCTGCTACATGTCGATGAATCACTTGATTCGAGAGTGGAATCAAGATGTTGGTGATTCCTGTATTGAGATGATGTTGTCATCATCATCTCTGGAATGATCGTACAATTATTGGTTAAACTTGTTGTGTGCAAGTGATTGGATTGCAAGACGTTCGAAGCAAGATGAAACTCATTATGTTGAGATTCCATCATGGAAGTGAACCAATGTAATGTTGGTGATTGCATCCATTCATTGAGAAGCATTTGCGAGTTATTCTTCTCACCATTAATGGTCGACGTCAGATGAGTGTTGTTGTTGCAAACACCAACATTGCAAGATCTACGTTGTGTTTGATGCAACATGGACCATTGAAGACCCAGAGAAGAATGGACATGTCTCAACGCTTCATCAATGATACGAAAGAGCTCTTCTCGGTTTTTCATTGTGAATGTCTCATTCATGTATTGGCATCTTGTAATCTCTGGATCACAAGATGATGTGAATGGAAAGAACTTTTTGCTTGGTTCAGGAGATGATGGATCATTCAACTCTGTATCATCCCATATCACAGAAGATGATGGTGCGAGAGTAGTCGTCTGAAGAGAGGATTGATGATCGCCTTCAGCAAACATCATGAAATGTTCAACCATTAATTGCCTGCTGGTTGACATTTCTGGAGAAAGGATATTCTTTATCATTTCATCTGTAATTCCACTGTGAAAGGTTTGAGGAGAGTTGTGGCACTCATGTGATACATGATCTCTAATCTTGACACCATTGATGTTGGGGATCATTGTCATCTTGTCAGAATTGCCCATAAGAGTCATTGAGGGTATATGAGAGAAGGAAGACATATTATTTGTGATGAACGGCTCTGCGCAATTCACTTGAGTCGTGGATTGCATGGTGTGATGAGGGAGAGCTGTACAACAAGTTGTTTTGTTTTTTTATGTTCGCAATAGTTTCACACAACTGTCAATTCATAATGATTTTGATGATTATTTGCATTTCCTAAAAAATAGTACGTGTCGGGGTGATGTCCTTTTCTCGACGTCAACTACTTTCTGAATCATTATTTGTCAAGGGTAATATTGTGTATGAATACAGAAAGACAAACATCCTATTTGGTGTGACAATCACCACAAGCTTGTGGTACTTGCCTTGATTCAATGACAACGCGATTATTTATTCCCCGTTTGTGTTGGATTTGAAAGGTGCGATGATGATGTCGTTGAAAGTAAGGACGGCTAAAATGAAACACGATTGTTATCTCGCTGTAAATCAGTGTATGAGAAACGATGGAGCGACCAAATCGAAATCTTACGTTCACAATGTGTGTGATTACGAAAAGAACTAATTGTTGACGATATCTTCAGCAGAATGAATCATGTTGTTGTTGGTGGTGTACAAATGCATCAAAATCATGCAAAATCTTCTGTGTTTGGTTGATCTCCAATATCCCAACTCTCACCAGTTGTCACCAGTCAAAAATGGACCAGACAAAAAAGACAACTTGTTATTAATTTTGCATTCTATTATAATTTTTTTCCATCTCTTTCTTCTAGGAGAATCTATTGCCCATTTGAACCAAAATGCAAACGAATTTCGTCAAAGTTCGTCGAAAGAGATCAAAGATGATGCAGGTTGGATGGTTTCGAAAGTTTCAGTGACGCATCTCTATAGATGCATGTTTCAACACAAAGACTCTATCCATGTCTTCGATCGCGTTGAGGTATTTATCTTACCGAAAGAGATCATGTTGCCGATGTTCACGCATTCTCTTCACGCCTCCGAGAGGAATAAAGGTCTTTGATTCTTCTTCAAAAAAGGATTAGGTTAATACTGATGGAGATTACCAATAATGAGTACTGTAAATCTTTCAATTTATAGAGTGAATGATGTTTTGAGAAGGGTTTCCAGTTTTCCGTGCTGTTCTGGAAGTGTCTAAATAAATTTTTGAATCTTCTAAACTTGTACTTTCTATGTTTGTCTGATTAAAAATGACTTCCAAAATTTGGTCGAATTCACGAAGATTGTGCGTTTACTTGAATTCACAAGAACAAAACGAATTCTCTTCAGTTCTGTCACCACAATTTCCTTGATGGAGAGATCAACGACAGGTCCTTGATTTCAGTGTAATACCTCTAGGTCAATGATGCCACCTCTTTCCTCAATCCAGAATGCTCCTCCAATCGCTTCTCCTCAAATAACAAGAAACAGTATGTCCCACACCACTCAATCTGCTGGTGTTCCACAGTTTTCATCCACCCCTGCAGTGACACCCAACCTGTCAGCCAAGCCAAACAAGAGAGCTCAAAAGCCTCAACAACCTTGGGACAGTTTAACCTCTAGCTTCACGCAAACAACGACCCTTCTCGATGTTTTGCTTCTCCTTTCCATTCTGCCTTGACTGGTGACACATTAATGTGATTGGTTCCTGTCAAAACAAATGGTGACAACAGAGTGTATTATAAGGAAACAACAACAAGTTTCGGTAATAATGATAATTTATCAAATGACAAATTCATGTCGTGCGTGTGTGTAGTTGAATGGAATCTTATCGACAACAACAATTCAATTCCAAATTAGAATTCTCTTGGTAAATCTTGTTGTGGCATGTAATCTCTTGGATTGGTTCTCAATCTCAACAAGTAAATAACCACTCCCAAACAACACAAACATAAACAAATTGCAAGAAGAGATCCAATCACAATGGCAGCAATAATTCCTCCACTACTTGCAACGTCAGCTGTTTTGTAATTGTACCAAACTTCTGTTCCAGCTGTTGCATTCTTGGGATTGGCAATCTAATGAGGAGAAGGATGCAAAGAATGGGAGATTGCGAATTTCATTCAAATTGGGAATTTCAATGATCGATGATCAATATCATTATTATTTCACATCATTGATTTTAGTTTTAAAATCATGTCAAGTGAGGAATTGAAAAAATATTATGTAATGTATTGTGGTGCATCATTATTAGTAGTATTTTGTTTGTTCATTCCAAATCGAGTAGTATGCAATAAACAATTCAAATAATTCAAAATAATTCAAAATAATTACAATAAAATTTAAATTGAAACGAATCGTTCACAGCCACACTCGAAACAATTATTATTTACATACCACCAAAACCACATCAGAAGTGGTTTGATAATCAATTTTGTAAGTATAAATATTTCCATACTTGATTTGATCAGGAATCATGAAAGCAGTATTGTAATAATTGGATCTCCAATTGAAATAATCTTGTTTTGTTTTTATCAATAAAACGTCACAAGGTCTGTTGTAACATTCTACTTCATAAGTCAAATAAACATCAGGCGTGAATTGCTATTATGATGGTCACCATGATTGAAAATGTTAAAAAATGATTATTGAAAGAATTGTATGAATCAAGAGTTTAAGTATTGACAACAATATTGGATATATCCACAAAACCAATGAGATTCATGATGATGTTGATCATATGTGACAAGTTGACATTTTAATAGTCACCAAGAGGATCAAGTTTTCCGTTCAAAACCCGATCATTACAAAATAATATTCAAAATAAAAACAATTGATTAAACAGTTTCAAATATGATATTACAATAATAACAATCGTTGATAATTACTTTGTAGAGAAGTGCTCCAGGTGCCAATGAAGCGGTGTGGTACTGACTGAAAATATGGAGAGATGAATTGGCTGGTTTGTTGGTACCAGGTTGTTGTGCCGAGACAAAAAAGAAGGGTGAAGATCGGTCATGGTTGACTTGATTGGTGTTCTTTGATGAAAGAAGAATCATCAGACCTGCTGCAACGAGAAGGAATACAAGTGATGTTGTTGGAGAATGGTGTTTGAAAGACATTTTTTTGAAACTTCTTTCAAATGTCACTCTAAACAAGAGGCCATTTGTTGTCTGTCGTGCACATAGTTATAGTTGATGGTCCAAAACAAAAGACCTTATTCTGTGAGTAACTGGAAACAATGCCATTATTTATTTTTTACATCTTGTGTGTTAGTGCAATTTCTTGCTACAAACAACTGCTGCTAAGGATATATAAAGAGGGGCATGAGCTAAGAAAGTCTCAATTCTGGTGAACTCGATCTTCATAAAATTCTCAACTTAATTCCAAACGTCTCTCTTCAACACCGAATGGCGAGTAAGAAACATTGGAATAAGGAAAATTAAATGATTGGAAGGAGCCACCTGAAGAGTCCTTGTTAACCTAGTCCCATATAAATAAGAGAAAGATATAGATATATAAAGAAATAGAAAGATGGATAAAGGAAGGGAAGGAAGGGAACAACAACACAAAGAATTGAAGTGACGAATTTGAAGGATGATGAAACCAAAAGGGAATGCCACGTTAACGAGATACTCTCTTTTCTCGAACAGGTAGCGACATCCTGAAGTGGTGATCGTTTGCAATGAAAGTAAGATCTAGCAGTTAGTGGTTTGGAGACTCTTAAACGTTTGAAGAAGTACTGTTGATGAACATGTTCACAGTTTGTCTTTCAGTTGGAGTGAGAGACTTGAGCAATTGAATTGCTAAGGATGCTCTCTCACTTGTTGGCTCTGGTTGTGGCTGTTGAATAAAGTTGAGTGGTGTATGATGAATCTGTTTTTCCTTCTTTTGCTTATTCTCCACAGTATCAAAGAGAGCACCTAACACATCGGGAGTTTTTTCTTGGTTTGAAATCACATTCGAAGGAGGTGATACTGGTGAGGTAGAAGTTTGAGGTGAGCCAAACACAAACTGAGGTTGATAAGCAGTCCATTGAGGTGGATAATACATTGGCATTTTGGCTGCAGCATAAGATAAAGGAAGAGAAACAAATTGTTGAGCCATCTCTTGATGATAAGCGGCAGCAACTGCAGCATAATTAGCAGGGAACATGTATGGACCAAAAGCACCAGGAGCAGTGGTGTAGTGAGAAACAGCAGCGGAGGGGTTAAGGATTGTTGGTGACAATGGTTCATGCATCAGGGTGCGTGACTTGCTCATTGGATAATAGCTTGAGTTTACGGATGCAATAGAACGCTTAACTCCTTGCTTTTCACTCTTTGGTGAGGAAAGAACGTTGTTGCTTCCACTGCTATTGTTGGAAGAGTCGGGAGTGAGTGGTGCAGAAGACATTGATGGTGAAGTTTGGGCAGCAATATTGGCGAGATTGTTCTTGTTTTCGAAGGAGGCCTTTGAAGAACCCAAACTTTGATGATGTTCTCTACGTCTTGCAAATGTCTGGAATGGATCACTCAGGAAGAGTCTCTTGACAGTACCACCAATAGTTTGTGTCAATTCCAATCTGAATGATCTTCTCTTGAAGTGGAATGAGCACAAATTAAAAGTAAAACGAATCATTCTTTCGTTAGGATTAAGCTCTTCAACTTGTTCAACAGCAACAGCTTCGACAATTTTCTTGTTGTTTGGAAGAGTAACGTTCGGAACGACTAGAGTCTCAGCATCAACGAGATTCAAAGTTAACTTGTGTTGACGATGATTTTCCACGCCAGAACCAATGATTTTCAAGTCATACTTGTAAGGATGACACAGCAAAGAGGGTGGAAAACGGTCTTCAAATTGATCTTCTCTACCTTTTGCTTGCTTCAAAAGAACCACAAGACCGGAAGCAGTGGTTGCAGTGCTCTTCTTGCAAGCATCCATGGTAGAGGTGGTTTCCTCAGTGGAAGTGGTAGACGAACCACAACTTGTTGTTGATGGAAGAGCGGTATTGTTGATCATCAAGATGTTATTAGTAGCAGTACCTTCTTCAAAAGAAATCTCCTTTTCATCGCCAAAGAGGAATGGATCATCACTTGGGAGGAATTCATCGTCATATAAAACGTTTTGAGAAATTGAGTGGTTCATCTTGTTGTAGTTGTTGTTGTTGTTGGGATATATAAAATAAGAGTAGTGGGAGGAAGAAAAATAAAACAGGATTATCAAGATCACAAAATCAAAATCCGACTTTCAAAAGGTTGTCCTGTTTTGAAGGATGGAGGTAGGCAGTTGTTGATTTGAGTGGGAAGAGTGATGGTGGAGATGAGTAGCAGCGCCTTGTAGCAAAAATTGGCAGTTGTTGAGAAAAATTTTTTAACCTAATAATATCTCAGACAGGCAAGCGCTTTTAAACGGATCTCTGAACCTTCTTCTTGCGGCTACAAGGGGAACACAGAACCGGAAGAGATCGCTACAACATAAGGACCATGAAGCTTAAAAATTTTCATCTCTCGCCTATGAGAGAAGACTTCCTAACGAGAAAGTCAATACTTGATCATCATTTTCCTCCTTTTTCACCTTCATGAACCACTTTCTCACAGCAAATCTTGCACCGGAGGGCGGTTGTCCTTCTCAATTTAGGCCAAATTCAACTCACTCGGTGCCCCTGGCAAAAAATTGGTAAAAAAATATTTTGATGTCTTCCTCAAGCAGCAGCGAAAGCAATCATCACAAGAGAGGTTCCGATTCATTATCACTTTCTCAAGACAACAACAATCATCACTCAGCCACGCAAAATCCTTCATCATCAAACAATAACACTCCATCAGAATCGGAACAACCTCCCAACAAAATGATCAAGGCTCCAAAGAAGTGTCCGGTAACTGTCCTCACAGGTTTTTTAGGTGCTGGAAAGTCCACTCTCATCAATTACATTCTCTCTCACGATCATGGACATAAGATTGCCATCATTGAGAATGAATTTGGAGAGGTGAGCATTGATGATGCTCTCATCGTCACTTCTAATGAAGAGGTTGTGGAGCTCAGCAATGGCTGTTTGTGTTGCACATTGAGAGGTGATTTGATTGGTGCCTTGACACGATTGAGCGAAAAGAAAGATAAATTTGACTACATTCTTATTGAGACCACTGGTCTTGCCTTACCAGGTCCTATCATTCAGACTTTCTATTTGGAAGATCAGGTGAGAGAGGGCTTTTACTTGGATGGTATTGTCACAATGGTGGATGCCAAACATATTGTCCATCATTTACACAAACATCATCACCACGAGGATAAGAAGAAGAAGGAACTGAACGAGAATGAAGAAGAGGAGGAAGAGGAAGAAGAAGAAACCAATGAAGCTGAGGATCAACTTGCTTTTGCTGATAGAATCATTTTGAACAAGGTCGAACTTGTCTCAGAGCAAGAGAAGGCAAAGGTTTTGAAAAAGATTCGAAAGATTAATGCCATTGCTCCAATACTTGAAACCAATCATTCAAAGGTTGACGATTTGTCATTCCTTCTTGATATTCGTGCGTTTGACATTGATAGAGTGTTGAACATGGATCCCAACTTGTTGAAAGAGTTGAACGATGAAGAGGATCATAAACATGATGAAAAGCATCATCATCATGACGACAATCATCATCACCACGATGAACACAAACACAGTCACCACGACTCTGAAGTATCGAGCTATGCTATTGTGAGACCTGGATTGGTCGATCGAGAAAAATTTGAAGATTGGCTGCTTGATTTACTCACTGAACAAGGAGAAGACATTTACAGAACTAAGGGATTCTTAAATGTTGGAGAGACTAAGCCTCTAGTAGTTCAAGCCGTTCATAGCTTACTCGATATGAGACCTTTCGGTGAGTGGAAAAATGGTGACACCACTAACAAGTTGGTATTTATTGGCAAGTACATTGACAGAGATGAACTTTTGCGAGGTTTTGAAGAGTGTTTAATACCACCACAAGAGAATAAATAATTCTGTGGCATGTTTCTTTTGAATTAGATTCACATGAATCTTTAAAGTTTTTAATATCTTCATATTCTCCAGAATTCACATCATGTCATTCATCGTCTTCCTCCTCCTCTGTTTCATCAAGGGTGTTATTAATTTCATCTTCTTCCTCATCTTCTTCGTCTTGATCTTCTTCAGAATTCTCATAAGAGTCTTTTACTTTCTTCAATGGCCTTTCATTAATAAGATCATTCATTGTTGGGTGTTGATCAAAGTCATCTTCATTGAGTGGAACTAACTCCTGACTGCTTTCATGATCATTACTTTCAGAAGGTTTTGACATTCGAGGATACAATTTTGTGCATGTGTTTTTTACGGTGAGAGTTTGACATTTTCTTAATGGATGACAGTTCTAATGGATGCCCTGTCACACGACATAAAGCAAGAGACGGAATATATGTTTCAATCACTTCAATGAAGTGTCCTCCGTGTAAAAACAACTTTAATGCTGTTCGAACTTTTGGAAATCAATTTTTATTTCTTGAAATTTATGTATGGAGGTCAATGAATTTACAACATTTTCAAATTGTTTTCTGCTCTCCGAGTTGAATTGATTTAACTCGTAGTAATGTTCTTCGTTTCTTGGTAATTCACAATCTTTCTTTGACGAAGAATCTTCCACCTCGTAGTCGTCCAGGTTTATAACAGTCTTCTTGTATTTTCTACGTCTTCTTTGTTTCTTCAATGAAGATGTTTCTGGTTGAGAGGACAAACAAGGAGAAGAAGAACACTCAAAGTGTTGGTCTTCTTCCTTGTTGATTTCTTCTTCTCCTTGTTTGTGTTCAATTGAAGATGATGCAAATGAGAGACTTAAATAAAAATCAATATAGTCGTTACAACTATTGTTGCTGTCCAATAATTGGCCCAGCGATCTCATGTGAAATTTTTTTTTCTGAAAAATATATTTCATTTTGCCGCCTTACTTGACAGGTCGATTGATGTCTCGTTAATTTCTGAACATGGTGGTCTCAAAGGAGAGCGATCTATTGTTAGTTGGATTCGAATCATTCGAAAGGGCTGAGAATACGAAGAAAAGAGAGTCGAACTTGAAAAATTAGAGCGCCAAATTTATTAAGGTATTAAGGTAAAGTTGGTCCCCGCAGTCATATAATACATTCATTCATTGTATTAAATTCTTTCGATCAATGACATTTTCCCATTTCACATAAAAGTTGGTCGTTTTTTTGGATCAAGTTGAAAAACATTTTAAGCTTCAAAATGGACACGCAAGACTACGAGCAAAAGAACTCGTGTCAGCATGATGGGAAAGCTTCATAGTCCAATGAAGGATAAGAGACAGGTAAACGAACACGAAAAGTAGCTTGACGTCAAATCCCAAATGAGAAATGTATTATTGGGTCAGAATAGAAATAATAGATTATGTTTGTTGGAAGGGGTTTATCTTCTCAAGCTTGCACCAAAGAATGGTGTTGTTTCGAATTAATTTCTTGAAACAGGACTTTAGAAAAAATCAAAATACTAAACAAAGGAAATGTTAGAAGCTCATCATTTAATTTCGATTGAACATTTTGTGAAAGTATTCGAGTTGTGTCACTTGATTTGGTAAAGGTCTCTCTTCAGGATTTTTCTTTAACATGGAAATAACAATTTCCACAAGCTCTTGTGAACATTGAGGAGCCTTTGTTGCAAAATTGTTTCTAATCAACTGTTCGACAGATTCTGGTGTTTCTTTGAGATGAAGTTTGTATTGATGTTCCTTGAGATAGAGTTGTGTAATGCAAGTTTCAGTATCACCCGTTAAACATTGATAAGCAGTGACACCCACTGAGAAGACATCTGATTGAAAGCAATACTTTCCTTGAACAAGTGATTCCCAGCTCATGTAAATTGGTGTTCCAGCAAATCCAAGTTGTGTACTCAATAAAGTATGAGCATCTTTGGATAACAAGTCTTGTGTGTTCTCCTCATTTGTGAGAACGTATTCATCACTGTTAGAATTTCCAGATGAAGATTGTGCTTCATTGAAAGATGTAGAACTATTTCTCCATCCCTTCTTTGCTAGACCAAAATCTCCGAGAACGACCTCAATGAAAGAATTCTGACGATTGTAATTCTTGACGAAAATATTAGAAGGTTTCACATCTCTGTGAATCATATTGAAATCAGTATTCATGTAGTGAAGTGCAGAGCAGAGTTGATAAATGAGTTGAGCCACAATCTCTTCAGGAAGTGTGAAAATTCCAAGCAACATTTGATTTTCAATGAATTTCTCCAAATCACCCAATTCATAAAAGTCCATTTCCATACACAACATTTGTTGACCTGGATCAATAAAAACATCATTCACACGAACAATATTTGGATGAACCATTCGCAGTAAATGTGTGGCCTCTCTCAAAGTTTGGTTCAATTCGTTAAGACTACCAAAACGAATGAGTTTGATGGCTTTCCATTGATTGTTTTGTTTCAAATCTTGACCCTTCAAGACCACACCAAAAGCACCCGATCCAACCTTTGAAAGATTTGTAAATCGATCGATCAACATGGATGTTCCACCGTTGCTATTCTGATACTGTCCATTATCTGTCAGAGTTGTTGCTGTAGAAACTTGTGAAATGTTCATAAAGGTTCTGATATTGTTACTGTTGGTAGAACGATTAAGATTGTATGAAGTGGTACCAGAGAATGGAGTCGTATTGTTCGTATTATTACTGCTACTGACAGGAGTCGAATTTGATTGGAACAAATTCATTTCCTTATCCATGGATAAACTCAAGTTCGATTCAAAATCGCCACCAGCTTTTTGAGTGGTTCCAACAAGAGCGCTTTCTGTGCCACCAACAATGGCACTTTCTGTTCCACTTGATGTTTCTCGCTCCTCGGATTTCTTCTTTCGATCTTTCTTCATAATGATGAACAAGGAGATGGCAATAAATAATCCAGCGAGTAAGATGAGTAAAACAACGCTTGTCACAGGTAAGGCAATAGCAAGAATGGTTGACTCATCAAGTGCCGAGATTAAGGTTTGGCATTGAGCTCCTGTGTAATTACTATTACACACACAAGTGTCTTGATAAATACAAATACCTCTTCCATTACAAACAGTAGGGTCTGTTCCATTCTTTCCAAAACATAAACCAAATTCGCAATTGGATCCAAAGTAACCGGTATTGCATGAACAAATTCCTTCAATAGTGCAAGTACCATTTCCTCTGTTACAAACGTCAGCGCTTGTTCTGACAATTCCATTACAGGTGATAACAGGACAATAACCCTTGATGGCAGGGGCTGACAAGAAGACACTATGAAAACCACCTGCCATTGCCATTAAAATAGCTTTTCTAGATTCAGATAAAGAAATAATATTTGAAGTCTGAATGGTATCATTGGCAGATCCAATTTGTCCATAATCATTGTTTCCAAATGCATAGACCTCTCCTGTAGTCGTCAACATGACAGTGTGAAAAGCTCCTGATGAGATGTCAGCAATTCTTACATTACTTGGAATTAACACTCGTGTGGGAGAAAAAATAAAGGAGCTGCTAGTTCCTTCCAAATTACCCAATTGGCCATAATCGTTTCTTCCAAATGATAGAATTGTGCCATCGTCTAACATGACATGCGAGTGATAGTAACCTGCAACAATTTTTTTCACAGTTTGTGAGGTCTGCAATTTTGTTGGAGTTAACACATTGTGCGTATTCGTACTGCTGATTCCACATTGACCATAACTATTGTCACCAAACACATAGGCTGTTCCTGTCTCAGTCAAAACCATGGAATGTTTTGCTCCACATGAAATGGCAGCTGCCTTTTCTCCATTCAGAGACACAGTTGTGGCTTGAACAGTTCCAGAGCCAACATTTCCAGTTCCAAGTTGTCCATTTTGATTCAAACCCACTGAATATAAACCTCCATCTTGATCAATCATGAGAGCATGGTAAGCACCACAGGCAATCGCTTTGAATTTCTTGTTTGAAGCTGTGAGAGGATTTTTCATATAAACATTGTCAGCACCAAGTAACAACAAATCATTTGTATCTCTCTGTAAAACGATAGTGTTGGTGAAGGTCGAACAAATCATTTTAGCATTGATGGTCACCAAAACTGGTGAATAAATCACATCGGCCAGTGAGGAAAACATGGAATTGTAATTACGTCCCGTAACATAAAAGGAAGTTGGTGTTTGTATAAATGTTTGGAATGGTCCTGTCTGAAGGGAAATATTTGTGACGGGAGAATAGTCAACCTTAACAAGAGCATTGTTCTGTACTGATGTAGTTCCTGCAACTGCAAACAAGAAACGAGTGTTGGCTGATGACCTGTTAGGTGATGGCTTCACTCCCAATTGTCCTAAATTGTTAAGACCAAATGCTCGTACAGTATTGTCGTCACGAGTAAGGAAAGTATTAAAATCTCCACATTCAATGTCTGTAACGTTTCTTCCAAGCACTATGGGAGATCGAATTTCTGCGCCGAGTCGAATTCTAGGTGATACCCCCAATTGACCATATGAATTTGATCCAGCACCGTATGCCACATTATCCTCTGTGAGTACGACGACGTGACGTGAACCACATTTAGCCTTGATTACCTTGTTGGGCACTCCAAAATTAATTAAAAAGTTTGGTGGAGTGATCTCTCCCAACATGGACACGTCACGTTTGGGAGCTGCTGTTCCAAACACCCACACCTTCTTGTTTTTGTCGACAAGTAATAAAAATCTGTCACACAGTTTAACGTCATCAACGGAAGCCAAAGTGCCATTAAATACTGTTTGTTTGTTGAATGCCAAGCCCTCAAAGGTGACATTATATCCTGGAAATCTACCGACAAATTTAGCAGGACGTAATTCCAAACCCAGAGCCTGTTTGTCAGTAACCAAGTTATTGATATCTCCTAAAATTAAAACCTCTTCATCTCCAATGATTAAAGTGTTGAATTTTCCAGCAACTACATCTTTCACACCAAAGCCTTTTCCTTGTGGAATATAGCCTGGAATTTGTAAGGAATCTAAATAGGCAAGGATAGGTGTCGTGAAATATGAGAAATAGATGTCTCTCATTGTCTCATTGGAAATGCTAGAAATACCCATTTGGTTGTTCGCATTTGAACCAAAAAACCCAACCGATCGATTCTTGATAACGAAAACCGTGTGATCATTCTCTACAGAAACATCATCGACATTATCCATTATCAGCACTGGTGTTTGAGATGGCTTTGTTGAATTGTTTCCAAGCTGTCCCATATTATTTCTAGATCCAAAACTAAAAAGTTGGCCTGTAGCAGAAAGTACAATACTAAAACCAGCTCCAGAGTTTACCGACTTCACATAAATATCCTTTTGTTGATATTTAAACTTGTAATTTGTTGGAGTTCTCTGAATATTTTGTTTCTGCATTTCTGGAAATGCTGCCTTGTTGAGCAGAGTATTCTGGTCTTCCCAATCAAAAACAAAAGAATTATCAGCGGTGAGTACAGGTACTGGATTATCTGTTGGAGGTACTCCTAGTCCACCATTTTCATTCAATCCAAACACATAGATAGTCCTATAATCGTCTGCAAGAGCAATTGTATGCGTCACAGAGGCTGAAATTTGACGAATGACTGCATAATTTCCAGATTTTTGGGATCTGTGTTTGGAATCATCGTCGTCTCCTTTATCGAATGAACCTCTACGATACCATGTAGAGGCTGCGACACTGTCTTCTTCCGTTTTCTCTTTTTTTCGAAGACCAGCTTTTAGAAATTCTACAAGGGTTGGATCACTCACAAACAATGTTGAACTTGGAAAAGCAACAGTGCCATTTCCAATAGATCCATTTCCCAGAGCACCCGATGAAGGTAAACCAGCTGAAAATATCTCAAGTGAGTAAGGTGAGGGTATTGGCTGACAAGTGACAGGATATTTGCCCAACTCAATATCTGTGGAAATGGCGTCTTTTAAATATCTTGATTTTAAACTATAAGCTAGAACCATGAAGGTGGACATGTATCTCAGTGAAGAAGAAAATACGGGCTTGTTTTCATCACTTTCGGTTGAAATCGGAAGCTGATTCAGCCACGATGTCGTGAAAATGTAATGTGAGAAAATGAAAAGAATTGTGAGAAACAGGGTGAATCTCATAGTCAAAATCCACAAAGAAGGTACCTCTGAAAATCGTTTTCGTCGATAAAAGCTTGATAAATACTTGTTGTCGTTGTTAATAGCACCTGGATTAGAAGATTGCTTTCCATCATCCAAACTTGCAAGTTTCCATTTTTGGAAATTAGACGAGGAAGAGCTCGCCGAGAAAGAAGAGAAGGATTCAGTGTCTTGATCAAGGTGGAGATGGTTCATGTTGTGATTGAGGTTACGGATATCACTTGAATTTCCTTGTTCCATCACTTGTCGTCGTTGTTGTTGCTGATGACGATGATTGTCGTTGTTGTTTTGAAATTTGAAAGACTCTGATGAAAGTGATGATGATGATGATGAACAAGTATCTTGATTCTTATGATGATGATTATTATTCGAGAAAATTGTTTTCGTGTCTGAATTCAGACTCCGCAGCAGACTCCTTGTTTCGGTACTTTTTGAGACATGAAATACAAGCTGCAGCTCTTGGATGGTTGTTTGGTGTCCATATTGATGATGGATATTATTTAATTGTTGTTGTTGTGGTGGTGGTGGTGATGTCTTGCTGTTGTTGGGATTATCAAGTGATGATTGAGAGAATTGTTGTTTTCTAAACGATTCTTTCCATGATGATGATGATGAACCATTGACATGAATAGTCATTGATGTTTCGATGGCCGTCGAAATGATGGAGGAGGCGTGAGGAGTGGTAGTTGTTCTTGCTGCTGGTCTCGTCTCATCGGCGCTGCTGCTGCACGAACGATCAACTTGTAAGAAGGACACGTCCTCGCAGAGGTTCATCTCGATGGAATTTTTAGCTTGAAAAAATTTTGAAGTTTGACAGCCAGCCACTGCGAAGGAAGGAAATGGATTCTATGAACGTTGAAAAGAGTTCAAAGCTTACGAACTTTTGATCATCACCAAACCCAACCGAGATTGCACATTTGATTCAGGAAGGACACCCTTAATCTGCCTTCTTCATTTCACCACTCTTTGTTGACACTCAGCACTTTCAAAAATTAATATGATTCATTCTTCGGACTTTCCAATTATTAGCTTTTAAATCCATTTCATATCAACACAGAAAAATATACCCAACAGCGCTGTTTCGTGATGATTGTCCAACACATGTCCTTTCTTCATTTCTCAATGTCATTTTCATCACCACGCATGAAGAAGGACAATCCTTTCTTTCATGTATTCTTGTTATCATCTTTTGTGATTGGAATTTTGTTCCTCATGATGACACCAGCGGTGGAATTCATGGAGTGTCATGCGATGAGGAATTCTTTTGTTTCTTCTTTACATCGAAGTGGTCGATTTGTACAAATTTCGGAACAAGTCCATCGAATCCTTCAACAACATGAACAACAGAAACGACGACGGAATTATTCTTTTCCAACAACAACGACGAGAATGGATCCATTCAATGATGAGCAAGTGTTGAAAAAATTTGAATTTTCACAGAAAACAGTTCGAGAGGAGGGTTTGACATTTGTAAATTCTAATTCTCGGAATGGACAGTCCAGGTCCTTTCCATCCCTCTCAACATGGTCGTCACAGCCACCTCTTCATCACGAACGAAGGCCGTCCAATTCAATGCAAACACTGGCTGAATCCAAATTGACATCTGACAGTTCTTTTTCGGTTTCGTTCGATACCTGGAATGCAGCAGTGAACCAATATCCTGAAAAGCTACGACTAAATTTTACTCTCTACATTGATCCCAAAATCTCTCCATCCCTTCAGTGTGGATTTTCTCGTGACACGCCTTGTACTTACCTTTATCATGCTTTGTATCATCTAGATTTGAAACTCCAACGAGATTTCTATAATTTCACACACAGTCTCACCAATTTCAAACGCGCCATTATTTTGGATATCATTCTCATGAATGACCTCGAAGAATGTGGATCATTCTTACGATCCAATTCATTTTCAAATTTGAAATATTTCATCAAAATTCAATCAGATCCTTTACGACCATTAGAAACTTTTCGATTTGTTTGTTTAAGACATCAACAATTTCCAATTATTGGAGATTCTCGTTTGGACATTCAACTCGTCATGTTTCACAGGATTCAACTCTCCATCTATCAATACAATTGTGTGGGATATAATTATATATTTTCTCAGATGAAATTTGAGTATTCTCAATTATTAATTAATTTCGATGCATGTGGCAATGGTTTCATTCAAGGAGATTATGTGATTGTGGAAAATTGTGAAGTATTAAGGGCGGGTACATTTTATTTATTTCCTTATCACTACACTCAAATTATAATTTTAGGAATGCAAGGTGACGGATATTATTCACTCATTTTGATACAATATTGTTCACTAGTCATTATTAGGGATTGGAATTGTCCTTTTGGAACTCACTTTTTTCAAGATGTTGGCACCTTCCAAGTTTTGAATTCTCGAATTGTTGCACAATCTCTTACTTTAAATAAGGTCACCAATGTACTCGTTCAAGACACACAATTTGAAGATTTTAATGCCTTGAGTTATGCTTCGTTTTATGCAGATTTCGGTAATGAAATTAACTTTAAAAACGTGAGTGGTGTTAACGGAGAACAATTGATACACGTTCAAGGATATGTGAAAGTGGTGCTGTCAGATGTCAATGTTCAACACAATGTTGTGGAGAGAGGTCCAAGACCTTCTACCTACTTTCGTGATGTTGATGCAATCATCTCTCTCACTCAGACCTTTCAAGTGACAATTGTGAATTGCTTATTTTTCAACAATACTGGAAAATTAGGATCTGCATTATATATGGACAATATTTATCTCATGGATATCGTCTCATCATCATTCATTTCCAATAGTGCTGAGACAGGAGGTGCCATCTATGTGGCATCATTCTCCAAGACTTACTTTTATGGTCGAGCTGAATTCAAAAACTGTTTATTCGACAATAATTCAGCACAAGAATTTGGAGGAGCAGTCTATATCAAAATTGGGCTTTTCATCCTTTTCACTGAATGCAATTTTAGAAATAATCGAGCAACATATATGGGAGGTGCCTTTTTCATTGGTTTTGTCACTAAATCTATTTCTATTGACTACTCTGTATTCACAAATAACACAGTCATTGGCAACCATGCATCATTGGACACTAAAGGCAACCATGCATCTGTGGACAGTGGAGGAGGAGCCATTTGTGTGAGTAATGTGTACTTGACACAACACGGAGCCAATTTCAGACCTTTTCAAAATGCACTCTTTATTGAAAACTCTGCACCGAGAGGAGGAGCCATCTTTTACTTTCCTTGGAGTAATGCAGGAGTACAATTTCTAAATAATACCTTTGTGAGAAATAGAGCATCACTGAGTGGAGGAGCCATGTATATTGTGGGAACTCATCGTCTTGCCAATGGTTCGAATGTTTTTATTAATAATACAGCTCAATATGGTCCAGAAGTTGGATATTCAATTTTTAAAGTACGAGTCTACAGTGGACATCATGTGGACATGAAGGGTATTGGTGATACTTCTACTACTAATGATGGCGATAGTTATAATATCATTCCTGGAGGTGTTTTTGAATTTCAGATCAAAACTTTTGACGAGTTGGGGAATTATTTGCCAGCGAGTTCAGAAAATTTACAAGTCAACTCTACAGATCCATTGGTGTATGTTCGAAAAGTGTTCACTACTCCCAACAGTCTTCAAGTGATATTCTACATTTTGACCAATGACACTTCCTTTTATGGAAATTCCAATTATGTGACAATTAATGTGACATTTGCAGGAGAAACAGCCAGAGTGAATACTGAGATACTTGTCAATATTTATTCATGTCCTTCCAAGTACAAACTCGATAAGGTACCTACTGACTTGGGAAAAATTGTATATGGATGTGTAGAAATACCTGAGCCAAATTATCTTTTAATATTTGGAATTGCAATTCCATTGAGTATTTTCACATTTATTATTGGTACTTTCATTGCCATTGTGGCGACCTATTCTATTAAGATTATTCGTAGAAAATTGAAAATACTTCAAGAGAAGGAAAGAGCTGAACATGAAATGCAACAAAAATTAATTGACAAGAATTTGATTTTTGACATTAACATTGACACTGAAGAATGTGTTACTGGACAAGCATTTGGAGATGAACTTTCTCATGTTGGCTCAACTCATGAAATGATGGATCAACACATCATAAGGACAAAACCTAACACCCTCTCACAAGGAAGCAGTTCTTCACAAAGCAAAAAGAGTAATTCTTCTTCTTCGAGTTCGAAAAGTCGAGAGTTGGCAATTCCATTGCTGTTGAATGATCATGTTCAGCAACAGAAAGAAGCATCACAAATTAATAGTTTTATTATACCCATTGAGGATATTAAGATTGAAAGAAAAATTGGTGAAGGAGGAAATGGTGGTAAGTGTGGAATTTTTTGAACAATTTCCAATTTGGGAGTTTTACATTTTTTGTAAACTATTATTTTATTAATATTAATCATTTTTGGAACAACAATATGTATTGGACTCACACCTTAATAACACTAGTGGTATATTTGGGATTATGGCGAAACTTGAAGGTAGCCATTAAAGCTGTAAAGGCTTTTGATCTCTCCGAAGAGGACTCTGATGAATTCGATAAGGAAGCAGCAGTCCTCAGTCGCTTACGTCATTTCAATGTCGTTCAATTCTATGGTGTGACTGTGACCAAACAAAGCAAGTACATGATCACTGAATACTTGTCGAAGGGTAGTCTCGATCGAATTATTTATCAATCGAAAAATGGAATTATTGTGTTGACTCTTAGAAGAAGAATTAATATTTTAATTGATGTTGCGAATGGAATGGATTATTTACATTCATTGAAACCTGCTATTATTCATCGTGATTTGGTATGTTTTTTTCCTTATCTTCTTAATTACCAAATTTGAAAATTTCCTTTTTCAAAAACATATTTACAGAAACCTGGAAATATTTTACTCAACGAATACTTTTCAAGCAAAGTTTGTGACTTTGGTTTGGTGCGTCTCGCTGGACACACTGGACAGAGTTTAACTAAAAACGTTGGAACCCTGCTCTATTTGGCTCCTGAAATCATTTCTTTCGATAACCATTTCAGTTTAACCAATATGGAAAACACTCTCACAACGAACTCTGCCACAACAACCACAGCAACCACACACTCCAATCAGCCAAACAAAAAGAAAGCCAATCTACTCACAAAAGTGGATGTTTATTCCTTTGCCATCGTCATGTGGGAATTATTGTTTGAAAAAACACCATTTTTAGAATTCCCACTTCCTAATCATGCAAACAAAAATAACAACAACAGAATGAGTGGTTCAATATCCACTTATAGAGTGCCGATTCTCGTTTCCAAAGGTGAACGACCTCAAATCTTGGAAAATGAAGATGAAATTCAAAGATGGCTCTCGAGTAGAAATCCCAAACAATTTCCAGATATATCTGAATTGACAAATCCTGTTGAATTTGTCACACGATATATCCAATTAATGAAATCTTGTTGGGATCAAGTTCCACAGAATCGACCATCATTTTCTAAAATTTTGAAAGAACTCGAAGAATTGATGAAAATGTTCAAGTAGAAGTTTTTTTATTCTCAATAGAAATGTTTTTTACAATCAGAAACTAATGATATGTGACGTTAGTATCGTAAAATGTAATTGTCATTGATTAATGAACCTTTACGTGTCATTGTTCATTGAATTGGCCAATCACAAAAGTCAGAAATAAGAATTAAAGAATCTGAATGGTTCTTGCTTTACATTGCTCAATCATGTGACTCGTTGGACCATCCGGATTGGAGAGTTGAGAAAATTTTTCAAGTGCTGCCTCGAATTGTTTATCCATGAGTAAGGTACACGCTTGATTGTAATGGAGCCATTTGTTTTTCTTTTCTTTATCAGAAAGTTCATACATCCATTCATCCTCCACTTGTTTTGATGATTCACCAATCTTTGGTGTGATTAATAAATTTATGAAAAAAGTTAAAAATTTAGAAAGTGTTCACATAATAATTAAAATGAATATAATAATAATTAATTAATTAAATAAAAAATCCTTAACACTTACTTCATAAACCTTCGAATGAATACAAGCACGTAATTCAACGCCACAAGTACCAACGCTCTCATAATCCTCATCTCTCAATAATGAAGTCATTGCAACCATTCTTGTCATGAAGTAGGACTCGAGACATTTCTGAACATTTTCAGAGGCCACAAAGGAGATATTGAACTTGTGTGAAATTTTGAGCAATGATTGTAAATTTGTGAAAATACTTCCAAGAATCACTTGTTGTTTGCTGGATTCGCATCCAACATTTCCGGTACTACACGCTTGTGTACAAAGAGCCATTTTGATGTCATTCGATTCACTTGTCAACAACTTGCTCCATTTATCCATCACTGTTTTCTTACGTTTTAGAATCATGTCAGCCGAAGAGGCAGCTTTCCATTCATGTTTACCTTGTTGAAAAGTAGCATTCCAAGAAATAGTGAGAATATCATTTTGAAAGTTTCCTACATGTCCAAAAGATGTTTTACAACAAGATTGAATCAATTCAAACCAATCAGAAATCATGGAAACGCTGTCACTTAATTTTCCACTTGAGAAGACAAGACTCAAACCTCCGAATTGAATGGCCAACACGGTGACGGGTCTCTGTTCCAAACCCAAGGCAAACAAATTCTTTGTGGATGCATGATGGGAGCGGAGAGAGGATGACATCCCTCCTACCCACTCGTGACTACTGGAAGATTCTGAAAGTGGATGCTGCTGTTTGTCATGTTTGTCGTCACTTGGAACGGTTGGTGTGTGTTTGTTGACTTGTTCCTTTGTGATGGGTGTGACCACATGTTCAGTGGTGGTTACTTGATCTTCATCCATCTTGGATAACAGATGAGATGGAATGAACGCTCGATAGGCTAAAATTTTCTTCACCATGAATGCAAAGTGTTTTTGAATTTCTTTCACTTCACTGAAATTCGATGGCAAGACATGAAGAGATTCTAATTGCATGGCAGAGACTTGATGAAAGAGGTCAATTAAATTATGAATAGGTCGAATGATTCGAACAGAAGTCATGATTCCTATCGAGACACCAACACTTAGAATCAACATGGTTGAAATAGCAGCAACAATGATACCAACGATTAAACTTCCAAAATAATTCCAAGTGGGTACCGAATAGACAATGAGCCAATCCACATCGTAGGAATTACACATTCTGTATGCAGTTACAAATCGATGAAATAGAGCTAGTTTAGCATAATGACCACAACCAATGTCAGAAAAATCATGTCTTGGTAAGGATGAAAGAAGATCTTTTGAAATGACATTCACTTCTTTGACAGGAAAGGTAAATGGTGTTTTCCTGTAAAGCGTTCCATTCGAGTCCCATTCATTGACAGGAATTTCTGGATGATTGGCTAGTTCATAGAGTTCATAGATTAGACATGAACCATGATATACGTATCAATAATGGTTCAGTTCAATTAATTGATTGATTGGAACAACAGCAAGTTTCAACTTGTACTTACAGGCAATAATGTAATTGGTTTTCATTTCCAAAATAAAGGCCTCAGCTCCCACCTGATCCAATTGACGGCCAAGAAAGTTTGAAACAGTTTCTGTACTCAAATCATAGCCAACATAGGACATAAATGGTGGTTGACCATGGACAGGATTGGGATTTGCAATGCTTGAGATTAATCTTTGCAAACGGGATTTTTCGTTAGTTGAATTTCAAGGATGAATGTCAAAATCGAGTGTTCACGCGAAACACTTACGAAAGGAAAACAATATTGGGAGTTGCCAAATCGGCATACGACAAGGTATACGCAGAATCATTTGGGTGTTTGTTTGCTGTTTCCAAGATCTTAACCATTGTAAAAGGATCTGCAGAAAATGTTTCATTGACAGATCTGTGACAAGTGTCATCCACTTGATCCACTTGTTCGCAATTATAAAACAAGGCAATGTCTCCAAACTTATTCACCAGCCACATGTGATCCGTTCCTAAATGAATCATACAACCACAGTTACCTTGTGGATCACCAACGTAGAGAGAAACCATGGTCGATGCATGTAAATTCAATTCCGATTTGTACCATTTGTATAAAGAAGACTCCATTCTTGTGTAATTCAAATAGATGGAAGGATCATCCATCAAATTTCTTTTATAAGTCTCCACCACATTGACCACATCATTCAAAGTCTTGTCTACATAGAAAATAATGTTGTCAAACTCAAATTGCCTATTTTGTGCAGAGACTGTATTAAGGCTACTTGAAAAGCTCCCAACCCAAACAGCTGTTGTCAGAAACGTTGTAATCACAATCAATATCAGAAAGACATTGATTAAACAAAATCGAATGGAACAACAAAAAGAAGCAACTCTTTCAAACACTCCATTCTTCGAGTTGGACAACAATGAAACACCATCGCTACTGGAATCATCACTGATGCTGTTGTGGTGGTCCTCAAAGCTGGAGGGATGTACTTTCATCTCTGCGCAGACGTGGTGATGTTGAATGTGGTGGTGCTGAAAGTGGTGTTACTCAACGGCGAGTGATAATAACGTTGTTTTTTTCTTGTTGTTGTATCCTCAACATGAAATAGGGTGGAAATGTCTGGTTATGGAGATGTGCTGTAAAATCTATCGCTGTAAGCTCGACAACAATCGCCATGGTTTGATTCCATTTCCCCTTTTATTCCGAAATTCAATGGTCAAAAAAGGAATCGGCGTCCCGAATCTCGACATGTTTGGAATGGCTAATTTTCAGTCAGGCTGTAATTTCGTGTTGAGCGCCATAGTTCCAAACAGAATCCCTCGGGCCGGAGCGATGCAGGATCATTAAACTGATTCAAAAGCAACATCATAATCGATGTTTAAGATGGATCACATCATCCTTTCGCAACAATGAAAATAAATTGTCAATTTAATCTGAGAGGCTAGAAACAGCCATGATTGTGTTTTCTTGAACGACACAAAAACACAAAGGTTCAAGAACAACGTACAAGGCAAATTGTGGCGATTGTGGACATTTTCGTTATCTCTCGTTTTTTCGGCGGAAAAGCGAACACTCGCCGACATATTAGACAAACCTTAGTTTCTACAAATGGCGGTGATGTCAAAAGCGCATATCTTCTCGCGTGTTCGCAATTTTTTACAAGAAACCATAACGCATGCATTCAATATATTAATTTAATTCCACGCGAACATGGTTAAGCATACATGTTGCTGTTTCCTCCATCATTGTCATCGTCTCTCCTTGGTTGATTTGCAGCACTTCCAAATATGTTTGCGAATGGGTTTCCAGAACCTAACATCTTTGTAGCATATCTTTGCATAAAAGCAGAAACCTCTGGATCAGACATGTGTTGCATGAGTGTTTGTGGGCCATTGTCACGAACTTCGGTGAAAATTCTAGTAAGCTTTTCGCTTTGTTGAACTTCTGGTTCTTCCAAAATTTGTGACATTACAGCTCGTTGTTGCTCGTCCATATTGGCACCATCCATTCCGGGCATGTTTCCAAAAAGTCCTCCTGATCCTCCCATATTTCTCATCATGTTTGAGACCATTTCTTGCATTCCTGGTTGTTGCATCATGTTCATGGCCATTTGCATAAATTGTGGATTGTTCAACATTTCAGAAAGGCCGCCCAAATTTGGCATTCCACCTCCAAGTCCACCGAGACCTCCAAGGCCAGCGAATGGATTACTTGCAGAGGTTGATGATGTTGAAGAAAGCTGTTCAATTTTAGCAGCATATTCAGTTGCAGATTCTGGATTCAAATCGATCAATTTTTCGTAGGTTTTGATGGCTTCCTTCTTTTTGTTCAATTTTGCTTGGCATTGAGCAAGTCTTTGATAGGCCTTGACATAGGTATCATTCAATTTGATTGATTGTTCACAACATTTGAGAGCTTTCTCGTATTGACCTAAGCTAATGTAAGCAGCAGCCATATTGCTTGGATAAATATGATTTTGTGGGTTATATTGCATAGCAATTCTGTATGATTCAATAGCTCCTTCATAGTCCTTATTCTTCAACTTTTCATTACCTTCTTCTTTGGCTTTCTCAGCTTTTTCAACATCGACGGCTGATGAAGCGGAACCTGTTGTTGTTTGTTGATGAGACTTCATCTTTTCTTGGAATTTTAATTTAGCCTTCTCATAACGCATCTCATATGTATCAGTGTTTGATGTATTCTTAAAGTAACCCATTGAATCCAATTGCTTCATGAAGGCTTTAAACTTTTCATCCATCGAATAATCAACAATATCCAACTTCTCACATCCAGCCCTCCAAACCTGTTCCAAATTAATAGTATTATTATTCTCAACAGGTCCGATCGAATAGGTATTACGGAGCATTTGAACAGCAAGTTGAGTCTCTTCATTGTCCGTGGTGGTTCGAGAGAGGAAATCCACAATGGATTTCAAAAGTTCTCGGTTCGCATAGGCAGGTGTTGTTGGGTTACTCATTTTTAATTTTTTTTTAAAAAAAAACTTCCGTGTGTGATCTTTATTCCGATCACTATGCAAGAATTCATGTCGATGACGATGATTTTTCAAAACTGAATTGTTACAAAACATATTGAACTTAATTGTCATTGGAAGTAAAAAGGCAAGGGTGGATTTTCGCCACCAATCGCTTCTGAGTGATGAGCAGTTCGCGGTGTTTGAATTACACTACTTGCCTCGAGAATTGAGAATTCGATGGTGAGATAGAAAAGAGTGATGTCAAGAAACTCGAGTTTCCGTTATGGTTACCGTTTAATTCATGTTTTGGTCATGCACGGAATACGACGTGTGTTTCCACTGTGTCACAAAGGAAGCCAATCGTTCTGCTGACCATTCGTTTCGGTTCAATACTTCGAGGAGTTGTTGTTTTTGATCTGAAGCAACATTTAGTGTTCGAAACAATGAGGGAGGCGCACTCTTAGAGGTCTTTCTTGTCTTGACAATTTTGTGGGTGGGATTCGTCGTTTCTTTTGTTGACATTTTCATCAATGAATGATTAAACAATTTAGCAGTATTACTGTTGGTACTCTTGGAAGATTTCTTTTTCAACCATCGATTATTCTGGAGATGAGTGTTTGTAGAAATAGATGCATCGTTAGGTGTTGTTGTTGTTGTTGAATTTGTTTCAAAAGAACAAGTCGTATTTGTGGTTGTTGTTTCAAAAAAACAAGATCCCAAAGCTTTCTGCATGAATTCCGTGACAGGTGACAATGGAGAGGTCAACAACTCTGAATCCCCAACAATTCTCGAATTTGAGTAACATTGATTCTGTTCAAGAGGGCATGTCCTCTTGTCTATAGGAGAGGAATCAATGAGAGACTGATCCTCCTCTTCTGATGGCAGTTGCGAATGAACTCCATCCAAAATTGAAATCTTCTTGTTTGCACTCGAACATGTTCCCTCAAACAAACGATTCACCAAATGAGCTGGAGGAAACCAAATAGGTTCATTCGACGACGATTGGAATGAGGATGAGGAGGAATTCACACATTCCAATTGAATGTGATCGTAAACATGGTATTGATCCATGATCATCATTGGCATTCTCTGTTCATTATTGGATTCATTCATTTGAGAATGATCATGAACCAGTGCATTTGCATAGAGAGGCGATTTCGTTTGAGAAGATAACATTAAGGAAGAGACTTGTTCATCATGCAGAAGAGGATGCCCCATATTTGGAAGTTGAGTCGAATAGGAGGACCATCGAAGAGGTAATTCTGTTGGTTCAAATTGCAAAGCCAAATCAATGAGATGATACAACATGGAGAGAAGCTTTTTTGGATGGGAAGGTTCAGAAGAGAAATGACGCAATGACCTCATGTTAGCATTGGTTAAAAGGACACGTAGCAGACAGGATTGTAATTCTGTGTGGATATTAGTGTTGGAAGGATTGCTAAACGATGGATGCATCATGTATGTTTGTTGTGGAGTGTCAAAGAAGGATGATGAATGGTTTATGCAGTTGTTTATGTATTGCTGAGAGTACATGTGATGAAAAGGTGGTGGTGATGATGATGAAAAGGTCGTTGTTGTTGTCTTTCTTTTTTAGTGACCGAGTTGTTGTTGTTGTTGTAGTGGCATATGAGAAGAACATATGAAAGTGCGAGGATTGCCGGCATTGTTGTATGAAAGCAGTAGTAAAAGTCGGTGGGATCTCGAGGATATATTGGAATGATGATGTCTTTCGAAATGATGCATCTAATCACATGTGATACGAAGAGCGCCAAACGTCAACGATGGATTCTGACAACTGTCATCACAAAGTTGTACATTTTTGGCGGATTTTGTGGATTAGTTCATACATGTTCAATCTCACCTAAGGTTACTCCAAGTGCACTCATGATGTAACAATGGCTATTCACTAATCTATGGCTGTCATTTCTGTTAATCTGTTACAAATATCACTAAATTCAGGTCTTTCATCATAATTGGAATTCCAACATTCTCTCATTAAATTAATATATTGACTCGTCAATCGACACAATGATTCATGAGAGAGCTTGGGATTTCTTGGTTTCACAAATTCTGAAACCCATTGTTGTAATTCTTCATTGGTATTGAATGGAATGACAGGTCTCAATCCATGCATGACCTTAAAGAGCAACTTGATTCCCAAGGCATCATGTTCTTCTTTTTGGTTTTTAACAAATTTATAAAGCTTTGTCGAATTTGAGTTCATATATGGATTCTCTTCAAAGAATAATTCCCACATAATGATTGCAAAACTGTAAATGTCCACTTTGTGATTGTAATTTGTGTCACCAGAAATCATTTCCTTTGTTGTTGACAAGACAGATCATGCATGAGTAGTTTGAGTAGTTGTGGCCCTTAATAATTATCTAGATACTTACATTAGACATGTAAAACAATGTTCCAATATTCGTCGTCGCTGAATTTGTTCGACTATTGCTTAATGTCTTACTTAGACCAAAATCACAAATTTTTGCTGTGTATTTGTTCCTGTCCGTTCCACACAACAAAATATTACCTGGTTTTAAATCACGATGAATGACTGGATTTGGTTTCAAATTGTGAAGGTAATTCATTCCATTAGCAATATCAAGAAGAAAATGGACTTTTCTTTCTAAATCTACAACTTCAGTTCCATTTCGTGAATTGTTAATTAACTTGTCAAGAGATCCTTTTTGTAAATATTCCACCACCATAAACTTTTTAGGACCAGAAATGATAACTCCAAAAAATTGTACAATATTTGGATGTCTAATACTACCAAGTAAGGATACCTCTCTTTCAAATTCCTCATTATTTTCATCCATTTCATCCAAAGTTGATTCTTGTTTCAATGATTTAAGTGCCACATGTGAGCCATTCCACAGGGCCAAATAAACTGTTCCACTTGATCCCTCTCCGATTCGCCTCTCAATTTCAATATCATCAATTGAAATAATCCAAGATAATTTTTCACGAATGATGAGGAATTGGATGATTGTCGAACCTCAATGTCCTTGTTGATACTGATCAAACGTTGAGTTGAATTTCTCAGTAATGACGTTTTTTCATTGGCCATGATGTAGTTTACAGAAGAGCATTCGTCATTCTGATCTTTCTCTTCATTCATTAACACAATTCGTTTCTCGATTAATTTTGATTCCATTTTCTTCTCTGCACTCTCCTTTCTTTCCAATCGTTTCAATTTCTGGAAAATGTTTCTTCCCACACGAGCCACAAAATAGATCAACACAGTCGCAGTTAGAAAGAACACAAAACTTGCAATAATGACTAATGGAACAATGATCGCTAGAGGTGGTTGTGGAAAGGCCGTGCAAATCAGACTTCCTGATGGCAGTCCATGCATGCTTAATTCAGTTCCTTCTGGACAAGGCATCACATGAATGAGGAGTGGAAGTTCGTAATCAAAATCGAGAAGCATTTTCACATGTATGAGTTGGATCGATGCATTGAAAAGGGAGATGGCAAATGAGTTCAGACTTGTGGTATGATTATTTCTGTAGCTCAAATAAGCATCTTTCCTTTCATTCCAGTTGCATTTGATTGGATAACTCAAAAAATTGACTCTAATGGTTCCATTATTCCACAAGAATAACTCCATTGTTTCAATGGTCTGTCCAGGATAGAGAAATAACTCAGGAATGTGATACGCATCTGCCTTTAAAATTGTCACATTTTCCGAGGTGTAGTAAATGACAAGTTGAGATTTCACATTTGAGAAAGGATACGCCACATTGGTTCCAAATGATTCTCCAATATTTCCCTTCATCACTACATGGTTCATTTGCAAATGTTGTACCTGATCAGGATTTTGAAAGAATAAACATCCTCCTGTCATGGCTCTATTATCGAGACATGAAGAATTGTGAAATATGGTTTGTAAAGAGTTCACAGAGAGAGCTCCACCATATAATTCTGCAGTGTTGTTCTCAAAGGTCGAACGATCGATGAATAATTCCAAAGCACTGAGAATGTTGACGATTGAGTAGGAAGCCCTATTGCCACTAAATTCAGATTCATACATGACAACTTGATCAGCTGAAACGTCAAGAACTGCTGCTACAGAATCTAATGCATTTTGTGTGGAAAACGTATTATTGGAGATGGTACTTTGTAACAACTGAAAAGTTGTTCCTCCCATAAAATCTCCCAAATGTGCCTTGATACATGTTTCACCAACATTGTTATAAAATGTCATGTTGATGGCATAAACTTTTTGTACATCCTGTACATTGATTAAGGACGTCCTACAATTTAAAAATAATGTGTGATACATTTCAAGGACAGAAGCGGTTATGACTTGAATGCTAGGAGAGTGAGGTTGCAAAAAATGTTTCTCTAATCTTTCAAATTGGCTCTGTGTGATCACAATCGATGGAATTCCCTTAAACCTCAAATGGAATTTTCCAAAAGCGGTAATATAATTGAGAGCAGCATTGTCAGAAAATAGAAAATCCAAATAATTATCGTCGTAAAAGATGACATTCTTTAACGTGATCCAAAAAAATTCATGAATAACCAATTTTGAGTGTGAAAACTTGCACTCTTCAATGACAAATGAAAAATCATTTCTTAACACTGGTTTAACGTATTGAGAACGAGATTCTACTTGAAAATCATGAAAATCAGAATTGGAAAAGTGAAAACTAGACTTGTCGTGATGCACTATATTTGTCGTTTCAAAGATGCTGCGATTGAATTTAGAGGTGACTGAATTTAAGAAATTAAATGTCGAGTTTCTTACTCGTGTGTCTATCATGAAAATAGTGTGGCCATTGTTTGAGGAAACATAATGATTACTTTCACTCACTTGTGTTCTGAAATTGTCATTCCTTGTCATTGACAATGTTTTAAATCCAATTCTCTCTAAATGGATGTTGTAAAATGTAAGTGTAGTGATTTGCAATTCTTCAAAGAGTAAATGGTGTTCACAGTCCAATGTGATTATATTTTGGTCATTTTCAGATTGAATAATTAGTTCCTCAAGCATGCTATCTTTGTAATTGAATTGACATTGTTCTCCTCCATAATAACAGTTTCCATCACTGCTTGACAATAATATGAAACGAGCTGCCATTCGAGAAATTTCATGATGGTCATAGAGATGCCACACAGCATTGACAGCTTCGAAAATGGATCGACATGGATTTTCTCTATTCGTGCAATTATTATTCTTGTTTTGAAATGTATTATTATTAAATGTATAATTATGTTTCAATAGATTCCAATCGGACGGTGAGGATGAATTCATTCTCTGAATGTACATGGTGGGCAGAACTTCTCCTCCATTTTGAATGGAGGAATCTGTGGTCAGTAACGTGTGTGTCAAAGTGTGTGCATTGCAAATGATGATGGTCATCATGATGAGCCTCATCGCACACGTTTGTAATTTCACAAACATTTTTTTTCACAACAAGATTCAACTTTTGAATTGCATTGTTTTTATTGAACTGATTGACGAGCTCCTCATCAAACCAGAAATGACACACAAGTTTTTGCAATTTATCAAATCATTCAAATAAACAACAATTGAAAAGATGATTTGTTTCAACGTTGAAAAAAATTAATCCACTCCACGCAATACAAGAGCAATTTCCTTCTTTCTCAAATTTCTTGCAGGAATATAACTTCCAAAAATGGCACACAACAAAGCCATTACTAACATGGAAATAAATAAATAATAGGGAAAATCAAATTGGAATGGCATTTCCAAGAAGAGATTAAATTGAGCAGTCAAAGTCAATGCAATCACGCATCCAATAACAGTTCCAGAAAGGAATGCAGAAACCACCAAACATAATGCTTCATAAATATAGGCACGAATGAGTGCATTCACAGAGAGACCAATGGAACGTAAAACACCAAACTCCCATGAATTGTCTTTCACGTTGGCAGTAAAGGAAACAGCAAGCATGAAGAAACATAAAATAATGGCAATGGCTGCTACAATGTTGAAGAATGCCATCAATACAAGTGTTGCTGTTCCAGTGCTTCCCACTAGATCTCTCACATTTTGAATATTTGTGAAATCAGAGTTCACACTCGCTTGTAGAGCATTGACAGTGTCTTGCAATTTGGTCGTTGAAATGGCATCCTTCAGTTTGACAAAGAGTTTTGAATAATTAATTACTCCATCAAAGGTGCTTCCAACCGATTGTGCGGCTTTAGCAGCCACTTTCTTATAGGAATCCATAGTAACAAGAACAGGTGAACCAGATGCAGTCAATTCATAGGATGACATGAAAAATCCAGGAATCTTGTAGGCCAAGCAACGAGTTTTTCCAATATAATCGACTTGACTGGTTGCTGAAGTTTTCTTATTTCGTGTGAAAAATCGAAGGTCGACAGGTGTCTTGATTCCAATTCCAACAGATGGTCGCATGGCCTCTGATGCAATAATATCCAAATATTGTCTATATTGTGAGGTAGGATCAAACGAGAGAGAAGCATTGCTTGGAAGTGATAATTTCACACCACTGAAAATTCTCGATGGAGCAAATCCAACTTTTTCTCCATCGACCAATGCTTGACCTGCATTCGTGTACAAGCTCTGAAAAACGTCAGGTTTACCATTCGTCATGTTATAATCAAAATTCTTATCCACATAGGTATAAAGGAAATATTGATTCTTCACAACGCTCAAAAAGTTGCTATCAATTGCTGAAACTGCCACTTTTCGTGATGGATAATATGCAAGAGAGGAAAATCTCACATCATTCATATATTGATAACTATTCAGTGTGGCTGATTGATAGGCATAACCAACAATAGGAGGACCATCGGTTTGATTTTGGTTTTGCAATGCAATGACAGCATCTAACTTATCTTTTGGTAACGAGTAATAAGAAGTGGTTGATAGAACGACAACATCTGCTCCAAGGAAACTTTCCACATTGGCTCTAATGTTTGCCGATTGCAATGAAAAGACCACACCTGCAAAGATAATAAATGCCACAGAGAGTGTGAACATTAAAAAGGTCTTTCTACTACGTTTACGATGTCCTGCCAAATTCTTTGAAATTAATGTTTTCAATCTTCTTTCATGTCCACACAAAATAATATTCAACACAAGTCTCTCAAAGAATGGTTGAATCACCACTGCAATCACACACAATCCCAATAACATTCCCAACAAGATAGCATTCAAAATGAAGAAAAATAGAGGTAGATCAGTAAATATAAATGAGTACGGAATCATGTAATACACAACAAAACCAATAACGACCAACATGATAGCGACACCTGTTTGCCAAGGTTCCAGACCTAGCTCTTCAAGTTTGATCATTTTCACAGTTGTCTCATTGAATGTTTGGTGAGCAATATCGAGACTGTCTCTCAGCGTTCGACTCATGGCATGTCGAATTGGAATGATGTTTGCAACAATTGGTATTCCAAGTCCAAGTGCAATTGGTACAACCACTGCACCCCAAAAGAAGAGTAAATTCAACGATGGAGTGCTGATCACCACTTGTAGAATGTATTCTACAAGTATATTCACTAAGAAAGCCAAAATCATGGCAATAATAATGGCAGGAATTGCAAAATACATGGATTGAGCTAAAATAACCTGAATGAGGGAATATTGTCTCAATCCCAAAGCTCGAAGCATACCATACTCGTACGTCTTTTCTTCCACATTGGAAAGAAGCAGTGCAAAAATTAAGACGACACCCAAAATTGCTAACATGACAACCACTCCAATGAATATTTGGTCAATGAAGAGAGAAATGAATTTAGTGGCTGACAATGCACTCAATAGTGGAAGCGTATAGGCAACTGGATAAGAGACTCCAAGAGAATCCACCATACCATTAGTAATTTGAATCATTTGGTCTGTTCGTTCATTGTCACTCTTCAAATAGGCCGGGAATCGATCTTTAAACCTTCCCACTGCCGTTAGCGCATACTGGTCGATCGGAAAGGTGTTGAAAAAGTTTTTCACACGTTGTGTTTCTCCAGCAAGCTCCAATAATAATTGAATAGCTGGAGATCGGAATAGTGATTGGCCAATGACTTTGCCCACATAGGAACTGTCAATCATCATGATATTACCCAAAGCACCTGGATATTTTGCAAAATTGGAAGTAATTGAGCTCACTACCGTATATTCTCCTTCCACTTTCAAATTTAAATCTGAGAAATTTCCTCCTCCCAATGTGGTTGCAATTGCTTGAAATGCCTGTTCTCCTGTAATTGTAATAATTCCAAATGCATTAATGAAGGGCTTGAGAGGTGGTGGAATTTGAATTCCTAATTGATTTGCTACTTGTGTGATATTGACCGTAATGATTTGAGAAAAGTTAAACCCTGATGCTTCAAATAAGGTTCTCAATAATTCGGTTTGGTTGATGGTTTTTTGATCTGGTGTGACGCCCTGTGAAATCGATTCATCCGATCCAGAAAAGGCACTTGCCAAACTTGCAAAATCAACAACCATATTCACACGTTTTCCACGATCAGGTACAATATCTATAGCACGAAGAATAGAATCTCGAACATGCATTTCGCCCTCACCTAATGGTCGGTATGGCCAAATACGGCCAATTCCTAACTTTTCTTCTCTTTCTGTGTCGATAATTAATAAAATTCCACTTAAATTCTTTTCTGGATGATCTCTATTTTGAAGATTGGCATATAAAATCCATCGAGGGCTTGTTCCAACTATGAAAGGGTTGTTATTGAGTTTCCTGACTACCTCTGTGTGATTAATAAAAGGTATTGTGGTTGAGTTAGTAAATTTTGGTGTGAACATGATATCGGCATCTCCAACATTGTCCTCAGACAATTTAAGAAAAATCAAATTCGCCTTAAGAATGGAATTGTAGAGAATACTGACGACAAATACCACAATGGCAATGGTGATTAAACCAACAAGGAAACTATTGTTTCAGGTTAAAAAGCGTCACAACAACCATTGGTCAAATACGATAATAATTATAGTTGTAATCAACTCCACTTTAAAATTATTTTCACAAACCTACCTCGTACATCTCTTTTTTGTATCCGATGTCACATAGATCAAACTGAACATTAAACTATAAAAGAAATCTTTCACATATCCCCATCCCGAAGTGATAACTTTTTTTTGCATATTATTCTTTTTGATCTCTTGATTGTCACCACCAACTTTTGTGAAGTTCTGAATGGGATGAATATCATCAACTTCACCACTTATTTGTAATGTTCCATAATGTTGTGATTGTTGTTGTAATGAATTTCTTACACTTGTTTCTCTTCTAGACAGACTCGTGCTACCTGTGGATCCCAAGATTCGATCTACATTTTGAAAAGTGTGTTTTGCTGCTTCTTTTGGATCTGTAAATTTCTTGTATTTATCATCGTAGTCGTTATCGTCATCGTCGTCATAAATAGTTTTCGGATTTTTCGAACTGTCGCCTCGTGGAGTTGACATGGATGTCAAAAAGTGTTGTATCAACAATTTATAAAGTGATCGTATAACTAGATAACTAATTAATATAAATTAATATTGGTTGGTATTACAACTTTGGACCAAGAAGTGAATCACACGTATCTGTGATGATGATGATTCAGTCTCTTTTAAAACGTTCGTCGTTATTTGGTCACCGCTTTAACTCCCAAGCGATGGCACCACAATCTCTCTCTACCCGGATGTTTCTTTTTCACTAGTGAGTGAGGTAGATGTGATGTTTGTCGATATTCTCTCTCAAGGGGGGAGTCCGTCGCTCCGAATAATGATGATGGTGAGGATGATGACGATGAGAAACGAACAACAAATAATATTTTTTCTAAATGTGCGCCCATGAAATTGCGCTCTTGTACAGGTGGATTTGTTGACCATTCTCATTTGTCTCAAATCTCTCAATTCATCATAGACATTCAAGGAAACGAACGATGATGGACTTTTTTCGTCGTAATGGAATTCCATATGGATACGAAGGTCAACTCATCGATGGTTGGTATTTTATATATCAATCTTGAGAGATCATATAATTTCCATAGCTATGGAAATGTCTATTGTAGGAAATTATCAATTTTCTTGAATTTCCTTTCATTCACAGTACTACTTTGAGATGCTTGTGAAAGTGTTTTTTAGCCACTCGAATGTTCATCCTCAGTACTTCACTCTCCACAGAATGGTCGTGCATTACAATCATGATAAATGTGTCAGGAGTAAATTCATCCATATAGGCCACAAATTGAGGATCATTAATTTGCATGCTTTGAAATTGAGATTGAACTTTGCAACTCAATTTAAATAATTTGATATAATGTTTGAAAGTTTCTCAAATAGATGAATGTCCAAATCATCATTTTCTTGAATCTCAAAGTCATGTGTGGATGAATGGGCGATGACAAGAAATGTCGAACGTTCGAACAATACCACTTCATCTGCTTCACAAGCTTTTGCAACCATATTTAAGCTTTCCTCGATCATTTCATGATTGGGAATTAATTGATTAACAATTGCATTCCTTGCTCTGTACAATGACTCATCCCAAATCGAAGTACCAAAACATGAAATTTTCACAGGAGATGATGTCTCTCTCAATTCTTTCACCATCTTTTTCAATAGTTTGCTTCGTTCTTGATGATCATTGTTGCAAGTCAATAAATCCATTTTGTGAAATAGACAAAAAACTTGAGCATTTGGTGAATATTGCATCAGAGCTTTTAAACACTCGATGTAAAATCTATCAAACTCAGTGACCCAATTTTTGGTTGAGATCATTCTATATTTCCAAATGATTAAGAGATGATGAAAATTTCCTTCCCCATTAACAAGATTTCATTTTTTCAACTCTTGGATTAGTAATGAAATGAGGAGAGATCGTGAGGTGGTGACACTTGCATGTTCAAGTAAATGCATTTTATGGTTTTCGATTTCCTTAGTGTTCAATAATTGGTGATGAAAGAAATTGCAATTTGAAGGTGGAGAATTGCAATCCAATTTGGAAGTAGTTCTAGTGGTTATTCTACAAGATCCATCAGCTCGACAATTTGCTTCTGAAAGCATATGGCCATGTTTGTGAAATGAATTCTATCGGTTGAAAACTGTCATTTTGGATGTTTCCTTTTTTAGATGTCGTCGTTTCAAACCATTCACGAAAAAAAAATTGGCACACAAAGACACAAGTAAAATACGTTAATCACATCGAATAAATTAATTTTGAACACTCAATAAACTTCATCCGCTTTCATGAGCAATAACATCCTCCTTGCCAAGAAATAACTCAGCAAGACCATTCGAGCGCGAGCTTCCTTGAAGAGGATTCATACATGTTATTGAGAGAGTATTGTCAACTTGAAGCATTGAGGATGATCATGACCCTATGGAATGAATCAACGACAGCAACAGATAGCGACTCTTTCTATATTCATCAATTGCTTCAGAGATTCTTTCAACCTTATACTAATGCAATGATGCATTTCAATCATCATGCTCTCAATGTCCTTGCTTCATCTTTATCACCACCTGAACAATCCATGTCATTACCTCACAATGAACAAGTCATGGGCACTCTTTCCTTGGAAGCAGACCATGAGATGGATAGGATTTTGTTTGAGATAGTTTCCAATGGCGATGATGGCCATGATGGTTGTTGTGAGTACAGTGGTCATCATGATCACCAGAATGACCTCTCTATGTTGCACTACCCATAGTGGTGATCCCATGGGAGTGACCTTCCTCTCAAAACTGAAATAATAATGGTCATCATTTGGAGTGCTTTTCCAAAGAGTGGATTTTTTAGTTCGACACCAATAAAACACAAAGATTCAGGGGTGGTTCTATTTCAAGGCCACCAGCTTTCCCCCAATCTCAACCACTAATTTGGTGATGTCTGAAATATAAACTTGCACTTTTTTGTTATTAATTGATTTGTGAAGGTATAAAATGATATCACACAATTCTATCTTGGATCCATCTCTCATTATTAATATTCCACATTAGAGATTTCATATCGTGTCGTACGACCACTTCGATACGCCTCGTTCAAGTGAACAAGTCGCTTGGATTGCTTTCTACCAAGAACGACGGCATTGCTGGAAATCTGTGTGATGTCTGTTCTTTCATGATTACCAATTATCATGGCCAACAACAAACCAACTCCTCATCAAACAAGGACCAAGCACAAGAAGCTCGTGATAAAGAACCATCCAGCTCCTCATACAATATTTAACCATGAGACACTAGTTGTGCTGTTAAGGGGATGAAAAGAAACAATTCTCATCTGGCTCGTGACATCATCAGTGACCATCTGTTGCATTCTTTAGAAATTTGGCTTATTGCTCAAAGGGAAGTATAGACACGTCAAGAGGAAGGAATAAATCCTCACAAAGGCAAAATCATCGCCATATACCAATCATCATGGTCATCGAGAACATGAACAAGAGAATCTGATTGAACCATATATGAATCGGTCCTTGTTGCCCATCATCGTCAAGCTTTCAAAATTCACAATTAAATTAATATTTGTTATTTTATTATTTATTGTTGTATAATGATTTTGGAGATTATTATTGAACGTTCTCGAATGAGGAAACTTCTGGCAATTCTTCACCCTTTTCTTGTTGTGGGGCTGACTTCTCTCCTGCTTCCTTGTTGAGACCGGCGAAAAGTTGTTGTAATTGGCTTGGGTCATAGTTTTGCAATTGCTTGAGCATGCTTGGCAAGTATTGTTCCATGGTCAATCTTTGATATTTACCAGTAATGACGAAAGAGTTGGAGTGGACGGCAGCTTCAACCTTTGGTGCTTGTAATGTGGTGATAGTACCATCTTCCATGAGCATGGTAACTTCCATAACCTCAGGAATGTTGGTCATTCTCCACTTATTAACAATGTTTCTTATTTTACCCTCGTTTTGAGATGTCTTCTTCACAACTTTGTGCTTTCTTCTCATACCACCAGCAATGACTACTTCCTTGGCAGTCTTCTTGAGTTGCTCAAGCTTAGCTTGATTAACTTCAAACTTGTACTTTTCCTTACCATTCTTCTTTGGTTGAGCTGGAGTTGTTGTTGTTGGTTGTTGTTCGACGGCAGTATCAGACATGATGATTTTGATGTTGTTATGGCTGTGTTATAGGGTGTCCTGCAGCAAATCGACGTATTTTTTTGCAAACACTTTTTCTTGCTTGGCTTTAAAATATTTTACAATGGAAATTTTTTTGAGCCAATTTAAAGGTGTTTCTTTGTCGATAATGTCAGACGAGAGTGTGTGTCGATGTCAAACGATGATGAGAATGAAGGACCAGTCCGTTCAGTTGGATGTTGGGCGTTTGGTTGTGGAAGAACAATTGAAGACAATTTATATTGGTTGTGAAAAATAGACCAATCAATTAATCAATTACCATTTTAATGCATTTTCTTAATCGTACATGCACATGACATTCACAGACATTTCACAAATATTCTTGCTCTATTCAAATCCAATCACTTTACACAGAAATGATTGATACAAGTAAAAAGGCTTAATTGTGCAAGATATCCAACATTTACGGTTGGTTGAGCCTTTATTTGTTCAGATTATTGGACATTAGAAGGTGATGCAATCAGATCATTCTCTGAGGGCACCGAAATCATACCCATGGAGTTGCTTTCAGGAATGGTGCTTTGAGAGGTAATGGGAGTGGCCATGGTTGTGGATGATTCTGAAGAGTCATTCAGATGATTTCCACTCGATGTATTCTTGTTATTGTTCGCGGTGTTCTTGGTTAAAAGGTTTTGAGATGCCTCTACTTCTACTTCAGACAACATTAAATGATAATCTGTTTGAAGAGACTTTTTCTGTGTTTCAAAATATCGTTCTGTGATTTGACGTTTTTCTTCTCGTATTTTGTCAAGAGTTTCATAGAGTATTTCTAGTTGATCATCCTCTTTAACCTTAATGTAGCGTTTTTGTGTTTGTGTATCAAAATACTTGTATGTTCCAGCTCCATCATTATATTCCCAAATAATTGTTGGTTGAGGCTCAGAAATTGCAGAACCTTGACTTGCGGCAGGGAATGCCATACCGGATGAGCTATAGTGGCTTCCTGGTCCACTAGAAGAAGATCCACTCAGCATGTTACTTCGTGTTGAAAGGCTGCTGTTTGGTGTGGAAGGAGGTTGAGACGAAGATGCTGAAGTTGGGAATGCATTTTGTTGTGACAAGTAGTGACCACTTGTTGCTGAACTTGGTTGTTTGTAGGGAATCTTTGCTGGTGAAGGTGAGGTCTTAAAATTAGCTTGTGCTGAATTGTATCGATTTGAGGTGTCAACATAGAGTTGATTCTTGGGAGAAGAAAGTGAATAGTTTGAATTATTTGGAGGATAGTTATTGTTCGAGTTTGTGACCATTCCTGCATTGCTAGTTGTGCTGACGCTTTGTGAAGAAGATGGAACGGCTGGTTCGGCCGATGATGATTGGGAATAATTGGTAGATGACGAATTTGGATATGGAGATGACGAGCTGCTATTATGTTTGGGATAGTATGAATAATTATTATAATTGTCATTTCTGTATGAATTTGAACTCCATGGACCTTGTTGTTTCATATTGTTGTAATACTCGGTTGTTGATGCGGGAGCATTCCTATTACCGTTATCATATGAAGTATTGTAATAGGTTGACTTTGTTGGAGATGCATATCTCATATGAGAATCTTGAGGAGGGTAAGAACTTCGTGTATTGCCTTCAGTATAGTAATCACGACTTCCTCCTCTTGAAGGATAATATGTGTTGGGATATGGTCTTCGAATGTCTCCGCCAGTGGACTGATAGGAAGAATCATAGGATTGTGAAGGAGGAGTGTTAACTGGAACATAAGGAGGAGATTGAGTTTTAGCTCTGGTGGGCATTGGTTCCTCTTCGTCAACCATTGCGTTGGTATCCATGGAAGAAGGTGGTGGCGGTGGAATGCTGTTAAAATGTTGACGTGAAGATGGGGGAGATGGATATCGATAATCGGAGCTCGATTGTGACAACTCACTATTCCTATACATTGATGAGGATGGTGCATACTTATCAGGGTACGATGTTGATGGCGGTGGAGAAAGGTTGGCTGACATGTCGGATTGTGGTGGAGCTTCCTTAGCTGATTGTTGCTTTAAGACAGGTGGAGACACCTGAATTTCATCACTAGATCTGTAGCTTGATGTTGGAGGATTGTTATGGTAATAATGTCCACTAGTACTGTTAGTGTTGTAATAATTGTTGTACTTGTAGCCTGCTGATTTTCGATGGGAATAATAAGGAGGTGCTCCTCCTCTACCGTAAGATGCCATGTCATCATTTCTATATTGAGGCTGATGATGATCGTAGTAAGAAGAATCATATTTTCTGTTGTAATTGAAAGAATTGTCCGGGTATCCAGAATGATATGGCATTTGATCATTTGTTGACCTGAATCTTCTTGAGTATCCATAAGAGGGAGCTGAGGATGAGCTGGAGTTTGGAGAATTCAAATTGGCATTGTTCACATTGCTTGGAGGAGAATTGTTGTAATTCGAAGAGGGTGCATCGATTTTGTTTGGTGTTGATGGAGCATTCGTTGAAGGCGGAGTTGTGGATGAAGGGATGTTATCGGTTGGTAAAGATGACGAAGCAGAGGATGGAGGAGGAGGTGGTGGCGGATGATGCCCAGTAGTCTCATTGTACGAATGTGCATGATAATGTTGTGGTCCGTATGAACCCCTATTATAATTATTATTGTAATAATTATTATAATTCCTAGAGTATCCACCTTGATGATGGTAATACGGAGAATTTCCGTGTTGATGATGGTGATGATGTTGTTGTCCATACGAGTTATTATACGTTCCGTAATTTCTTTTGGGCGGATAATTGCTCATCGGTGGTGGTGGTTGTTGTGAGGCAGAAGCGTTTGTGTTCGGATTCATCATCGGTGGTTGTTGGGAGGAGGAATTCATATAGGATGAAGGTGGAGGCATTTTTTTTGGTCGTTTTTTTTCTTCTTATTTCTGCGTCGTTCCACCTCAAATTGATTGTACCATTCATATGAACCTTGAGATTTTGAGTTTGGCTCCAAACGAAACCGCGTTATCATGATAACAATTAAAATTAAAAAAATACCAGTAAATAGATTGGGAGCATACAAGATTTTTTCATACACGCTCAAGGAGCACCCTTCTCGACATTACAATACAATCTCTGTTTGAATCATCCCGAATCTATTTCGAACGTTACATCGAACGTCATTGCTAACAAGTCAACTGTTCATATCAGGTCGAGCAAAAAAAATTAAAAACACCAATCACAACCAATTAATTCAATTGAAATCATGCATGAGAACCTCACGCTGGCTCAATCATCATGTTCTCAGAACCAGTCATTAGAGGAGTCAACTCAAAGAATTCCATCCACGTCTATCCTCATGACGGAAGAGAACCCAACAAATTTATCGTCGACAACGGATGAAAAAATTGTCAATCCCAGTCGAGAAATAGAACAGAATTCTACGACTGTATCGTCAAGTAGTAATGATAATGAACAAAACTCTTGTATTGTTTTAGAGACAACCACTCAGTCGCACACCCAACAACCAGCGTCATTACCATCCTCATCATCGTCCTCTTCACCTTCTCCTCTACCTCCTTGTTATCATCAACCTGAGAGAAAAAAGAAACGAACAGTATTGATCTATGCAGATGCTGAAACACCTCATCAAGTTAGTCGTGATTCTCTTCATCATGGTGGTTCTGATGGAGGAATAGCATTGAGTAATGTGGTTGACACTCCAGAGACCACTTCTCACATGCACCCCATTATGTACAAATCCAACAGTGATATTCATTCAGACCGAATAGGATCACCCAATTTTGTCAAGAATTTAAAATTTGTCAAGAATTTGAAAGAGAGAACATTTATTTTCTTTGGACCTGTAAAGGAAGATCATGCAATGCCGTAAGTACACATAATTGCATACATAATTTTAATGAATGAATGGTTTCTAAACATATGTTCGCATGATTTTGTGCAACAACAATTGTAGTCCAAGTATTTCTTTTTTTGATGTGGAGAAACCAAAGAAATCGAAAAAGACCACAAAAATTACTAAATTATTATTGAGTGGATGCTACAAATTTTCCATCATTGGATTAATATTTTTCACTCTAGTTTTAATAGTTTTATTTGCAGTTGCATTTGACAACAGTACGTCACAAAATGGATTTTTCACAAGCGGTTCTCCAACCACTATTATATGGATGAGTATTGTACATGCTGGTTTATGCATTACAATTTTATTTGATTTATTTGTACCTTTATTGGTATTGAGGCTATACAAACGAATTATGAAGTGTTTGTGGAGAAATACAAAAGATGAGAAACAACTGAATATTGATGGGTATTTTATGTCTCTTGTCATTCGAGTCCTTTGGTCTTTAATGATAGCCGTTGTAGGATTTATTAATTGGATTTGTTATGGTCTCTATTACGAGAGCAGAGACAGAATTGCAGGCTACATATCCTTTTTCACAATACTAACACCCATTTCATACATCAGCATGGCTTATCATCAATACGTTCGATTCAGAAAGCACAACATTTTAATTTTCGGATTTAAGGATAGCATTGACAATTTTTATGTGGATCGTATGCACAAACGAACACGATTATGTTGTCGATTTGGATTCTTGTTAAAATTAGTGTGCTATTTAATCATGACAGCCATATTTGCAACATTAATATTAATCACTATACAAGCTGTTTCGATCGCACAAGATGAACTCAAATATCCAGGAAAGCTCGTAACAGTGACTTCAAACAAGCAACCTTTCGATTTGCACCTCTATTGTGAAGGTCGAGAGGATCGAGACGATGTGGTACTCATGGACGCAGATGTAGGAGTAGCATCTCCCTATGCCTATTACAAACAATTTCTCTCATTACTTGCAAACAGTGGAATGCGAGCATGTGTCATTGAACGTGCTGGTTATGGGTTCTCAGATTCAGGACCTTTTCCTCGTGATTTGGGAAACAATACGGCCTTAGAGATGGCCTCTATCATCAAATCTTCCTTGAACACTCCTATTGTATTGGTTTCACATTCTGCAGCATCCTTCACCGCTCGAGTCATGATGCATTATTATCCAAAATTATTGAGAGGAGTCGTATTGATCCACCCAGCTCATGAAAATCAAGATGAGCTCTATTTTAAGGGTCAAGTGTATAACATGAGTAATGACGAGTTTGACCAGTTGAAACAGAAAAAACTGATTTCCAATAACTGGATTCGATTTGTGACTCCCCTTGCACTCACTCGTTTATTTCCACAATATTTTCACGCCAATTTCATTCTGACACAAGATGACATTTTTGAATTGTATTATCTGAATGGATGGAAAACATATTTTTCAATATCCAACATGTCTCTCATTTATCAATACACTCAACATACCATCCACTTGAACAAGTACAGTAATGTGGTTTGGAGCGAATTGAACAGCTTTTCTTCCATTTCACACATGATGAATGACCTTCGAGGAGGAAATTCCTCACTCTTTCACTTTAACTCTTCACGACCATTTTCAATGAGTATTTTAACAAGTCAACACGTTTTGAATGGTACCTGTGAAGACAATCATTTGGATCCTTCCTCCCGACTTTGTCAAAACTTTCTCGCATATCAATCAAAGCGGCAAGATGCCATTCTTTCTATGCATTTCGATTTGGCAAATTATTATCGAAATTACTTGTTTGAATGGTCTCTCATTCCAGGTAACTTTGATGTGATTCTAACCAATCCATCTCTTGTGGTTCAGCATGTGATAAAGTTAATGGTTCACACAAAGCCGTGAGTTTGGAAGAAACTGTAATTCCAGTTTACGAGGTGAGGTGAAAAAACAATTAGTACTGACAGGCAAAACGGAGGCAGAAATCCGGAAATTCTTTTTCCGAGGAGTTGAGGCTCGGTTTACAACCGGGTAAAACAAAATCCACAAATTTCTGGAACAAAGTTGGAAACACGCGAAAAACAAAAAAATCCACACATCATCATGTCATCCAAACACCACTTGCATTACGCCTCCCAACCGAAAATTCAACCTTTTCATCAGACATTTGTGTTTGTGGAAGGAACCTTGGAATCTGAAGATACTGCAACAACCACCTGCAAGATCTTCTCCATTTATGAAATTTCCAATTTGAATGATATTCAACGTAGAGAAGTCTTTCGAGTGTGGGAATCGGACTGGTTGAGAAATTATTGCAATTCTATTATTACAACGAAGAAGAACAATGAAAATTCTTCTGGACCAGGAAGAGGAATGAGAGCCTTGTGTCATGTTGGATACTCGATCCAAGAAGGCTATACCTGCAATGAAGAAGCCATCATCACCAACTGGAATTTGAAGGAAGACATGAGCAAGTCCATTCAACACTATACACACAATTCGAATAATGATGCTGTGGGATTTGTGAATGGAAGAGCTCTCTTCATGCCCTCTTCTGGTACCTATATTCTTCCCCAGATTGAAAAAAAGACACAATGGTGATGATGATTGTGTGTCATCATTGTTGACTCTTGAAGAAGTGAGAATGCTGATTTCGAGAAGGTGACAATAATTGGCAATGTTGGACTTTTGCTTCGAACGAATCAAGACGCCGTGTTTTATACCTCAAGTGCTCGGAAATAATGAGCCCTTCTCTAAGGCAAAAGGAAAGATTGGTGTCATCAATAACCACCAGTTTGGCGAACTTTTCTGGTGCGAGCAATCACAATGTGTGGCCCAATTTAACAACCAATCAGAGCACTTGTTTGAAAAGGTTCTCTCTTTGCAAGATTTAATGGGATTGGAATTCAAGCTTGTCAGTGATATATTCAATGAGGAGTCTCTGTTGAAGGATTTGGAATTCTCTTGTTATGAACCTCGAGTGCAGAATTCCAAGAGTTTAGAAATTGTTGATCCTTCAACACTCTCGAGCGAATCACAAAAAAGAATATCTATTGCTTATCAGTGTGTGGAGAATCGATACAATGACATGGAAATTATTGCAGGAATAGGGTAAGTTTTTTGAAAAAGACTACTTCAATACAATTGTGGAATATACTTCTTTATTGAACATAGATGTAAAGAATTTAAAGACAAGTTAGGTGATGCCATTAGTGACTCTTATGTAGAGCTTGTTGCAAGTATTACTCGTGGATGTTTCTCATACGCAAGTATCAATTTGAAGGATTTGATTGAAGAGCGTAACAAAATGAGAGATGAAGAGATTTATTGGAATTCTCTCACCCAAATCTTCAAACCAAAAAAGCTCAAAAGATGACAATCCTTCATTATTGGTATCTCAATCACAACAACAACTCAAGCACTTTGAAAAACTTGCTCTTGAACAATTATTCCAGGTGGAGAGTACCCGAATTCGTGTTTGTGATCCCTTCTCCGAAAGTGGTGGAGTAATTATTGAAAATGTTAAACCTGGTTTGTGGAAATGGGCTCAATATGGGTGTGACTCGAAAATTAATGACAGTACAGATTATGTCGCTCAATTACTTGCAGTGCATAGCGATCACAAGTACTTGTTACAAGATCCTAAAATTTGGATCATTCCTGAGGGCACTTATCAAAATGATAGCTCTCAAGAAAATGAATTCGACGACGAACACAACGAAATGGAAGATGATAGCTCTGATGAAAATGAGAGCACTTTTCAAAACGATTACTCTGAAGAAACTGAAATGAGTAAATTTCACAAAAAGGAATTGGAAGGTGGATGGTATGTCATGAAGCTTGGTGTTGGAGTTGATGTGGCTATGGCAGGAATTTATGATCAAAAGTATTTCAATGATGCATCCGTTTTAGAGCTCGAGAAGAAGCAAAATCGATCTGCTATTGATCTTTTTTTCAAATTCAGTTCTTACTCGGAATGGCAGGAATATGTGAGTAAGGTGATGGAGCAACAAAACTATCCAAACAGCATTCCAGTGCCATATGGAATCATTTCATCGTATGCATGTTTGTTTAAAAAGAGTGAAGATCAAGTGGTTGCTGTGAAATTGGTGTTCGTAAACGACACTGATTGAGGAAACTTCTATTCGTCTTCTTCGCGTTGTTTCAATGTTTGAAATCGCAACATTTTTACAACAACTTTTGTGACAAATTTTCATTGATTGAAATAAATTGAAGATGTATTCTGATCATGATGTTGCCAAAGAATTCATGTAAATGATTGATGATTGTCAAACTCGTCACTTCAAGAAAATGAAAACTTTGACCTTTCACACGTCGTGATATAACTTGAACGAACCGAGCCTTCATAAACGGTAACTCTCACCTACGACAAGCAACCGTACAATCCTTCAAGATCACGCCAACCTTCATCTGAAATCAGTTGCAACCATCCTCCTCTTGTTCACATCATACACTCACTCACTCATAAAAAACAAACCCCAATCTCAAATCCGTGTATACTCGTATTGAACTCATGTCTCGCTTCACCAATCGTGTGGCCAATTCACTCTCAAGAGTTCAACAACTCCTTTTATTCCTATTGGTGGTTCAATCCCTTCTCGTAGTATTCTTCACTCGGGGCGTTTCTTCTTCATTCACCTCGTATTACATTTCACCCTCAGGTCAAGACTCGAATAATGGACAATCAAGCTCCACTCCCTTCAAAACCTTTTCCAAAGCCTTCTCCACCATGAAAGGAGGAGATGAATTAATCTTAATGGATGGAACTTATTCAGAGGCAGTTGGAACAGGTTACATGAGTTGGCAAGGAACCAATTCAGGTCAACCACCTTCTGGTCTATCACCCACCACTTCACCGACACGCATTCGAGCTCTAAATCCAGGTAAAGTCTTGATTCAAGGTGAATTGTTTATTGGAAGATCATTCCGTAAGGATTCGAACATTACTGTCAGTGGCATTACCTTTGAAGGAGATTCTGAGATTTATAATTGCAATTATTGTACTGTGAAAAATTGTGAATTTCACGGTTCGTTTTGGATTGGAACCAACGATCATGATATGGATAATCAATTCAATTTGATTGAAGATTGTTGGATTTGGGGATCTCAACGAAGAATCATTTCTGGAAATTACAGAGCGAATTACAATGTTTGGCGAAGAGTGGTGGTTCGAGGAGATGGATGTGGCCAACCAGAATGTCAAGGCGATGGAAATCCAAATGTTGGATTCACAGTATACGATTCGCATGACAATCTCATTGAAAACATGATCGTTGTGGATCGAATTCTTGCACCCAATGATGCTCCTTATTCAGATTTTGCTGCAGCTCAACACACACCATTGCCCATTTGGTACAATGGAAGAAATAAGTGGTTGGGTTGCATGTCCATCAATGCTCCAGATACAGGTTTCTATTTAGAGCCAGATGACATTCTAGATCCAACTTTCATTTTGAAAAACTGTGTGGCTGTCAACGCTCACGATACTGGAATCAATGTTGGACGAAAGGCATCCAATATCTTGTATGAAATTCACACCTTCCTATGTGAATGTTTTTGGTTCTTGATCTGCAAATTTCGAACAAACGACAGGCACTGTGGGAATTACCACCACCGATCCGACCAAGAGTTCTCCTCCTGCCTTAAAATATCCGACTCGAGTGGAGGCCAATTCATTTCTGAAAGGAGTTGGATACAGCAAGATGGATATTGGTGCCAATGTCATGACTAAATATGGATGGGATGGAGCTCGTGTTGGAGATGTCAATGTGGAAACTATGACGACAAATAGTTTGTGGCCATGGCCAAATGAAGATCGAATCAAAAAGGAAATGTGTGCCAATACGACGAGAGGATTTTGTTCTATGGGAAAGCAATTGAATGGAGTGAATACAGTGACATTGACTTCCTATATTTGGGAAATTCTTGGAAATGCCATGCCATCTGACATTTATCAACAAAATACCACCACTGTGACCTGTTTCGGATTAGCAGCCTCCAATCAAAATGTCTGTTCTGGAAAGGGTGTCTGCATATCCACCGATTGGTGTCAGTGTGATTCTGGTTATTACGGAAATGCCTGTCAAATTGCATCCTGTTTTGGAGTTTTAGCCACCAATGCCACTGTCTGCAGTTCGAGAGGTTCATGCACTTCCCTTAATCAATGTTCTTGTCAATCTGGTTTTACAAGATCGAACTGTCAAACGAAGGTGGTTGTGGTTACGGGATCAAGTCCAAAGGCAAGCATTTCACAAAAGAGAGCGAACTTGGCATCATGGTCGTTCCATTATGATCATAATGGATGGATGATGAGAATGGTGTTCATGAGCATGATGATGATGGTTTGGATGATTCCATTTTTGTATTATTAAGATAAATATTTATGAAATTGAATTAATCTTAACCTTGTGAAATCAAACATTTTGATAAACTTATGGGGGTCGAGACTATAATACTTTAAATCAGTTATTATTTAATGTTCAAATTTTTTTCTCAATTCTACATATATATCGATTGGATTGAAATGAAAAAAAACCTTTTCATTGTTCTTCTTCATTCTCTTCGTAGTCAGCGCTGTCTATCTGATTGCCTTCCAATTCATCGAACAAGCGATCTGCATTGTACACGGGTTGATGTTGGAAGGCAAAAGCTTCATAAGAAGCCTCACCATTGTCGTCGTCGTCGTCGTCGTCCTCCTCCTCACTACTTGCTTCTTCTTCTTCTTCGGATATGTCTTCGTCGTGCTCTTCTTCATCCTCATCGGAATAGTCTTCATCATGTTGAAGGAAAAGCGAAACTTGATTAGGAAAACCTTCAAGCCTCATGGACATGAGGGAACAAAATGCATTCATATGGTCGTCATTGTCTCCTTTCATCACAAAATTCAAAGCAAAATCTTCTCCTTGTTGCAACCTTGAAAGTTTGTCTGAATGAGAAAGACGCTGAATGATCAAGTGAATGTGTTTGTATTGATTCAACTCGATAATGGTTTCTTGCGCTTTGGAAATCAGTAAACAAAATTCAATAATCTTATCTTTGAGAAATGATTTCATACTTGGGTGGCGTTTTTCGAGAGAATCAGCAAATGATGAGAAGGATCGAGAAATCAAAAACCAAATCATTCTAGCACTTGTTGTTGTGACATTATGTTTTGAGAAGGAAGCTTTGTTTCCTAATTGCGGAATATTTTGTTTTTCAGTCACAATGAAATAGGTAAATTTCACATTGCTATGTTCATGACCCATTTCCACATTGTCGGTCACATCTTTGAAGGATGAATAAAATCGCTTCTTGATCCAATCAATGTTCTCTAATTGATTCAAAGGATAAAAAGCAGCAGCTAATTCCCACGATTTGCTTAATCTACAAATTGAGGCATTGATTTCTCTCAAAGTTAAGAATGACAAAATATATTCATGCACAATATTGAACGGTATTAAATGTCCAAGCATTGTAAAATTCATCTTCTCTAGATCTTTTCGAATGCCATCAAAATTGTGTGTCACTCTTTTTCTATCTTTTAGTAACGACAATTTCATTTGTTTTGTCATTTCTGCAATTCGTGATGAATAATTCATGACACTTTTAAACTCTTGTGAGTAAAGGTGGTGATGTTTCGAATCGAATGGACCGTCATTGTCATCATTTTTGAATTGTTGAATCATTTCGGAGTGATGTTTCTCATCATGTGCACTTTCCTCTTCAATTGACAATTTTTCGTAAGGATGATGATCAGAAGGCGACAATTCTTCATTGTCATCCTCTTGCGAAAGCAACTGTCGACAGGATGATGGATGTATCATGGACTCGTCTATTCCGGACGTTGTCGATCGACTCTTCACCAATTGTTCCAAAATTAATTCTTTTTGAGTTAATTCTTGAGAACTAATTTCGGTGTGAAATGTTTTGACCAATTCAGGAGGAGAGACGAGTGGAATGTTTTCTTGATGTTGTTGTTGTTTGGAAGGTTCTCCGAATAGATCATTGTAGGAAGAGAGAAGAGAAGGTAGATGTGAGAATTGTTGTTGTCGAAGCATTTTTAAATACAAAATATTTTAATGGATGACAGTTGGCAGTCGAGATCATGAAACGAAGGAACAAAATGGTCATTTCGAAATGTGCTGAATTTGTTCTTCTTGTTGCTGATTTGTTCACCTTATTGATGAGGTAATGTAACATCATGACTTCTTTTAGAGTTGTTTGGGTTTGTTGGTGAGTCCACACACAAAACACAACAACTGATGGTATAATGACACCGGTAGCAAGAATATATCAGGTCGTGGTTTGAAACAATCACAAACTGACGTCTTGAATGGTTTTTATTATGATCTATCCAAAAGCAAGTAGTTTCAACAACACAATTCATGTGAGATCTGGCTCCTGATTCTGCTCGGCCCACATATTTTCACACACTTGTTCATGATGTGTCAAACCAATTACGCTTCCAAAATGTATTCCAAAAGAGAGAAAAACTGGATCAAGAAAGCACGTGTATTTGAAGAGTATATTTAATGGACTCTAAAACACAATCCAAAAGATAATTTCACTGAAGAAGAATGGGGAAAGTTTACTAAGAAACATATTCATCATCAGACCTATTTGCATGAACTCGTGTGAAAAAAAATGTCGACTTCGTGGGCAGATTTACTTCGTGGGCAACCAACATTTGTTGCTTTACCATCATCCGTATCATCAATCAAATCCAAATTTACTTTTGTTTCGCAGCAACAACAATCAGCAACAACAACAACTCAACAGAAATTCACTTCTCACACTTTGAAAGCATCACAAATTACTGCTTCTTCTGTTGGTAATCATCATCATGTCAGTCCGAACAAGCAAAGCAGCCATGGAAATGACATGCCGATGAATCATCATCAAAAGAATCATCAAAATATTGCTAATAATAATAATGGAAATATTTATCAAAATATTAATAATGGAAATATTAATCATGTCATCAATAACATTTCCACGTTGTCATCATCCTCCGTGATGCCTCTGTCAGCTCTCAAGCAACAATGGAAAATCGACCAATTAAATTTAAAAAAACAATTGAAATTGTACGATCAAGTAACGTTTGATCCTTCTCATATTTCATCCACGCTTAAATATATTGGAGGTGTGGATATTAGTTTTGATAAAATAGATCCTAATCGAGCAGTGGCATCATTGGTGGTTTTATCATTTCCAGATCTGAAAGTCATTTATGAAAATTATCATCATGTGACCATGAGTGTTCCATACTTGGCTGGATTTTTAGCATTTCGAGAAGTGCCTCACTTTGTGAAACTTCTCGACGAGTTGAAACGCTCCAATCCACACATTTTCCCTCAAGTAATTTTAGTGGATGGAAATGGCATTTTGCATCAACGTGGATTTGGATCTGCATGTCATTTGGGTGTACTGGCTAACGTTCCAACCATTGGAGTTGCAAAAAAGATGCTCTATGTGGATGGCATTACGGAAGAACAAGTTCAGGAATTGGAGGAAAATGAATTGGAACGAAAAGGAGACTATGTCTATCTCACGGGAAAATTTGGAAAAGATTTGGGAGCGATTTTATTGACTTCAGATGAGTATCATGAGCCTGTGTATGTGAGTATTGGTCATTGTGTGTCGTTGAAAACGGCCATTGAGATTGTGACCATGTGTTGTCTCGATAAAATTCCAGAACCTATCAAGCAAGCAGATTTGAGAAGTAGGAAGGTTGTCAAGATGAATGATGCCAGAAAAAACACCAATCGATCGTACAACAATAATCAAGATCAAGGCAGAAATGGCAATAATAGCTTGCATTATGGACGTCAGCAGCCCAGCAAGAAGTCAAAGTACTAGAAATGGAAACTAAAATGTTAAAAACAGGACGGATGAAAATTAGCTTTAAATCATTATGAGACAAGTTTATCTAGTCCCTTTTTCAATTCCATATACAATAGTTGATGATAGCCAGGTATTACGGAGGGATCAGAATTTGAAATTTCATCAAGTGTTTCTTGTGGCATGCACTTTTTTGCAGTATCGAACCAATATTTGAGAGCAGGATTATCTTGTAAGAGTTCCTTAGACAACTTGTCAAGTTCTCCAATTTTTCTTGCATGAAGTTGACCTAACCGATACAAACACATGCTTTCCATGACTTTAAATCTCCAAACTTGTTGATGTGTTTTATAACATTTTTCTGATGCATTTGCAGACTCTTCGATACATCTTCGAATGCTTTTTTCAGAGTCTGAATATATTCCTTCCGCATATAACGTCTCTGAATATCGGAACAATAAATCAAATACATTCACTCCTACACAAAAGCTTGAAAGTAGTGTATTTTCAAAAAGTGGATCAATTTGGGATGTGATATTCTTGTAAAATTGCAAAATTTCTTCATACTCTTCCGGATGTTGACCTAGCAACTCAAACTTGTAGAAATTTTGTATCATGAAAAACATGTTTACGAGTTGATTTTGTAATAATATGGATTGATGAATAGGAATTCCAGCCACAAAAGATGTTCTTTCTTTTTTTGGTGGATTTAAACATGCCAATTTCATCGTCTCCGTGGTATAAAAACCCAATTGATATCCAAACACTGATAATTTCAAAAAACTCAATTTCGGATATAATTGTTTCTCCAAAGGCATTGTTTGTGTTTGATGCTGAAATCTACTATGAAATTCTTTCATGCCGGCATTAAATCGTTGAACTTCATTCATTAATAGAGGAAGCTTTGTTTGTGGATGTCCCATATGTAGCTGCAGTAATTTGCTACAATTTCCGTACGTCCTTTGAAGGAGCTCTTGCATCGAGTTGGTAAAGATCCGAGACGAAGCATCAGCCATAGCCTTTTTCGTCATTTTTTTTGTTTGTTATGATTTGATTGGGAAAAATAGGATTCTCGTTCTTTCAAATGCAACCTGCAACCACTCCTAACCTTTCTCAAAAAGATCTTTCCACGTCGAGGAATGAGTTTCGTGATGAATCATTGTCTTGATTAACGGATGAATTGAGGAATTAATTTTTCATGGATTTCATAATTTTTGTTGAAAAAAATTCACAAAACATTTGCAAGAGTCATCGTTGGGGCGATTGGAAATCTCTTGTGCAATCATCATTGGATTGATTATTATTATTGGATTGAATTTTCACGCATACTCAGTGTGTACTTCTGACTTTTAACTACACACACACCACACTCGCACATTTAGATCATTTGTTCATTCATGAAAAGAAAGCTTTCAGCAGCTTCCGAAGGTGAGTCTATCCATAACTCCGAACAAGAAGAAGAAATGAAAAACAAGCAAAAGAAAACTACAACTGCATCATCATCACCTCAAAAAAGAACACCCGAGGAGGAAAAGGCTCATCAAGAATATTTGGAAAAACTCAACATTATTGATCATTTGAATCCTGATTACAGCTCTCCAGAAGGAGTTCAAAAGTGTAAGCAAGCCTTCAAAGAGAATAAGCCATTTCCTCATTTGCACTTGAAGAACTTTTTCAATGATGTCGAATTTATGAAAGATGTAAAACAAGAAACATTCTCCCTTAAATATTGGGAAAAGGACAACGACTTGTATCACTTCCTTCAGACAAAAGATCTTCAAAAGAATGCAATTGTTGAACAGAATGAGCATATTCGTAAATTGAGAGATGTTCTCTATAGTCCAAGTTTTAGAGAATGGCTCGAGGATGTTTGTTCTTTGAAGGAACGTGGAATTGTCTTGAACCCAACCATTGATATGTTTGTGTCGTGTTACAGAGATACCCATCACTTGTTGTGCCACGATGACGAATTGGAAAAGAGAAGAATTGCCTACATTATATATTTGGTTCCAGAGGATTGGACGGAGGCTGATGGAGGACATTTGGATCTCTATAATTGTGATCCGAACCAGATGGATCAGCCAGTGAGTATTGGTGCCTCCATTCTGCCTTCTTTCAATTCAATTTCCTTCTTTGAGGTTTCCACTGTTTCTTACCACAGAGTTCGTGAAGTATTGAGAAGTGTGGATCTTGAGGATGATCGTATTGCTATCACTGGATGGCTCTATAGTGACACTCTTGTCGAAAGACCAGATTATACCATTGAAGATATTGCTCCATTGAAATATGACGCCCCAACTAAGGTAGCTGATCTCGACTCTAAACCAGCACATATGGATTTAGGTTACTGGTTTTCCGAGCCATATTTACAGCAAAATATTAGAGAGGCAATTAATAAGCAATTTTGCGAGGAGTCATCTATTGAGCTCAGAAAGTTTTTGAATGAGGAAAAATTCAACAAACTCTACGAGGAAATTAAGACATTACAAAATGATCAACATTTTGAGTTGACTATTCCTGCGAATAGAAGACACTTTTTGAGATTGAAAAAGGATAATCTCGACAATAATTCCTTGTTGGCCAAGTTCTATGAGTTTGTCTCTTCCGAAATCTTCACCTCATACATTAGTGAAGTCACATCGTTGCCAATTAAGAATATCAATTTACAAGCAAGAAAGTTCCGAAATGGTGATTATGCTCTCGTACAAAACACACCAACCAATGAGGTCCGTCTAGATGTTTTGATTCGATTGTGTCCAGACAACTGGGACTTTGAGTATGGAGGTGGTGTCACCTATATGGACGAGGAAGAGGAATTGTTAGCAATTTTACCTGAACCAAACACAATCTCCATTGTTTTACGTGATGAGGGTGTTCAAACCTTTGTGAAATTTTTGACTCATCATGCTCCGGGTGATGTCTATGATTTCTTACTGACCTGTGAAACTGAAATTCCAGCAGCCAGTGAGGGTGATGAAGGTTCTTGGGAAGATGCCGACGATGATGGAGAGGGTGAAGAAGAGGGTGAAGCTGAGGAAGAGAATGAGTAACCTGTTGAATAAAAATATATCTAACTTGAACACGTGTGACTATTGGGTAGGTGGAAAAAACCTCTTCTCATTTTCGGGGTTTGATTTCACTAAATGTTCTCCTCTTCTGCATGCCCATCCATTTAATTGCATCTCGAATTATTCAATTTCATTCCTCAATAATGAATAACAAATGACGTCATGAAATTGATTGTGATAGAATTCATGTTGTCTCAGATAGCCTTCCTTAGTACATTGCAATTTTTCACACAATTTACAACTCCTCACATTCTCGGCATCGACTTTGAAAATAATTTTGTGAACAAAACAATTGATCTCTACAAAATTGTCTCACTGCTCGAATGGCAATTCCTTTCGATTGAAATTCTTGACCAATCCAATATCCAACTTCACAATTAAAATTTGCCGCATTAAAATTTTGAATGCCTACTAATCCTGCCATTTCATTCTTATACCAAATGGCAACTGTCAACATGACATATTGAGGAGTAGAATGTTTAAATCTTTGATTACATGAATCGATGAAATTATTGACGCTTTGTTTGTTATTTCCTGCCAGGGAAATGGTTGGAATAAATTCTTGAAGAAATGTTAAATTTCTATTGATGAGTTCAAATAGAGTGTCGACATCATCCGAATAATTATTTGTTTGATCATTATTTGATAATTCCAGTTTGTCTTTAGTCACGTCAAACAGGTGGTCATATGACGACGTAAATAAGTGACGAGACACCAAATTGCACAATACAACCTCATCATCAACTCTCCGAAAATAGTAATGCATTTTTGGATTATAAATTTTGAAAGTGTTTGGCCGATCAACTTGATGATCAGCAAAAAAGGCTTCGGAACCTGATAAAAAACCCATGATGATGATGTTGTTGCAATTTTTTTTAATTCCCTTTTTAATGCCTTAATTTTGATGGCGTTTGACGTGCTTCAAGTTCATTCCCAATTCCCGTTCCAGGAATTCTCTCTCGAATGATCTGGAACACGTACACGCACGGCCATCTAGCATTATTGAAATTCCTCAGCATTGGAATTTACAAAACGTATTTCCTTTTCTTCCTGTTTCGAATATTCCATCATGATTTCTTCAAAAACATTGTTTCCAAATCGAACTCTGTATCGACTTTTCGGATGATTGGGACGAGATGACGACGTGTTCAAACCAGTCGAATCTTTATGGATTCCCTTCTTGTCACTTGACATTTTCAATATTTGGAAGCAAAGAAAGGTTCAACCTTGAAGATGTTCAGCGTGCAATCTCGTCGTTGTTAAGAAGGAAAAATTCAAAATTGCTAATAAAAGTTGCCAATAAAGAGCCTTTCAAAGAGTTGGCGATGGTGATAAACTATATCTTCACTTTTGAAGAGTTTCAACAACCAAGAAATGAGACCAATAGACGAAGAGCTCTTCACTGAATGGCTGTGTTATGAACTGAAACCAGAGAACAACCGTCTTCGGAGGTCAATAACAAGACACACCTTTCGTCTTTTTTTAAGTCTTTTTGTCTTCCAACAGTACAACAAGATGTAAAGAGGGCAACCGTCGGAGAGAAGATTTTCACGAAAATAACCGATTTTCGCGTGAATAGCTGCTCTTCATCGTTACCTTTCCATATATCCTTCAAGCAACAAAGGTGGTTGATTTCCTTTCTTTCGAGGTACTCAGATTCGAGCGAAAGACCACACACTCGTGAGAGGATGCATTTTTCTTGATTAAATAAATAAAAAATTTCCAAATTTGAGTGATTGTGCCAACAAGTGCGAAAGTCGTGGAATATATGAGACGTGGAAAGTCTATATTCTAAAAAACAATGAGTTTAGAGAAATAGACCTTATTTAAGGATTGTGATAAAAGTTTCCAAACAAACACAAAACAGTTGATCTACAATCGTTGAATGGAACAACATTTTGCATTTTGGCTCAAAATCCGATTTCTATAAAGTTGCTGAGCAGATTCAAAATTATGAAAAACATTCGGTTGGAATATAATCAGATGATCCGTTGAAGTCGGTCCTTGCTTCTTTTCTTGGATACTATTGACCTCGGAGAATATCTCTGGTTAACAGACTGGTTCTGAAATGATAATCATCTGCTACTTTTTGTCGCAATTGATGCTAAAAGTTGAACAACGATGGTCAAAACAGAATGCACGCATTCGAGAGAAGGCAAATATTGCCTTGCTTGAATCATGCGCTTGAAAATCTTCTGTCTAAGGGTTGGCATACAAGGTTGAAGCATCAAGAGCCTTCTAAATGACGTGTCCATGAGAGGTGTTTATTGGAGGTAAAACGAATCCTTAATGCTTTATTTAATATGAGGAGAGCTTGTTCTTTTCTTAGGAACCTGTTCCACCTCATGAAGAAAATTTAAAGAATTGTTTTGTTCTATAGTCTGCCATGATGAATTAGTGATGGACATGACAGTTGCTCGAAACCTCGAATCATCAATGAGATGGATGATGTACGATCTATTTGGTATGTCTTATCTGAGTTTAACATTCAAAGGATTCGCTTTTGCCTTCCTGAATCATGTTGTGCTACAGGTTGAGAAAAAAGAGTTTTGGATTAGGATGTTCTCTTTCATAGAGTGATGGTTGAATGAAATCTTGTGAAGAGTTGAAATAATTCACAAAGGTCAAGGGTGACAAGGACTTCTTTTGTTTTCTTTGTTTGGATTCTGGTTGAAATTCGAAGAATGACTGTTGATGATGATTTGAGTTTTTTTTAACAGAAACAACAGAAGGATTGGTCGAGTCAAAACTACACCCTCCATTGTGAGGAGAAGGGTTGAAAATACTCCACGTTAAACCAAGTTCTGTTTTCACATCAGCCAAAGCAACATCAACAAGAGCAAACCAAGCATTTAAAATATCAGAAGAACTTATTGGCACTTGTTCATCCTCCGTTCTTGCGCTCGCCTGTTGCATGTTTGAATCAGGAAGAATAGTGTTGTTTAATGACAAGTATAGAGAAAATTTAAAGAATTGTTTTTAAGAAGTGTCTGCTTCTGATAATTATTAAATGGTCTCTATTTTGTTTTATAATTCTGAGACATAGATGGAAAGAACCGAATATTTATATCACTTAATTCGCCACAATTATTTTATTTAAAGGCCAGTTGACAATTGTTCCTTGACAAACAGTAAATTGATTATCAAGACATGATTGGAATCCACTGAGTCAAAGATAGTTTTACTGAATCGAATACAGAAGGTGTATTGGGTGATTGCATCGTGTGAAATGAAGATGAACGAGTTGTTCTTTGAGGATGTGTCGCTTGTCACACTTGAATGCGAAGAGCCTTTCGAAATTAAGGTACAAATGATTCTAAAAGTAATAGAAAAACTTGGTGGAAGGAAGGATTCACAAGATCAAAGACCTCTTTCGACCAAGCCATCTTGCTGGATGTGAAGCTTCGTTTCGCTCGTCATGATGAATTGACAAAATTGGGAAAGATGTGATTCATGGCGATGCTGAAAACACAAAGAGGACCGAATTAAATCTTGCTATAGGTTGTAAAAGCAGCACCACTCTCTCAACGATGGTCTTCATCATTAAAGGATGCAGACCGTAAATAGGTCTACTTCAAATCAATGAACTAAAACAACCCATCTCCATAACTCAGTAAATATTTAGTTCCTATTGCTTTTTTAATTCTTATTTGTGACAAGTATTTGTTGATTAAAATTTGAATGCAAAGATAACGGAAAGGGAATTAAGCCAGAGAGCATGATTATTCTCATTTTGATTTAATGCTTCATCAATAAACTCCACACATTTCAACACATCTTGTGTAATATTATAAATAGGTAAATCCACCGCCTTGATTTGGAAATATTTAAAGTGCTGTTCATACTTTCGGGATAGACCAAACCCACACACACAAATGTGAGAAATTCGATACGGATCATTGAGAAGAATATCGACATCGGAATAAGCAGCATCTTCGCTTCCGAGAAATAATCTCGGTAAAATTTCTTGACAATCCAACGACAGCGAATCTTGGTGATACGAATTCGGTTGGGACATTTTAGTTTTTTTTTAATTTAAATTTCAATAAATAAATAAATTTAACCCAAAAATAGAACCAACAGACGAATTGCTGTTTTAGTGTGATCTAGTTGTCGGGTTCATCATCATTATTATTATGGAGCTTTTCCTCCTCTACGGCCTCCCAGTAGGCATATCCATCTTTATATTTTTCATACATTTCATTCAATACTTCCGGCATAAGCCCATTCCTTTTGAAGAAGGCGGACCCCGACCTCCTCAAAGACAGATCCCTTTTCTACAATTCTCTTCAAAACCACTGCCATTTCTTCCAATTCTTTATCCTTTGCACAATCGACCGACTTTGCCATAAACTCCTTCACACACATCATGTTGAAAGGATTGTCCTTCAAATAGTATTCAGAGTCATCCATGAAGACAACCTTGTTTAAATCTCTGTTCAATTCTGAAACGTTCTTGCTGTCATAAATGTGATGACGATACAATCGATGACTGAAAACATCAGGTAATTGATTCAAAATACTGTCAGCATAATATTGTACACTGCTGGTGAGTAAAACAATTTCAAAGTACTTTAACATTTCCAATAAAAACTGATCCACACCAGGACGTTTGGCAACAGTATATGAATCTAAAATATCAAAAGTCTCCACTCCAATGGATTTAAAATCAATCCGGTTTGATGTTTCAACAGTGGTCAACGTTTGATCCAAATCCAAAACAAGTGTCATTCGGGAATCACCTTCTTCAAGAGGAGGAAGTTTACAGAGACCTTTTTCTGATGCAGAATTGTACATGTCCCCATAATAACGTCGTTGAAGAGGAGCATTTGAAGAACAACTTGTTGCATCCAAGATGAAAATGTGAGGCATAACCATGTTGGAGGTGAGCAAGGATTTGCGTGGGCACATGGAAATTCCACCCATCCTCTTGAAGAGGAGGATGAAGTGATTGCGAAGGATTGGACCTTGTTTGAAAAACATGTTCTTGAAATGAACCTTCTCAAAGCAGTTGCTGAAGATTTCATGTTGAAAGTTAAGTAATTGATCTTGAGCGAATGGTGTGAGGGTGGTGATGTTGTTATGGATGTTGTATTTCTTTTTTGAATGGATTTCTTTAAGAGATTACAAAGTTGTATTTAAGGTTTAGTTGAGACCAATCAAGATGTGTTTGGAGGGTTCTTTGGAACAGCTCAAAGTGATAGAGTTTCGAAGAGAATTGTGATTAATGGGCGGAATTTCCCAAACTGAATCTTGATCTCGGATTCAGAGAATGATTGAAAAGTTTCTCTTCATAAAAAGTGAAATTTTGAGGAATTTCTTCCTTTCGGAGACTCACACTCTTGTTCATGCAGAGATCGAGCCACTTTGAAGGAACTTGCACGAAAGGTTCATATTAAAGCTTGGGACCAAAGTAAATCCAAAGGAGGAAGAATCCATGCGATCGAATCTAACAGAGCGCCGAAGAGGACGACATAATGAAACAAATGTTCTTCCATTTTGTGACTTGGCACATAACAAAGTTCGGTATTTTTCAAATGCACAATGATAGATGGTTTTTTGGCAAACCTTAGTCAAAAGTGACTGAGTGGAATGTTGTGTTATCCTGTGTTTCGAAAGAATTAGGCTTAGCATTTGTTAATGATGGATAAGCCTCTACTAATGTGATGTTTTATCCAATCACCTTCCTTATTCTTCAACAATAAAAAGGAAGTTTAAAAGTTGGCCTTTCCTATGAGTTGTGTGACCCTTGACATCTTGTCCTTTTGTTTTTCAAGCCAAACTGTTTGGAACCCCGGTTTTGGAAGGATGACAGATGTGCCCTCTATACATTTTGATTCTTACCTTAAAACATTGGATTCCAAAATATATTGACTATTTAATAATATTGAATAATAAGATATCAACTCTCCCTGATGTTTCCTTTGTGTTAATCCAAATGTTGAAGCAATTAGGATTTTTGAAAGTTTAAGCAGCACGTTCAAGTTTTTTGGAATTTCATCAAAAAAAATGGTCCAAAGCAATCAGTATCCAGAATTGAAAGTCTACATGAATAAAAGACTTTCGATCAAGATGAATGGAAAGAGACATGTGGAAGGAACGTTAATCGGATTTGATCCATTTATGAATTTAACGTTGGAAAATGCTGTGGATAAAGTCGGAGTGGTGGTTTCAAATCAACAAGATGGAACATCAGCACCAACAAAACAAGAAATTCCTCTCGGAACGGTTGTAGTGAGAGGAAATTCTATTGAAATGATGGAATGTTTAGACCCTGTCTATTTTAGAAAATAATTTTAAAACAATATTGGTTTTTATTAAATATAAATATTATTAATATTAATATTGGAGATGACAATGTATATTGAGAGAATGAGAGAATTGTATTATTCATGTATGATGAAGCACCACGTCGTAGAGTCCTGTTTTCAGAACAAATTGATGAAGGGCTGTCGGATGTCTTTTTTCCTGTAATTTCTGTATCTGTGCGACATGATTGGCTTATTACTCTCGAGAAATTGCCACCGCATATTTCCAAACATATAGAAGGCAAGTCTTGGTACATGGTTTCTTACTCCCATGATCATGATTGTCATCCTCTAAGCACCAATTCATAAAAAATAATCAATCATTTTCAACGCTGTCGCCGAACCGACAAATCGAGCACGTGATACGATCTATGACCAATCTTTAATATTATTGCTCAATTGTCATTTGAAATATTGAGGAAATCAAGGAGACTCGTACTAGTTGTGATTTAAATTTCATCTAAAAAATTTCACCTGATCGAATTGTGACTTCTACATTAGGAAGTGTTGCAAGTCCAAAATCTCACAAAAAACTCAAATTTGTGGTCCAATGGAATTGTTTCAGCATCAAGTCCGCCATTGGATGACGGAGCCAAGGTTTTACAACGAACGAACAACAGGTCATTCCAGCAGCTGGAGAAAATGAGCGAGTCACCGTTCATCATGGGTTGCCGTTAGGCTTCCATTTCATTCAAGCGTCGTTCACTCCAGCGATTCACTCAATACAATTCTTGAAGAGCGGGCCAAGAGAGTCATCGAGACTTGATCACCACAGATGCGCTATTGAGCCTTTGATGATTGAGCGAAACGATCCAGCCGTTTTAAAAAAAATATTCCACCATGAAGGTCTCTCAAATCCTTTTGGTCGCTCTCATGTGCGTCCTCTATGTTGCTCCATTCTATGTCCACGCCATCCACAATCGCCATGCTGCTCCAACCACTTTCCAACAATTAAAGCAAGATATTCGTGATAGAATTTTGAAGGATGAGAAGTTAACTGACAAGATGATGAACTTCTCCTTCAAGCAAATTAACGGAGGTGTTGCTGTTCCAAAGCCAAAGGGTGGTTTCTCCTTGTGCCCAATGTGTATCAATTTGTTGGATCAAACCATTAATCAATTGTTGAACATTATTTTGCAAGGTGGTGTCATTGGTTCATGTGGTGCTTTGTGCTCCTACTTGTCGAACTTTGGTTCATTGACCGTTGCTGCTTGCAACCTCATTTGCGATTATTTGGGAGTTGAAGAGTTCATTAAACTCATTCAAGAGGCTGATTTGGATGCCATTTACGGATGCCAACTCGTTGCATTGTGCCCAGTCCATGATTGCAAGTTGCCAGTCTGTGCTCAATTCTTCAATACCCGTGTTGTCCCACAATCTGCTCCAAAGGGAACTACTTTCACTGCTGTCTCTCAATTGAGAGTTTACAATCAAACTGGTACTGGTGGTATGTAATTGAAGCTATGATATTGATTCAAATTTACCGATACTCTTTGATACGATCTATGGTCATGATGATGATTGCCTTTGATACATATGTGCGTGCCGTCATCTTTTTTGTTCTCTCTTTCACAAAAATGTGGATGACATTCATGGGATGATCACAATCATTGTGTGAAATCACACCAATCACCATTATGGATGGACTCAACAACAGAACTTGCTTTCGAAGTAAACGGACCAGTCACTGGTGACATTTCTGGTGGAGAATTGGTTGCTGAAGGTTTCTCTGCTGGTGTCTTCCAAATTCAAGTCCAAATTCAAGCTCAAGATGATCCAAACAACCAAGTGGTATGGAATCCTGGTACTTATGAATTCGTGGTTGCTGCCTGCGAAGGTGAATGTGGAAGCAAGCACCCACACAGCAGAATTTTGGCTGAAGCTCACGCTTTGTTCAACGTGACTGCTTAAATAAATTCTGTTTGAATACATGTCTTTGCTCGTGTTCTCGAAAGCCAAACTTTAATTAAACTTGTTGTGCACAAGGTCATTCCCCTTAATTATTGCAAAGTGTACAGTATTGTAATGGTATTTCATCAAACAGAGAAAACATGATCATCAAAGTCAAAAAATTAAATATTGTTTATTGGCCCTTCGGTGCCTCAATACTTGTCATAAAACAACATTGGACTTCATTTTCGTTTAGATACTACTTCTGAATGTCGAATGTTTTTAACAGGATATCAAATATTAACAGATTACATGCTTGTGTTGAGCAACTGTTAACATGGGTTGAGTCCATGATTCAAACAGAAGGCAAAAATAAAGCAGTGTTTGGTCTGTTAATGCATATGGTTTTCGTTGGTTTGTAAGGTTGAGTCGTCAATTATTGTAAAAAGGTCATGAATAGGTATATATAGTGTTGATGGATATGATATGTTAATAATGATATGTATCGATTACCAGCATTGTCTTCAAAGTTCTAAGTCACAACAATTAATAATGTTGAAGGGCGGAGAGCAGTCTTGGATCCAATATAAGGTGAGATGCTTCTTTCTTGTTCTTACATTCATTACACGTTTCTTATCGAATTGTTGATAGCACTGATCATCATAATACAAATATAGTATCTTGCCTTTTTGTCCATGATTAGTATGATCGTGAAGTTTGTTCTTTTGCTTTGTTTTTCTTTTTGGTTTGGCTTTGTCGGTGGATGATTGTTTTTTAGCTTGTGTGGTCCTTCTTGTTTTGCGAGGTTTGTTCTTTGGCTTGTATTCTTTTTCTTGTTTTGATGGAGTTGGTTGATTCAATGTTGATAATGTATTCTCATCTTTCTCAACTGGTGGATCGTTAGTTTTCTCAACTGATGGATTTTCTCTAAAGGTGATTGCGTCACATAGATGATGTTGTAAAGATTGTAACAAGTGATGCGAATGATCTAATGGCTTCCGTGCCTTTTCTTCGCAATTTCTGTTCTCTTCATTTCGCTCGATCAAAGTCAAAAAATGAGTCGACTTCTCTTTTGTGGTGAATTGCAGCTGACTGGATTGGCCAACATGATCGATCAAGACGCAGGAGATCGCTTTGTAGAGCTCGAGTATCGACCATCATCCATGTTGATTCCAATGGATCATATACATCCCCATAAAGAATTATCGGACGAACCTTTAAATATTTCATATATTTGTGCTGGTGGAGAACGAACAACGTACAGTCTCTTGTTTTTGTATGGATACGAACATGATTTTTTCCTCCAAGTTCACCAATCCAATTCTACTCCCAATTTTCAACAAGTTTCATTCGAGAAATTATTTCAAAACATGACCGAAAAATTATTAAATTTAGGCGATGATAGTGGTACCAGTGAAACAAGTACTAATGGTGTTAATAAGGATGTTCAAAAGAATAGTTTGACAAATTCAATCAAGAAATCCTGCTATTCATCACAAAAGTACATGACATCCTTTCATGATTCACGAGAAATGAAACAAATTATATGTAACAATAGCAATAGTATTGTGTTTGAAATGATGGATGGAAAATTATACTTGTATGATATTGAAAAGGTTACTCTTTTCCCATTTATTATTCCTCTCCGCAGTAATGCCAAGTGCATTGATAGTGGAATCATGTCACCTGTAATTCTTGTGAATGATGTTTGGAATGATTATATTATAGCTCTCGACACGAGCCATTCTGAGTTAATCACAAAAGATGGAACTTTCAACAGTGACTGCATCACCAGAATTGCATTTCCTGAAAAACCAGCAGACATCAAATTGATGAAATGTTATTGCCGAAAGCTGTTCTTGTTTGTTCTCGCAAATAATTGGTTGTATGTGTGGGGTTATAACGGATCTAGATATGGATTTGAAACATGTCCAGAAAAAGAAATGACTCGCATAACCACAGGCTTTGAAAATGAAGGAAATATTGTGGCGATGGACACGGGTTTTGCACATGTTGCTCTCTTACTTGACAATGGAACTGTCTATGTAAGGGTATGTTTCACATGTTTTTCTCTTCATATTTTTCGTCGCAACATCTTAATTGGATATGGTACATGTACACAAACTCATTGACTCTAAATGTCACTCCATTTGTGCATGACACTATTGAACCTATCAAAAAAACAAAGGGACTCAATAATTTCCAACAATGCGTAAGGAGTGATTCAGGATGTCTTGATGAATTTTTCAAAATACCTCTCAAGTCACCCGCGGTATCCACATGTTGTGGATCCACTTGTACCTGTGTCACCACACAAAAGGACCTTATACTTTTCGGCGAAGTTTACGACAAATTTATTGAACCTTTGACTCCACTCGCCGGCGACGAGGAATATCAACCCTTTTCCAAGCTCTGGGTTCACCACAGAGAATTTTCCAACGAAGAAGCTAGCTTAGGTCCTTGGCACGGATTTATCTATCGACGAACATTTCAAGTAAGACAACATCATTTACACTTGTTTATCAAAAAACTTGCTGAGAAAGTGGATAACCCGAAATTAAGTGATATTTCAATCAGAGTCATGTGTTTGGATTTATGAGAATAGTCACAGGTATGGATGGTATTACACAGGGAGGTGACAAAAGTTACACTTTTTCGCCAACCCCCTCTATTGCGTTCCATGAAGCAAAATGCTTAACGACCGTTACCATTATACGCTCACAAAAATCCCAAGATCCCTTATTCTGTAATTGGTGGCTCCTCCCACAGCAGTATTCGTTCATACTAAACGAGTGTCCATCATCATTCATTACCATTCGATCATTAAGAACCCCCAGAATCATCACACAATAACCATCTCACCGAAACAATGGTCACTCTTGAATTCAAGTGCATATCATTTTCAGAAGAAGGATCGATCAACCATTATTATCCAGACTTGGTGTGTGCTTGTATGGATGAAACATCTTCATTCGGTGCCGTGAACTTGGAACCGGAAAAAAATGAATCTAAAAAGGTCATCATCACCACCCTCAAAGTCATCATCATTGGCACCAACCACTATTGCAAAACCAAGTAGTGTTGGTAAATATGCTTCGGCCTCAAATCTTACGAAACTTTGCAATCCTAGAAGTGGCTCCTTAATGATGAAACCTTCCTCCTCCTCGGATATCAAGGTTCCATTAAATCCCAAAACAAAGAATCTGACCTCTGTGTGCAGAAAAAGTAGTAATCCAGACAGTACTACAGCATCAAGAAAATCTGTTGTTGTGAACTCTTCTTCATCAAGAGATTCAAATGGCTTCTCACATGCAACACGAAATTCAAAACCATCATCTCCAGTGGCAACGAGAAAAATAGCCACATCTCTCATAAATAAGAATCTCACCAAGAAGCTGCCATCTGATGTTGTGTTGACCATACTGGATTTTATGGTGGAGATTTGCTCAAAGGTGTTGAGTAAGGATGGAACCAAGATTAAGTATTCTCAATTCATCAGGAAATTCTATGGAAGGTTTGCTGTGGATAAGTCTACTCGATTCTTATTTAGATTCATGAATATTAATCATGATGAAATTTCAAATCTTGATTTAAATATTGCACTGATTGGAATTCCTGTAATTTCATCATGTGACAGGAAAGTAAGACTTTCAAAAGAGAGCGTCAACTACTTGTTCAATCACCCTCACATGTATGCCAACCCATTATCTGAGAACCTTTATCATATTGAGCTACCAGATTTTCGTAAAAGGTTATATAATTTTGTTGCATTGCTGGGAGAGAGTAATTGTAAGAAAATTCAAGAACTAGATCTATCTCAGTGTGAATTGGACTTAGATACAGTTGAGTTAGCCATAAGATCTTTTACAAATCTGTCTGTTTTGAAAGGGAGAACAGATATTTATTATTCTCCAAAATGGTATTGTGAGGCTCCAATAGAATCATCTTTCACTGACTCAATGGCAGAAGCTTTTGAAGAGGGAGGAAAGAATTTGAAGGTTTTTGTATGGTCTGCTAGTGATTTTTCAACGATAGTTCATCAACATACACCAAATATTGAGGTGTTGTATCTTGGTATGTATTTTGGAATAGATAACATCCAATTAATAGTTAGTATTTCATAGAATTGACGCAACGTTATGAAAGAAATGCATTTTCAATGACACATTTCGAAGATTCTATCATGTCTTGGAGTAATTTGAAAGAAATCCATATTAACAATATGCAAAATAACTGCCCTATAATTATTCCGTCCTTTTCAAAAATATTTTGTGCTTTCAATAATATGAAAAATCTAAGGGTGTTGAAGATTTTTGGAGAACATATCCCTTTTGAGAGTTTTGAATATTTGATGAATAATCAAACACTGAAAAGTCTTTCTTTAAAACATTGTGGAATTGAAGACAAATTTATTGATGTAATTTCCACAATATCCAATCTCGAAAAACTGAACATTACTGGAAGCAAATTATCAAAAGAATCATTGTTCAAATTAGCAGAGCTGAAAAATCTAACATCTCTCGAATTAATTTATAGCAATTGCATTGAACAGGCAGAGCCAGTTTCAAAAATAACAACTCTTAAACAGTTGGCAATAGAGGGTTTGATTGAAGAGAATTCACATTACTTGTTGGCATTGCCAAACTTGGAGAAACTTGGTATTTGGTATTCAATACTTCCTAACAAGGTTTTAGAGGAATTTTGCGAAAAGTTATTGAAATTGAAAGGAATTAGATTAATATCTTGCAATGGAGTGAACATGACAACCTTAATTCCAAAATACAAATTGAAAGTTAAATAAGTTTATTTTACATCAATCAGTGGTCATACCTTTGTTCACCTTCACTCTTAATTTCGTAAAGACTTGATTCCTTTTCTTTATTATTGAGTGCTGACAGGCTTCGTTTGACCTTTACGACTGTATTAAGAAGCATTCTTTATCCATTTTATTAAACTGAATCAAAACTCACAAGCATTGGACAAACAAATTGATCAGGATCTTTCCAGTCAAACTATTTTCACCTTTTCTCAATTCTTTCAATCAACAGAAGACTCCATACGTCTATGGATATCAGTGTTGGTTTCATCACACATCAACATTTTTTGGTATGGAAGGTGTTGGAGAATTTTTCCTATGACTGGAATGGTTTATTTATTTCTTAGAAATGATCAAAGACATCCAAATGATGAAGGTTTCAAATCAAATGGTAAGAAGACTTTTGTTCGCACAAAATCTGCCCTTTTCACTCTGTTCCATTTGGACAAGGTGACATTTGAAATAGCCTTTTTACAACACATTGTTTGACGGACTAACAAACCAGACTTATTCATGATGGACCTGAGTGGTTTCAGATGGAGGCACTTTTAGTGAGTGTAAACTGAACGAAAAAGTGATTTCTACCGCCACCTGTTCGCATTCCTTGTTCAGTTTAAAAAAATATTGCCTGTGATCACAGCTGTTTGTTCACATCGGTTCGATTTCTTTGCTCAGTCATGGGTTTGTCCAGCAAATCTTGTGTGAGCTCTTGCTCTTTTTGTAAATGTTGTTTTTTCCTCATAATGAACAACCTGTCCTGCATCGCTCCACAACAACACATGACATACATCAATATTTGATAACTTTCAATAATAATTTTCCGAGAAGGAAACAAAGCATAGCTGAAAGCAATAGCCAGCAAGAGAGGAAGCACGTGCAAAATATCAAATTTAAATAGAAAGAATATTCTCAGGGCAAAATGTTCTCCCTCTATCATGGATGTTAAAGTCTCGGCAAAGGTGAAAAAGAAATATGAAAAAAATCCAATCCATAATATAATGGCAATGAGTAAAAATCGAGTGAACTGAATGACGTAAATAAGGAAATTTTGAAAGGAAATATGAATTACTTACTCTAAATTGAAAGAATGAAATATTAATTAATGCTCTCAATCTTAAAAACATTTTCACACTATACAATAGCAGTACAATTAAAATGACAAGGTAGGCGAATATAATTCCGAAAAGCATACCATACAGAAGGGAGAGGGCTGTATAATCATTCGTCACTTGAAAAATATACAAGTATCCAAATAATGGAGCAAAAATAGTGAGAATAGATCCAACTATTTGAAGAATTATGAGGGGAATACTTATTTTCATTGACATGTCATTGGAGTCGTTTTGCATTGCGTTTATCCAGGTAGATATAATTGGTATTGCACAAATGAACAAATTTCCTAATCCAATTAGAAACAACATGCTAGTGATCGCATCAGACATTATAGAAAGGTTACTCTTCCAGAAATCACATGCATATGAAGTCAGTAAGCATAGAAATGAGAATAGAAGCATGGAGGCTGCATTAAGCTTGTCGTCACACAATACTTGTTTCCATCTTGTTTTTGACTTTCGTATTTGGAAATGGTGGAAATGATGTACAGATGTTTTCCTTGATTTAGACATGGTTGAAAGACAACACATGCATACATTTGGAATTTTCAAGCTCGCTACATTCTTTTTCATCAACAAAATATTTTTCATGAACTGTACCAACAATGGGAGCCAAATCAGCATGATAATTACTAGAGCCAATATTATCTCCAAAAACAAAAGGCCAATATTAACAATTCTAAAAGAGTACAGAGGATACCAAAAATACATGTAACTGTCACACATTGATGCTGATTTGATGTTAGACATTTCTGCTGCAAAATTAATTTCAATATCTGTCCCACATGTATTGATAGAGGAGGTACCTGGTCGTGGACAGTAGCACATGGAACTGCTCAACCAATCACCATAATAATTTTGTACTTGATTCATTGAAGGAAATCCCAAAGGCAGAAGGTCCAATTTGCCATAGCTGCATTGGAATGGCAAATTCACATTCAAGCAAATATTGAACCCATTTGTCACTGGATATTTTGAATAATCCCTACAAGCTCTGCATGTCGTGTACAGATCAAGAATATCTGTGGCGAATCCCAATCTATATTCTTCCAGTTCAGGAATTCTTTTAGTAATATTGTACCAAATCTTTGTTGAAAGGAGTGGATCGAGTGGAATTTTTGATCCATTCAAGTAGCTCTTAAGCCATGCAAGCATGATAGAGAGTGACAATTGTTGTGTATAGATCGTACTTTCTGGAATAGATGTAGGGTCCTTAATGAGCAATGAAGTCAGATTGAGGCCATAGTTGAAATTTGCTGTAGAGCTAGCATGTTCTTTGAGCATTTCTGGAGAGAAGCAAAACATTTTGTCACAAATCGAGCCAAATGGAAAATCCTCTTCAGGGCAATAGGCTTCTTCTTTTCCATAATAGAAGCCAAGATCTGCATCATAGCGGAAATCAATTGGGACAAATTTACTCTTCTCATTAATGGTAATTTTCGGACACGAAAGAGGACTCGATTGATTCGGAAATTTGAATACCCATTCTGTTTGATTGTACAATGGAAGATATTCCTTGATGAGGATTGCGTCAGTTGTGAGAGTATCAGCGTCAGCTGCAATAGTCTTGTTGTTACTTGTTGTTAGATGGTATGCATTTGAAATGCTACGATTGGTCCAATATTCATTCCAGATAGGACCATAAATTAAGAAGGGGCAAACTAATGATGGTGTTATCAGTGATGATTCTGTCGAGGAAGTAGTCGTGTTGTTGAATTCATCGTTAGAGGCATGAGAATTCCTTGTATTTTGCTTCACTCGTAGTTGAAGATTTCTATTGTTGTTGTGAGTCTGCTTTCGGAAAGGCTTGTACCGGCCTTGAAAAGTGTTCTTCATCAATTGATTCAAGTTTTCTTTCCTTAATACCTCGGAGAATGAGGAGGCTATCATTGTGAATAAGGATTTACTTATTCTTGTTGGAATTAGGTATGGAGAAACAGCATTTGGTTGAGAGAATGATATGTAGGTTGATAAAGTGTCATCATTGAAAACCATATAGAAACAGAGGCAAGCAAACAGAACCATCATTCCGATAAGGCTCAGCAACAACAACCATCGGAAGAAGCAAAATCGTTTCCATCCTCCTCGCCCTCCTCCTTCTTCTATTGTTTCCTTATTGCTTGAGATCCACTCTTCAAGAGGATGATGAGAGAGAGGCAAAACTCTTCGAAGAGTCGATGAGGAATCCACATTTTGGTTTGAGGATGCCAACAACGGAAAAGAATTGTTGTCTTCTTCTTCTTCTTCCATATATATGGAGGGTCCACACAATTTTTTTTTATGCGTGAATAAAAAAAATTTGATCTGTCTAATGACCTTTATCCGGATATAAAAGGCAGTTATTATAGAGTATTGGTTGATCAAGATGGTTACTATTAGTAATCAATGTAGTGATCCAGTCCTACGGCGACAGGTTGCCTCAACGTTGAACTCGACAATGTTTTACAAAGTTAACAACAAAAAAATGCAACAACGAAATACGGGTCGATTTGGTGTCAAGACTTCTCAAACTTTGAAATACAATTCCAATCTCGGAGATGCCAAAAGTGTGACTCCAGTGTATTTCCGATGGGTCGATGTTAATAATGATGATGATCACAAGGATGATGCAGTGTCCTCTAGAACGACCCGAAAGTATGAACATGCAGTTCCGCAGTCGATCAATAAGCAGCGACGATGGGAACTATTTGATGAAGAAATTAAAAATTCAGAAAAACAAGAAGAACATCGAGTGTCTCATACCAAAGAAAAGGAAGAACGCACCGAGAAGAATCAAGAATTGAAAAGGCAGGAAAATAAAAAGAAACATCAAAAGAGTAAACATGTGAAACGATTGGAACAGAAGGAAATGGCAAAATTGAAAAAGAGACTTGGAATTGATGATGAAATGGAAGAAGAGAAGGCTCAAGCTATGATTAAAGAGGCTCTTGAAAAACAAGCTGCCTCTCAAAAGGATCAGAATGAACACGAAGAAGAAAAAGAGAAGAAGGAAAAGATTGTTATCAAGCGAGAAACTCCTCCTCATTATGGGTTTTCGTCATCCAAATCGAGTCATGAAAAGAATGTGGTAGAAGCTTTTATTCCAAAGGACCGTGATCAGCTCTATAAAGTCAATCAATTGAGAGGTAGAAATAGAGACTACGATCATGATGTCACATCAAGAACTGAGAAAAAATCTGACTTCCAGAAGAGTATATTTTTGTAATGGTGTGAATTGACAACGAGGTTGGATGATTAATCACCAATAATGTTATTATTGCTTTTAGTCATGCATTTCCACAACGATTTTCCATTTCAGAGTACTGAGTACTAAAAGGGTTATCTTTGAAAGCTGCATTTCACAACTGAACAAAGTGGTAATTTTTTGTTAACCACAAGTCATTCAGTGATAGAAATTAAAATTCCTTACAAACAATCGTCTTTGGTCCATAATCACAAGTAACCTAACTGCAAATACCATAATGAAGCTCTTACTTGAAGAACATCGTTAACAAAGGTTGCTGCCAAAAAAATTTTTAAAAGAAAGAATAGATCATGAACTTAAATGAACAAAATGAAATTTTACTCGAGTTTCACCTCGCGTTTGTTGACATTAGAACTTTTCCTTCTGATTTCTCTTTGTGTGAAGGAAAATACATAGAAATACCTGTCGTTTCACCTTATTGATACACAATTCTATGACGCTGATCATATTCGTACTCGAGGAACAAAATGAAATTTTACTCGAGTTTCACATCAACATATTCGTGATGCCATTCAAGACTTTCTCTGCTTCTTCTGTCCACACAGGTTCATTAATTTAATTTTGAACCCACACAGACCAATCTTGTTTTAACTCTTCAATTCCATGATGTAATGATGCAACGTGTGCCTTACTGTGTTTTCATAGCTTTAAGCATTTTCTTCTGGCTGTGGTGATGCCATCAGGATGACACGATTTAAATACATCATTTCTTTGTAATATAAATACCGTAAGGTTGTGGCATCGCATTTCGTTTGGAAATTAAACTCAATTCGGTGCTGTTGTTGTTTTTGGCGATTCAGAGAATGTTGTTGTGAGGTCTTTGATGTTTTTTTTTGAGAATCTGATTCGATCACAATCTGATCGTCACCACTGGAAGAAGCTTTGTTGTTTGTCATACCATGTTGATGCATTTCATGAAGATGTAACGATGATAATGTTAAATTTTCCACATGCTCATTCTCTTGAGCCAATAAAAATGGATGTTTCAATGCATTGGCAAATGTTATTCTTTTTTCTGGATTCCACTGTAAAAATTCTCTCAATAAATCAAGAGCTTCTTCAGGAGCAGAGGGAAAGATTGCTTTCAAATTCACACCTTCCTCATAAAATTCATTAAAATGCTGTTCATAAAAATCACGAGCTCCGTCTGCGCCCTTAATATCATTAAGGTCCTTTGGTTTTCCCAAAAGGCATGTGATTAAATTTAAATGTTCAATAATTCCTTTCATATCTTGGCCACTTTGTTGAACGAGAAAGAGAGGTCTTCGAATTGGCTTTGGGCCCAACATGTACAATAATTCTGCAAAAATACATCCTAGAGACCAAGAATCAACACTGCTGGTCTGGGTGTCATATTGTAGAATGACTTCAGGACTTCGATAATAACGTGTGACCACGTACATGGAATTTGGAGATTGTCCTGGATGATCGCTTTCGCTTGTGCTTAATCCAAAGTCAGAAATTCTCACATGAACATGTTCCTTGTGATTCTCTTCATTAGTAGCATTGGTCTGTACTAGTACATTGGCAGGCTTTAAATCTCGATGGAGTACTCCAAATGATCGCATATATTCCATAGCACTCACTAATTGTCGCATTACATTTTTCACAAACTCAATTGGAATGCATTGCTTTTTCTTTCCTAGCCGATTCAAATACATTTTCAAATCACCATCTTGCATCATTCCCATCACAATATATAAATCTTTAAGTTCTTTTAAACAATACGGTCCATTCCTTGAATGAGTCGAAATATAGACATCCACAAGTTCCACAATATTTTCATGATGTCTCAAATGTCTCATAATTTTAATTTCTCTTAGCATTCGATAGGGAGCTCCACTTTCGAAAACATTCTTTACTTTTTTAACCGCCACCATTCGATAGCTTGTTGTTTGTTGTTCATGCTTTGAGAAATTTAGAGAAGATTGATTTTCCATTTCGAATGGCATATCTGTCGAGTTTAGGGAGATGGGATGAAATTTGTCCCAACAAGCAATGACCACTCCATATCCACCTTGTCCCAGAATTTTCACACAACCAGTGCTTTCATCTCTCACAGGTTCATACCGAAGTGGAAGAATCATTTCAAACTCAAGAGAGCCATCAGGACTTGCAATTAAATGTGTTGCTACTTGTTGATGATGAGAAGGCTGAGGTAAAACTTGAGTGGGATCGGGAAGTATGAAATCCGTAGTAGAACGAAAAGATGATGCAGAGTCGGAACTATTTGTAACTTGATCAAAATCTTGAATGATACTTTCATCCTCTTCTTGATCGATGGTTTTTGAATCTTCTTCCGAGTCTTGATTCATGATCTCATCAATCATTCGGTATATTTCTTGAGGAATTTGATCCTCCAATGATTTATTTCCAACCGCCACTTCTGAGGGATGATTGTGGGTGGAGGTGGTGTTTGTTGTTGTTGTGGGTGGAAGGATGAAAGGATTCGGAGAAGGAGAAGGCTTGGAGCAAAACAAGACGTTACGGAAAAACATTTTTTTTAATGTTGAACTCTTTGGTCAACTGCTCTTTCAATACAAAAAAGTTCATTGTTCATTGAGTTTGGAAACACTCTTAAGAGTTGTTGAAGAGATGAAATTCATTCCTTAAAATTGTTTTGGAAATTGTTCAAGAGTTCAATTTGGACGTGCCAATTTTTCTTTTAAACAATAAAATGTCGTCTTCTCATCATCGTCATCATCACCATGATCTGATTCATCATTCTGATCAATCAAAACAAGAACAACAAGAACAACAACCACCTGCAATCACAGAAGATAAACACACCTTGCGCAAACTCCGAAAAGAGCAAAAACAACAAGCAAAAAAGTTGAAAAAGCAAACCATCGGAGGAAAGGAAGAACGAAAGGAATGGTTTGAACATCGGACACGAGAGAAGTTTGATAAATTATTATTGAAAAACTCTTCACGATCATCACGAGAGAGTTTAATGATGACTCAAACTAGTTTTACAAATCAGAGAGGACGAATGAGTGAATTAGAATCATCATCACAACGAGTGCATGAATCATCATGTGTGGATCCAACTTTATATTATAAAGAAACCTTTTGGCAAGATCCTTGGTTGAGGCGATAATCAATGGTCCTTCAAATATGTTCATTTTGAATTAATTGCAAGCAATTGAATCAAGTTGTGAACTCTGCTGAATTTTCTAGAACAGGATTTCCAATAATGAAATTAGAACGTAAAGTTGCAAACTTGAATATAATATTGGTTTTTACTGAACAAATAGCATGATGTAACTTATTTCTACTCGAGATCAAATTTACTTTCCTACTAATTGTTGTTGTAACTTCATGTTCTCGTTCTGTATCATTTGCAAATCAGTAGTGACCTTCTCAATATTGAGGGTATCATTACGTTCTGAAATGGTTGCAATTTGGTTTTCCAAATCTCTGATCGTGTTGAGAGCTTTTCCATTTTGTTGAACACTCTCAATTAATGCCTCAAACAAACTTCTAATCTCAACAAGATCCTTGTACAGTTGCTTGTATTCTGGATCCTTTTGAGCCTCTTTGAAAATGTTCTCTTCATTTTCTTGGAATGTTCTCGATACCTTGTCAGATATTTCTGTGACAGTTTCATTCAACTCTCGACTTTGTTTGAGAACCTTGCTAATTTCTTCGTTTTGTTTTTCAATATTCTTCACAACATCCAAAATACGAGTCACATATGTGGTTCGATCGGTTTCTTTTGGCATGTCTTCATATTCTTGCTTCTTTTTTGAAATTAGCTCCTCCTTTTGTCTAATGGAGTGAATCAGCTCATTCATTTGGTCACGAAGTTCCTTTGAAACATTGATTAAATCCTTGTATTCGTTTTTCTGTTCCTTCATTTTCTCTTTGAGAGCTCTGTATCGTTCAATCAATGGCTTTCTGTGTTGTTCCCACTCTGTAGCAAGGTTCAACAATCGTTGTGCACCCTGTGATGTTACAGTCTCGAGTTGTTTAATATTCTTTTCCTTGTCTTGCAAAATGACGGCAGTAGTTTTGGCAACGGTGAATTCTTCTTCGAGTTTTTTCTTTCGTTGTTTCTCTTCTGAAATGGCTTCCTCGGTCTGTTTCACTTGGGCTAGTAGAGATTCCCTGTTGTTTTGAATTTGGTCAATTCTGGAATTAACCTTGTCGAGCATGGCTTGCATCTCTTCCAATTCTTTCTGTCTCTCTTCTTCCTTTCTCTTTTTTTCTTCCTCTATACTTGCATCATTCTTATCTTTCGATGCCAAAGGATTAGAACTAAGTAAATTCTTTGTGACATCTGTGTCATTTTCGAATAATTTTCTCTTGGCAAATGTCGAAGAGTTGACTTCATTATTTCTATTATTTTTCAAACTTTGTAGTAAATCTGAAAGGGATGGTAAATCTCCGTCGTTATTGGAACCGTCATCTTCAACACCACTTCTACCTGAGCCTCCTCTCAAAACTTCAGAAATGGTCATTTCTATTTTTTGATTCTTTTGCTTAAAGTACTCCTCACGGGTCAAACCTGAATCAATTCCCAATTCATTCCATTCATCTTCACGTTGTTTGTGAATTAAAATTTCTCTTGCATTTTCCTCAAAAACTGTTGAAGCTAATTGATCTTTAGCTGGTATTTGTTCTGAGAGGTAGGGTCCAAAACTTTTATAGTACAGCAAGGCATGTTTTTCACAGAGATCGTCATTCGAATTGCCACCAACCCTGAATGATGATTTTAGACTTTCCATTACTGCTGTACCTTTAGTTACTTCCGAAAAATCTCCCTTGTCAAGCGAGCTCAACAAGAACGCATTCATGCTTGATTGTGTATTGACAGGAGTGCTTTCCCATCGTACTCTTTCATTATCCCAACTCTTTGTTGCTGAAGTTACATCAATAGATACCTTCTTTGTACCATTTTGATTTTTCACAGTCCAAGTAGAATTGACAAAGAAAGATAGCACAGAGTTCATACGGGCCTGTACAGTTTGTCTCTTTGTAGCTTCCTCATTGGTAATGTCCTTTTGTTGCTCTGTAATGAAGGATTGAGCTTGTTCTACGAGCCAACTCAAGATTTGGCGTGTTACCATCTCATTTGGATATAAAAATTGATCGAAGGCAATATTTCCTCTAAATCCATATTCCTAGAAAAAGTTTTGGGAAATGAGAAATTTTAAATTTATAATTGAAGAATTATCGTATCATGATGATGATGATGAAAATTACATTCCGATATGATATTTTGATCCAATATTGATATGACAATCACCAATAATATTTAATTATATTCAATGGTTGGAATCCACACCAAAATAGATTGGAAAATTAAATTATCCCCATAATCCTATTAGATCAACCTACCTTGATGGATTGTGTCAAAGCATTACAAGTTCTAAAGCAGGTACTAATTTCAGCAGGCAATTCTTCTGGAAAATCTTCGGGCTCTCTTCCATTTCCTCTTGAAATGGCTCTCAAACAAATCACAGTAGCCCTATACAATAGAAATTTATCTACATCCAATAAATCATTCACCGACTCATCGACCTCGCATCCGAGTTGTTTGAGTTGTGTGAGGATGATCGCATCAGCAGCTTTACGGGCACTCATTTTTTTTGTTTGAAAAAATCTTTGTGGATGATTGTGGTAGAAAATCAGAGATTTTACAAACCAGACCCTAACCATTAATAAATGACTATCTCTTAATTTTCTGTTTCTAATGTTTCGCTAAATGTTGTGTGGGCTACAACACATTTGTTAAAGAATGAAAACATTCCAATGCATGAAAATTTAGAAGAAAATTGTAATCTATCAAAGATATCCTTTGGCACCTCAAACCGACCATCAATGGAAAAAGCACCATCCAGAAACAATTCATCATATTCCTGTGCTAGTAGCAATTGTCCTTCTTTAGTTTGTTCCCAATCCTCAATTAAATATTCTTCGTATTCTTTGGCACATTTGAAGGTTTTAAAACTAACCTTCTCGGTTGTAGGAACAACAATTGGAGATAGAATGGCTGATTGCCATCCAAAAACAATCAAAGGAGGACATCTAAATCCTTTGGAAACCCGACATGACAAGTTTCTTCTTGTTGAAAATTTAATGGCTCGTACGATGGACCTGTGATCTGACATTGCCTTGAGACTTGGATGACTTCCAATAGCTCTCTAAGATCATCATCGGGTTGCCCTAGGCTCTGCATAAATGTTAGTGTTTGCTGCCACCCTTTTTGCATATATAAACTTTTTTAGATCTTCATTTAGTGCTTAGTGCTTGAAACAAGTTTCTCTGTCAATAAGATCCACAGCGGAGCACCACGTTTTACAAATTGCAACAACATTCGACGCCAATTCCTTATCCTCACATCTAAATACAGATATGTTCCATTCTTTAAGTATAATTTCAAGATCTTGAATGAGAAAGTGATGAATGAACTTGGACAAGAATGGAAAAATCTTGTGGTATTGATAAATATGTATTCTTAAATTAGATCCAAAAAGGATTGGGAATTCTCTCGAGGTATCCTTTTCATCATCTTCCAATCAAACTTCTTTAGAGGATGACATGAAAAAAAATGATCCAACAAGAAGAAAAACATTGGCCAATCGGAAATCGAATGAATTCCCAAAAGGATGATCTTTCATCCTCCTCCTCCTCCGAACGAGAACCACACCAACAACAACTCACAAATGAAACACTCCTTTCTTCATACAAACACAACGGATTTACAAGAAGAAGACATTTATTGTTTAAAGTAGAAGGCTTTGATCCGCAACATTTTAATGGAAATGCAAAATTGAAAGAAGCATTAGGTGAGTCAATGACATTATGATTAATTATGAGTGAATGAATGAGTAAATAATCTTTGGATGTTTATTTCCGTAATGATTCGCAATGTTAGAAAATCAATTCAAAATTAATATTTGTCGATTGAAAATAGCGTTTCGCCATAACAAACCATTGAATTTTGCTGCAGTAGAATTGGAAGAGGAGATTCGATCGAAAGATGATCCTACCACGCGAAGCACCGAATGTTATGTTCGACAATGTATGCAAAAATTGGATGGAAAATTGTTGAGTGGTCATGTTCTGCATTGTGATTTGTTGACCGATCATGGTAGGTTTGGTTTGAGTGAAATTTCTGATCAATTACTGAACGACTCACATTTTGTGACATTCCTTTCAAATGGTAGAATTGACCTATTTCATGAAAAAGAAAAAAGATACAAGCTCCCTTTCATCCGTTGATCATGATTCAGCCGAATCATTGGAACATGTATTTATTGTTGATTTTGAGGTAAGTGAAAATCTATTTCTTCAAAACGAATGTTATTGACAATGGAAATATCTTCTAATTTCCCACGTTAAATCTCCATCCACACATACATCAGATGGCAGTGTTGGGAAAGTATCACAACATTCCATGTGAAATCGCCATTGCAAAATTTTGTTTACGAAAACTCAAAATTGTCGATCATTTTCATTCATTTATATGTCCGACTTATATTCCCAAGTGTGACTTTCAAACCATTGTTTATACTTCTCAAAATATTCATGGAATTCCCTTGCATGATCCTTCCTATCAGGAGCTTGATATATTTGATGACCTTTCTAAAAATTATGATCTTTTACTTGAAAGAATTTTCAAATTCTTGGGATGTGAGAGAAGCAAAAAATTGCATAATCCAATCATTCATGACAACAATAAGATATCCTTAATTGATTTTTTCGAACGTTCTCCTTATTGCCCATGCTCCACATGCTGAAATTTGTTCCTTTACTTTTCTCACTCAGGAGAGCTCTAGTTACAAAGAATTGAAATTTCCAAAAGTGCATGACATTAAGGATTTTGTCACAAGTTATGAGAAGGGGAATGTTTATTTTGAACCGAACCAGCCCACCAGCTCCGTCAGCGTCAACAGGGACTCTTCTGTGAAAGTTCTTTCATCCAGAAAACTAAATGATTTATTGAGACAGCTTTGTAGTAACGCTTGTGACAAGAAGTGTCATTTCCATGCACAAACTCTCAAAATCTTTCACTGTGCTCTCTCTGATGTATTTGGAATTGCTCATGCTCTATCTTGTACCATCGCTTCTCAATACAAGAACATTCAAGTCACAAACGAAACAGATGTGAAAACAACTGTTGATATCAAACAACAAGGAAGAGAACAAGATGAACTTTCGAGCCAGAATAGTTTTCCAAACGAAGGTGAGAAGAATGACATTTCAGAAATGAAAAAATGCACTGTTGCACCCACAATGATGGAAAGCATTGATCCAAAACTGTATCAACAAATTGAGGAAGAATGGACATGTGGAGAAACGATCGAGTATTTCTACAACTAAGAAGAAGAAGCAACAACAAGATAATTCGTTCAATATTTTTCAACAACATTCATGTGATGGTGTATTCAGCAATTCATGAATCGATATTGAAGTTCGAATGATTTTCCTGTTGTGGATGGGTGAATTCTTTGATGTTGTGTGATTTTGAGTCTTACAGGGTATGGCAAATGTGTTTTCAGGAATGGCATTCGATTGAAATGATAGTGAAGGAGGAGATGTTGCTACTACTGTTGTTACAGAACTGCTCCCACTCATAGTAGTGAAAAGACAACTACTTGGATAATTACTACTTGGATTATTACTAGTACAACTCGTGAATGACTTGTTCGATTCCATGTTTGAAGAATGGTCATCATTTTGTGGAGATACACAGAGAGTCGTCGAGACATGGAGATGACGATTTTGGTTTTCAAATGGAATGTGTGGAGTGCTCTCTTCTCGCATTCGACTACCTTCTAAATGAATGGAAGGATGACACTGAGATCCAATCGTGTAATGAGTATTTCTAGAATGAGCATGTTGATGCGGTCTTTTTTGAATTCCTCGTCTGACGCCATGACTGCAACTTGGTGTGCCATCACCTTCTCCACATTGCACTTCGTTAGAGGTTTGATTTCCTTCATATGGAATACGACGATTGGTTTGTTTCCTTCTTTGAGTAGTAGGAGGAAAAGGCCTTGATGTCGAAACTGTAGTTGCAGTAGTTGCAGCATGTGGAGAAGAGAAATTCAAGTGATTGAAATGGTGGGACATGTCGGTCGATCCATCGAATGGATTGTTCGATGCATGCATGGATTTGATTTCAGTTCGATAGGAAATCATTTTCAGATTTTTCTTGGAGTGTTTCCTTCTCAAAGGCGTGGCTGTTGAAAAGTGTCCACTTCCAGTCGAAACCACAGGATCTTCACCTTGAGTGGTTGAAGTGTTGTTGATATTGTTATTGTTGTTTGGAATGAATGTAATGATGCTTAATTTCATCTCAGAAAATCTGAAAATTTGGAATCAAACTGCAAATATAAAAAGGTGACCAGTAGTGAAGTGGAATAACCACGATAATAACCACGACAACCACACTTCACGTGTTGGAATTTTTTTGGTTTGGAGTTGTGTTCGAGGATCCTGAATTTTATTGTCGCCGACAATTTCCCTAATTCACAATTCAAACATGAGGTCGATAGGGACATTTTTGGAAATGGGTTTTGTTGGTTTTGGGTGTGTTGCAACTTTGTTTCGAGACATTCCTGAGGTGGTTACATGACAAATGTGGATGAAATGCATCTCGAATGGGCAGATCCTTTTGGCGATGTGGGCCGACAGTTTAGGAACAAATTGTTTTATATTGATCAATGAAAACATGTCAACAACCAGTTGAGTGGTTGTGTATACATGTTTCATGCTGTGTCTCTTATCATCATTAGAGATTGATAATTTCTTTCATGTACAGTCATTAAGACTCATTCGTTTATTACTCGTTCAACAACTCATTAGTTCAATAACTCACGAATTGAGATGGAAGTTCTTCCTTTCTTGGTTGGTCTTGTTGTGGTGGTGATGTTTGGAATTATTGTTGAGGTCTTCACTCTGAGTTCTTGAGAGGAGGAAGGATGACAATGAGAGCTGTTGTCCACACGAGTCTCTTCTTCCTGAGACATTGTTGGAGTTGTGGCGCAGAATTGAGAGAAATTCGGGATAAATTGTTCGTTTTTGTTGGACAGTTCCATGTTTGTATTTGTCGAAACTATATTTGGAAAGTGACTGGTGACTGTTTGATTTGGGCAATGTTGAGACCCGACACCAACATTTTGCAAGTGATGGAATACATATTGTTGTGTGTGTTGTTGTGATTGCTTCATCATCATGTTGGGAGGACACATGGACGAAACAGTCGCTCTCGTACATTTCGATTTCGATTTTCCAAGTAATTGAATGGAACTAGGTTTTTGTATTTTGCTCTTTCTGAGTGTTGTTCTTGAAGAAACATTCAAATTGGAAGTGGTAGTAGGATTCTGTGAATGTCGTTGTTTTGGTGGAGTTGGTTGAGATGATGGTTGAGATGGTGGTGGTTGCATGACCATAAACCCATAATGCAAAAGCGCTTGTTGTTCACTGAGAGAGAGACCTATGGAACCTTTCGAATTCTTCGAAATTCGAATTTTGAAAGGTCTTTTCAAGTTAAAGAGATGAGAAAGATCACTCGAACCGTCAAATAAATTGTTAGTACTACTGGTTGTAGTCGTAGTAGTACTCTTCGATCGACGTTGTGAGGTTGAGGATAAGGACGACGAAGAGGACGACGACATGAAATGGTTTTGAGTGGTTGGTGGCATTGTGATATCCGTTGAGAACGTCACCATGGTGGGACGAGACGAGGACTTGTTGGTTGTAGTGGAGGAGGAGGACGAGGACGACAGATTGGACAGATTGGACAGATTGGACATTGTTTTTTCTCTCTTCAAGGAGGGAACAGGTGAAGTCAATTCAGTGGTTGAATTCAGTGATGGTAGTAGTGGAGGTAGTGGTGGATTGGGAACAAAGTTGATAATGCTTAATTTTAACATTTTTTACTAGTTTGTGTGAGTTGTAGAATCATGACATCTTAACGATTTGACATTTGACTCGTTCGGGTCCTCGAGCAAAATGGTGAGATTCACGTCCATATTCATTATTTCTTGCTGTTGGCTCGAATGGAAATTAATTTTTTCTGTTTTTGGATTTGTGAATCATTGTTTAGTAATTCTTTTCTGTTGTGAGCAATGAAAAGATTTTTATGAAAACGATAAAAATCCATTCACATTTTTTGGACTAGTTCTTTTTTGGGTAATGGTTGTATTTGTGTGAAAATTGAACAATTTTGTAATCTTCTGCCGAATGAGTAAAATTTGTAAATTAAATTGAACAAGGAATGGACCAAGTTCAAATTTCGATGATTTTGTTCTTTCCACAGAATTTGGTTTCGATCAGCCCGGAAACAAACCAGTTTTGGAAATGACCACAACGTTACATTACAAAACTGAACAAAACTTCCTCTCCACTTCCAAGAATCTCTTTTCTAAATTCACACTTTGGTTTTACTTGTAATGATGCGAATATGTAACCTAATCATGGACTCGGGAAATGCATCACCATGCAACAACACACATGTGGATCAAAATTGTCGAAATGAACGAAATTCAGAGCTGTTGCTCATCTTTTCTTGGAATGTTTATTCTCCTCTTTTGTGGAGTCTCAAGACATTCAAAAAGTGTCATTGCGAACGACACACTCGACAACTCGGGTTGAATGAGCCAATCCATCAACCAAGGCTGTTAATTTCGAGTGCGTTGACTCATGCTTTTGATGTTTTTCAACTCTCAACCAATTTCTGAACCTCTCACACATGGATACTTGAACTGAGTTTGTCCAACTCCATATATTATTAAGTGACAATACTTTTATTGAAGTCCAAGTACTTTGAAAAGACCTTCGACGATTTCATATGAATGCTGACACAATGGTGATATCCATGAGCCATCATGATGATGATTCAACAACGACTTGATCGATGGATGAATGTGAGCAATATTATCATCAACAGCAGTTCTTTTCTCAATTTCACCAAAGACTCGTTCCAAATCAAGTGGAACATTTTCGACCGCATGACCACGACGAACGTCATCATCCTCATGATAATAAGAAACAAGTGCCTCAAGAACAGGCGTCGGAAATTTAGACCAATGAGCTGTACTCATGATGAGCATGGGTGGAATTTGTTGTTGATCTTTGCAACCATCATCATGAAATAAATTTCCAACATATTTGGCCACTGCAGTGTGTGTATCCATGAGTTGTTGACTCTGTCGCCAAGTGAGAGCAATGGTCTCTGACACTTGTTTCTGAGTGGCGAATGCAGCCACAAATTTTGCTTTCAATTGTTCCAAGAGTTGAGGTTCCTCGACTTGAAAATAATGTTCACATTCGAGTTGTTGCATGTAACGAGAAACCAACTCTGAATTTTCATCACTCAGTAAATAGAGTAATCGTTCAATATTACTCGATTTCAAAATATCAATGAAGGTGATGTTGTTTTCTGTAGAATCCTCCCTCTTAAATCATACACTCCAGTATTTAGAAATTGAGTCAAGACACAATTCTCATTCGAAGCACAAATAAATCTTCTCACGTAAATGAAACCCATTTTCCATGCATAGACAGCGCTCAATAAATTTCCAAAATTTCCTGAAGGCACAACAAGGTCGATTTCATCACCCAATTGAATAACTCCTTTCCTTTCCAATTGTAAATACGAATAAACATAGTACACAATTTGTGGCATGAGTCGTGCCCAATTCATTGAATTTGCACTTGCCAAAGTAGCTCCATATTTTTCTTTCAATCCTTGGTTCAATGGTGTATTTGAGAAAATTTCCTTAACCATTCGCTGACACTTGTCAAAATCTCCATCCACACCCAAAACCATGACATGGTCGTTTTGTGCTTGCAACATTTGTAATTCTTGAAGTGGACTCACTCCTCCTTTCGGATACAAGACAACCATGGAAATGTTTTTTTCATGTTTGTATCCTTCAATGGCACTCGATCCAGTGTCTCCGCTCGTTGCTGTTAAAATAACAGTCTTCTTGTTGGTGGTAATGTTGGAGACATTTGGATGTGAATGGAAGGAATTTTCTTCTTGTTGTTGTGAAAATAAGGATTTCAAAGTATTGGCATGTGTGAATAATTTTGGAACAAATTGTAAAGCTAAATCTTTGAAGGAAGCAGTAGGTCCATGAAACAATTCCACTAAAAATTGATTTGAAAATTGTCCAGTGGTGTCTGTTTGGTTTTTGTGTAGTGGTGTCAATTTCACAATTTCTTCAACATTAAATTTGTTACAATTTTTTCCATAGGCCTCATGCAAGAGTTGTTTCAATTCTTGAGGTGTGATCGTTAATGACGGCGACCATTGTTCGTTCTCTTGTCTTTCTATTGACACGGACATTGGAAATTTTTCTAATACTCTCAATGCCACTTGCTCGTAACTTTGTAGCTCTTTCATGGCACGCAATTCGTTGAGCGAAGAAGATCGAGATGAGGGAAATACTTTTGGAACATACAATCCACCATCACTGGCGAGACCTCTGCTAATAATTTCACACAATGACTTTCCATGATGATCTTTTCCTTCTCCTCTAGTACTGACATATTCTTGTTCACCATTCACATTTCGATAAAAATTGAAAGCCTGTATGATTCTTGAGACAACTTGATCGACTGTTTCCACTGAGTGTCCATTCATGGATGAACATGTCACTCGTACATCGTAATATTGCTCGTAAAATGTTTTTCGATATTCCAATAAATCGGCAAGTGTTTGACCGGGCTTCATTCCAACAATTCGATCTACTTTCATTTCATGCAATCGTTTTTCAATGATTGTTGAAGGAACATCTAAATAGATCGCTACTCCTTGTTTTCGAATGTTTTCAATCGCAGGTCGATAGAGTGGAACACTTCCGCTTAATGATATAATTGTTGGGTTTTCATTTTCCATTCGTAAATTTTCACAAGCTTCTCCTTCGGCTTTAATAAATCCTTCTTCACCTTCGAGAGCAAGTTTTTGAGAGACTGGCATTTGCCACACAACTTCGAGCAAGTCATCGTCAATATCGAAAACTCTCATTCCTAAAATTTGGCCTAATTTTTTACTGTAATTTAGGTCACAAAAAAAAAGAGTAGAAAAAAAATTACAAATAATCGTACAATGATTACCATTAATAGTTGAAAAAATCAGTGTTGTGAAAAGACGTACCTTGTGGTTGTTTTTCCTATTGAAAATAATTTTGTTTTTTCAAATCCATTCATCAGTGAGATTTTTCATGATCGGAATGCAATTTATTTTCCATAAAAATTCAACACAAATTTAAAACGAATTCAAAACAAATTCAAACAATCATTACCTGCTCCGGGAGGTCCCATCAACACTAGGTGTTTTTTGATGGTCATCCTGCTTGCGGGTGAGTTCTTCTCCGAAATGTTCATTTTTTTTCTAAATGTGAAAATCCTTTCTTTTCTTTTATTGAAATAATTCTATTAAGGGGTCATGATCATGTAAACAAACAGAACAACTCATGCAAACTTTCAGGATTATTGAACATTACAAACTTTTTCTCAATGATTACAAGAAATTTAAATTGTTTTTGGTGTTTTTATTATTTTTTGTCTGTAAATGATAAAAACCTAGTGGTCTAGCTCTAGTGAACAATTTGTAAATTATCTGTTGTTGAAGATACATAGTGGTGTGAGTAACATTTCTTGCCCAATCACTCTCTTACCTCCTTATTCCTTCCTTTCAATTCTGTAATATTTTCTAGAAGAGGTAGCACTTGATTTGCAATTAATCTCATCAAACATGTTTGGCCCAAATCTCACTCTGTATTTTCTTCTTCGGTCTGTCGTACGAGGTGGATGTGGTTGTACATGGGCGTTCGATGCGATGGTGGTCATCATGATATTCTCTTGAATAATCATTGGCATGGAGAATGATACACATTCTGTTGGGCCATTGGTAGTGAGAGGAGAAGCAGCAGATGTTGATGCACCACCTGTTGTGGGTGACGAAGCACTTGAGGCAGCTTGACCTTTCTTCGAAGTGTTTCGTTTTGTTGTTGTTGTTGTTTTTAGAGTACATGATGTCTTTTTCTTCTTCTTTTTCTTGCTTGAGGAATCATCTTCTTCGTGGTGATGATCTACTGCGGGATCTTCATCATCCACTTCTCGATCAGCCTTGCTCTTTCTCTTGACACCTTGCTTCTTTTGCTTCTTTGTCTTGGTAGATCCATCAGTTTTTGACAAAGTAGTTTGGTTCTCCACTCTCAATGGTGAGGATGATGGTGATGATGGAGAGGTACGAACAGTCGAAGAGCAAGAGGTTGTTGTGGTTGCATTGAGGGAGGAGCTTAAATTCACGAGAGGTGGAGGAGATCCAGAGCTTCTTGTATTCATTAAGCCAACCAAAAGAGGTGATGAGCAAGGAGGAGATGAAGAAGAGGACGAAGATGATTGGGAGAGTGTCGAAGATCCTGTCATCGTTATTATGGATGGAACCTTAGCTTGATGCTTTGAATTGGACGACCAAATTAAACCCAAAGAGGATGGACAATCCTTCAAGGCTTCATCAATATCGGCACACACACTATTGATTTCTTCTGGGGTGGGTGGAGAGGTGGCCCTGCCTTGTTGTTGTTTCGTTGTACAAGCGGTGGTTATTAAGGTTAAAGTCTTGTTGTTGGGTTGACTCAGGGTGGACGGCTGTGGTTGCTTCTTCTGATGATGTTGTTCGTTCGTGTTGTTGGTCATGATTGGATGATGACTGTTTTGGCTGGAATTCAATGTGGTTGAGTTAGAGAAAAGTCTATTCAACAATACATGATCGGGTAAGAGAGAGGAAAGCATCATCAAGAGTTGTTGTTGATTCTGCATATTGCCAACAAGTTGTTGTTGTTGTTGTTCTTGGTGTGGATGATGGCCAGCCAATCCAAACATGTTTGCATGGGCAGATCGGTTGGTAAACATGTTGGATGTTGTGGAAGCAGTAGTAGCAATAGGAAGATCCTGAATGTTACCCAACAAGGAAGAGGAGAAGGATGACCCTGAACGTGTTACTTGTTCTCCAAGCCAAGAATTCAATAAGGTCGTCATAGTGGTAGTAGAATCACCATCACCACCACCACAATCACCACTCCTTTGGATGTTATCATTGGTTCTTGCATGTCCTCCTGCTCCTGCTCCCAACAACAGGAGAGGTTGAGAGAGAAGAGCACTCTCCAAGTATTGAGTCAAGCCAATCAGTTGGTCCTGACCAATCACCAGCTGCTGGTTATTCGTTGTTGAACGAATTCCATGAGACGGACGACTGTGAGAAGATGATTCAGAGCAGAGTGGAATAGAGCCATATACAACCTGTGGCTGGCGATCATCATAGATATCCTCTTCATGATGCGTCGCCCTCGTCGTCGAGTCGAAATACCTCTCTACATTATTCAGGCCATTCAAGAGTGAGTTGTTCTTGTTGTGGTTGGGCGCCCAAGAGAAGGTGCATTCATTTTGTTTCGATTCCTCCTCATCGTAGTTCTGACTAAAGATGGAGGCAGCATTGAATCTCTTCTTCGTTGGATCTGAACTTGCAGAAGTCATCAGGACGCATCCATTACTGCTGGTCGCCTTGTTGTTGTTGGTGGGGTCATGATTGTCAGTGGAACGACTGCAGAGATGCGACGACGACGATGCCGACGAAGTGTGTTCATTCATTGTGAAAGAGGCAACAGCTGGAAAGGCAAGCAAGGAAAGGTCTGAAAGTACTACCGTTTGAGGGTTGATAAGATTTGGAGAGCTGCTCGTGATAGTGCTTGTGGTAGTGATGGTGCTTGTGGTGATGGGACTAGTGGTACTACTGGTTTCAGAAAGAATGCATTCAAGGTCCCGGTGGTCAACAGTCGATGCGATATGAGAATTATTGCGGTTTGAGTTTGTGGTTGTTGTTGGTACCCACAGAAGTGTTGTTGACATTCTTTTGAAAAAGAGTACGTGTGAAATCAAGGTTAAGGACCACGCTTTTATTGAGCCCACCACAAGAAGTGGAATGCACAAAAAGCCACAACAATTTCTGAATTGTGGATGCAACCCGAAGAGGTTGGACAGAACTACATAACGAGCGTGGATTTATTTCCGTTCTGGTGTATATGGCATATGAGGAAAATTGAGCGAGAGTGATCGTTGACAGGTGTGAGGGTGAATTTACCCATTGTTCACATTTTTATTTGTAAACAAGAGGTGAAATTGTTTATTTGTGGCCTTGTGAGTGTGATCTTGTGCGAAGGTAGTTGTTGAATTTCCAGCTTTGATTCATGCTGCAAATGAAAATGAACGAAAACAAGAGAGAAACTTCAAGGATCGATTTGGCCGTCAGGGAGAGCAAAAGTTTATGCATCCACCCCTTTCCATTTGTTCGGTGTGAATTCTTGGAGAGTTTTGGCCTGTTGCAAACTGAGAGTGTTCTGAAATCATTGAGGATGGCAACAATTGTCTCAATTCATTCGAGAAATCTTTCAGTTCGAGCTCATGACGCCTCTCAACAACAAGGCAAACAGCTCAAGATGGAATCGCACCAAAACACCAAGTTTACCATGAAAGTGAAGGTTCTAGCCATATAGGCTTACAAGGCTTTCAGTTGCCACCGCGAATGTTTGCCATGATGATCAAAGCACAGACTGTGGAATGAAGCATGTGTGAGACTCATTGTGTCATCACATCATCGGCCTTTGGTGTTGATGATTCGGCCATTGTATACAACAAGCGGAACTGGGAATACGAATTGGCTCTAAATCATCTACATGTGGAGAACAACGTGCACTGTTACAACAAGTTCGTATCAGAAATAGTAGGCCAACTGAGATAAACCGAACTTTGTTCTTTGGAAACAACATGCATCGTGTTCGTGATGATCGCGGAAAATGTTTGCATGTTGTAAATCCAAATGAGAAGAAGAAGGAGTGAGAGGTTAGCCATCTCTCAACTTTTTAAGATTGAGCTAAGCACGAATGCTGCAGGTGCAGACATCCTTGGCTTGATACAACCTACATCAAGCAACATACAACCACGACGCTGCGTCCCTTTTCTCATTCTCACCCACACAGCAAGCCTTGGTAGTTATTTTAAAACGTATCTCTCAAATCTTGAAAGAGTGAGATTCCGAGTAGGTCATTGAACGTTTTTTTTAAAATGCAAAGTTGGATTACAGCAAGCGAGAGAGTCGGTCTCTTGCTGCGGACTCTCTAGCGTGAACTCGAGGAGTCTGATTATTATAATGTGAAAAATTTGGTCCGGACCAAGAGATGAGGCAATGAATCCACCTCGAAAAAAAACAATTCAAGGGAAAATTCCATGCTGTTGGCAGTCTTTTGAATTTGATCTCCTTTGAGAATATGGCAAGTGAATTTTGAAAGTATCATTACTAGTAGCGTGTTTTTAATTGGTCTTTGTGGTAGATCTTTAGATCTATTGTGTGGCTATATTGCTGTTTGAAAGTGTTGTGTACAAAAGAGGAGTGAAAAAACAAAATAACCTTGTCGTTTAAGGTGCGATATCCTTGCGTTGATGTCACTTTGTACCTTTTTGAAACAACCCAAATGGCCTTGGAGAATTGCCGCTCGTTTGTAAATTGCACTCTCAATTTAGAAATGAAAGATGATTCATGCTCAAAGAAACAACAGAACGAGAATGCACAAGATCTCACAGACGCGACAGACATCCAATTTCTGTAACCCCAATCATTCACCCTCTGCAACAGTGATTACAAGTGAATGAAAATGTTGGATTTTTTCAATAGATCAATGATTCCTATTGATTGCAACTCATCACTAAGCGATGAAAAGGATTAATATATGTGTTTTATTATTGGTTGTGGAAGAGTGGTTGAGCATATTGTTGGAGTAATTGAGTCCTTAGAGGGTGTTGAGAATTAAGGTCGGTGGCAAGATGTCTCAGTAGCTGCATGAATTGAGGAGAATTCTTTGGAATTAATTTTAAAATTAATGAAAGAAGGTTGTAGGTAGCATCGGGAGAGGATTGTATCAAGTGTGGACAGTAGCTCATAAAGTATGGAATAAAGTGTTGCACGAAAAATTGATACCAACTGTGGACAGACATCATGTTTTGTTGGGTGCTAGTGGAGAGAATGGTAGTGGCTCTATTCAACAAGGTAGTAACGAATTCAATAGCAACAATTGGATTTTGCATGAGTGACATGAGGATCATTGGAATGGCATCAATGTTGATAATTGATTTGCATGCTAAATTCATTGCTTCTAATAATGTTGAGTTGGTATGATACTCTAGGTTCAATATTGGTATCATATCAATCATGAGTTTAGTGATAAAGGGTTCTGGAAGAAGTTTGAGAGCTTTGTAAATAAATTTCTTGCCCTTTGGAATATTCCAAATCTCTTGTTGATATTGGAGATAGGCAGTAATCGTTTGGCAATTTTGTCTGAATGACTCGGCAAGTTTTGGTGGAATGTCCTTTCCTCCTGCTTGTTTTGCAACTGTTAAGAATTCTTCAATTTCGATGAGAAGAGTGAGCCCATTTTCAATGCTTGTTCTCAATTGGATAGAATTATTGTAGATTAATCTTGTACGTAATTCTGAGGGTATTCTCTTGTATTTGAAATATTGTTCAATGAGTTCCTGACGAAATACATTGGTGTCAAAGCAGGTTCTTGGAGTTCTAACATTTTGGGAGGGAATTCTTCCAAATAATCGTGTGACAGGAGTTGTTGTATTCTGGCTAATGTTAGTTTGTGCAATTTTCTCTCTTGCTTCCTCTTCTTCCAATAAATGTTTCAAAACAAGGTCACTATTTTCCTCAGTCTTGTTATTGTGGATAAAGTAGTAATAGTCATCTTCATATCCGTTGTTGACTTGAAGATCCACCATTTGCTGACGAATAATGCTCTCTACTTCATCAATTCTCATAAATTGAATAATTCTATGCGGCTTCTCAGAAGATCTATTATTGTTGCTGTTATTGTAACGATTGTATCGATATCTGTGCTCTTGAGGAGAGGGAATTTTGTTTAACACCTCATTAATGACAGTCTTGTTGATAACATTGTAACAATCTTCCTTATTCTCTGTGTTGTATGTGTTGTACTTGACCAATAGATAGGATGGTGTTGTGTGCTGTTGGGCGGTAGCATTGGTGCTTGTTGTCTTGTTATCAACAGAAGTTGCTGCTGTTGTGGAGCCAGTACTTGTTGTTGTTGCTGCTGTTGTTGATGTGCTTTGCTGTTGAGGTTGAGGTTTTACCAATTCTGGATGTTTGTGGCATACAGTCAGAGGTAAAATTTCAAGAGGTTCCAAGCCACCGGTGAGAGGAATTCGAGAGTTTGGCAGGAAATTCTCTCCCAAAGGAAATCCAAAAGGAGAGCTATTACCGCTTGAAATGTGAGGATTTGATCTATTACTACTTGAAATGCTCTCAATGTCTTCATCCTCTTCTGAGATTAATCCATTAATAAACTGAAGTCCAGAGTTTGTTTGTTTTCCCGATGAGGAGCCAATACTTGATGTGGAGCTTGTGTGGTGATGATGATGATGCACTGCTACGCCTCCGCCTCCACTACCAGTACTACTACTGCCGGTGAAGAATGGGCCAAGAAAAGCATCTTCCCCAACCACTTGCTGATTTCTTGGAGATTGTTGAGGTACAATAATGCCACTACTACCTTGACGAATATGATGATGGTGATGATGAATGGGTACATTATTGCTACTGGTTGATCCTCCTCCAAAAATACTTGTTGGCAATATTCCAGCTGATGTTGCGGCTGTTGGACTTGTCGAAGGTGGACGATGATGACCCGTGGTTGTCGAAGTTGTTGTAGCAGAAGTACCAAATAATCCGACATTGCTGATGGATGTCGAATGCATCCCTGGAGAAGTACCGGTTGGAAAAGCCGAGTGATGACTCACTGATGGGATTCCAATATTGGAAAAAGCACCAGTATGTTGGCCAACAGATGGATGGTGGTGCGTTGAAGATGATGAGAGTGAGGTACCAACGAATGATAAACCGCTACTACCTCCACCAGGAATATAATTTGAAGGTGAAGAAGGTGAATGTCCGAACGGAATGGATGTTGGTGATGGTGTCGAAGTGCTAAAAAAGCCCACTCTACCACTGCTCGTTTGGTTGGAGGGAGTCGTAGAAGTATTATTTGGGTTGGCAATTCCCTTGTGCTTCCACGATTCTTGCGAGCCACTGTTGTTCGTAGTTGTAATATTGATAGGCTTTGGGAGTTGTTGATGCTGGTGATGATGATGATGGTGGTTATTATTGTTTCCAAATAATAAATCTTGATGATGAGAGGAAGCAAAAAATCCTTCATCAACCACATCAATATCATTGCCAAATGTTTCATCATTCTTATCATCATCGTATTCACTAATTGATAATTTGTGTGCCAAACGATCATCAAACTCATCAAAAGAACCCTCCAAGCCTCCGTCCTTTAGCAAGGACGGGTTGAAGAAGTCATCTTCAGGTGAAGACATTTTTTTCGATCTCAAACAAACTGACTCGAGGTTTTCTCTTTCAACTTTTGCTTTTTCAATTTAATAATGAATTCTCTCCAAAAAGTTTAGTTCATGACTTTGAAACACTCTCATTCTCTGATTATTTGAAGAAGGTAATGCCAAATTTCAATTTATTTAAATTGATAATCGTCAAACCGCATGAACTGGGAATATGGCAGGAGCCGCCCAAAAAAACCTACAAAAAATACGTTAATCGCTGTAGACGCTTTCTCTCATTGATTCCGCAGCATCGGTCTGAATCAAATCTCGTCATCAGCCTCCTACACAAATTTTATCATCCATCATATAGTCGGGTGAAGAAAGTGCTTTAAACATCATCACTCACATCATTTTCCTATAAAGTTTTCATCATGTCTATTGAGCACAGAGTTGGAGAGAAATACGTTCTAGGTAAAAAGATTGGAAGCGGTGCTTTTGGTGAAATTTTCATTGCTACCAACAAGCAAACTCTGGAGAAGGTTGCCGTTAAATTGGAGCACCGAAAGGCCAAACATCCACAACTTCTCTATGAAGCTCGTTTACTAAAACTTTTGAATCTCTCAAAGAAGGGTATGTTGCTTTTTGAATTTTGTTTTGATTACGAGCCCAACACCTGTCCCGTTGTGTTTTTGTTTCCTGATTCATTGTATGTTCATATTTAAAATTATTGTTGATGATCGTGATGTGTCGTCTGTATGGACTCTCGTCATTGAAATTGCGTTTGGTTCTGGTTCTAATTTGATACAATGATGATCTGGTGTTGCGACAATGATGAAATGATTTTTACTTTGCTCGGCCTCTTTGAACTATACAACTACAACAATATTTCCTCTCATTCCATTATTATATGGACCATTTCAAACCACTTCGTTAAATCATGAATCATGATCATGTTGCCAAACATACATAACGACATCCTCATCCAATGGTCCACTTTACAATTTGTTATATCACGAAAACTCTTCTCCGTTTAATGGAAATTTGGACTACCGAATTCGGCCATGAAACCTATTCATCATTCAATTGTATGTGGTTCTGGACCCATCATTATCACAATACATACACTACAAAAATACAATATTCGACGTTTCATAATATCTCGATGAGGAAGCCGTGGGCATTCCAAAGGTGAAATGGTATGGTATCGAAGGAGATTTCAATGTGATGGTCATGGATCTCCTCGGAACCTCTCTCGAAGAATTATTCAATCGTTGCGGCCGTAAATTTAGTTTGAAAACCGTACTCATGCTTGCTGACCAAATGTTGAAACGTGTCGAGTATTTGCACTCCAAGAACTTTATTCATCGTGATATCAAACCTGATAACTTTTTAATGGGACCACCAAAGAAGTCAGAAATTGTCTATCTCATTGACTACGGTTTGGCCAAAAAGTACAGAGATTCTAAGCACGTTCATATTCCTTATCGTGACAACAAGCATTTGACTGGAACAGCTCGTTATGCCAGTATAAATAACCATTTAGGAATTGAACAATCAAGAAGAGACGATTTGGAATCTTTGGGATACGTCTTTATGTATTTCAATCGTGGATCATTGCCATGGCAAGGATTGAAAGCAAGAACAAAACTTGAAAAGTACAATAGAATTTGTGAGAAGAAGACCAGTACTGGTATCAAGACTTTGTGCGAGGGTTATCCACCAGAATTTGCCACCTATCTCAACTATGCTCGTTCTCTTGGATTTGAAGACAAACCTGATTACCAATACTTGAGAAAATTGTTCCGTGACTTGTTTGTTCGCCAAAAGTTTGTCATGGACTATGAATATGATTGGGTGATTTTGGACAAGAAGAAGGCTGAAGAGCAACAAGGTGGAGTTGTCGGAAGCAGCACTGCTATGGTAGGAGGTGTTGGTGTTCCAGGAAACTCTACAAACAATATGGTTGGCTCATCCTCTGGACTCGCTCCAAACCAACAATAATTCGAATGAATGATGAGTACGACTCGTTAACACGACTGACACTTCATGCCATAATTTGGCCCACCCTCAATAACCCTTAAGGTTATTGGAGATTTTCCTTTTTCTCCTCTCTTGTAGTTGTACATATTTTTCTGCTATCTTGTTCTAACGTGCATTGTGACATGTGTACACATGACGATAATAAATGATGTTTAAAACTCACACATGCATGAACACTGGAAATTTGATCAATTTTTCTGAACTCAGTAGGAACTGGAATGGCCTTCCCGTTCCTTGTATGCAAACGAATGAATTGAATGATTCCACCAAGAATGATTACACAAAAAGTGAAAAACACCATTAAGGTTTCAAAATGAAAATTTCTGCCCAAAGAATAAACTTTCACTAATCAATTAAAAATTGCAGTATTTCATGACCATGTGCGAATAATCCAGATAACCCCGACAGGCCACTTGCATTGGTAATGAAATGATGGATGATTGTAATCAAAACGAGATTTTCGATTCCATTACACAAAAAAATTTAACACAATGTTGATCAAACTCTCCACTCTCGCTCTCTTCAGCGTCCTGTTCTCTCTCTACGCCACCATGCTCGTCATGGGCGTGAGCATTCAGACCGGCAGCACACCATCCATGGCCGATCAACTCAAACATGAGCTCAAGGCTCGTTTGAGAACCTCTCCTGCTCTCTTCCATAAACTCGTTAAGCTCACCATCAAGCAACAACAACAAGGCTCATCATCAGGAGCAGCCGTTTCCCGCCTTGCGATGGCCAAGAACAGCTATGAATTGTGTGATTTGTGCATCAACTTGTTGGATCAAACCATCAATAATTTGGTGAATATTATCTTGAATGTGGGTGTGATTGGTGGATGTGGTGATATTTGCAAATACTTGTCGAACTTTGGTTCCTTGACCGTTGTTGCATGTAATCTCGTTTGTGATTATTTGGGTGTGAACGAGTTCATTAACTTGATTGAGAATGCTGATTTGGATGCTATTTATGGATGTCAATTGGTGAGCTTGTGTCCAATTCGTGATTGTAAAGCTCCTGTCTGTGCTCAATTCTTTAACACTCGTGTTGTGCCAGCCATTGTACCAAAGGGAACTACTTTCAACGCTGTCTCTCAATTGAGAGTTTTCAATCAAACTGGTACTGGTGGTATGTAATTGACGTGCAATGATATTGATGTTCATTTCATTTTCATGAAAACCGACAATGACATTTGTATATTCGATATGATATTTTGGATTGTACTTTCGTTCATGATTTCGGATTTGGACCTCCCTCACACACTTGTGAAATGTTTTCTGTCATGATCTATTATTTACTTGTTGTTGTTCATCATCCATTGCATTATCACAACCATGGTATCAATGATGTTTCATGATCATTCATTGCATCATCAATGGCATCCTTCATTGAACCTCAAAACATCTATGATATTCCATTGAATCATCTTTTTGGTCAGAATTGTACTTTGAGGTGGACGGACCAGTCACTGCTGACATTGCTGGAGGTGAATTGAAAGGACAAGGTTTCACTCCAGGCAATTACGATATCCAAGTTCAAATTCAAGCTCAAGATGACGAACAAAACCAAGTGGTCTGGTTCCCAGGCAAGTATGAATTTTTCGTTGCTGCCTGTGAAGGTGAATGTGGAAGCAAGCATCCACACAGCAGAATTTTGGCTGAATCTCGTGCCTTCTTCAACATTACTGCCAACTAGTTGACATGTGAGCAAAGATTGGTTTGTTTGTCGTGTCGAAGACGAGTGCTAATAAATTGACTCTTTTGGTCTCACGAACATTTTTGGAATGGCCCATCACGAGAAAAAAATATTTCATCCGTTATTGCCGGCTTCATCATCATCACTGCTGCTGTGGAGATCCAATCGTCGTTCGTATTGAAAATAAATTATCCATTGATAGGTATTGGAACATGTCGGATTGTGACTTTTTGTATAAGGGTAAGCAGAATGATGAATCACCGATGGTAGTTTATGACACATCATTCCTGTAATTTATTATACTCCATATCATGGAATCTTGAACAATCAACACGTTAATGACATGATCGCTAATAATATTAGTGGTTGTGATTGGAGATTCAGGTGTTGGAAAAAGTAATCTCATCACAAGATTTACGAAAAATAGTTTCAATTTACAACCAAAGCCAACCATTGGCGTTGAATTTGCTGCAAAGGCTATTATGTATGATGGAGCACGAATAAGAGGCCAAATTTGGGACACGTAAGTGACGCGATATTTATCTTCCGAATTATTGAAAATATCACAAAAATATATTTTAATTTCGATCATTGCTATGAATTGTCAACAATTTTAAATGACACCAAACAAATTATCAATGCATGTCAATTTTATTGAAATATTTCAAAATGCAATTATAGAGCTGGCCAAGAACGTTTTCAAGCTGTTTCTGCTGCTTATTACAGGTAAGTAAGAAAAGGTTTGATTGATGGTTTTGAGTGAGTTTAATAATGGTGAATGTGAATACAAATTGGAAATTTTTTCATCAAACAAAACGATATGTAATGCCTTTTGGAACCATTCAACATTTGTTGACTTTTTGAACTACATCTTGGCTTTTTAAATGATTAATTGAAATCATCTTGGCTTTTTAAAATATTTTAATTGTGCACCAAATGTCACAACCCTCGACTCTGTCCCAATGCATCCAACATGTTTTTTTCACTTCAATTTATTACACTGAATATAACGGGATCCTGATTATTGATCAACAATAACAACAACAGAGGTTCACATGGAGCATTGATTGTTTATGATATTACAAACCGAGAGACGTTTGACCACTTAGAAAAATGGTTTACCGAAATTGGTAAACAAGGAGAAGAGGGTTGTATTCATATTATTATTGGAAATAAGTGTGACTTGTCGCATCAAAGACAAGTGACAGTAGAAGAAGGCAGAAATTTTGCAGAAAAGAAGAATGTCATGTTTATGGAGACCTCTGCCCTCGATTCAACTAACGTGGAAGAAGCATTTTCCTTGCTTCTTCAAAATATTTACAAGACAAGAAAGCAAGTACCACCACCTACAACCAATGGCATGCGTTTGGATGATCATGTGCCGTTGCCACAAGTGAATGATGAACCTTTGGGATCATGTAAGGTTTCAATCGATGTGTCACACCACAAAAGGCCGAATACATCTGCTCAGGCATCCTCTTCTCAATGTTGTAAATAAGGCGTAGGTCATAATTATTAAATTTAAATCAGAATGCACTTTTTGAATCTTTATCGTGCATGCATCGCCAGAGATTTGAATGGGAGCAGTGGCATCAAAGGTGGTTTGAAGCAATTCAGGAAAGAATAATTTGGCCAAAGCTTCCTCTTGTATTCCTTGATGAAAATGTGGCTAATGTAATGGACCCTACAAGGTAAGTTCAACTTAGTTTATTGTTGTTGTTGTTGTTTCTTGAGATAATCATTAAGTTTCACAATAATATCCTTTTCAACCTTCATCTTGTCAACAAGGTCAGATTGTTTAGTGGTGGTCTTCTCGAGGAATCGTTGCTTTTCCTCAGAGTTTTTCTTGGCATGATTGAGAGCCTTCTTGGCCTTTTCTACAGCCTTAAGGACTCGATCTTCTTTTGCTTGAGCCTTCTTGAGCTTTCGAGTAGCTACACCCATGCGTTGGACTGCTTGAGACAATACCTTGTTTTGACCTTGAACATTGTTCAATGATTGGAGTGGGAGGGCACCTTGTGATTGCTGTTGTGGAAGTTGTGCAATGAGTTTCTTGATTTGCTCAACAACACCTTCCTGGTTCTCTGTCTTGGCATTTTTGTTCTGCAAGTATTCCAAGAACCTCTCTCTCAAAAACGATCGAATAGAAGATCTCTCATAATCATTGTAACGAGAAAGATCTGGATATTGAGGAAGTGGATACATGTACATTGGAGAAGGTTGAATATTTTGAATGTTGTTAATCATTGGAGTGGAGGAAACTTGAGATGGATTTGAAGTTGGCTTGGAGCACTTCTTTGCTGAACGCTTCTTGGCGTGACCACGACGTGGCTTCTTGTCCACTCGTTTAATTTGAGACAGGAGATCCTTCAAATCGAGAGTTCCTACGGAGGTGCTTGATCTTCTCTGAGATCGAGAGGATTTGCCAGAAAATCTACCAACGACAGGGACAGTTTGTACTGAACGTGGCTTTTCAGTTGTTTGGGACTTGGTTGCTTCGTTTGGAGATGGTGTGGATCCAGTATCGACAGATTCAGAAGCGCTTGTTGTTGTAGTTGTCGTTGGTTTTGTGAGATCCTTATTCTCTACTGGTGTAGTGGTTGCAGTTGCTTCAGTAGCGCTTGGAGTGGATGCACTTGTTGAGGTAGCACTGGTAGAGCTACTGCTTGTCTGTGAGCTTGGATCCGATGAAGCTGTTGCTGGAACATTACTGATTGCCTCCACAGAAAGTGGCTTGAAAGTATTGCTTGACAAAAAGTTTGTCTTCAAGGATTGCGTTGAGACGTCTGAGGTTGGTGTTTGAGATGGAGTAGCAGAGATTGATGTTTGAGAGGATGAAACTTGGCTTGTGTTCGACGAAGTGTTAGTGGATGAGGAAGTTGTTGCAGCTTTTGGTGCTTGTTGGTGTTTTGATCCTTTGGTGGCAGACGCTTTAGATGGAGTGCTTGATGAGGTTTTTGTGGTGGCCTTAGTGATCTGACTGACGGTTTTAGTTGCTTTACTTCTTGACAAATCCTTTGGAGCGCTTCTAGAGGATACGGCTGCGGAGCTGTTGGTCTGTGCTCTTGGTGGGCGCTTTGTTGTTACACCGGTGCTACTTTGTGATGGTGTGCTGGACTTGACAGTTCTTGCTTCAGCAGCTGACGTCTTCTTTGTGGAAACTACACCCTTGATTGAAGTCTTTGAGGCCAAAGATGATTGGGTTTGCATTGATGAGGCTGCTGTACCTGAGGTTCTTGTGGATGCCTTTGACAATTCTCTTTCAGAGGATTTCTTAGTTTGGACCTTTTGGCTGGTTGTGTTGTCCGAAGAACTTGTAGCTAAACTTGTTGAGTTCTTCTTTGTGGAAGATCTTGCTCTATTTGAGGATGATGCATTCTTGGAAGCAACCACATATGATTTTGAGGTAACAGGACGTTTGATTACTTTTTGATCAAGAGACACAGCTGAGGAGGCGCCACTATTCTTTGTTGCTGTAGCCTTTGACGATTTAGACGACACTGATGATTGGGTTGTCACTGCTGATGAAGATGTTGCACTTGATGATGAAGCTGATTTTCTTGATTGCGTGCCAGTTCTAGTCACGGACTTCTTCATATCTGAGGCAGTACTCTTCTTCAAAGGTGTTGTTGTCACTGTCTTCTTCACTACTGGTTTAGTAACACTTTTATCAGCACCTTGGTTGACTCTCGCCCTGTACTTACCTACAAGAGAGGATTTTTTAGACGAAGAAACGGTACTGGAAGATGCAACAGCTTTCTTTGAAGACACGCCGTTGACTGATGATAGAGCTGATTGTGTGCTGACAGTTGAGGCGGAGGTAGCAGAAATTCCAGTTGAGCTCTTTGATGATTTTCGTGAAGCTCGTGAAACAACAACATTCTTCTTGTTCACTTGTGAGGTGCTCTTTTCTGTCAATGTCTTGGAGGCTCTAGTTCCCACAACTGATTTGGTTGTTGCAGCACTTGATGAGGCACGTTTTCCATTAACACCTACAGCCTTTCTGGAAGAGGAAACAGAAGATGAGGTTGTTACTCTATTCTTTGTTGCTGTCTTTGATTTAAGATTCACTGAAGCAGAGGTCAAAGAGGTAACGCTTGGAACTCTGCTTGCTGATGGTTGTTGAGTTCTGGAACCGGACTTTTCAATCTTTGAAAGAGGTTTCATCGTGTTGTTACCCTTCTTAATTGAGTTCAAAGAAGTCACGAGAGGAGCTGTACCTACAGTCTTTTCTTTCTCTGAAGAATACTTTTTGTTCAACGAGTTGGTCGAGATGATAGTAGCATCAACAAGGCTTGGTCCTGATGCATCTGCACCTGAGGATGGGGTAGCTGTTGCAGTAGTGGTTGATGATGCCGTTGCGGTGTCCTTAGAAGTGGTACTTGTAGAAGTAGTCGTACTTGTAGTAGCAGTTGTGGATGGTGTTGATGAAGTGCTTGAGGCGTCCGATCCTGTGCTTGACTTGGTAGTTGGTACTGGAATGGGTTCAGCAGAAGCAGCAACCTCTTGGGTTGGAAATACAACCTTTCGATACTTCATCTTTCGGTACCATTTCTCTTTACAGAGAGGATTAGCATAGTAGCCCTGAATGGCTCCACATCCCTTAACATCCAATACCTCCTTCGAAGAAACCTGAGGCATATTCTTGGGATCAAATGACAACACTAGAGAGGATCGATCCGACACGACACTACAATCCCCTTCTCGATTCAAGACACACCCTCTCTGAGAGGAGGCTGCCTCCACCACCACCGAGGATAAAAGAAGTTGTACGAGGAACAGAACAAGCATTAAGGCCATCACGGCGAGCTGTGTACCCTTAAATAATCGTGGGGTCATTTTTTTTCTGATGAAATTACGGTACTGTATTGGGTGATGGACTTTTGAAAAGACTTTGCCATGATGTGGTGTCATCATCACATCTATTGGTAAATTTCACAATAAATTAGGAGCTGGTGGATTTGGTTTTTTCTACGTCGGCAAAAATCGAAGGGCAGCAGAAAACTAATAATTAACAACCTGTTTATTTGTAGTTCATAAGATATGATGGCGAAAATGCTTTTAGCACAATTTTCCAATGAAGAGGATAACGACACTTAATCGAAAATATAACAAAATCATTCCAATGGATCGTCACTAAATCGTTTCAAATCAGACTCTGTAAAGAGACAACATTCCATTCTCAGCAAGTACCTTACTGTTTGTGAAACTTTTTTGTAATACCCAACTTTAACAGAGAAGAGAAAACTGGTAAAATTATCAGTGTTGCTTCAACTACAATTGTTGACCCTTTTCAACGAACTCGTTGAAATCTCCAAACTTCAAGTTGTGTTTCATTGAAGATGGATAGTCCAATGACCTTAACGACATCCATTTTCCTTAAATTGACTTCGTTGGATATCTCTCCTGCTTCAACAATTGTTGAGATTCAAAATTCCAAGTAAGGATTCACATTCTCTTTCTGTGGAATGTATCTTTTTGTTGAGAATCACGCACACACACTACACACACCACGCACACACCCAAAATTCACTGCTGCTCCTTTTATTTCATCGTCATCCTTTGTGGTTTCAATTTGTGTCAAATCTCTCCCTCCCGCACACACATTGTAACCTCCGCGCCTTTTGCTTTAGTTTTCAATTATAAACTTTTCAAATAAACATAAAATTCACTCCATCATGGCCTCCTTCTCTCCTCCAGTGATGATGACTTCCACTTTGGCTGGATTTTCCCATCATCATCATCATCATGCTCAACAACAACGTGGAGGAATGGCTCTCACTGAATACGCTCAAACAATCGTCAATGTCATTGAACAAACTCCAACACCTCCTCTTGAATCTCTGAATTTCTCAACCCTTCATCAGAATGTTCCACCGAATGAGCTCTCTCATCGAGGTATGCTTCATTCTCCCACGGATGGTGCGTTGAAAGAAGTCTACTCCAAATATAGTCATGAATTATTTGTTCAAATTCTTCAAGTATTGAGAGAGTACTTGTTGGGAGAATTTCCTCATTCTCTCTCTCCTCAAGTGGAACGGTTTCTTCATGACCATGTGTGTGAGTGGTGGTGGCGTATTCAAGTTCGAGCCTATGATGAGAATGTTCCTCCCAATCATCATCATCATCATTATTCGTTTCAACAACGACATTATTCGCATCATCATCATCAGAGAGTAGTCACTCATCATCATTCCTCTCAACAAACTCCGTCTTGTCCATCATCGTCTTCAACTTGTTCCTCACATCTTCTTTCTTTCTATTCCAATTGTGAACATAAGGTGAGAGAACTCTTGAATACAACGTGTCCTCATGGGAATAAGAAAATTCTGGCAGTGGCGAGTGCGAGTGGATATCCTCATGTGGTGGAGTGGCTCATTGAGATGGGATGTCAAATCGATAGTGAGAGTCCTCCGGGTGTAAGTAGATGTTAATGTGTGGTCTCGAATTGGTTTCGTTCTGACACGAACAAATCTTTATTATAATTAACGCAAATCATGTGAAATTGGATTGGCAATTGGTTTCAAATGTTGGAATGACATTTAAAATCTTGCTTGAAAATGATGAAACTTGGAATGATGATCCTGATATTATGAAAAATCTCAACAGAGAAGAACTCCCTTATTTATTGCTGCCCTTAAAGGTCATCTTCCTGTTGTTCGTGTTTTGCTCGAAAAAGGTGCTTCTCCACATCATGAAAGTCTCTTCAGTGACGATGTGGTGATGGTCTCGTATTATTGTGGAGTGGTGAGACAACGTGTGTATTTGACACCAGAAAAAGCAGCACTGAAAGCAGGACACTCACAGGTGGCACATTTCATTAGAGAATTTGATTTGGAAATGAATCGAGCGAAGAAGAGAGGTTTGAATGTAAGTAGAGAATTCACAATGATTAATCGTTGTGTAAAAACCATCTTTGAATTTTAATCAAAACCATCATTGTTCAAAATTCAATGTTCAAATGAATGTGTCTTTTATGAAAAATGTGGCGTGTGTGCTCGAAATGATAATGATTCGTTTTTGGACACTTTGCAGAAATTTTTCAAACATACGAAAGAGTTGTGTCTTTGGAATTCCAAAGATGATGAAGAACGATGGTTTCATGGAGAAGCACCTCCTGTGTGGAGACGTGACGACCCGAACTCTCTTTCTGACATTTCTTTTACACTTCACTAATGAGCCTAATCAGGCAATTTGTAAAAATATTGTTTCTATAAATTATTTTTTTATATTACCATGTTCTGTTATTGGTACATCTCCTTCATTAAAACAAAATTATTTAACTTCCAAGTCCACTAACATTATTGTTTATACCTGACGAGAAAGCTCGCATAAAAAAGTCTTGATTAGGAAAAAAAATGATTCTCCGTTTTTGCTGCTCTTTTTCTCCTTCAACAACAACAACCACAGCAACAATCACCAGCAGCATCGTGATGAAGGCTTGTACGACGACAACTCACTCCCACCTCTCGCGAACCATCTTCAGTGTGAGGACCACACGAGCCTTTGGATGGATGAATAAACATCATCATCAGCACAGATACAATCATCATTCATCGGGATCAGTTAGGAATTTTCATACTTGTTGCTTTCGAGCAGATAGTGAAGTAAGCAATGGAAATGTTGAGAAGCCCATCTCCACAACAACTTCCGAAAATAACAATTTAAAATTAAGTGATGATGAAAATACTGATACAAATAATCTCAATCATTCAGCACCAAATCCAATTCAAGTACTACGAGATCCTTCATTGAGTTCTAATTTGAAAGACTTCATTTTGGATACTGTTACCATTGTTCAAAGAAAGCATCAACCATCGAAACATGATGATAAGATTAATCCTTCAAAAAGTAACCCAAATCTTGGTGAAGCTAGGCATCAATTAGAATCAGTTCGCGATAGATTGCGAGAAAAATTTGGAAACACAAATTTACAAGGACACACTACGACAAAAAATAATCAAGGCCTCTCTAATAGTATCGATCCAGAAAACTTTTTGGAAGAAACTATTCTAAAAAACGTACAATTCATGCAAGCCATCAAAAAGTATGACGAAGAAGTTGCAAAGAACGACGAAAAACTTCCGTTGTATGGTCCAAAGTATACTTTTGAAAAATTTTTACAGAAACAATTCAAACCAAGACGGAGGCTTGCTCTTTCCACAATTCTGTCTTACTTTGTAAAATATCCTGAAATTACCAGAAGTAGCCAATTTTACACAAAATTTCTTGAGGTTATTGCAATGAAATTACGTTTTTCGAAAAAGATGTCTCTGGAAACCATTGACAAAATTTTTGAGAAAATTCCGCCTGTCGATGTTTCACCTGCCACCTATAGAGCTCTAATTTTATGTTATGCAAATAAGGGAAAAATGGATGCAATTCCAGCTTTATTGGACAAAATGGACAGTCTCTTGGAAAAAGGATTTTTTAGAGCTACAAAAGTTCCATTAAAACTGGCAAAAGAAACTTATTACAATGGTCAACTTCCAAAACCACAAACCACAACAGAATCAGCCGATGGTGAGGAAGGCAACGAATTATTACAAGAATTATTTCAGCTTGAAATGCTAAAACTTAAAATTACATTTGAGGCATTTGCTCACAACAAAGACTTTAGCGCTCTAGAAAAATTAATCAAAATGAAGAGACCAGAATGGTTGAGCAACTATCGATGTGTGTCCACATACATCCGAATGGTCAATGATGCACTCGAGTTTTATTTGATCAACAATGACCTCCTTCACGCAAAACAATTGGTTGACCTTTTTTACAGGTATGACCTCCCAAGATCTAACGGTCGAGAACAACAGTTCCAATTGAACTTGTCTCCCGAGGGAGTAGTCGGTAATCCAACACTATTGATGAAAGAGAAACCAACTCGTATCGATGAGTATGGTCGATTTTTCAATTTACAACTTTGGCTTTACAAGGAACTAGCCGAAAGCAAGCTCAATGACAAGTTTCAAGAGAATCCTGATTCAGGTATGAAGAATAGAGAGTTAATGCCAGCACAAAAATTATTCGACATGACTATTGCAGAAATGAAGAAGGAAGGTATCATCTTTACAAGAGAGATCTATCAAACCATATGTACTTACAATTATCGACAACAAGCGTACGAGCGGTGTGTGTTCTTTTTCGAGGATGCTCTGCGACATGGAATTATTCCAGGAAAACGTTCTTTTATTTATGCGGAAGAATCCTATTTGATGTTGAATGATATCAAGAAGGCCATGCAGTGTCACCAATTGAGAGATGTCTATTGCAGACTGGGTGAGGTTAGCAATGACGTTTCCGTACAAGGCGCTGCTGCTTGTCTTGACTTCTTGTACAATTATAAGGACAAGAAGACAATACAGGGACAAGTTCGAAAAAGAATAGAGGAAAAATTAAGACAACAAAAGGAAGAGAAACTAGAGGTGGATGGAACCATCGAAAAACCAATCCTGAAAGCAGAGCCAAAACCAAAGCCAAAGGACCGTTACACACTAACCGAATTATTTTTGAGGCTCACGAAGAAACAATAAACCTGCAATGAAGAAATTGAGAGTATGCCCTCTGAAAAGCCCATAAACCTGTTTCTTTTTTACTCATATTGGATTTATTTCCATCTACTTGCTGCCTCGAATAATAATAATAATAATTTAAATTTGCAATAATTTCATGAATTTTATCTATTCTTCTTCCTCATCGCTCATTTCTTGGTTTTCACCTTCTTCTTGATCCTCCTCTTCGACCTGTTCTTCCTCCGTGGGTTGTTGCTGCTTTAATTTCGCTAAAAACTCTTTGCCTTTAGCGGTCAACTTTTGTTTGACATCATCTTCACGCAAGGCCATATCCAATTTAAATGGAACATACATATCCTGACCAGGTATGATTAATTCACAATTCTCGAGAATGGAATAAATTTGATCGATACTTCTGAGTCCAACATCTTCCAATTTTTGTTCCAATTCTTGCTGTTCGTCTGTAAAACAGTTATACCTCTTTTTCAAATCATTAAAATTGACAGCTTGGTTATGATTATATGCTCCGTTCATTAATTCTCTAGCAGTTAAAACATTTGCAGATGTCAAAGTTTTCTTCTTTTGAGAAATTGACAATACATATCCCCACCGCAAGACATCTTCTAATTTCTTCTCAACATACAATGTTAATCGATCTAAAGCAGCCCTAGACATTTTCAAGTCATGCATGGTCGCCACCTCTTTTGATCGACTGTTAATAGGAACATCAAACATGGGCGACTCTCGAATGAGGTGTTTACATGATCTAGCAATTCTAGTTGTAGGAATGGACTTTAATCTTGGACTGTCCAATTCCAACATGAACAAAACTGTAAGAATTTGTCTTCTAGAAATGAAAATATTTGGTCCAATTTCAATCTTGTGTTTGGCTCGTGTATGTTGCTTATTCTTTTTTTTAATCTTTTTCAATCGATCCCAATCAAAATTCTCTCCAATTTCCTCCGAGGCTTCTCTTTGCTGTTGGTTTTGTCCTAATAATTCATCAAGCTTTTGTAATCGTTCCTCCTCAGTGAGTTCTCCTCTTCTCTTACGCATTCCTCGATCCTTTCCTCTTCCTTTCTTTGCAGGTCCCGATGAGGATTGTTCATAGGATGAAGAAGATGCTTTTTGTTTGGCAGGCATTTTTTTGTTGTAAAATGAATTTTTGAATCTCAATATTAAATATTTTATTATTAAAATATACAATTAATATTTTTAATGGTGACGATTTCATTAATATGCCATGATTGAACAAACTGAGGATGAGCTCATCTCGAACGGAATGCAATTTCAATGTTCAAAAATTATTCCTCTCCTTCTTTGAAAGATGACGAAGGTCTAATTGGTACCAGAAAAGAAAAAAATTAAAATAAATTCAGCTGTTCTCTCTTCTCTCTCGCGAGTAGTCCTGAAAGTCATTGATTGCAATCACGAACACACGCACGCACAGCACTTACACGCACAATCATTCACCAAAACTTGTTGTTCAGTGGTGATCCACACATAGATCAAGATGGCGAGTGAAACTATTTCAATATCTGGATTATCATCATCATCAGGCTCACCAACAACGAGGTCGAATGGCGATTTTATGGTGAGCCGATTTAGGAGAATGATTGAAGATGTTTGTATATTATCATTAGATCGGAATGGAAGGAATGAAATCATTAAATCAAAATATGAGGAGATTATTCAAAAACTCATTCGTATGAATCCTTCGGCATCGGAAGAAGAGAGGATGAATTCAAACATACCTAGAGAAGCATCAGTGTTGCCCACAAGAGAGAACGGCTCGGATAATCATCCTCCTAGTACTGATGATGATACACCAACAACTGGTTCATCAAATTCCATCATCATCACCAACAATAATCATCATCAAAATAATGATGGCACGAATCATCTAGAGGTTGAATCATCCTCATGTGTCGTCATTTATCTCAAACGTGAGGCTTCATTAATGACGAGTTATCCCAAATATAAAAAAAAACAAAAGAAGCAATTTGAAACCGATTCGCTAATCATGAACACCGTTCAGGAAGATTCTTTTCTAGGCGGTTCGGATTTAACTCCATTGAGCTTGCAATTTTTCACATTTCCAAATGATATGATTATTCAGGTCATTGCATGTGAAGCTGTTGGAGAAGGAGTTGAAAAATGTGACCCTAATGAAAATGAGAAGGAGAGCAATAGTTCTTCTTCAAAACAAACACAACAACAACAAAATAATGCATCTGGTAGCAGTAGTAGTAGTGACGAAGAAGCAAATTTCCCATTTCTAATTGAGAGCATTGATGTGAGGAAACATTCACTTTTGAAAAAAATTCTTTCTACTGAGGAAATGATTGGTGGCTATCAAGACAGTAATGGACTTTCACCGATCATCAATGAGGATTTTAATGATGACTTTGACAATGTCAATTCAGAGGACGCAGAAGAAGATTATGAAAATTATATTGAAAATGCAAAACTTCACCCACCCGCTCGAAGCTATCACACCTTCATTAACACAGATGCACAAGGGTTCAAATATTACGGCTTTTGCTTTACAAAATTCTTCACTTATCGAATCACAAAAATTATTGACAAGAATGAACACGAGAAAAATGTTCAAGTTTTTATTCGAATTCCTTCATGCATATGCATACTTTCTCGATTTGCATTTCACTCTACGTTTTTACGGTTTTACTCACATCTCGATCAATATTTGTTTGAGGTTAATGGAGGATTTGCAAAGCCCAATGGTGATGGATATTATGTTTTTGATGAAGAACTACTACAATATATTTATGACTTTTTTAACAGCTCACAACTGCAACAACCACAAAAACAAATTGGAAACTCTTCAAAAACTGATGACAATGACAACGATGATGCTGCTTGTGCCATTTATGACAAAATAGTCATACATTTTCCACAAAAAATCAAATCAGCGTCAGATCAAGTCCACAACCCAGAGAGTGGATTTTCTTTAACCAACGAAACGGTATCATCTTTTTCTGGCTTTAATGTTGAATTTGACAAGCTCTTATTTGTTGGATCAAAGGAAGAGCATTTCAAAGAATCTTCACTGTTTGAAAATGAGAGTATTTTCGAAGACGATACTTTGGGCGAGGATAACCATGTTTTCTCTCGTCGAATCAACTATTCTGAGAGCCTGCCCAATTTTTCCACAAGCAATGGATATTTTCCAAATTCACCCTCTGGAGACATATCACAATCATCTCTGTTTCTCAGCGAAAAACAAACAACCTCAACAACACCAACGTTGAATTTTCCTTCATTTCCTACATGTGACTTTGACTTTTCCATTCTTACAAATGCTCTCAACATTGACAGTATTGTTACCATTGTAAATTATTTAGCCCTTGAAAAACCAATCATTTTCCATAGCGTGAATCTTTTTAGAATGGTCATGGTTATGGAAAGTTTGCGACATTTAATTTACCCATTTAGACTCACCTCCATCTACATTCCCATTGCACACGAGAAGATTATCAATTTCTTAGAGGCTCCTTTTCCATATATGGTTGGCACACATAGTGAGGTCATGTGGAATCATTTTCGAATTGGGTTTGAAAAGAAATCGTTTTTACGAAGAACCGTCAGCCCACAATTCAACACATTACCCTCTCTCAACTCGTCATCTTCTTCTTCGAGAAAGATTAATATTATTACAATGAATGAAACAAAGGCCAACAATTTCGCAAATAGCTCTGATTATGAAATGATTAATATTCCAGAAGGAGTATGCATTGTGAATCTCGACGATGATCGAATTCAATTTGTTGGAGAGGAACCAAATGTTTCAACATCTGATAAAAATTGGAAATGGTCTCAGGCTCTCATCAGCTACATTAAAGAAAGTTTGGAAAAAAGTAGAACAGACATCGAGAAGAGTGAAAAAGATTACATGACCACAATTTTGAAAAACAGCCCCAAGATTGAAAACAAACCTCTCAAGGGTACTTTCTCACAAATTAGTCGAAAGGATAGTCTGCTCATGCGAAAGAAGAGATCGAGTGAGAAACTTGTGAGAATGATCATGTTGAAAAATCTCACGAATAAGGAGCAAGAGGAGGAAGAAGTTACTGGGAAAGATCCTCTTCAAGCTCCCAAATCTCCAAACAGTTCAAAATCCACAGCTCAGAACTCAACAAACGTTGAGCCAACCTCTCCATCCATCATAGTAACTGCTTCGCCGCCTTCTCCAACGTCTCAATCTGGTACAAGAAAGAGATCATCAGCAATCAAACACAATCAATCATTCATGGGATCTACCTCAACATCTGCTTCTCCAGCTTCTACGACCTCACCAATCTCCTCCCCAGGCGTCACGAATAGTCCTCCGAGCACAACAAGCACATCATCCAATAACTCTTCCCCTCAAACAATTCGTAAAAGATCCCTATTCGAAAAACATCAAAATTCAACCACTCTCAAATGCCCACATCCCATTCGTGAAATATTTCTCAACGTATTTATTCGATTATTGACATGTTATGAATTATTTGTACAGTATGAATCATTTAATCCAAAGGATGGCATGAATATGAATGCTATATTTTCAATTGAAAAGTTTTTGAGCTTGGATAATTGTGGAGGTTTTTGTCAGGCTTATCACACTACCCTTAAGAGCAAGTCAAATGGATCTGTTGCTGGTAATTTTGGAGGTCATGTGGATTCACAATTTCTCAGAGAATTCTTCAAGACGCAAATTTTCCACTTTTTCCTTCAAAAGAAATGTGAATTATATTGGAATTTACACCATATTGTGAAAATTCGAGATCAAGAAATTGTTTCCAACAAGCATCATTTACATTCACAATCTCTTCCACAACTTCCCTTATCAGATGGATCTTCTAATTCCGTAGTAACACATGTTACGAATGCATTTTACAAACTTTTCGATTGCAAGATGCAACAAAACACTGAGCGCTTTGTGTTAAATTTATTGCTGTTAAACTCGTCATACAGAAGATGTTTTTTATACAAGAGAGGACGTTTAAGAAAATCATGGAAAAAGCGCTTTTTCGTTTTGAGAGATGACAACACTTTGCTCTATTATGATGGACCAGACGAGAATCAGCTCAAAGGTTCTATTAAATTAACTAATGATGGCCATGCCAAAATTATATCTGTAAAAGTTCAAGACAAACGACAATTCGAAGGCAGTGGTGATGAAGATGCTCACTACGTATGGACAAAATCTCAACAACTCGAGTTCATTAATTTATTACGATCAGCAAAAAACTCAGATCCAGAGTCAACTGCTTCCTCCTCAGAAGATATTGATGGAGTTCCACCCGTCACAGAGCAATTTCCAACTCCCTTCGTTTTTGCTATTTACATACCTGGTATTCGATTACTTTTCTGTTGTGCAGAATCGGAGAAATCTCGCGAGGAATGGCTTCGAGTGTTACGAGCGAAAGTGATGCCTCTCGAAACTCTGAATCTCATGAAAGAATATTTGGCCCATCTTCAAAATCACAAGCAAGAAAAAAAGAACAAATCACCAAGTCAACCAGTCTCAAACAGTTTAAGCCAAATTGCCCTCTCCAATTCTGCTTCATTAAGCCATCATTCTCGTTCGTCACCAAATTTACAGCAGCATCAACAACAACCAATCATCCTATATCGAAAATTTGAATTTATTCCAAAATCATTCAAGCTTAATGGTCAACACAACAATGGTAACAATCGCACATTCATGGACAGTTTATTTAATCGAATGCCCTTAGAAGAGTATGTGCTTCGTACGTCTCTTCAACAAATTGACTAGCTAGTGTCAAATCATAATACCACTACTAACACTGGAAGGACGTACAAGAAACAATCTACGGATGCACAAACTTTAATAGAGGTTCATAATTGAATGTTTGACTTTATTTGAATTTAGAATTAAAAAATGTTGAAAACGAAAACAATTTCACTTAATTCCATTCTCTCTCTCCAACTCTTACCCTTCTTCTCCGATAATTATTGCTATGCATTGGTGAATCACCAAACAAAACAATTCGTATTGGTTGATCCTGCCGAGCCTTCCAAGATCCAACAATACATTTCCAACCCTGATTCCGTCTTTCAAGATAAAAAGTTGATTGCCATTCTTACCACTCATAAACATTATGATCATGCCGGTGGTAATTCATATTTTCGCCAATTAGATCCTTCCATTGAAATTTATGGAGGAGATGAATCGGAAGACATCACTCGAGTGATTCCGACCCTTCTCACTTCTCATGAACGAAAACCTTTTGAATTTAAATTATTTGATGATGAAATCCGTCTTCAAGCCTATCATACACCATGCCATACGAAAGGACATTTGTGTTATGTGTTGAAGCACGCAAAGAAGGAAAATGGAGAGGAATGGAATTGTATTTTCAGTGGGGATACCATCTTTGCAGGTTAGTGTTCTCTTGATTGTTAAGAACAGAGTCCATAGAGCTTAAATTTGTGATTAATGATTTCTTTGATCATGGTAATATGATTATTGAAATTGGAATTCATTATTTTGACGATCATGAATATGTGAATATGGGATGATTGAAATTCAAACATTCAAGCTGGTTGTGGAAGATTTTTTGAAGGAGGAGCTCAAGACATGTACTCCAATATTCAATTAATTCGATCATTATTCTCGGATGAGAATAAAGCAAAACGGACTCTGTTATGTTGTGGACATGAATATACTGTGAAGAATATTCAATTTTTGGTGGATCGAATTTCTGATCTGCCACTTGTCATTCAATACTTGGAAAAATTTAAACATTTGAGTGACCATGGAGAGTTTTGTGTTCCAACCACACTTTGGGAAGAATTTGAATTGAATCCTTATTTCAGAGCGATCAATGATGAAACCTGTGAATTGAACTCACCTCAAGAAAAAAGTAAATATTTCCGTAAAATGTCAGAATATTTAGGTGTGAAAGACGTCACAACCTCTTACTCTGCTGTTGATTTATTGAAGAAAGTCAGAGAACTGAAGGATCAATATTAATAATATCAAGAGTTCATCTATTCAATGAATTGAATGGTACAAGTAAAAACATTTCCCGAGTGCAAAATCAAAAAGAACACACAAGTTCTAACTTACAAAAAAATGTCATCATCGATTATCGATGGAATAAGCGTGGATCAACTATTGACCTATTTGGAACAAGAAAACAAACGGACAGGAATGAGGATGGGTTACAAACTTCCAACACAGATCGATCATCCACACCATTCAAGAATTGAATTATTATGTGGAACATGTGGACATGAATTGGGTCTTTCATCGGAAGCTTCATCATCAAGTGTTACTCAGGTCCGAATGAAACAAATGGATCGAAATTTTATCAGCATTTCCATTCCATTTGATCATCCTTTCGATACCGTTGAACCTTTCATTCCATTGTTGGAATTTAAAAATTTAAAGATGATGTTGAACATGAATGGAAAAGACTTGATTCTTGAATGCAAAAATTGTGGTTCTCAATTGGGAAGTGCTGCATTGCCTTCTCATCATCACAAACCAAAGACCAAAATAGAAGTAGATGTACAGAATCATCATCACGATAAGAAGGAACACTCCATTACTACCGTTCTGAATGGAAAATTATTTTGGAAAGACATTTATCGTTATCAACAAGGAGAAGCATTGAATCCTTTAATTCTTTTGCCAAAAAACTTGAATCTGTCACTTGTTCCCTTCTCGACGAATCAATCTGTCAAGGCCTCACAACAAGCTTCTCGAGAACCAAATGAGATTCGTTTTAAGAAAATTATTCAACGACATGTGGAAGAAGAGGAACGATTGCGCCAAGCTGCTATTGTTACTTCACAAGAGAATTCTACGACAATTGAAAAGTATCAAGCTTATTTAAGAGATGGAGAAATGGTAAAACGAAAAATGTTTAAACGATTACATAATTTGAAAATGAGTGACCAGGATTTAGAGAATGATGACATGTGGAAAAAGTGGCTTTTTTGGTATCGAGACAAAAACATTCCAGCCTTGTATGATAAATTTAATCAATTATTGAGAGATGAATTTCATGGAAATATCAGAGGTGTTCGAAAAATTGAAGAAGTTATTAAGGGACATCTCTTGGAAGATTTTCAATTGCATACATCAGTGTTAAAATTGAAACAGTTGGTGGAGAGTGACGACGCAAACGACAAGTTTGAATTGAGATCCATCCTTCACAGAAGAATTTTCAATGAGGAACTATTGCCATCCAGTTCTTTTGAGGTTTTACCTTATTCGAGTTCTGTATGTGAAGAACATTACAAGGAAAAATTCTTTTGTTTCATCGACTTGACAAAGGCAAACTTTTCCACATTGAGAACATTTGATCCTGACATTTTTGGAGGGGATCACAACATTACTTGGAGACAGTTTCTCAATAAGGAAACCACTTTTGAACTCTTTCATAGCTTTCAATATACTATTCGACATCCAGTTTTTGGAAAATTGAATCACGGATTTTCCACACGAAAGATGATAGAAATAGCAGAGCATGAACAATTGAACATACTCTACAACATGATGAAAAAGCACTTACTGAAAGAACATCCACATTTATTTGAAGAATCTCACTTGTTTGTACCACCCATTCAATGTGCCTCTGATGCATTCTTTTTCTGTTTCAATACTTTACAAGACGCAAAAGTTGTCTTTGATGCTTTGTGTCGATTCGATACTGAACTCTTTCCCAATGTGAAAGATTTAATTCACTTGACCGTCTTTAAGAATCATTATTATTATTTTACCAATGAAGAGATCAATTCAGAGAGTAACTACTGTGGAAATAACCATTTTGATATCTATTTTGATAACCAATTCAATGACAACCAATTCAATAACAACAACAACAATGGGCCACAAAAAAAGATGGTTTGTGGTCAAAGAAATTTTACATTCACAAGAGGCGTGTGAAGAAACAAAATTGACCATTTGTGCCGTCCAATTAGAGGATCGACCGTTCATTGGAGATCACTTTGAGAAGGCATTGGCCTTATTTTCCAGTCATAATAATAATAATTAAGAGAAAGTTCGGTTGTAATGTAACCGAACAACGTCATGAGTTCTGCATGAAATGCCTTCCTTCTTTTTCTAACAATTTTTTATTCGCAAATAATAATGTAATACCGATTGTGTTATTAGGTATACACCTTTTTTGCTAGTTACCTTTCTATCTTGAGCAAGATTGGGTATTCGTTTTGACGATTGACAGTCCATTTCAACGCACATGCTTAAAAAAAAATTCACAACCTCACTGACAGATGGCAGTTGCATCACCACAACCTCGCAATCTCGTTGGTGTGGTGTTCATGACCCTCGCCTTTGTGATGATGATGACTCATCTTGTGCATGGAATTCCTCCAAATTTTGTTCCCTATTCTGCCTTTGATCCTTATCATTACCCCAATTTTACATCAGTTCCTTGTTCCGCGCCAAATGCCAATCTTGTCAATATTTACAAGAGAACAGTTCAAAATTTATTGACAAGCTTTACATTGGCCGAAAAAGATGATTTATTCTTATTAAATTCTATTTTGCAAATTTCGAATCCCGCACCTGCTCCTCAAGAAATTCTTAATAGATATGCTGAAGATTATGGACACATCTTTCATCATGTGCCACTTGTCGTGTTCGTTCCAACTCAAGTCAGTCAGTTGTCAAAATTGATGCGAGCTGTGAAAGTCAATAATTTTGCAGTTCGAGAAGGAGATGATGATGACCATGTGGATCGTTCTGCACAAAAGATCGTTGCCAAGATTAAAGTTGTGATTCGAGGTAAGAAGTTGATGATTGGTTTTTAAAAGTCTTTAAACATGTTCCGAATGATGATTGTAATTTTATAAATTATTTTCAAATATATTTCATTTTCAAAATTACAAATTCCGTGATGATCGGTCGTTGCAACGATGTGAAATGTGGAATGATTTGTGTGATCTTTCCTTTTGTGTGCGCAACTACTAATTTGGAATTGTGTGAAAAAATTCGATAGGTGCTGGCGGAAATGTCGAAGCAGCATCTCAAGTCATTAGCATTGCTGATCATGAAGAAGCAATTCCTCCACTCTACATTCTCATTGACATGGGTTCACGTTACACACAAGTGTCCGACAGCCTCCAAGTGTCAGGTGCCAAAAAGTCCATTTGGGCACAAGCTGGAGCTCAATGGGTTTCTATCGTGCGAGCTGCAGCTGCTCATCATTTGAGACCTTTGGTCGTTCCAGATTATTTGGGAATTACTTTGGGAGGATCGTTATCGATTGGTGGAATTGGAGCTGATTCTGTTTTTAGGTTTGTAGTGAAATGTTAAATGATGAAAATGATGAAAATATGATTCATTTGAAATGGTTCAATGTTTTTGAAATGATTGGTTTACATGAAATGATGTGTTTTGAACTAATTGGTGATCATGACTGTGATGAAAACCTTAACGAATTAATTCAATTGACAAAATTGTGTGACATTTAGAGGTCCAGCAGCTGCTCATGTCGCAGAATTGGAAATTGTCAAAAGTGATGGCGACATTGTCAATGTCACCTCCTCTTCCACTCTCTTCCGATCTGTCTTGGGTGGAATGGGCCAATTTGGAATCATCTCACGCGTTCGATTGAATTTGGAATCGAATCATCCAATGACTCGAATTTATCATTATGTCTCTACTGATTTGAATGTCTTGATTAAGGCAGCGGATCAATTACAAATTGTCAATTCTCAAAATGAGGTGATTCAGACCATTCAAACGTTCTTTGTTCCTGACACTTTGTTTTATATCCAAATTTGGGCATTGAATGGAAGAACGACTTATCGATCACCACAAGAAAAAGAACAAGTTGAAGCATTATTGGCAAAGAATTTAACCTATGTCTTCATGTTGGAAATTACCACAAGATTTGACACTCAAGCACCAAGTATGGAAGAAATTGCTGCATTGACAGGTCAGACATTTGACTTGTCAGTGGTCGATGACATGCCCACCAATGTCTGGGATGAAAGATTATTCTATTTCACCATTCCAGGTTTAATTGCAAGTGGACAATGGTTCCAACGACACACTTGGATGAATATTTATCTTGCTGGAGATGTCTTTGAAAGAGATCCAACCACAAAATTGAGTGATTTCGATCGTTTAATTGCAAATTGGACACCTGCAACAACCACTGGATTTGGACACATTGGATTGTATCCCTTATTGAATTCACAATTTAACAGTGTTCCATTTGTATCCATTCCAAAAACTTCAAAATGGTCTTATTTGTTGGTCATTGGAAGAGATGAACCAACAGGAACTGATTCTGGATTGAATGATCAAGTGTTTGACAATCGACGTATTTGGGATTTGTTTACCAAGAGGACCATATTCCAATTGGATCGACCACATGCTACTTTGTATGCAGATAATTTGATTCCTAACTTTAGAAGAAGTGATTGGATGGCAAACTTTGGAAAATGTGTTTGGAGAGATTTTGTGGCAGCAAAACATGAATTTGATCCAAAGAGAGTTTTTGCTGATCCTAGAAGTATTTTCAAGAATTGAAAATGACTAATAGATCTCCAAATAAAGTTTCCATTTGGTGATGAAAGTTGAACAAAATGGTCAACATTAATATAATAATAATATTTAAATAATATTAAATGGAAAGGCATGTTCACAGAGAGAGTTTATTATGATGTTTACTTCTTGGGACACCTAGGGTTTCAATGGTGGTTGAAGTTGACAACTCAGCGAGAAGCAGGAACATAAGCAACACTTCCCATCAATGGACGGGTTGGAACTCTAATTTCGCTCGATCCAAGTATCTCAGAGGTGAATGCGACACAATGTCCTTGCTAGACGTGATTTTTCAATTCGGAATAATGGTTCACTAAATAAACATTCTTTGAACGCACTGAGCAAAATTGCATCTTTGGGAGCGAATGAGGTGATTTTTGAATGATGGATGACATTAGGGACATTTGTAAATCCATTCACTGTTTTCAATGAATCATTCATCACCTTTTGGATTGCTCGTCGAATTTGTGAGTTTAAAAGCTGAGGATGAAGTAGAAAATTTTAAGGGAAGCAAATGAGGTGAATGAATTTTCAAATGTTGAACTCGACGTTTCAAGATATGCATCCAATATTTTACATTGAGAGATTGTTCAAAATTTGGAAAATAATAACACAAGATTGTCAGAGGATGTTTCATTGGAATTTTGGTCTTGATCAATTTGTTCGAGATGAAATCTTCATCGACTTGTTGTTTTGTGTTGCGAGAGAGTTTGAAGGAATTCAAGAAAGGCATTTTTTTGAATGTGAAAGTTAAGTTGTAAGTTTCGCGTTCACATCAATCGTGGTGGCAAACGACAAGTAGGTCATAATGGAAAAATGATCTTCTTCCTTTTCAAGTTCATGTGTTGTTCTTGTGACATCGCCATATTCTCATGATGCTCATCCTTATGTTCCATGAATAAATTTAATGAAAATATTCAACGAATGTTAATTTTTAGTTCATGTGAACACAATGATTCCAAAATTTACTTCTTTTTTCTTCACAAAGCTTACTTGTAAATCATTATCGGTTGCCAATTGTTTTGGTGTTTGTCCAATCTTGTCTTTTGTAGATGGATTGGCTCCACTTTGATACAAATATCCACATAATTTCTCAGCAATATTCTTTTCTTTGTGTTTACAAGCTAAATGAAGAGGAGTTTCTCCCTTCTCGTTTTGAACATTCATACTATCCTTATGAAGAAGTGTCAATAATAAATTCACTGTTTTCACATTTCCATTTTGTACAGCCAAGTGAAGTGGAGTATTTCCTAGAGCATCTTGTTCTTTCATCATGGAAGCACAAGCACTTGGATTTAAAAAGGCAAGTCTGTTAATGAGAGGATCTGTTCCTTGAGTGGCAGCATGATGAAGAATATTTTGTTTCTTGTCATCTCTTGAAGTGGGTCCGAATACGACTGCTGGATTTGTATTCAATAGAATGTATTCGACAATATTTAAATGTCCATTGGCAGCAGCTCTCATGATTGGAGTTCTTCCAAATTTGTCCTTTGCATTCAATAGGACCTTATTTCCTGTTTGTGAGGCAATGGCAGTCGATGAACTGTTGGAAGCTTCAGCAGATTCGCTCACTAGGAATTTCACAGTTTCAATTTTGCCTAATTCACATGCAATATGTAACACAGTGCTTGAATCGCTTGTTTTAAAGTTATAGTCTCCTTCGAACATGCTGCACATGGTTTTTGCAGCTTTGAAACATTTTCTGGCACTTTCTAAATCTCCAACTTCTTCATCTTGACAAGCTCTTGTAATCAATAATTGTAATGGACTCTTTCCATACTTGTCTCGAACATTAATTTTAGCTTTCAATTGGCAAAGAATGCTTATGGCTTCAGTTGCTCTGTGACTGCAAGCCCAATGAAGTGGTGACGATTCAAATTCATCAGGAGCAGCTATATTACACTTGTATTTTGATACTAGAACGAAAATTAAGGAAGATCGATCATATTTTGCAGCTTGATGGATGAGGAATGATCGAGGTTTTTCCTTGTCTCTCAATTTTCTAATTTCCTTGTCCGTCCATGAATAAAATTCTTGCATTCCTTCTGTGGACTCTGATTTCGCTTTGGCACACATTTCACTGTATTGTGTGACAAATTCTTCAAATTTATCTGAGCTCGTATGATCATCATATTCAGGATTTTTCACAAATTTGTATAAAATATAATGATACATCATGGAAGGTTTGATTTGATTCAATTCCGTGATACTAGCATACAGTGAATCCTCTGCTGTGTTGACAGGTTCATTGTCTTGATACATGTCTTCATTTGCGGCTGGAGTGGCTGCAGCATCCGTCTCTTCGTTAGTCACAAATGAAACTGGAGTGCCAACTGTTGGAGAATCTTCAAAGACCTATATTGTTGTGTGATGTATTTCAATCATATGACAAGTGTGTGACATATTTTAGTGGAGCGCAAAGAATCCATTACGATCATGATGAGTATGTGACATTTTGTGGTTCAATCACACAAATTCGTTGATGATCATATTAGTATTATTGGTCAATGATGCCGCCACCACCATCATTATCATTTTTCACACAAAATGTTCACAACACACACACATATTGATAATAATTTGAATTAATGGTTGCAAAAAACCAACACATTCAAACAAAAAACCTACCGTTGAGGATATTGCTGTTGAATTCATCACTGCTTGCAATTCGGATTTTTGTTGTTGTGATCCAGCACTTTCCAACACGACTCCACTCTCACCCGATGAAGAAGCTGTTGAAAGTACATCATTGTTATCATCAACAATCATCTGTGATGATACATTGACAGCAGCAGCACTATCATTGTTATTGAATTCTCGTGGAGTGGTATTTCCGTGTGAACTCTTCGATGATGACAGCACCTCCTCATCAATACTCGAAATTGAAAGATTTCTCTGCAACGTTCCTTCTAAATCACCTGTTGAAACACCTTGAGTGTTGTAGTGATGAAAATGTCCAGAATGTATGGTCGTCGTCGTTGCTGTGACTGGACTCGTGGGTGTCGAACAACTCTCTTGCTGAGAAGGTAATAACGCATGAGGTAATGAATTTCTACCACCACCACCGGATGAAGCCTTTGAAAGAGCAGAGGATGATTTGACCGTAAGTGTTCCGGATTTTGTGGTGGTCTTCTTCTTTGCTGCTTTGGCGAGACTTGAGAAGGTTTGTTTGAAAGCGTTCCATTGAGAAGTGGGATAAAAGTCTTCGTCTTTGACTCCGATTTTGGGTCTTGCTGTTCCAGAACTAGAACCAGAGCCTGAAGAACGGGTGGACATATTGTTGTTGTTCAGAGTGTGAGGATTGTGGTTGTTGTGGTGGTGATATCGAAGCGTGTTGTTGGAATTCAACAAAAATTTTGGAAAACTTCGGAAGAAGTGAGCAGAACAGCGATGAGAATTTGGAGTTTGAGCTGTTGGTTGTTATCAATGCCGAACGGAAGGATAGAGTTTGAATGTTATGAGGAAGTTGTTGTTTCTCGTGGTTGAAATGATCAGAAAGTATATGCAATTTTTATGAGTTGGAAAAAAATTGCGTCAAATGTCAATCAAATCATGAAAATATGTGAGCGTTGAGTGTTCTGTAAATTGAAGGGGATTACCTTACTTGTCCCTTGTGCGTTGTTTCTTCTTGAACACAACATCAATATAAAGAAGTGTTGAATATACGAGGGATTGTGAGATAATTGCTCTTTGGTTTACAACAACGTTGTGGGCATCATTTTTCCATAATGGTTCATCATCCTACAATTTCATCTCTTCATCATTTAATAGGTCCATGAAATCAACAAATTCAAACTTCAAAGGATGATGAGAGTTCACAAAGGAAGAAAAATGCAAACAGAAAAATCATTATGTTTCAATTCCTCTTCATTTCCAGTCGTTGAAATTCCTTCATCTTCCGAGGTGCAACAGAAGAAGAAATACTTCATTCCTAATACCTCTGGTTATGATTATGATGAACAATATCCATTCCTCTCCAATGATCTTTCTCAACAAACCAAGCAAGCCTTTCATAATATCGTGAAGGCTTTTCAAGAGAAAATTCCAAACTTTGTCCTTTCATGGATTGAACACATGGTGATAACGGTACAGAGAGAAGAAGACTTCTCTTCATGTCTATCCGTATTGATGAAGGAATTTAATTATCAGTTGCCGGCTTGCAGAATGGTGGTGGCTGCAAGCCCTTTTGAAGAAGAAGAGAAGAGGGATCATCAAGTAAAACCACTCGTACAATTACAAGCTACATGTTCCGTACCACATTTGTTCGACGTTGGTTCATCTTTCTCCCAATCGGAAGAGAAGAAGAAAGAGGAAGAATTAGAATTCAAAACCATCACTCGTTATCATGTCGGCCAACGCTACAGTGAAAGTGCTGCCTATGCCAATGTTTTGTACGTGAGTGGGCAAGTTCCCGAGGATGATGGAAAGAAAGACATTAAAGGTCAAACGAAGGAGGTTCTGGATGCCTTGGATCAGCGATTGAAGGAGGCAGGAACTGACAAGACTAAACTCTTGATGGTTCAAATCTTTCTTGCTTCGATGGAAGATTTTAATGGCATGAATGAGGTGTGGGATCAGTGGGTCCCTAAAGAGAATGCACCACCACGGGCGACTGTGGAGGCAAAATTGGCAAGACCTTACTGGAGAATTGAATTAGTGGCCACTGCTGCCTTGTTGTAGAGAGCAATGGTAGTTAATGGTGTGTAGTCATCCGAGTCATGGCCATGAAACCGTTTTAGTATTGGGTTTGTGCTGAAGAAGCATTAGTAGTTCGTTCTCTTGATTCCGCAAGAGATGTTCGCTCATCACTGTTTTCTTTGGGGTTTCAGGAAACTGTGAACATGCTCCTTTTCATCTCCTTTTGCGGTGTGAACTTGTTGCGTGTTGAGAAACACAAATAAATCCATCAAAAGAACAACACGAAAATCATCACACACACAACAAAAAAATATTCAAACACTTTTAAATTATTAAAACACAACACCACGATTGATCGGATCAACAATGTCAACACCACCCAACAAGCTCTCTGTCAAAGTTGAAGGTAATCAACTCATCTTTTATAATCCCAATAACGAAGTGGATGATAATGTTGGAATCACCTTCCACAGAACATTGAGGATTCCCGATGACGGAAAGATCTACCCTTTGCCACCTTCGTTGGGCACATTTCCAGTGAAACGAGTCGATGATTACATTGATCGAGTGCCTGAGGCTTGGAAGAAACAAGGAGGAGTGTTCATTCCACTCTATCAAAGAGAAGCCATGTGGTTGGAATTTATGAATTTCAACTCGGAATACCCTCATGCTTTGAAAATTGCCGTCGGAAAAGTCAATGCCTTATCAGGAGAAACTTGGGACGAACAAATTAAGAAACGAAATGTTCAAGATTATGTCGTCACACCCTTACAACCATGGTTAGATGGTATCAATGCAGGAGATGGATACATTAAACAATTTGTGGCCATGCCACTTGGACAAGGTTACACCGTCGAAGGTCAAGTCACAGGCGAGGAAAAAGTCGGTGGAACACAAATTATTGCCTATGCACCACATCATGAGAAACGTGTGCAGAAATTCCCATCCTCAAGAACAACGACTAGTACCCTCATTTCCACTCCTCCACCACCACAACAACCACCTTCAAAACCACCTTCCTCTTTTGGTTTCTTGGGTGGCATGATAAATAAGTTATCTGGAACAACCACCACTACTCCAGTACCACCACCTTCACTTATTCCTCCAAAAACAAACCAACCACAATACTCTCCACCACCACTTTCACTTTATTCAATGTCAACTACACCTTGTTCATCAATGATCAATAGTAGTACTGATTATTATCAACCCATGTGCTCCTCCTCATCATCGTCGATGAACATACCTGCATCATCTGCTCCACCACTTCCACAATGTGAATCCTTGTCTTCGAACACTCTCTGCTCCTTTGATGATGCTGAACAAGTCAAGCCAATGCCACGTTCGTCTTGTCCTCCTTCTGTGAAACAACACTCTGAAAAGAAACGAAAGGAAAATGTCAAATCAGAAAATAGCAAAGCAAAAGAATTGGGTCTTGCAGCAGGTGGCAAAATGAAGCAACAAATTATTGAAGATCCTTATGGTCACACCTTCTGGGATGAGTCCACAAAATCGAGAATTTTCATTCACATTGTCAATAGTGAAATGTATAAGGAAATCACTGGTGAGGATGTACCACCCACGCCAATCACTGCTCAGACCTATGCCAGTTACAATTATCCATGGTTTGATTTCTATAATGAAGATGTCGGCTCCGTAGGAAAGAGTAATATTTTGTCTCAAGTGAAAAGTGTCAAGGAAATTGATCAAGAGAAATATGCTTGGCCTCAACAAAACGACTCCTCAGTTCCTATTCATAATGTGACAACTTACAAGGCAACATTTAATAAGAATGATGTGAGAGATGGAGATTGGTAAAAAGGCCTCTCAATAAAATTCAAATTGTACATCAAAGAATTGAAACTTTTGAATAACTGTACAAGTTTTTAAAAAGATTTGTAAAAAGAAAGCACACACAAAAATGCATCGTCATGTCAAGCTCAATTTGATCAATCTCTTCACTCCAACGAATTTTCCAAGCCATGATGATGATCGTATTCATTGTTTATATACAAAATTACAAAACAAGATGAAGCTGTTCAAGGGCAGAAATTTACCGTTTGCAATGAATATTGAAAACATTCGAGTCTTTGATAACCAAGAAAACGACGAATTCTCCGATATGGGGGACGTTAAAATATCGTACAATTTGAATTGTATTTTAGTGAGCCGATGTAACCAATCGAGAATTGATATTTTTGATTTACAAACTAAAGCCTTTAAATACTTTCTCTTGACACCGACCTCCACACCTAGATTTATGTGCATTGAGGAAAATTATGAAAATGATACATCATTGATCTTCGATTGTCAAGAAAGTGTTTTCAAATGTAATTTAAAACTTTGTATTGAAGGTGCTGCAGCAGCGAGCAACCTGGATTTGGTGCAACATGGAAAAATTTGGGAAAGCCATTATTGTGCATGGCCTCAAGGCATTGCAATTTTTAGGTCTTCAGTGTTTGTTTGTGACATTCTGAGAAATCGTGTGGTTGAGTTGAATATTTCCAACGGACAATTCATATCTGAGTTCACAGTCGACCGTGCTTTTTCTATTGCATTCGCATCGATTCCATCATATTCAGCATTATACTGTACTGATGAAACAAAAAAGTACATGATTGTTACCAAAATTGAGAAAGCCAGTAGTATTCAAATATTTAGTCAATGCAAGGATGATCAAGGAGTCTGTTCATGGACAAGCGTCAAACGTCTCGAGATGGATTCCGTTAAAAATCCCAGTGGAATTGTGTGTGACAACAAGCACATTATTGTGTCAGAATGCGATTATAGAAAAATTCAAGCCTTCTCATTGGAAACTTTTGAATTTATTTGTTCGTTTGACCTTGGAGATATTCACACGAATTCATATCCACATGGAATATGCTTGAATGAATCAACTGGTGAGCTGTTTGTTTGTGGGGCTGATTGTGGCTTTGATTACTGTGAGGTTTTCTGAAATGAATTACGAAATTTATTCTCGAAAGTATTGCAAGTTGGAATCAAACCAAACTACTGTTTCCTAAAATTCTTCATAATTGCTCTTACTTTGTTCAAGAAAAAGTTTTGAATAGAGAACATGACCAAGTTGAACAAACTTGAAGGTTTTACACAAACCAAAGCACAAAAAGAAGCAAATCTGAAAAGCATTCCAAATAGCACTACCATTCCAATCGTAAGTTCCAATTCATCCCATTTGTAACCCATATTTTCCATGCTCGTCGTCGTGTTATACAAGTGCCTGTATTTTTCAAGCTCAATAAGGTAAATGTTTTCATGACTATATGTCAAGTAGGAGAGTGCTGGGAAAATATTAATTGGGAAATACATGTCACGGAGTGTTGGAAGAGGAGTTGTCGAACCACTGAACACATTGAATATGAACACAATCACTACAGAGGTTAATTGAGCCACATTTGGCTTGACAAGAATACTAACGAAATATCCCAATCCATAAGAGGCCCAATAGACTAAAAACAGAGTATAGTAATATTCCAACACGGAAGCTTGAGGAGCAACTGTGGTATAGTAAATGGTCAAGAAAACTATGGGTGCGAAAATATTCACAATTAACATGGACATGTCCTTTGCCCAAAAATAGCAAAAAGTACTCAGACCTGTTTGACTCTCTCTGTAGAAGTTCAAGTATTCTTTTCCAAAAACTCTCAGGGCAGCCATCGATCCCATCAATGCCATCGAAAGAGACATTAATGCAGAGATGGTAGCAATTGGATCCTCTGTAGGTTGTTTACAAACTTTTTGTAAATCTCCTGGACATTTTTCATAGACATTGGCTGGAGGAGGGCCCACATAGACCTTATTGTAAAACAGTAATCCAAGGAAGGAAGCACATAGAAAGATGAGTGAAAAATCGAGAACAAGACTTGGTAATCCTCTCAATAATTGTACAATACTTCGTTTGAAACATATCCAAAATTGTGCAAAATATGGAAGTCTTGGGTTGATGAATTTTCGTTTGGTTCTTGGAGTGGGAGCCGTCACAAGAGATTGTTTCTCAATAGAGTAACGATTCAATGCATTTTCGGAATTGACTGAAAGAGTGGTCGTAGAAGTGGTCGTCTCTCTATCAAGGAAACCTCCAATTCCAAGACTTGCTCGAGCATTGTCATCATATTTGTGTTTTCTCTCTTCCCAATACTCGGGTAATGAATGAGGATCGAAATTTGGATCCTTCTCATTTTCAACCATACCTGCTGAGATGTCAATAATAAAATCTGCTAAGTTAATTCCATTGAGTTTCACAAATCCAAATTCCTTTTCAAAATATTCTTCGACTCGGTCCACTGGTCCTAAATAAATAGTTCTTCCTCCTTTTCCGAGAAGAAGTAAAGTATCGAACATTGTGAAAATTTCATATCGAGGTTGATGGATGACAGTGATGACATTGATGCCTACTCTGGAAATATTTTGAAGGGCTTCACACACTTCTTTGGAGCTTGCGCTATCGAGTCCACTTGTTGGTTCATCAAGAAAGAGAACCAAAGGAGAGGATACTAACTCGATTCCAACCTGTTGATTGAATATTGGTTAACGTTGTGAAATTTTAGATACCAACGCGATAAAAGTTATCTCACACAATTTGAGATGTGAAGCAGTACAAACAAACTTACGTTCACTCTTTTTCTTTGACCTCCTGAAATTCCTCTCTTCTCTTGATCTCCAATGACAGAGTGTCTGACATCTTCCAAATTTAGAACCTTAATGACATCATTCACAATGGCATCAATTTCTTGTTTAGACTTTTTTGAATCTAAGCGAGTTCTTGCAGAAAAGTACAAGGTTTCCTCCACGGTCATGGTAGGAATCATGATATCATCTTGCGGCACAAATCCAATTCTTCGATTGTAATTGGACAATTTTTCCTCCACTCCATTCACAAAAACTTTTCCAACTTGAGTTCCGTAATATGCTCGATTGGCCAAAGTCGTAATGAATGTGGATTTTCCGCAACCAGACAATCCCATGACAGCAGTTAATTGTCCATGTTTGATTTCTCCTGTCACACCATGAAGAACTTTCTTTCCCGAGCCTCTCAAAATAAGTCCAAGATTGTCAAATCCAATATCGACAGTGAAATTGTCTTGAACAAAACTTGCTGTTGCCATCGATGATGTGATTAAATCTCTTCTTTGTTTTGCTGAAAACAGAGAAGATTTTTCACCGAGTTCTCTTCTCTTTTTTCTTAATTTGGCACTAATTTTCACATACATTTTGAACGCAATTTCATAAATGACATTAATCATGAAAATAAAAAACAAAATACTTCCAAAGAGTATCAATCCACCGACAGTCATTTGATCCGTACTGCTACCTTCTGGACACAACGATAAAAACCATGAACATTCACTTGGTCGAACGGAACCAGGTGCACAGAAATAACCAGACGGGCAAATGATTTTCACAGTTGCATTTGGACAATAATATCCTTTTGGACAGAGTTGATAAGTGATGGAACCTTCAGGGCAGTATTGAGTTGATTCGCATGTGGCCATGGTGTGAGTATTTTCACAATAATATCCTTTGGGACATGGTCTATGTTGTTGATGTCAATTAATTTCTCCAAATTTGGTTGTAAATGAAATTCAACCTACGTTTTGGTAATGGTTCCATTTGGGCAATAATCAATGGTATCATTGTTATACTCGCAAAAGGAAGGTTGCAACACTGAATTATCCACACAATAAGTGTCTTGTGGACACAACAAGGATGAATAATTAAAAGGTTGTCTCTCTTCCACGATCACTTCTCTTCCTAAATTACAATAATCACCTTTTTCACACATGGTTAATCCCATCAATGCAATGGTTGAATTTTTAAATTTCATTTTCTTCACAAAATGTCCAGGACTTGCTGGAATTGGTCTTAAATAACTTGTGGTACAGAGTGTTCCATTGGGACATGAAAAGGATTTGCTAAGACCTTCTCTGTAACATGATTCCATATTGGAAGAGGCTGAACATTTTTCTGGATAGATCAAACCAAGGGACGAGCAAACATAGCCATAAGGACAAGGAATTCTTTGAATTGTAAAAATGTCAACAGTCAATCATTTGCAAAACCCAAATGAAAAGAAAGATCTATCACTTACTTGATTCCCTTAATGCAATAACTACCAAGTGGGCACGTAGTGACATAAATCGATCGATCGACAAACATTCCTGGTGCAACATCTTGTGAAATAGTGTTCATTGAAAAATCCGCACATAAATGCCCATCCAGACACGAATTCACAATCATGGCAAAATGATTTTCATCGAAAGGTTTTGGAGGAGACAAGACACATTGATCTTTAAAGTCCTTTAAAAACACGTTATCTGGATCATTTCTCAACGTGTCACAAACTAATTGATATCTTTTTTCAGCTTCAATTTCCCATTTCTTTCTTGTCAATGAAAGAAACAAGTGTTGATTATTGAGAGAATTGAAAGTATGAATAATTGTTCCAGGTAAGGTCATGGAATTCACTTGTTTGAGAATGGTTTCACCTTGAGTTTGATTGGAGAGTTGAATGGTCATGGCATAAATGGTCATATCCTTACTTGTTTGCAAGAACAATTGAGTGTGCCAATAATTGTGAAAGAAAGTATAGAGATTTCTTGAATCTGTGAAGGAATTGAAGATGCTGCTTTCGCAATACATGAATTGAGTGTCACTGATACACAAGGTACGATTTGGAGCATTTGAACTATTTCCTAAATATGGTAATTGACAAATCACAGATGGATTCAAATGGCCTGTTAAATCATAGGACGGTTGTCCATTCACAGTCGTTGTAATATCCGACAATCTTGATGTAATGGAAACAAGCTCATCATTCAAATCCACTACTTTTTCAATATTATTTTTACAAGACCGAGTCAATGGATCTAAATATTGATTTGAAATGCAATTAAACAAAAACGATCTTCCAGCAGTGTTCGTATTTGGAAAAGTAATTTCAGAGTATTCACTAAATTCATAAATATGATGTAACAAGAATTTGTAATTGTCCTTTGTTGCTCCTTTTCGTTTGAGTCCTAAACCTAAAAAGATGTTTTGAGATTTTGGAAAATTCACATTGTAGCATGAGGTCGTATAGGACATTGAGAGAGGTCTTCGAATCCATTCTGGAATTAAACTTGCATGCGTAATGACAGTATTTGCATCTCGGACCTCATAGAATGATGTGTATTGATCTTCAAAGTTGAAATTAATGTTTTTTCCAATCGAGTGATCAAATTCATACACTCTTACTTCCTTTTCTGAATAGATGGTGATTAATGTTCTTCCATAAGAATTGTAATAAATGTTATCTGGATGAATTCTCATGGCTGCATTGTACTTAAATGCTCCATACTGTGTAGAAACATCCAATCGAATCTTTGATGACTTGTCAAATTTCTCTGGATAAATAAACCATGTCGTTGCCACACGTTTCGCATAGCAATCAAAAAAGATGATCTTGAAATAACTTGAATATTTCAACAGAACAACTGCATAGGTACGAGAGAAATCGCGCAAATCTCTCATCATTTTCAATTGTACCACTTCCATGAGATCCTGTCCATCCAATTGATAGTCCCATGGAGAGGAAGGAGATGAGCTTTTGAAATCATCCAAAACGTACAAATAAATAGCATAATGATTTGTTTTATGTGAGGACAAAGTCTCTCTCTGAATCCATGCCACATAATCACGTGAATATGAAGAAGTAAGAGAAGCCATACTTTTTGGTAAACCCTCAAAAAGCATGATCGATGGAGAGTATAGGCGACTGTGAAAAAGTACACGTTGATGGTAAGGACTTTCTGTGGAGACTTGAATGATGAGTCCATTTCGAAAGGCTTTGACAAGACCTTGTTCGAGAGCGACCACACCCATCACTCCATAACATCCTTGTAATTGGTCGTCATCGACAGGGTCATTATCATGGACTATATGAACGGAATTTTCACCACATTCCATCGAAAAGGATCCATTGAAGATGGAAATTTCTGCCAATGGTTGAGGTGTGGATGCAAATGGATTGACATGTTCACACCAAGTATCGAAATATAACTTGGTTGAATTTGAAGTGGCAGAAGAAGAACACACTTGATTGGCATTTGAAGGGCCGAAATATAATTCTCTGGCTTCAAGAATAGATGATGACAAGACAAGAAGAAATGCCAACAGAAGGAATGGCAGTGAACTGCAAAAGTAGCACAACGCGGACGCGAGAACGGTTGAGGCGGTATGTGATGACATTGGCTTTTGCGAAATGATGGCTCGTGTTGACATTTTTTTCGAGCTCGAAAAGGCATTGTTACATTGTTTCGCCTCGTTCATGGTTCGAGTTTGCAATGGAATTAGGAAATGAATTAGAAGCAACTCAGAAACGAAATTGTCAGCAGGGGTGACCATCGTTTGAAATCTACCGCTAGTGTTACTACTGGCTTTGGTGTGACTTTATTCCAGTTTCTTTGAAGATTTTTAGCCGTCAATTTGCTTGGATGTAAATAATATTTGAGTCACACATGTTTGACAAAAATGGTAATGGTATTAATAACAAAAGTGAGGCAAAAATTTTATTGAAAGTTTGATTGACCCCAAGTGGGATCAAGTGAGGCAAAAATGAATTGCTCACAAGCTGAACGATTCGTTTTTCAAATGTTGCAGCTGATGTGGTTGAAATGTCTTTCACTGGAAACGATTGCTTGGTGACGTTGGGAAAAGCGTTCTCTCGTTCCTCCTTTACCCTCTCATCGACAGATTTTGAAAATTTACTTTACTAACTATCCATGAATCAAACAACACATAAATAGCCCAATAAAACATCACAGTAGTCTTCTTATGTGTGCGCAACGAGTTTTTTCGCTGGACTAATTCTATCGTCCGTTATCCAAGCGAATCTCTGCTCACTCCATCAACTAGTTGAGTATTAAATTGATGATTGAGAGTGAAAGAAATGAAAATTTCATTAAAAAAATGTTCAGTCATCAATTTACTACGCCGCAAGCCATTCCTGCTGCCTCCCAACAACAACAACAACGAACAGCGAATGATGCACAACAACAACAGAGAAGAGGTCTCCCTCAAGAAAGCATCACGGGTCTCCCGATCCGACAGCAAGCAATGCAACAAGAAAATCCACAACCACATATTAAAACAACCCGATTGAAATTAACCAAAGCAGCAACTTCTAAATTGTATTATATTTGTAAATTTCCAAAACCTGTAGATTTCAAAGCAATGGATGGAGAAGTAAAGATTAGACTCAAAGGTAAAGAAGATGAAGCTGCTGATATGGAAGAAAAGCCACAAGAGGAGCAAGAAGCACCGGAAACCGAAGAGAACATGAATAAGCCAAAAGTCAAAAGAAAGCAAAAGCAAGAGTATATTCTTGAAAACACAGGCACACCAAAGAAAGCTTTTGAAGCAATTCCAGAGGAAACTCAAGATGCCAAATATGCCATTTTCTTCACTAGACAAAATCCCATGACTGGAGAGAATGAATTTGGTGTTCTTCCTGTCAGTTCTCAGTGGCTAAACTTTAGACCAAGAATTCTAAAATCTCTTCTTGCTCAACAAGTCGAGGTGGCTGAAAAACAAATGAAACAAAAAGCAGAGCAAATTGAAAAGAGAATGATGAAAATCAAGCCTTCACTTGAACAAGAGTTGAAACACTCCAGAAAGATAAAAAAAGAAAAGGAAATTGTGGATGAAATGGATTTTGAGGAAGTTGTTGACGATGACGAAGAGGGAGAATTTGGAAAGCTTTCACGTGAGGCCAGAATGGAGGCAAAACGAGTGTTTGGCTCTGATGAAGAAAATTCCGAATCTGAAGAATCTGAAGACTCCGATGATGAAGACAAGGAAAGAAAGGAAAAAGAAAAGCACTCTCGAATGGAGTATTCAAAATTATTGAAAAAGGAGAGAGGAGAATTGAATGAAGAAGAGGAAGAAGATGAACTCAAAGAAAAAGTTAAGGAAGAACAAAAAAAGAGAAAGAAAGAGGCAGAATCCAAAGCAGAAGTGAAACTTGAAGAACCTGAAATGAAAAAGATCAAAACTGAATCACCACCATTAACATCCTCGAGCTCTTCTTCATCAGCAGAAGCAAAACTCAAACAAGCCATGCTCAAATATCTCAACAAGAAGGGACAAGTGAAAACAAGTAGATTCAAGAAAAAGTTTTTCAAAGATTGTAAAACAGAAGAAGAGAAGGAACAGAGAAAGCAAGTGATTTTGCAAATCATGAAAGAAATTGGTGCCAAGACCTACGATGAACAAGGTCATAAGGTTATCAGATTGGATCCATTGGTCTCTACAACCCAATAAACCCAAATGAACACACATTCAAACATCCCATTATCCTAGACTGTAACACGAACGTGTTTAAGTTTGTAAAAAACTATTTTAGTAATAATATTGATCAAAACATTGCTCAAAAAATTGTTTAGTTTGTGTCTATCATTACATACCACCAACATGATCCTTGGGTTTGGGTTTGGGTTTGGGTTTGGGTTTGGGTTTGGGGTTTGGGTTTGGGTTTGGGTTTGGGTTTGGGTTTGGGTTTGGGTTTGGGTTTGGGTTTGGGTTTGGGTTTGGGTTTGGGTTTGGGTTTGGGTTTGGGTTTGGGTTTGGGTTTGGGTTTGGGTTTGGGTTTGGGTTTGGGTTTGGGTTTGGGTTTGGGTTTGGGTTTGGGTTTGGGTTTGGGTTTGGGTTTGGGTTTGGGTTTGGGTTTGGGTTTGGGTTTGGGTTTGGGTTTGGGTTTGGGTTTGGGTTTGGGTTTGGGTTTGGGTTTGGGTTTGGGTTTGGGTTTGGGTTTGGGTTTGGGTTTGGGTTTGGGTTTGGGTTTGGGTTTGGGTTTGGGTTTGGGTTTGGGTTTGGGTTTGGGTTTGGGTTTGGGTTTGGGTTTGGGTTTGGGTTTGGGTTTGGGTTTGGGTTTGGGTTTGGGTTTGGGTTTGGGTTTGGGTTTGGGTTTGGGTTTGGGTTTGGGTTTGGGTTTGGGTTTGGGTTTGGGTTTGGGTTTGGGTTTGGGTTTGGGTTTGGGTTTGGGTTTGGGTTTGGGTTTGGGTTTGGGTTTGGGTTTGGGTTTGGGTTTGGGTTTGGGTTTGGGTTTGGGTTTGGGTTTGGGTTTGGGTTTGGGTTTGGGTTTGGGTTTGGGTTTGGGTTTGGGTTTGGGTTTGGGTTTGGGTTTGGGTTTGGGTTTGGGTTTGGGTTTGGGTTTGGGTTTGGGTTTGGGTTTGGGTTTGGGTTTGGGTTTGGGTTTGGGTTTGGGTTTGGGTTTGGGTTTGGGTTTGGGTTTGGGTTTGGGTTTGGGTTTGGGTTTGGGTTTGGGTTTGGGTTTGGGTTTGGGTTTGGGTTTGGGTTTGGGTTTGGGTTTGGGTTTGGGTTTGGGTTTGGGTTTGGGTTTGGGTTTGGGTTTGGGTTTGGGTTTGGGTTTGGGTTTGGGTTTGGGTTTGGGTTTGGGTTTGGGTTTGGGTTTGGGTTTGGGTTTGGGTTTGGGTTTGGGTTTGGGTTTGGGTTTGGGTTTGGGTTTGGGTTTGGGTTTGGGTTTGGGTTTGGGTTTGGGTTTGGGTTTGGGTTTGGGTTTTGGGTTTGGGTTTTGGGTTTGGGTTTGGGTTTGGGTTTGGGTTTGGGTTTGGGTTTGGGTTTGGGTTTGGGTTTGGGTTTGGGTTTGGGTTTGGGGTTTGGGTTTGGGTTTAA